TGATAGACTGACATCATTTAAAATCGCTAACTGATTGGCTTTAACTGATCACTTATCAGTCGACTGATCAGCTAGCTGACTGCTTTACCAGCCTGATTGTGAGATTGAGTCCCACCAGGACAAATTGACCGCCCCCCAGTGCGGTGAATATACCTGTGATCCAACTCACCTCTGTGGGAAATACATTCCACCAAGAGCCTGTAGGTGAAATAGTCAACTACCATACTGACAAGGATACTTGACGAGAGTGAGAGCCGCATGGTACGCCAACATACAGACGACATAAAATGATGCCAGCTGCAGCATGAGTCCCACCAGGACAATGCTGTACACCGCACGAAGTCCCCATCGATCGGCTAGAACTCCAAAGTATGGTCCCACGAAGAGGGCTGTGCACCAATCAATCAGTCGGGCGCATCTGCGAGAACAAAAGAGGCACTGACCTGGACCCGTTCTGAAGAGACTGTAGTAACCTCGAATGTACGCTAACGTCGATTGAACGGCAGGCGACTTGCACTGCAGTTCATCCAGATCACGCCGGGGTAAGGAGAGCGTGGAGGGCGAGGATGGCAAAGCATAGTGGCGCTGGCAAACGGCATGCTCCAGTAGTCGCACGGGCACGGAGAAGGAGAAGTTGTCGAAGAACTCGTAGGAGATCAAGAGGAGAACGATGAAGAAGAATGGCTTCGACGGAAGAAGCGTCGTGAGGACCATCGTTCCTGGAGACAATCACAGGAGTCCGTCCAAAAAATGAGAAGTGATAAAACAAGATCTCGATACAAATTCACATGAACAGATGGATAGTTGAAGCGAGGTCGGCGTCGGGAGATAATCAAAAGGAAAAGGAAGAGGCCAGAGAGGTAAGGTTAAGGTTAAGGTTAACCACCGTGATCAAACTCCCGGCAATCAAGAAAGAGAAAACACATGCACGCACGCACGCCTGCATGCATATGCATCCAGTAGCATCACATCACTTCACCTTTCACAAGGGGCCAGGAGCTTGGATACAAATACATATCTCTCAGCCTCAGCCTTAGTTTTCGCGCGCCTCACTCTTACTTCTCATTCTCACTCTCCCTCTCTCTTCAATCGCTCCGATTCATGCTCCCTCGCACCTTCTTTTTCTTTCCCGTGAGTACGACGAGGCTCTTCCAAAGCACCACGCACGCTTTACGTAGAATTGCTTCCCGTCCAACTTTCACGATGAAGAGAAAGAACGAATTTCGCGGGATGGGGGATGCTGGCCGTGATGTGTTCTTCATGGTGGCCAAGGCTCGCTATGTGGCGGTACACGAGAATAATGTGAGTACAGGACGACTGCGTGGCCGAACGTTTGTTCGAAGCTTCGATGTTATTCAACTAAACCAACGCGGTAGAGAAACATCCCCTCACTGAATCAAGATTTCAGTCTCGCCACAGTATTTACGCTGCCGCACAGTCACGACCCGCCGGAAGTGACAGCCTCGTGGATCCAGGACCAAGTAGCCACGTATAGCAGCCAGGACGATGTCTTCAACGAGCAGTTCTTGGCTACCGTGATCTTCGACAGCAGCAGCAGCAGCAGTCGCAGCCAAGAAGCAGGAGACGTGAAGATCACAGATGAAGCACATTTATGTCTTCAAGGGCACGGAACCGAGCGAGTGGTGTGTACGTCGTTGCCACAACTGCTGCCAGGTCCGTACGCCCTGGTAGGCAGCCAACTCAGAGATATCTGGAAACTGGTTGACGACATCAATGGGACCTGTATGGTGACTTTGAATCCGCAGCAGAAGTAGGTACACACTCTTCCTGGGCACCTACAGCCTTCTCGCTAACTAGAGCCAGCGTAGAAGATGATTTTCAGCCATTCCCGGTCTTTAGTTCAGATGATCGGTTTTCGAGCTTTGCACTTCCCTCGCGAATCAAGACTCGTGCGGCGTCCAGTTCCTTCTTCGCGGGTATGCCTGTCCTAGTCAAAGATAACATTCATCTCAAAGGTATCAAGACATCCGTCGGGAATTGTGCCTTTTATGAAATATACTCTCTACAGCCCGAAACAGCGGAATGTGTGCAAAAATTGATCGATCAGGGTGCGGTGATTCTTGGCAAGACCAAGATGAATTCCCTCGCTATATGGGAAGAGCCGGTGGAATATATTGACTATTAGGCACCATGGAATCCCCGAGCAGATCACTATTAGTTTCCGGGAGGGAGTAGCTCTGGAAGTGCAGCGGCTGTTGCGACGTATGACTGGCTTGATATGGCTATTGGCACAGACAGTAAGTCCACACCATTGACCTCCTTATCGGGGATCTGGAGAGGACTTCTTACTCACTTGTTCAGCTTGGGGAAGCGTGACTCGACCTGCGCTCTGGTGTGGTTGTTATGGTCTGCGTCCGAGCTTTGGGGCAGTCTTAGCGCATGGTATTGAGCCGTGCTGCCAGTAAGCTATTTGTTTTTGGTTGTAGCTATGAGTAGGTCTGACAATAGTGGGGTTTTTGATATAGCTGGTATCCTTGGGAGAGATCTGAGAAAATGTAGAGATTTCGCATCAGAATGGCTACGTCTAGACGCGCTGCAGAAGGACCCAAAGGTGAGTGCAATTACCGATGTTGCACGCTTGTACTAATGTTAAGTTTAAGCCGTTCAAATTGGTTATTTTGCCAATAGATTACTGGAAGGTCATTGATCTTAAACAAGCCGCCATCGGTCGTGAATTTGCGCAATTCGCTAGGGCATATTTGAATGCAGACTATTAAGAGATTTCTTTCGAAGAGCTTTGGCAACGGTCTCCACCCGAAGATGCGCGGGGGTGCATATTATCGGAATACATCGACTGGGCAGCTGATGTTCAGGACTACGACGCCTACCACAACTGCGATGACTTTCGAAACAAATATCAGAAGCTTAGTGGACATGCACCATACGTATCGCCACTAAATCAAAAGGCATGGTAAGTTTAGTAGCTATTTTTCCCCAGTTATTCTTGCTTAATTACTTTTTGGCGCTTTATTCACATAATGCATAGGGAATATGCGCAAACTATATCAAAAGAAAAGCGGGATAAGGGATTTAAAAACATAGCTACTTACAAAAAATGGTTTGAAGACTAGATCTTGGCGACGATAATTGGAAATGTTCTTGTCGTCATGCCTCTAGAGTCACTAGCTCTTAGATATCGAGATGAATCTCCAAAGTAAGAATGTGATTGTTTCATCTTGTATACGCTAACACTCTCTACAGATTCAAGTACCCTCCCCTAGGCATAAATACTCTAGCTCTAGCAGCAGTTCTTGAGGCACCCGTAGTCACAATTCCAATTAAGTCTACCCCATGGGCGTAAAGTTCAAATGCCTAATATTTTCCGTAGTCACTGAAATTCTATATTACTTTCGAGTTACTAACTGCGAGGAAAAACTACTATTCGCAGTGGCAGTTATGGGCAACCCAGGCAAGTGATCAATTTCAGGTGAAAGGATGGTCATAACTGATACGGTTTCAGGGACCGATCTGGCGCTCATGGACACTTTGCACGATAATTTTTACGGCTAAAAACTTGCTAACTACGGTGAAATGTGGGGGGAGCATTTTTTGATAACCGAACTAGCTAGCCATTACTAGAAGACGAAGGATCACAAAAGCATTTCCACAGTAACACGACGGGCCATCGTGCAAATATTGCCGATGTGTCGAGATGCTTGACTTGGATCGGTATTCTGGACTGTAGGTCGAAACCAAAGTTGCATGGATTTTCATTTTCCTTGTGCCTCACGACGTGTTTCTTTATGCGCTCTCATTGGTATGAAGAAACTGAAAAGCGGGGTAACATTCCTGTGTAACCCACTTTGACCTTGATTAATCGGATGTGAATTTGTGATGATGAATGTCAGGCCACGAATTTGGGTGAGGCTTGCGAAGAATAGCCGCAAAAAGAATTCGAAATGACTTGTAGGACTTCTAAACATGCCGATCAAGTATCTATTTCTTGTTCGTCGTCAACTTCTCTGCTCCCCGCCTTCATACCGTCCTCTCGGAAGTGCCCCTTTCTTGGAATCCATACGAAGCCGGCTACCACAAGGAGCTGTTGAGTTGGTGATTTTTCCGGAGAATGATGAGCACTAATCATGCAATTCAATATTAACTCTCTAGTGTAGACTTCACGGCCGAAAAAGGAGAACGAGTCATTCATATTTTGTTTGGAGATCGAGCCGATGAAGTCTTGAAAGGTCGTTAGCAAGCTGTAAAGTAAGTATATCCTGCCACGAGATCCGTCACAACCTTTCCTTACAAAATTTGTTTTAGTCTACGGAAGCCCAAAGGGCCTTTAAACGACTGGCCTCTGGGACTCTGCGATACCCGCTCAGTGGATTTACCTTCCTCCCCTTCCTCCCCTTCCTCCACATCATTCAAACTCACAGCCGTAGCCTTTATATCACATCTCGTCAGACACAAACCCCATCCCAAAATGCATTTCTCTCGCCAAAGGCAGCTTTGAGGCTTATGCCCCTCGAGGAGCGGAATCACAGTTTTCTGCTTTGATCTTCTCATATTCATCATTTGGCTCTTCGGGTAATGTGACTACCTGGGAGTAAACTCCCCGTCATCATAACTCAAGACTCTACGAAAAATCGCGTCTCTTCCACTGATCTCAAGCCTCCTTTTTGAGTTGATCTACGCCACTGATCTACGCTACTGCACTGAGCCAAAAGTGCTAAGTCATTCTTTGATGTCGGTTTCAGGAAAGAGAGAGAGAGAGAGAGAGAAGGTGTTGGGTCTGTGGTATTTATTACGATTCACCCGTGAATGGGGTTTCGGTTTTGGTTTATAGGTTGGGGAGGTGATTACCAGGCGCGCGAACTTGAAGAAATAAAGTGCTGGGAGCGCTGTGTGAGAGGTTGGTGATTCGGTGATTGTTGCTGTGCGTATGAGGGGGTGGTGATTAGAAAAATCCGGTTTTATAGCGATTATAAATGAGATACAGGCGAGAATATGAACAGTCAGAGGACAACGCTGCTAGCTCAGTTCCCATTTTGCTAGGTATGCATACTACTCTTCTTCTTAACAACATATTTATACAAACTCCCAAAGCACATCCGTTCAATCCTCATCCTCATCAACCCTCGCCCTCTTCTTCCCCCTCTCCTCCTCCTCTCCATCCTGCAACCCATACCCCCTTTTCCCAGCCCCACTTCCCGATCCCTCGCCCAGATTATTGAGAAAAGAGTCCACGTTGAACGGGTCCGCGACATCTTTCTCAAACTGCACTGGTCCTTCTCTCGCCTGTATCACACCAAAATTAGCAAACATCCCCAGAAATGAGAAGCAGAAAAGGGCTAGACGAACCTCAACATCAGCACTCCCCTTAAACGTCCCCTTCCCCAACGCCTCTGCAAATCGACTGCTTTTCTGAATCTTGCCCATTTCGGCATCAGCTGCTTCCTCGTCATCTCCATCGTCCATGTTATGTCTGGGACGATAGATAGAATTGACCGCATCCTGAGCAGCGAACAACGGCTTATCATAAGCCTGATCTTCATTGAAGCCCGAATCGAAACCACTCGTCCTATTGAAAAGTCGAGAATCAAACATGCTCTCAGATGAAGCGGTTGGTTTCGCCAAACCCAGTGCAACTTTCTCGGAAATGTCTCGGTTCTGTTCTCGAGCCATCATTTGCACTCTTCGCTCGGCACCCATTCTCGATTGCCGTAATTTCCGCTCTTCTTCTCGTCGTTTCTCAGCTCGCATCTTTTCTCTTTCTCGGACTTCCTCATCGTCACTTCCAGATCTTTCAGACTCGGACTCGCTATAGCTGCCTGATCTCGACCTGGAGGATCTCGAAGCTCTCCGTACAGCGCCGGCGCCAGCTCTCTCTTCTCTCGCTTTCTGGGCCAACATTCTGAGATGTTCCTCTTTCTGTGACTTCTCCTTCTCGGCTAACCTTTGCTGCATCAACGCTCTCTGCTTGACCTCCTCTCTCGCATGTCGATCAGCAGTAAACAGCGCCTCCGCAAACTGCGCAAATTTATCATTAATAGTAACATCCTGCAACCCTCTCCCATCAGCTGCCAACCGCTTATCCAGCGGCACCGTATAACCCTTAGGATTCTTCCAATTGCTAACCGGCGGTGGAATTTTCCACGCCTCCTGATCCTCAGCCGTCAATTTCCTCGGTGGAGAGTGCATAACTGGTGGCGGAGGACTAGGTGGTCCTCTCGGAATCTTCTTATGCTTGAATTTCGGCGGTTCCATAGGATCTTGCTGCCTCTCCACGATCTTCATAATCCGGTCGTTCTTCCGGGTGTTATCTCCCATCTGATTCGCAGGCGTGTACCTCACGTACGTAGGATCCTTTCTCGTGCCCACATTGACATTCTTCGGTTTCTGCGCTGCGACCGCACCACTAACCAGCTTGGCAAGCGCATCTTTCGTCTTTTGCGTCGAAGCAGCAACCTCTTCCTCGCTCGGTCGATCAAGATTGATATGTCCCGCATCAGCACGTTGTCGTAATGGAATAAGATCCTTAAACGAAGCATGTACGATCCGCTTATCGTTATGTCCTTGTCTCGCAATAGCATCATATTTGACCTTCCCTTCGGCGTCGACTTGAACCGCTAGAGCTGTACTGGTAGATTGCGATTTTCGACCCATGTCTAATGGGTATTGCGCAACTGGAATCTCAGGGAACGCGCCGCCATCTCCAAAGTCTTCTTGGCCTCGCGGTCGCCATCCTGCTCTATTACCGTATGGAGGAGGGCCGGATTTCTGCCAGCCAGTATTAGAAGAGTTCCTTACGGGAGTGTTGAAAGAGTTACTAACCTTCAACACGATTTGAGTGTCGTCGAGGGCTCCAGCTCCAAGGATTCGTGGCCCTCGCTGCTGCGCATGTTGTGGGATCTCTTCTTCTTCGCCAGTATATTTCGGCTTGGGAAGTGCCCGTGTAAGAGAAGCTGCTATTGAAGTCATGTTGAAGTCGTGAATTGTTGTGAGAGGGGCAGCCTAATAATTTCGAGGTTCAACTTTGAGAAGTTCAAAATCGCGATCATAATCCTAGTCGATAAGCTAAGCCTATCTCAGACTAGCGTCATATCATTGCTTGAAGGATGAAAATAGGAAAGCAGTCGGAGTTTGCAAGCATCCAGATAAAGTTAAGTGAAGGTGGAATAGCAATGTCCCATTGGAAGGAAAATTAGATTTTGATTTCCCTGGTCTAAGGGCTCATAAAAGTACACAGAACACTCGGACTCCCATGCCATGCTTGCTTGCTTGCCAGAATCCCTCCAGAACAGAGCGCAATGCAATCCCCTCCCAATTCCTCCACCAGCTACTACTTCACACATACCCCTTCCTCGCACCCTGGAAGAAGAACCTAACAATAAAGACCTGTAACCCCGCCATACAAACCATCATCAAGCTCTCAATAACACTAAAGTTAAAGATCCTTCTCTCCGTACTCCTCACCGTGCTAAAATTCCGATTCTCCCTCGTACGGAAGTACTTCTGGTTCCTTGTAATAGTCGACAACTGGCCCGAGAGCTTAAAGATAGATTCCTCCAACGCAGAAGTCTGTTCGGGGGAAGTGCCTTGCTTAGACGGTATCGAAGCGCGTTCCTCGTTCTCGACCTTTATTTATATTTCATTAGCCTCGAAATCTCGAACCAGAGAGGAAGACACATACCGCAATCTCGAAATCCACAAACTTCTCCGCAAAAGTACTCATCTGATTATTAAAACAGAATCGATACTCCCCCGTCTCGCCCGCCGTGAAGACAAAATCGCCCTGACGCTCCTTCTGCCCATCGAGAATGATTTTATCGCCGGGTCCCACGACCTCGTAATCGACATCAAAGGATCCTCCTGCTTGGACCTATATTCCCCCATCAATCAGCCAAATTGCCTTGCGATCAATCTCGAAGTACTCACAGCGAAATAAAACGCAACCTTAGCACCCTTATTCTCGACATTGCTGAAGAAACACGCCTTTTCGTTCGCGTCCAGTTTATACGTCAGCGCCGTCGTAGACACCAGCGGTGCCAGGAGGCAGCTTGCCAGTATTGAGAACTTCATGTCTGTGTGTGGAGGTGTTGTCGTGGTGTGTCGCGGTCTCGTTCTGCAAGCTGGCACCAAAAGTTGTTCGGTCGGGTCCAGGAAGGGGAAAGTGCGTTTGGTGCTGATAGCGATAAGGATTCTCAGGGGCTTGAAATTGGAGGAAAGGACAATTTATATCAAGACAGAATAAAGTATAGGTTTTTGAATCCTGGCTTGTCTATCTGCTTTCATTCATGATGTGACATGATTTCTATGGTTGTCACCTCATTCATTCAGTCAAATACACAAAGTACCAGAACATCAAAGTTTTGGTATGTATTCATATTCGACATCGTAATTCCATTGCAAGCTCGAACCAGGGCTCTAAAAACTGCTGCAAACCATGCAAATATGCTGTTTGTCTACTCCACGCAACCCCGGCCCAAACCGAACATCATTTCATGCTCGTTCCCTTCTCGCCACGCCTATACGACATATAAAAAAAGGTCATGTTTTATCACCAAAAGCGCCTATGGTGAAAGCCGTCGTCATAACATACAAATGTTCATCTCTGAACCTGAACAAACAAACGCGAGCCGCCCATCTTTCAGAAGTCTACTTCAAGAACAGGTCTCCAGCGCCATTTCGTATCGACCGCGTTCGATCGGTGTGGTCCAAACCAAGTAAATCGTCCTCATTCATCAAGTCGAATAGAACAGCATCTGTCAAACTGTTAGTCACTACTCATGGCAGAAATGTAAGAGGGCTTACCGTCTGCAAGATACAAGGGTTTCGTAGAGTATGTCGTTCGCTTGATGATGGCAAACTTGATCTTCTCAAAGTTCTTTCCCTTGATTCCAGTTCGTTTCTCAAGCCGCTTCTTCGTTTCTGCAAACGGCTCATCCTGAAATTTGTTAGTTCGAGCCCAGATAGCTATATGCGAATAGACTTTACCTTAACGATCTGGAAGTGGAATGGAATGCCATGAGCCTTGCTAGCCTCTTTGTCGAAATGGTAGGCTTGGATACCTCTCCAATCCTCAGGATAACTATCCTCGTCCTCAGGCACGCGTTCAGCGATAAGACTTATGTAATCTGTAATGCTGACAACTTGGTGATCGCGAGGAAGGTCTTTGTGTATCTTGCCACTGTGTATTTCGTAAACACGGATCGGCCCTGCCTTGGCCTCGTCCTCGAGTTGTGCCTTCTTGATGAGCCCTTGGATCAGGTCTTCAACAGTCCCATTCTTTGGCACAAGAACATCATACGAATCATATTTGGAGACGCCTTCGCTGAGCCAAGAGACCTTCAACCCTTTCTTCGTGTCAAGTTCAGACAAGCTGATGTCTAACACTTCGAAGAACAAAGCATCAGGCCGTTGGTTGTTGTTGCTGAAGGTACTGTAAGGAGGGTTGAGAATTGTTGACAGACTTTGGCTTTGACCTCTCTTGACAGACGCTTTGGCATTGCCAGTCGTTGCGTTACAAGTCCAGAACCTGATGTGAGTCGGGTCTACCCTCAGATACTCACCAACCCTTGCAGCAAGCTGATCGTAGGTATGCTTGGAATTTAATATGAGCATGAATGGTGGCCATTGAGTAGGATCTGCGTTTCTGTGAGGATGAGGGTAGAATTTGACCTCTCTCTTGTGCAGAAGGAAGTCGTAGAAGGCTTTTGCGTCTTCCATTCTATCAGTGCTAGGTTTTAGTGACGGGCTCCTCTCTGATTTGAAGGATTCAGACTTGATAGATCGTCTTGAGTCGTCGTCAGCATTGATTGTAACTTCGATGAAGGACTTGGTGACTGACGTGTCGCTTTCCGACTTGATATCGGAGGGCATTACTTGGAAGCAGATGATGTCGCCGTCTTGAAGTTCGGCAGCTTTTAATGACTGCTTGCCCTTCATTGGCTCAATCATATTCGGCTTGATCTCTTCCCAGAGTCCCAATCGTATCTTTTCTCCATTGTTCTCTTGCAGACCAAGCTTCTTGAGTATCGCTGGTACTAAGTCTTCGACCTTTTTCTCCCTACTGATGTAGATGTGTCCGACTCCATTCAAGGTTTGCTCCTCGTAGTCGAATCTCTTGAGGAAGAGCACAATGGCATCTGATTTGGGAGCAGTGCCATTGACTTGACCAGGGGTTGCAGGCCAGATTGGCTCGCCGTCAGCAGTCACTTCGTCTGCAACTTCTGCCCACAACCGCAGATCTGCTCCCTTGCTCCCTGTCAACTTCTGGTGGGCATCTTCTACACTCACGTTGTTGTCAGTGACGGGAGTATCAGGCCTAGTCGTCTTGTTTTGTCGATTAACCATAAGCCACAGCCGTATGCGTCTGGGATCGGTGTTTGTGTCTTCTCCTACTCGTGCAATCAGATCTTTGACTGAAGATTTCTTGAGGACTCGGTAGTATCGCGCAGCCGCAGCATTCCCTTCTGCATTTGGATCGAAAATCGTCAGATCCGTTCCTCCGTGTGCCCTGAAAGTATCATTGGTAATGACCCGAATGCCAAGGTACAGATGTTGTTCTTCGCGTTCCTTCTTGCGTGCTTCTCTTTGCGCAGCTTCCTCGTCGAGTTTTCGTTGGAGATGTGGTGGAGTATCTTCTTTAGTGACCGGTAGCAGAACACGATCTAATCGAGTTTGACGAATGTATACCAACATGTAGGCACTATTCTGTCGCATTATTGGCTTGCTCTTGCCACGGAAAGCTACACTGCCATTAGGGAGCAAGTATTCGCCACCGAAGTTGTCCTCCAACACTTCTCGCATCGTTGCTTTCGTAACTTTGTCGTCATCATACTTGTAGAACCATCCATCTTTCGATGGTTTGATAAATGCATAATAGTGACCAGCGTTTAAGTCTCCACTATGCACCAAAACGCCATGCAACTGATAAATCCAAGGCTCCGATCTGTCTGCCTTTTCCGTTAGATATGGGGCAGCATCGAAAGTATCAGGAAATTCGTAACGGTCGTTAATCTTCATCATCGCGTCGCGGTCAATGTCATATTGGAAGCGCTTGAGCTGGAGATGCAGCACTTCGGGAAAGCTTTCGAAGATAACTCCTTTGTTGGCATCCTGGAGCTTGAAATCGTCCCCAGCAAAGTACTGGTTTTCGCCGTTCATAACTTCGACCTGGACGTAATCTTTGAAACTCTCTTCCAAATTCTTGTTCCCACTGACGTTCAACTGGATATCCCAGAAGTCCTCAACACGTCGAGACTCGTATGCAACATTTATGCATGAAATATAAGTCCGAACCTTTCCGCAGAACAGATTGGGAAGAACGTTTTCTGCATCTGTGCCTTTCATCTTTTCTTCCATTCGCTCCATAAGCTTTCGAGATAACTCCTGAACATCTTGTTGTTCGAAAATATGTCTCGTTTCCCAGCCAAAAGACTTGGTAAGCTCGTTCGTGCTAACCGCATTGTTGGAGGTTTGAAGTTGATAGAAGAGGCGTTGGAGAGTGTATGCACTGTTTGTAAGAGTTTCCTCGTCTTGGGTCGGAATTTGATACACAGCCTGGGACAACGTTAGTAAACAGGAGGTCAGCAAAACCTTGGAAGCTTACTTTTCGGAAGGCATTGGTGAAGTAGAGCGACTGTATAAGGGAATTCAAGTAGCAGGTTGCTCCTTGGTTCTTCAGTCCGACATATCCGGTCTCCTTCTTCGAGTCGTAATTGGTGAAGTTATGCCATAATACTCCAGTCTCGTCTTTCACAATCCTGACATAGGCAGTCATGTTGGCCTTCTGGCCTTCCGCAATGCAGTGTCCAGACTCATCCCACGGTACGGTCCATAGCTTCCGGAGCTCTACGAAGCGCGTAAAGCCCCAGTCTCCCTCTTCCTTTGTAAAGCGGTGGTGTGCTGTATGATGCTGGAAAATCTCAGGATGATCAGGGTGCCAGAGAACTAAACCAAACTGTACGCAACATGCGAAGTCTTCTGGTAATTGTGGCCCATCACCATAGCCATGCTCGAGGTAGAAAGAAGCATAATCGACATTGTTACCATTTGGGAACATCAGCACGCGCCTGCGAGCATCAGTAAACTTCTTGTGGTTTGACTGCACAGACATACCATGGGTGTCCTCCAGCTTCAAAGATAGGACCTTCCTCTCTGCGGCGCATCCGATCCCAGCCTGTTATGTTCCAAGTATTTATGACATCCTCTAATATTGGCGGCTGCTCTGCGAGGGGAGTAAGGACCAGTTCTTTGATCGCTTCAACTGCAGAAGCTATCAGTAAGCTGTATCCCGAGCTTCCACACGTGTGTGGGGTGGGAAGACCTACAGTCATCGCCTCGGAGGGGAGCCTCGTCAGGGTTGATGATAGCCACATCGACATCATCTTTCTCAGCGTCACCATCGTTCAGGAGGTCTTCCGAGTCAACGAGCATCTGGTTGGGTGACTCCATGTCCGCATTGTACGCCTGATTAATATTCGTCAGTCCATCTGCCAGTGTGTTGAGGTTGAGGTAATCCATGGCAATGTGCTCTTGGGCTTGGTTGTCCCAGTAGTCCTCGGATGAGGTTGAAGAGGAGGGGCTGTCCATGGTGGGCGCGTCACAGCCTAGGATTTTAGGGTGCGGAAGAGAAAGAAGTGAAAGTGAATCAAGCTTACAGGATTCATGGCTGAGAGCAGCAGGAGAGGGACAAGCAGCAGACGCACACCTTCCCAGACGAAATCGCAAACCCAAAGGTAACCGACAACAAGAAAGGCAAGAAGAGTAGGCGGGGGAGAAGGTCTTGGTGGTTGTTGCTGATTAGGGCGGTGCATGAGGCATCGCAGTCAGTTTCGGTTGGTGGCACGAGAAGCGACGTCACGCTTAACAACCTAGAAAGACCTAAGGAGGGGCGCGTTGTTTTGTCAAAGGAGAGCTGGTTTTATGGTAGGTAAAGAGCAATGCGATCACGATGACTCCGGCAATGATTCGATGTGCGTCGAAACACGCCCTATGCAGAGTCGCGTAACTAATGAATCATTTAAAATGTTTGCAGTGAATGGCAATAGAGACCTCGACAGCCTTCAGAGCCAAGTCTGGGCAAGGGATTTAGGTATGGCAAGGCTGACGATGCGGGCGACCGTAACCCGCATTTTCATGGTACGCTTCAGACGAGGCAACTGATTCTGATATGAGATGTGATAGCGACGTGCGGCTGCATCATCTTCCTATCATTTATTGTATACCGCATTCAGACTCATGGCAAACACATTTCCAATGGCTATCTTTAGAGTGATGACGTATAGCCTGTATTAATACCGGAACGATGGAATGGTAGTAATCTTTAACAGACTATGTTTTCCTTCTCCTATTTCACCTACCTCACGGCCTGTCAAATCACGTATCACAGACACCGCACAATGACTTTGAGAAGCCTTCACGTGGCGATGAGTCTAGATGGGTCTGAGGCAATGCTATCAATAAGAACACATGCCAAATAGTGGGCGTCCTCGATTTCTAATAATCAACAAGGTAAGGACTGACAAAAGCTGTTGGCTCAAATGGTATTATGCGGAAGCAAAGTCCTCAACCAGCAGGGACGAAACGCAAAGGAGGGGGATATCTTGGACGCCAAACAGAACAAAGCTATACAGGATTTTCCACCACCACCCAAATGCATGTCTTAATCTTCTCGCTTTTTACTTCTTCTCAGTAGTCTCAGTGGCAGCTGGAGGTGCATCTTCAATGGCTGTACCAGAGGAAGTTCCATACTTCACGGTCAAGCCCTCCTGAATATCTTTACCCTTACCACCATAAGCGGTAGGGAGTTCCTGGCCCCAGCCCTTTAGTTCTCCAGCCAAACTGCTGCCGTACGACAAAGGATGGAACTTCTTGACGGTCTCTGGGCTGAGGAATAGTTTCATAGCGGCAAAGACCCAACCCATGACTACCGGCACATTGACAAAGAATTTCTCTTTCAGCAGCTCGGGGTAAGCCATACTGAAAACCTGGATGGTTTCTTTGGAGGCAGCTTTGACGGAAGGGTCCATACGGAGGAAGGAAACGTTATTGTAATCGTGTACCTGCACCATTCGATACGGATCGACGCCAGCAGCGGGGATTGGCACAGTAGCTGAAGCAAGATCAAGCTCCTTGACGGAAAGCTCCATGAGAGCTGCTCGCCACTTTACGAATCTAGAACGGTCAGCCTTGAGAGCTCCTTCAGATGTAGAATAAAGAACTCACTCTTCCACATTGCCGAACGTTGCCTGTTTATCCTTGACGGACCCATAGATGTTCCAGGTCACGATCTCCTTTGGATGAGATTCGGTCTTTCGATACACAGTGACATATCCGAGGCCTCCAAACTTCTCAGAATCGAATTCGACAGTCTCCAAAAGCTTCTTAGGTTGCATTGTCTTTCTCCATTTCAGAGCCTCAATCAGCTGAGCCTTGGCCTTGGCAATATCCTTGGTATTGGCTCTGAGGAATTTCTCAAGTACAATAGAGGTAGGTACATCAGCATCCAGCAGTTCAACTTCCCACATTTCGCCATAATCAGCCTCTTTGATGATGGCAGGTAGCTCAGCAAAGAGCTTCTGAAGAGGAGTGGTTGGAGTTGAGCTCTTTTCCTCTGCTGATCCATCGAATGCAACAGCCTTCTTCTCCGGGGTTGTCGAAGCTGGAACCGCTGAAGCCGGAGGTGGAACTACAACTGGTCCATCTGAAGTTTCTGGCTTTGGAGTTGGTTCTGCTTCGACTTTCTTTTCTTCGACCGCGGGAACGGACGCGGGAGCTGTCTCACTAGTTTCCGGCTTTTCAACTTGAGATGGAGCTTCAGAAGCTTCGATCTTCTTCTCTTCCGCTCCGGGAACTGGCTCTGTAGCTGTGGCCATTGCTGCTGATGCTTCGGCGCTCATTTTGATGACTTTTTGAGGACTCCTTTGATGATGTGTAGAATTAAATCTCTGGCTCCACGTGGATTTGAAGCTATTCGTGAAACGGACGGAAGTGGTCCACTTTATTTAATCAATCTTAGACTGAATGTCTCGATTTGAAGAGGCTTGCCAATTAATCCACACGTGCTCATCAACACCAGAACTTCCAGCCGACAAACATACTTTTCACTCAATGTTCGTAATTCGTTGAAATGTAAACCTTCAATTCTCTCAAATTTCTCGCACATGTGAATTAATAACTGTATCTTCAAAATCCTCTGAGTCTCAGCTTGCTTTTTCCTGCCAGACCCTTGCAGCAGGGGTCACCGATAGCGGGGCCAAGATTGACTGTGACAAAGAGGTGCATACAATGTACCACAGCTTCTGAACAAGACACACGACTCGGTGAACGCCTCTACTCTTTCCCAATCCACTGTTACACCTTCTAGCCAGCTTCACGAACTTCCTCACACTCACATGGAATCGCAAGAATGCTGCGATCCTGCTCGCAGAATGGCTCAAAGATCTTCAGGTTGACGAGCAGAGTTGGGCATCGCCCGCTGCAGCGATATAACTCTGCACCTACCTCATATGTACGACAGTTCGGGAATGCGCCGCCATGGAGACCAGCTTCGACTTTGGATGAGTGAGCTTCATGTAATCCAAGCGTTGTCAATTGCTAATAGCCATAGGTGGGTTGGAAGGGAAGCTCGTCCGATTAGTCTTCGACAGCTTATGGTCTTTGGCCGCTCCTTGACTGAAGCTCGTTTGATAAGCTCTGCGAACTATGTGCGAACAGAGCTTCCCACACGGTATAGATACTCTGTTTGGTATTCTGAACACAGGTCTAACATTCCACAGATTGGCACATCGAATCCGAGATATGCAGACACTTCCATACGTTGTAGTAACGAATCCACACATAAGCCAAGTCTACGAACTCTACTACAAGGCCTTTGAATCCCTACGTCGAGTTAGAGAGATCAAGACACTAGAAGACAACGAGAGCTTCTGCAAGAAGATAGCCCAGACGTTACAGGAACACTTAACCGTGATTCCCAAGCTGGCTATGGGCATCCTCGAATGTCGAGACCTCATGAGACCAGAAGATATGGATAAATTCATGAACACTATCCTCAGATCAGTATATACTCCTTATTTTCCTTTACATACACGCTCTCTAACAAAACCCAGCGTATCTCCCGCCGAGTCATAGCAGAGCAACACCTCGCTCTGACCGAAACATTCAACTCACCCTGGCACTTCCCCTCCACAACCAGCACTCTGGATCCTAGCACCGAATTCGTCGGAGAAGTCTTCCTCCGCTGCAACGCAGGAGAAGTAGTCCGCCGCTGCGGCGACGCCGTAACATCCCTCTGCGCCGCCGCCTACGGACCCACCGTCTCCCTCCCCACCATCTCCCTCTCGGGCCACACCTCCGCCACATTCCCCTACATCCTCTCCCACCTCGAATACATAATCGGCGAGCTCCTCCGCAACAGCATCCAAGCCATCGTCGAGCGCCAAACGCCCTCCCCGCCCCCCATCGAAGTAACAGTCTGTGAAGCCGCCCAACATGTCATCATCCGCGTTAGCGACCAAGGAGGCGGGATACCCCGCGACGTGCTCCCGCACATCTGGAGCTTCAGCAAAGGACCGCGCAGCGATCAACGACTAGAGAACCTGCGAGGCGTACCCAAGATGGCCGCTACTTTACAAGAACTCAGGGTATCAAACGACCTTCCACCCGGTCTCTCGACCTCCAAAAAAGAAGCACCTAAAACAGAAGGCGAAAAAGCCCATGACTCCTCCCTCTCAACACTTAGCAGTCGTCCGCCGAATCTGCGGTTGGGCATGGGTCTCCCGCTAAGTCGGGTGTACGCCGAGTACTGGGCCGGGAGTCTGGAGTTGCATAGTCTGGAGGGGTATGGCGTTGATGCGTTCTTGCAGATCAGTAAGTTGGGGAATAAGAATGAGCAGTTGACTATGCGGGCTAGTATGGATGCTGTTTGATTTTATTTGATTGCATGGCATGGAATGGGATTGGGTTACCTTTGTGAGCGGTACTGCATTGCGTTGTGAGCGGTATATATACTCGAATAACGATTCATGAGAAATATCCAGTCTTTGAGCTACGGCTGAGATGGGAATAGATACTACATAAACTACGAGGACAGGGCGGAGGAGTTCAGGAGAGAGGAAAGACGCTGCATGTCGAATCACGGCCAAAGACAATGGAAGCATAGAGAAGCATGAATTACATCGTGGCTAAGCTACCATAGTGAAGAAAGAAGCCCGCAGCTACCTAGAATTAAGCAGCTTCCAACCACAGCTGCAATCGAAGAAGAGGAAAAAGGAGAAAATAGTGTTGCCAATGACCTGCTTGCATACAACACAGCCAGTCCACATCTCGAACTTTTTGTCCATCCGTCTTGACTCCACCGGGGGAATATGTGAATCGAAAGGGAAAGACAAAAAAGGCTCAACGACGGCCGTGGGAGCGGACAGCATTTCCTTGCATCTGCTCGAGTTCTTGCTCCAGGGACTTGATAGCGGCGTGCGTGCTCTCCAAATCCTTGTTGAGACGATCGCGCTCGCTGATGAGCTTCTGCTCCCATTGTCTGAATCGGTGCTCTTCGATCTTGACCTGCTCCGTGAATCTCTTTCGCAGACTCTCTTCCTCTTCCTTGAACTTGGGATTGTCGAGCTTTCTTGGTCTGGCCTCGCCGAACTTGCGCGTTTCCATTTGTTGGGCACGGTAAGCTTCGTAGTGGGCTTCCTCGGTGGTGTGGATGAGATCCAGCATGTGGGTTCGGATCAAGATCGAGCGCAACTTCTTGAAATCGCAGTGGTCCTCGTTCTCGACCTCAGCGACACCCCATGAGTACTGGCGACCTTTGACAATGCGACCATCGCTAGTCTTGACATCTTTCTCAGAGCCAATGACAGCAAAGGGCATAGCGGCCATCAAGCTTCGGGCATGTTGAGCAGCAGCCTCATCATCTTCCTCGATAGGTGGGGTATAAATCTTAATACCTTGTGCCTCAATGACGGACCGGATCTATTCGCAATTAGCATTTTTAGTATATGTTAGACGTCACACGATCACATACTCTTGACTTGAATCGAGCTAAATCAGCTGGGCTGAGGGTATCTGCTTTAGCAACGACTGGGATCAAGTTGACTCTTGAGCTCAGTCTCTTCATGACCTCAATGTCCAACGGCTTCAAGGTGTGGCCAGTAGGTCTGATGAAGTACAAGCAGGCGTGGACACGAAGATCAATCTTATCGCCACGGCGGGGTTGTTGCTCTTGCAACATATAGGACTCATGCTGGTCATCCAAGAACTCGATAATTGGCATCCATGAGTCTCGGTTGTTGACATAGTCGCCAAAGCCAGGTGTGTCGATAACCGTCAAGCGAACTGATGAATGTCAGAACCGCAATTTTAAACCACGACATGTATTTCATACCCTTGAAAAACTTCTCCTCCAACTCCGCCTTTGTGATCTCGATTTCGACGGTCTTGTCGACTTGCTTTGTATGCCTTCGTTTGTGGTCTGCGTAGTTTTTGATCGTGGTGGAGAACTGGCACGAATTTTAGAACTTGGGATGTATACAATGGATAGAAAAACAAACGAGTGTATTGATAAAAGTCGACTTTCCCAGACCTGATTCTCCTGCAACCATAACTATAAATTATCAGCAAGTGTTTTCATAGATTGTGGAAGAGTCTGGGGATTGGTTCGACCCTAAAAAGGCTCCCAACGAATCGAAGGTCATCATGCCTGAGAGATAAAGAAGAGAATAACTTACTAGTGAAACTGGCACCTCTCTTAGCAACGATCTTGTGTCTCTGCGAAAGGTCAGTATGGAAATGCACGAGAATATCTTGAGCTCGCGAGAGGGGATCTTGAATCCGTGGCGCGAGTCCAGACAACGACGTACTTGATTCGGGAGGTTGGCAATTCCGATTGGAGATGGAGATTCGGTGGTAGGAGGCGCCATGATTGATTGTGTTCGGTGCTGTTGAGGTTGTGATGTTGGGAGAGTCGCGAGATTGCGGTGTACAGAGTGAAGTCGTGCGCTCTTCCCCTGAAATAATTAGACTTCAAAAAGACCCCAGACCGCACTAGCATGCATTAGCTGCTTCGGCACTTGAGTTTATCCGACGCCGTCATGGAAAATCGAATTTTGATACCAAAAAATTCCTAGGTAGATATCCAGCAAAATTCGAGATTTGTTAGAAGTTCTACACTTTTCAAGACATTTGAAATGCTCTTTCAAATTCTTCGGTGACAATGAAGACGGAGTTTAAGGTATATCATCATAACGACCTGACCCCCAGTCTACCATATTAACCATGCAACAGTTCTCCAACCTTCTCGGGACTGTTTACAGCCAGGGAAATCTTTTATTTAGTCCTGATGGCTCTCTTTTATTTTCACCAGTCGGGAATAGAGTAACAATCTTCGATTTGGTAAAGTTAGTTTTGGTTTTACTGAATAATATTTTATGGATCTGATCAATCAATAGCAACAAATCGCATACCTTACCATTTGCGCATCGAAAGAACATCACACGATTAGGTCTTACGCCTCGGGGAAACCTGCTGCTATCGATCGACGAAGATGGTCGAGGAATCTTGACGAATGTTCCAAGAAGAATTGCGCTTCACCATTTCTCATTCAAGTCGCCCGTGTCCACACTCGCATTTTCACCTTCTGGACGCCATTTTGCTGTTGGAGTTGGAAGGCATATTGAAGTATGGCATACACCGTCAACACCAGATCAGAACGTCGATGGAGAGCTGGAATTTGCGCCTTTCATAAGACATCGAGTATATGCGGGTCACTATGATACAGTGCAGAGCATAGAATGGTCAAGCGATTCGAGATTCTTCCTCAGTGCTGCTAAAGACTTAACGGCCCGAATTTGGAGTCTGGACCCGGAGAAAGGATTTGTACCAACAACGCTATCTGGTCACCGCGAGGGCGTTTTGTGCGCCTGCTTCTCCGAAGACCAGGAGACCATTTACACGATCAGTAAAGATGGTGCTGTTTTCGAGTGGAAATACTTGCGACATCCAAATGCTCCAGAACAGGAGGAAGATGAGGACGAGATGGACACAGACGACGACAAACACACACGATGGCGGATAGCCAAGAGACATTACTTTCTGAGAAATAATACAAAGGTTAATTGCGTCGCATACCATGCGGCTTCAAACCTGTTGGTTGCCGGATTCTCAGATGGAGTCTTTGGGTTGTACGAGATGCCAGAATTCAATATGATCCATTCCCTCAGTATCTCTCAAAATGATATTGACTTTGTCACTATCAATAAGACTGGCGAATGGCTTGCCTTTGGAGCGTCCAAGTTAGGACAATTACTTGTTTGGGAATGGCAATCAGAGTCATATATCCTCAAGCAACAAGGCCACTTCGATTCCATGAACTCCTTGGTCTACTCGCCGGACGGTCAGAAGATAGTTACGACCGCTGATGACGGCAAGATTAAGGTTTGGGACGTCAATTCAGGCTTTTGTATTGTGACATTCACGGAGCATATTAGCGGTGTCACAGCATGCGAGTTTGCGAAGAGAGGGAATGTTCTCTTTACAGCAAGTTTGGATGGATCTATCCGCGCATGGGATTTGATCCGATACAGAAATTTCAGGACCTTTACTGCTCCCACTCGATTATCTTTCTCTTCATTGGCAGTGGACCCGAGTGGAGAAGTAGTCTGTGCTGGATCCTTAGACTCTTTCGATATTCACATCTGGTCAGTACAAACTGGTCAATTACTAGATCGACTGTCAGGCCATGAAGGACCTGTCTCATCACTAGCCTTCGCTCCCAACGGAGGTGTGGTGATTAGTGGAAGCTGGGATCACACAGTACGGATCTGGCCCATCTTTGACAGGACACAGACCAGTGAACCACTTCAGTTACAAGCAGATGTATTGGATGTCGCGTTTAGTCCCGACTCCAGACAGTTAGCAGTCTCTACACTGGATGGCCAATTGACCTTCTGGTCTGTCTCTGAGGCAGAACAACAAGCTGGTGTAGATGGTCGACGAGATGTATCTGGTGGCCGTAAGATCACTGATCGCCGAACTGCTGCCAATGCTGCTGGGACAAAGGCTTTCAGTACCATTAGATACAGTGCAGATGGCACTTGCTTGCTGGCTGCTGGCAATAGCAAGTACATCTGTTTATACTCGGTGGACTCGCAAGTGCTACTGAAGAAATTTACTGTCAGCATCAACTTGTCGTTGTCTGGCACACAAGAATTCTTGAACAGCAAGCTCTTGACCGAAGCTGGACCACTAGGACTTATAGACGAGCAAGGAGAGGCGTCTGATCTAGAAGACCGAATCGACCGCACACTCCCAGGCTCGACTCGAGGCGGCGATCCATCAGTACGGAAACGTATGCCAGAAGTACGAGTATCAGGCGTCTCTTTCTCCCCAGCCGGAAGATCATTCTGCGCCGCATCAACAGAAGGCCTCCTCATCTACAGTCTAGACACCATGCCATTATTCGACCCTATCGATCTCGACCTGGCCGTAACTCCAGCATCAACCCTCCACGTCCTGCACCAAGAAAAAGACTATCTAAAAGCCCTAGTCATGGCCTTCCGCCTCAACGAAGCGACATTAATCCAGCAAGTCTTCGAAGCCGTACCTCACACCAGCATCAGTCTCGTCATCAAAGACATGCCGGTCGTCTATCTCCAGCGCTTAATCCGCTTCGTCGGCAGGCAAGCAGAAGAGTCGCCACATCTCGAATTCTGTCTTCTCTGGATCCAGGCCATCTTTGATTCTCACGGACAGTGGATCCGCGATAATAGAGGCGCGATGGATGCCGAGCTCAGAGTTGTCATTCGAAGTGTGGGCAGGATCAGGGAAGAGTTGACGAAATTGGCGGATGAAAATTGTTTCATGATCGATTATTTACTCAGTCAGCCGATTGATACTCCTCAGTCCGGGTTGAAGACTCTTGAGAATGGCGAGGTTCGTGTTATGGATGTAGATGGCGAAGAAGAAGACGAGGATGGAGAATGGATTGGGTTGGATTGAGTTACGAATTATGAACATCACTGTGGGCCGGAATTATCTAGAACGCTGTATTGTCGAAACAAACACAACACTTCATCTCCCCCAAAATCACTTGCAACCGTACTGTAAATAAACATAACCCCACATAAAAGATCTATCACCTCAGCCCTACCCCTCCACAAAATCTCCGTGTAACAATACGCCTCCCCCTAAATTTCCGATCGCCCCCACTTTTGCCAACTACCACATTCCCTTTCGCACCACCACCTCGAAAGCCAGATTCCAAAGGATGACTGCCGTATCCGCCACCAGCAGACACACCTCCCCGGCCGGTATCCTTGTATGACTTTCCTCTTTCGGATAAGTATGTCGGTAGGATTTTGTGCTCGCGAGTAACGATGTTTTTTGAACGTTACCTACATACAGTTTCGAGTTTCCTTCCTTCCTTTTCAGGGACCACAATGGGAGGTAGGTGCACGAGACATTGGAATTTGAAACCATTATATCATTTCCGAATATTAAAGATCTCATACATAGAGCTAGCTAGCTAAGGATTTATATATCTCTAACCCGACTTGACTCGAGTTAATAGCAAATCAACTCGTCAAAATGGTAGCCCTCACAACCCTCCTCCCACACATCCTCTTCCCGCTGTATTTCTATCCCGACCCCGGGGCCTGGCAACCGCTGTATACCAGTCTATCCAGTTACCCCAGCGTGACCTTCGATGTGATCATCAACCCCGATTCCGGGCCAGGCAGCACGGTTTACCCTGATTCGAACTTCATTGCTGGGATTGCGGAATTGAGTTCGTGTTTCCATTTCCCATTTGAAAAAAAGGAAAGATTTGATGATGAATAGATTCATATCCCAATGCCAATCTCCTTGGTTATGTGCACACTTCGTACGCGACTCGGAATCTGACGGTAGTTGAGAGCGAGATAGCGCAGTACGAGAATTGGTCGAAGTACGAGGATGCGGATATTGCCGTGGCGGGAATTTTCTTTGATGAGGCGCCGGATACGTATTCAGAGGCTTCGTATCAGTATATGGAGAGCGCTGCGAGTTATGCCGAGTCTTTGTAAGTCCTCTTTTCTCTTGGAAAGGTGTGAGTTCTGTGGCATTGAGATGAGTGGCTTGGAGTGAGACGAGACGAGGGAGGGAGGCAGAGAAAGACAGAAAAGCAAGGAGAACAAAAGAAGAAATATTGACTCGTGCTTTCAGGTCATTACCAACAATCATCTTCAACCCTGGTACCGTACCGGCAGACCAATACTTTAGTCTTGCAACATATATCGTTGTCTTCGAAGACTACGCTTCATCATTTACCACTTCCGCTGTGACATCTGTCCCTAGCCAGTATCTGAAGCAATCGATGTATATACTCCATGATTTCAATGGTACGGCGACGGAACAAGCGACAATAGTCAACGAGTTGAAGAGCGACGGTGTCGGTGGTATTGATATCACAACAGTGGAGTATGATGGATTCAGTGCGCTGTGGACGCAGTTTGTGAAGTCGGTTGCTGGTGGGTAGGAGACTGGTAGATTGAGGTCGTAAATTGGGACCGTACATATTTTGCTGGCTGTTTGAAGGATATTCCAACTTTGCAAGCTTCAAGGCGTTTTGAGTCTTACCATAATGGCTAATTACACTTTAACGGCATACACTCGGCCATGAAGCGCATTGGTGTTGGCATTCAACTTTCAACGAGTTGAACAATACCACGTGCGCAGTAAGATGCAAAGCAGAATAACTCAGTCAATATTAGGCACAGATACAGGAAGCACCGTCTAACTATTATAGTTGTACTTCAAACATGATAAGCCAACAACACAAAACAGAACGGATTGATATCACGTGAAACACCATGTGATGTGATAAGGTACATCCCTTTTGAGCCTCGCACTGACAAGCAACTCAAGACTATGTAGTTGTACAAGTAGCCAAAACAATTTTGGAACAAGCTGCAGGAGAGGAGATTGTATCAAATCGAAATAAGGCACACCTAGGCACACCTTGACACTAAGGTATGCCAACACATACTGCATCTTCATGCGAGTGCCGGCTTAACGATTCTAGTCCACCAAGGAGAATAAGTGACTGGTGGAGGCGAAGGGGTTCCGTGGTATCGATCCTGTATGCGACCGGCGCTGCGACCAGCGCATCATCTTAGGATACAGTTGATGGCCGAGATGAGACACTGGATGACAGATGTCTGCTGCAAATTGATGGCGCACTGTACCGTTATTTGCCCTTTTGGCTATGACTGCTGGAAGTATGCGCTGTGGAACAGCCAGCCAGACAAACAACAACACCAGTGTGTGTTGCCATTGCCACCCTCAGATCTGGCATGAGAGTGAGGGACCCTGAGTAGTGATTGAGTTTCCTGAGATGTAAGATCCAAGTCCAGCTGCACTGCAACGACGTTTGCGGATCTCGCTCTTCCATGATCCATCCAACTCTCCTCCTGATCTGATCGCCCCTCGTTTTCACGAGCCGTTCATCTCGAGTCCTGGCAGGCCATTCCCTGGCTGGGTTGGCGGAAAGGCAGAAGACTGGCGCAACGCCGCCTCTGGGAGTGGCACCCGGGAAGCTTGGAGATGCCTCCATTGCTAGCTGCAGCGCAGTGCTGTACGAGGCTGAAAAGGGATGTCTTCGAGTCTTCTTGCGAACATCTCTGCTGCAGTTGGGATTGGTAGACAGGAGAGACTTCCCTTCGCCATCCATGGGCGTCCAGTGAAATGCTGCGACGGGCAGCTTGAGGTGGTGATCAGTCATTGGGCAGGGTTGGCTACGTTGCTGGACTGCCAGCGAAGCGTGGTGATTCACAGGCCATGCGATGGTAGACATGGGTGAGATTGATGGGATCGGTCTCTCCCTGCTGATTTTCTCTCATTTCTCAACCTAACCTTCTCGTCGCGCGCATTTCTCATCGTGATATCTCACATCCAGATCTCGAGGAGGACGACCGGGAATTGCTGCTATTGTTGTTGATGTTGTGTCTGATGTTTGCTGACTGAAGGACGACAAGGACCAGACACCGGCTCACGCTAGTCTTTATCCCGACCTCCGCCATCCCCACTCTGATTCAATCAGCAGCCAGCAGCCCGGAGCTGAGCATATCACAGACAACAAGCAAGCAGCAAGCTTCACCAACTCCACCAGCTCCTGTTCCTACCTTATCGCCGCCTCGTCTTTGAGGGCAAACGCGATTTCAACACTCTTTCCCCTTCTTTGTATTTACTATACGCACTGGCATCTCAGCTGGAAGGCTTGAGATCGCATCTAGTGCCTACTACAAATGGAGCCATGATACAAATGCAGCGATCCCTCTCCCTACCTGGGCCGGCACACGCCTCTCCTCGTACGTTCGATTTATCCTTTGTTTATACCACTCTTCTGCTTCAGTCTGTCTGAGTTTCGTTGCGCAGCAAACTATGATATATACTAATGTTTTGTCTTTTTAGCTGTCTCTCCCACTATAACACAGCTTTCCTCCAGAAATCCCACTCCTTCCCCTCCCGAGAATTCCATCGTGCCCCCCAGACTCCATCGATACCAATCCCGCAGCCCGAGCAGACCTCCCACAGCATACAAGGAAAAGCCAGTAGAGCGCGAACGAACCCGAAGCGCTACGAGGCAGTCCTCTCCTACTCCTGCAGCTCGCAGACAAGATGCTCCACCAGCCGCAGCAGCCCCAAGTAACAATGTGCAGGAAAGCCCCGTGTCTCCTACAAAGCTACCGCAACTTCCTTTGCTGCAAGATGTCTCACAGTACATGAATACCCAATTCCCCACGGCTGCCACAGCCACAGCCACTACCACATTGGACGAGCTTGCTCATCTAGTCCGACTTTCTACGTACCAAGAGCGGAAGCGAACCCATTCCCGTATCCGTTTACAGAGGTCTCTTGTATCGACTGCCCTTTCCGCTCGTCTGGCACGATGTGGAGAGCTAGCCCACCGTACTTTGGTTGACAATTTTAGGGCTGATGAGAAGAAGAGCTTTGCCAACTTGTACAATGCCATCCATGATGTCCGGAACTCATGCGATGCCACACGACGTTATGCCCTCTTGGAACCCGACTTGGACAATGCCAACGGAGGAGAGGATACTGCCACTTTATCAACATTCATGCATGAAATACCCCAGCGCTCCCGTGATAGTCTACTCAAGTTTTTGACCCAGATCCGGACAAATCCGGATTATTTGGCCAGCCGCATTTGCAGTCTTGCTCCCGCAGAGCTTTCCGCTCTGACTGTATTTCACCAAGGATTGGAAGCGATCAATTCAGTGTTACCATTTCATAGTCGTTCAAAAAGCCAGCTTTCAGGCAATCTTCGGAACTCCGCGCATATACCCTCTCCAGTTGAACGTTTGCTTTCTTTTCAGCGTCATGATCCCCTGTCTGCTTTGATACATACATGCTTTGCCAATTCCGCCGGTCCAGACTCCGTGGAGGATTTGAGAAGGACCGATATTTGGGCCACAGCCTGTGCCAGACTTATCAGTGAGAGCAAAACCGGAGCGGATCCATTCATCTGTTGCGTTTTGAACGTTTGGACTGCCATGCGGGATTGGTCTGGACGGAGTAATATGGAATGGTATCTCATGAAAACCCTTGAGGATGGAGCTTTCCTATTAGGAGAAGAGGACCAGCCTGGCAGCCGAGTTCATATTCCGAGGAATTCAAAGGATTCCATTGCCGCAGAGGAATTTTACAGCGCCGCTGTTGAAGGACTATTTGGAGTTGTTGATGATCCAGGAGCCGGAGGAATGCCTGAAGGCCTTCTTGAACTTGGTAACGCGATCCTGCGGAAACTGGATCCTAAGTTGCACAGAACCACTCGCGTCTTTCTTGTGTCCAAGTGGCTCTTTTCTGTGTTCCTTCTGAGTGTGATCATCCATCCTGAGGTAAATCATCCTGTCTGCTTTGAGGCTCAGGCGCTTACATCTTTAGTCCTATGGTATGATGGCCGAATACCACATCACGGAGTATGGGCGCCAGAAAATCTTGAAAGAGGTTGTTATGAGGGCCCAGAAACTAGTCGCAGACATGCTTTGGTGAGTTATCTCGCAACCACTTCTAGCTTTGAGCTAATATTATGTAGGAGAGACACGGCATCAACGCCTCTGGCTATCAAGGCCCATATCGAGAACATCATGGCACGTTTCCGGTCTAATCGCCCGTCCAGGTCCAAACCAAAATTACTTCCAGCCAGGTCAATCACTTCTTTGAGAGAAACCGTGGAAGTGCATCCGTATTTGGTCATGTCTCCTTCGGATATGATTACCATGGTGAATTGTCTATTCCCCGAGAAACGCCCCATGTCTGGATCTCTGTCCAACCAAACAAGCTTCAGTGGAATCCGCTCATCGTCCTCATCCGTTTCGGGCATGTCTACAATCACGCAGTCTATTCCTATGTCTGCTTCTCGTACTGCCTTTGATAATGCCTCTGTCATTAGCAATAGCGGTTCTTCCATCATCAGTGATTTCACGACATCTCGTGAGCCACTTTTGGAAGATACTACTAATAAGCGCCTCAGCAGTTATGAGGATGATGGATATGAGCTTCGCATTGCCCTTTACGAGATGACTCAAACTCTAGGCTATGACGGAGCTTCAGGCGCATGTCATCCATGTGCCGAGAAATGGGCTGTCTTGTTCATGTCCCCTGATGGCCAGATGCTTTCCACACAGATGCTTCACGATCCAGATGATGACGGAGACGAAGAAGAGTTCACGACGAGCAGCGATAGCGATGACGAGTCTGCACATATTCGACCTGATCTGGACAAGAACTATCATCAACTAAGAGACTCAATCTTAAAGTTGGTCATGGACTACGAAATTCCGCAGTCATTGAATCCGAAAACAGAATCGAAAACGTTTAGTAACAGGACATCCGCAATGGAAAGTCCCAGGAAGAAGCCTCGGAGTCGACCTGGATCATCAGCCCAGACCCAGTCAAAGAATCCTTATCGCATAAGGGATCCTGCCACGGAGGTGGAATCAAAGCAGGTCGAAACTAAAGCTTCCAAGCAACGCCAAGATTCTGATACCGAAAGGCAAACTCGAGAGGCTCCAGCAGTCCTGATTGCCATGCTTGAAGCCGCGGAAGCACAATGCCAAGCCCAGTCTGACTTTGTCAATGCTCACCTATACTGGAAGACTTTGAATCAATTGCATCAGCTTTCTTCGCCCTCTCTCAAAAAAGATGGTTTCGCGTCTCTCTTGAGTATATTCTCGCGAGGCCCACGAGATCTAATCCGACGTTCCACCAGTGCCATTGAAGAATACGACGCCTGGCTGGTATGGCTTAAGCAATCTCAGGAACGTCACGATGTCACTATCGAGTCCATGATGAAGCGATTGAAGGCCCTCCGAGATAAGATGTGGTATGTCACAGATGTACGAAATTCCGCAGCTTACGAAGGCACACGGAACATTGCTATTGCTTTGAAATGTATGGCATCGCCCAAGAAGACGGCATTGTTGCCACCTTCGGCAGCTCGACCCCGGAACATCTCAAAACCTACCCCGAACAACTTTCTCTTGAAGACGGAGGCTCAGGTGATGGATATGATGGCTGCTATGGACGAGCAAGGTGGGCCTAACAAGTTGTCAGACGAACAGTCCGAAAAGACGTTGCGCTGGTTAGGACAGTTTGGCATCGAAAACTTTTGCAAAGGGGAGGAGCGCATTCATCGGTTCTGCTTGGAAATCGAAACTTGCATCAACAAGTTAGTTGGGGAGAATGTCATGGAAGCTCCTGTGTTATGGTCAACTGAGCTTTACCATCGAGACAAACGAATTCTCGACAGTGGACGACAAAAGGGGGACCTGTTCCTGAACGGCTTAGGATCCCTGAGTATTTCTGGCGATGACGGCAGCGAAGAAGGCGGGCGCAGAGGTCTTCGAAGTGCCGACTTTCGTCCTGGTCTGCGAGATCTCCGAACCATGTCTGCTAGAAACAACTCGCAGCAAAGTTTCGATTCCGGTAGATATAGCATGTCTCGACTGAGCACAACAGGTGATTTGATGGATTCTCAAGATTACTTTGGAATGGCTAGCCCAGTCTTGACAAATGATTCGGCTACAACCTTCTGGTCGCCCTTCCAGACACGAGCTCAGTCACCAACGACCAGTATCAGCAGTCATCGACCGGGCACCTCATCTTCAACCAACGAAACAGTTATCTCATCAGAACGAGCAGGTCAAGCCAAGCAACGATTCCTGTCGGAACTGAAGCAAACCTTGACCAGTCTGCTTATCAGTGATCTTGGCACTCTTGTGTTCGCCAAGGGAAGTGAGACAGACTCTTGGTTTTCCGGAGACCTTGGACAGGACTGCATCGAGAGAAAGGAACGTGCGGAGAGAAGAGTACGACGTAAAACGAGGAAGCGGACTCTGGAGAAAAAGAAGAGTTTTAGAGATCTCCGAGGCGCCCACAATACAGATGTACCTCCAGAAAGCGCAGAATCTCTTGCGCAACGCATGGAGAGAGGACCCTCCTCAAATTCTCGATCCACAGACCACAGCAATGCTGATGTACACTCAGCAACTGGTAGTTCTTCTAACAATGAGCACATTCCGGTTGGAACTCGGAAGAATGTCTCCTCGAAGGAGCTTGACTCGCCAGATTTCCCGTATAGAAAAGCATTCCAGCGCCTGCTTAGAATGTTCTCAGTACACCCAAATCCTTACGCCAAGCTAAATGCGCTGTTTGAATTGGAGCATCTCATCATCGCATACCTCTCTCCCTCACCTCCTCGACGACCTCGGATTCGACAAGATACATTGACAGCGGCTCCGCAATCACCTGAAATCCAACACATCAATGCGTTTGGCCCCCCAGATAACGCTGCGACGACTCCGAGAGCAAAAAATTTGGAAGAAGCCATCGATAACTGCAAAGAACGACGATCACAAACTCTCGGCCAAACAGACAACATGTCCCCATCTCATCGCACCAGTGATCGATCGAGTATTGCGCCAACTCCAGCAAGTACGGACATGATCGTTGATGTGCTACAAGATCTCTTCCGCGACGCAGAGATTAGACCGAAAACTCTGTTCCGTGATCTTCAATTCATTGCATCTTTTGTCCCAGCTGCGATTCTCGATAAAACAGAGCGTGGCAAAGCTTTCTGGGACGCAGGACTCGCGGCATTGGGATTGAAGCAAGACGTCTGTCGCACTTTGATTGAGATTGCCGACGAGGTGGTAGTCCACTACACTCAGACACGCAAAAGCAACGTATCAGCCAATTCGGATGCCATACCACCAACCACTGCCAATGGCGAAATCATGAAATATAGCATGCAAGACGCAGCCAAGATGTGGACCATAACCGCCAAAGAAGGCGACCCGGTTGCCGAACGTGAACTGGCTATCTTCTACCTCACACATCCCGAATTAGTGGAGCGCGTCACAGCTCCGCTTTCCAAACCTCGAGAGACATTCAAGACTCTCGATTCTCATGGTGGCGGAGGTACAGTCAAGGAAGAGCGAGACAGAGAGAGGAGTGATCCGGCGACCATGTGTATTGCCTATCACTGGATGGAACTCTCAGCTGTAGGAGGTGACGAAGTGGCGAAGAAATTCATGACGCAGAGAGAGGAGTTGAATGCTATTCCTTAGAGAGGGGATTGTATACTCTTTACGTTTTTTTGTTGTTGTGGTTGCACATTCTTGCATATATGTAAAGTCCATTACATTATACCTTTAAAAGCAGAAACAAGATAGATATGGGTTGGGTGGTTCTTTCTTTTTCTTGTTTGGACTTGCTTGGATTGAGAGATTAGTATACAGAGATACCTGGTGTTGGATTGCATTGCATTGTCGCTGTCATTCTGGTTTCGAGACGAAGAAATGAATTGTTGCATTTAGCGGACGTTTTTTGCTTCTTGTGCTTGTGTTTTTCGCGTGCTTGCTTTGGTATATACATAGAAAACTTTTCGACAGAAACTCGTTCTGGGAACGATTGATGATAGGGAAACGGAACTTTGGGATATAGGCGTATGAATGATGAATTGTTTCTTCACTTCCAAATTTTAAACTCTCTAATCTTGATGGGGAGTCGTGAGCTCGAAGATCTACGAGGCGGAAACGGGTCCCGTTCCAGCTCCGCATGAGCCCATCTTTTGTCAGCACTCCTCTCATAGTTCTCTCCCCACTATGCATCATTCTTGTCCAAGGACCAATGACATCTTTCCTTCTCGAAGTTAAATAGAGATGCCGAAGCAGATTCTCGTTTGATGTAAGCCGCATGAGTGGTGGCGCCCCCACTAAAAACGGCTGTGGCGTTCTCGGTTCAATTGTATGGCCGCCTCGGGGAGAGTCTTGGCTGTATTTGTGGAGAAGAGATGGAGTAATAGAGCTTGGTTCTTGATCGAGGACCTGGATGTGAGTATGTATATAAGGTGTGGACTTTTCCACGAGATGAGGTTTGTTCTTCAGCCCAGATCGCACTTCATTCACATTCAATCTTCAAGAACGAAACCATTATCTCCACATGGCATCCAAGAAACTCCTCGTCGTCTTCGGGGCAACAGGTAACCAAGGCGGATCGGTACTTACCACCGTTTTGAAGGACTCTGTGCTTTCCGAACAATTTAAGCTCCGGGGTATCACCAGGGATCCCAGTAAAGCGTCTGCGGCTACTTGGACAGCGAAAGGGGTTCAGATGGTCAAGGTTTGTTCTTCCTCCTGTTATTTCTTTTGGGGAAACGGCTAATGAGTACATGAAAGGGTGATCTCGAAGATAAAGAATCTTTGAGAGCAGCGATTAAGGATGCGTATGCTGTGTTCGCTGTCACGAATTGGCAGGAGGTGTTGGATAAGGAGCGAGAGATTCAGCAGGGAAAAAATATAGCTGACGTTTGCAAGGTGAGCAGAATTATTGACTGAGGTCAAAAGTCAAGCTGATTGCCATGGAACAGGAACTTAACGTCCAACATCTCATCTGGAGTTCTCTCCCCAACGTCACCAAAAGTAAGTACTTACACCACTCTCCCAAAAGCACCCGACTCTGCTAACCAAAGTTGAAGTCACAAATGGCACTAACACAGGCGTCCTCCACTTCGACAGCAAAGCCACCGTCGAAGAATACATGAAATCGATCGGCATCCCATCCACATTCCTCCTCCTCGGCATCTTCATGCACTACACCCTCCTCTTGCTGACGCCCCTCCCCGGCATACCCCATTCCCACACCCTCAAACTGCCCACGCCAACTACCTCCACCTGGCCCCTAATCTCGTGCTCCGTCGACGTAGGCAAGTACGTTAAGTCGATCCTCTTAAACCGGGATTCGATGCTCGGCCGCCAGATCCTGGCTGGCGAACGCGAATATACCGTTGAGGAAACGGCGGAGGTGTTGAGGAAGGTGGGAGGGCTTGATGTGAGGGCTGAGCAGGTTACGGAAGGGGAGTATAGGAAGTTGTTGGAGGAGAAGGGGTGGCCGGCGTTCTTGAGGGATGATATGGTGGCTAATATTGGGTTTATTGAGGAGTGGGGGTTCTTTGGGGGAGAGGGGGTTGAGAGGGATCATGGGGTGAGTTGTTGGATTTCTTGTTTCTTTTGGAATTGGTAGGGAGAGTGATTGACTGACTTTGAATAGATATTGACGGAGAAGCTGGAGACGTTCGAAGAATGGGTTGCGGGGAGCAAGGAGGTTGTTGCTATGAAGTGAAAGTGAGGTGGGGTGCATCTAATTTGGTAGTTGAAAGAGGGACGGAGATTTGGTGACATTTATATTGAATAAATCTGATTCTGGAATTGAAAAGCTCATTTCAAGGATAATCTGATCACACGAACGTACCAAGAACTTGAAATATCTATTTCTGTTTTGAGCATTGTTATGTATTTTGCTGCAATCATCCAGCAGAATCCGCAAATATTCTCATTCGAGTCTTGGATCAGTGAAGCATAATATGCACAGGAACATCCCAGCTCTTTGATTGGTCCAACCTTAATCGAGTGTTTTGTTGCACGTCGCATTCACCCAAAATCTCTTTGCCAACGAAACCGCATACAAAAAAGTGCTGTGATATGATTGGCCGAGAAATCCTTAGCGCCAAACTTTCCTGACTGCTTAACATTTGGAAATTTGAGAGAAGACCATCGTTGTGGAGCTTGATTTCTGCGATGTGCAACAAAACAAAAATAAGGTTTAGCGCCGGCCTAACTTTTTTCCTCACTGATTTGGGCATTGCTCAAGAAAGCTCCTCTCTCTCAACTTTCAAGTCTACAGCCCTCCTGGATGCTGCTCTGAGAAGAACACCGTGCCGCTTTTGCTGTCGCTAAACTCATCTTCAGAAAAAAATTGAAGAAATGAACTTGTCATCAACACAGCAGCATGAAATGGCATGAGGGCTTCTTTTCTCTTTCGCACGACATTACGGATCGCTCGCACTGATACTCGACGCAGTATCCACCAAATTTCCACGATCCGAAGTGTTATGGCTCCTCCAACCCCACTTCCATTTTCTGCGGAATTTGAGAGTGTAGATGACTACGTTGACTCTTTACTCCTATACTGCGGCGCATCCACTGTTTTCCAGACTCTTTGCGGCGGCGTCCATATCCTAGACTTTTTCACTCGAGAGCCAAGTCTTTACCATACCGCTATCCCAGAAGAATGGCGAGACTGGCTCATGGCACGTGAGTCAATGGACCTGCTCGACTTCTTGATGCGAGACGATTTGAACCAGCCTCGAGATGACTCTCCTCCTGAGAGCCTCCTCAAATACATTAGAGAGATTCGAAAGTACTCACTTCAAAGGAATGTGTCATCGAAGCAAGGAAAAGGCACTAAGTTACCACGACATATTGCAGTGGGCATGATCCCGAAAAAGATTCACGAGGTGGGCAATTTCGCCAACTATGTCGTCCGGGTCGCGGATGATGTGTCCTCACGCTCTGGGAAGGAGATTACTCATTTTGTGGATTTTGGCAGTGGGCAAAATTATCTTGGTCGTACATTGGCTAGTCCGCCGTACAATAAACATATTGTTGCCGTCGAGAGCAAGGAGCTGAATATCAATGGAGCGAAGAGTATGGATGTTCTTGCTGGTGTTGCTGAGCGAGAGAAAGTTATGAGAAACAAGAAGCTGTATAGATTGCAGCAGGACAGCATTACTCCGCAGGACAAGCTGAAAGAAAAGGCTTTGCGCAGGAATGCAAAGCCGCAGAAGCCGCCTACTGACCCGGATGCTGTTGATATGAGGCCTAGTAGGGATCTTGCTACGATTTACACACCTGCTGATGGGAAGGGGTATATTCAGTATGTTGAGCACGTTGTTCAAGACGGAGATCTTTCAAATGTCGTGGAGCAAATCGAGCAGATGAAGATTGCCGCTCCTGTAGGCAATCTTCAGGTCGTCAACGGCGACCCCGAAAAGACACAGCTACCTGAGATTATTGATGAGATATCGAAGACTGAAGATACACGACTTATGGCGATATCCATACACTCTTGTGGTAATCTATCTCATCATGGCATCCGCTCTCTCCTCCTCAACCCATCAGTCAAGGCCATTGCGATCGTAGGCTGTTGTTACAACCTCATGACCGAACGACTCGGACCTCCAACGTACAAGCTTCCCAGATTACGTCCCAATCAACGTGCTATAAACGCACCTCGATTGACGAAAGAAGCCGCAGCCTGCGATCCCCACGGCTTTCCCATGAGCAGACGAGTCTCAACCTATAATGGCGACGGAGTCAGACTAAACATCACTGCTCGAATGATGGCTGTTCAAGCACCACAAAACTGGACGGAGAAAGAAAGTGACGCGTTCTTTACGAGGCATTTCTATCGTGCTTTATTGCAGAAAGTATTCCTCGATCGAGGTGTGGTTTCAAAGATGAAGCAAGAGGACGATACTGAAGACGGCAGTGGATTGGAGAGCACGGAACCGGTCATAATCGGATCATTACGAAAAGGCTGCTATGGCTCTTTTCGAAATTACGTTCGTGGTGCACTAGAGAAGTTGAATGCAGATCCTGAGCGCAGTAAGATGGTTGGGGAAAAGATGGCCGATATGACGGACGAGGAAATCGACGAGTATTCGAGGCGGTATGAAGGCTTGAAGAAGGAGTTGAGCGTTACGTGGTCTCTGATGGCTTTCAGCGCTGGTGTGGTGGAGAGTCTGATTGTGGTTGATCGGTGGTTGTTCTTGAGGGAGCATAGTGACGCTGTGGAGGATTGTTGGGTTGAAGCTGTTTTTGATTATCAGCTTAGTCCTAGGAATTTGGTCGTTGTTGGGATTAAACGATAAAGGATTGGGTAGGGCTTTGGGCTTTGAGTTGATATGTGTGGTGGGATGGCGATGAGCTCTGTTCTCAAGCCCTCAAAAGCTGACGCTTCGCCTTAAGTGATGTCGTAGACTCGCTCTACGTTTGGGGAATCCATGGCGATTCTCGATTCCCTCTACGATAACCAATTGGAGGAATTGTCTATTCCTGCATCGTTCTGGCATGATTAAATTCCGCACTGTCCACGAGGGGAATGCGCTTTTACCAACACCTTCATCCTACTCTCGACAGGCTTCACTCCCACTTCGAGATAGGCCTATCCAGCATAGAACGCCACCGCCAACGAAAGTCTTTACTCGCCTTTTCTAGATATGATCTCGGGCGTTATTCCAGCAAAAGGCACCAATTGGTGGCGTTTCGAGGACAGCACATATCAAAAGTCTCTACAACGCCAATCTTAATCACAAGACGTCCGATGGAGTCTTCAAAGATTTACCCAGCTCTCCCCATTTTCTAAATTCTCTGAATCGCTAAACAACCTCGGAAAGTTTACCCGAGAGTCATGTTCAAAGAAAAACGAGGACTTTGAGCCCAAATCTACGCGGTACAAGACTTTACATTGCTCAGTACCCTAGCAATTTTTCCAAGGCATCATCAAGCCTGGTATACAAATTACGCCACATATGAACGTTGCAGCTTCATATGCATACATATTATTTTCTTCCAGTGATAGGTGATCTTTAGTTCATTCGAGCCTCGTCGGCATGGGATCTGCGGGCTTGTATAATATCGACATGGCTGATTTTAGTGGTTCAGCTTTCGATTAGGATGAGCCTCAATTGTCGAAACGAACGCCTATGGTTCGATTCTTCGTCTCAAAGACATATGTTTTCAAAGTTTTGCATCCTATTTCGTGTTTATGGAGGGTTTTCGATACTTTCGGGTGCGACCTACGTTTTTCACTCTTAACCACATATCCAAATAAGCCTCTTTACACAGCTACGTCTATTTCTGAGCACATCGGTGAAGAAATGTATGAGCATGCGTTAGGTTGAATCTTTACAGCAACGAATTGTACTTAAGTTTCAAGATGGCCGCTGGGTTTTCGCAAGTATACCGTTGCTGACAGTATTGGAGTTGGCTTGATTTCGTAGTTTCGAGTTCTGGATAATTTGTTGTATGTTGTCTGTGTTTCCCTTCTTTTGCATGTTTCTTCGACTGGGAGTATGTCGCTTAGAGATGATGGAAAGACGTGTTCACAGCGAGACGCAAGTCACTTAGCAAGATCCATATGGAATAGATAGAATATGAGCCTATCTATTACCGTTTGACAAGGAAATTTTCAATAGAGTTAGCATTGATGAACTCTATGCTGATGAATGGAGGTTGTAGCACAGAGACTCTTAATACAGTCCTGTCCTTCATCCGAGATTCCACCAGACATGTTCGCCACGTCCCTCTACATTCCCAAAACAGCCAACCCGACCACCAATCCCACAATTACCACATCCACCTTCACCCCACCAAAAGCTCTCAACGCACCCGATTTCGCCGTCTCAGTACTCGCCGCCCCAGTCCCCGTAGCATTACCCCCGGTGGTACTCGTCCCCGCCAAATCAAGATAGTCCCAACTCACACCCGAGCTATTGCTACACGATCCCGCATCAAGCAAGCTCGCATTCGACGAGAACTGAATGTCCGCACACTACATCCCCATTAGCCAATACCCCTCTTTACTTTCGCTATCACTTACATTATACAAAGCAGCACCCGTCTCCCCCACCGTAACGACCTGCAAACTCGCCAACTGCCCATCAACGACGGCCAACTCGGTCGGTAACGTGAATTTATCGATACACAGAGTCCCGTTCCCGGTTTCGTTTATGATCTTGGCGTTAGCGTTGAGAGAGACGTTGAAATTGGATACATTGGTGCCGAGGCCGAGGTTGAGGAATACGTAGGTGGGTGGGATGGTGGAAGGTGATTGAGAGAGAGCCGCCGGTGAGCGGCCATTGGGTTACGTTGGTGGACGAGTTTGAGGGGACGCCGGCGCAGGGGTAGATGTATTGCGAGTAGGGGGCGTTGAAGGAGTTGTCGCGCCATTGGGGAGTGTTGATTTGGAAGTGTGCGGAGATGGTGGTTGCGAGAGCGAGGATGAGGAGGGCGAGTTTCGACATAGTGGATGGGTGGTTGGTTATCAGAATAGTAGGTGGACTTGAGCTTCGAGTTTTGGTCCAAGAAAGAAGGTAGGATTTTCGAGCTTGATAATTGACAAGTAAGCGGGGAAGCTTATAGCTCTTAAGCTTAAGCAGAGCTTCAGACGAAAATCTCCAAGCCGGAATATCGGCATCTTTATATATGTATTTGAGCCACAAGTTGCTGAAATGCAAGCTTCAATTCTTTCAATTCACGCACTAACTGCCAGACATACATATTCGTACCTTAACCCGTCTTGGCCAACTTACCCCTCTACAAATCAGATAAGCAATAGAGTTGCATCCCAACCGCTTGGTTCAGATTCTATTGAATTGTCCAATGATGGTGGGACAAGGTCTTTGAGCCGTGCATGAGATGCATGCCAAGACTAGTTGCCAAGACGAGAAGGCTGAGAGCCAAGACTGAGAAGTTGCTCAAACTCTCTCAGAGAGCTGTAAGAGCAATCTTTTGATGGGATGAATGCAGAAGATGGTGGTGCGAAATACCCAAGTTGAAGCGGTGTGTTGTTGACTTATGGATATAGCGAGATGAAATAGCTAAAGTATCCAACTCCAGTAATTTAGCTATTTCTCCAGACACAACTTCTTCTCTTTATCAACCTCAATCTTGGCACCCAAATCTCCATACATCCCAAACCTCTTCTCTCAAAATGCAAATCCTCACCCTCCTCCTCCTGGTATCTACAACAACAGCGCACTTCATCCTCAACTACCCCACCACCCTGGGTTTCAACCAAAACGCCGAAGACGACTCCCCCTGCGGCGGCGCCACCATCTCCTTCACAAACACAACCGCCTTCCACCTCTCCGGCGATGCAATCGCCGTCACAACTCTCCACCCACAATCTAACTTCCTCTACCGCGCCACCACCGACCAAATCGGGACATCGAACTGGACCGTCCTCTCCTTGGTCGCTGAGTACGGCTTGGGAGCTTTTTGCGAGCCGGCTTTGAGTGTACCGGATTCTGATTGGGAGGGGAAGATGGGGTTGTTGCAGGTGGTGCAGAATGCGGAGGATGGGGTGCATTATCAGGTATTTACACCAAAAAAAATTATTTTCTTCTTTATGGCAAGAATTGGGGTTGATGAAACTTGAAATAGTGCGCAGCAGTCAATTTCGTAGCAGGTACTCAGAGTAATATGCCAGCCGCGTGCCAGAACGCGAGTGGGAACTCGGCGGCGTTCACTCAGGATACGACGCTTCTTCCTGTATCGGGGACGTCGAGCCCAACGGCTTCGGGTTCGGTGAGTAGCACAGCGAGTGCCGCGCCGTCGGCTAGCTCGACGAAGTTTTCTGGTGCTGGGGAGAAGATGAGGGGGTCAGGGTGGTGGGCTGGTGGTGTTGGGTTGTTGGTGTTTGGGGTTTTGCTGGTTTAAGAGGGAAGAGTGTTTTGAGAAGGAAGAGAGAGGAATAACTCAGCACTTGCTATTGACGGGCGATGGCTGAGCGTAGCCTAGAAGCAGAAGTTTGCTCGTTGCAGCCCATCAAGTGAAGACAATAACAATCGTCAATCCTTGGAAAGAAATGTGTGAGGTCACCAGCAGCCTCAAGCACCGCTCATTTGGCAATCGACCTAAATTCAGAGCGTTGACAAAGTAGTAGCTGTTTTCGAATAGCTATTAAATTACTCACATACCAATATTAACCCCAAGATAAACTCCATCCCCGATAAGGACAATCCATACACCTACCCTGTACTCCTCTGTCAATACCCTTACCTATTCAGCACTCGGTCCAACAAATTCCATCTTAAATGTGTTCTCAACATGTTGGTCAACACGCTCAGCCTCATGATCCACATTCGCCGTTCCTTTCTTCGAATACCTCAATTGAAGAAGCGTGATCAAAGACGTGATAAAGAGTAGTCTATTGATACCAATTAGCTTCACAGCTTTCTTTCTTCACACCAGATAATAAGAAACTCACATCATAGCAGCATCCAACCCCTGCTTGGCCGCCTTACTAACGCCCTTCTCAAGCGTCTTCCCCGCCGCCGCCGCATCACTACTACTAGCCGGCCTACTTCCCCTCCTAAAAATCGCCTCCGGCGAATCCCTCTTGAATGAAACGTTATCGTAGTCCGTCCAGCAGAAACAAATCAGATCATTCGCCCAGACATAATACCCGGTTCCTTGGTCGATGGCCGAACAGGCATTGCAAAGGGACGTGCAATCATAGCCAGCTAGAGCAGCGGCTACGATCCAGAAGATTATGAAGAGGATTTCGAGGGAGAGGATCGCGATGAAGGAATACCAGGGGATTTTGGCGGAGGGTCCGGTGCTAAGGACTAGGTAGAGGGTAAGGAGGAGGGTGAGGAGGGCCTGTTTGGGTTGTTTCTTAGTTAAGTGAGAGCGGAAATGGGTAGGGGAGACGTACGATGGCGAAGTTGAAGGATAGGCCTGAGGGGGAGGAACAGCCGTAGCTGTGCCAGTCTGAGATGTTGGACCCGGCGATAGCGACGATGGTTACGGCGAATATGATCTGGATGAAGCGGAGGTACCAGAGGTATTTGTTGGTTCGCTCGACGGGGTTGAAGGTTGGGTTTGGAGAGGTCTCGGTTTTGTGAACCTCTGGTTTTGGTGCTTTGGCTGAATCTGTGAGATCCATTGTGTGAGGAGTGCGGGGTCAAGTATTAAGTTACTTCAATTTTGGTCGCGATCACCACGCAAGCCATAGCGGCAAAGACCTACACTTATATTTCCCCTCGACAGTCCACCATCTCGCCCCATTCCTCAGCCGACGGAAAGCAGACAACATGAGGCTGAGACATAAATACTTTATTTGGAGCATCCGTGAGTCTGGAACCGAAAAGTGTGGTTGCGCAGAAAAATGATTTGTTGGTGGTGAGGCTGAAAAGCAGCCACAGTGCTCCGAGCCGTGTCCCGGCATCCGGAGAATAAGCAATGCTTGTCTCCACACTATTGTTTTTGCTGGATTCGGAAACATCAGCTGCGGGAACTTATCCATTTGACAGGGAGCTAAAAGTCTGGAATCGGGTCGGGTATCTGGTTTAGGGGTCGAGGATATATCGAGATGAGGGGTTGAGGAGAAAGAAAGGAAAGAAAGGGTTGTTGGAACCCCTATTTTTGGTTAGCGAGGTTCGCCACAGTTGCCGTACTTACCGGCACAATCCAAAGATGAGCGGATTGTAGGACATTTGAATGTCGTCTTGTCGCCCATATTTACCGGCGATAGGTATACACATACAAGAAGGCTTGAGAATTTGCACCTCCGACAACAAAGATTACCATCTATAACTAAATTGGACCAGTCAGAAGCCTCAGTCTCGGTGCTTGGGCTGTGTGCTTTTCAGAATTTCCAACTCTACATGTCCAATCGGGATGGGAAGCGAAACTCGTGGCACCAATGTCGCATAGGGCAGATCGCCTCCAAATTCACATGCGAATTACGAGGCATTCGAGAGTCATAATCAAACAGAGAATTTTCTGGATTCAGAGCATGCTAAGGCCTTCGAACTCTGCAAGATCAGATCCTAGATCCCCGACGAATCGTTTTCTTTCCATTGTTCAAATTGTGACCCTTTTCAGTGCCTTAGATCCCGGCAGTGTAGAGCATGATAACAAGAGGCTCAGTCATGAGACTGTTGACTCTTCAGAACTTCATGTAGTGAAGCGGAGCAAGTATATGCAACATCAGCTCGCTACAATCACCAATTACAAGAGCCGAACTTGAGCAGGAGGACGCATATCCTGCTGAGATTTTGAACACTAAAAGAGCGGTGAACTCTACAGGTACCAAAGAATTTGGCCTCCAAATTTCCTTTCTAGATTTTCTTCAGCCTCGCTCCTTTCATTGCCCTGCACTGGCAGATCCAGCTTGGCAAGCGAACCAGTGAGAGGGAGCATAAAGTTCACTTCGAGGCGTACGGTTCTTTGAACTTTCGACACCTCTAGCGTCGTTCCGACATGGAGTCCATTTACAGGGGTCGATTTTGGCCTCCAATTTTGTGCATAAGCGAAATTCCTCACGTATGACTTCCTTCCAGGGTGTTAGTTGGCCAATGATAAGAAGTATAAACCTCAGTTCTAGATGTATGGTCCTTTGAATTTTTCACACCCCCAGCCTTGCGACTTAAAATAAGTGATTTAAGAGTGGTCAGTTTTTGGCCTCCAATTTTGTGCATAAACTTACGCATCACACATGATCTGTGTTCAAAATTTGAGGCTTTCAACCAGATAAGAAGTACAATGATCAGTTTGAGGTGTGAAGTTGGTTGGATGCTCGACACTCTCGGCGATGCTTCTCGGTACCTTGATTGAAAAGTCCTCGGTCTCCAATGTTGTCCACGCACTGCAAAAAACGGTACCAAAGCATTGAAACCTTCACATGGACGACCAAGCTCAACGGACCAATGAGAGGAAGTAAAATCTTGAGTCTGGGACATGAGGTTGTTGAGTTTTCTTACCCTCACAGATCCTTGCATTTTTTTGATTGGATGTTCTTTGGCCTCCAACTCATGCATGTCAACTGTTCCAGCGTTCAGCGCATCAAGAGCCACGCAGGAGTGGCTTTTGACCCGAGCATGCGCTTCAAGCGAGCCAGTAAGAGAAAGTAGAAAGCTGAGTTAGGGCATGGGCTTGTTTGGATTTTTGACCCTTCATGCGGCCCAAGCAGAGCCATAGGCTATCTTTTGGCCTCCAAATCTGTGCAGAAGCGAGACGCAGTGCTACTGTAAGACGAACATTTGTCGACTAGGACTGGGAATAAGAGGCTATGCACATATATTGCAATATTTCGACAAACATGTAGATTTCAAACAATGACAAAATAGCTCACAATAAAAAAGATTCGAGAGGAAAGCACTTGCTATTTTGATGGGCCGAGTTGAATTCCCAGTGATCGATCTGTATGGAATCTTGGAGCAACATGTTTGTAGTTGAGAAGTGAGTTGGTATTATGAAGCAAGAGAACTCCAGCCCATGCTTGCTCTATGTGTTGGCGCAGAGGTCAGTCGTCCCTCTGACCTTGGCCTTGTAAATCCAGAACCGAAACTCCATGCAATGCCCCAATATTCCTGTACATATCTTACATGATTACCCTTTCCTTGGACAATCAGATATGTCTCAATGTCCCATCCTGTACCAACCCCCTATAAGACGTTCCATATGTATACGATCCACCACAACCACCACAACCACCGCTCCCCTAATCCTCCTCACTCGGTCTCCTCATGTACGCATCAATCGCCAAACTAAACGCCGCAAAGCCTGCACATCCCAACGCAGCAGCCTGAGGACCCGCTGGCGCAGCCAACACCCCACCGGTGATACAACCCGCAATAACGCCATTCTTCAAATCATTCTTCGCCCTAAAACCCTCGATGCAGCATTCCGTGCCCGCGAATATCGCGCCCACTTTGCCGAAGTTCTTGGCGGAGGAATAGGAGCGCGAGCCCATGTCTTTGAAGCCGGCCCGGAGCTGTTCGCGGAGGGGGAGGGATTGGATCGCGGTTGCGTTGGGGTTGGTGGATAGGGGAGTGTCGTAGGACATCTGTGAGAGGGTTAGAGATGGGGATGGGATTGGGGAAGGGAGGGAGATGTACAGAGGCCATGAAGAGACCGAATGCGCCGCCGAGAGCAAAGCCCATTACGCCTGAGACGGCGGTTTTGCCGGGGCAGGACTCCATTAGGTATTGCATCTGTAGGGGTAGACGTTAGTATATCTTCTTAACAATGAATCTCTTCAAAACCCGTCTCCATTGTATTCTCGACCTTCGACTTCGTGTCCAGCATGTCTCGGAGGAACATTACTTCCAATTCACCATCAAACTCCAGCACTTCCCAACACTCCCTACCATGCTCTCCCAATCCTCCTTCGCCCAAGCTCGCAGAAACCTCCGATAATGAACAATGAACAATGAGAAAGGGAAACTCACACTCTTTACAGCAGCCATGGTCTGCGCATCCGCACCATCCATACCTCCCTGGCCACCCGGCGGAGTGAATAACGGATTGCCGTTCATCTTGTCGCGATTGCTTGTCGTTGCGATATTGTTCTCGGTGAAATTCCGAAGTTCAGTGAGGCGTTCACGAATTTTTAGACTCGGCTGAGAGGGTTTTTGTGGCGCGGCGAGGCTGCGACACGTGAATGAGAAGGCTGGACGAGGCTGTGGTTGCGATTTCAACTGAGGAAGGTGAATTTGATTGAGCTGCTTTTTTTCATCGCACGTCAGAATCTATGTTCATTTGAATTCTTTCTCTTGCCTCTACTTAAAAATAACCCACGAAACACAACCAAGATGTTCTTCACAGAATTTCGAGTAGAAGTTCCTCCAAACAGGACCTTGGCAGACGTTGTGGACCTCCACTGGACACTCGCTATACGAATCAGGATCGACAGACCGTGGTATTCGGTTCTCTATGGGATCACTGCCTTGTTCATCGAGGGTCAAGCTCAATTGCAAATAATTGCATAAAGCTGATTGCCACGAAACTTAATTCCGGCAAGTTCTCCTTCTCCTCCATTCTTTGATTCTTGATATTTCCTTGCATGAAGACAAATCTTTTCTTACATGATGCCGAACAAGTAATACCCAGTTTTATATGGGAAATAAAACAAAAAAGCTATGCCCGCACGTGGACCTGATTGCGCAATTCGAATTCCGAATTATATTAGGAGCGGGTATCTTGATTTTTGTACTGACTGAAACTCAGACCTTTCAGCTACACGAACCTCAACCATTACTGGCCGCATCTATCCCACCCACAACGCCACGCCATGCAAACCCCAACCAAAACCTCTCGCCCTACATAACCAACGCAGTAAACTTCCCCCTCTTCCGAATACTGGGCCCATAAACATAAAACAGAAACGGAATCGGAATCATCGCCACAGCCACAAACCCCAACACACTACTCGCCCACCCGATCCCCAGATGATGAAACATGGGATTCACGAACAGCGGAAATGCAGCGGCGAAGATGGAGCGGAGGAAGGTGTTAGCGGCGATGGCGGACGCGGAGAAGCGTTGGAAGGTGTCGATCAGGTAGTTTAGGGCTGCTTGGAAGATGGTGAAGAAGCCGAAGCCCATGCAGAAGAGGCCGATGAGCGGGGCTATCCAGAATACGTGGGTGGGGGATGTCCAACCTGGGTGGGTTAGTGATGGATTAAAGGTGGAATTTGGGCAGATGAATGTGTGTTCCGAGGTGAGATATTGAGGAAAGTGAAAGTACTTACCGAAAATGAACAATCCTGATGCAAAAAAGACGGAGCCAATCATCATGGGCGGCAGTCGAGCTTCGGGTACCGCTTTGTTGCTATTCTTCTCAAACTTGCGGAGGTAGAATTTGTTGTTACTAAGTTTTGTAAGCATATATGAGAATTGGACAACCTCTCTTTCTCAACTCACTATATGTTCGCCATTCCACCTGTGATAACTCCTAACAAAAGCGCCAAGAATGGAAGCTCAGAAGTCACGGGACCCCATCTTCGCTCCTCTGCGAATTGGATTGGGATAGCTGCTAAACATCTAGAATTCGTCAGCTCTACTTAACTTTAAACTAAAAAGTAGACTTACAGATACAAGATTCCATAAACGAACGAAGCGTACAATGCCACCAAGAAGCAGATTGGCGTCGCCAGCAAGCGAAAAGGAGTCTTCAAGAACTTATTCGCAAGTTCTTTGATACTAACATCCCATTCTTCGTGTCTAGCATGAAGAGCCCAGTTGCCCGTCTCATGTCGAAGGCGGCGTGCTTTAGCCACCAGAAGAACGGGTGGATAGCTTTCATCCAGGATAAGGACGTCGAGGAGGAGGAAGAACATCATCATAATGCCTGTGATGTATTCTGTCCACCTCCATCTCAAGTAACTGGACACGATCGCGCCTCCTGCAATCGGTCTATCGCCTCGTTAGCACCCCTTCTTACTCCGGAATTTATTGAGTTGAAGAGGAGAGAAAGGTCAATGCCTAGAACTCACCCCAAAGTAGGCCCCCCAACAACCGCAAAAGCATACCCCACAATCGCCGTCCCCCTCTGTCCCGGACTCCAAATATCCCCCAACACACCCCCTGTATTAGTAACCGGCGCACTCCCAAACAACCCCGCAAAGAACCTCGTCAATAAAATAGTCTGGATATCCTTTGCAGTTGCCGTCCCAAAGGAAAAACACCCCGCAATAAAGTACGGTGCTAACACAGCAGGTTTCCTGCCATAGACTTCCGATAATGGAGCCCAGAGCAAGGGACCGAGTCCGAAGCCGAGAAGGAGGAAGGAGAGGCCAAGGAGAGAGACTTCGGTGGAGACGTGGTATTGGGTGGAGATTTGATTGATTGCGGGCGCGTAGACGGAGGATGCCCATGTGCTGCCCATGGTGGTGAGGCCGTAGAGGAGGGTGGTGATGAGCTTTTTGCGGAAGGGCCAATTGATGGGGCGGTAGGGATCATCGGGGCCGTCGAAGTCAACGATGTTGTCTTCAGTCGTTTTAATGTGTGAGAGAGGGTGAGTGAATCGTCCTCGAGTTGATCCTCGACCGGTTATGGATTGGGTTCTGGTTATGCGGGCCCGGGTACTGGTTTGGGTTGTTGTGTGGAGGTTTTGGCGGGGTGCCTCATCGATGGCGGTGTCTTGCTTTTCAAGGTCGAGGGCATTGTTTTCTGGGTGTGAGGATGTTGGAGATGTGTCTGAGATTGAAGGTTCTCGAGAAGCCATTTTGAAGCTTCTTGTGACAGGAACTGTTCCGAGAAGATTTGCCAAAAGATGTTTATATTTTGACTTCGAGTAGAGAATAAGTTGAATCTTCCAAGAACATTCACAAATATCGCGAAAGAAGGTAGCTTGCAATCTCTGCCGAGACTTGTGCGCTTCGGAATATGAAAATGGCAGCGGAAGTATCCGCTATGGGCCAAAATATATAGCTCAACAAGGTCGTCACTTGCCACGACCGGAAGCAACCGTGAACAATAGAGGAATGAAAGGAAAATAAAACACGGGCCGAGACAAGATAAGAATTGTCTAAAAAGCTTGACCTTAACTATGATAGGATTTGACCGTTTGACGACAAACGAGGAACGGTAGACCGGCACAATCGAGATGGATCCACTTTTGTCCATGCTGGGGCAAGCGGAAGCATAGAGCCGTCATTTGACGCAATGGATTATCGGCCGACCTCGGACTACATACAGAATATGCATGTGCTTTGGAGAAATCTGGGGAAATCGTGGGTTGAGTCTAGACGTTGATGCTAAGTATGTGGAAGCAGTTTTGTACAATTCAAAGCCTCGGAATGAGAGAAGACTGTGCTGACATGCGAAGTGGTATAAGTGTAGCCGGGTAAGCGTATAGCCGAGCCTGTCGAGGGGCGTCATTCAAGACATTCCCATCGTTGGTGAATCATAAAATCATTATTAAATGCTTGATGCTGTATTCAAGATTTTATGCCAATGCTTTCGCCAATCTCTGGAAGTCTGGAGTTCCAAGTCCGATTACAGCATCCCAACCCTCAGTTGAGTTCCACGAAGCATCGCATCCATAACTCGAACCTTCTGTAATGTCATTCCATACGTCCTTCAGACTCTCTGAGTACAGCCTAGGATTCAACCATCCGAGAACTGGCTTCCCATTCCTCAGCCGCATGTCATTTATCAGCGCGATCATGGACGCAAATACCGGTGTGCCTGCACTTGTCCCAGAATGATGCCCAGACGAGATATTGTTGTTCTCGGTCTCAAACCGAGAGCCGAAGACTGCAACGTCTGGGATCCCTCGTCCTGATGCATTATAAAGACCTTCGTACTGCCCGTTCAAAGTCGCGATATAAGATGCAGTGGCGTTGCGTCGATAGTCTGGAACGGCAAAGTAATTTGAAAACCCTCCAGATGAAAAGCTTTCTCCTTGCTCTAGTATAACGTGTGTTGCTCCTACAGCCGTCACCCATGGACAGCTTGCTGGAAATGTAGGTAGGAACGTGGTCCGATTGAGGCCATCATTACTAACACACGGGACGTCGTCTTGACATGCAACTCCACCGTCTCCAGAGGCATCGATAATTGACACTCCACGAAGAGCAAGTCGTCCGAACAGGTCGCAAACATGAATAGCGTAGTCGCGTGGCACTGTCTGCTCGGTGTCGGTATAAGAAATTGAGATCACTTGAGGGATAGCTCCATCTGGTTTCGCCAGCATATATTGAAGCCATTCGAGGTATGGCTCTGAACTGCTCTGGTTGAGAGGCAATTGTTTTCCATCTTCCCCAATCGTTGGAGCACGTCCACCTGTTGAATAGTAGACGACCGGAAGAGATCCTGTGAACGGCATGATATATTCCATGTCTAGCGTGGCTTCGACACCAGGGGAAGACTCATTGTTGGTGCCGTTGTTGATTAATTCGATAGTGAATGAGCCAGGATTGGCACGAATGTCTTCTGAGTTACCGTACTTTCGAACAAAAGAGGAGACATCTGTGTGATTGATCCATTGTTCGAGGAAACCAGCAACACCAAGGCTGCCACCACTTGCTGTTACGTTGACAGGGGGGATGTAAGTCATATTGTATAAAGCAGCGATACACGTGGGCGTGATAGTGTTACATGCAGCTAGCAGTTCGGGAAAGACATCACGCCTGCTGATGATATCGTCGTGCCGTGAAATTGGCCTTCTTGACCCAGCCACAATGCTATGTCGAAGCGTAGGGAAGTATGTGACGGGATGAACGAATGCAACGTATTGACTAATCTTTTCTGGCAGGCTGTAATATAGACTTCGAGTAATGGCGGCACCAGTTTCAGTATTCTGAAATACGCCAAATTCTGACTGGAGAATCCCATTTGCTGTTCCAACTGTGCATGCGAACGCGATCGTGCTTGTATGGTTGATAAAGGTAATGTCGCTGACGCCGGTGAATGAAAATAACCATGAGGCGACAAGATCAATAGTCTCATCTTGCGGGGCCAAGAAAGCCGTCAATTGTTCTTGGCTGAGATGGTTCCCATAATCCAGACTCCCAGGACTGCTGATTGAAGTGAGTTTCGCAGCAAGATCCCGGTCTGCTTCGTTCTTGACAACGACGTGTAGGTTCAGGATATCGTCCGGTTTCGCGGGACCTCGATATATCCATTCGTTTGTAGTCTGCTTGACGGAGTCCACAGACTCGTAAGGTCCCCAACCATTTTCGGAGATTGTACATGTACCTGAAGGTCTTATGACGTGAGATGTTGCTGGACTCAGAAACAATGCGATTGAAAGACTGTACAACAACATGATGAACGATACGGAGGAGCACAAGGAGAGGAGCCGCCGCAGAAAAAGGACAATTCTTCAGGTAGGTAATAGTACCACTCCCACCACATGTTTCGTGATGTAGCCTCACGAACCTAGATTGTTAGACCGACACTAAGACGACCACTTCATCTCACAGCCTCGAATACGAAGAATCTAAGAAAGATTTGCCAAAGTCACTACCTTGTACCCACAACTACGTGCGGACACGAGATGAAAGACTAGAGCAACATCGAGCCAAGGCTTGGATCCAAACTCTATTAAAAGGCGTTGCTGATGTCTTTCTCCATGGCGCCTAATTTGCTTCGACGAGTCAAAGTGGGTATATGGATATTCTGGCTCAGCTAGAACCTCAGGTAAGCTTCGTGGGGTACATGCTTTGATGCGTTTGTTGAGAGAGTTTGAACATTGCGCGGTAGAGGTCACTTGAGAAGGGTAGTGGACTGAAATGGGTAGCATTGGAATCTCATGCAGGGACTGACAGAGAGACTGGGTAGCAGTACTTCGTGAGGGCGCTGCATAAAATTTGGATTTCTGTGTCGCAAGGTTTTGATGGAAGAAGGAAGTGGAGGAAAATTCAATGGGCCTTTGCGACCCGCAGCGGAACTTGACGTTTGTTCCTGGCCGGCAGTGGAGACCCCTGTCTCCCTAGATCTGTCTTTATTGGTGCGCTTATCCTCGGAGCAACCACAAGATTCAGCTTCCATCACTTCTCGGTACTTGTTTCCTCCTTTTCTGTCTCCTCTCGCATCTTGGGCCCTCGATCGGCAGCAAACATGACATGGAAGAGTAATTATACGAGCTTCCTGAACCTTATTCCGTTTCCATTCAAGCATCGGTGGACCCTATTCGCCAAGAATGGAAGCTTCAAACTCGGAAATGAGCCTCATGCGGATTAACCTTAAACTCCCCGAACGCCTGTCTCGGCTAAAGTGCTGATCATCTCGTATTCTTTGCATATTCTGGTCGTTGTGGAGACATGATATTCTCCTTGTTCCTTGCAAACTCACTTTTGGTACAGTTATGACGAGAAGTCTTGGCATTTTGTTTTCACGAGCGTGAGATGAAGGCCCGGACGAAAGAGATATATTTGTGATTCTTTGCTCATTGCTCAAATCGACCATCGTTTCTCAGCGCTATGTTGTCTTCTACTGCATCTCTTTATGCTTTCTTAAGCTTGTCTTCTGCTTTGACCATCACCACACGTGGAAATGCTGGGTATTATTACATGCCCGTCGAGTTCGACTATGACCCAGATAGCAGAGTGACAGCAGAACTCACATTCGGCTCAGCCGACAAGGAACCAATACAAGTTGTGATGGATACAGGCAGTTCGGATGCCTGGGTATGTTTTCAATGTTCTTCTCCGCTCGTCTCTTCTAACCAATATTCTAGATCTGGTCTCCGAATGGAACAATCCACTGGGGTTCTAATTACCTTGGGGCTGTAGGACCTTGCAATGCTTCCGTTCCAACCCCATACAACCCATCTCTATCTTCAACGGCCATCGTATATGATCACAATTCAACATATGCCTATGCTGGCAATGCCAAAATCGTATCAGGAGCCCAGTACGTCAATGACACCTTAACAGCCACCAACGGATCCCCCATCCCCAATGTCCAAATCGCAATGGAGAACTATGGCACGCTCCGCCAACTCGACGACGGCTCTTGCAAGATTCCTGAATTCGACCGAGGCATCATCGGTCTCGCACCGTACACAAACACCACCTCTGGCCCCGCATTCCGCCAGAATCTCTTCGACGCTGGCTTAATTGCCACCAGAACCATGACGATGTGGTTCGATCATACCACCACGTCCCTCTCCAAGCTGGTCGGCGGAGTGATCTTTGGTGGCATCGACACCTCGAAATACACCGGCGAATTGATCCAAGTTCCCAACGTCATCGCAGACTACCAAATCGGTATCTACATCCCAAAACCCAACGTAACAATCAACGGCCAAACCTTCGTCCCGGATCAAAACACCACCTGTCTTCTCGATTCGGGAGCTCACGCTGATTACATCCCCTTCGACTACCTCTCCAACATGACCTCTCAATTCCTCGCTGCTTCCAACGGGACTTTGATCCAGTATGCGGGCGTGATCGGTTTCAATGGATCTTGTGAAAATATCCCTTCAGATTTGAATATCACGTATACATTCCCGGGGGTGGAAGAAGGGAAGAGCGTCAGTATCGATGTCCCGATCAAGAATTATGCGAGGGGGCTGCAGACTCCACCGGATGCGGACATGGGTGATATTTGTCTGTTTAATTTGGAGAGTGGGGGTTGCCAGTTTGGAGCGCCGTTTCTTTCGGGGGCGTTTATGGGGTTGGACGATGAGGGTGCTGAGATTTGGCTGGCGCAGGGAGCGGTTAGTGCGGAGGGACAGGGAGTGAGTGGTAGCTTGAAGGTGTTTGAGGCTGGCGAAGGGTTTGGCTCGCTCTGAGGGAGACGGGTCTGGGAGATGGTTCTGGTTCCACTGATCACAATTGAGTTTCTTTTGCTGGGTCGCATGGGATGGAGTTTTGGGTTAAAATAAACATATAATTATCATAATAGCAATTCAATTAAAAAGTAGACATTGTCATCATGGACTCCCATTGCCAGCTTACAATTTGGTATTCCTCATCCTTCCTTTACCACTCACTAATTCAACAGACTGGTGAATCATAGCTGTGCCATCCTCGGTCGGTCCTCATATTCCTCCCACTATGCACATCCCGTCAGCAAACCATCATCACAAAAGAAGAAAGAGCAAAACTCACAGCCTCATCAAAACCTACACTCCTAGCCCACGTCGCCCCAGGCGCCTCCACACTATCAACAACCATATTCCCAATCTTCTCCCACATAAACCCCTTAACCTTACACCACCCCTCGCCCTCAAACCCCTCACTAACAACCTCTCCATTCCTCACCGCCCGCCCAAGCTTCACCGCATGCCCATCATCGCCAAACTCAAACAACCGCTCAAAGATCCCCGGCCACTCCGTATCCTTCGCCGTCCCGTGCCCATTCGTGACCGCCGTCTCAGCCGGCAATTTGGCTGGGACGTACGTCGAGATCTCTTCCTGCAAAAGAGCTGGAGAGCGGCGCGAGGCATACATAGCTAGATCGAGCCAGACCTTGAAGTTTAACATCCTGCACTTATTTTCCTCGCTCAAAAACGGCAAGGCGAAGAATGTTTGGAAGAAAATGGAAGAGTTGACGCAATGCATGTAGTAGAAATCAAACTTGACCTGTTTCGGGGGCTTCTGAGCAGCAGCCGTGAAGTAGATTGCCGAATTGGTCATCTCGACCGTTTGTTGCTTGAGCGTGGACGGAGAGGCGACCCATTGCGAGGCGTAGGAGATCATTTCTGAGGGCGCGCGGACGAGGATCCCGTCGCGGATTTTGTTGCCGTCGTTCCATTCGGCGGCGGTGGAGAGTTTCTTGTCGGTGCGGATAGCAGTTAGGAGGCCGGGGATGGTGGCGCTGGTGGGTTTCGGTGGGTTGGATTGGATGGCTTTTTCGACGGCGAGCAGGTATTTGGAGGTCCAGAGGTCGTGGACGCAGGCTTGGGCGAGGGCTTCGCAGATTATGGCTGGTTGTTTGAATTCGATGCCGAAGCCGAGGTGGATGATGGGATGGAGGAAACCTGGGGATTGTGAGTGAGTGAGCGGACTAAGTGAAAGAGAAGATACGCACCAGCGTACATTCGTCCGAGGATGTCGTCTGCTCGTTCGTCGCCGGCGAATAGGAACTCTTTTAGAGTGTTCTCCCAACCTTTCTTCTCCATTTCTGTTTGGAAGAAAATGAGGAAGTCATGATAGTATTTCTCCTTTCCGAGATACTTTTTGAAATGATCGGGATTGCTCATGTCTTCCACAACTCGTTCTTTGACGGCAGTAGCTGGGCGTTGATAGTTTGTATTGTCTTTGAATGCTCTCTCGATTTGGGACTTTGAAGCCCCGAGGCCATAGAGAGTCAACAAGTGATGGACAATGTGATTATGGAAGCCTTCCTGATTGAAGAATATGTGATTTTGCTGGTCTTGTGTTAGCTGGGAGATAGCTGGGAGAAAGTCATAGTAGAAATCGTACCTCATGATTCTCTTGAAGGAGTTCTGAAGTTTTAGCTGCTGTTTCTGAAGTTTGAAGCTTGAGGTTGATAACACCGGCGGTCTCAGGGGTCAAATGTATCTTAGTCGGAGTAGCCATCTTCTCTTTCAGTTGAGTTGAAGTTCTTCGCCACTCGGAGAACGATGAAGATGTTGCTTGAGAGTATAGTCTTGATTGAAATTTTGGTAGGTGTCTTGTTGCACCTGAGGAACAAAGAGATCTGATGAGAGACATATAGGATTATTCGAAGCCTGCATAGAGGCTATATACTTGCAGACACAACAGCAGTACAACGGCGAATCACGTGGATATAAAGGATGACGTAAAGAATACCCCTCTTTGTATTACCAATCGGACATTCCAGACATTGTGTTTGGTTGCTTGTATTCATGAAGCCAGATGTAGATGTTTTCTGCGAGTGGCTCTGAGCGGTCGTGTTTAACAACTATGCGTCTCGGCCTTCGGGTCTGCATGCTGAAGCCGATAGTGCAAGTCAGCAATTTGGCTAGACTTCCCCTATTTCTTGGGGAATGCGGGGAACAAGCGAAGATCTCCTGAGACAGTATCAAAGCTGTAAGGCTAGGCTTATCAATCATTTTCATCTGATTACGGCTGCTTCAGGCAGCAAAAGATCCAGGCTTTGAGAGTGACTAAGCTCCTCTGGTCATACGGTGAAATGTCTTTAGGGCCAGGTTGCAGCTTTCGGGTTCTAAAGACTGTAGGATATGGACAACAGATGTTTTCCCAAGATTTGAGTTGCTAGAAGGTCGACTTGAAAGGGTTCAGTCTATATCGAAGTGATGATAAAGTTGATGTGGCTGGAGAATAGCACTTTGCCTAATGTGGACTACGGTAATTGAAATGTGGCGTGCTCTCACAAGCTCGAATGACGAAACGTGCCCGGAGCTTCTGCAGCGGATCAGAAAGTTGGAAGTAGTAAGCTATGTCAACAACTCTCCCACCTATTCCAGCTTCTGCTGTCGCATGCATGTTGGATAAGACCTTTTGTGCGTGCGCAAGAGTTCCACCATAATACAGCAACATGGCAATCCAAGACAAAGTTACCCTTTTGAGTTCCGTAGCTCTCCGAATCGCTACTTTTGTCTTCCTGAGATGGATTCCAGGCCATGTACGTGCAAATATATTGGAAAGAGCGCCTTCATCGGACATGTACTGACATACTGAGCAGCACTTACCTCCGATTATCTATGCCCTCTTTGCCATCTATGTTCCGTCTTTCATCTCGACTTTCTTGACGCAACCTCAATATGAGGTCGTGGCAGACGAAGTGGACATCACAGTCACAGAGGTAGAAGTCGAGGATCAGCCTCCCACGAATCCTTCTACTGCAGCTCATTCACACAATCTGCGGAGTGCTGATAAACCGACACACACTGAGGAGGAGATTAATGTTGAAGAGAAGATTGTTCTGGAAGAGAAGTCAGCAAAGCCGTGGCAGACGCTGTTGACAGGTCTTCCAAGTCCAACATCCGTTCTGCTCTCTTTGGCTACATTGGGTATAAACGCTGCCTTGGTACTCGCTGCCACGGACTTGGTCTACAGAGGGAAAGTCTACTATCCTAGTAATGATCTTTCCTTTGCGCGACTCGGTTATGTTTCTCCAATGGAAGCCAGCTTGTTGATTAGAGAACCCGACCCCTTTCAACTACCCATCTTTGTATCTTATCGATTGGCAGATACGGCTCAGGCCTTTGAAGATCCTGCCTGGCAATCTGCAGGTGTGATCAGACTTCTGGACAACGATACAGATTACACTGGAGTGGTCACCTTTCCACTGCCAAATCATGCAGACAGGTCATATCAATGGACTACCTCGAATAATCATACTGGATTTTTCAAGGTTCCTCCGAAGCCTGGACAGGTGTCCAACCACGGAGACTTCACATTCTTGACGTCTTCTTGCATTATTCCTAGATTTCCATACAACCCACTGGATCATGCACTAGCTATTCCCGGCTTCAGATACATGGCTGATGTTGTTAAATCTATTCCTGGAGGAGCACAATTTATGCTATTTCTGGGCGATTTTATCTACATCGATGTACCAAAGCGATTCGGTGTGACTGCTGAGGACTACAGACGAGAGTACCGTCAAGTCTACGCTTCTCCAGATTGGCCATCCGTTGGACAGAATTTGAGTTGGATTCATGTGTTGGACGATCACGAAATTGCCAATGACTGGGATAGTAACACGACCGGAGTCTACCGAGCAGCTACAGATCCTTTCCACCATTATCACACATCAGTGAACCCCCCTCTGGCACGAAAAGCAGGTACTTACAATGCCGCACGAAATGGAGCAACCTATTTCGAGTTCACTCAAGGGCCTGCATCGTTCTTCATGATGGACACGCGAACCTACCGAGACTCTTCAAGCCAACTACCCGCCAATAGCTCTAAAAAGTCTATGCTAGGCTCTAAGCAATTGGCAGACTTGCTTGCTTTCCTGGAGAAACCAGAACCTAGGGGGGTGAAATGGAAGATTGTGGCATCTAGCATTCCATTCACGAAGAATTGGAGAGTCAACAGTCTCGATACTTGGGCTGGATATCTCCATGAGCGTCAGACAATCTTAGAAGCAATGTGGGACGTCGGGCTTCGAGGTGGTGTCGGTGTGGTTTTCCTTTCAGGAGACCGTCACGAATTTGCAGCTACCGCTTTTCCTCCTCCTATCGACGGAAAGTGGCCAATCAGTGCAACTGTCAATGAGTTTTCGACAAGTCCATTAAGTCAATTCTATCTCCCAACGCCTACTTACCATCAGAATGATGAGCAAGATATCTTGGTCAAGTAGGTTGCATTCTCACACGATGACTAGATGATACTAATTGTGCACGAAGATACATTCCGAACGGCAACTCGAAGCTCGGTGCGATCACTATCGAAAACACTTCGAGTGATCAAAGCATTCTCAAATTCAGATTGTATGTTGATGGCGTAGAGGCCTGGTCTTCGGTTCTTCTATCACCTCCCACCATCACAGGCAACCGATGGGGCAAAGATGCTCTTTGGGGATAAAGATAAATGTAGAAGTATGTAAGGGTAAATAGATACAGGCGTTCGACTTCTGGATACAATATCCATACTGCTGGGGTTATGGTTATGATAAGGACAATGCACCTAAACTTGGAATTTTCAACGTTGACAAAGCAAGGCTTCGAGGAACTTCTGTTACCAGATTACCACCCTGTTTCTCAAGAGAGAAATGCAAATGAACATCTAGTTGCTTGTACTTTGAATTGCGAGCTCGCTATCACTTGTATTTTGCTCCTAGTATGGCATATTGTTTAGTTCTGGCCAGGTTCGAATGCCGCAGATGCTCAAGACTTTCGAAGTTTCCAAACAGCAATTCTCTGTATAGCTAACGGTTCGTCAATGACTATTGTTTGAATGAAATTTCAGTTTGTGCAGTGGCATCCAAATCATGCTGACCTCGTTTGCACTTAAATACAATTACACCAACCACACAGACTTATTGCCAAGTATAGTATCTCAAGTGTCATATCCTTAATCTAAACCTGGCAATACTATTTTACTATCATGAAACCTATTACAGAAAGATCCTGGTGGCTTCTAGTCTTTGTTTTCAATAATTTTATATACCTCCAAATTTGGCACATCAACCATTGAACAAATTGGGCTAACTTGAATGTTCCCACAGCAGTGAAGGTTGGATGATGAAACCACACAACATGGTTTTTGGTATGAAATGACCTCAGTACCGACTGCTCGGTTCCAGGCAATGTCTGTGCTCTGCACCAAAGTGTCAAGATACTGAACATGCAACAATGTTAGCAGAGTATTACCAAATGACTTGCGCTTCTTTCGCAAATCGATTTGTATTCAAGCTCATTATTGACGTGCTAGATAGCCCACACGTCTAACATTCATTTCAGCACAATAAAGACTGTGTTCAGATTGATTGGAGTGTGTAGATATACATTTGTGACTTAGCCCCTGGTCCCAGCACATTGACAGTGTTTCCTACCCACGCACCGAATTTCTTCTAACCCAATTCCTAAAGATACTTATCTTGAAGCAGAATCCGACTTTCCCCTCTCGTAGGGAAGTCGGAGCGGGATCACATATTCTCTAAGAGATCATCGACGACATTTGTTGCCGTCGCCCTCCCGACACTAGCCCCGCTTTGGAAGTTTTCTAGGGCGCAACCACCGCCAATTTCCACACAAACCCTTTCAAGGACTTTAGAACAACTTCGGAACATTCATCGTCAGTCGGACAGTCCTGATTCTGTACCAAAACATCTGATTGCGCGGTCCTTCCTTGTTAGTCTCGCTTAGCGAGCCTCCTCCTCCACCATACCTTTCACCCACTTCACCCAATCTCTCGATCAGCAAGACAAACTTTTCCGCACGTGTCGAAAGTGCAACAAGACCCTTTCGAAGCTTCCTCTCCGTGGTATTCACGTCTTCTGCACATCGCGCAATCAAGAGATCTACCTGCGATCCCGGCGCAAGCACTTGCGCCTGCTCCCCACAGCAAGTAAACGTCAACAGTGAGCCCCTTCACAGCCCGCGATAATCTCGAGATATTCAGCGATACTAACGTCATGGTGTCTACAGCCTCGTTCTTCAAAGTCGAAGCGGAAGACTGTCGCTCATAGAGCCCAATATTGAGAAGTGATAGATCTACCTCTTCACGCTGCCACAACAAGTATACACCCCCCAAAACCATACAACGGAAGGAACGAACTCTGATAGTACTAGTATCGTCCAATTCTCCAGTTTCCGCGCTCCAGAATCGAACCATTTCTCCGGTCTTCTTTTCACACAAGCCAATTAGTTACGTGGTTACTTCTGGTTATTCCACTTCACAGTAGAGGTAATTCTTTGAGACCGAATGAAAACGACAAGATTCTAACAGGGACAGTAACATTTGAGCCGTCCGATAAATTGAATACCAACGTTTGACCCTATTTGAAAGCACGAACGTCCCCGAAACCGGCTATCACGTTTCCCTAAGGTCACCTCTACCTCCAAAGTCTTGCACCGTCATACTTGGTATCAGCGAATAATACTTCGTCATTAAATCAGTCAATATGGGCTTCAAGTTTCCTCGTCGTACCAGCTCCGAGGCTCCTATCGGTGGTCGCCCGAGTACACCCTCGTATCTTAAACCCGGAAGCATAACCCTTTCGGCCTCCCCACTCAAGTCTGGCTCAGTCAGCGAGGAAGCTCCCAGAAAGAGTCGTTATGAACAGCTCTTCAAGGATCTCGAAGAATGTCAAGAACGTGCAAAGGCTTCCTCATCCGGACTGTCATCAAGCTCTGCTGAAAATCTAGGCAAGCTTAAGAAGAGTACAACGTTGTCTGCCGCAGCTCCTGCCTTCGTCCCTAGCGGTATGCCTACCTTGGCCGCAAAGCACAAGATTGGTGGACTTAAGAATGCAGCTAGATCTAAGCTTGCTACTGGATCTAAGATTCTGACTGGACCCAAGCTCGCTACTGAACCTAAGATCTTGACTGGACCCAAGCTTCCAACTTGGCCTAAGCTTCTTACTGAGCCTAATATCCCAACTGGACCTCGCGACCCCAACCGTCCCAGAAACCCGTTCGCCGTTCTTGACGCTGTTCCGACTGCTCTTAGTCGTCCCCCTCATCCCCACGTCCAGGTCTTGATGCAGAGATGGTTCGGTGACGATAATCATAATCGCGTCCAAGACGGCAATGCTGTTGGCTCTCAATTAGAAGGTCACTCAGGAGATGGCATTGGTTATGGTCATCCTGGTGCTTCTGCTCCTCAAGTCCAGTATTCTGTGCCCCCCTATACTCACACGGATCGAGTAGTCTCTTCAGGCTTGACAATCATGTACTCCCATCCCGTGAGCCAAGCAGTTGACCCCCGCCAATCATCTACCCAGGCGCCGGCAAATCCCAGCCTTCCTCCAAAGGTTGTGTCCAACCGTATCAAGTCAACAGAATTCTCAACGGTTCGCAGAGATAAAACCATGAAGGATCTTATCATTTACGCTGCTGGTGTAGTTCGTAACGCCATCCTAAACTCCAAGGTAACCTATTCCGGTGGCCGTGTTTTTGAGAATATTGTCAGAATTTACGATCACAATCCATCCACCTACAACCTCATCAATGAACTCTACGTTCTCAGTGAGGAAGGTCAGATGGAGTTCTTGAGCAAGAATCATGTTGAGATTCGAGTCGACATTCCGGCCGACTACGAGAACCCTGCCAAGTCCGTTGACGTCGATGAACAAAACGGCTACATTGATCATGACTACGGCTATACCCCCCCTGCTGAACGTACGGTCATCGACACGATCTACTCACTCGACCCAGCCCTCTTCGCCTACACTAAGAACTTGACAATTACCCTCGTCTTCCCGCGTAACCCTGCTAACACCCCTCTGAACACACCCATCTACCTCGTTCCCGCCGACGGTGCCCCAGTCCACGGTGCCACCTGGCGCTTGCTTGAGAAGTTGGTCCTGTGCGTCGATGACTTCACCTCCCTTAAGAACCTGACCATCCTCCTGCACGTACCCTCCAACACTCGCATGCCCCTGACCCTGCCTCAACTCTACCACGTCTTGCCCTTCTACGACCTCGAGTTCAAGAACTGGGATCTCAAGTACCAACCCGATAACCTGACTATGAACCTCACGGTCGAGGGATGGAGCATGGATCAACTTGATCGGGAGCGTGACCGCGTTGTTAGGGATAGGAACAAGGCGGCTGCGGAGGATCATGTACTTCTCCGGGAGGAGCAACGAAAGTATGAGGAGGCAGTACGAGAGTTCGAGGAGCAACAGCGCAAGCGCATTGAGAAGCAGAAGGAGGCGAAGCGAAAGCGTGCAGAGCAACAACGTAAGGTCAATGAGGCTGTTTTCGTTCAGGCCGGTAGCTTGCTTCCTCCCATCGACCTCAAGAAATTGAAGAAGGGCCAAAGAGCTACGGAGCATGGTAGTGTTGCTATGAAGAAGGCTGCTGCTCATGGCGCTGCTAAGGCGAAGAAGGAGAAGGGTGGTAAGTGAAATTGCAGAAGAGTAGCTAGTCAAGTACCTGATCGGCGTACCTCATGAGCGAGATAGTCTTCCATAGATTCATGGAGCAAACAATGCGATGATTTTGAGTGGGTTTCCCACGATTTGCAAATCTTTGTCTCAATGCGGGTGCAAAGGGAGTCTCAATAATGGATAGTGAAAGGAAAACAAATGCTTGCTTCATATTCAAAATGCTAACAAACCAACGCCGAAGATGCTAGGGTATAACTGTCCATGCATCCAACCTTCCCATGCTACCTTAAGTGCCTAATCCCGCTATACCAAATCCCGAATGCAAATAAGAAAGAAAAAGACTAGACAGCCCCAATCCAGCAACGCTTCCAAGGATCATAACCAGCTGTTCTCCCTTGCTCCACCTTCGTGAAGCATTCTAGTAATCGCCAATCGTAGACTTCCACCCACTCCTTCCTGCCTTTTCGCTTCAAGCTTAGCTTGCCGATACTCTTTATGAAGTGGGCTGTGTGCTCGGCTCGATTCGACTCGACGAGTGCTATCTTTCGATATCGTCGGCCGGTTAGAGGGCAATGTCGAGGTAAAGAGGGATGCGAGAGAGCAGGTAGAGAGGTAATGATCCGAGCACCATGTCGAGGAAGCATGTCATCCATTAACCAGGGCGTGCTTGCCACACAAGGAGAAACTAGGAATAGGCATCCAGCAAGCTTGCAAGTGTCGTCCGCGAGGCGACAGATCCCATGGCCTGAGATCCGAAGAGCTGGCCCCGTCTCTGGTGGGCTGCTGTTCGGAGGGGATTTTTGTGGGGAGGCTCGAGGTAAGTTTGCTGAGATTGTGCCGAGGACAGGTCGCCTTGACGGACTGGGCATGACCTCGAAAGCAGCTGAGCGCTTCGGGGACTTAGGGGTTGTGCTGCGACGTGGACTTTGCTCGATAATAGATCGAGGGCTATGAGAATATGTTGATGATGCTAGAACGACACCCAGAGGAGCCGTATTGATTTGGATTGTGGGTGTCTGAGCCATGTTTTTCAGAGGAGATGACATTGGTGGGGTTGGTAGAGGAGCTGGGTCTGATGACACAATTCCTCTGATGACGCCTGTACCTAGCTGCCGCACAGCAGACGGAGCAGAGCTAGGAATCTGTATATTGATCGACATGCACCGAGGGAGTTGGGTCAGGCCTGCTACCATGCTGAGTGCGTCTGGGAACTTGACAGGGGCATAGCTCTTTAAAATAAGGCGTGTGAGCCACTTTGCTTCCTTAGCTTGAAGTCGCCGATAGAGTTTGCCAAGAGCCTCTGGTTCGTCGGACGTCTCCCACGTCTTTGCCAGATCCCGAACCTCTGCTGAAGAGCTTGGGTGGAATGCAGCGATCTGAAGTAATGCTTGGTCGATGTCTTCCACCATCACCGATTTGGCTTCTGAACTTGTACCATATTTCATCTTCTGCATGACTCGTTGTACACAACCAGCAAGGTCCACGATTTCAGAGTCGTGCCATTGTTGCAGATCGATGTATTGCTGCTTCGAAAGCTTTAGTGCTCTTGCGATGGTCGGCTGAAGGTTTTCTGAGGTGATCCCATATACCCTGTCATGCTGCTGATCTGGTCGCAGCATAGCCATGACAGCATCTGCGTTGGTATCCCAGGCATCGAACTTGGCTCGATGGCCTTTGAACCACTTCGTGACTTCCAAGTTCACTCGAGCATTCAAGTCCTTGGTAAGAAGAGGTACCTGGCCGCGGAACAGACGCTCGAGCGTCTCGAGGATATCGCACACGAATACAAAGGGAAAGGGCATGATTACTGCGAATCATGGCCGGTTGGACGACATGGGATAATGATAGATTATGAAAGACGAAGGTAAAATGTGGGGTAATGATATTTGCCAGGCGCAACGTTGTTCGAGATACGTCGAGAAGAGGGAAGTAGAGAGACTGTACAGAGTCCCGAATCTTATGGCGCCTGGAGCCGTGATAAAAGCGGAAGATATCGTGGTAAAATAGTCGATGCAATGGTGAGCACCGTATGGTGCGTCCACGATAAGGATACGGCCTTATTAATCGTAGAAAGCTACTAGATGCTGAATCCAAAGGTATACGATAATGCGCAAGCAATGCAATAGGAAGTGCAAGGTTGAAATGGATGTCAAAGACTTGTTGTATGTGTTTATATTTACTCGAGGTCGACGTGTTGTTGTCGCAAAATCCTTGACGCCTAGGAACGCCAACTCATGTGACCATACTAAGCTCTTTTTGTCTAGGTACGAAATGAAGAACAAGGATGGGGCGTCATCTCGCTCCACTGACCCTCGACCTTCCAAGTCTCCTGAATTTGTACACATCTCCATCTTCCCTCCACATTACGCCTGAATCCCTCATTTCTTCCTCTCCCTTAGCTTTCATGAATATAATGACTACATGACTATCACTTACGGCTTGACTTCTTGGACTTTTCTGTTGCTTTTTCTCGGGAGTACAAATTACTGTCTTGTTGACATTAAACAAAGCCTGACTACACGCAAACGTCGACTGATTTGCATGCTCACGCTCGCACAAAGAACATCCAACTTCCCGAATATCGACCACGAGATATCAGAGTTTTCTCAAACAACGATATGTGCTATGGCGAGCCATCAGCGTCGGAGGTCTTCAATTGATCGCGCTTCAATCAATGCGATATTGACATCGGGGGAGCCGGGGCAACCAGCCGCGCCTCCTAGTCCGCATGTTGGAACTTCTCCCAATAGAGCATGCTTTGCAATGTCACCACCACCTCGTCCGATCACGAATCATGCTCGGGCATTGTCCTATAATCCACGAAAACCAAATCGACTTTCGTTGAGCTTTCCCGTTGCTCCCAGCACAAACGCAAGCGAATCTGCGAGACCAACACCTACCTCCTCGAATGTGCCCTCCTTCCCTCCCACACCTGCAGAAATTGTACCAACACCGTCCCCGAATGATCCGAGCGGTTTCCTTGTCGCTCTCGCGAGCCAGGAAAGAAAGGTTCTCGAGCTGAAGGAAGAATTAGAAAGAGCAGAGAATGAGCTCAAGCATCTGAAGAAACAATGGGCCGTCCACGAATCACACAAGAAGAAGGCAGAGATCAGACATGTTGAGCCATTAGTTTCTCTTTCAGCAGTAGCCACGGAAAGTGAGAGTGGAGATGGCACTGCTTCGACACGCCAGAGTGCTGAACTGGATAGGAGGAAGGCACTTCTCAGCAATCTCAACATTCCAAAAGAGTCACGAAGAAAATTCTCAGGAGCACATACCAGGACACTAAGTCTCCTATCACCAGAACGAGCGAACTTCAAAGAGCCTCGTCCTTTCTCGCCTGTACACGAGTCCTCGTTTGAGCACCATGGTCTGAGTAAAAGTACGACCATGCCAGATACTAGCCAAGGCATTACAAGAGTATCTTCCAGTCGTGCCAATCATAGACACTCTTACCAGAGTGGTATGACTCATGGTGCGAAACAGATTGCCGAAGATCTGAAAGCTGGCATGTGGACTTTCTTGGAGGATTTGCGGCAAGCCACGGTTGGAGACGAAGCGGTGAATGGCACAACAACTCGTTCGGCGGTGGACGCGCCCAATGCTACCGGTACACCTCGAAGAAGCAGTAAAGGAAACCTGCTCAATAATGGAAAGCGTGGACAATCACCACGAGGATCATCGCCTCGCACTTGGGACTCGCTGACTGGGAATAACTCACTTCTGGATACTGCTAATTCTCTGTGGTCGGATGCCGACCCTTTGACTCCCGCATCAAAAACACCACTTGTAAGCAAAAAAACTCGATCGATATCTCTGGCCGCTCCAGCCCTTGATGATCTAGATGACGACTGGTCGAATTGGGATTCTCCTACACCAAAGTCGCCACGATGGAGTGCAAGCACGACACTTTCAGAACCGGATCCAGCCACACCCTCAAGTCACAATACAGAAGATCGCAATGTCAAGTATGCCACCCAACTCGTCCTACCACCATTTCACCAATCTGACAACAATAGAATTATGCCCAACGAAACCGATACACCATCAAAACGAGATGATGAGATACAATGGCCAGCCTTGGATAAGCTAAGCCCCGGCGCAATAAAAGGTAATCTACAGCGTACGATGTCGACTATCATGAAAGAATGGGAGAAGAGCATCACACCCCCTCCTGAGCGAAAAGAAGATCCACTTGCCAAAGCTGGAAAGGAGGAACGAACAGACTCAGCGAGTAATCACGATGATCTCGTTTTGATGTCTCGATAATCCGTATTTCAACAAAAGTATATATACCACTTGGTTCAGCATGGATAAAGAGTCTGGGTGCCCGAATTACTAGTGGGCGAGGTGACTTTTTATGATGGATGATGACATGAAGAATGATTGCTTGTAGATTTGTTTTACATATTTGTTGTGTAGAGGTGTATATTCTACAAGACACAGGTCTGCATAATGATAGATTATTTGTACACCTTTCATCCTCATTTGACTTACGCACATGTTCAATGTCTATCACAAGCTGGTGTCTCCGGAGCTTTTGGAATGTTGGTCCTGTACACGAGACATCATCTTCTGCTGATTTCCCTTCTCATCTCCAACATTTGCGCAACATGCTCTTACCAATGTCTGTTTGACCTCTTCCAAGAATCAAATCCCCAACAGTAGAGGAAACCTCGATGTCTGTACCACAACCAGAACATCAGAACCGATAAAGCACCGTTTCACATCTGCAGCTTTCCCTCTCCGAATAATATCACCCCCCTTCCTGGATCGCATCAACATTGACAATGCACGTCTAGACAATATGGAAGTCGACCATAGACTGGGTGGGGTGGCCTCGACTACAATGTGGGCCTGTCAATATTCTTCCCATTCTATGTCTTGTCCGACATTCCTAGCAACTTGATGCTCAAGAAAGCACCTCCACGCTGTTGGCGGTTGTCAGACATTGCAATCACTGATCCCAGACTCCACTTTCCCAAAATCAGAATCATCAACTCCAAAGCCGAACTTCAGCCTCTCTCAAATGGTCTTATTCAAACCCCACTTCGTTGTTTTGCTTGAGGCACTATTCACTTCTCCCGATGTTTATTCACTTTCCAGTTCCTCAACATCTCTGTGTCTGTCTTTGTATTCACTCATTCCTAAGTTTGACGGTGGCCTATATGAACAACCTCTCCAGCCAATGAAGAGGCCAGAAAAGCCACCACGATCGGTATTCTTACTTAGAGCGTTTCGTGGATGTACCGGCAGTTTGACCTAACGTGCTGTCATTTGGCTAGGGCTCTCTGAGACTAGAGGATAGTTTGCTGATGGTGATATGGTGTTTATAGGTGGTAGTTTTGAGTTCTGTTGCCAAGAGATTGGGGTTGAGATCAGATGAAATTGTCGTCTGATATGCTGGGATCGTAAGATGTGCTCCGCTCCTTTTCGTCCGACATTCCGAATTACTTTCAGAGTTGACTCTTTCGTGATGAGAATGATGTTGTCATAGTCGTTATAGTTGAGAATCGATGATTAAGAGATATTCCACCACCAGAGTTCTGCCGGGCCGAGGAGCCAAGGAGGGAGCTGTATTGTCGGGAGTCAGGTTCGACAATGACCCAGTGGAATGTCGGTCAGGTTGACGGAGCTCCAGCTGGTGTGGGCTTGATGCTCGGGAAACCTTGAACAAATGCTGGAGATGTCGGGTGATTGATTAGTGGCAAGTACCGATACCGTTGTTGTGCCTTTCCAGCCTCATGTGCGGAGAATCTGGAAGCCTCAGCGGGCGACCGACAAGTTGGAGTACTGAGTTTCGCGCACTTCGATGAGAAAGACAACGCATCAGTCACCAGTGCCATAAACCATAGTCCTCGGCCACGCTAACCAGTCCTCCCATTCAGACCCTAAATATATACCTAGAGCGTTGAGCAAAGTAGTTCCTGCACTTCCCACAGCCCACACGTTTCGACACCGATGCAGCAGTACAGAAAAGTGAGCAAGGACAATCAAAGCTCTCGGATTCCTCTTATCAACGAGTTCCGTGAACTCGGTTGATACCATCACCGGCCACGACGTGACCATTCTTGGACTTGCACGTCCATCTGGGATGGACGTACCTAGATTAGACCTGTACACCCAACACATCTGATCCATGGCTTTGTCACAGACCTGTACCTGCGTCGTATCGACACCCCAGAGATCCGAAAGTCTTCCTCTTAGCTTTTCGAGTCCAAGAACAACATCATCGGTATCGAAGAGGGGTTCACCAGGTTGCACCAAAGGCCCAATGTCTGATTTGAGGATCAACTCCCACTTCCCACTCAAGACTGTTTGAACTCCACGGAGCAACCGTATACTATGCACCAATCTATCCAGAAATGCATCCAGATCCTGTCCTGGCATCGAGAAAACATCACTGAAAGAATGAAGGCCGAGAATCCCAGAAAACAAGAATGCAGGAATCACATTATCGTCGGTGATCTCCTTGACGGTGTCGTTAAATGATGTCAGTCCTTCGGCTTGCAATCTTGAAGCTTCGTCGCGATACATTTGATGTTTGGAGATGTCGGGATGAGTGAGAGAACAGTGCATCGAGGAACATGCCAGTAACTCATACAAGAGGAAGGGCCATGTGAATGCAAGTTTCAAGATTCGAGGACGCTGGGTACGTGTGGTTGCATCAGTGATGATGAAAGCGTCCTCGTCGTTGGCGACATGATTGAACAGTTCAAGATGGAGAAGATTAACGTAGGGACCAGGTACGAGTAGAGGTTGTGAGGTGTTGGTAGAGGTTGGACTGGAGGAAGATTTGTGCGAGTTGTCGAACGGGATGAAATTACCATGGTCTGGAGTCTTGGTAGAGTAGGAACAACAGAGCTGGGCTGTTTGACAATTAGTGCAGTTGGGGCGGTTTTCGTCACACTGAGACCTGTCAGTTGAAAGACGTGGAACTTGGGAGCGAAAGTCATCGGGACGGTGTTGAATTTAAGGAGAGTCGGCAGTCCTAACCTTGATATGACGGCGTTTGCATTCTGTAGTTCGTTGTCAGCGCCTTGAAAAGTAAATTTCTGGAGGGAAGTATGTGGCTGAGAGCAGCCAAGGACTCGTCAAGATATGAGTAGCCGATGACTTAGAGCTTGCTTACCTCTGCACCCGTTCCTAGACTTCCGGTGGCTTCGACGATGCATCTGGAACGGTGTTGAATGTTTCAGGTCATCGACGTGAGATACAAGCCCCTTCTGTGATCACAAATCGAATGTGATTGCGATACTGTTGAATCCAAGTCGAGGTCGACATGAAACCAATACCTGCGCCTCATTTGCTGTTGGTGTCACCGTCACGTGAGGCTTCCTCTCTCCCTCGAAAGGGTTTTAAGTATCATTAGATACAGCTTCTGCTCCGGAGAGAATTGTCCTACACACAATCCGAAATCTGGTGGATTTGACGTTGTGGTCAAGGAGTATCTCCGACGGGGAAGACTGGTGAATTACGCTAGTCCTAATATAGGCTATACGCGTAAAGAAGGATTTAAGACCAGGAAACTCTCTTCTCCGCTCCGCTCCGCTCCAAATCATCCATTCAACGCGCGAACTATGGAGCTTCTGTATTTTCGTTCTAAGGACGTCCACATCAGCATGAGCTGAGAAACAAACCTGTCTGCTGCTTCACTTGCCTTTCTTCTCATCCCATCTCTCGCAATGCCTACTCCAGCTATGCTTCGTCGTTCTCGAATCGCTTCAAGCCTTAAGGCCATTTATATATTCCTTGTTAGGCTTTTCATCGCTTGCATCTTCCTTTATCTCTGGGATCCTCTTCTGCCTCCTGTATTCGATTTCACGAAGACGTCATCTGCTGGCACCGTTTCGTCCACAGTATGTTCTGCGAACACATTTAAAACTCCAACTGTCCACGGCGCCAAGTTCTTGTCATTGGAAGCCACTCTTGTCAGCAATTATTCTGCTCATATTCCTTTAGGTAAAGTTCCGGTGTTATGCTGTTAGGGCTGAAAGCTGGGAGCTGGCAGCTGTCCCAGGACCCATCGCCTGGGAGAAGATTCCACACTTGCGAGACAGTTTTCAGTCCTCAGAGCTGCCTAATCAGCCATGAAATCTTTCAAGTACTAACTCCCTGACAGGATACTACATGAACAATGGGGCAGTAAATGTGACGGACGTCGCCTTTTGCAATATCACAGTCTCCTACACCCATCCAGGAGAGAATGACATCGTCCACGTTCAGATCTGGATGCCTAGCGATCACTGGAATGGACGAATGCAAGGTATTGGTGGTGGAGGATATTCTGCTGGACTTTTCGAATTGTCATTCGTCGGAATGACTGCTGCGGTCGGCGAAGGCTATGCGGCAGTCTCCACTGACGCTGGACTAAGTTCTCGAGACCCCAGGACCTGGGCACTTTTAAGCCCTGGCAATGTCAATTTGTATCTCCTCCAAAATCTTGCATCAGTGTCTCTCAATGATGCAGCTCTCATTGGAAAAGCAATCATTCAAGAATTCTACGGCCAATCCCCTGTATACTCCTATTGGCATGGATGCTCTCAAGGAGGCCGGCAGGGACTCATGCTTGCTCAACGCTATCCTGACGCGTACGACGGTGTCGCAGCTGCAGCTCCAGCAATCAATTGGAGCGAATTCGGTATTTCAGATTACTGGCCAACCTTCTTCATGGACCAACTTGGCAAATACCCTTTTCCATGCGAGCTTGATGCTCTCACAGCCGCAGCTGTCCAAGAATGTGACGGAAATGACGGCGTACTTGATGGAGTGATAACGGATCCCAGCCTTTGTACGTTCGACCCAAAAACTATGATTGGGAAGGTCATCGATTGTCGCGATACTGGAGGGCCTTTGAAAATATCTTCTGTCGCTACAACCGTTGTAGAAGTATCATGGAATGGGCCTCGCAGCGTGGACAACTCGTCGCTTTGGTACGGGATGAGTCAAGATGCCGTCTTGACGGGAGCAAGGGGAATTGCTGGCACTTCATGTACGAATGAGACGTGTACTCGATCTCCTTTCATCCTGTCTGAAGACTGGATCAAGCTATTCATTCTCAAGAACTCGTCTGCGGACTTGTCCACTATGTCTCATGCAGACGTTGATCACATATTCCACGCCTCGGTTCAGGAATATCATTCTATGATCGGAACAGCAGACCCTGATATTCGCGAGTTCCGAGACAAAGGAGGGAAGATGATCACTTACCATGGATTGGTAAGTTTTATTGTTTTGCTACAAAGACTTTGATACTAATGGTATACAGGCGGATGAGGTTATACCACCGATGGGCTCGAAGCATTACTATGATTCCGTCACTTCCCTTGACCCCTCTGTCCACGATTACTACCGTCTCTTCTTTGCACCAGGTATAGCTCATTGTTTTGGAGGAAGCGGTGCATATCCAGATACCACTTTCGCTGCTCTTCGCCAGTGGGTTGAAAATGGAACAGCTCCAGATGTTCTAAATGCTACGAGTATTTCTTACACTCGTAGCGTGACATTTAGCAGACCCCTCTGCCCATATCCACAGAAGCAGTATTATGATGGAACTGGCGATGTGAATTCTAGGGAAAGCTTTTATTGCAAGTAGATATCTCCTATGTTGGAGAGCCTCTCATAAGATGGTTTCATTCCTGTCGAACTTAAATTGACAGGTTCTTGGGTGTCATCATCAACTCAGTACATATACTTGAGTAAAGTCCTACCAAACAAGTAATTTTGATTAACTTTTGTGTGGGGTTTCTGTGCAAAAATTGGAATGTAACAAATTGCTGGAAGTTCGGAAGCGAAATAGTATGAGAAACCATAAATGAATATTGTTCTCTCCAACTTACACTATTCATGGTGGACATCAAAGTGGCGGGTACTGAATCATTAGTGCTCATTGTGGCGAATACCGGTCACCTGATGCGAAAATCTCGCCCTCAACCTCGGACCCGAAACATCGCATCAAGTTTTTCTCCTTCGACTTTTTCATCTTGAACAACACGACATATTTCGGATTGTTTATTTTGTGGAACCATTGGAGGTGTTTGGGACATCTGTGGACATTCATTAGAGAAGGATTTGCGTTGTTGGTTGTTTGGAAGAGGGAGAGACATCGTCATCACGACTTTGCGGGGAAAAGTTTCATATTTTCTTCTCCGACCTTGTGCTACCCCAGCTTCCAATCGAGGTCACACTCGAGTAAGACATTGAGACGCAATGGTTCCACCATCTCAGAATCTCAATCTAGATATCACAGCCATCAGCGGTATTTGCGGGTATGTTACAATTCACGAGTCATGTCCGTTATACAAACTGTTCATTTCTGACTTGGGGACAGATCCATTTCTATTGCTTGTTGGGTCGTCGTTTTCTCTCCTCAAATTGTTGAGAATTTCCGGAGGGGCTCTGCAGATGGACTGTCATTACAATTCATCATTGTCTGGCTTGCTGGCGATGTTTTCAATATTCTTGGCGCCGTGCTCCAAGGAGTTCTTCCGACCATGGTATGAGAATATAGTCTCAATTGAACACTCATGCTAATAGAGTATAGATTATTTTAGCCGTATACTACACAATTGCTGATATAGTATTGCTATGTCAATGTTTCTACTACCGTGGATTCACATGGCACGACGAGGTCATCCCACCCAAACCTGCTCAACAGTCATCCAACGTCGGCGAAGCCAACGAACGGACTGGCCTCCTCTCACCAAGTATCGAACGGGAACGTCGTGACTCCGCGATCTCAGCAAGCCACCTTTCTCCAGCCATGCCTCTTTTGGATGCACCGAGAGCCTCCGATCCTCCCGCAATTGCAAACCAAAAGCCCACTACCCGTCTTCAAGCCACGCTTTTTAACCTCGTTGCTGTCCTGATGGTTTGTGCAGCTGGTATTCTAGGGTGGTACGTCAGCAACCGCTCTCAAGGTGGACAGCATCATTCCAAGGACCCTTCCTCGAGCGATGATGTCCTCTCTTTTAATCTGTGGGGTCAAATCTTTGGATACTTCTGCGCCGTGCTCTACCTCGGATCTCGCATCCCTCAACTTCTTCTGAACTACAGACGTAAGAGTACAGAAGGCATAAGCCTTCTGTTCTTTTTGTTTGCAGTGCTTGGGAATTTAACTTATGTTTTGAGTATCTTTGCTTATGAGCCTCATTGTCATGGTAAGCATGGAAAGTGCCACCCTGGAGAGGCATCAGGTATCTATGGTAGATATATTGCTGTTAATGCTTCTTGGCTGGCTGGTAGTCTGGGTACTTTGTTCTTGGATGCTGCCATTTTCGTGCAGTTCTTCTTGTACAGAGAAGAGGGAGAAGTTGAGGAAGAGAGTGCTATCGAGAATGGTCATGCGGCTTCCAATGGGAATGGAAGAGATCAGCGGCCCTTGCTCGAGAGAGGAGATTCAGGATATCAGTGAAGAAGGATATTAGCGCGAAGTTTGGCTATGTATGTATAGAAGGTGAGTTGAACATATTGCATCTTGGAGTCTGGTTGGGAAAATGGAGAGGAAAATTTTGGCATTTCATGGTAACTATTCATAGCTGGTGGTGCAGTGCTCTCAGCTCTAATAGCATATGGTTGAACTATATCGAATTCTGCCTTTCAGGAGCAGCCATATACAGTTCGCGCGATGCATTCCTCGCGTTTTTGTCTTGAAGAATGTTGGCTTATCGTCCCGCTCATCCATTCCTTCCTCTTTTCCAGCATAAACCTATTCTAGGTAGTCTAGGCTCTCCCTGTGTTGACCTGCCTTCTCTACCGTCCCGTTATTCACCTGTATTCAGAATTTCCAATGTCCAGTTACAGTGTAGTTCCTCCGACCGACGATGTCGAGGATGATATCCCACTGAAAGACCACCAAGCCAGTTCTCCACTCAAGCAAAGTTTCGAGATAGATTGCGCTGTTGGGACCACTTCCTTCATACACCACGAAGATGATGAGGAAGAACATAGTGCGCGCAATAGCAGAGAGTCGGTCGGCTTCGAAACTGGGGAGCCACGAAAACAACCATCGTTCCTGCGAAGAGAAATTACCATCTCGGTGTCATTGCTTCTTCTTATTGGCATATTTTCCCTCCTTCTATTGATACCGATTGTGGAGCTCTTCGTGCAACGACAAGTCATCGATGGTAAAAATCCGAGCAACTCAACTGGGATGAATCCCAATTATACCGTCACAACGGTTACAGTAGTAGCACCAGCACCACCTCCTCCAACGCCCTTATCTGATCCTCAGCAAAATCAAGCGACTGGTCCAGAGCTTGAAGACATCGATGGTGACCTTGATCCTCGTGCTCTCCAGGAGCTTTGTGCTCGCACAGTATGGCAAGACGGCCTTGTGATAACGATGGCGCAGAATGCAGCTGGTGGCCTTTCAAACGTTCGAAACGTTTTTCAGAATTCACTTCGGTTTGCTATCGAAGCTGGGGGTATGTGATGTACACCCTTCTTCTCACATTGGCGCTGACTCCACTCTTAATACAGCATCTGCATATGTCATCCCAAGAATGGTGCCTCGAAACCCTTGCGCGCTTGGAGACTGGTTGACGAACGATCTGAGGGACTTCTCACACTTGTTCGATCGGTCAAAATTCAAAGCAAACATGGCTATTGTCTGTCCACAAATGAAGATATACGACGATATCAATGACCTAGAAGGCCAGGATTGGGCCTTGACCAGTACCGAATTGTCACCGAAATCTCTCGATTCGGAAGTCCACCATGACTATACTACAGCTCACGCCAGCCTCTGGCGTAGTTTATTCGACAATTTCTTGATTAGCTCCAATGTGGTGTTTTCTCCCGCCCAACCTGCGCTACTTGAAATACACGATGCATTCCTCGAGTGGCCAATACAGGCCGATACCCCGGCAATTGTCGCCACCTTTGGTCGAATGTACCAGGCACCTTCTCCAATTCGCCAAATAGCAGTTAAAGTCTTGACTCAGCTTAAGACGCAACACTCACTCAACATTTCGCTGTCAAGAGGTGCTATCTTTTCTGATAGTAGTGTGAGCTACTTTGCATGCCACCTGCGCACAGAAGGCGACGCTATGGGAAATTTCGGCTCGTACGATCTTCAAGCAGGAACATATCTTCAAATCGCCTCTACTCGCGGCTACAAAATCATGTACGTCACGTCTGGCGATATCGGCGAGGTCGAAAGAATTCGAGCACAAGCCTTAACAGACCATGGCATTACCGTGGTGACGAAGTACGATCTGCTGAAAGGTGAAGACCGCGAGGCTCTACGGCAACTTAGTTGGGATCAGCAAGCTATGATTGATCTCGAGGTCTTATTGCGAGCTGGGTATTTCGCTGGTGTTGCGGCGAGTAGTTTCTCTTATAATGCGGCAGTGAAGCGACACACGATTTTTATGAGCAAAGATCCCAACGTGTCGTGGACCGATGGGGATATAGTGCAGCCGTGGTGGAGTACTACGAATGTGGCACCGGGACCTGAGGATGAGTTGAGTATGTTGCTGGCGAACGGAAATGGTGAGCTGTTTCAAGAAGGGTTATGGCCTTGATCGAGGGTTAGGATAGTGGGAGAGGTTATTTGTGTTACACTGGTGAGCTTTGGTGTTTGTACTAGCATCTGATTTTCCAAAGAAGATGTCATATATAACATAAAGGTCGGAGTAGAATGCTCCCACAACCACATGAATGACGAGAACACTTGCTTTCTTAACGTTTAATGGGCCTTTCATCCAGCGCCAATTGATCAGAGAGTCTCGAGCTCTTCAACTCTTGCAAGAAGCGAGTAGACAACAGCTGGAAAGGCTATGATTCTAGAACAAATTGGCTACCGAACCTCAAATTGTCTCCTCATCCCCACCAATCGGCACCAAATCCCCTTTCCCTCTGAACGACTCCAAGATATCTGCTTGTTCATTCAACAAAAATCTATCAGTCTGCTTCCCAATCTTCGCCAATCCTCTCCATCGCTCAAAATCCTCTGTCCATAGTCAACTCAATATCCTGCCAAGACAAGGACAAGCACATACCAGGATTCCGCTTATCACCATGCGCCTCTTTAGGATGCTCCCAATGTCCCTCGCTGAACCCAAGTAATGTCGAGACCTTCTTATTGGGAATGTCGTATACCAATGAACAGATCGTTCCCGTCTCTGTAGGTTCTCTGTATCAGCGTCTTCGCTTCATCCATGTCTCCTCGCTTAAGTGAAGAGAGCGAAAGGGGCCGTGGGACAAACCTTCAAGCCAATTGCACTGCCATAATTCTCCTGGCCTTATACACTGGTAACTTGCAGTCTGGTAATTGATCCTTCCGGCCATGGGACCACCGTGGATCGCGTAGACGATACGGGTTGGTGAGAAGAACCAGCTGATGATTTTAGTCATTTGATATCTTGTGAATGGAAAGGCAAAATACATCTCATATCTCCACTTTTCGGGGAGCTCATTCTTGTCTTTGGCGTCGTAGTCATAGATTAAGTGTACATCTCTTATATCTTTGTCGAATTGTGAAATGATTGTTGGGGAGGTAGTTCCGTGGGTTGCCCCTGGCATTGTGAGATTATTTTTTCAGAGAAAATTCTATGGTTTTGGAATTGAAAAGCAGATAAAAGCTATGAAGTTTTCAAGGTAATATGGATGCAGGAAAAGAGCGCATTTTCTGAAGTATATATACATTGATCTGAGGATAGTTGACGGGCTTTTTGGTGGATCTTGAGAAAGCGAGCCGGGCGGACCGAGACGTGGGATGATGTAGGGGGGTGCGACTAAGGAAAAAATTCGGGGCTTTGGGATACTTTGACGGGAGATGTTTGCGGCAGCTGTGTTGAGCTGAACCTGCTGAGAGGAGGAAATGAAATGCTGAGATACAGTGGTGTGATGAAAAGACGACCACTTCCATCGCCACGTCATGAGACACTGCACTGCGTTTGACTTTACGAGTGCCAGTGTAGTCTAAATATCTACTATATTCTATCTAGAACCTGATGTTTACCATAATCTACATCAAATCTTGGATTGCTCGGTGATATCCAGAAAACCCCCAGTAACAGCTGCGAGCAGCTGATTGGCAATAGCCGTCTTGGGTGGGAGTCTCAGCCCTCCCTCTTTATATCCTTCCGATGGAGGCTCTCCCAGACCACTTGTACCGTGTAGCAAAGCTTCTCGAATATCGTCCATTTCTACCCATTTCGCATCTTGTAGCTCCGGATCGTGTTCGAGGTGAATCTTCTCTCCGTCCGGCAATGCCTGTCCAATTGCTCCAATCATCAAATTCGCTGGATATGGCCATGGTTGCGTCGAGTGAATCACTACACGACCAAGCAGCACTCCTGATTCTTCCCAGACTTCTCTTCGTACAGCCTCTTCTACCGACTCTGCTGGTTCGCAGAAACCAGCCAGTGTGCTGTACCAGTAGTCTGGCCACCGCTTCTGTCGTCCAAGCAGTACTCGTTTGCCATCGTGGCTAACAACTGCCATGATTACAGTAGGATCTGTTCGCGGGAAGGACAAATTGGAAACGCCTCGTCTTGTGGCACACGATGCCCGTTCTCTTGGCGTCGTGGAAACAGTTGTAGCTCCTGCTTGTGCTGTTGGCAACTCGGCGAAGTCTGTTGGTGGGCAAACTCTCTTCGTTCCAGCGTTGACTGATAATGTAGGTTGTCCACATCCTCCGCAGAATGGATTTCGAGCATTCCAGTCGAGTAGAGCGCGGGCCTGAGCATATATAGCAGCTGCAGAAGTTAGTCAGATCTCTTGAACAATCTCGACGGTACACTACCTTCTGGGGCATTCAATGACATATGCATTCGTCCCTCAACGAATTTCAAACCCTTCGCCTTCATAGCTTCAACAACGCTATTCGCTTGCTTTTCAATCGTTCCCTTGGGTGTAACATCGACTGCAAAGTACGGTATGCCCTTATATATTCCATGCTCGAATCCTTCCTTCTTCCGTTCGTCCAGACCGAGGAAAAGAACCAAGGGCAGTGTGATTGTAGAATTATACTCCTTGATCATTTGCTCTTCTGTCTTCTCGAATGGATTCTCGCCAATCAAAGGTTTAATCTCTTCATGAGTCGCATATGCTAATTTCGTCATATCGTGAGCGAGGGGTGCGAGATCGTTGAAGAGGAGGAAGGACGTGCTGGGATGGACGAGAGCTTTCGAGATGAAGGCGTGGTCTGCGCGGAGAAAGGATACTCTATTCAGAGGGCTGCCAGAGAAGTAATTGGCAACCTCACGTCCAAATTTCCTGCTCAACATCGAGTCGACGTCGTGATGTGCAGGATCTGGAAGGTCAGGTTGCGGGGTCATAATTGCTGCGTCGTATTTGTTGAGGACCTGTAGGGGAACTGCAGCCTGCTTGCAGATTTCTGTTATGAAGTGAAAATCTGGCAAAACATGAAGACTTGATGATGATCTAGGAGGAAAAAGCGCTTGCTATGTAATGGTGGGGTAGAAACCCAAGACGTCGGGATTTCTCATCAATGAGCTTATCGCCGACGTGGAGGGGTGAACCGGGAATAAAGGAATATTGATCGTTATTCAGATGAGAGACCAGCCTTGAAAGAATACTCACACGACCACCTACATATGTGCTTTGCTGGAGTTGTAATCAATGTGCGGTGAGATAATTTGTTTTTGATGCCACTTGCAGTGCCGAGGTCTTTGATTTGTCGAACGCTGCACGTGACTGTCAATGTCCCGGATTTTGCACGACAATCGCCAGTGTGTTCTCGATCGTGTTCGAACATTGACCGTAGTCGTTGTCCTTTCACTCACCGCACCGTATTTTGAACCATCTGCTTGGAGCTGTTGCTATGTACTAGTCTGCTCTTACACGGCGCTCCACTGAAGGGCTTGCTCTGCTCTCTTGCGTTTGTCTGTAGCAATTGCTTCCTTGTTTCATGCATGTGCGGTTTAATCATCTGAATTAAAGCAGTCAGGACTTCCCTATAGCTGCATTTCTGAAAGCCTTCGCCGCATGTCACGGCAGAATTATGGTCTCGATGCGAGTGCTGTCACAACTTGGTCTGATTCATCGAAGAAACAGTTTTCGTTCATCTGTCAATGTGTCTTCATCCTACAAAGAGTCACAGATTTAGGCCGCGCTATTGCGGGTATGGTCGCTGGGAAAGTTTGGGTCCCAACCCCTTTTCGCTTCCCTTACCAGCTCTTAGCTCAATATCTAACTCAAATGCTCTAGCGAACAATACGCTAACAATTTTAGTACTGTTGAATAGCATTTTAACACTATGTTCGAGTCACAGATCATCTTGTATACCTTAACATAAGAGCGTCAAAATATATTTCCTCATTTCTTTTCCACTCAAAAATTGCAACTCTCACTGAAAACATACTTCCACTATGCCTTCCATAATATGCAGACAGTCCACAAAGACGGGCTGTTGCACACTCGAATCATATAATGCCGGCAAAGATCGATTTCGTGCTGTAGCTCAAGGACTACCATGCCCTTCGCCTTTCCGAACTTTTTGCTGTTCGAAGAGCTATCCCCAGTGGCAAGAAATCGACAAGAAGATCGTGGCAATACTAGACAAATACAACATCCCATGGCGGGGGATTAGTATCTATTGGAAATACCAGATAGGACACTATGGCAATGGGAAAGATACTTGGGATATCAGTTGTATCGGCAATGATACTACACACGTGAGTAACTTCTGTACCCATCTCGCCAGCCATTGTCTTTGCTCGAACATATGCTCTTACGAACATTTCTTAACAGTTGAATAGTTCAAATCCGCGGCGTTAGAAGTAGAGCAACTTGTGATATCGGCTGGTGTACCGAAAGAAGAAGTCCATGTCGAATTGTCCAACGTGGAACGCCTTTATAACCATGAACCGTACTGCATACCCGATGACCAGTCACTGATGGCAACTATCATCGATATACAGCCAAAGGTTGTGAAAGCCGTCCGAGAGCATATTCCAAAGATCTGGACATCGATTGCATATCACATGCGTGGGCGTCGGGGCTGTGAGGAACATGAGAAGAAGTCCACTATAATCATCTTCTGCAAGCCAAACTCTCAACAAGACTGGTTGAAAATTGAAGCTGCAATAGCTGCGGATCTTAGATCCAACGAGCATTCAGATGTTGTACTGCATCTAGAGTTTCTCCCAGGGCAGGTAGAGAGAGCCACGCCTTCACAGATTACTCACAAGAACGACTTCTTTCCGGATCCCCACCGTCGAGGTCCACCAGGAAATCTCACAGAAAAGCCTCGGAACGGTGTATCCATTGGACTTCAGGCTGAGCACAAGCCTTCCACATCGGGCGCTCTTGGAGGCTGGGTGGGAATTCAAATGCCAGACGGTCGATATGGCAAATATATTCTCACAACATACGACCTTGTCCGGAACGGAAGTCGAGCTCGTCGCGCCCTCAATGACTATAATGGTATTGGTCTCAATGGAGACTGACCCCAGACACCAATCAAGGTCTTATATCCAGCGCCTAGAGATACAGACGCGACGAGGGAATTTCTGGAACGGATGACTGGTGAGAAGACCGATGTCCGAGTTGAAGAAGAACGTCGTCTGTTGCGACTCGTTGATCAGCTCAATAAAGAAGGTATTAGATATGTCGTCCATGCTTCTGGTCAGCGAGTTGCCGCAAACAGCAATAAAACCTTGGACTGGGCACTGATTGACTCGCCCTCGACATTTCAGCAAAATCTCGCACCGTACAGACATTCCCCTGACTACCTTACGGTCTCCCTTACGGTCTCCGAACTTCTGTATAACGTTCGGAAAGGGGACTTCATCAAGGAAATTTCATCTTACCAACCAGGAGATCAAGTCGCGAAGAACGGCCGGTGTCCAATAAGCCAAGGTCAAGTCAATAGATTCCCGCGCCGTATCCGTTGGGATGATGGAAGTGAGACTTGTGAAGACGAGGTCCTTGGTGATCGTAGTCCTTTTGCTTATAGAGGTGATATCGGCTCGTGGATCCTGCTGACAGACTCCTAGCTTTCGGAGCTTGGAACGTGAATGTTTGTTTTCGATCTCTGACTCTGAACGACATCCTGTCAACAAAGCTATCGCATCACTCTGGTCTGGTACGGAACCTGTGAAATTCAGTGCTAGCGATAAAGATTGTAATAAACCACCTTATTATCCATTCCGGTGTACTCCAATGCCTACACGCATTTCCTCGGACGAGCCTTTATGGATAAATGGACTGCCACGTGACCCTCGCAGATGGTAAGAGTTTTCTTGAGCTATCATTTCTGCTCAATAGGATGTTAACAATTACTAGCTACGCTATACAAAACTCCCGTCAACCACTGTCACAAGTAACTCGGCGCTTGTTAGTTCGTCGTCCAACCTTCCATTGCTTCATGAAGCTCCCAATCGAGTTAAGACACGCCATCTGGGTTCTCGCTCGTCCCGAGGCACGAGTTGTCAAGATCTCGTTATCAAAAGCTCGGCCAACATTCGGCGAACTTCAACGTTTTGCTTATACAAAAGCGAAAGTCCCAAATCTTCTTCACGCCTGCTCTGAGTCCCGACAAGTGGCCCTGAAATGGTACACGATTGCATACAACAAACCTAAGGACCAATCTCTGTTCAACAAATTATTCCAGATTGCTCTCCGTCGCACTGTATATCCCCCGATCTACTTAGATGTGAAGGCAGATTTCATATACCTACATTGTCGGGTTTGCAAGGGCGAGGTATGCGATCTTTCCACGGATTGTGGTGTGACCAGCGACTGGTCAGAAAAATCAAAGTCGCCAAGGATCATATGTGAGCAACCACAATATACCATACCTCCCGTATTGTGGTTCCACCAGATTGAAGAGATTTTTGTTGCCACTCCAGGATATGGACAGAGACTCCAAGCAGGAACGCCAGCCTCGAGGTTCGTGATTGAAAGGAATGGTATCAAGATGAGATTGGACTCTTTGAATCGTTACAAAGCTTTGTGTAAACTGGAGGCACGGATCGGGAAGAACTGCCCGCCTGTGCCCAAACGCTTGGATGCAGTCCAATCTGGAAATCCTCCCAGTGGCATACCTAAGCGTCCTATTCTCAGAGGTTTGCCAAGAGAGGTGCGCAACGCAGAATTGGAGAAGGCAAGAAGACAAGCAGAGCTGGAAGCCGAAGACCAGTGGGAGGAAGAATCCGATGCAATAGTCTTTAGTGAGGAGACGTGGAACAAGAAGCAGAAGACACGAAATGGTTTCGTTCCGCTCTGGACTACATACACCCCAGCACAAACGCAAACTTCCAAGGAGTGGAAGCCAACATTGCGTAGATAGAGGTTTTTCGGAGATTTTATTGTACAAGTTCAGGGAATGTAAAACATTTGTACATGTGAAAAGACTATTGAGTGAGTCTTTTGTGCAAGTTTCCGCTTCACATTCTTGTGATTATGATTTACCTTGGAGATTTTTATAAGTAAAACCAAACCGGCTATTGCTAGGAACTTGGCGTAGCTGCCTTGGGCTGATGTCGTGGACAATTGCAAAAGACACTTACTTCAGTTGCCCTACAAAGAGATCCTACATCCTTTCCTCAACCCAACAACCACATAGTTGGCCTCTGCAAACCACAAAATGGACCGATTAGACAACTCAGTGACAGCAAATGAGCGATACTCTGTAGGGTTCAATTTCTTCTTTCTTTTCAACTCACCTTACTGACGCAGAAGAAAAAAATACATTCAGCTTTTGGAACCTGTCGTTGTTGCTTGTCAAACAGCATGGTAAAGTTTGTTCCACGTTCTCTCAATCCCGCCGTAAGACAGGGTTGGCACAGATGCTTTGCATCCCTCACTGACTTCAGCCAACCACTAGTAAAGCTAGTGGCAGCCACGGACAACCATCACGCTCTCCGTCCAATCAACAGCACTCTTACGAGTGCTAATCGTTGTTGGTTTGCTGCAACATGCCCGTGTGTGATAGTGGCATAGTCTCAATGCAGTGGGCAGGGGAGCTTCCGCCAGTCAAAGACAAAGCTTGGCTTCCCGCTTACTTGGATACGGCCTTGAACCCCACTCTAGCCCGCTCACTCGCCCTGATCATCTCGACCAATGCTCGAGATAACCATAGGCGAGGATCTGATAAAGAAGCAGCTTGCCCTGACATATCGGAACTGCCCTCACCTCCCTCTCGCTTCAGATTGCTCCTTCAATCGAAGTTCTCGTGTTAGGTCTCATTTATTGTACCCATAGATATCGAATATCAAAGATCAGAAGAACCGCCAACACTGCTTTTACGAATTGTTAGGTCAGAGCGCAAAGAAGAGCTATGTCCGATACAAAAGATGGAGGCATATCGCCTGTAGCCTCAGACTCAGCAGTGGACATTGACCAGAAGAACCAAGTGCGCGCCGGTGTCAGCTCTACTCCTGTCCATCGAGTAGGATGGATGGAGGCTGTCAAGAGCGTGCTCCTGGCCAAAGCACCGGTAGCGGACGCTCCCCTAGAGTTTGGAGGTCACAGAATTGCGGAAGAACCTACCAAGAAGCTCGGTGTTGGCGGAGTTCTATCCAAGTTCGCACGGTTCTTTGGCCCAGGAATGATCCTCGCCGTCGCTTACGTTGATCCGGACAATTTCCAGACGTCTGTTGAGGACGGCCAGGATTTTGGATACAAGATGCTGTTCATGGTTCTATTCTCTCTTGTCGTTGCCATCTATCTTCAGGTTCGTGGATGATGTTTAGCCTCCCTCGATTCGAGGCCCTTATGTTTGGTTAATCGCACCTGACTAACAACATGGCAGTATCTCTGTCTAAGAATGGCAACCGTTACAGGACTCAATCTGGCCCAGATGAACCACAAATACATGCCCCGCTGGCTAGAACTATCTATCTATGCTGTTGCGGAGGCCTGCTGTATTTGCACCGACATTAGTGCTGTCATCGGTACTGCCTTTGCTTGGAATCTTCTCATCCCCAAGCTCCCACTCGATGCAGCATGTGTGATCACAGTATTTGACACCCTTCTCATCTTGCTCTTTTACTCACCAACTGGTACGCTTCGTCACATCCGCTATTTTGAGATGTTCATGGCCGCTCTCGTGGCCGTCATTTTCATCACTACTGCCATCGCCCTTGGCCAGGTCCATCCAGCACCTGGCCCGGTGTTCAAAGGATTCTTGCCCTCGCGCGAGATCTTCGTCAGTCAAGGCATGTACTCTTCGGCCGGCATGGTCGGAGGTATGCTAATGCCACATGCCTTGTACGTCGGCTCTTCGATTGCTCAACCTCGCCTTCTCGAGTATGATACCAAGTACCACATTACCACCTTCCGACAGAACGAAACGCCCATCGACGTATTCTATCGCCCCAGCCTCCGTGCCATCAAGTCCACCCTCCGCTACGCAACGTGGGATCTCTGTCTAGCTATCTTCGTCGTTGGCCTCTTTGTCAACTCCGCTCCAGAAATCCTTTCCGGTGCCGCTTTCTCCCAGGATGGCAACTTTACCGATCTCTACGACCTGTACAGCCTCTTCCAGACTGGCATCAACCAGCTCTCGGCCACTATGTTTGCCGTCGCTTTCCTCTTCTCCGGGATTGCTGCTGGAATCGTGTCGACCATGGCTGGACAAACAGTCATGGAAGGTGCCTTCCAGATCAAGATCAATCCTTTCGCCAGACGCTTGATTACACGGTGCATAGCTATCATTCCGGCTCTTATCGTCACCGTATCGGTTGGTCAAGAAGGCATTAGCAACGCGCTGACTGCTGTAAACTACATCCTTTCCATCGGCCTCATCTTCGTCCTGCTCCCGGTGATCTGGTACGTAACGCACGATAAGTACATGAGCGTACTCAATGACGAGGGAACGGAACTTGTTAGCTTAAAGCTGGGTTTGACTGGAACTATCTTTGCGTGGGCTGTCTGGGCGATTGTCATCGTTACTGACGTTGCGACAATTGTCTTGCTTGGATTGGGATTATCTGACTAGGATAGATTTGCTGAGACGATTTTCTTTCTTTCGTCATTTGCCATTTACATTTTCATGCAACAGTTATGACCGGGACCGGGACTGGTATAAAGTGGAAGTAGAGACTGTGGTGTTAGGAAGAGGTCATATCTTTTTGCCTTGTTATTACCCTGTACTTAGCTGTACTTGCCTACGTTTGTGACTAAGGCAGATAGGCAATCATAAGAGAGTGCTCAAATGATGCTACTTTCAGCTTAAGCTCAGATATGACTCGTGTAGTTGTATACAACAAATCGAGAATAATATCCAACACTATGGAAAGTCCCGCACATGTTCCTCCCTTAGCTCTTCGCCTCCTGACTCAAGCGAACGGTTCACGAAAGACGTCTCGCACTTCCACTGTCCTAGAAACACCCCGCAAACCCACACAGAGTATCTCGAATGCTCTCCAACACCCTGGATAGTGCCTCCATGTCTCACTTGCCTACACTTCCACGACTCGAAATATACCCTTTGTGCTAGAACCTCGAGGTCAATATATATTCTCTCATTCTTCCTACCCTACCCTCTCCCTCCCTCCTTCTAAACAATATTCAAACTTTCAACAAACAACACTCGTCAGCAATAATATCCATATAAAAAAAACACCAACATCAATACTAATATCACCAGCCTCATCACCATGGCACCCAAGAAACTTAGCACTAAAAAGAAGCCCAAAGAAACGGGCGGCTGGATCTATACCACTCCCTCCACCTGCAAGTCCCCAGCTGAACTTAGCGTCATCGCAGCCGGTTATCCATGGGTCTCCATCACGACCATGAAAAAGTCCCTCCCTCCCCCTTCCCTTCAAAGAAAGTCAAAACTGATAATTTTCCCAGGGGCAAAAGCACACCCTTCAACTCCTATGCTTATAATACCACGCACTACATCATCAAAGGCGAGTTAACATTCCAGAGAGAGGGCGTGCTACCTGTTCGTGGTTCGAAGCGTAAGCCGGTTACGCGTTCCCAAATCGAACGCGATGACGTCGGCCGCTTCCAATGCGACATTGCGGGGATTGTTTCCGCTAAAGATATTGTCCCCATTGCAAAGGGTGTGATGTTCAATGTAATGGCATTGCACGCGAGAGATGGAGAGGCGAAGTTCGTAGAGGGGTACGAGGTTTTGAGTTGCGAGGTGAGGGATAAGTTGTTGAAAAGGGGCGATATCAGTTGGGAAGTTGGAGGCGAGCATGAGGGCAGGGTTGATAGGGGAGTTAGGGCGGAGGGAGATGTTAGTGCTACGGTGTTGGAGGGGATAGTGTTGGGAACAGGGAGTGGGAACGTGAAGAAGGTTGTGGTTGATGGAATGTGGAAGATGGAGAGGGGAAGGAGGGCACAAGATAGTAGTGAAGAGGAGAGTGGAGGAGAGGACAGTGGGACTGAAAGCGAGGAAGAGGTTGTGGGTCATGGTCGAAGGAAGGGCAAAGAGAAGGAGGTCGCTAAAGCTGGACCTTCGAGAGAGAAGGGAAATGGAAAGAAGGCTGCTAGTAGAAGCACTAGCAGGATGAAGGGAAGCGAGAAAGGAGAGAGTTCCAAGAGCAAGGAGCAAGCTAGTTGTTGTTGAATGCTCAGGAACGAAACAGAGTGTCAAAGGTCTCCACCACAAAATTAAACTAGTCAATAAACAGCGAAAGAGGAGGTATCTTATTCTTGAAAAAGTACGTACAGACAACAATACAGGCAAGAAGGCCTTGTCTCAATGTTTTCGAACGTTTGAGGAATTTGTAGTTGAGTATTCGGGACACCGAGAGCGGGGACAGCGCGGACAGCGCAAAACGCGCAATTGGCGCGTATCTAACTTTTATTGTTTTCAAGCATCCGATTTACAAATTCCCATTAATATAGTAAATTTTAGCTAAAATTCATGAATGATGATCTCATTTTAAGAACAGAAAATGCCGACGCCTTGATATTTTTGCCAACGAATTCGTCATTATGTAAGAACAATCGATCACACTCGTAGGATTCGTTTCCTCGGATCAAAGAAGCATGCTCTGCATGAGCTGAGCCTCAGTACCATTCCGCGAAGAGTGATACACAACAAATTAGATGCGCCCTTCGTTGGTAGGCTCGTGGGATCCAAAGTCAGGTAGGATCGCCTCGAATGAATGCATGTTGGCCTCAGCCTAGGGAATGTGGTACTGCAAGGTTGCTATAGCACTTCAGAAGGCGTTACAGAAGGCGTATTAGCCATGTGGCCATACAAGATCGACACATCGGGAGCCTCATTACCGCTGGTGTGAGAGCCTCAGTTCTGGCAATAGCAGGGGCCTTTCTGGTTAAACCAAGAGGGGCCATGGTGACCATCTGAAGGGGCACAAAAGGCTCTGTTTACATCAGGCTTCAGGGCCAAACTTTCGATGTTTCTCCGAGTATGATCTTGAGGAACAGAAGCAAACTTTCAATAAAGCTGCAATAAGAAGGCACAGCTTGTGGACGTTTATCGTTACATAGTGAATGCAGCCTACTCGGTGACTTGTCCTATAGAAATCTTTGGTACTGAAATTGTGGCTAAATGCAAGATCAGGGTAACATCGTGGTTTGCGCTGCAGATCTAAGAATGGGAGTGTTTCACAGCCTCATTACCCAAATGATAATGCGCTCCTTCAAGATTGTTTTCAATTATAGGTCTAGCCAGCACCATTCTTGGAATTAGGTTTGTCGCAAGCATAATCCTGTGCCTTGTTACTTTACGCTCAAGACATCAAGCCTCCAGCTTTGGAGGCAAGTCACTGATCCGCAAAGATGTATGAAGGTAGCCTTGCACCTGGTCTAGTTACTGCGCGACTGCGAGTTGCCAGCCTTCCGGGCGTCAGTCAGCACTAATGCAAGTCCAGTCTTGGCATTGAGAGGGGCACAATGCGCCTTACTTATTGCGATAAGATGCACCTTCACAAATTGAGGCTCTGCTTATATAGCCTTGATTTATAGCTCCTTCCGCCCCCAATAACCACAAATGCATGCAAGATTCCAATATTCTTACGAGGCTCTAGAAGATTTACAGTAGATCAGTTCCTAACCCTCTTGACATGTGGTCTGAGGCTCTCAGCAGGTCAAAGTAGGCCTGCCGCCTTTGGAAGATATAAAGCCTCACGCAGTCGACCCTCTCAAATCCATACTTTCTCTCTGAAGTGTTCCCTGAAACTTTATTTTTCATTCTTCACCATATAGCATAATATCTGCCACACTACTTTCAGCTTTATGTCCATCATCGTAGCTCGAAACAATCCGACTATTTTCACGAAGTTCCAAACGAATCAAACTTTTGAATAACAGCAAAAGCTCAACATGAACCTCGGAATGTTTGCACAACTTGCTGCGCTCCTGGCTCTATCTCCCGTCATCATAGGAACGCCATCCTACCTCAGATCTCCGGGAGTGAACGTTCCAACCGTCATTCCAACACCAGAGAACCCAGACATGACACCAATCCTGCAGGCCCTCCAAGCACAAGGTCTCAACGCAACATTCGGTAGGGTCAGAACATCCGATGCTTCCTCCACCATTGAGAATACCGAGAGACGCTCCCACAGCCTAGAAAAGCGAGTGATACCAACCTGCATCACTTTCGGCTCAACACCCTACCAAGACGACTGCAACTACGCCAAGAAACTAGTCATCAACACAGCTATGAACTACGATCTGGCGCCATACGGGTGTCAGCGCTCCAGGACCATAGGCTCAGAGAACGACAATTCTTCGTAGCGTAGGACCTGGATTAAGCAAAGCCATGTTAATTTTCCTTAGCTTAAGATGGTTGAAACCTTGGTCAAGTAATGATAGTAAACCAGTGGATATACAAGAAAGAAATTCCAAATGGGGTTTTCTATACAAATAAACCCCTTATCTAGAGCGAGGGTGATTCGTGCAATGAAATCATCCCCCAACACTTAAAAATATTTCAATTATATTATATCTATTTATACTTTAGCAAGACTTGATTTCTAGGAGCATAGTAGTGGTACGTAAAATATGTTTTTACATGTAATCTACGTTTAGGTGCGCTGCCTCTTTGAGTTTAGCCCACTTGCTTCGGGAATGGCGCCTCGCTTATCGAGCCGCTGCTTTTGACGACGTCTATAGGAACCCCCTTTCCTCCCTCATCAACTCTCTTGACTAATTCCAAAACTTTCCACTTTACTCATGCGCGGCTCCTTCCTTAATTGGATGCCAGCCCCGCTACCTCGCCTTGGGTCCGTTAGTACTCGTGTCTTTACCTGTTTTGGTGGTCCGACAGTACACTTGTGCCCCCAACACCAGAGGGGAGTTAAGCGCTTACATTTCCCAAAGGGGTAAGAACGAACCAATTTCCTGCAAACACTTGGATGTCACTCTTTTGAGACACACAAAGTTAGCTTGAGAAATTCTCTCGTACGTCGAAGACAGGTCTATAAATGCCTTGATACTGCTTAACATCCTCCTCCCAGTGAATTCCTATCCTCATGTCATGATCCTACTTCCTTTCCAATCACTAATATGATATGATATGAGGAGACCTTTGCTTCTTCAAATGGCTCATATCTCGCACTTTCATCCGCCCTGCCAACCAACCTTATACTGCCCACTCCACAGTCCCAGGGAGAACATCCAGCTTGGCGGACACCTTACATCCACCTCCATATCCATTCACTCAACTCGTCCATCGTTGGCCTGTGTGTTATCAAGTCATCCTCACTTCTATCGGCCGATGAGACGCGGCGAAGAACGATTCCGGATAAGCTATTCATACGTCTTTTCGGCTCCGAAGTCATGATGGAGGACGATCTCAAGTAAGCTTTGTTTGGCTGAGGGCTAGAAATGTTGCAAGAGGGGACTGAGGTATGTGGAATGTAAAGTGAGCAGGTGGAAGAATGACTCAGGAATAGACACGGAGCGTGAATCATAAAAAGTTTCTGTACTCTTAATAGAGTGAAATGCCGTCTTTCGATTGAGTGAAACTTTTCCAAAGGGGCGCCCTGCAAACCAGTGATAGTGAAACACATAAAGATTTCAGCATGCGAGCCCCTGAACTTTTAGAGGTCGTAGCCTGAAAATCCTTAACGCAATCGCTGCGGCCCTTCAAATCTCAAAGTGCGGGATAAATTTACCTCTCATCTGTAACTTGTAACGAGCCTACAGACAAAAGTCCGTGCTTTTAGGGCATTTCACACCAAAATTATTAATTTGAGCCCTAATTACAGCATTTAATTAGGAGTAGACCATCCATGACGTTCCATTAGCATATGAACCCAATGCTCCTGCTTTAGAACCAGCTCATTGATCCATTCCTAAGGTATTCTATCCCATTCTTCCAAAACCATGATCTCCATTTCTGCCTCTGTACTAGGCTGTTTTCGGCGGCGGTGTAGAGCCTGTTTTATCCTCCTCCAGCACTTTTTAATAGGGTTCATATCAGGACTTGTGGAAGGGTGAGGCATAAGAATAATGCCATGCTTTGTACGCTAGATAGCACAGCAATTGCCTGTGCTCTTGTGGCCATGAGCTGAGTTCCCATCCTCCATAAATAAGGGCTCCACAGAAGGGCGAAGTTGGTGAATTATAGTAGCAAAAGACTCTAGAATTCTCTAGATATGAGGCTCTAGAATCTGTGCCAAGTAGTCTATCTGTTTGAAAGCTCTTGTTTTGCCTGTGCCGTGAAAAAATAATAAAGGGTTCTCGTAGCCGTAGCCTATTGCTCCCCATGCATTAACTGGAGTAGTGCGGCCTCTGTGGAACTGGTGCTGAATGCAAGTAGGGTGGTATCTCTCTCCAGCCTTCCTAGTTACCCTCTGCTTGACAGTTCTGCCCCCCACTAAGAATGTAACTTCATCAGACCAGAGCACCTTCAGCCACTCTATAGTCCAAAAGATGTATGCCACTGCCCATATAAATCTGCCAATAACCTGGGCCCGAGTAAAGTATGGTTTCTGGCATGCAACACAGCGAAAATAACCCCTCTGCTTTAGCTTTCTCTCCAAAGTCTTGACAGAGCATGTGAGCTGCAGCTCAGCATGCAAGATGGTGTAGTCCAGAGCTCTGTGCTCCCATGATTCTGAGGCATATTCGATTATATCGTCCACCTAAGCGTCTGAGAGAAGGAGAGGTCTGCCAGTTCTACTGATTCTGACACGTTCAGGGGCATCATACTGCAAAATCTTATTAATAGTGCTTCTGCCAAGAGAGTAACGTGTCATAAGGCGCTCAACTAGGATCTTGGCAAAGCCATAAAGCTCACGTATCGCATTCTTATCTTTTTGTAGGGACCTCTGCACCTGGTTGGTGGTTAAATTCGAATACAGGTGTTGTGGGGGCCATTTTGTTGATTATTTTAGAAGGTGCGGTCGCTAAAACATCCCTAAGAACACCCTAAAAGCACGGACTTTTGTCTGTAGGCTCGTAACCACATCGCTAAATCGATAGGGGCAACAGCAGAGTTTTAGGGACCAATTATCTAATCTTCTAGCGATTCATACCCCCTACTCGCAGAGTAATGTACCACCCAGCCCACGAAAATCAAAGACTTTCTCAGCCCTGCTCTCCCTATGAGGCTGCATTCTGTAGACTTTCAATTATTTTGGTGGCGCAAGAATCCCTACGGTACTGGCTCCCTTTTTCAGCCATAAGCCTAATCTAACTGCTATCTCCATTTTGGGTCGACATCAACCGAGAGGCGCTCGCCAACGACCGTTATTTGCTCCTCACATCCCATGTTCCATGCCAATTCCGCAAATGTCTTTCTCGTGTAAATGATTTAAACATTTTGGCTGAGACAAGTGTCATCGCTATTGGATGGCATCGTTCTGAGAGCAAAAGCAAAGTTTGAGTGCAATTCATTCAAGGGTGCCTCGTCTCTCTCCCTAATTTCGTTGCGTTGTTGAGCTTTCCTGTGTCTCCGATATTGATAGCTTCGTTCTTTGTCCACGATGACGAAGGCCGCGGCCTTGTTCGGATTATTGAATCTTTCCGTTGCCGCACCTTCTATGCTCGAACGCCATTTCGCTCCCCAGGACATAATGACTCGCGATGTTGTGATCATTGGAGGTGGAGCGACCGGAACTTATGCTGCGGTCCGCCTGCGAGAAGATTTCAACAAGACTGTGGTGGTAATTGAGAAGACAGATCGACTTGGAGGACACACCGAGACCTACTTCGACCCTGCTACCGGCTATTCTGTCGATTATGGTGTTCAAGCTTGGATTGATGGCCCAATCGTCCGTGCCTTCACTGGAAGATTCAACATCCCTCTCGTTACTGCCGTTCAACCACCATTTGCGACTGAATATATCGACTTCAAGACTGGGAAGTCAGTCGTGCCACCATTCACACAGGCCGATATCACAACCGCACTTACTACCTACTTCGGAATCGTCTCGCAATGGCCATTTTTGGTTGAAGGATACAATCTTCCCAATCCTGTGCCTGCGGAGCTCTTGCTCTCATTTGGAGACTTTGTCACAAGATACGGACTCCAAGCCGCTGTTCCAACGATCTGGACGTTCGCACAATCTGTGGGAGATTTTCTCAATACACCGGCACTCTATATTATTCAGACATTCGGACTCCCCCGGCTTCAAGCCCTCTTCGAGGATTGTTTCGTCGTTCCAGCCGACCACTTCAACAATGAGATCTACCTTAAAGCTTCGGCACTACTCGGCGTAGATGTACTCTACAACACGACTATACTTGATGTTGCTCGCCATGATACTAGTCTCCAGCAGATCACAGTCAAGACGCCAACCGGACAAAACCTCATCAAAGCCAAGAAGATTTTTGTGACAATAGCACCCATGGCAGACAACCTCAAGCCATTCACGCTCAATCATCACGAATCGTCTCTTTTCAACCAATGGCAGTACACAACATATTACACTGGCATTATCCGCAATGGTATTGCAGACAATGTCAACATAATCAACACTGCCAATGGGACTACGCTCAACCTTCCTACGCTGCCATATGCTCAGGAGTATTCTCTCAGCGGCATTCCCGGTCTCCATACTTTTCACACCGTCAGTGTCAAGCCTCAGAAAGACCAAGATGCCCAGATTCTCGTCCTGTCTAGCATTGCTGCTATGTCCGCAGCAGGCACAATTCCTGCAAGCACGCTATCCATCGAAGTCCTCTCCAACCACACCCCGATGCTTCTTCGCGTCACAGCGGATTCGGTCAAGAATGGCTTTCATACTTCTTTGTATGCGCTGCAAGGACTGAAAGGTACTTTCTACACTGGAAGTGCTTGGGCTGGCGATTATACGAGTGTGCTATGGGGCTTTATCGATGCGCTTTTGCCAGGTATTGCTGCAGCAGCTGTCTGAGTTCGAGACTGCTTCTAAAATACGATAATGTACTCACCTTCTAGGATAGGATTACCTCCAAGGAATAGTCTCTAATCAAATAACAAATTCAAGCCTTACATTCGGCGAGACCGAAGTCGTTCCAGATTTTACTTACCTGTCACGTGAACCTCCCTCCTTTTCATCGGGTACCAATGGCAGCAACAAGCGAGCGCATCCCACGCCGGCTATTGGCGGGAGAGGCAAACACAGTGGGGTGATGGTTCTGTTAATGGTTCTTTCAGGGTTTATGGTTCATCCCCAAGCTAACCGTCGCTCGATTCCAGATAGAAGCTTGAATGAATGGGATTTATGGGCTCAACACTGGAAATTTGCCCTTGACGGCCAATCAAGTATGGTTATAATGCTTTAGGCAAATTGCTACATATAGACTTTCGTTATGATACAATAGTATCGTATTTGGCACGTTCTAAAATGTACAGCAACAACCTGGGCATCAACAATGTCCGCCTGCTGAATTATCTATGGCTGCGGAATCCACATCTTCACTAGTGGACGCCGCTTTCGCCCCGTCTAAAGAATGACGCGTTGGGGATGGCACAAGTTGCCAAGGTAGTATTATAACAACGAACATCGTCACAAATATAGGCTGCAGCACTTTAATGCTATAAATATCGGCAAGTGCTCTTACCAAAAACGGAAACATAGCGCTTCTAGACTGTCCGAGGCAAGCTATGAGATTGAGCGCTTGCGGGTGATGTCTATAAAGATTAGCTTTCGTTACAAGAGATACAGTGATAAGGTATACAAGACCTATAACGAAGCCACATGCCGCAATGGCGCTGCCGGAGACAACAACGCGCCAATGCCATAAATCGCATGCACGATTCCCAATTTAGTCGCAGCGCTAGGGGGTCGTGCGATGTAGGTATTAAATTGGGCATCTTAAAGGGCCAGGCCGAAACCAGCGAGTGTATAGCATATTAGGATAGCGATAAAAGGTAGACGGAACGTAATAATAGCAAACGCTAGTCCCTAAATAAAAGCACTTAAAACAAAGAAGTATCCAAGTTTAAGTCGAGTGCTAAGAGTAACGTTTAGCAGCGATATAAGAGTATATTTTGTAAATAAACCGATAAAGCTAAAGGACACTTTTTTATCGCTAACCCCGCTATAGTAAAGTTAAAGGTATAAAATAAGAGCTTTTATGCATCTATCGTGCTAGCTTTAAGACGCGGCAAAAATACAATAACTAACGGTTCGAGCTAAAGCATGAAACCTATCAGGCTTTTTAGCGTCTTTAATAGTATCGATCTACAAGATGTTGTCGCGTAGGCGGTCGGCCAATAGAGGCTGCTCAGCCTCATCGTAAAGGTCTGGCATAAGAGTTTGGAGGATAAAAAGTAAGTTAGAAAATTGTGAAAACAGAACATGTGTTAAGGTGTTAAGAGATGTTGAGAAGTAGCTAGCAACAAGACGCTCCAAGAGTGGCAGCGATGAGCCGGGTGCTGAACCCAGAGCTATATCCTGATATCCGCCGTTCCAAAGCTAGAAACTGGGAGACGAGAGAAAGAAGAGTTTATCGTTTGTAGTTCGGAATCGAGAGCCGGTGGAAGGAGCTGTGTTCGTGGTCGGAAGCTGTAAGGAATGAGCATGAGAACTGGAAGCTGGTGCGGGAGCAAAGGGATTGGAAAGCTAGGGCCACCAGGGCCATAATATGAAACACTTGACTCACGTGTATATTATTCTTGGAACTTGATTCTTCCGACTCACGGATCACTATTTGTTGTCCAAATGCTGAGTATTTTCACGTACATCTTCGAATTGAAGAGAAATGGAAGAAGAGCGAGGATAGAAAATATTCTGCGAAGTTAATAATGATGACGGTCATCACGTGTAGATAAGGAGTGTTGTGCGAAAATGGGGCTTCTCTTACAAGAATGCAACGTAGGATCGAGAGAATACAAGGAAAGCATTACAATGACAGAATGGAGAAAATTGATGTCAGCCAAATGAGCCTTCTCCTTGTGACTTCAATTTTTCATTTGCAAAACGGCATGCTTCCTGCTCTGTCATACCTAGGTGTCTCGGATGGTACGGACCGTGCGGTACGAGGAGAACAAAATAATTTTGTCCGGGCAAAATGTCTACATCCCCTGACAGAGCCTAATCCATCTCCAGCTGATACCCTTTCATTCTTTTATGTCTTGCCTTCAATTTCGAAGAATCATATAAAAGTCACGTGGAAGAAGGAGGTCTTAGATGTCTGATGTGCGATTTTATCCCAAAGAATTGAGCTTTTGAAATTAAGTATACAAGTTCCGAGTTTATCCAATCTTGGCCGTCTCGAACACCTTACCACTAGATTCATTCAATAAATAGCTGTTGGTATAGTTGGATTCAGAAATTGAGATTGTTTCCGCAGCCTTCAAACCCCCTCCGATTATCGCGACCTCATGGCCGCGAACAAACAAGATATCCTTCCTGACAGTACACCCAGTGATAATTGTAGCACTAGTGCTAAGCCACGCCGAAGGGATGAAGAAGTGGCGCTGAAATGTCGAGTGAGGAGATGAGTTTCTCAGGTCGATTGAGCAGATCCAACCCGTTTCTGAGATGAACAGTAATAGAGGGCTACCAAAAGGTCCAGGTGCAGTTCCTAGAAGTAGCTTGACTTTAGGCGTATGGTTCACAGCTTGTGATGGAAAGAGGGGCTCGGGATGGAGTGACGGTGGTGGAGGTTCAGTCTGTGAAAGGTCGAGTATATAAAGTACGGGATCGTTGGTGCCATTCAAAGCAGCAGGGGGTTCTCCCTCGACATTGAGGCCGAGCTTCACGACAAGCTTGCAATCATTCTTTTGCACAACCATGCTTTTCAAGTCGACAAAGCGATGACTCCCCATGGAAATTGGAGTTTCTACATCCGGAGAAAGAATTGATGATGCATCCCACCGGAATGATTGAAGCGTCGAATCTTCTAGCAGCAGAATCTTTGTATTATCCTGAGGGTGTGTGAGCCACCTCCATTCCGTCCGGTGCTCAATTTCGCGAGAAGAAACAACACTCCTGGTCTCGAGTGACCAGATAAAGTCGGCGGTTGAAGATGAGACGAGAAGTCGCGTGCCATCAGGACTGATAAGCAATTGAGTGATGAGTTGCCCATATGGCAGCTGTGCATTCAAAATCTCATCGCGAACATCGATGGTGTGCTGGCATTCTTTGAAGAGACGGACAACTTTAAAAGCACTTGAAGCATCGGCACTGGCGACGAGCTGATAAGTCTCATTCCAGTCTAAAGAGAGGATAGCCATCATTATGCCTTTGGGTTTGCATAGCTTTTGGAATGTAGTTTCGCTCGAGGTGATGTCGCATATCGCAATTGAACCACTGGCTCTTCCGCAGATAGCCATTGTCCCCTCATATACAGTTTGGATGACTGTAATATTCTCGTTCTGGTCATCAAAAGTAATTCCTGCATTTTGAATGGTCCTTTCGGAGACGTCGCTAGAAAATTCGCTTCGATCCTCGTTGGCATAATCCCACTTTCTAACAAGGGCGTCAGGCTCCCAGACGTTGACTTGAGTGCCACGAAGATCCATAACCCGCAAGCTATCACCTGTGAAAGCTAGTGCACCTACTCCATCAGAGAGAGAGACACGATACATCAATTGTAGCGTTTCGAAATCAAATAGCTGGACATTTCCATTTGAGTCTCCGCCAGCTAGCGTCTTTCCATCTGGCGATACCGCCAGCACTTGCGTTTGTATCTTCGCATGACATCTCATAGTCCTTGAAGTCGTTTCAAAAATTGCGATGTCTCCATCCCAATAAGCAACAGCGATGAGATTGAGGCCTGGGTCAGAATTGAAACAGATCGAGTTGATGTTGTTGGAGGTGTCGCTACCATCATCAGGTGTCTTGGTGCAGAATCCTAGATGTTGCTGGGTGTTAAGGTCCCACAGGCAGAGCGGCAAGCTTCGATAGACTATCGCCATTAATGTTTGATCCGGAGAGATGGCAACGGAGGAAGGAGCTTTGGAAGTGATATGTTGGAACTCGAGGGGCAAGTTGCGGTGCCAAGTATGTTGCGAGATCAGATTGCCATTTTCCGTCGACCAAGTGAAAAGTTGCTTCGACCTCGTAGCGGCCACTACTCTCCTGTCGTCATCGTTGAAGTTGACTGCCATAGGATCGGATTCCAGTCGGTACTCCCACAACAGAGACCCAATGCTCACGTCCCACAATTTGATGATGCGAAGACCAGTAGAAATCAAGGTCTTTCCAAGGTTCCCGAAGCAGAGGATCCTTACAGCCTCTCCGTGATTCAAACGGATGAATTCTTGACATGTTGACGTCCAGTACATGTGTATCAATCCATCCGAAAGCCCAATAGCGAACCACTGGTCCTGACAAGCGATGGATCTCGCCGTCTTGTTGTAGTGCCAGCATGATATTCGATCGTTCCAGTCAGAGTTAGATAGTCCTCTAAGGCGGAGGCCAGTCTCCAAAGAGCCAAATTGACGATAGAGACCCGAACTCTTGGGACATAAGGGAGGAATGAGATTGTATATGGCGGAAGGGTGGTTCGTCAAATTGGTACCGAACTCTGTGACGATTCGAGGGAGATCTAGAGCCCAAGAACTTACACTATCCCGCAGCGGTGCGGCGTACTTGGCTCTCCTCAGCTGATATGCTTTCAGATGCGTCGCCGTTTTCATGAGACAATCCAAAAACTTTCGTTTAGCCATTGTCTCGATCCATATCAGGACGCTTCTATTTAGGAACTCCATGAGCGCAAGGAAGAGGGCATCGGAAGAAGAAGTAGATCGAGCCAAGTGCTCCGAGAATGACAAACAAGCATACTCAAATAGCGCGTGATCTGTAGAGCCTTTACATTTCGCTGTGATTGTTGTTCGATCGCTCGTCAGGGATCTCAGGCAGGCCAGCCCAAGCTGAACGTTGTCCAACGGTATCTGGATTCGGAAATCTGACTTGAGTTTTGGATTGAGTAGGAAGGCACGAGCCGTCTCGTGGACAATTTGAACCCTCTTCTGCTTGTCTACAACCACAAAGTGACAGCAGATGGTTGGTAGATTTCTTTCCAGGTCGCGCGTAACAATGGCCCCGGTATCTAACCTGATGGCATCTTTCAATTCGTCAATAGTGAGAGCCCTTGTGGCACAAAGTGTCCAGACCAGTATGGAGCGAGCAAGTTTTCTCGAGCGAGTCTTGTTCGTCATGATCTCCAGATTCCGGCGGTACAATAAATCCATTTTCTCAGGCACCTCATCAAGAATTTCTTCGATATCCTGGGAAGTGAATCCATCCAGCAGGAGCTCCTCCATAACGAGAACGGTCCACAGAAAACACCCTGCAGACTTTCGCACCATTGTTTCGACCAAACTGATTTTCATTTCCTCGTTTTCGATAGTGAGCTCTTTTACACGAGCTTCAACATAAATCCGGATGTCATGTAAGGAATCTTCTGCAGAGATCTGTATGGTTACATACGGTAGCCTTCTAAATAGCCGTTCGTAATCATCCGAGAAGCGGCTGCTGATAAAAACTTTGACAGGGATGCAGCCATCGATGTTTGCTAGAAGACTGAAGAAATTGTCGAGGTCCTCCTTTGTGGCAACACATTGATCGAGTGAATCTATTACCCAGTAGTGCCTGAAGCGTTGTAAGTTATGAGAGGGGGTTAGGATTCATACGGTGCACTTACGTCGTGGTGAATTTCGTCAAGAATATACCGCCCATGAAGAGTTTCCGCCAAACTCTACGGTAATCATCCTTGCCCAAAACGTCTTTCGAAAGCCCAAGAATCATTTCTCGTATGACGCTGCTCTTCTTCGCCATCTGGTAAGCCAGAGATAGTAACATCCCACCCAAGGAGGGTTTGTTTTCTCCTTCGTGGTTGAAAAAGTAGTAACTGCAGGTCATGTCGCCCAGACATTCTATTGCATGCGCGGTGATGACTGATTTGCCTACACCAGGCTGACCTGTGAGCCAAAAGTAACGTGTACAGTCCTCGCCGTACTGCCAATCGAGAAAGGTCTTGCCACTAGTAAACCATTCGCAAGATCCCGGCATCCTGGCGTCATTGAGATTAGAGAGTTCATCGATCGGACTGTCAGAGACAGCCAAGAATGCCGAGACGGTTTGCATTTCTTGGTGTTGGACCTGCTGCCGTACCATTGGTACTTGATATGAATGTTAGCGAGGCTCGATAGAGATGATCGAAATGTCATACCAGAGCGTTCAATATCATCGACAGTTGAGGCAAGGCTGTCTCTCAGTGTCCGGAAGTTGGAGTCATTCGGACTGTCGAACTTGCAGATACTTCTGTGATCGGCATTGAGTGTTTGGATTCTTTCATGGTCATAGCCTATGAGTATTAGCATGGAAGCCTTCCACGTACATAAGAGTAGAGATGTTACATACCTAGTGTAGCCGAAAGTTTGTCTACGATAAAACTTGATCCAAACCCCAAATTAGTCGGGATGCTTTCTATGAAAGAGCAAATGGCTATGCCATTGCAGTGACAGAATTCCGCATTAAGCTGAATGATAGTCTCGGAACCCTGCTCGAGAGCACCGACGAATGGCTTGTCACCAAATGGTGTTAGTTTCAGCAGGTTGCTCAAAACCTGAGCTAGTCGAGACCCTCTGTGCGGCGTCGCCAAGAAGTATACACCATGGATGCGCTCTGCAAAATTTTCATATCGTGAAGTTTCTCTCGCAAGTATGCATGCTTTTTTAATTACCAAGCCTCCCATACTATGGCCAATGAAGACAACAGGAGTGGTAGCATGTCTAATGTTCGGTTTATTCCGAATCTGCTCCATCAAATCTTGACCCCAATCGTGAATTGTAAGCAGATTTTGCTGGCGCTGAAGCCAGTCAGAGTTGTAGCCAAAACTATGTATCCTGACATGTCTGAAATCGGGATCGGCAGGAAGCCATTCTTTGGGCCAGTAATGAGCCGGATTGGGCGACGCACTCCATGTCTTCCTGGACCCACCACCTAGTCCGTGGACGAAGATGAAGTCGACGTGACAATCGGCAGGCTCGTAGAGAAGAACGAGTCCTTTACTCCCGATGATCTCGACAGCTGTGTCTGAAGCATTTCTCCGAAGATTCAGGCTTCGGAATTTCCGCTCCAGAAATGAAGGCTCAGACTTTCTCCTGGCTTCCGAAGCGCCCTAAACACAGATCAGTCATAGCTTGCATGTGAAAGAATGGGACTCACGAGATCCATAGGCTCAACTGCGGGTAACGTGCGATGAAACTCAAAGTCACAAGGCAGATCAGTCAAGTCAGCATTACCTTGATGAGATATGACATGTAAAGAGCACTATAGTGCTACTGAGAGTGTTTGATAGATTGTGTCGACAATAGAAGAGATATTCCAAGACAAGAAGAAAACAGCAAAGAAAAAAACAGCAAGCAAAAACGGTCTTCTCTGGACTAAGCATGTATGTGCGACGTCAGACACAGTGCAGAGCGTACGGAGTCACAATTGGGGAGTTGATAAAAAGCAAATAGTAATGGCAGGTCGCAGGATCATTATGCTTGTGTTGCGCTGTGCAACAGCTCGTTTCATGAAGAGATAATAGTAGCAAATTACTCCGTTGATGGCTTGACTAGGAGAAAACGCCTGGAAGGAAGGCGAAAGGTATGATCAACGCATATTGGCCAGGCTCGCGCCGTCAGCCCAGTACAACCACACCTCAGTCGAGATCCCGTGCCGCGTATGGTTCTAAATCGGGGAGCCGAATAATATGTGGTTCGGGACAATATGAGTCGGTCAAGGTCTTGCGGCACGAATTCAGGTTGGGTCGCACCGAACCGTAGCGCGCGCTTCCCCTTCAAACTTCATCTCCAGAATACCGGTGCTGATCTAAAGTCTTCGACCAAGCCGGCTCCTTGCATTTGAGCGTCGAATGCCGTCGTCTCGAGACATTATCTTGCTTGGAGCTTCCGATTTTGTATCTCCTCCCCTTCACGTAGGAAATCCCGCGCCTAGCGTTACAATGTATGCCATTCAGCGGCGGTCCACGTACACCATCCGCAGATCGCTGCACCTCGTAGATAGAAAATATATCAATGGACATCATGGCAGTGGTAGTGAAGTGCCTTCGTAGTCATACTTGGAGGGTTCGTAGTGCTGGCAGCCAAATCGTTGATTGCTGTAATTTGTGGGTTATCGGTATGTCGAGTCCAAATCTTGAGGATTCTGCAATGGGACGCTGGGATGTCGTTTCATGGCCCTTAACCCTGCCATCAGCACAAGGCAACTCAAGCGTTCCATTTGATATTCGCTGGTGAAGTTCCGATGGAGTTGAAACTTTTCCTTGATAGTGGCTAGTCCTGAAGCTAAGCTTCACTGGGTTAGTGTATATCCTTGAATGGAGTACCTATTATGAGCAACCAACATTGAGTACTCCTGTCCTCGCCTCGTCATCAATCGATGATTTGTTACCATCACAGTACATTTCTGGGAGAAGCGCGCGTCAATTTCACCTTGCATCTTGCATGCTCTACACTCCCTTGAGCCTGAGAGCATGCGGAATCTGCTTAGACAAATCCGAAGCATCATGCATCCAACATCCATTGTGACATCTTTCAAAGTTATCCCATTTCTATTGATATATAGCTAGGTACCTGTCTTCCTATTTTACTCGCAGGTATTCTCGAACAGTGTCGCCAGCACCATTTTGTTTTCGAAAAGCCACCAGACACGTGACGTGCTGCTGTCTCAAATATGAGCTCTGATGCAGACGACACGGGTGTGCCAGCCCCCCAAGTACAGAATATACTTGAGAAAGTTGACATAGATGAAAGTGTAGCGGCTTGTGAGTCCAAAGTTCGATTTGCAGAGCCCGGCCCTGACACTGAGCTAATAAGTCACTGTCAGACTTCCCTCCCGGCTCAAGAGTGGACTCCGCCCTGCCTCATGGAGCAAGCTTTTGGACCCGTACTGCAAGAATCAACCTATTACTCGAAAACGATTCCCCGAAGAGTCTTTTTCTCAAGGTGGCCCAAGGTGTTGATGGACTGGGCCTCGTCATTGGCGAGTACGAGGCAGCTAAATCGCTCTATGCAATTGCTCCTGACTTACTTCCACATCCCGTGGGAGCTGGAACATACAAGTTGGACCCCGAAACGCATTTTTACCTCAGCGACTACGTTGAAATGATCGACGAGATACCGGACATGCAGAAGTTCTGTGCATCCTTGGCAAAGCTGCACCGCGATAGCATCCCTTTCTCACCTAAAGGACAGTTTGGCTTTCATGTCGTGACTTACAACGGCAACAAGGCCAGGGATGTTACTTGGTGTGATACATGGGAAGAAATGTTCACCAATTCTGTTAAGATGAGGGTGAAACAAGAGCGCGACGCCCAAGGACCCAGCGCGGGGTTGGAGGAATTATTACCTGCGCTCTTCGAGAAAGTCATTCCAAGACTTCTTCGGCCTTTGCACACCGGTTCGAATAAGATTAAGCCTGTCTTGGTGCATGGAGATGTCTGGTATGGAAATTTGGCTACCAACGCATCCACGGACGAGCCTATTGTCTTTGATCCCGCTACAATATGGGCTCACAATGAATGTGAGCACAGATACACTTCTTCCTTTGAGAGATTTACTAATAACGAATCTTGCACAGTGGACGTGGCAAACATGACTGTCCCTCGATTCAGACTTGGTCGAGCATGGACACGCGAATATCACAAGCACTTTCCAATCTCGGCACCAGCTGAGGACTACGAGGATCGTCTTCGTCTATACACAATGTAAGTTTGCCAAGCCATTCAAGTGAAGCTATGACAGATGGTCGGCAGACATGGCGGCTTGTGTGCATCCTCTCTGTACACAAACACTACGAAATACCGTCAGATGCTCATCGAGTGGATTCAAGAACTCGTTGACAAGTATCCCGAGGGTTATCAAGAAGGTTGACGCATACATGAAGCTTCGCAAAGATCACTCCACTGAAGATACCTTATTGCAAACAAATTCATGACACTTGCATTGTTTTTGTTCAATTGATCTGTCGAGTATTTTTTAGAGGCAGTTCACTTGATACTGAAGCGGGGTAATGTTGGGTTGGATGGTGCAGATTTACAATCCTTGATCACTGAAGTCGGTGGGGGCTGAAAGACTGCTCTATATTTAGTCAGATCTCATCAGATTCACGAAGATGCGATCAATAGAAGTAGAGCAATATGTTGACCATCAATTCCTACAGTTTCGATCTACTCCCCTCTCGATGCACAGCTGCATTGACGATTCTCATCGCCTCAATCAATCTCTTATCTTGAAGTCTTGGTGTTACCACTTGAACTGACAAAGGAGTCCCAACATAAACCCTCCTATTAACAGTCTTTTCATCCCACAATTGGCGGTTTCGTTCATCCCAGCTTGAAATCGTAGTCCCACCTTGTGGCTGACCAAGTTCAAGATCTTCCGCACTGAAATCTCTTACTGGGACGCTGCCAGCAGGATAATCAAGCAGTGTCCAGCTTGAGGTATACCCCGCTGCGTTATATCTTTCAATTTCTGGTACTGGATGAGGCGCGATGAGGCAGATGACGGCGTCGACCTTGGACTTCTTTCCACCTTTGCCATCCTCTTCAACCCATAACTGCATCATCTCTCGTTCCAACTTCGTCCTTCGCGCTTGCAGCTCTGCGACTTGGGGTAGCGTTTTTGGCTCGCTGCGTTTGAACTTTCCGACCATCCATGGCACAAGTGGCTCACCAGTTGCATCAAGCAAACCAGCCAGGACCCCGCCTCCATCTGCGCTCATCAACTTAGCCATGACGCTTTGGCACTTCGTCCATGCCTGCGGTGCGGCAAGCTCGATGGCTTTTGTATTCGGGTATTGATTCAGCTTCGTCTTCACCTCGTCGAGAAGCTTCATCATTGGAGGCAATGGGGTACAGTTTCCATCACCTCTGAGAATGCCGAATACAAACTCGCCATTTGGCCCACTCCCGGTGAGAGGAGTATCAAGGCTCCAAGTCGAGGGAAAGCAGTCTTCGGCCCACATCCAAGCTCTAGGTACGACTTCTCTCATCACGAAGTCAATATCCTCTATAGACCTCGCCAATGGTCCCACCACCGCTGGAACTGCACACCTGGAAGTCCCATCATTCGAGATAAGAGGTCCTCCTCCAGCTGGAATTCGACCATTACTCGACTTGATCCCAAAGATGCCATTGCACATAGCAGGAACTCTGATGCTTCCACCAGTATCTGCTCCCCATCCAACTATGGATCCTCGCATCGCCACAATGACGCCTTCACCCCCTGAACTTCCACCAGCAGTGCAAAGTCGATTAATTGGATTCATCGTTCGGCCGAAGACATTATTGACGCTGTCAAGAGAGTTGAGCGTTTGGGGTACATTGGTTTTGGCGATGATAACGCAACCCAATGATAGCAACAAATCAATGAGTGGTGAGTTGATGGTAGCGGGCTTGAAGCACAATGAAGCTATTCCGATCGAACTATCAACTCCAATGACATCGAATGAATCCTTGAGGCTGATAGGCAGTCCATGCAGAGGACCGACAACTCGCCCCTCTCGAGCCAAGCTCTCATCGAGTTCTTTTGCCCTCTGTATAGCAGACAAGAATAATGGTTCCGTCACACAATTTGTGAGTTGTTGTGCAATTGCTGTGCGTTTGCAGAAAGCTGTTGTCACTTCCAGTGCTGAGAGCTTTCCAGTTGCGAGTGCGGAAAGCAAGTCTTCCACAGAATGTGTCTCCGTGATTGTAACTTCAGTAGGCGATAGAAGACCACATTCTCGAGGGACGTGTAGAACATTTTGTAGGCCGTATTTCATCAAAGGAGGATCCTTCGGCAGCATATTGCTAGGGATACTCCATTGCTGAGGTATTTGAGAGTCTCGATATGCTTGCTTACATTTGGCGATGGCTTGCCAGGAGACCTCTGCTGCACTATGACCTGTCATGTTTGATGCAAAGCCAGGTATAGCCTTTGCGCCTTGATGTCTTTCGGGGTTGTTCACGATCCGTGGAATTGATATGAAGAAGTAAGAGCATCACAGACGCACTTTCCGTTTGTGATCCCCGCGTTTCAGCTCAGAAGCCTCGGTCGCTGCAATGTCACGACTTCGGCTTATTACAAGACCGGTTCACCATGAAGGTGTCCGAGCCGGGCAGCATCGCTCTCCAATCGGGTCCTTGAAAGCCTGTTCTCGCTTCTGTATCTTCCTTGTACTGTACCACCCCACGGGCGCTCCCCGCCGCGGGGTAGAAATACAAATACGATTACTGTGTTTGCTATGTACTTTGCTCCTTTGCAAAATTCCTGTCAATAACGATGAGCAACCAGAAGGAGCTAAGCTCCTCAGTGCAAGCAGACTCAATCGAGAGTATCTCAACAATCCAATATTCGGTCTTCAGCAAATGGCGAAAGCGCTACATCGTGGGTCTCGTCGCCCTGGCTGCGTGGTTTTCAACTTTGAGCAGTTTCATTTACTATCCCTCCATTCCACTAATATCCAAAGACCTACACCTATCCATTGCGCAAGTAGATCTTTCTATCACGACTTACATGGCCATCTCTGCAATTGCTCCTTCTATCACCGGCGATGCCTCCGACATCTATGGGAGACGACCTATGTATCTCTTCACTCTCGGTCTGTATCTTATTGCGAACATTGTTCTTGCGACTCAATCCTCATTTTTTGGCTTGTTGTTGCTGAGAATGCTACAGAGTGCTGGTATATCCGGTACGAACCCTTCTTCTACTTTCAAGTTTAAAGGTATTACGGCTTTGATTCGTTGTTTTCAGATTGACAGGATGTTGTAGGAGCCTTCTCGATTGCGTATGGCGTCGTTACTGATGTCGCGATGCCGTCCGAAAGAGGATCATATGTTGGGGCCCTGACCTTCGGGTGAGACCAAATATCTTTGCCATCGATCCCTCAACAAACCTTCTAACTCATCCAGAATCACTAGTGCTCCCGCCCTTGGTCCTCTAATTGGTGGAGCTATCTCTCATAGCCTAGGCTGGCGATGGATATTCTGGTTCTTAAGCATCGTGTCCGGCGCATGTCTCACAGCAGTGATGCTCCTGCTCCCTGAAACCGCACGCGGAGTGGTTGGAAACGGAAGTCTCAGACCACCTCCATATTCTCGTCTCCTCGACTTACCAGGCTCAACACTCAAGACTTCAACGTCGTCCTCCGAAAGCACTCCAATGAAAAGAAAACGCTCGTTTCCAAATCCGTTGAAATCTCTAACGCTGCTTCTCTCCAAAGACAATGCTGCAGTTGCGTTTGCTGGAGCTTTCCTTTACACAACGTTCTGCTGTATCTCTGCATCGCTGGGGACACTATTTGTCAATATTTATCAACTCAATGAACTACAAGCAGGGCTGATCTACCTTCCTTTCGGGATTGGTTGCTCCCTGGCTGCAATTACTTCCGGGAAGTTGATTGATCGTGACTACCGGATCATGGCAAAGCTGCATGGTCTATCAATTGACAGAGTTCGAGGCGATGACTTGAGAAGTTTTCCAATCGAAATGGCACGGTTAAGAAGTGTTTTTGTGCCTCTGGTTGTTTCTGTTGTATCAGTGATTGGCTTTGGCTGGGCGGTGGAGAAGGTAGCGGTGCGTTCTCACTTTCCAAAAAATCTATGGGACGACTGCTGATGGTCGTGCGAAGCCTTTAGCTGTACCTCTGGTCATCCAATTTATCTCCGGTCTTGCCATACAGACCTGCTTCAATGTAAGTGGTACAATATTATAGACTTGGGAACGTCCACGTTAGTAGAAAGTGGCATTAACCTCTCAGACAGGCGACCAATACACTCCGAGTCGACATCAATCCCAGAGCGCCTGCAGCTGCTCAAGCGTCTAGTAATTTCGTGCGATGCACTCTCGCTGCCATAGCAGTGGCGTTCCTCCAAGATATAATTGATCGCATAGGTGTGGGACCAACCTTCACCTTCTTCGGATGCTTGTGCTCTCTTTCTGGCGTACTATTCGTCATTGAGAGGAAATGGGGGATGAAATGGAGGCTTCAAAGACTTGAGTTTACTTGAAATAGTAATTCAAATGTCACAGAACAAGAAAACAACTTCTTTCCTGATATTTGGTGTGCTACTGGCTCTCACTTCTCATCTTACCCCTCTCTCATGTTTCAGAGAATAGACCAACGATATCCCGATAACCAACACGAAGCTCAATTCACGTATGATGGCCAATGCACAATGTATTTAGCCATTGTAGTGCCTTCGCAGTATTGCTTTTGTTCGATTAACTTATGTGAGTGAATCGATCCGGTTTCACCGACTTAAAGGGCATCCTCAAGATCCAGCACCACTTGTCCCAACAAATACCACAAGCGCAGCAGCATATGCTGCAGTCCCTGACAGCACATCAAATGGATCTTCTAAGAACAATGCTAAAGCCAAACCAAACGCAGATACACAGATAGAGGTTGTAAGTAAAGTCGTGAGAAGACTCTTATGCAAAACCATGATGAGCATGGTCCGATCAGGAACACTCCACCTAGTGGGAATTTCGGATCGCGAGTATTTAATAAGATTCTTGGTGCAGTGTCTCTAAACCACAGAGAATGATGTCGTTGCTGCTAGCTAGGCGGAAGGCACCTGCAATTATTATATTAGCGAACGTGGCGAGATCTCTGGGTTGGATGAAATGAGATAGCACTTTTTTGAGGGTCCTACGATAGAATATGGTGGAGATCATCTATTCTTCACCTAGTCGATTTCAAGGCGGGAGATCTTCGGTGGTGGACGAAGCGAGCGCACTCGCGGACCTTTGTGGGTCCCTAGATTAGGACAATCGTCGCATAAAATAGCGACGAAACCCGCTGAATTCGGCGGCCATCGCACCTGAACATTGCGTTTATCTGTATTTAATTATAGTTTATAAAAAATCTTGTCCTCGTTGAATAAATTTCACTCTCCTTATTCACCCCCCACTCTCACTCTCAACGATTTAAGACGAATTATACCTCGAGTATAGCTTTTCAAACCCCAACCTCAATTCCTCAAAAATTCAACAAACAAACAAGTTTCCCAAACAAAATAAAAATAACCCACCCCCTTACCCCTTCACCCCGGTCATGATTCCCATCAGCATCCCTCTTCTCCGCCCCACGCGTACAAACGCATCATCATTCCCGGGTCACTCCGACCTTATCCAGCTGCCAAGATATATCAATGTTCATGCAATAGTGACACCCTGCACACGTACGACGATGTCGGAGGTCGGGAAGAGTGAGTAAGTGACATTCTGGACGTACGTGCGGGAAACGGGGGGTTAGACGCGTTGTTAAGTTTCGGGAGGGATAGATGGAGGAGCGGGGATTTGAGGATGAGGGATGAGGGGGTTGGGTTGAGATTTTCTGTTTCTGGCTGATTAGTGGAGTGAGTTGGAAATATCGATGTTGATGGCGACATGAAAACGGGGAGATGGAATTAAAGGGTTTATTTGTGTGTCGCTTTCGGAGTTATCTGAAATTAAATACGGTATGTGTTCAATTGGAGTTGTGTAGACTCAGGAGCTTGCTTCTTGAAAGTCCGGTAGGTAAGTAAGCACACGGACTTGAGGATATACCAACCCTCAGCAATTCTCTCATCGACCACTGAAAGAAAGTTCATCTGGACAATCAAAACTATAACTCATGACATTAATCCTCTACCCTAAACGCCTCAAATGCCACCCAGCCCAATTCAATCACAAAGCAAAAATCAAGCATCCTCCTTTTGCCCCTCACCACCACCTTTCACCACCCTATACCCCTTCACTTTCTTCCTCCGTCCAAAACAAACCCAACAACCACCCCCACCCAACACCACCCCTCCCACCGCCAGCAATACCAAATGATCCCCCACCCACAGAAACAACCTATTATCCCAATTAACCCACGTCCCGCCCCTCTCCTGCGTAAAGAAGACCCATTTCCCCTCTCCGACGCGATCCTGGACTCGATCATCCATCATGATCCTATACACCTTTTCTTCTTCTTTCATCGTTTTCTTAGAACCGTGATAGCGTTCCCAGATCGCGGTCTCGAACCATTGGCCCGAGGCGTAGGAGATGGTGATGTAGGGGAAGAGGTAGTTGTAGTTGTAGGGGATGAGGGAGTCGGTTAGGAGGACCCAGAAGGGGTGCATGGGAGTGGAGGCTAAGATATTGTTCGAGAGGGCGCCGCGGCCACCGTCTGTGAGCCCTGTTTTTGGGAGTCAGTGAAGCTTTTGGGACGCAATATGGATGTTCGTTCAGAGCACTGACTCTGGAGCTTGATTCCTGAGATAGCTAGCGAAAAGAGGTAATGCTTTGAGAATTCGAGACTTACAAGCGGGGTAATAAAGCAACGGTTCTAAGTTCGTAAGACAGCCCTAGACAGACAGCATTAGATGCATTTCTCAGAACAGGGGAGGGGACATACATTATCAAGATCCAAATAAATCCCCCCATAATGCCTCAGCAAAAAATACCTCACAGTATCCACCCTCTGAACCGGGAATCGGTACCCATCATACGTATCCAAAAACCAGGGATAATTCTCCCTAATGAACTCCCTCGATTTAATTTCTGTCCAGAGCTGTTTATAAAGTAAAACATTAGCACATCAGCACATCTATCCCTAACCCTCACCAGATTCTCTCTAAAACCAAAGCAAAGAAAAATCATCAACAAACCATAAACTCCCACCCCCCATTCCTCTCAACACACCCCCTCCTCACTTCCTCCCAATCCTCCGGCATCGTTTCATTCCCCTCTCTCCCTTCACCAACATGTCCCCAATCATGAAAAACCTGATGCACGATCTTGGGAATCAACATCTTCCTCCCATCGTGAGCGCCCAAACTCGCGAGATGCGCGTCCCGGATCTGTTCTTGCGTGAGGGCGCCGGCGCCGGCGCGGGTGAAGAAGAGGTGGATGAAGCCGACAAGGCGGAGGATGGCGATGAGAAGGAGGGTGAGGAGGACGAGGGGGAGGATGAGGGTTCGGGGACGCATTTTGGGGGAATACGGGGGAGGGAGGGGAGAGGAAGGGAGGAAGAGGGGAAAGGGAGAGAGGGGAAGGGACAGGATCAGAGGAAGGGGGAGAGAGGACGCGAGTCGCGACGTGGGGACAGTGTTTAGCACGTGGGAAGAGCCTGACTTGGATATGGCGCGGGTTCCTACCTCTAAATGTAAGACTTCAGATCTCACTACTTTGCTTTTTCACGTTTTTTTCTAGCATATAAAAACAGATTCAAAAAAGTGGTTTATATCTTCACAGATTTACATCTATAAGTTGATTACATTAACATTAACTATCTCAGCCGTATAAATAACCAATCACTCGCTCGCCGTCTAAACAAAACCCTATCCACAAGAATTGCGCGCATGTATCTATCTATCAATCATAACAGGTAATCAAGGAGCAGGCCCCGCCATCCTCTGCGGTTTCTTCGAAACCTTATACACCAGTCCCAAGCTCCAAAACTGGCAGCACAGCGCCACCGCCGCCGGAACGGTGCCGAATAGGATCCCCGCCACCGGAAAGAGACAGAAATCCAGTCCTGTCGTCCGGAAGCGGCGGTAGGAGAAGGAGTCCACCATGCGGTCGGCGAGGTTGGCGCGCAGCATCTCTTCTTCGCGGCCTTTGACACAGGTGTAGTGGTAGGATTCGTAGAGGAAGAAGAAGTAGATGAAGTTGAGCGCAGAGACGAGGCGCATCCAGCCTGTTATGTCGAGAGTTTGTAGGAGGAGGCGGGGGATTTGGGTGGAGAGCGTTGAGAGGGTGTAGAAGCCGCTACCGAGGATGAGGAGGGTGATGTGGATGGGGAGGAAATGCGCTTCGTACATTCGGTGCAGGAGGATGATTGTTGAACCCCATTTTGGTCTGGATTTATGTATCAGTCGCCGCAGACGAATTTAAGGTATGGGAATCGTACTTATTTGAATCCTTCCGCCTGCTCCACCACATATTTATGGTTGATTTCAGGACAAATCCACTATCCAACGCACCCCACATATGCCTCAACGCCTGCTTATACCTCGCCATAATATCATTGTAGAACCCTCTCACACCCTTGCCATTCGTATATACATTGCTATGACTCGCGGGGCTGAAGACGCTCCTGGTGGTCAAATTGCCGTTGAGCGCAAAGAAGCATTTGACGTACATATGCAAATCCTCGCCAATGGCATCCGCGCCCGCATCCCAGCCGCCGGCCCGATCCACGAGCGAGAGCGGGAGCGAATATACAGAGGTGGGCGGGCAGATTGACGAGGATGCGTAGTGGCCGGAAAGACCGGCACCTGCCCACAGCAGGTCGGCTACCCGGACGAGCCGCGGGACGACGTGCGCGTTGCGGTCGAAGATGATTGGGGGCACGTACATGGTCGAATCGGCGGTTTCGGGGTATGCGAAATGCATGCCGTTGATTAGTGTGAAGTATTTCGAGGAGAGGTGGCTGTCAGCTAATTTTTGAAGGATGCTAGATTAGCGACTGAACTGCTGCAGCTGGAGCGGGAGATCTGCCAAGGTGTGGGGTTGAGGCTCTTACAATCGATGACTGTGATGAGTACATTGCGCTTCAGAACCTCGTCTGAGTATTTCCTGTTGATGTATCTTGCTGCCCAACTCAGATTGCTGCTCTTTCCTTGCGCCTCTCCGGGAATATCTCGGGGGTGAGCTGTAAATTCAATACTGCGAAAGTGCTTGGTGTATTCCTTGATCAGAATCGCGGCCTTGGCTTCACAACCTGCTTCCCCCTGTTCCATTGCGAGGTAAATCTATTAAAGCAAATATGTTAGGGGTTGCCAAGATATTGCTTTGAGACATAATTCAACAGACCCTCTTCGATAGAGACTGACCTCGTACGATGAAGGTGCTTGAGTATGACTTCCTAGAATGTCCAGAGTCTCTCGTAGAGTGTCCATGTCCTCCTTATAGTTTGGTATGATAATTGCATGCAGCAACGGCGCATCATCCCAGTCGCTTTCAGTGGTGGTGGTTGACATTTCGATCTCCGACTCAGAATAATCAGAACTGATTGAATCTTCGTCTCCCGACTCGCTGGTGCCACTTAATGGAGAAAGATGACTTGACATCCTCTTGGAAGGTGATTGCGCCGGCAGGGAAACCGTCTTTAAGTTCTTGGTCATGCTCCTAATGGCCCAGATCAAACGGACCGGAAAGAGCATTCCCATAACATGTGCAAAGAGGTCATAGTAAACAAACACAAGCTGAGCGGTGGTGATTTCGTTCCGATAATGGCGATGCTGACCTTTGCCCGGTCTCTTGGAACTGTCGCCATCTTCATTTCGAGCAGCAGGACGATCGTACCAGAATGCGATGACCATCAAGAGGACGACAGCAACAAGGCCTAGGTTGGCGACTCTCTGGATACACCATGCTCGCAGTCTAGAGAAAAACATGCCTTCGAAGGAACGACGGTGGGCGGAATGCAAGATGTCAGGAAAAACTGAAGTAAACAACAAACATTGAGGAGCAACAGCAGCGCGGAAAAGAGGTGTGAACCAAAACTAGAGCCAGACCGCGATGAACGAACAAACGGGGTCAGGAAGAGTTCGGTTTTGTTTGGTGGTACTTTGGAAATTCGTTTAATCCACATTGAGGGAGGCCGCGAGACACGACAACCACGGCGAACCGGTGCCGACATGTGTCACTCCAACTTTCCTATAGCTCGATGCGATGCTTGATGGAAGGGTGTTCGACGACTGCCTGGATGGACTGCTCTCAGGCGTCCCCACTTGAGCCACTTTCTGGTGCTATGCAAGATAGATGTGTGTATCTCTGCCGACGACGACCTTGTCTTCCTGTTGGCACCCGCCATAACGAGGACTGCAGTAGTGGATGTCATTGGGCAACGGGTGTTGGAATGAAGCATCGCAGTATGATTCCAGACCCAGCCGAGAAATGAAGAAAACAAAAGCCACCAATTACGCCTGCGACATTCACCCACGAGCTAGTTGATGAGGTTGAGACAAGCACTTTCATCTTGCAGCATCGTGACTCGCGAAGAAATGCCATGCAGTGCTCCAACATCGGGCCCAGAAACAAACGACAGGGGCAATCGCATCGAGGGGTTGACGTGAAGCGGGATGGAGCAGTGATAGAGATGGAGATGTCACTGCCGTCTCCCAAGAAGGTTCAAACCCTTACCTGCCATACATTAGTTATCAGAGAACAGAGAGATAGATGCAGCAAAAGCGCAACAGGAATGAGATATGCGACCAGCCATTGGCTGCACCAGCAGACATGTCTGTCACCGGGAGTCTTCATTGGATGCATCCATCTCGAGACGCCTCACCTCTTCCCAACCTGTGGCTGGGCACGTTGCAGTTTCCTTTTGATGCTGTGGATGAGCTGCGAGAAGAGGCCCAGAAGCGAAGAATGAACGCCTGCTGCAAGCTGCCGAGGACCCTCGAGGCAAAATAGACTCGACTCCCGGCCGGGATCTGCAGCTGGGCTGGCAAAGACTGACATGGGGAAAAGGAAGGAAAGGAAGAACAAAAGCAAGGGAATGGAAGAGCGCCAGTGAAGGGTTCGTGAGGTTAAGATTACTGTAAGCCAAGACCATGTCGAGCATCCAACGCCAGGAGAAGCTGCCAGCAACAGTTAACCTTACACACACATGATGGACTGAGTGGCAATAGAAGCATCGTTCTTCCTCTCACACCGCTGCCCTCGATCTCGACACCGCATATAGACGAAGAGACCCCAAGCATCCATCCAAACATCCAAGATATGATCATCCATCACGCTTCACTCCACTAAGATTGCTGCCTCGCGACACATCACAAGAACACAAAGTGAAGCAGCAAAGATGGGGAAAGGAGGGTCAGACTCTCACCAGCAAGAGGATCCTCTCTTGTTTATACAGTACCACCATGGCGCAGGAGGCGATGATGGCCCCCATCCGCGTCAGCCCAGCGTGGTTGCCCTATGGTTCTCGCACGTTGAGCCCGCTCACCCAATCACCCGCCGCCGCACCCTCATCACCATCCGCACTTGCCGAGTCGCCAGAATAAAAATGGTGATGCGCGAAATCAATCAGATCTGGATCATCTGATCGAGTCAGTCACTGAAATGAGATGCGATGAGGGTCAAGTTCCTCATTTCTCTCCTGGCCGCCGCTGCCGGCTTGAGCGTGCTCGCCATCTTCGTCTACACCCAGCGTCTGGGGTCGCAAATCTACGAGCCTGATAACTTCTTCTTAACACCCTTTCCCTCGCTCGTGGATCCCGACTCGGCGCCCGATTTGTTTCATCTCCCTCTGCGCACCAGCGGTCGCAATATCGTCAATAGCAGAGGGGAGAGGTTTAAGTTGAGTTCCGTCAATTGGTATGGCGGCAGCGACCTCCTGTTCGTGCCCGGTGGCCTCGATGTGCAACATCGCGATGATATCGCTAGAACCATCCGAAGTCTGGGGTTCAACAGCGTGCGCTTACCGTACTCGGACGAGATGGTGATGGACAATCCCATGATTTCCCCGGACCTATTGCTCGCAAATGAGGACTTGATGGGACTTCGGGCGTTGGATATTTATATCGCTGTCGCCGAAAGCTTAGCTGAGGCAGGTGTGGCTGTCATTATCAACAACCACATCACCCAAGCGACCTGGTGCTGTGGCATCAATCTGTGCGATACGGCCTGGTATAACAACCATCTGGGTCCAGCGTGTCGGGTCAGTCAAACCGAAGAGCAATGGATCAAGAACTGGGAAATGGTGATGGCGGCCTTCATCAACGTCCCACTCGTCATCGGAGCCGACCTGCGCAACGAACCACGAGGATTATGGGGGACGATGCCCTGGAAGAAATGGGCGTCGGCAGCTGAGCGAGCTGGGAATCGAGTCCTCGCCCTCCGAGACGACTGGTTGATCTTCGTCGAAGGTGTTTCCTCTTCCAACGATCTATCAGACGTCAAGACCCGCCCTATCGTCCTCGATATCCCCGACCGAGTCGTCTACTCAGCGCACGTCTACAGCTGGTCCGGATGGGGCAGTCTCGAAGGCATGTACGCCAAGCGACCATTCCCCTCCTTCGTCAAATCCATGAACGAGAACTGGGGATACCTCCTCGAGCACGACATCGCGCCCGTCTGGGTCGGTGAGTTTGGCGGCCCGCACGAACCCGGTGCCGGAGATCTTCACTATTGGAGGAATTTGATGAGGTATCTGAAGATGGTCGATGCGGATTTTGGGTATTGGGCGCTGAATCCGAGGAAGCCTGCTAATTATGATAATGAGACTTATGGGTTGCTGGAGGATGATTGGGAGACGCCGATTCTGGATTATAGGTTGAGGGATATGATTGAGCTTGGTAGGCAGGAAAAGGTACCTGTGTATGGATAGATTGTGTGCTTTTGGGTTGGAAAAGTGCTTTGGTGTTTGGTTTAGAGGTTGGACTAGAGTGTGATCTTTTTGTTTCCTGGTGGACGATGGTATGAATATGGTGTACTGGAAGATACTTAGCATGGCTCGCTGGGCTTGGATTTTACATTGTATTCATTCATGGGAGGTGTATAGTATGTTTCTGGATGGGGCTCAAGGACATAGGTGCGGGAGGACATTGGACATTGCATGCGGCGTAGCATTTACATAGGCGTACGAGATATGATTATGATTATGCATCATGAATATACAAACACACCTTCCACTCCTAACTTCCTTCATACATCTCACTCCTAACTCCTCCATATACTTTGCAATCACCATCCTCAACCTCAACATCCATCCTACCACCAACCAACACCAAAAACTTAAGCGATATCGTCCAAAGTAATTGACAACAGAAGATATAACTGACAACGTGCAAATACAGACACTTTCACGCTTCTATGCTTTAAGAATAGCGACGCCTTTCAAGTCAACGCAGTACTGGTAAGTGGTGGTCTAAAGACAGATCGGGAGGATCTGTAGATGAAGCTTTGTGTTGTGACTTGGAGGCAGGAAATATGGCCGTTTAATGGGGGCTAGCGCTGCTTTGAGATGGGGGAGTGGAGATGGAGATGGATATGGAGTCGGTGAGAGTGAGTGAAAAAGCTTTCCTCTTCTGTTAAATCTGATCGTTTGTACTGCAATGCATGCTAGTGGATTTTGGCGGCTCTGGTCATTGGATTCTTGTTATAGTGAGAGTGCTTGTATATTAATTTATCTTTTGAATTCTATGTTTGGATCTATCTTCTCTCATCTGTAGTGATTGAAGATTGTTCGCTGTTACTTTACTTGTTTTTCTTTTCCTTCCAATACTTAATCGAGGAAGGTCAGTAATTGAGCCTTGGCTTACATGATTTATACCATATCCAGTCTTCACCTCCGGTCTTGTGGTATCCTAATACACTCATGTGAGTATTACTGTATCAAACCTTTCCAAGATATCACTTTGTAGGTACAAGGACCTAGGAGGTCTGTTTTGAGACTATGTCTAGTTTCGAAAGTAATAGTTTACAGTCAATGAGATCCTTGAATCCTGCAAGATACAAAAAGGTAGCGGGGACAAGAATAGGCACTCTGATCTGTGTGATAAAGTGTAAAGTGTTCAGGTCTGCGTGCTTGACCGATGTCTCGCTTTTGAAGAGACTTCGGGGGACCTTCTCTTCTAGAGCTCACTCCCCTATTCAGGAATCATGTTTGAGAAAGCAATTAATACGGTAGTCAGAAATCTTCTTTCCGTACTCATTGGCAGCGATTTATTCCACATCTCGTCAAGCAGAGTTGGAGATAAATCCTGTACTTAGTTCAGGTTACACCGAAACCAGACAGTGTCTTCAATATATAGACATTAGGTTTTGCCTACAAGAAAAGGAACTCTTGAAACTTTTTCTTGATTCTATACACTAGAATAGATTAATTCTCTTTTCGCCATCTCTAGTAGATCCCGGATTCTCACTCACTCGCTTCCCGCTCTGGAGGTTTCAAACAATTTCCCTAACCTCAACCCCACAACCATATTTCAACTCACTTCCACAACTTCACCCGACTTTCACTCTCACCTTCACCTCACTATCTTGCGCCTACCGCTCTCGCTTAACCTATCATATCATTTAATTTAAGCAAAAGGTTCCCACAAAAAAAACCCATGGTCTAGTGGTCTCAACCACCCCAACACAATATAACTTTGAGCTATCTGCTGACATTGCTCTTAGATAAAAAAGGAAGAAAGAAGAAAGAAGAACAAAAGAAAAAGAAAAAAAAGAAGAAAAAAGAGAAACTAAGAAAACAAAACGCAAAAGAAAAGTATATAATGCTACATAAAAATAAATAAAAATCCCTCTTGCGAGGAAGTGGGTTCCGGGTATGGTGAACGAACATCACCCGGGTGAAACGATTGCCTACCCGCAAAAAAAGGAACACCTCCAGTTTGCCCACCAGCGAACGAAGAAAATACAGCGGGTGGTCATTACCACTTCCCGAAGAGATGAATCGTAGAAAAATCGAGAAAGAAAGAAAGAAAGAAAGACAGCAAAAAAGAAAGACAGCGAAAAAGAAAGAGAGCAAAAAAGAAAGAAAGAACAGCTGGTTATCACACGTCAATCCTAACATGGAGAGAATCTGTTTCAGTTTAGAAAGGTGAGCAAGGCTGCTTTATTAGCATTATTAGGTGAGTTAAAGTGAGTGGGTTGAGGCGAGGCTAGGCAGCAGGTGAGTACCAGTGAGCTCAGGTGAGTACAGGCGAGAAAAAAAAGAAAGGATTTTGTTTCGACTCCTCGGCTACAGTTACTATTATCCCAGCTAAATTTAGACAACAGTGCAAGGATTGTTAAGGAGTCCATTTTGAATCCCGCTCCTGCAGTCGCACATGACTGGCCATTCAACCTCCAGCTTCAAAAGACATGCCACCATTACCACGTCTCCAACCGCCGACGTTAAAATTGGCCAAGGTTTGATTCAATGTAGTATCCTCCCTGTTGTAAGCTACGGAGCAAGTCTCAATTCCTTTGCGGAGCCAAATCCTGTCAGTTGTCTCAATTTGCAGTGCCCTTCATCGAAGCTTCTTTTCCTCGCTTGGCTCCACCTCGCCCGCAGCCAGAGGCTTCTTTCCAGATACCGATATATACCGGGCCGCATCTCTGTAGACATATCCTTCATAACCAGCCACTGTGTTTATGAAATAAGACTTGAGTCCCAGAAACGCAATGATGAGGTATGGGATAAAAGCCAGGATGTAGAATAATCTCAACATTGGAAGAACATTGTCTGACAGATCCTTAACCTCGACATCTTCGAACCCAACTTCCTCGAGAATGCCTTTTAACACACCTTGCTGAAAACGATCATACGCCGGCATCGCGGCATGCTTGTTGATGGCCGTCCAAGAATCGCCGACCTCTTCAGGTTGAGTGCTAAAGTCGAGGTGGTCGTACTCGTACATGGCGATACTACCTCCAGGCCGAATGACGCGGAAGAATTCTGCAGCCGCGGCTTCGGGTTCGGTTGCATGGACGAAAGTTTCCATTGTGTATGCACCATCGAAGCTATCATCCGCGAAAGCGTCGAGATGATGGTAGTCGCCCTTCGTGACCGTGATTGTCCCTTCCAGTCCCTGCGTCTTGACATTCCGTCGTGCCTTAACAATGTGATGGTCCACGACATCTATTCCATGGACACGGTAGCCTTCCTCAGCCAGGTGGATGGCAACATATCCGGCTCCGCATCCCGCGTCCAGCACCTTCGACCCCTTCTCTAGATCCAGTGTACCGATGAGATTGTCCTCCATAGCCCTGAGAGCTTTGCCAATAGGGAATGGCCAGTATGTGCCACGAGTATAGAATCCAAAGTGCCGTGTTCCTCCCAACACGAATCTGTACCCGATTCTGGATTCGAGCGAGGCATAGTAGTCTTGGAGGGATTGGTTCTTGTTGATGAGAGGTTCTTTTTCGTCGGAAGACATGACGGAGGGCTTGGAGAACGGCGCGAAACGTGAGGGTGCTTCGAATGTGGCGCGCGCGATTCGTCGTGATGAGCTCGCACAGCACAGAGATGTTTGGAGGAGAAGGCTGTTGCGATCGATGACAGCAGAGCAGAAACGGGCCAGCCAACTTGAAGTTGTAGTCAGTCGAAGCGTTTCATCCTCGCGCGCATGGTCAGGCTGAGCAAGCGCGACGGAAAGGGGGACATGGGTCCGAAAGTTACTCGTTCCCGCACCTATGCGGGGGCAAGATTTAGCGCGTGGCTACGCCCGAAGCCAGCCCGTCCCCGTCATATCTAACCTAACCTAACGAGTAACTCCGCGATGGCAACTGAAAATTATGAATGCCTATTCAACGCAACGCCTACTTTATGTGTAAGAAGCTATTTGAAAGTTCGGAGGCTATTTTGGTCGATTATAATGTTGTCAAGTCAAGCCAAAAGCTCGGGAAAAATCCCCGAGCAAGACCCTCGAGAGCATTTCAAGCCCCCAGAGCCTCGCCCCCCACTGCCTTTCCCGTTCCCTGGCAGGGAATGGGCATGTTTTACAAGTGTCTGAATTGCTTCTTTGAGGGCGAATACTCGTGCCAATCAGTGTGTCTAAAGTAGCAGTCTGCTTCCCACTTCGTACATTCGTGCAGGATCTCCGAGACACTCGATCGTAGACTGGCCTCTGCAACAAACATACGCGTGGCCCTACTCTTGTCGAAACCAAGGAAATTGAATTTGGCTGGCAGCCTCATCTGCTGGCTAATATAAGTCGATGAAATCATCTTCCATGTATGAGAGAATGTTGCGTCTCTAGTATGCACCATGCTAGCTTATAGCAGGCCCATATTGATTCTCCTGGCATTTCAGGTGCACGGCTTTTACGCTGTGCCTATCCCAAATGCTACCTGTACCCTGCCACCTTCCAGCAACTCTTCGTTGTCTCTCACGCAAGGCTGGACGCCATCGGCTTCTGGTCGAGGGACGATCGATATTGTGTGGAGTTGTGCGGTCACGATGTTCCTTTGCTCTTGGTCTGTTCTATGCCTTCAAGTCCCATCGGAGAAAGACACGCGATTTGATATACTTTGGCGCAGATGTTGGTTGACCTTCCTTTGTGCACTGGGTCCTGAGTTTACGTTACAGTTGGCAATGGGTCAATGGTCATCCGCGCGGCAGTCCGTCAAAGACTTTCATGCCTCCGGGTTTACTGAATGGACTATGAAGCATGCCTTCTATGCCAACTCTGGCGGGTTCAAACTTCGCACTCCCGACGACTTTACGATTCCGATCGATGCGAAACAACTTCTTTATTTAATCAACCACAACTATATCGCCTACCCTACCTTATCCGTGCAAGACATTGAGGACAAGAACAAAGTGGATCTGCTTCTCCGGCTCATCTCGAATGCTCAGACCATATGGTTTTGCATCACTGTAGTTGCTCGAGGGGCAGAAGGCTTGGTTATCACAGGAATGGAGCTCACAACGGCAGCGTTTATTCTCTGCAGTTTCGGCACAAGTTTCTGCTGGTGGAACAAAGGGGCAGATGTGGCAGTATCGGTGAAGCTGGAAACAACATCTACCATGGTCCAGATTGTGAAAGATGCGGGGGATGCAGCTGCAGCACCTTATCACCGCACACCTCTGGACTTCATCAGTCGAGAAGAATGGCATTGGTCTCTGTACTGGACACACTGGATCAACATCCTTCGAGTGATGCATATCAACTTTGCACCACGAGCCTTACCCCACGATAGACTCGAAAACACCATTTGGCTCAATATCACAGCGCGAGGCGCGTTTCCAGCTTTCGTCGTCATGTGTCTAGCATACACAGCCATTTTCGTCGCAGCCTGGAACGCCTACTTCCCCACCTATGCTGAGCAAATCATATGGAGAATATCAAGCTTGTCACTTATAGCCACAGTTGTTCTCTACTTCGTCATCACCGCCTTTGCGTGGGTAGTTTGCCCCGCACTTCACCGATACTTTCATCCCAAAGCAACTTCAAGGCTCGAGGTATCACCGCAATCATCATCGTCTGAGAATAAGGGAAAGCCAGCACCAATACACCAGCTCCAAACACCTCCTTTTAAGCGTCTGAAACCTCGCTCAAGGCTCTCAGCTATCGCAGCTAGTCTGAGGAACAATTCTGTCCTAAAAGATCCGTTGCTGGACGTCCCTCTGAAGGCAACATTGCCTATCTATGTAGTGGCGTTCTTTTACTGTTCCTCGCGTACGCTGATACTGATATTGGACATGATTCAGTTGCGTTCTTTGCCTACGAGCGCGTTTGATACCGTAAATTGGGGTGCATTCCTTCCTCATTTCTCTTAACCTATATAATAGTAGAAGAAGTCTTTTCATCTAATGTACTATCCAATTAAAGATTCACCAACACCATAGTCGGACGCAGTTCTGAAGTATGAATCTGAATACACAGATTACCGTTCAGACTGAGCAGCGTGGGCCGTAACACTACCTACTTTAAACTCCACCACCCCACCATCCATAATCTTGGTAATGGCATGCCATCAGCACCAGCACCAAGGCGCCGCTCGCCCTTGTCAGTTGTTTGTGGGGCCATTTTGTTTCGTCACCGCTGCCGTGGCCACGGGGAATACAGATAAGAAACTTACTCAAACTAACTCCCTTGTGAGGTGACAGTGCCTTCAAGATGCCTTACACAGAGTACTCCGGTAGCTGATATTAAACCCATAGCATGCAACAGTGCTCGGTGATTACAGGCACCCTTTTGTTCATCAATTGTGATTATATTCTGTTTTGACGAATACAGATAAGCAATTGGAAACCGTAAAGGTCCACTGAGAACTTCATCCCAAGCTATGCCGTGAAAGTATTTCTTCCTTTTCCCTTCCTTCTGGCCTTGCTAGTTATGTGGCTCTCGATCCATGTCTTTCCCCATTCCTATCACCGTTTACTGTACACTGTCCCAGGACCTATCCTAAAGGAGCTAAGCACCAGTGCCAGCACTGATATGTCTTAGATTTATCCTAAAGGAGCTCCACACTATTGTGACGGGTTGAACCCGATATTTGGCTGCACTACTACGTAGTGCAGCCTGCACGTGACTACGCGGGCCTGCACATGACTGCGCGACGCCAAAGCGCGCGGGCCATTCTACGAACAAGCGAGAGCCCCTTTGAAAAGAGCTCCTCGTACAAGATAGAACTCTTCTCTCTTTAGTTAATTCTTCTTGTAATACAATCAGGTTCTTGCTTTGACTCATTGCTGTGATAGACCAGATCAGGTTGAGATGCAAGAGGTGATCCATTCTTAGAATACTAAGGTAAAGAGCTGAGGACAGCTCTCAGGAGTGCTTATATACAGGATTCTGCCAGGCGGTGAGTTGTCACGTGATAGGACTGAAACCAGCACTGTGACAATTGCATCCAACCCGTGACAACTATAAAATATAATATTATAATATTTATTTAAATCAAGTATAAAATTCTTTATTTTAAAGAAATTATTCTAATTATATAAATCTTTTTACTTAATAGATTTCTTCGGATTTCTTAGACTTTATTAGACTTTGAAACCTCTTCTCGAAGTCCTCTGGGATTCATCACGTGTCACAGTATCACGTGATCTCTCGTTGCCCTAGAGTAGACAAGCTTCCTCCGCTTACCGAGCCTATAGTCCACTGGGTTAAGTGGTTCGTAATAGCAAAATTCCAATCCGCCCTTTAGAATAGCATTAAGAATACAAACAAAAGAGGTTGTTTAAAGACGTATATTAATACTAGGGGGGCCTATCTTGGCCTCCGGGAGCCCGTTCGGAACCTCTTGATCCTTCTCGTTAAAAGTTGATTTTCTTGAGAATCGTATTGCTAAAATAGCCCACAGCTTTAGCACTGTACTAAAGATGGCGGCGTCGAGCTTCGGGGGGTAAGGTGAGCAAAGGTGAGTAGAGGCGAGGCAGTGGTGAGTTGCAAGTGAGGATGGATGAGGATGAGGTGAAGCGGAGGTGAGCAAAGTGGCGATGGGTCACGTGTGCTACGACTTAGCGAGTGCCCAGAGGACGTGAGGATTGATGTGAGATAACAGTAAGTACCTCCTTCTCCTCCTCCTAACTCAGAGACTGCTAGACCATGGCATACAACAAATTTTTTTTTTGGCGATTTTGGGAAGGATGGGAGAAGGAGTTACAGGCGGGGTCGTGTTGCGCTTTTGAAGCGTAATGTGAATGAACACTGTAAGAGGAGGGATGCTATCGGAGATGTCGGAGAGACTCAAAACTAGGCGTGAAACCTCGCCTTCCCTGCTCACATAGGGAAATTTTCTCAAAGAGGTAATTTTGAGGTCTGTGCTCATGTGGTTTCTTACTACTTACTATCATTATATGTACAAAATAAGGTGAAGTTAAGTGAATTAAAGTGAGTTGAAATGAATCACTAGCTATACTTTATGCTCGCTATTCCTCGACTACTCAAGCAGCAGCTTTAACAATAGGATTTTATATAAAAATTACGTTTTGTTTCTCACAAGGCTTCAGCCCTAGCCGGCATGAATACTTTTGAATGACTATTTCAGCCAGAGTCCAAAGCTAACTCGAACCTAACCTCAAAAATGAAGGTATCGTGAGTCTTAGCTATAAAACACTAAACGTTTGAGCCAACTCCATTTCTACAGTAGCTTCCTATTCCCAGCTCCTCGATCGGTGGGTCAGGCGCAAAATGTTCGAGGAAACTTTCTCTTCTGACCAGCTTCCGCTAGTTACTTAGCGGCGGTGATTGAGGATATACTTCTTTTTTCACTCCAATGGTTTGGGTTGATTTGGCCATTACTGATGATGGCTTTGACATGCTTCTACTTCCCTGCTTCTTGTAAGAAGACTCATAGCTGTTCAAGCCTTTAATCTTGAGAATTTGGATCTGAAGCTTTTGCCATTGACATGGTGGTCTATTTACCCCGCTATTGGATCTTGCTTCCTCAGCTTCTGTACTGACAATTGACACCTTCAGCGATTGAATTGCGCTCATTGAAAAGGTCTAGCATTCCTTTCCTACCAATGCAAGTCGTGCTTATTTGGTTCCTAGCTTTCAAGTCGAAGCGACAAGGCCCGCAGCTACCCTGCCAAGGCTGCAGTAGCCTCGTGTGGGGGATGGCTAGCGCGACTTAGTCAAGGGCAAGCTCCCTTCGTACTTTCTTTAAAATTTTGGTCTACGCAGCTTCACGGCATCTCGCCTTCGCACAGCATTGAAAATCCTCTTGATACTTTCTTCTTTTCAACTCTTTCTTGAAAGCTGCCCCAGGTTGACAGGTCGTGTAATGCGATTTCAAGCCACTCTCGGACGAGCATTTCGATTTGCAATACGAACTCCAGCAAGTCTTCAGTGCAGCGATTTAGCTTCAGATACCTTGCCAATCTCATCCTTCTTGCAGGTCCTGATTCGATTGAGCCAACAAACCTTTTCCTTCGCCGACCACCAAGTACCAAGACACGAACAGATTCTACCCAACCGCAGCGATGAAGATCATTGATCCATCACCATCTGCGCAAGCTCGTCGTCAAGCCGAGCGCCGACTCAAACAGGAATACTTGCTCGACCAAAAAATCATAGCTCTCCGGAAGGAATTGGTTGAAGTACTCGGCATTCAGACTCCCTTGGAACAAATATTGCCGCCACAGCTCAAGACTCAAGATAAGCACGAGTCTGTGATGTTCTTAAGGCTCATGATCATGGACGCTCTACAGAACAAGCTCGTACACATGCAAAGTCTGAAATTGATTCCGCCGCCTTCCCCCACATTCACCTGCTTTTCAAATCTCCCACCAGAGCTTCGCCTCAAGATTGTGAGTAGCATACCCCTCTGTTTTTCACCTTTGCTAGTTCTCGAGCTTGGTATATTGAAGTCTCAGAGAACTTTTCACCTCCTTCACTTCTTATTCCGGAAAGGCATGGTACTAACTTGCTGTAGTGGGACTATACGCTCGAGAATCATTGTCACGAACGGATTCATTCCGTTGATGTATCCGAAAAGGATAGAAATGAGTTCATGGCCGGAGACTATGATGCAGAAAACCCTCAACACCTCATCAAAGTCATTTCGAACCAGCTTATCCACCCAACCCTCCATGTATGTCATGAGTCCCGAATGCAGTACCTTTACCGAACTGGAGCTTCATTTTCGAGCCATCTTGCAACATACATCAACTTTAACACCGACGTAATCTACATACCTAATAACGATTTCGCAGCAGAAATCTTCCGGAAGTTAGTACAAGACAGTAGAAGGTGTCCAAACCAACTGCAGCGTATTGCGATGCCAGCCCAACTTTACTGCAACCTTCCTATGGACGACGGTGAACGTCTCGAGACCGTGCACTTTGATATGCGGGACGCGATGCCGGCCTGGCGAGAAACCTTGATCGTCTTCGCTGATGACGTTTTCATGAATCTGTGGTCGGAGACAAAGTGGAAGATTGTGGAGTTGACTGCGAAGCAGAAGAGGTTACGTGTGAGAGAAGCTATGCAAGGCAACATGTCAGGATACTGAACGAGTGGATCAAGGAAGTCGCGGATGTAGATCCAATGAAGTATAGCTTCGTTTTCATTAAGCCAGCCGCCGAAGAATGAAGTGGATGAGCTTGAGAGCTTGCATCTATAGATTGGGACAGTCTGTCTGGACATGGCGCGAAGTGGATTTGATACACATTTGCAAGCATGAATACAAATCATAGTCCATGCTTCGAACTCGCTCGTTTTTCCGTGTCAACTTGTGCTCAACTTGGGCCATTGCCGATGTCCAGAATCTTGCAAAACTATTAATGATGTAGCAAGGATTCTGTTGTACGCTCGAGTCTTTGCTCTAGCTCCAACATCCCGTTGTTCACTTGCAAGTCACGAGTCACAGACCAATTAGGTATAAATTCAATGCGTAAGCTAATAATTTTTAACTTCATTTCTATTTCTACTTGATGTCCAAGAATCTATAGTTAACTGCAAATTTTCATAAAACACTTCAGAGTCTTTCCATTGTTTGAAAACTGAGAAGCAAAGCAATCCATTCTTTTGTTGAACTGTCAAGTGATCCGAACTATCGATTTGGGATATGCAGTAGCTCGTTGCAGCTATTCATGTCTCGCCTCTGTGTCCATGTGCGGGTGGCGTTCTCTAGCGATACCGACTACTGTATCTTTTAGTTCCATTGTGACAAGCGCAAGGTCGCATTGTTGGAATGTCACATTTACTGCCTCGACTCAAAGTTCCACTTCTGAAATTACGACAGCCATCAACGATAAACATGACCTGACATACTTGAATTCAGAAACTCTTTGCGAACAGGGGACGCCAAGGTGTCAACTTCGGGGAAAAGCAAGGAGTTTCGTAATGAGACATTTTGCTTCGTCCATTTCCTCATGTCTCATCCGATGCGTGTCGGTAATTTTGCTCATAATAAGGAAGTATCCGCAGAGACTCATATCATGACAAGGCAACACTTGTTTTATTTTTCTTCCCGACTTCATTTGCGGTCCCGTTGTTCTCAGGATGCATCTCATTCGATCAGTCATTACCGTTGTAATACTAGCGGCGAAGCAATCATTGGCGCAAGAACCATTCGATCAATACTGCTATCTCGACATTCAGAATGCCGATTTTTCGTTCTATAGCACCAAGTAAGCTTTTCTTCTCACTAAATTCTTTTCCCTCATGAAAGTTTGAGAGGTACCGACTATTTCAAGAGTTGGGACTTGATGGCAAAACGACACCATATCTCTGAAGCTTCTAGTTCTCACGATATTTTAGACATAGACACAGTGCTAATATGTTGGCAGCTATAACCTAATGGGTTGGGCACCAGAAATATACGCAGGGGGCAATTTCGCCTGGCAAGCCGGTGATGGTTCCGAACCTCTCGGCATCGATGGTACCCGAGGTGGCCGGATGGTCTTCAACCTGATTCAAGAGCAAGGCTGGGGCACTATGACTATGAATGCATTTTTCTCGGACTACCTATACGCTGTACCTCGCGGGACTCAGCAGATCCTCAGCTGGTGGGTCATGTTTGACGCTGCGACCTCGGCTCACGATTTGAGCAATTGTCAAGTCGGGATGTCAGACGGCAACGACGATGCGAGCATTGTGCCCACTCTGGAAACCGCGTATCAATGGACTCAATATACGTTCTCGGGCCCGGATGCCGTGGCAGATGGACAAACACAGGAAATGATCATTCGAGTTACTTGTCAAGCGAACGTGGTGGCTTATGGTGGGCCGGTGGCCTGGAAGGTCGATGAACCTGGTTGTCCGCCAGGAGCCAAGATCCTAAATGCAGCTGCTGCTTCCTCGATGATAATTCCTACCACCGCCTCATCAACAGCGGCTGTATGTCAAGTGCCAGATTCTACAGTATATATTGCACAAACGCGCACAGTCACCATGGCTCCCGAAGTGATTACTTCTTACATATACGCTTCGATGAGCACAGCTTGGGTTACGCTTAACACCTGCAGCTCCAGCGCTGTTATTTCGACGAATTCGGCAGCATCATCTTCCTTCTCGTCAGCGCCAACATCAAGCTTCTCTAGCAATGCTTCGGCGAGCGCGGCAGCTTCGTCGTCATTCTCAGCTGCGCCAACATCGAGTTTTGCCTCCGCGTCTTCGACGGATTTGTGTCCTTCGTACAATTTCACTACGACGATTGTATCCTGGCTGCCAGCTGCAACAGTTACTGTTAGTGCTTGTCCATGAGCAACTTAAGGGAGACTTGGAAATCAGAGGATGAGGTGTTGGCCTCGGTCTACGCAAGTTTGGTTTTGCTTGGATCAAGGGGTACGTGGATATGGATGGAAAATATCTTTCACATCCCAGAGCTATAGCATATCACAAAAGAAAACAAATATTACTTGGCGAAGTTGATTCGATTCTTATCCCTTCAAGCGATATCCCATTCTCTCTTCTGATCTCTGATGTTGTTTTGCAATAGCTTTGCAGTAAGTGAAAAAGCGCTCCTCGTGCTCTTTGAGTCATTAATCACGTGGTCCGGTTTTCGGCCACCACTTGCACTTCGGCTCTTACCTACCTAGGTACCTAAGTCACTGTGTGTGCCATGTATCACATGAAACAAGCTCATACTGTTGTAGTGCACACTTCCATGATTTTCCTTCCTGCGACAATGGCATGAGTCAAGAGAATTCAGGAGAGCAAGCTGCAGCTGAATACTTGCTGGCCGTTTTGAGATTTGGTTTCTTGATTAAGTAAACGGTGATTAGACATACTCATACATATCGAAACTCAAGCTCTGAGAGATAGCAGCCCGAAATTTGCTATTGTGACCAATAAAGCGGAAGTGCACACTCGACTTGCGCCGGATGACTATATTCATGATTCATTTTCACGATAAGCCTGGTGAGCATTGCAACTTGCGCTTTAGTACTTGAAGTAGTGTCATAACTTTATGACTCCAAAACAGGCACTCTCTTAAGTCTCTAAGGTAGGCTCTCACCTTCGCTTGAGCCTTCCCGCGCCCAATTACACATGTTTAGTAAAGAACTTAGACTTTTGCATTAGATTCCTACACACAGCAATGTGGGATCGCCGAACTTTGAGTGTGGAACTCTAGGCAAGAAATACCACAATGTCGGAAAAACCAATGCCAGATCGACTGATCGAAGCCATATTGTCAGCAGAACGACCTAAGACCCCGAGGAAAGTCTCATTTGCAAAACCTCAAGTCTACTTTCGTTCCATTTCCTTTCAATCACCTTTCTACAGACCAGAAAGGGTGGACTCTGATACCACTATCTCTGTATGTACATGTCCATGTGTTTGTGGAACCCACGCAAGCCCCCCTCACAGTCGCAAGAAGACATCTCGACGTCGTCACTCTACACCTCCTGGGCCCATACCGCAAGGTATCTACTGGCCATCTCCAATGATGATGATTGGACTCTTCTGCATTGGAATAGTAATCAGTGCTGTACATCACGTGTACTACTCCTTTCTTGATAGAAGAAGAGTTGGGGACGATCAAGAGCAGCAACGAGCAATCAGGTTTATCATTCACCGAGCCATTGTTGATTGCTCGAGGACTTGCCTAACGTATGCATAGATTTGGAAGTACCTTCGCACATATGGTTCAGACAACTCTAGTTGCCTCTGTCGGTTACAGCTTCACGCAAACATTGTGGAAGACTCTTCGAAAGAAGAGTGTCTCCATTAGAGCTCTTGATGCTGCCTTCGGCGCAGACAGGAGTCCTTGGGCATTGTGCAATCGTGAGATGCTGAGGAAGTTGAGAATTGTTTCGGTCCTCGGTTTGATATCACAGTACCCAGCACCTTATCTGCAGACGAATATGATGTTTGACTGTTTATAGGTGCATGCCGCTGCCATCACTGATCACACCTGCCACCCTCTTCGTCATGCCGAATGTTCAATATAGTTGGACTGTCGAACTTGTCCCTACGGTCAATATGTTCGGGTCACAGTGGAGCCAATTCGCTTATTCTGTGAATGACACAGCTACTTCTCCGCTGCTCTTCCTAGGTCCGAGAACTATCATCTCAAGATTGACGACGGCAACAGCAGCTCAAGGCGCCATCTTGGACATTGTGGCTCCCTCACCAAATTCGTCATACTCTCTTCACTTCTATGGACCAGTCGTACGATGCCAAGACGCCAACTTGAGCACTGCAATCATAATTGACACCTTGAGAGATGAGTTCGTAAGCAATTACACAGGAAATACCATCGAGTATAGCAACAATTACTTTGCCTTCGTGCCAGATTTCAGTAATCTCGCCAACAAGACCTCAGCCAGTGGCGTCCAAATAGTCGCGCAGACTCGGCTTCAAATGCCTTCCAATGCAAGCAATGAGCTTTGGATGGTCTTCTCAAGGTACGCATGGGACAGCACTGGAAATAGCAGCATCGTGGATCATTACACCACTTGCAAGCTCTACAATGCATCTTACAGTGTCTGCCTATCGTTCATGAACGGCATGCAGAGTATGAATCTGACCAACATCACAATGCTGAATACTGTCGACTACCCATCAAACAACGACTCGATCACTGCAGCTGTTCAGCAGCAACACGCCTACTCCGCCGTGTTCTGGGCGATGAGTGATCTCATCGTCGGCTCAATGGGCATGTTCAGGCAGTATTTAGACGATGGCATATCGACCACTTTCCCAGAAATCACAACCGAGCTAGAACGCACGAGTCTGCTCGGGAGTTCCGACCTCGACGTCTTCTTCGATGGCACCACTCCTCTAGACGGAAATCAAAGCAGCAGCGATCAGCGACAAGCGGACATCGCTCTAGCCAAGAACCGCACCCTCGCTGCCCTCATCGAAGAACTCTCCTCAAACATCACTATTTCTTTCCTCAGTAGCGATCTCCTCTCGTAAGCCCCCCTTCACTCCCATTTTTCACATGATTGACATCCCCAGCCCTCCAGCACAAACAAACATAACTCACACAACCCAAATCAACCTCTACGCCTACCACTCCCGCAATCTCCTCTTCGCGTACTCTTTCGCGATAACGTTCGCTCTGCTCGCTATCCTCATCGGCGCTTATTCATACTATCAGAATGGATATTCGCACAGTAAAAACTTCTCGGCGATATTAGCGGCGACGAGGGATCAGGATTTGGCAGAGCTGTTTTTTGCGGATATTATGGGGAGGTTGCCGTTGCATGCCGATGTAGAGAGGGCGCAATTGAGGTTTGGGAGTATGGTTGGTGGCGGCTTGGGTTTTAGGGAAGAGCCACCGAGGAGGAGTGTGAGTGTGGGCAGTGTGGGTGTCGGTGTGGAGCATGAGGTTGCGTGAGGACAATCTGCTGTGGGGTTTGCATAAGGAATACAGTATTTAGATGCAGAGTGCAGTCGATTGGAGTGAAGCATTGTTGCTACGTAGCTAGACTTGCTCAATATTATAGCTTGGTCAGTGTACAGAATTGACGAATTGATATGAAATTCAATATCCAATTCTTAGAGAGGTGTTGTTTGCATTTCAACTGCGCAATTGATGGTGAGCCAAAAACATCGGATAAACGGGACTATTCAAGATTTAAAGTTCTTAGCGCCGGCCTAACCTTTTTCCTGATCTGAGACTGCTCCTCAACCAAGGTCCTCAACGAGAACACCATACAAAAGAAATACTGGAATATGATTGGCCGAAGGCTTCTTAACGCCGAAATTTGCTGTTTGCTTAACTTTTGGAGATTTGAAGGGAGAGAATCGTTGGGTTTTTAAACACTTATGATTTTACGATGTGCAACAAAAGAATTTAAGGTTTTAAGCTTATTTTAGCGCCTACCTTATCTGCCTGGGACTGCTTGAGCAACCACAAAGGTACCTAGGTAACCCCTTAAATTGCTCGCTTAACAATCCGGATTCGGACTTATGTCAACACGACCATTTCGTCTTGTCATTTGTGGTAATTCCACAGATCGGATTATTATTGGGCATATATTGGAAATAGGTATTTTATTGACAATGATTGAACTTTTCCTAAAGAGATAAAGAACAGCTTGAACTTCTATAGAGAATTCATCTGTCGCAAGTTGTAAGCAGGTTTGCAGATGTTGCGAGTACGAGGGCGAGTGCCAGTCTCGGGTTATACATTTCAGAGTGTCGAAGAGGAGGTATTTATAGATCTAGCATCGCGTTGTGTTGATTCACCTGTGAAATGGGCAGGCCGTTTTTCAAAGAGCAGTGTGTCATGAAGGTGAAGTCCGAATGAAGTCCAAATCAAGCGCTTTTTTTGCTATAGAAGCCGCCCCGCGTGCTTTCGCAATTGATACCCAACGTCTATTGAAACAGCCTTTTCAGAACCGGCTGAGCTAGATCCCTCATGAAAGCCCATAGCTTCACTCTCAATCTGTGAAGACAAGCCCTATCTTTCTAGCATCGCTGAAGCGCACACCATATTCCTTCATCCATGCATTGTCAGCGGGAGCAGCATCTCCTCCCCAAGGATTGAAAGAACAAGTGGAAAGACGTCCCACCTCGAGATCAGACACTAAATCTCTTGGGCGCTCTGAATCTCTGGGACTCTCTGACAGGTCGGCCAATCTACCTATTGAAAAGGCATCCATCATGTCTAGGGTTCTCAAATGCGGTATATTCATTGCTCGCTGGCGAAGACTGTCCACATGGCAGATGAACTGATCCCTCAGGGCGAGCTGAAAAAGGCCTCCTGTTGCGAGGTACTTATAAGCAACACGGATGTCATCGAGACAGTTCAGATGGCGGAATAGATTGAAACCATTGCACAGGTAATTGCTACGTTGTATGTAGACAAATGCCTTCAAGGATGCAAATTCAACATCATCCAAAAATGAGAGCTTGTTGAACACCGCAGACCATAGAGGGTCCAGGGCTTCAAGATATAGGACAGAATCGCTTTGGCTTGCCTTGGTAGATAAGATTCCACCTAACACTGCAATCTCGTGGATCATCCGGACATCTAAATCCTCGTTCCGTTCAAAATTACGTCTGGAGATGCGCTTTTTATCAGAGAGTATGCGTTTGATTCGGACTATCGATGATCGTACTCCGACTCCAGATGATAACGATGTGAGATTGTATAACGTGGTGGGCGACGTCCCATCCCTGAATAACACGTGGTCGTGTAGGTATCGACCGCATTCTCGGGCCAGTAACTCATAAGCATCAGAGGACCGATTAAGATTTAATAGCACATCTGCTAGAGACACTTGGCACTGTAGCAAATCATCAAACTTCTGCATCTTCTGATAGCCTTCAATCGCCACGCCATAGAGTGTCTCTGCATGATGCGACATCTCCGGGTACAAGGTTTCGAGATTTGCCATTAGAAGGCATATGCGAGCCACCACTTCAGATGTACGTTCGAACTCCTCACGAAGCAAGGTCAAAGCCTCATGGTATAGGAGGCACACGTCGGAATATTTTGAAAGCTCGAACTCCGGCCGCTCGTCCAGTTCTTGCAATTCAGTCACACATGCACCAGGTCCTGCTTCTAGGAATTCCAAGAACTCCGAAATATATTCTAGAAGAGCCTCAGTGGAACAACACTGTCGCTCAATGGCAAGAATAATGGAACCGAGATACTTGACTGCTGCTGATTTGATTTGGCGGTTTTTGCGATCCATTCGTGCTCCGTCGATGTGATTAGCGATCAAGTCCGATACGATGGATGGTGCAAGATCTTCTTCTTCGAGGCCAAGGACTGACTCCTCGTCAATGGTATGAAGTCCTCGTTCAGGACAGTTCCACAGCATAGAACTCCCTGCAATAGTCTGGATGAGCATATTCCTCTCGCCACGGCCTCCGGATGGGTCTGGAAGAAATGTTTGAACCTCCACTTCTGATGTGCTTTCAGAGTCGGACAGATGGGCTACAGTGAGACGAGTAGTAGGTAACATATCATCTAGTGGCTCGAGACTCTTGTCTCGGAAGTTTTCCAAGGCTGTGGGAATCCGAGGAGTTTCGGGACCAGGAGTGCAATATGTTATGCCTACTGGTGTTTCTATTTCCTTACTTAGTATACGATCATACATAAACGCACACAACGTTAAACCAAAGAGCTTACCAGCGGTTGGAGACACAGCATCCAAGAAATCTACCACTCTCCTCTTTTTGAAACTCTCCAATCTCATTTTCTTGATCTCAGCCCCACCATGGAAAAATTGCGTCTCCTTCCCTTCTTCCCGCTTTCTTTTCTCGCTCTTGGCAATGAGAATACCCATGGCTGCGGAGGAGACGTTCTTTTCGAATTTCCAGCTTTTAAGCTTTTCTTTCCATTTTCGTTCACTGTCATCATTATCAGTACACCCCTCCCTCGCCGGCTCAAAGAAATACAGCTTACCTGGCTTTGAATTGATAGGTATGACTTATGATTTGCATTGTATCCTTGAGCGTATGGTCCATATCCATGTATACACTCCGGATGTTGTCTTTATGGGTTTCCCATTTCTGATCATTCCGTGCTTTGGCTGACAGCCTTGATGTCCGAGATCCCTGAGCTTCGGCCATTTTCGCAGGAGTTTCCCACAGCTGGGAACAGAACTTAACTTGTGGGGAAGAAGCCCTCGAGGAGGGAAACCATACTGAGCAGTAAACTGTCGATCTTTGGGGGTATTATAGTTTCAAGGTGAAAACGTGAGGGAGAAGAAAAACAAGGCTGGGTGGGTGAGACGAGAAAGCCTCATCCGCATCATCCCACGCAACGCTCAACCGAACCACTAAGAACACCGTACAAAAGGGCAGATTTCGGGCTTCGTATCGGGAAGGCGCATATGGAGCAAGCCCGTCCAAGCCGCAAAAAAGAAAACAATTGAACGGGCAAATGCAAACCTGCAGAATTTGGAACGTGGGGGTTCATGGGTATTGGCCGAAAACCAAAGTGCAAAAATTACAATCTCTGCGAAGATACTGCAATTGACCCAATTAGGTCGCTCTTTTCAACACAGCCAACAATTGTTTGAGCGGCAATTTTGATGCGAGGTTCATAAAATGAGAGCTCAATTCGAAGAAATTAACGAGTGCCATGATCACCGAAATCCCTCTAGGAGCATAAAGCTCAGATATCAGATGAAGGGTGGTAGAATCGCGGCAATTATGGGGGAAGAAATTAGTGTATTGATTGAAGTGCAGGAGCAGAAGTGAGGATATATGAGAGCATAGCTAGCACTAAAAGCCCCTGAACTAAGCCTAAAGCAGCGCATAAAAGTGGATTTCAACTGACGACAAGAACTTCAGAGTCGCACACCACTCCCTGAAATCTACCAAACATTTCGAGTTTAAGACTTATGTCATCATAAGTTTGAACTTGTTGTTTCGAATTTCGTCGTAATCAGACAATAGCTTTTGGTCAATTACTCAGCAGTCTTGGGAGATGCGAGGAAAGTGAAAGAAAGGGGACCTCGGCAACATTGAAGATGAGAATTTCGAGCCTTCCTACAAATTCCCATACTCCTCTCAAATGTCCATCTCGTTAGCTTATGACGATAAGTCTCTCCTGCGGATAGTCGGATGTCCCCCATACGCTAAGATTAGGGAAGTTCTTTAAATCTACGTAGGGCAAGTGCTAAGCTCCCACCAAGCCCGCCCGGCTGGTTCGTCGCTTATTGCCACCACCGTGACAACCACAAAACCCCACAAACCCTCCCTAGTTTCTCTCTTTTCTATTGACTATATGCTTGGCATTCCTCTACGTCGGAAATCTTTGGTAGAAATGCTGTGTTTACCGATCGTCCGGTCTCTGAAGCGCTAGCGACCGAGGCCCAGAGCATCGGGTGCCTGTAACGAATAGATAGTAACTTCGTAAGGTAATATGGGCGTAGATACTGCTGGCACTGCAATCTTGGCAGAGGCATCGACTTGTTTCTAAGTTCAAATCTTTTTGCTGAGAACGAATCAATTGCCAGAAGGAAAGTGTTCTCTCCCCAAAGTTCGCAAGTCGCAAGCTACCTGCAATTCAGCAACGGACTTGCATTTTTAAGTCTTCAAATCATGGACGGTTCTCAGCTCGTTGAAGAAGTTTAAAGCGGATCCTCTCCTCCGATTCTCTTTAAATGATTCTGGAATTCATTTGTGGCAAAGTGGTAAGATGTAAATAATAACGTCTCGGCGTACCTTTTTCTTCCTTCCTTCATTCATTCGCGCATCCTACGCTCGTTCTTCTTTCTGCGCAGCAATGTCTTCTGTCCTTCGAGTTTATAATCGCCTCTTCACCAATTCCTCAAATTTCCAGCCATGGCGGAACACTCCTGAATATGGCTATTCCTCGAAGCGGCCAGATCCAGAAGCCGCGGGATCCGGCTCACATTTCGAAGAACTAAAAGGGAGAAGACCGCAAAAGTTCCTCCCCAGGCCTACAAACAGACTCATGAGCACCAGTGTTCATGCGCTGTTAATTTTGTGGTGGAATTACTTGTACTTTCTATCACTCAGCCCAGCCGAAACACCTGCGTAGATGAATGCCTTGCTTGGGCTATATGGGTTATTCTTGGCTTTATCGGTGGCTCTATTCTCGGTGCACATGTGGCTCTCACAATTCCAGCCTGGACCAGGTTTCTGCATATCTGCGAGAATTAAGAGGATCGGGCTCCAGATGTTGAATCTAGGGGCTTGGTATCTTTACAGTCATGGAAATACTCTGCAGAATCATGGGGCATATAATCTTCTTATCTTCGGATTGATGTTCTTCCCCAGTAACTTAATGTTCGGTCTGCTGTACGTGTGGTTTGAATTAGCATCTAGCCAAGAGCGAAAAACCAAGTCGCAGAAGAGATTCTGGAAGCAGTTTCTCGGCGCTGTTGCAATATTTGGGGTTCTCTTTTTCCATCTGTCGAATGCGAAAAGAGAACAGCTGAAATATGGATTTTTCGGCGATGAGATCCCGTGTTCTGCAAAAGAGCGGAAGTCTGGAAGTTGTGATTCGTGCCAATGGCAAGAAACTACTCCTTGGTTTGATCTTCTACCGTTTCGGCAAAACATCTTCACCGTACGTAAACTTTATCTTCTTCCTTTATGTTCTTTGACCTCAAGCTTGGACAACTTATTAACGATGCTGTGCAGGGCCCCATGACTTGTCCGGCAGACGAATCTTTCTCTGCAAGATTCGAAGAAGATAGGCTTATAGTTGAAGGATGTGAGAACACTCAAACTGAAATAAAATCATATTTCAACGATTCGGTGATAGCGAGAAACAATGGCCCTATCTACTCTCTACTTCCAAGAACCGAAACGTGGGGTTTGGCTATGAAAAATGACAGCTTGAATAGGTACGTACTTACTTCTTAGAGTTTCTGCTCATCATGTTCTCAAGGGTCCGGACTGACTTTTTATCAGACCATATAACGGTTTTCAAGACACTGTCCTCCAGGCCGTGGAATTGAACACTTTTCCATACTTTCAAGAAACAAAAATCAGCGCCTCCATCGATGATATCCTCGTCCACTGCGGCACCGCACTTCCAAAACTAGTATACAGAATTCAGCCCTCCTTCAAAAACAACACCACATCAACCCCCAACAACTCATCTACAGAAGAGGACAAAAGACTCAACATCATCATCCTCTTCATCGACGCCATGTCCCGCGCCCACTTCCACCGACGCCTCCCCCTCACCCAACACGCCCTCGAACTCCTCACCGGCTCGCCCTCCTCAACCAGCACCCTCTACCCCCTCACCCGCTACCACAGCATCGGCATAAACACCACACCCAACACCCGCGCCCTATGGGCCGGCCTCCCCACCTCCTCTCTAACAACCAGCTTCCTGCCCATCTGGGAGCAATTCCAATCCCACGGCTACACATCCGCGCGCGTGGACCCCATGTGCCAAGATTGGACCGCCTACTACGACGCCGGCACCTTCCCCTCCTCCTCCCCCTCCTCCTCCTTCATCTCGCAGAAAATAGCACACGAACACATCGCCTTCTCGTGTCTACCGCCACACCTACCCATCGGGAAAGATAACGCGGGAAACTTCGCCGGACCAGCGAGTATCAAAGCGAGGTGTTTCTCTGACACGCACATCGGGCACCACGTCCTGGATTGGACCGAGTCATTCATCTCGAGCTATCAATCTCCCTCTCCTCGAACCCCGTACTTCCTCAACGCCGCATTCATGGAAGCGCACGAAGGCTCCTCGGAAGTCCTCCGCACGCTCGACGCCCGCCTCGCTACCTTCTTCTCCCCGACTACCAGCGCCGTGAACTGGAATTCCACCGCCGTCGTAATGGTCAGCGATCACGGGGCGTTGATGGGGTTGAATAATGCGTTTTTTGAGAACGGGAGGGTGGAGGCGAAGAATCCGTTTGCGGCGTTTGTGTTGCCGGATTGGTTTATGGGGCAGGAGGACAGGGAGGACAGGTTTAGGGGGGCGGTGGGCAGGTTGGTGACGCCGTTTGATGTTTATGAGACGGTGAGGGGGATTGGAGGCGTGAGGGGTGGTGGGGAGAGGAGCGGTGGTGGGGTGGATTTGCTGAGGGATGGGGTTGGGGATCGGAGTTGTGGGGAAGCGGGTATTGCTGAGGAATTTTGTCGTTGTAGATAGAACAGAGCAGAGCTTGACTGAGCAGTTATCGAAAAATATTAAAAATTTGAAATGCCGTATCACCAGGGGGTATCAGAATTATTTACGCACCCCCTAAATTTTAGCAAAAACACACTAAAAATCTATTACTTTGCAACTTCCTAACTTTTTGAATTTATATTACAACATAGCCTAATAAATAAAATATAGCTTCATTACAACAAGCACATTAACTTTTATAGAGAAAAGTTCTTCTCAAAATTCTTAGTTTTTAATTTATTAAAATCTCATACTTTTATTAATACATTTTATATAGGAATTTTAATAAAATTAATCTTAATTTAAATAAAAGGTAGTAATACTATTCTAATTAATTGAACTTAAGTAGTTAAAATTTTCCTACTTGAGTATTTAATTTTGAGAAAATTTATAAACATAAAGTTATTTCATAAAAAAAGAGTAGTAGATTTTAGGTGTGTTTTCGTTAAAATTTGGAGGTGCGTAAATAATTCTGACACCCCCTGGTGGTATTAATTGCTTTCCAAAGTAATAGCCTGGAATAAAGGTTTAGGCTTTATAAGACATGACCCCCCCAAGCCCCTCCTAAGTGAAAACCTCCTATACGATGTGTTGACCTCCTCCAACCCTGGGCTCCTTCCACCTAAGTTCCTACTCTTGCTCTCGTTTTGTGTGACGCTAAAATTTCGAAAAATAAATAATTTAATGAAGTGTAACGTGTGAGATTTTAAATGAAATATGGTACCTAACGAGTTTCCTCCTTTTGCTTATAAAGACATATCTTAGAGAACAATTAATACGGTGTGCCTCGTTTCATCAAGCACCAATACTTCCTCCTGAGACCCGGACGAATAATTTAGACCCCATCATTACTCGCTTAACCTAGAACTCACTCTCTCCAGCAACTCAAAACTATTAATTACGATTTTCATTAACCCACACAACCTAACACCCAGACATCATGTACGTACGTATATACAAGAATCGAATCCGCACTCTCAAACAACCCACACAAACCCAGTATTTTCTCTAACCATCGACCATCAATCAACGCACAGCGGTACTTCATACCTCCTCTGGGTATAAAGCTCTAACAACCAAACCTTCAACATCCATGATCTAGCACGGACATTGCACCCCAAAAAACCCAAACTCCCGGACTCCAAAAGGAAGAAAGGGAAACTCATATCTCGTATCATCATACCATCTCATCCCTAAACCTCGACTCGGCCGTCAACCGCCTCTGGACCCCCATCCCAAACCGAATCCGCCCCTTATACCCCCTCCGCATCTCCTCATACCTTTCCTCCTCCTCGCTGAAAACACTCACCGCATCAACGACAACCTCGTCCTTCCACCCTCCATATCCATATCCATATCCATACCCCTTCTCACTTTCCCTTTTCTCGCTCCCGCCATACCCGCTATCACTCCTTAATCCAATCTTCACGATCCCCGTCTCCTTATCCGCGAACGGATTACTCTCCCCCCACCCCTCGCGATAAACCTTGACCTCGACCTCTTTTTCTTCCTTCTCATCTCCAAAATCCGGCGCCACAACAGTATAAACCGTCTTCTCGCCCTCGCTGACCGGTCTGCCCCTGCGCATACTATTCCCCAGATTCCTCGTCCTTTTAAAATCCTCGATTGTTCTTGGCCACTGATCCCCATCCTCCCCTCTACCTCTACCCCTCCACGACTCCCTCTTCACCTCATCCTTACCCTCAAGCCCAAAATTAAGCGACACGCCTCTCCTCGGATTCCGCGCCGGGGTCGTAGGCGTGGCTCCCCCACCGCCGTCCGACAACGCGTTCAGGATCGAGCCGCTGTACACCGAACTCGAGCGATTGGCCCTCAGGGGCGCGAACGCGGCTGGCGGCGCCGGCAGCGTGACGGGGCGTTCGTAGTCGCTCGGGTACGGATAGCTTTCCAGCGCTCCGCTCATCCCGTACCCCATTGTCGACGTCGCCGGGGGCGCTGTATCTCTTCTCGACGCCGTGCGGGAATAACTTTTATTCTTCGTTCGCAGGGAGCCGGTGAGGGTTCCGCTGCTGCTCGCTTTGCGCTGGAAGCCGAGGATGGGCGCGCGGTCGTCGGAGTAGTCGCCGTTGAGGCTGGAGCTGCCGATGGAGCGGCGGTGTTCGCGGGAGCGGCGATAGCGCGTGTAGATGAATGCTACGACGAGGGAGGCGAGGACGAGGACGCCGAGGAGGAGGCCGGCTATGATGCCGCCTTCGCGGGAGGCTTGTTGGCCGGAGGCGGATTCGGGGCCGAGGCCTTGGGGGAGGACGGCTGCGAGGGGGTTGGTATCCGCGGAGGGGGAGGTTTGGGAGGGGAAGAAGGGCGCGAGGGTACTGGGGTAGGGAGCTGTGATTGAGAGGGCGGTTACGAAGGCCAAGGAAGCTGAACTTGGCGTTGATGAGATGGTGGGAGCGGCGGATTCGCGAGTTGTTGGGCTATTGGAGAGTTGCGAAGTAATGAGTGAGGTTTTGCTGAGGCCTTTTGCTGACTCGGTAGAGGAGAGTGGAATCAAGAGTGATGAGAGGAAAGTTTCGAGGGAGTTTGACGTAGGTCTTGCTGGTATTGAGGTGGATGTTGTTGGCCGTAGTGATGTAATTGAAGCTTCTGAAAGTGTTGCAGATCCGGACTTGGACAATATTGAAGTTGATTGAGCAGGACGAGGTATACTGGCAATTGTGGACGAGAATAGGGATGAGATCGACGAAGCAGATGGTATTGCTCTGGATGTACTCGAAACCCGTCCAGAAGAAAGCAGAGAGGTTACAGGACCCGAGGCAGAAGCAGCAGTCCTCGAAACAGACTGCGTAAATATTGTCGTCGTAACAGTATGTACCACTTGACTGGAATGATGCCCCCATTGCCAGATCCCGCATCCCAAAAGCCCCAATCCATGTTCCGCACCATTGCAAAGATGTCCACCCTGGTTTTGCACCGCATTCATAGCTTCATTAAAAAGACTGCCTCGACCTGCATTCCCAACGCTCATGTTCCATTAATTTGAAAAATTAAAAGTCGTATACTGGAATTAAAGGAATGATCTTGTGCACCAGCCTGCTCAACAGGTTCTGCAACAAAAATCATTGATGTTGACGATCCAGCGTCAGTAGGACAGACGAAGGAGACCTTTCTTTCAAATCGACTCACTCACGAGGCAAGACCGGAGTGAAAATTGGCCATAAAAAGAAGAACGACAGAAATAAGAGATGAAGAATACTATACAGTGCAAGAACCGTTCGAAACAAAGTGACGCATGTGCATGTGGGGGGACACTTCCCACCTCAGAATGCATGAAATACTCCATGAACAAGAGTTGCTTGAACTGTCTGAGAACAACAAAAAGCATAAAGTTTCGAAAGCCCCGTCTGTTTATGTTGCGATAAGATCTTAGAGAGCGTTTTTGGACCCATGTGTGGTCCCTGGTACAACTCCCGTTTGGGAGGGACGTAAGTTGTTTCATGCTTAATCGGACGGATTAAGCGCTGGGATGGATCGGAGATTTTCTTCGATGGAAGATCATAAGATTGACAATAGAACACTTGTTGTTCTGAAGTGCCGACCCTTTCGAATGTATAATTGTTGATGCTTTTTGCAGCGTTCATTTTCTGACTCTGGTTTGCGCCATAATAACTCTATGGTCGTGAATGCGAACGCCAAGCAGTGAAATGCGCTATCAACTGCAAGGGCAGAATATCGATCTACTGGAAATCAACGCTAGGATGTATCGCAAAAACTTTCTGGTCGGGATCCAATCCGTCGTGCGAAGTTTCTCATCTCGAGCAGGTGGAGATGGCTTCCTGATCGCTCGTTGGTCCACCTTCAATCCCGAGTCCGGCAGCGTGTGCGGCATTGTCTGTGCGATGCGTTCCAATCAGAAGATCCATGTAGTGACGAGGCTTTGAGCTTGGATATCACCGAGCACATTGGTCAGACGGTATGCGTATGATAACAAGGAAACACCATGGTGTACTGTCGATGTATAGAGTTTATGAAGGTCTCATCCAGTGGGGTTGCGCGGAACTATAGATGAAGAGTATGGAATGAGATTTTATATTCAAGGAGATACGAAGAGTTGATGCCCAACAATAAGTGAGTCCCAATGGATACCGAGTTATTGATGTACCCCGCAGAAGTCCTGCAAAAGAGTTGATTGAAGCCAAGTCCGTTGTTTCTGTCGGCATCGGCTTGTGGGCACTTTCCTCTCGGGCTCAGACTCATCTGAAAATGTTGTCTGAACTCAATCCCGGCATAGTAGGATCCAGATATCAGTGCAGGTATTTGGGGATTCTCCGAGCGTATACATATTCAGCAGCCTCATGTTCCCTTTGAGAATTCATGCTCTTTGGGTCCGTGACAACGCTGATCTGGGAAATCAATTGGGGTGAGCGAACAGTTAACACAATAGCATGAACACGAACGGCGCCACGAAAGCCAATCTGCCATTTCAGCAGTTATGTGACCTTTGAAGACTGGGATTTTGGTTCATTAAACGTCGCTGATGGACTTAAGCCTTGAAATCTGCTAGCAGTGATTGGCCACTAGACGTTACTTCGATCGTTTGTTTCTCCAAACAATGCGAACATGTTCGTCAAAACATATATCATTTGCAACTTATGTGCCAGTTGCATGGGGCCATCTCCAGACGGCCGAACGGCAAAGCTACTAGTTCTAGAGTTCATCAAAAGCGCGACAGATTTAACCTTTGTTTCAGGAATCGAAACGAACATCGAAACGAACTTTTACTTCCCCAAACAATCCGGAGCTGTCTCCTGTGAGCAATAAATAGTTGGGCGCGGGCAGTCAGATAGTTCACGCCAACACCAACGGTGAATTCTAGTCTTTATGCAAGCACGAGCGCCATATAAGCAGGCGATATAACAACAGAGCCAGGCAAAAATGCATAACATTGAACAAATGGAGTGGCATGCTTCGCAAAAAGAGATTGCAAAAGGAGACTTTATATTCCTGACGAACGAGTCTGCGGGAGCGTGGCGTACCGGAACCTTCTCCATCTCCAACTTCAGATCCAGACGCATCCAGAACTTGACTGAAAACTTAGAGTGCAACTTTCTTCTCGCCTCTAACGAATTGTGATGGCTTTGAAAGTGAAGATATTGTAGCAGGTGCAATCCAAGCAGACTTCCACTTCATGGTTGGCATGCAGGCAATTGCAGCAGTGTCAATGATCAATCTTGTCATTCTCTGCGCAAGATCCCGAACAAATGAGAGTGTCCGAATGTTTGACTCAAACAGAACAGTTCTAGATTGGTCTCTGCAACCCTTCCTTTCCGGAGACAACAACAGGCCAGTACTGACAAATTGACCAGAACCGGATGAAATGTATGGAGTAGAGTCCAGCCAAACTTTTCTGCTCTGGGGTAGCAATCTGTGGGAGACTACTCCATAGTCAAGGACATGTGAAGACATCGGATTTTGCAATGGCAAAGCCTCGGGCAAACATTGCTACCAAATCTGTTTGATACAGTAAGTCCTAGACGCAAAACAAATTAGCGCTGAGTCTTTGGAAATTTTGCTCCGGACCAAGAACAGAATCCGCGTAGCTCTCCCTCTCGGTCAGCTTCAAGCTTGATCCCAATTCTGGACTTTGAATGGATTGCGATCTTCTGGAGCGGCGGCATCTCCGGTTCTTTATTACTGTATAGTGCCGTCATACTGGACCGGGAATAGGCCAAGATTGGAGGTGGCAGCAGCAAGATGAAGCGGAAGTGTGTCGTGTGATGCGATGCGTGACCATTCGCCTGTTCCTGGATGGCGAAAGTGGGGAATGCGCCGAAGTGCAAATCGTGGAGTTGCGTTCTGGGTCGGGTCGGGTCGGGTCGGGACTTGGGTGGAAGAGCGACTGCGATCGTGAAATACAGTATTTCTTCACTTCGGATTTTCTACAGTAACGAAGCGAGACGGAAATACGTCACTGATTCATTTTTCTGCCGACGAAGGACGTCCAGTCACAACAATCCCAATCCACTCACTCATTCATACCAAGTATTTATGTATCTTTCGCCGGCGTCTCTAAAAGACAAACATCTCGTCCCATCTTGTCCTTCTTTTTGCCTCTCCCGCCTCCGTTCATTCACCAGGAACCTATGACGATTACTGTGTCTCGTTCACCATGATGCTGGAATTTGTTTTTCTTTCCTTCTCACTCCTCGCATTGGTGACGTTCGTTCCGTACCTGCGCCACAACCTCAGTGTCCTCCTCCCGGGAAATATCAACTTTCCTTGGCGCGATGACGCTTCGGGCTATCGCACACGAGACCCAATTGAGGCCTTCTTGAAACCCTCACTGGCCAGTCTGCGCCGCCGAGGTGTGTGAAATGGCCCCCCGGCAATATTTTTACATTTTAATCCTCCGTCCTCCTTTTTCTTTCCGCTTCTGTTCCTCTCTTGTATTTTGACAGTTTTTTCTTCTCTCTACCATATTTTGTACATACCATCGACCATTTCTAAATACCCATTGCCTCTGTTATTCTCGATATTCTGATTCTGATTCAAAATTTGAAAATAGACGCCATGACCTCCTATCTGGCACGGCTCAGCCCGGTGCCAACATTCCCCGAATATACCGGTCCTCATGAAGTAGGTACCGTCGACATCGAATTACCTGCTGCAGAACTCGACGCGGTTTCTCCTTCCCCGGACGAGAATCTATCAACGATTCAGTACCGCGTCTTCTATCCTTGCGAACCGGATTCCAAGCTGAAAACTGTGAGCTGGCTTCCAACCCCCCAACGAGAATATGTGTCCGCATACACTAGATTTCTTGGGGCTGGGAGCTTGCTCGCAGACTTCATATCGTGAGTAAAGATCAGATCTGAATCAGGAGATCGTGCGCTGATGATTGCTGCAGATTCTTTCCACGTCATCTACATTCCATAGCGATACCTGTCCGAAAGAATGCTCCGATCCTCAAACCCACGACCGAAAACAAGAAATGGCCTGTCATGTTCTTTTCACATGGTCTGGGAGGGAATAGAAACGCATACTCACACCTCTGTGGTTCAATTGCCAGTCATGGCATGATTGTGATTGCACCGGAACACCGGGATGGCTCTGCTCCCATTTCCTACATTCGCGATGTACCTTCGAATAATTCTCTTTCTGAGAAGTCTGCGGCACGCAAAGCAAAGCGAACGATAGGCTATACTCGATATTCGCATACACCCAGCCCAGAGGTTGAGGCGGGTCGAAATACACAATTGAAGATCCGACTCTGGGAGCTGGGTCTTATTCACGACAGTGTGCTGAAGCTGGATCTTGGCGAGCAGTTGAAGAATTTGAACACCTCATTCTCATCCCTAGAGCAATTCAAAGGCATGTTGGATGTGCACACCCCTGGAAAAACTAGCTTCGCAGGGCACTCTTTCGGCGCTGCAACTGTAGCTCAATTCGTTAAGAGTATCTTCTATTCCCCACGAAACCACGAAGCACCCGCAGAATACGAATGTCTCTTCTCGCCCTCATCCCGCTCACCCCTCATCTCCCAAATCACGCCCCACACCCCCATCATCCTCCTCGACATCTGGTGTCTCCCCCTACGCGCCGAATCCACCCGCTGGCTCTGGGACCAGCCCTTCCCGTGCTACGCCCCCGAGGGCCCAGGCGGATCCGCCCTCCTCGCCGTCGAATCCCAAGCCTTCTACAACTGGCGCGTTCATCTAAAAGCCACCAAACGCCTCCTGTCCCCCGATCCCAGCTCCTCGAATTACGGCTTCGGTACGGTGGAAAGCAAGCAGAAATGGGCAGAGCCAAACTTCTTCTACGCTATCTCCTCCGCCCATCTCTCTCAATCAGATTTCGGGCTCCTGTTCCCCAGACTCACGAAACATGTCTTTGGTTCCCAAGAACCGGAACGGGTCATGAAACTCAATGTAAGAGCAGTGCTGCAACTAGTTCGCTCGAACGGCATTCCGATATCGAGCACATCAGCTCAAGACATGGAGATGCTGGACGGGAAAGAAGGTATCGAGACAAGCAGCGATGAGAAGATATTCGGCAGGAAAGAGGAGGTGAGGGGCTGGAGTTGGATCAGTACCGATGTGGAGGATTTGAAGGATGTGGATGATGAGGCGGAGGCGAAGGGGGATGTGGAGAATACGAAGGTTAAGGAGCCCAGTCAGGTGGTGGTGGGGAATGAGATTATGAAGCAGCAGGATGGGACGGCGGAACGGCTTTGAGTCTGGATTGGAGGAGATGTTTTGCGTTTTGCATGTTGGATTAGGCGTTTATGGAGGAACTGGTGCATGGTGGTGCTGGGAAGGAAGAAGAAGTGCGTTGCGCTATACCCTTAGATCGATATCGATGTTTGTCGGTACAGATAGATGAAGACAGCAATGTTAAACTTATGAAACCCTGCAATCTTGTACTTTAATCTCCCTGCAAGTGAAAAGTCGACTCCCTGCGCAACTTCAACGTTTTGCTCAGCGGGGCAGTATGCTAGGTATCTATATAAACCCCCACCCTCCCTTCCCTCCCTCATCCCTTTATTCCTACACCGCAAAAATATCCGGTCTCTCAACCTCTTTGGTGTGTGGAAGATAAAGGACCGGCTTTTGTAACATTTTGCCGTGGTCGGAAATCGTCACGACTTTAGACGGGTTTGGTTGTGGGAGATAAGCTTAGTTTTGCCATCAAAACCTATTTCATTGTCAATCACCTGGCCCATCCTCACCCGGCCCTCCATCTCCTCCCGGCCCCAGAACAAGGACTCCCCAAACGTCATCCTCGTCATCGATCTCCCATCTTGTTGGTGAAAAACAAATTCAAGCCTCTAAACATTGTTTATATACCCCACTATACCCTCCCCATCTTACGTCCTGCTCCGTAGTCGGAACCTTCTATAACACTTGCACTTCACCCCTATTGTAGTAAGAGAGGTTCTTTTTCATTGTTAGTTAATAACAGAAATATTGCTTGACAAGAGAATACAATATTTCCACCACCTATTCCCGTGCTTTTTTAGACTATAAGCCACAAAAACGACACAAACATAAACGCAAAAGTCCGGGTATCGTCTTAAATACCTAAACTCTAGCCCTCTTTTTTTCTCAAAATTGCTTGATTTGGTCAAAAACATTAGAGCTGTGTGCCACCATAGTGTCGTACTTTGTAAAACAAAATCGGATCATAGTATTACTACTTAACAGGGTATTCTGCTTTCATTACAAATTTTCTGCTTGAAGTAACCCTTCTTCCAAGATTCGCAATAAGTGATGCACATATTTCGAACCAGAGAACACACAAAACCGAGCGCCATTGAGAGAAAACTAAGAGCTTTCATCCATTGATGCTTCCATAAGTTGCCTGAGAATCTTCATTCAGACTGTCTTTGGTTTTGTGATTCCTTCAACCTTTCGCCGAGCCTGTTCGGCATGCCTTCTAACTCGATTCGTGTGCCAGGCTCTTCTCCAAATCTTCTTATTGACATTATCCCTAACACTTTCGTCCTCGTATTTCAAGTGAGAAGGAAAGAATACTTGAGTCATCGCGAGGCCCGCCCCAGGTACCCATTTTTCGAGTTCCTTTAATGCACCATGAACCCTCAAGATGACTTGTGGCTCTTGAACAGGCTCCAACCACTCGGGAACTCCATCAACTTTCTTCATCGATTCTACCCACTTTGGCATGTTCTTGGGGTCAGCTCCGTTCTCCAACCAGACCTTTAATGGTGCTACTTACTGCAGCGCCTCGTCCAGGTCAACGTTCGAGTCAGGGTCGTCTTTGAAACCCTGTGATTTGGCCGTTATGCTTGGCATGCGTTTGAAGTCTTTTAGTTCCAGGCCGGTGGTACTTGACGAGCGAGCTGCTCCGGCAGCGTATACATTCTGTAGCATACCTAAGCCGCCAGCCCCAATCAAATACCAAGCATGGTCTTTGAGGCCCGAAACACTCAGCAACAGACAAACCCATAGAGCCGCAAGAATCGCGGTGACGACTGGTGTTTCGTGACGCGCGGCACCTCTAGCTGTCGCAAAAGCTTCGATATCGGGAGAGCCCGCTCTACCAAGCAGCACCATGACATGCTTGTGGCCATTGCCCCTAGTGAGACATATCACATTGTTGTGGTCGAGCAATCTTCCTGCCCACTTCTCTTCTCTCCACTGGGCCAAGGAGCAAGTTGCCATTGCCAACACGGTTCCAGCCAAGACAATCATCATTACTCCCCAATCTCCGTAAAGAACCCAGGGAGGTATGGCAATACCAATCTCGGCTAGCATTGTCGCCCATCCTAACATCCAGACATGATCTGGTTTCGGCGTTCGCAAAGGTCCAAGCTCAAATATACTGATTTTGATAGAGTCTTTGTCCTCGTCAATATGATTGCGAATCTCGTGGTCTCTCAAAAGGCGGTCGAGGAGCCAAGACTTATTCTCCCGCTGGAAAGAGTTGGCACAGTTGACGATGATGGCTGCATCCTCTGGTGCTGGTAAGAGCCGTCTGTCGCCAACAGCAGACAAAAGCTGACTGAAGCCAAACGCGACCCAACCAAAGGAGAACGCAACAGGCGTGATGGGGATGGTGATAAGAGCCCGTGACGGTTGCTCGGGACTCGTATCATGTTGGTCAGAGTTGTGGTATCTTCGATTTGGGGCTCGGAGAGTAATTGTATAACCCACCATCTGAGCGATCGCTTTTTGTACGATGTCGCCGCCAATGAGGAGCAGTAGACTCAAAATGTCGCCTGGATTTGCGCGGGTTTTAGGGGCAGCCTAGGCTTTTTCGAGGACAGCCCGGCTGTTCTAACTACGCGAAAGCGGTGAAAATTAGGGTTTTATCCTTTTTCTTCTTCCATATATTTACATATTCGCCCGCTTTTAACTTTAGTTCTTTTACTCCTTTAGCTACGCCGCCACATGGCTACGCTACTGTACTAGCTACACTGTATTGAATCCACTAAATCCACTGAATGCACTGTACTGACTACACTGTACTGAATCCACTGAATCCACTGAATCCACTGAATCCACTGAATCCACTGTACTGACTACACTGTACTGAATACACTACACTGCTGCATTGCGAGTCTAGCGCATTGTTAGGTTGTGAGCAGTAAATGAGGGCTAAGGATTGAGTGCTAAGGATTGAGAGTTAAAGCATGAAAATGAGGGCATTCCCAAAGAGTGGGGCATTAGGTGCAGCTAGTGCAAATGACTTCATTCTGCCCGGACAGCCGGGCTGTCCTCGAAAAAGCCTAGGCTGTCCCTAAAACCCGCGTGGATTTGACCATTGCTCCCGAAGCTCTGCTGTAGTTGGCATGATTGCTAATAGCCACACATCGGCATTGAAGCTGTATTGAAAACTTCGCGACACTTTGTCGCAAAGTGCGGCAGTATGGAATGGGAGCGGCTGAGAATTCTCAGCCCTCGCTACACATACAGTATCCTGGGGTCCTGGAATAAGCAGCTGAATTATTGGTCCAGACGAATACTTAGGAAACGCTTATCAATCATGCAATACTGTAACATGGTGGTGATACAGAGGAGAATCTCCGCACCTTCATCGGAATACACAAAGGTCTATATTGATCGAAAATCAGAAATTAGTCAAGTCTGGTAGCTATGGCCGATTCCCAGTTCCGAACAAATGTTTTAACAGGTCTCTGTACCTTCTTACTGTGTTGTCTTTTATTTCCGGAGATCGCTGCATGGCGGAACCGCAGATATGCCACCATTTCAGATGGAGAAAGCGCTTCCCAACATTTGCTTCCCAAAGGCCAAAGCGATGTTGAGTCGCAGCCACCGAATCGGGCAAGTCAAGAGACAGAAGGAGAAGCAGAAATACCGGGGCTTCAAGTCGGAGATTCAGATGACCAAAATTCCCGGAAGACAGTCGCTACGCCGGGAGAACCAAAGTTAAATGAGCCGAATAAAGTTAAGAGACGTAAGTTTAACCCTTTTATATGCTCTCTGATATTCAGGTGTTGACATGGTGCCGCCAGTGCTAGAAATTCTCATGGAAGGAATCTGTTTTGGGTTCGCACTTGCCAATGTCTTTAATCGCGAAGACACAACCAGCCTATTTCGTCATTTATGCCCATGACACCAAGTCCCAGAGTGCCGACAGTCGAGTCGTTCGCGATATCATCAGATATATGAAGCTAATGGACTCCCCGACTCGATCCGATAGAGTAGCTATTCTTCGCTCTGAAGATCCCGAGTCCGAAGCTCGAGATGACATACTCGCCAACCAATTCTGTCTCCTCCCTGAGCAGATTGCTACGAATCCAGTGAAGAAAGTCCTACTGTTCTATTCGCGAGTACTCCGTGACTATTGTACCTGTGTCGACGGTTCAACGTACGTTAAGGACCTCAAGGACACAGCACTGAACGAAATACAGAGGCTTAGATCGAACGATACCAACACCATAATTCTGAATACTCAGCGTGTTCTTGATATCCAAACCGCCATTCGAGCTGCAGTTAACAGACACACCAGAAAACCATGGTTCCACCACGTTCTCACTGAGATAGCTCTGCTCGATCTCAGGGTTTTGCTCAGCAAACAGCCTCTTAAAGTCATTCCTGTTGATTTACAATCCACCGACACGGTTCTTGAAGACCTTTCTTTCTTGAATCCTACCCAGCATTATGTGGTCCCTCCCCCACCAATAGTGGTCAAGGTAGATGCCGTGGAGCAGACACATAAGTTATTATTTAATCTTCTAGAGCGGATCCACGGTCAGCTTCCGCCCGTGGCACTATGGCTCCAGGAATTATATACTAGAGGAATCGAAAAGTTGGAGGAGAACAGGTCGCAGGCAGATGTTGTTTTCCGGGACGCACTTTGGCTGGATATTCGTGCGGAGTTGTGGAGAGCCCATATTGGTGGCTTGAGGCAGACGCCGTGGAGCCAGCGTCAAACTGAAAGGGGAGACCAAGAATGGGACATTCCATTTTTCAACCTCGAACCAGCCAAGCCCATTATCACACCGCCACCCCAGGTTATCCCGGAGCTACTTGTACCGCCGACCGAGGAGCAAAAGCGTGCGTGTTGTCTCTTCTCTCACTTCAAATACGATGCTAACAAGATGGGTATTAGGCATTCTTCAAACCTTGCTTTATTATGAGATGGATCGTAGGATTCATGAAATTGAAGACCCCTTTCCTAACACCCTTGAGTGGCTCTTTCACCATACCTCCTATTCAAAATGGTTGTCCGAAGGCAGCGGGATGTTGGGCATCCGAGGCGGTCCTGGCACTGGCAAGTCGACTGCTATAAAGGCTATGATACAGAGAGAGCAATCAAAATCAGAACCAAGTCATCTCCTCCTCTACTTCTTCTTCCATGGCCGTGGTGGCGAGCGCTCAAAGAACAGAGTTGGGATGTACCAAACCTTGTTATTCCAGCTACTCAACAAAGTGCCTTCAGCCGGTATCAACTACTGGCAGTGGGCTAAGGAGATTGGTCCCGAACATTTGTCAATGCCTAGTAATGCCGACACCCTCCGGGAGATGTTTCTCGACGCGCTTTTCGATGTGTGCACATTAGCTCGAGTCAGAGTCTTCCTGGACGCCCTCGACGAAGCTGGCGACGAAGAAGCTAGAGAGGTCATCGCAGACCTTCGGCGAATCAGCACTAAAGTAGGACTTATTTCCAGAGGCCTAAGTATCTGCTTTGCTTGTCGGTACTATCCAACCATCGTGGTTGACAACGGTCTTGAGATCAAGCTAGAGGATTACAATAAGGAGGACATAGGGCTGTTCATTCAGTCCTCTTTGAAGAAACTATCTGCCAGCTCCTTCAATGGAGACGAAGAGAAGCTGGACCGTTTAGTCACAGCTATTGATGAGCGATCGTCTGGGTTTTTTCTCTGGGCAAAATTGGCTGTGGGTGTCGTGAAACGGTCCATTGAAGAGGAACGAGGAATTAGGAATATCCTGCAACGCATCACCGAACAGCCGGCTCCGATCCAGGATTTGTATTCTCATATGCTTGCACAAACTCTGCAATCTGAAGGGGGTCGGAACATGACATTGGCACTCATCCGTTGGATTAGATTCTCATTTCGACCAATGACCTTGGAAGAGTTGCGATACGCATTGAGCTGGGATCAGAGCTTGGATCTGCAAGAAGATGCTCCGTCCAAATTATGCCAGCCTACAGTCGACTCCGACACCTCCATGCTCCGAATTCTAGAGCAGCACTTAAAGAGCTTCACACAAGTTGAGGAAGTTGTCGATGCTAATGGACAGGTAAAACCAACCGTCCAATTCATTCACCATACAGTCTACGAGTTTTTCTCGGACCCCCGCTTTCTTCACGACCTTGCATCTACCTCTACCTCTAGCTCTTGGTTTGGGCAGAATCATGATATGATGGCGCAAACATGTTACAACTTCATCAAGAGCAATTATAACAGCTGGTTTGAGCTAGGCAGGAATGAGATACAGAAGCTGCCATTCTGCGACTATGCTGCCCAATTCTGCTTTGTGCATGCCGAACAGGCGGCGTCTTACGGCATTTCGCAAGATTTCCTGTTGGAACAGCTTGGGCACAAAGCAGAGAGAGACGCTTTGATGCAGTGGGCAAAGGTATACGGGGCCGAGAACCTTGCTGAGCGGTCTCTTAGTCATTTCCCTACTTGGCATCAGATCGCTAAAGCTTTCAAGCTTGGGGGCTAAGGCACTGAAAACTGAGCATCTAAACATGGTTATGATCACTGGAATCATCAAGTATGCTAATACATGTGGTATGAGGGTGAGTCGATTTGCATGGAAATCCACGAATATTGAGCCAACTTCGAGGGCGTTTAATGGCTAGATTTTCAGATTACTATGTGTTTGATAGTATTGCCAATAATTTGATTCCGGTCGCGAATGATCTGCTTCATGCGGCTTGTGCTTTTAATGATTATGCGAATTCAGTCCCTCATTATGCAGACTACTGGCCTGGGTGAGCCCTATGATGTACATGGTCTTGAACCGACAATTAAATCGACGAGGAAACAGGAAGACAGAGAATGTTAAGTTATTGAATGGCACAGAAAACGAGAGTACAGGCGAGGATATAGAGAGGAAAAGTGCATCGGCAAGAAGAGATGGCAAGCTAGGGATATGTAGACTGGTGCAAATCCATGGGTCGTGGACATGTAAATTCATTAGGCGGGATTATGGTATAAATGGTAGCATACCTAGAGGATTTAAATTGGCCAACACCGTTCCAAGTTCAGATCACAGAACCACCATCATCCAACCCAAAAGCAAGGCCGCTCCACTTCCCCCCAAAGAGCACAACATAATCGATCTGGTTCGGTGGCGTAGACGTAAGATCACGATCCATCAATCTCAACTCCGGTCTGTGAGCGGTCAAAGTCCCGAAAAATCTACAGTCTATCCTCAAATCGAATGTGTGAAAGTCTTCGTTCATGACGCTAGAGAGGGGAGTCGATGTAAGCAGCATGATTAGAGAGGACTTTCGTTTCCATTGCTGCAAGAGCGAGGTGGCGAGGTGGAGTAGTTGTCCTTCGCGCACGAATTCACGGGCTAGGTCGTTCGGGGTAGGTAGATTGGTTTTTAAACTTGCGAGAAGAATGTCGCTTTAATCGTTGAGCGTCTCTTTTTTCACCCATCAATGCTCATCTGGAGGCAGCCTAGTCGGAAGCATGTCGTTTCGGAAATTGAGTAGCGGGTTTTCATTGAAGAACATGGGTGCCGAGATGGGTTTTATGATGGGAGTTGAGCGCAATCTCTATCCATATTTATTTTCAAATTCAACCTAACAATCCAACATCAGTGTATCACTCATCTACAACGGGCACTCATCTGTAGATCCCCGAGAGTGAACTGAAACCAACAACGCTGGAATGTCATGCCCCCAGCTCCTGGCACCATCGTTAGTAAGCAAGATGTCACTTTAGCGATGCTGTCACTGTGCGTCAAGTAATTAGCGCCTCCCAATATTCTTCACACCTGAAGTAGCTGTCAGCTAAGAAAGTGTGGCAACTAACTTGCAGTAATCTCCCCATTCATGTTTGCTGCAGGGTTCCCCGATCTGTCGGCGGCCGTACTTGGCTAGCAGAAAACCAGATTCCCATTGCCATTTACCATAGTTCTATAGTATTACCCGGTTCTTGGAAATGTAAGGCTGCCAAGAAGCGGAGTGACGATGCAGTGCCGATGTAACACCATGTCGGAATGGGGCAATGAGCGAAGCGCCAGCCTCACCTGTTGAGGCTGAGAATTGCCAATAATGCGCCCAAAGATCCAAGGTAGATAAGCTGTTTCGAATACTTCGATTTTTCCAGATACTGTTCTTTTCTCCTTCCTTGCTTACAAAAATGCAAGAAATCCCTTTTTCTGGCGGTAGCTCCAATCGTTACCAGACTCTTGTTGAACGCACTTCTGTCGGAATACCCACATTTGCCCCTCTCCACAAATTTCTCTTGAGCGAGGCGAGTGATAATATCACTTGCAAAATCTCCTTGATCGACTTTGACGAGGACCACCATACGGGTGAGGAACAGGGCCAACATCCAAACACTCAGAAGAAAGAAAAGACCATTGAGCCTCAAACTATCAAGCCTGAAAGTCTGGAAGATCTGCTGAAGCAGCCTGCTACTCATAGACTTCTCCTTGTTGAAAATCTAACTCGGAATGTGATCATTTTACTGGGCACATACTGGAACGTACCTCCAGACTTTTTCTTAGCACATCTCGAAAACTCAAACTGGTATAGCCTTCAAAACATTCCCCAGATTTTGCCAGGTCTTAGTTCTATCCAAAGTTTCGATGGCTACGTCCGGTTCCAGTTCATTGGCCCTCGAGAATTTGAGATTGAAGGATCTGCAGGCCCGCAGGCTCCAGGTATGATCAAACTTTCACTCATTGCGACTAGAACTTGACAAGATAACGTTTCGTAGGTGCATCTGGTGATCATAACTTATTGCCAGACCGAATCCACGAAGACTGTGCAACGGCATCTGTGCCCAGAGTTGCAGGTGGATTCACACCGTTCCCGCCGCCAAATACAGATCCGGACGATGATTGTGAGACTAAAATGAATCCAGTGGCTTTTGTCAGGAATTCAGTCACCATATGGTTTGACCAAGAGGGCGAAAAGTGGCGAAGAGGTTTGTGTCTTCACCACAGTCCGAGATAAGATGCTAACTTTTGTTACCAAGGCATTGTTTTGTTCGACCCAGCTTTTGCAGCCAAAGATGATCGCCTCAACAAGAAAGAAAATTCGAAATATCGTTCTTTCATTCGCAGACGTCCACCATTAGAAGGTTATTCGAAAGACGATATCGATCAACGAAGCTCGTATAAAGAGTCGTTCCAAAAGTGTTTGCAGCACAATAAGCAGGTCAGGGAAGCTGTTGGGGTTCCAAGACCATTCGTTCTCCTCGAAGATCTGTGCCGTATCATTGCTTCGGAATGGCTAGTCTTCAATACTTACATTGAAAGAGAGTTGAACAACATCGAAAGCTGGTTTGAGGAGCTGGGGGAGAATTGTAACGAGAAGCAGCTTCACGACCTTCTGCTACAATTGATGCGAGCACGTCGCCGGGTGACCAAGTATGATACACTTGTGAGCGATCAACTCGATTTATGCCCTGCGCATTGGAAACACGACTCTGCTCAGATAAGGGCCTCTTGTCCGGTTTCAGGTGCTTCTGCGACCTCATTTTCGTCACCCTTGCATGACTTTCATCAAGTCAGCAGTCACCTTACGCACAACAAGACCCGCATCTCTCAATCAATCAAGATGGTGACCTCGCTCATGGCCGTTCGTCTCAACAACCTTGTTGCACAACAGAACAAAGTCATAGCCTCTCAGAGTTCGACGCTCGTCAAGCAGAACAGAAACTTGACAAAACAGACGGAGACAATGGCACGGCAGAACAGGCTAGCAGAAGCGCGAAACTCCAGCTTGGCTTTCTTGACAGGGGTTACGAGCTTTCTTCTACCATTTACTACGATTGCGGCCTTCATGGCAATTCCTACGGAGAATGGACTCGGACCTGGATCTGAAAGACAGTGGGTATACTGGGTGTCATCCAGCTTGTTGGCTTCGGGCCTCGTTTTGGCGTTTTATTTTGATTACCGGAGAGAGACTAAGAAGGCAAATCACACAGGCGATGATAAGTGATTGTAATGCTGAGAGCGCTGTAGACGCAGGTAGCGCAGATCTGTCGTGATTTCTGACAAATACCAAACAAACATACTATGTGACCCCTTCAGTGAGACTTGACACTCCCCGAAGAACATGTACAGTACAAACCTTGTTGCGAATTCTTTTAGAAGTATGAGAGACAAACTATTAGGTTCTAGAGTACCGAGAACATTGCAACATACTCCATTACATCGAAACTTGCTTGCTATTCGAACTTTTGTTCTTATCCACACTCGTGTTTATCATGACTATATATTGTTAACCAGTGCATTTCACCCTTTAGACCTCCTCTTCAGCATTATTAGTAACAACGGCCGTTAACGTAACGAACATGGGGACAAAAGTCCGTGCGTTCAGGCTGTAGAACCTCGAAATTAAAACTCTTCACATTAGGACTAAACTATCAACAACTCCACCATTATGGATCCTTTTACCACTCCACCTATGTCTCCACGTCTCCCAGGTGCAGAGATCAGAACCAAGCACAAAGAGGGCATACGCCGGCTCTTCAAATTCGCTAAAATAGGCCTGCAACAGCTCCAGGGCTACTACCACCTAGGAGACAGCACAGTTAGGAAGATCCTACTATACGATGTGCCTGAAAGAGCGCGCCCTACACGCACAGGGAGACCCAGAGAATCCCTCAATGAACAGGAGGTTAGAGATATTATTGAGTATATTTGCACCGACCATGCAACTAGAGTGCTGAATTGGATCCAAATACACGATGAATTGCAACTCTCTTGCTCTGTCAAGACCCTCAAACGCCGCTGCAAAGAAGCTGGATACTACTCTTGTATCTGCTGCCAAAAGCCCTACCTCACTAAGACCCAAGCCAATGCGCGGTGGCTGTGGGGGATAGCACACATGTTTTGGACTATTTGGGAATGGAGTCAGATACTGTACTCAGATGAGGTCACATTTCAAGTTGGAGGGAAGAAATGCAAGCAGAGGTGTATTAGGAATAAGAAGGAACGCTGTCATCCTGACTGCATTCAATTCCAAATGCATAGAGGTGGCACTATTCCTGTACACTTCTTTGGTGCTGTAGGCTACGGATACAAAAGTCTATTGATCAACATTCATGGAACTGGGAAGAGTGGGGCATTTACACAAACTGATTACCTTGCTCAAGTACTCAAGCCTTATATTCAGGATTTTTTAGCTGCTTTTGCGGCTGTTTTGGGGCCTGGGAAGACCCCTCAGTTCATGGAAGACGGCAACTCTGCTCACGGCCACAAGACTACTAGCAATATTTGTGCTACTTGGCGTACTTCTATGGGTATTACTCTATTCCCCCATCCTGCAGTTAGCCCTGATATGAATCCTATTGAGAAGTGCTGGAGGAGAATAAAACAAGCTCTCCATAGGCGCCTAAGGCAGCCAACAACTAAGGTTCAAATGGTTGTAGCAGTATTAGAAGAATGGGACAAAATTCCTCAGGAATGGATCAATGGGCTTATTGAGCAGCAGGACTTCTGGGTACACGACTTAATTAAGCGATGTGGCTGGTCTACAGCTAATTAATTAATAAAATTCATGATTCTGATGCCCTGAACGCACGGACTTTTGTCCCCATGTTCGTAACCATATTATCACCCTCATCAATTGACCCATTCTCCTTCAAATTTCCGTCAAGATTCAATACCACCTCCACAACCTTACTATCCTCCACCACTTTCGGATGTCTTTTAGCAAAATACCTCGCGCACATGAAAATGCTCCAATAACAACTCGCTACATTAACAACTGTTAATACACACTTGTATGGAAGATAGAAGCATAGTGCTTTAGTCGAAAGAGCTTGGGTTGTGATTGTGCCGTCTGGACGGACTTTTACTTTGCGGCGGAGGTGGATGAGGTTAAAAATTAGCGTATTAGCGAAATACAAGACGAGTGTACCAGCTAGAAGGTATCCGCAAAATGCAGGACGGACAACAAAAGATATCGGAAGGACGAATGGAGTAAGCAAATGGAGGAGAGTCTCGTAGACCTATGGTATTTGTGTTAGCTTCCAGTTCTCAATGTTTGAAAAGAATCTGCCTACCTCTTGAAAGACAAAAATCTTCGCGCCAATTTCCCAGAAGCCCAACTTCCAAGAAAATGGAATATACCTCATATTCCAATACAATCCATTCACGAAAAAGAAGTTCCATCTCTCGAACCTCTGTTTCCAAACAGTCATCTCGCCAAATCCACCTCTTTCGCCTCCGCCTCCGCTCCAGAAAATAGCAGCACGCGTCTCAGTCTCGACAAACACCTCACTATTCATCACAATTCGACTTCCCAACGTCCTAGCCACGTGTCCAAAGAACTAGTCCTCACTAACCGAAAAGCCAGGATGTTCGTAGAACGTCTGTAAAAGAAATTCACGATCCCACATACTGATCGCGCCATGAGGAAGTGTAGCAGAGCCAACGAGACCAGAAAATTGGCGCTGCAGACCGGAAAGTTTGTATTCGAGATCTTGTGCTTGTTGGACCAGGGTTCCTTTACTGCAGTTTGGTCCTACAGACGTGATTGTGTACCCTATGCATTTGATCCTCTCCGAAAACTTCTCAGTGCCAAGCGGAAACGTGGGAGGTAGGAGACAATCATCATCGATGAGAAGAATGTGTGGGAAGCGTTTCGAGACGTGACAACCTACGAACTGGGCGATGATTTCGGAGCCGAGAGGAGACCAGGTGTGTGATACGCCGTATGAAGCGCAGACGTCGCCGGTGTTGTCGAGAGGAGTGGGAGAATTACCGTTGGCAATTACGAAGATGTTTTGACGGGGAAAGATCTTGAGTGCTGCCTCCAAGGTGGCGCCAATGATTTTCCCGGATTTGTAACATGGAATCAAGAGAGCGACGTCTGTTGGTGGTGGATCTCCAGTGGTTGTAGGTACTGGCAGTGGATCCTTGTCGAAGAAAACGAAGGGTGGTAAGAAGGCATATATCGCTGCCAGTCTTACAGTGATTGCAAACCCTCCTGAAATGACGAACTTATGGTCAACAACCCAATAGAGCCAGTACACAGCTCCCTTCCACAATGGCAGACCGACCAACACAAGATAGATGAATGCAACAATCAAAACGTATATAGAATACTCGAACAACGTCTGCACCCACGGGCTTCTTCGGATCCTCTCCTGCTTGTATTTTGCTTTCTCATAGAGACTGTACAAGCTTGTTTTTCTTGCAGTTCTTGAAATTGCCAATGACATCCGGTTCCTGACGCCGCCTGCCGAACCTCTTATCCTATGAGTCCTGGTTCTTTGTAGATGGAGTGGCTGTATCTCGTCTCCTCCATTTGCAAAATCGTGAGCTCCCACTCTCCCTGGCTTGATTGGCTCGAAACCACCTTCGTCTTTCTTCGGGAAAGCATAGCGGTCCAAGTCGTATGTGAGGAATAACATGCTCTCGTCTCGGGTTGCTTTTCCGTTGACAGGACTTGACGAGGGTGTGCTGTAGCTTGAGGACGAGCCTGGACCACTGATGGTGTTCCTGTTCGATCGGGACGTTGGTGACGGCATTTGCAAGGGATCTACCGAATCTTCGGTTACTCGACTCGCTGGACTTCGAGCAGCAATCGGCATGGTATTTGCAGAAGGGAATTGTTGACCTGTTTCTCGTGTTCTGGCAAGGGCTCCCATATTTATTGTTGCTCCTCTCCCTCTCCTCCTCAATTCTCCATCGGCACTTCGTTGCACATGGTCGATAGGCCTTGAAGCAGTTTCGATCTCAAGGCCCGCTTCGAAAGGATTTCGTGAAAGCAGAATGCCTTTTGGAACAACTAGGTTCGCCATAATTCGACGACTTGAGAGTATTTGCTTGCACAATAAAGAGGACGAGACGCAACATTTTGAAGAAACCACCTACCTTTTAAACGATGCCGGACCGTGTGTTCTGTTCGGAGTCGTTGCTGAAGATTTGGGGCAAGAAACACTTACTTAAGATCGTCGTGGAGAAAGGTCCTTGTAGGTTAAGCGCAGGGAACAGCTACAATGATGATTGAACTAGCAATAAGCTTCGATCTTAAAGACATCCCGTCGACAAGCTTCCAGAAAAACTAATAGAGAAGAAGTTTACAATCCGGAAGCACATCCGACCCGGTTCCTTGGTTAAAGAACTCTTTCGGCAATTGTAGTGGGCCTCGCACTTCTGTAGACGCCCTTCCAATAATGCATCACAACTCCTATTCATCTTTGATACTCTCGTTGCAATTCATATTGCAAAGAGCAACTTCTTATATTGTCCCATAAGAGGCGTACTCTTGCTTTTTGGATGTTGAAATACGTGAGTCCAAATTGCAGAGATTCGATGATGAGTTGAACGGATTTCGAAATTCATACCAACATCAGGTCTTCCGTTAAACTGTTATATAATTGCCAACGGTGCATCTGCATCCCCCACAAGACCCACACAGTCTCCACTTGGTGCATTACCGAATCGGGCTGGAAAGCAGAGATTTGCATTTCATTGCCGGCTCAGGGAAAACCGTTCGTATCAAACTTAAATGAGCCGCATGATGTAGGTGGCCTCACTGCGTGGAACGCATGTTGGAGGAAGAAATCTTGATTAATTCGATTTGAAGGAACATTAATCATTCCAGTCTCGGGGTAGTGACAATAGTATCTTCCAATTCCTATGTCTTGACAATACTTGCAAAGCTACAACTTCGTATGTTTCTTGAGAGGGAAAATAAAGAGAGGGGGATCTCGGAACGCAAATAAAGAACCCCACGAGGTCGGAAAACGGCTGTGTAGCCGGTCATGCTATTCAAGCCCCACTTCCATTACGTCCCGCCAGTGTTAACCTCATCCGATTTTAGTCAGTGAAAAATATATATATAAGGAACTTCGCATACATGGCATCGATGCATTTAAATCTCTTCATGAAGAGCTACCGAGCTGGTAAACATATCATTCTTCAGTGAGTTATACCTGCCATCGACATTGTGGTGAGACTTCGGCATCATTGGCTCAGTTCGAGGAGCTTTTGTCACGGTAGAATACAAAGGTCGACAACAATTCTTCTACAATCAAGGAGTAAGACATTAAGGGAACAAACCAAATAAATCAAAATCATGGACATCTGATTGGTGGACTTGCAGATATTTTACATATACTCCGGTCCCAGGCGAATCATTCAGTAAGGCTTGAAGTAAGAAGTGAAGATACGACCAATCCATACGGACCTTGTCGCAGATGTTGATGGAAGATGATTATCTGGGTCAGTAGGGCTGAACCAGGGCATAGGGGCAACCCCTTTCTCGCTTAGATCAAAATTCCAGTCAACACCAGCCCCAAACAACCCAGCACGCGCGAAGACCCGAAGACTTTCACTGTCTTAATACCTCTGAGATGGAGTGTGAGTGGGATGGGATACCGTTATCATGGCCCACTGCTCTTGTTCGTGTGAATTCGGCAGATGTCACCGGCTGCCTCGCTTGGCACCTGCCACATCAAGTAAACCCTTGGCCGGATAAAGAGCGCGGCGAAGTTTCGTTGCAGATCAACCCAGTAACACCAACGATAAGATATTGCAAATAGCACGCCATATAAGAAATAGGTATAGACTCCATTTCAGTACAGGCTCGCAGCGATAACGCTTGAAGTCATGCGACCATGGGCGCACATTGGCTACTGCTTCTTGACATCCAGTTTGGATCCCCCCCACTTACTCGCGACGGTCGTTCACGGAACCAATGGATGGGCCGCATTTGGAGGGTGAATGAAGGAGACCGTGCTTTGCCTATATATTCTACATGGATCGCGTTGACATGCACATGTCAGTTGTTTCCAGTATTCGATATCCAGATAGGTCATCGTGGTTTCATGATGGAGAAGGACACGATCGTTCAGGACTCGAGAGAGCCACATGATAATGGTATCTATGAAGAAAAAGCTCCAGCTGTTAGTCGCTTCTGTGTTACACACATTGCCTCTCGGCTGATAAGATGCTACAGACCAATTACGATCCTGTTGACATATCTCTGGATGCCATTGAGACGTGCGTGTGACCCTGCTTACCCTTTCCATACCAAACTGACGACAATAAGGGACCTCAACGTAACTGAAGATGACCTACTTCAGGCTAGAGAACATGCGAAAGATCTCAGCCTCGAGGAAACTCGTGAGGTAGACTTGAACTCTTCATACTGCACCTGTCGTCTTGAATACTGATAGGTCTTGATAGATGATGATCAAAGTCCACAGAATCCATGAAAAGGACCCCAATTTCCCCGTCATCATCCTCGACAAAGTCAATGCGTTCATCAACAATCAAGACGTTTTTGATCACCCAGAGAACTATGCCGACCTCATCTATGAGATCAAGACGGAGGCTGCTTTGATTACCAACAATAGTCCTTACGCAGAAGTGCGAGCTGTTGTTGACAACACGGATGATGTGAACATGCCATGTTCTACAATACGGGCTTGGGTACGTAATCAGTCAGTCCTTCTTACCCTCATTGCTTATATGGCTCCACAGGTAATAGGACTCATGTTCGTCGTCTTGATTGCGTTCATCAACCAACTTTTCTCTATCAGACAACCTCAGATCTCTGTCACTGCAAATGTAGCACAGTTGCTGTGCTACCCAGTCGGCAAAGCAGCAGAGGCTGTGCTTCCTGACTGGGGATTCACACTCTTCGGCACCCGGCACAGCTTGAATCCTGGGAAGTTCTCGACAAAAGAACACATGTTGATAACTATCATGGCAAGTGTTGGCTACGCTACACCATATACAGACAACATCATTTGGTCTCAGTATCTTCCACAATACTTCAATCAAGGCTATGCCGGCCACTTCGGTTACCAGATTTTGATCGCCCTGTCTACGAACTTCATTGGCTACGGTGTTGCTGGTCTCTGCAGACGCTTCCTCGTCTACCCCGCATACTGCGTGTGGCCTGCATCTCTTGTCACAATTGCTCTGAATGATGCTTTTCATACCGAAAAGAATATTCCCGTCCCAGGACCTTTCAAGAAGTTTTTCACCACCTCGCGATTACGATTTTTCTGTTACTCATATTCAGCCATGTTTATCTACTTTTGGTTTCCAGACTACATTTTCCAAGCTCTAAGCATCTTCAACTGGATGTCCTGGATTGCGCCAAACAATGTCAATCTCAACACTGTCACTGGTATGAATAATGGTGTTGGAATCAATCCATTCCCGACTTTCGACTGGAATATTTTATTGTGGGACTCTCCGCCACAGGATCCATTGATGGTACCATTCTTCAACACTGCCAATAAATTCGTTGGCTGCTTTCTCTCGGCTTTTGTCATTCTTGGCATATGGTACTCCAATGCTTTCAACACCGGCTATCTTCCACTTAACTCCAACAGAGTCTTTGATCATTTTGGAGAACTATATAATGTTTCCAAAGCTATTAATGCGAAGGGGTTGTTTGATGCTGAGAAATATGAGGCATACTCCCCCGCCAACCTTTCCGCTGGGTACTCCACACTGTACATGTTCTTCTTTGCAACATACACAGCCACTATAACCTATGCGTACCTGTACCATCGCCATGAGATCATCATGGGTTTCCGCAATCTGTATAACAGCTTCCGCAAAGATAAAGACATCGCGTATGAATACACTGATGTTCATAATCGGCTCATGTCTGCATATCCAGAAGGTCGGTACCAAAGTTCTTCGTCTCTTACCTATGTTCTAGCTAATCACAGTTTCACAGTCCCCGAGTGGTGGTTTATGATATGTCTTCTTTGCGCGATTGGCATGGGATGTGCAGCGATTGCTGGCTGGGAGACATATACAACCGTCGGCGTTGTGTTCTATGGTATTGTCATGTGTTTGATCTTTGTCATACCCATCGGTATCATCAAAGCCGTTACCGGAATCGAAGTCACGCTGAACGTTCTTGCCGAGTTTATTGGTGGTTCATGGGTTGCTGGGAATGCTCTAGCTATGAACTACTTCAAGAGTTACGGGTAAGAACAGTCGTCTTTTTTCACCAAAGTTTCTGTTACAAGCGGAATCTTACAATTTATATGCAGATATGTCACCTGTGCCCACGCTCTTCGATTCGCGAATGATTTGAAGCTGGCACACTACATCAAAATTCCTCCAAGACAGACATTCTGGGCACAGATGATCGCGACCATCGTCTCAAGTTTAGTCTGTACCGGTGTCTTGAATTTCCAGATGAATCAGATCGAGGGTGTGTGCACTCCAACGCAAAAGAATCATTACACTTGTCCCGGTATCAATCAATTCTTCACTGCTGCCGTCCTTTGGGGAACCATCGGTCCTAAAAAGGTCTTTGGCAAGGGCGGGCAATATACTGTCCTCCTCGTTGGCTTTCCACTCGGCTTCGTCTTACCATTCTTCATTTACTGGGCCCAGAAGAAGTTCCCCAAGCAGACTTGGCTTCGCCAAACTCATATTGTGGCAATGATGTATGGCGCTATCGCTTGGGCTCCATACAATGTCAGTTATCTGTGGCCAGGTGTGCCAATCGGTTGGTTGAGCATGATTTACATGAAGAAAAGGTTCCTTGCTTTCTGGTCGAAGGTAAGATTACGTTGTCTTCTCACGATTCTTACCCCTTGCTCCCGAAACTGACTTTGATGTAGTATAATTATGTTCTCTCCGCCTCATTCTCCTCCGCTATTGCCATCGCTGCGATTATCATCTTCTTTGCTCTGCAGTGGACTGAGATAACACTTGATTGGTGGGGCAACGATGTCAGTTTCCAGGGATGCGAGGGTACGCCTTGTGTGTTACATACGCTTGCTCCAGGAGAATACTTTGGTCCGAGAATTGGAGAGTTTCACTAGTCTTGTTCTACCGATTCGGATTGTAGGCTATGTTTGGGGTTTATTTCTGGACACAATTCTGGACAGAGGGATGCCGTCACATTGCGATGCTCGTCTTAGTTACTTAATATTCTTATTTTGAGCTATTATTCCAATCATCCAATCCAAGCCTTCGTGACACCAGTCAAACCTCTCTGCATCCATTCATCCTCAAGAGAAGACTCGCCATCAAATCCATGCTCTCCTTCCTGAAATTCTCCAATCGCACTGTCCTCCCCGAACTTTGCCTTCCATTCTTTCAGGAACTGCTCAGATTGCTCACATGGGACAGCAGAATCGCCCTTCCCATGGAAGATATACAAGTACGGCATCTTTTCACCCGCACTCTTCTTGACCAGCACTTTTTCGAGTCGCAGGGACTCATCGCTCCCTATGAGTTCCCCAAATAGGCCTTGTTGTAATGCAACCATGCCCAGTGGAAGGCGTGCCGGGGGAGTTGCTTTAGTTACAATTGAACCAGGCTTTATGGCAGCGATGTGATCATCGAGGATCTTGCGAGGCAGTTGCGGAGTACCGAAAGGAGATTTATCAGTCGAGGCCTTGGAGTACCAATCCGAATCAATATAAGTCATGGGATAAGCTGCAATGACAGCCTTGATGAATTGAGGCTTCATCAATCCAGATAAGAGGGAAATGTATCCGCCAGCGCTTTCGCCGTAAACGATGACCTGGTCGAGATCTGGGGTGATATCGCTGCCGATGCGTTTAAGATAGGCGGCGAGGTCGTTTTGAACCCAGTCCAAGAGATCGCGTACGTCTGACAAGATCTCAAGACCATTGGACTCTGGGAGAAGGCGATAATTGGCCGATATGCGGATAGCTGAGTGCTGGAGCTGGTAATTGAGTGCCCACGACGCAGCCCAATCAGGAAACATTGCATCTCCGCTTATGAGAAAACCGCCGTGGAAATGGATGATGATGGGACGTTTGCCTGTGTGGATATTCTTGGGGATCAGAACATTGAGATCAATCTCTTGCCCATTGACGACCTTGTATGGGTGGTTCGTGATGTTGAATGGCTCGAAACGAGTATTGTCTGCTGGAGGAGGATATGCCATGGTGACGACTGGAGGAGTAAAAAAGTGTGAGGGGAAATTCTCGTGCTTTTGACAGAAAATAGTTTGCAATTGAAGCCTTCGAATTGTGAAACGAAAATAGACACTGAGCGTAAACACTGAGGGGCTTTCGAATACTTCTTATACTTGTAGCCTTGCACGAAGCCTTACTTTGGTCAGGCAAGGCTATAACCAGATTTGTAATGCAGAAAAGTAGTGGAGAAAGGGGCTTCGCTAAGCAACTCTTAACTCCATGGCTCGGTCTCGCACTGGGAGCTCAAAGGCCGAGGAAAGTCAGCCTCGCCGCATATATGACCAATAATCCTTTGAGAATACAACATTTCGCTAGACAATTGGATCTCAGACCGATTGCAGATATTTGCGTAAGCCTCTCCTTGTTTGACAGATAGAAGCGCCAATGCGCTTCGAAGCAATCTTTTGTTATGGGGATAACCACTGATTCGAAGGAGATATCCGAAGAATCGAGGCGAGGACCACAGACATACCTAGGTAACTGTCGTGTTCGGCAGTGTTGACGCAAGGCTATGAATGATTTTGAGAATGGTTGAGGTATTCTTACGAAGATATCAGAGGTATCGCGATGGCTGAAGTTGGTTTCGCTGGCGAGTCTGAAATTGACTTCCGATGCTTACGTAATCTAGGGAACTTTCTGTTGGACTCAATGACGTTAGGAGATCTGGATAGCTTCAAACTCACGCCCGAGGGAGGCACATTGTCAAAATGATTCTATACGTCCAGAAATGGCTGTTATATAAGTCTACAAAGAAATGTCCATCCTGAAACGTCGGATATTGCCAATTCTGAACGCCCAAATTTCTTACAAGCTTCCTCGAACCTCTTCATACGCGACGATGGCTCTGCCACCATTCAAAGTCAACGCCCTCCCACGATCTTTGTACCCAAGCTCGATATCTTACAGCCCTCAAGACTTCCGCAGACAAGATGAAGGGTCCGACTCGGACTGGTACTCCCAACCACGATTTGTGCAACACATCGACGACGGAGCAATTGCCATGTTGAAGTCTTACTATGGTTCAATCATCAAGCCCAACAATAGCGTGCTGGACATCTGCTCGAGTTGGGTTTCGCATTTGCCCGATAACATCAATCCGCAAAGCATGATTGGGATTGGGATGAACAAGATGGAGCTGGAACGCAATGGACACCTCACGAAGTTCTTCGTCAAAGACCTCAACACGAACCCGAATATACCAGAAGTTCCTAATGAGAGCGTCGATGTGGTAATCTGCAACGTCTCCGTTGACTACCTTACCCAGCCTATATCCATATTCAAGGAGACGCATCGGGTGTTGAGAGACAACGGGTCTGCACATATGGCGTTCAGCAACAGATGCTTTCCAACCAAAGTCATTGGCAAGTGGATGGGCATGAGTGACGAGGAACGGAGACGCTGGGTTGGTGGCTATTTCTGGGCGAGTGGAGGGTGGAAGGAGGTCGAGGAAGTCATACTCAAGGAGGGAAAGGGCGGGTTCTGGGGAGGCTATGAGGATCCTCTGTTCGTAGTACGAGCAAGGAAAGCTGTGGATTGAGTGCGACATCTCGATCATATTATTGCGGAAGCAGGGTCGAATCCTCATTACTGCGAGTGACGAGGCAGGAGTACTTTCATTGTATACATCATCCACACTCCAATTCTCGTCCAGTCGGGTTGCCTCTATGATTCTGCATCCGACTTCTGCAATGGTACGGCGCAAGGACGCAATCAATACACTATTCATCTTCTATGCAGGTCTTGATTCCACGACCAAGTGGCCTTTATATGCGTCCTCAGACGCCGGCCTCAAAATCGCCAGCAATACATTTCGGCTTACCGACCAATCTCGGATGAAGCGGGGTGGATAAAGTTATCGGCTCCGCTCATCCAATCCCTACTTGATTTATTAACATATATATACCACCTTGTGTAACATCGAGATCGTTCCTGTAAATTCCCCTGATCGCCACAGGGTTAGGGACCAAGCCAACTCATAACACAAAACGAGTAGCATATACCCGCTAATGAATTGTCGGACGAGAGCAACATGCCAAGGCACGAAAAGTCCGCTCGAGCCTCTGTGCAGTAATTGGTGTAACTATTACATTAATTATGATTTGTCTTTCTCCAATGAGCTCTTCTCAAGTCAGCCTCAAAATCTAGGATGGACACGAGAGTGGTCGCTCTTCCATTCATCCAAAACGCTTAAGTAAGCTTCTCAATTGAGTTCATCTGAACCTAGATAAAGGAGCTCGTGTTGATATGAAATGCTTATGTCAAAATAGTTGACATGCCATTGTCCAGGTTTTGAGCGGTTCACCCATACCATGAATCTGGGTCGCTCCTCATCCTCCCAGAACACTTTTGTCTTCTTTGTCCCTCAATCTTGCTCACCTACTGCCGACCCATATACTTTCGTTTCCGTCACTCGTTCTCATGGTTTCCACGATGTGGAATCTGTTTACATTCATTTCGTTCAGCATTTTGGCCTCTATTGCCTCTGCTCAAAATGATGAGTGTTCATGGACGTCTCTTGGATGCTTTACACACGAATCAGATACCCCAGTCTTGCGATATGCTGTAGTTCCTTCTACAACCAGCGATACAAACTTTGAGAACTGCGAAGCAGCATGTGCAGCCCAGAACTATCCCGTTTCTGGGGTTGAGGATGGATTCAATTGCTGGTGTGATGTTGCCGTTCAAGGTGGCGCAACGCCAAAATCTGCTTCATACTGCAATTCGCCATGCTATGGAGACCCGTCGGAAATTTGTGGAGGCTACACCTTTCTCAGCGTCTACGAGAATACATGCATAGCCCCTTCGTCTTCGATTCCTGCATCAACGCCCTCAAGCACTTGGACCTGGGGATGGACAATATCTCTGCCATCAAGCTCAGCGTCTTCTTATGCATCGTCTAGAAACACAGCATGCCTCACAACTTCGTCGGCGTTGTCTCTGTCAGGTCCTGCAACATCCGTCCCAGGATCGTCAATTCCGGGTACCACTTTTACGGCACCAATCGGCTACACCACTTCCACTGTCACCGAAACGCTTATTTATACAATAAGTTCATGTCAAGCAACTGTGAAATCTTGTCCTTACGGGTCGACAACGACGGAAACGAGGAGTCTGGCAACTGTTTTGCCCGTCACTCCAACAGCGCTAGCTCCCCCTCTGACCAAGACGCAATCGACACAATACGCTTCCCTTTCTCAAACGAAAACGCATACCAGCCCATTGACCTCATCAGGTTCTTCGTCTACGGTGGCATCTTCTGCTCCTGCCGGACTTCCAGGCACGAATACCACGGGCAGCGCCCAGCCAAAAGCCTCCCCATCCTCCGTGCAGATCGGAGTCGGTTCTATTGTAAGATTGGGGTCGTCAGACGTACTTGTTTGGGGTTTGTTGAGCGTGGCTTTTGCTTTTATGTTGCTTTAATTCCTTCTAATATTAAATAATATGGACGATGTGCCTTGTAATTGTAGTTCATAATCTTGGTGTTTCGCAATTTGCTTTTGTTTGTTTTAGCTTAAGAGTGAAATAGGAGAGCAGTAGTTGGTTATCATTCCAAGCAATGGCTAAAATTATAATGAATCGTTATGACCCCGACTATCTGTTCTTTGCAAGTTTCTATGGGTTCCAAGTTCAACTTCATCAAAAGGTTCAAAAGTTTCCTCCCGACATACCTCGTGGATGGTCTATGGAGGGGACGGACATCTGATTTTTGAAGCCAAAGAGGAAGCTAGTGGATTGAACAAGGATTTGCTACGAAGAAAGATCAACGACAGAGTAATGCGAACTTTATTGACTAGTGACAGAATAAATGGTCAATCCAGCACAACTACCAAAACAAGCACGCCCCTCAAATCATCGAGACGATCTTCGACTGCGCTCTCTGTGCCTACGACGATCAGCGACTAATCGACGCTCCTATAATTCTCAACATTGGAATCTATTCAGCGAAGGTCAAGGAAAGATACGAACCTTTTGCTGCTTCTGTGGTTCCTCAGAACCAAGTCTCGCAACTTCGTCAAACATTTGCGCTTCACTGCTTCCCGTGGGAGCCGACACGTAAAGCTTTCCGTTAGCACCTCGAACTGCATACGATATCCTGTCTTCGGTGTGCAGCCGGGTGACTTTCGGTTGTTGAGCGTATGTCAAGGTGGTGACGACTGGAGCGGCGGTGGCAGGTGTTTCATAGTCGTCATCTTGGCTTGGGAATTGCTGCTGAGTTTCTGGTACTTGAGTGGATGCTGTGGAATCCCAGTCCTCGTCAGTTTCTTCAACCTCTTGATAAGAGTATGCTGTTTGTGTTGTTGCTTGGTATGTGTCTCCGCTGGCAAGTAGCCGTCGAGGTTGTTCAGGCGCCGGGACGATTCCGATCTGCTTCTGAAAATAAGAAATCGGAGCAGAGAGAAATCCTCTTCTCGGAGCAGCACGGCGTTTTTCTTGTTTGTCCGATTGTTGAACTGCTAGTGCAATTTGAGCCAGTTGGGCGGCATGAGGACTGTCGGGCGACGAATATGCAACGAAAGAAGTTTTGTCTTTGGAATTCTTGCTTTGGTAAATCACTTGGTCGGCTCGGTTCTCAGCACTCCTCTTCACGGGTGCGAAATTCTCGACTCGGACGAGTTGAGGCATGTTTGAAATCTTGAGTTGGCAAGTTGGTAGAATGAGGTTTGGCGGGTTTTTACGTGCCCGAAGGAGGGAAAGCTGATGGCCGGGCCTCATTGCGTTGATGAAATCTCTCCAATTCTGCCTATTGCCTACGGTATCTTCGGCAATTGGCTAGAGATAGCTGTACGAGTCTGATGACACGATCTCAGAGCCTTGTGGCTTCATAGTCTTCACCAAAGTCGGGCGCGCTAATGCCCCAAGGACGGCTTGGTTAACCAACATTTCTGAAATGGGATTGTCGCATATGCATTCATGAAACAAAACGGACTTCAATGAGTCATGGCGTATCACGAACTAAAAACTAATGCGTGGGACTCATGCCGCTTCAAGATGTTAGTTGTCATAGCAGAGCCTCGTTCTATCTTCATCTCAGACCTCAGTCTTCAATTCTTGTTATGACAACAATCCATCGCTCTCATTGCTAGCCGAACAAACAGCTATACCCTTGTCACTCACTGATCGACTTGGAACCTCATCTCTACATCTAACGAACCCACAATGGGTCTTCGAAGCTGGTGGCGACAGTTTGTCCACAAAGTGCAAGAAATCCTCAACATCCACAGCAAGTATGACGACTTCTGTTGTGAAGCGAGAAGTAAAGTTCTCTTCCACTACTTCTTAATCAAGTACTGAATTCTAGGAACTAGTGGCAGATGGAGGGGTGGCGACTTTCACAGGTCGACCATGGGGTCCGTCTTTCGACATGTTTAAGTCGTATGCCGAAATGCATGCAGTTGAGATTAGGATGAACATGCGTGGAAGCTTTTGGAGGTTTGATTGAAGGAGAGTGTGATCTGTTTTGGTTATTGATGAGTTACGAGGTTTACATGCAAGGAATTTTGAATGTGATGTGGTCTTGGGAGCATTTGCATTATGTGTAAGGAAGTTGAATTGGATTTCTTCCTTTCCGGTGCATCAAGAGCCAACACCACAACTTGAGTGCCAATGCAAGTGCCAATGCAAGTGCCTACCCTCCAACCCAGCTCCTATACCTGTCTCCTACACACCCATCACCAGAAGAGTAAAAAGCCGTCGAAATTCCTAACGTTCTTTAGTGCCTGTTCCATGGATCTGTTTTGGGGCTTTACATTTCGGCGTCGCCATCTGTGCCGCAATCTGTACAGCAAAGAACGTAGTTGGACTGCCATCGGGACCTTTGAAGCTGAAAGACGCATGCTTGTTTGTGGCCGTGAACTCAACTGCGAGCTTTTTACCCCCTGGTGCCTGGTATGATACTACTCCTCCATCCGAGTTCCCGTAAGTATTCATGGCGTTTGAGCCATTACGTTGGTGTACGACATCCCAATTAAGAGGCATTGCTGTAGTAGATTGGGTGGGTGGGTCGCTAAGAATGATTTTAAAGAGAGTAGGATTGGAGATATGATCGATGGATTGGGGAAACCGCTGGGAGATCTCAAAAGAAGTGATGAAGGAGGGGAGCAGACCTTTTTTCAGCTACATATTACGGTGTACTTCACGCGAGGGTGAAGGTGTCTAAAAAGGATTTTTAAAAGCAGCAAACGAGGCTGGATGCTACGAAAGTGAGGCGGCCAGCCTTGCGTAACATGAACCTGCTGTACTCAGAAGACTGGAAGATAAATGAGCGCACGGCTGCAGTACGGATGGAACGTGCCGGTAAGTAGCCGTGGGGTATATGTTAAACATCAGGGCCTGGCGAATGGCTATTCTTCTTGATTAAGTCTTTACCCCTCACTGGATAGCATTCGTGGCTTCTAAGCGCTATCTCTCGTGCCGTGCCTCGAGGACGGAGATGCATATGCGCATGGGAACGCGACTCTCGCCCGGAAAACAAAAAGTAAGTCCCAAAATGCCGCAGTACACTGCAGATGCGAAGTCATGTTGACACTGATACACATCCCATTGGTTGAATTACATCTCTTGAGATACACTCAGCCAAGAAAGCCCAACCAGTCTATATTCACCAGGCGATTAACCCCCATATCTGACACAAACCATCACACTTTCCAGAACCTCCTCTTCTTGGCGTTCCACCAGATCAATATTCGTCATACTCATCGTACTGATCGTACCCGTCGGCGATTCGAGGGTTTTGGACGTAAACGTTGCCAACGTAGTGTTGTTGCACCGCGCTTCTCAACCCAATATCAGAATTGAACATATGGTGAAGGTCGTTGCTCAATCGTTGATGACCCAGACCGTGAAGGAAATCTGCCATTTATGTTAACAATCATATCTTTGAAAGCATCTGAAAAGCCGACTTACTGATTGATCGACACATGTGTCCAAATCTTGACTTCAACGCGTGCCAAAGCCGTCCGAGGATTGATCCGTGGCCTGTGGCTGCGAATATCGCGCTCACAACGGCAACGACGAGACCTGCAATTTCGAGCATACTGTAGTCTTCTATTGGAGATATAGTTTGAAGATTGAGATGGTTTCAATGATATAAGTGCAATCATCGAAGTAAAGCAAAGCACTTAGTATTTCAACTCAGCATTGTAAACAGAGGTAGTTCCAGAAAAGTCACATTGTGAGACGCAAAGCGAGTGGCTTGCAGATAGGTTTGAAAAGGGCAGTAAAACGTGTCACTTGCATGTTGTTCATGGCGTGGTGCTACAAGTCGGGCGTTGAAGCGGTGCAATATCGATGTTCGCTTTATGAAGCCTTACCGGACTTCCTACAAGATAATTGATTAGAAACTAGATATATACGTATTTGAGTGCATTACCTTTCACTTTGGGACCCTAAGAGTCTTGTTTAGCCCTGTTCTAAAACAACGTCCAAAATCTCAAAGATAATATGGCCGCCTTCGAAAGTCAAGACATACAAAGCATGCAAACACTCGCCAATAACCACTTCTCCCACATTTGACAATACTTTCAAGGCAACATTAGGATGACTTTAGAATCTGCTGTGGTTCAGACAAATTTAAAGATTGATTGGTAACTATATTTTGATGACTCAGTACAGTGCATTTTCAGAAGCAGGAGCCGAACATGCGGCTGAAGTTGCGGTCGTTGCATTACAGCCATGAAGTGACACCCCCAACATCTCGCTTAGCCCCTCTTCAGAAATGTTCCGTGAAATAGTGCTGACATGACGTGCCCCATGCTCTTACTCCTATACACGCTTCACCTGCATTCATTTAGTGTCGTCTTACTTCTGAGATATATAAGCTTCGAACAACCTGCTTCGTACCTAGCTATGCTTCAGAGCTGCTAATATGACAGGCTTCTCGTATCTATAGACTCTTCAGGAGACCAGCGAAGACGAAGATTGATGGAGAGTGAAAGATCCTTGGGTTCTGCACCGTAGAATTTCTTATTTGTCCTGTAAAGTCTTCAGTCGATGCAATACTGCCTATGATTTTTGACGTGTGTATCAATAAATTAAAATCGGACACAAAAAAAAAACATGTGAAATTAACCCCTCCCCTTTCCCCACCTACCCCTAACCATCGGAATCCATCCATCCCCAAACTTTCACCCCCTCCCTAACATCCCATCCCATCCGAATCCTAAATATAAACTTCCACCACTACCAGGCCCACCACCCTGCAGAAACCCAACACGGCACCGCTACCCCGCATCCCGAACCTTAAAGAAGTAATTAAGCCCTGCCCGTAGAGTTTGAGCAGACCCTGATTTATCAACGCGGAAAAGTGTATTTGCGTTGATGCACACGGGGACTGGAGGCGCTTCGTTTGTCAGGCCATACTTTCCACGCATCCTCCCATCCATACCTGATCTTTTTGGGTCTGTCTAGAACTCTCCGCCACCAAACTTTGCTTCCACCGTAATTATGTATGTTTCACGGGTAAACAGACCAACTTCCGTACCGCGTTAAAGATCCCTTAGGTACAGTACTGCCGCCGGTGTAAATAACGATTATATATCTAAACCTAGAAACTAATTCTCAAGTAACGGACGTGGACTGACCTAAAAACTAGGTATTCAAGATCTGCCTGTACGTGAAATTGAGAGAGAATGGAATAAATAAACAAATAAATAAATAAATAAATAAATAAATAAATAAATAAATAAATAAATAAATAAAAGCTAGCTCCCAAGCCCAATCCGAAAGGCGATACCCTCGAACTACGTAGATGCTGGAATGGGAGACTTGCTGTACGAGGAGGAGGTTGTACTATGGCTACCTTTGTTATGCTGTACTGTGCTATGCTATAATCCAACCGGAATGCACAATATATTTCCCCCCTGAGCCTTGTCCGGGGGGTGGGATCATCGTCGACCACGGAATACATCTCGAAGCCTTCACTAGATTCAAAACGGAACATGCTTTCACAATAATAGCAAAATAATCTCTTTTCCACAGTCACAACCACACAAGAACGAAGTAATACACCACACAGCACGTTTTAATCTATGATACCCGAATCACAGCCCTATCTCATCTAGCAGCAAACAGCCCAAGCGATATTGAACACTTATTCCTTTCCTCTCCCTTCGCGAACAGCAATATTTTCTTTCTTCGCTTGGCTCCCAAAAACGCCTTGCTACAGAAATCCGCCCTAGTCAACAATACTCAAGCTCACGCCGTCGACTCCACATTTTCTAACAAGACCCATTTTGCGTTCTTTCCGGGTGCTCTCTTAGCAACTGCGTCGAGAGTAGCCTTTATACAAGCAGCTGTGTGGCCTCGGAATTTGGTTTTCAGGACTTCTAACATGCCGACTTTGGTCAGTTCGCAGCCATCTTGTATTTCCCGTCTGAAGGCTTCCATCTTATCTGGCGGAAGCAGATCTTGTGGCTTGCCGTCTTTAGTCTTGCCCTTCGAATTCGTCCGAGCTTGAGCTGGTTGTGGCACATTCGCCGGCAAGAGGGAGGATTTGAGGACGTCGGATGCGGTGCTGAAGAAGGATCCGACAAGTTTGGTGATAGGTTGTCCGTTGAAGTTTAGAGATGTGTTCCTCATGCTATTAAGAGGTATGCGAGGTGGATCCATCGAGGTAATTTGTGGTGGATCCCAGTAACTAGTGGAGAACGGATCGATTGACTTGATGGTTGGATCTGCAGAGAATTAGTAAACTTCGAGACGAGAGAAAGAGGCAACATACCTAGGATCATTTCCATCCTATAAGCGACCATCTTGACATTTGTGGTTCTCTTCGTCCTATCCTCCCAACATAGACCGGTTGATATGGGTTCTAGATCACCTTGCAGGACCAAACGCCTTGAATTCGAAGTATCATCACCGTCATCGTCGAGGAATCCTTCCATGTCCTCATCTTCGTCTACTTCGTCCTCCTCCTCTCCCTCGCTCTTCAGATCTTCTGCATCTTCATCCTCAATCCATTCAGCCTCGCTGTCATAATCGTAATTCGTCTCAGGAAGATCGCGCCTCAACGGATTCCTCGCCAACTTCGCCATCCCATTGACAGGTCTAGCGGTGTATGTACCTCTATACGGTGGTCTGACATCTTCTTGAAAGTGCAAAAACTTCATAGGCACTGCTTTCAATATATCTGTCGTCCTCTTGATCTGCGAGTTTTGTGAATCTGTTGTGAGATCAATTGGTCGTGAAGCTTTGCCAGAGTAGAACTCGGTCATAATCTCTCGAACCGGCATATGGTATCTCCCTCGAAGTGCCATGTCATCATGGGAAAGGTGGAATAGGTCGGTTGCATCGAACGATCGTTGTCGGTCTGGACTGCGGTCTCCAAGTATGTAGCTATCGATAGTGGCTTGTATAGCCTCTGTAGCCTCTTCATCTCTTTCAAATCGATTCGCAGGTGCCAGTGTAACTCCGGTTTGTACGAAGAAATCAGGGAATAGCTTCTTATAAGCCGAGAGCTGTGGTTTGCTTGGTGTAAGCTTCGAAGGACTCGGAGCAGAGGCAGTAAGTAGACTAGCAATAGAGCTCTGTGGAGCTGGACTCATAGAACTCCTGCCTCTACTCTCTGTGCTTGTTGATCGTGGCCGAGGTTGTGCTGGTATGGCGAAGAAGTTGTTAAGCTTCATCTGACTCCGTTCCTTCTTCCGCTTTTCCTCGTCTGCCTTTTGCTTCTCTTCCTCTTTCTTCTTCCGCTTCTCCTCTTTAGCAGCCTTTTCAGCTTCCTGTGCAACACGCTTCTCTTCCAGCGCAACCCGTTTTTCCTCCTTCTCAACCTCCTTCCTCTTCTTCTCCGCTTCCCTCTCAGCCGTCTTCCTCGCCTTCTCCTCCACTAGCGCCTGCCGCTCAGCATCCTTCTTCGCCTTCTCCTCAGCTCTCTCCCTATCCTTAATCTCCTTATTAATCCTCTTCAACTCCGCCTCCTGGAACGTAAGCTTCTGTTTCTTCGCCGGCGGCGGAGCAGAGCCATTCAGTGCCGCGAATGCCGAGGGAGTCGATGTACTCGGCGGAGGTGAAGCCCCCCCATATGACGGCGTATCCGGTCCAGCATCAGTCAACTCACCCGTCGAACTTCTCGTCGGACTAGCCTCTCTCTTGGTTCCCGTCCCCACGCTCACAGGCGGCGTAGGCAATGATTCCGATTCATTCATCGTAGGCTCTCGCTCTCTCTCCAGTGTCTCGAGGAAATCTTCTGGGACGGTAAACGGTTTCTCCAGTTCCGGTAGTTGGGAGGGAATTTGTGATGCTCCTCCGTCAAAAACATCATGTCCCCTCTTCAATGGCGAGGATCTCGGGGATGAAGGTTCTGGCGACATCGTGTTCGATTCCATCAATCAATCATTCAATCAACCAACAAAGACGTCGACCATGAGATTGGAGAACCGTCGAATTGAGCTATCACAATCGTTTGTTTATTCAAGCCCCCTCGTCAAGGATGTGGTTGTTGTGTTCTTTCGTTGTGTGGTGTGTTGAAGAGACGCGAAGGAACGCGTTCGTTGTGCATGGGAAGTGGTTTCGTGTCTGGACGGCAAGTGCCGGAAAGAAGGGAAGGGGCGAGCGAGCTCCAAGATCAAGGGTCTCGGGACTCATCAAATCGAGACGGAGTTTATTATTAGCCTCGTATAAATCGAACAAAACATTTATTGATTTGTATCACTTTTGAAGAAGAAAGTTCACGCTCACGCAATGTAAGTTAAGTGGTCAATGTATGGTGGTATTCAATTGTTGAAGCCGTATACTTCTTTCTCATTACTCAAACGGTGGTTGGTGCCCCTGAAGGCTTCATGTACCTATGCAATGGTCGCTAAAACGAGTGAGGGCAATAGGCCTCTCTTGGGCTATTCAAGCAATCCGCCGTAAAACCAAAGGTAAAATGCATCAGGTTGTGTGGACCTGCCATGCCATTCCAGAAAACCGATATCCTGATCGCCCCAAACGCCTTGAAATGCTTGTACTGTTCCGACCGCCCTGTCTGTCTTTCTTTGGTATATCCTCCTCGAGCTCCTTAATCGCTGTCCGCATCTGGGTTGGCAATGTATAAACGGCCAGCACTCATCGTCATTGTCCTCTCGTCCACACTGCCTCTTCTTCGCAACTCCTCTGGATTCTTTACACTTTTTTCTCGAGTGATGGTAGCCTTCATGAGACTGTTGGCAGCGAGTCTTGCAGCGTCATTCGTTCCCAATTCAGCGACGTTATCGGCTCTTTCTCCACTACTGCCACTTCCCACACTTCGAGTGCCATCGGCTCCTCCATCTGCAGTGAAGTAGTCCTTTGACTGGCCGTGAGTACCAGGAACGGGAGTCTCTCCCGCTTCAGGGACATCCTCCATTGAGTCTTGTCTCTCACTGGGTGGTGTATTTCCAGAGCTCCATCTGCCGTGAATCGAACTAGCACCCGATTGTCGTGAATATGTGAGACCCCTTCTGCCACCACTGCCAACACTACTCCTTCCGCTGCCCGTCCGGCGGTGGTAGGGTCCGGTGTGTGGCATATTGCCACTATCCGCATCATCGTCGCTGTCTCCTCCCTCTACTTCACTAGCACTCAATCGCATGGGCACGCCTCCAACACCCCCAACGAGATCTCCAGGACTGTAGCCAACTAATCCTGCTTTGCCATGATGTCTGATCTTCGCAGTGACCCTGTTACTACCTGCCAAATTGCCTGAGCTGCTTGAGGATATCCGTGTACCACTTGCTGTTGGGCCACCGATCACTTCCATTGTCGCTCGCACCTTTGCAGCCTTCTGTTGTGCTAATAATCGTGGGTCTTCATGTTGGGCTCGATCACACCATACAGTCGCTTTCTGTTTCCGCATCAGGGCTACATAGCCCGTAGGTTGCGAGAGGCCGCCCGATCGTGAAGATATTGAACGTCGCAGATCTTGTGAGCTTTGTCGAAAAGGGACAGGGCCATTGCCACTGCTGGCGGTGGAGAAGGTTGCCGTCGAAGGAGTTCGTCGCGAGGTGTAGGATTGGACCTGCATGTTGCTTGGATAGAGTTGTTGAGGTTGTGGCGGATAGATGGGGGCCGGGAATGTATTTGAAGAAGTCGTGCGGGTCCGACTGTGTGAATAAAGGTTTGAAGGTTGAGGACCTTGATAGCCCACTGGCATCGGCTTCCTGTGAGGGATGTCGGCCATCATGCTGGAGATATTAAGGCCCGGATGCGTCCACGGTGACGAGTCTGAGTTATTTTATTGGTGGGGGAAGCTGGTCGAGGATTTCTTGTTATCGTGAAGCACTAGATCGCTGTATGGGTATTCTTCCTGTGAGGCGGAGACTAGAGGAAGGTGAAGCTTGGCTAAACTCAGTAGCTCGACGATAGGATGCGTGATTTTGGTAGAGCGTCCGTAGTGTATTGTATGCAATGCACCCTTTGTTGATCTGCCGCTGGAAATGTGTGGAAAGGGAGGGTACGGGGTGTGTGCTGCGATCAATTGAGCGGGAGTGAGGAGGAAGAAATATATCCAAAGGAGTGAATAATCAGGAGCTGAAGAGCAGTTCGTGTTGCCGAGCGGATGGATGTGAGCACACTGCAAATACGTCGCGCGACCGGGGGGGGGGGGGGGGAGGAAAGGTGGAGAAGTGAAGAGGATGGTCGATGATTTTCTCGGATTCTCACTCGTCTGCCCTTCGTTCGCCAGTTGCAGTCAGTCGCCTCTGTCGCTAGAAGCGTGGTTTGGCGTTAGCGCGCTGATCTAAACAAAGTCAGCATGGAATGGTCTCAGCGTCGGGCATTACGAAAAAACGAGGAAAACAATGGCGCCAGCAAAACCGCCAACAGGCGAGCATGGAAACTTAGAGCAACACGCCACACGAACGAAAGATAATGCAACATGCACGAAATCGCACGCCGGTCGGTCTGTCCAAGAAATGGATGGGTAATGGAAACACTATCGTACCAGCAGATCCCGGACAAGCTGGAGAGGGGAATGGGGATAGAGGAGGGAGGAGGGAGGAGGGAGGATTGAGTTTTGAGTTTGCCGTAGCCTCGTGCCGCTGCAGGAAAGGAGCTCGAAGCTTGAAGCACAAGCTCTCACTCCCTCACTCTCAGAAGTGGGCGAGCTCTCGATTTTGACTTTCGACTTTCTCGAGACGATGCGGCCAGGCCGGTACTATCAACTTGGAGCAGCAGTGGTGTGTGTATGTGCCGTCTCGGAAACTTCTCAAGATTATTATTATTATGGAGCTGATGCGACTTCAATATAATATAAAAAGTAAGACCGCCGCCGCGCCAGCCAGCACGGGTGGGAGAGGTGGAAAGGTCAAAAAGTTTAAAAGCAAATGCGCAGGAAAAGGGTCTCACATTTACTGTAGGACTTTCCCACAACACTAACTGCACAAGCAACCAACAGCCGGTCGAGAGCGTGTCCAGATCGCGCGGAAGGGCAAGGCCCTTTATCAGCTCCTGCAGCTCACTGCAGAATGTATGCGTATCTTGATGCTTGCTTCAAGTGTGCTCAAGCCTCACTTTTCCCCACTCCAACCTCTTCTCGGACGTTGCTCCTGGCCTGGGGGCGGTCTGCAGTCAGCGCAGGCCAGCGCAGGCTGAACGAGGAGTCGAATCGCCTCTCTGGCCGGCAACGTGGATTCAATAAAGTCGACCAGGCGTGCAGCCCAATGTCTCGAAGTACTGTAATCACAACAAATATTGGGAATAACTGCAAGCGTGAGATTAATGATTGGAACAGCGGCGCTGCGACGGACGAGTGTTTTATTCAGAGGTTTGATGGTGCTGGTTCCCTCATTGACGTAAGTGTCGACACAGGGCAAGTCAATCACTTTCCTGGTCCGGGTTCCATGATTTGGGAGCGTTTGAGGGGTTCCGTGTAGAGTGGATGTCATGAACATATCATTTGTGGAACAACGTGCCAGCACGCTCTCTCTACTGTATCAAACATCACGGTTACAGCGGGTCATCATACCTACCTACACCATGCCCGGACGAGTTGTTCAGATTCAGGATGTTCAGCGATATCATCCTGGAATATAGAGTGTTTGAGCTGGGTATCTTCCAAGACTCGGTCGCTGGAAGAAGAGGGAGCCAGCGGGAGCAGATTATTATTGTTCCAAGAGTTTTTCTAAACTGGATTTCTCGGCGGCTTGGTAATGGTCCCAGCCGGGTGTTCCCCAAGACAAGGTGCAGCGAGCAGCGACCAAGATCGCGTCCTCGTCCTCCTGATGGTGGTGTTCTGGCGGCTCTTTGGCGACAGACAACAAGGTGAAGTGGGGTCAGAAGTCAATCTGCTACTGCTGCAATCCAGTGGAGAAAGCTCCTAGTCCATCCCTCCCTTGGTCCCTATCCCTACAATTGTTGGCGGATATGCGCTGACTACGTAGTATTCGACAGTCCTTCGACCAATGCTGGCCCCGGCACTAGAAACGCATCTTCGGGCCTTTATCCCCATCGTGATGCTTGCTGAACCTCGTGAAAGTGGCGCAACCAGAATTCCCCTTTTCGGGATGTCCGTGTTCCTGTCAGCCAATTCAAGGCGTGGAAGCTCGTCGCGGCAAAATAAGCATGTCCAGGAACATCCCAAAAGGTACAGGTGAAGCCGTACAGTACCACGGGACTCATCGACAAGCTCACAACAACTTTCATCAGAAATCGAGAGAGAAATCAATTCTTGCAAGCGCCGTCAAACTCTCTTATCGCCATCCCTCGAATTCCTTATCTTTCTTTCCCCCTCACCTAGCCTTCTCCACAAGTCCTGTCGTCCATCCACCTTTCATGCAATAACAGCAACGTCCTATCACATATTTCCCAGTTTCGTCCCTAGCATTGACGCCCTCGCTACCAAAGTTCGCCCTTCCTTTCCCTCCGCTTCCTTCATCACAATCCCATTCTCACAATCCCCATCCATCACCTCCTTTCCCAACAGAAAACTTCCATCCATAATAATGAAACCGAAGATGAAATATTATGACGTCAAGAAAAGATATCGATCCTTTTTTTCTTTGACGAGAGAATAACGTCACCAGCGACGCCAACATCTCGTAAAAAAAATTACTGTATCTTATGACAGCGCATCTTGGCGGTCTTGGTCTTGCACGGCCACATCAAGCCTCACTCACCCACGGTCCGAAAAGACATCTGGGTAAGGCCGTTCGGATGCAACAATGACTGACAAACGGGAGCGATCAATGAATGAGGGGAACACATCGTTTCGCCGATACCCTACAATACCCAACCTCTCCAGCTAGCAGCTCGTGGTGCACTGGTGGTGGTTGGTGTGGACCCCTCACTTCAATGCCGCAAACCTGCAGATGCACTGATAATCACCCCATCTTCTATCTGCTTGTATTAACCTGTTTTCCGTGGGCTCTCACATGTACACGTACATAATCCGTTCACCGACTTCCTGTATACATTTCTTACACATCTGGGTAGCAAATACCTCAATCAAGGCATTGATATCTTTTTCTTCCTTTCTTTCTTTCTCTTTGCCGCTGTTTCCGAGTTATTCTGGTTTGAATTTTAATGCGATATTCTTCCTTTCTCTTGTCCTCGGCTCCCCTTGTTAATTTCGACTGCAGTATTACGATGTTTTCGCTCTCGTTTCCCAGCTTTTCACGTCAAGGGAAATTCCACGTGGCGGACAACCCCCCAAAATCTGTTCAGCCCTAGGATCAAAGATTCGCGGTTCGGTTCTGTTCCAATTGGTGATGTTTGACACTGCGTGTGTGTGTGTATCTGACAGCCTGGCCCACCACCACCACCTACCTCAGCCTTCTTCCTTTCGGTTGCCGCTGGGCTCAGTTGCTGGTGGGGAAATCCGAATTTTTGCATCGGATCGGATCAATCTTCTATGCATGCGTTCTGGATCGATCCTTTGTGGAGAGCAAAGGAAAATTCTTTTCGCGAGAATGGAGATGTGTACGCGTCTCACCATGTGAGTTTGTGTGGAGGAACCCATGGGAATGGAACCGGGAGTCCGGGATCGGGAAGTTTCGATCTTTGGGATCTTAGGCTTGGGAGGAAGCTTCTTGATTGATGGTCTAGACTTGACGGTCTCGATGCTCGCTGATGATCGAGGTCGTAGGCCAAGTGGCACGTGATGAGTATATCTCCCGTCCTTCCCTACCTATCCAATTCGCTCTGCTTCAGTGGGAACTACACCGTCCTTCCTGTAATTGCAACATTCTCGACAGCTCACTTCCCAATCCAACCTCCCTGACCCTTCAGCCTTCCCATCAGAGCCTTTCAAGCTCTCTCAATCGCAGCCCCTCATACCACTCTATCCCCTCCTTAACGCCGCACTTATCCCAAAGAAACCCCAACGGGCACGCAAGACTCATCAAGACGCGTGTTCGTCTACTGAAACTCGACGATTCGAGCGCTTCGTAGCAGCTGATGGCGCAGATTCCGAAGAGGACCAGGAAAACGGCGCTGCTGCCAAAAGCGCTGAACACGATGGTGCCTGCTCGGGACCACTGCACAGATGAAGAGGAAGGGCATCCGTTCATAGCGAAGACACCGCCTCCGAAGCTTGCCATGGTTTTCTACCGGTATTTGCAGGTGTGATCAAGCAGTCGAGGAAAGGACGTTTCCTCTTTCTTTCGGTGTTGATATAGGTGACGCCAAGGCAGATTTTTGAGGACGAGGAGGCGAGACATTTCGAGCCTTGTTTATTGTTTATTGCAGACTTTCGGAACGAGGCAAGACATTTCGAGCCTCGTCAATCGTTCCTTGCGCATGTGTTTTAATTCCCTCGGACATTAGCATGGCGTGATGTCTTATTGTGGATTAGTAGATGGTTCTGGTATGCGCAAAACATTGAGTAAGTCAAGTGGCATGACTCTACGTGTACAATTAGATTCATTAGAGATGTTTAGCGGAGGGTTTCTTGTTTACGCCGTTCTGTTCGGTTAGATGATACTCGTGATTCTTAAGGCTGTGTAGTATATAATGGTTCATCGGAACAGTCAGATATGCATCTAGAGAGAGGACGGCCGTAGGCTTGTGTTGATACATTTAAGATAGCACGGATGAACTCTTTTTACTTTCGATGATGACTCAAATCGTGCAAATGGGTAGCGCAATGAGGGAGACTGGATAGTCGTCTCAATGGGACTGACACCGCATTGAAAGCTACAAAAAAAACTTAATATCACGCCTTCTCGAATCCACCTCATTCGTCCCAAGCCAACAACATTCTCAAAGCTTCCCAGACTTCACATCTTCACCCCACCGACAATCAGAAAACGGTTTCCCCATAATCTCAGCCTGTATCTGCAACGCCACAAACCTCGAGTTCCACCTCGCAGCATTTACCGCTCCCCTCAACAGCCAAAGTCCCTTCCCTACACGCACCCATCAGCTCTACCATCCCCTCTCACTCTCTCAAAAGAAGGTTCTACTCACCAACAGGCAACAAATACCTCTCCAACTCCCCCTCCTCATCCAAGCCCCTCGGCAACCTCATCTCCCCCGCGACTTCCGCCCCAACAACAGTAGCAGCCTGCTTCCTAGGATCCTTCTGATACCCCGTAGCGAAGACGACGATATCTGCTTCCACGACGTCACCGGATGCGAATTCGAGGCCGTGGGGGAGGAATCGTTTTATGGGGTCTCCGGAGCGGACGGCGATGGCGCCCGCGGCGATGAGAGAGGAGGTGCCGATGTCGATGTAGTAGCCGCCGCCGCGGAGGATGATCCAGTCGTTGAGGACCTTGGGGGGAGTTAGTAGTTGTTCTCGTGGAAAGGATAGAGAGGGAGATGGGTGGGACCGGGAGATGGGAGAGGAAAGAAAGGAAGGAAGGAAGGGGGGAGATTACGATTGAGCGGTCAACGCGAAATCCGACGCGCTCTAAGGCGTCGAAGCGCGCGGGGTCGATGAATGATGCTGCTACTCTCATGACTTCGCGGGATATTTTGAGAGGCATGGTGCCGTCTTGGCGGTCTGCTTTTTCGGGGGGAGTGGAGAGGTTGAATATTCCTGGGAGGGGTTAGCGTTGTTGTGGATTGGGAGTTTGACTAGCACAACTAGAGGGTCAATAGTCAGGGCGCCCCCTTCCCACTCTCAAAAGAGGATTTTTCTAAACCCTCTGTAGTTGGCTCGGGATGGGTTGGAAAACTCAACTTGCCTTCTTGACCGGCCACTACCCATTCAACGGGAAAGACGGGCGTGGGGGAGCGCTGGATCATGGTTATTGAGGAGAGGGCGTTGTCTAGCATGTCTTGGGCGACTGTTGGAGATTTTGAAGTTAGCACTGTTACTTGCGAAGCACTCTGATAGCCACATATATGGAGACAGAGGAAAAGAAGTTGAGCAAACAAACCATCATGCGCCCCAGTCGCAGATCCAACCACAATCCCCTTCTTGCCTTTCCACCGCGAACTCTCCTTAAAACTCCCAATATCCAAAATCGTCCCTTGAAAAGCGTCTGCATTCTCGATCGTTGGAGGATTTGGAACAGAAACTCCCGTTCCCGTTGAAAGAGCCATATGTCTCGCCTCAACCTCAACTACCTCTCCTCCCCTTCTCACCCTAACTTCCCACCCTACTCCCCCAGTCTTCTGCTCGCATTGCTCAACCTGGGCATCAAGCCAGATATTGATACGGTATTTCTTGACGTAGTTTTGAAACCCTTCTGCTACTATCTTCGCTGGTAATAAGGTCGGGTCGGAAGCTTTATACGTGCGGTCAAATGGCAGGTTATTCATTTCCCGTATCGTGTGCTGGCGAACGGTATCGTATTTTCCGGTCCAGGAATAGCCGATTGAGGATGCCTTTTCAAGCAGAATATATGGAATGTTCAGAGCTCCTAGTCGACCCGCGAGACTGAGCCCAGATTGGCCGGCGCCGATGATTAGGACGGAGGTTTTGGCGTTCTCGGTACTTGAGGGGGAGGAGAAGATGGGAGATGGATCATCAGGATGTCCATGTCCTTCGAAATTCTCGAGGATGGTTCGTAGCATCCAGACTTCCCATCCTGTCTCTGACGAGGAGCTGGGGAGGAAACTTATAATCCCGGAACAATTTCCAATTAAGCCTCCTTCTTGTTCAGTGACGAACGTGAACAACACATCAACCCAAGACGAATCAGGTGTTGGTCTGGAAATACTCGCTTCCGTGGCTTTGAAGTTGGTGGGAGAGCGTTGTTGGCTGTAGTGGGACCATTGTTCTTTGATTCTCTCGCCGTTGTAGAATGTACGGACTTGGCCAGTCAGGGAGAGGTGGTCTCGCCATAGGGCGGAGGAGGAGACGGTGGCTGATAAGAGGTTGTTGAGTGCGTTTTCAGCGAAGTGGGGGAAAGGGATGCTGGCTAGGTCGATGTCTGCTGGGATTTCATCTGGGGGTAGGGATCCGGGGACGTCGTCGAAGCCTCGAAACATTTTTGCGGGATGATATTGTGGCTTTGGATAGGGTTTGATGCGGCTTTCTGGTGTTGAATGTTTGGTTGGAGCCCAAGCACCTGTCTTTGTATGAGGTGCGGGGTAATTCTGTGAACCGTCGGGCTTGGAGAGTAAATTTGTCAAGCTTCTCTTATATGTATTCGGCTTCGATTGAGGACAAGCTGAAAGATGAAATCAAGTAAGACGGGAAGTGCACATTCTCTGATTGGTGATGGGTACGAAACGATTGACGTTGAAAGAGACGATCAGTGAGGTGATACTGTAATATTAGTCAGCAGAGCTGAAACGTGTAAACTCCCCATTCTTGAGCTCTGCAATCGCATGGTGCGATGGATATTCATGGATGACTTGTATTGTGAGGATGCTCTTTCTGTTTGGTTGATATCGAAAGGTAGAAACGAGTTCTTTTATGATCTATGAAACATCTGGTTTCAATTCGCAAAGTGGCTATCGCTGAGTTACTCAAAGATTGAAAGGTCAGCCCCTAAAGTCCCTAAGCGAGCCCCCTAACTCTAGCGAGTCTCACTAAACGTGCAGCGTTTTCAAGCTGGCCTCACCATCTCCGCAACGAGCGCAGGCTTCAACAAAGGGAGCTTCAGTGATTCTGACCTCTCCATCTCTTCCGTGCCCAAAAGGTATTCCAATTATGTGAAATTTGCAATCGTAAGAATTTTACAGAATCCCTCCATTTACCGCTATTCCTACGCCCTTTCCTTGTTGATATACATTGGCAAGTGATCGACTTCCCATTCCCAGCCTTTCCATAATCTCGGAACACTCTTCTTGATCACCTTCCAAGTCTCCACACTTTCTTCTTTACTCAAGAACTGTGTTTCACCATTCATTTTCACTTTTCCTCCTTTGATGTTTCCACCTCCCTCGACATCCACCTTTCCCTCAACCTTTCCACCAGAGGATGCCACGCTCGTCAGTAAAGCCGTCGTCTGAGCTTTCGCAGAATCCTGAGCATAAATCGCTTTAAAGACAGCTTCTTCAAGACTTGCACCTATGACCGTCATCCCATGGCCACGCATCAGAACCACCGTATGATCCGGAATCAAAGCTCCTTGTGGCGAAGATCCCATCACCAGCGAACTCGCTTTGTTGTAAATAGCACCAGCAGTAGAAGAAGACTTGCTAAAGGTAGCAGCGAACGAAGCTCCAATAGTGTTGTCTCGAATATGCATATCATGCATCGTACCAGAAGACAAAACCGAGTGCGTAGAGTTGATATCCCATACCGGAGTATACAAACCCAAGAATCCAGCCGTATGAGTAACAGGCTTGAGTGGAACCCCATTCACAGTATATGGAATTACGTCCGGAGAGCGGCTATGAACGATTCCTTCTATAGAAGGAAAGCGCTTGTAGAGCTCGGAATGGATATAACGTTCCGACCACCCAAGCTTGATGTCTGGATTTGTGGGTGCGCCGTCGTCGACACGGAATTCGGTGATGTCGTCCATGGAGGATACCATGGCGGGTGGGCATTCGTCGGCGAGGAAGAAATTATTGGGATTTCCTATGGAGCGAACGGAGACTCCACCATAGCCATCGAGGACGCCGTGGTGGTGTAGGATGTGGTTTGCGGTGATGAGACGGGAGTGGATTTCGGATGGCATCGTGAATGTTGGATCTGATTGAATGTTTGGTGATATCTCAAAGAGGTAATGTTGATGCTATACCGCGAGAAGATCGGACATGCTCGATGACGTTGATGGGAAACAAGCTAGGCGAGACAAGGTTCGGTATCAGTGAGAAAAGGAGGGCGGGAAGACATCACGTGGTGAACACCTGAATCACACTCCATTGGAAGTCTGTTGATTTGTACACAAAGTTTTCTTGCGCAATTATTTTCTATTGATGTCTAATAATGTGTTTCAACTTCAATAGTCTTATAAGATTCTCCAGTAAGACATTCACATCACCCGTACTTCACATTCGACTCCACCCGGTTCTCGCTCGTTATATCCTTAAATGCCATCTGCAATCTATCATCAATCACACGAATTGCTACTTCCTGCTTCAATGTTGTCAAACTGCCAATCCCCGCACCACTATTATGGAGAGCATTAGATGGTTGGGAATTTGCAGCCAATGCTACCATTTCCATGATCGACTCCCAAGAACTCGATGTCGTCTTTGTAAAGATAATTGAGTATATAACGTAGATCACCGCAATCAAGCTGTAAATCAACAGAACGATAGTTGACAAGACTGTCGCAGTGGTGATCCCGTAGCCGTAGCCTAGCACCGTAGATGTGGCTTCGAACTTGGTGGAGTGGTCGCCAAGTTGGTAAACGTAATCAAAGGCCGAACCACCCTTCCCGAAAACTGATCTTTTGGGCAGAAACTCTGCCATCCACTCTTCATTGGGATATGAATCGTGAATACCTTTCAGAGATCCCAGTATTGTGGCGTCGCTGCTGGTCCGAGATAGTCCATCCGTGACCATAACAGCAAGGACGGCCTCGACTGCGTTCAGAGAAAGTTCCGCTATGGGGATGCTGTTCAGGCGACCGACACTATTGCAAAGCATAGCAAAGACTGACGTCGAAGGTTGTGCAATGACTGGGTTGATTGCATCTGCCCACGCAGGAGCGATTTTGACTTGGGGCCATAATGGGAGGCCACTAGAATTGAGCGCAGATTGTCCACCCTGGAACCAGTTATCCGGTTCTCCAGAAGTTATCATAGGACCGCCTAAGAATGATATCGTGGTAGTGGCATTTGCCCATCGTGCATCAACTGTGCAAGCTAAAACTTGACCTGGTATTTCTGGGGAATATGTTCCAGGGAGCGCAACCACTGCACCGATAGAGGTTCGCCCAAAATCTTCCTCTGGTAGATTTAGCCAAGATAAACTTGGATTTGTACCATTGCCAGTAGCTAGATCAAACCATGGTTGAGACCCAATTGTGGTGTTCGTAAAGCTGATCAGAGGATAGTTTCCACTGCCTTGATCCAGCCGCGGAAACTGCACTGTAGCATTTATACTGCTCGCGGCGCATTGAACGTAGATGATAGGCTGTGTAGTAACAATAGTGTGAACAATATCTTGGTAAAAACAGTATCCAGCATTTCCCGCGAGACACTGGTGTTGATTTGCCATGAACCAGTATCTTGAGATCTGAGAGAGAGCGTCGGAAATTGCAGCTGATGGTACTGTCGCGATGGTCAACTCAGGGTGATATATGAACGGTCCTCTGAACCTCGTCGCCATGGTTCGCATCGAATGTCGTCCGGCAATGAGCGCTTTTTCTGGGATCACATTTGGGAGGCTGTTATTGTCAGCCGAGCCGAATGAGGTAGTCGGCCACAAAGATAGTTGGCCATCAGCGAGGACATTGTAATTGAGCGAGAAGCACGAATGACTTGTCGATGAGTCACATGGCAAACCTGACAATTCCATATTATTCAGGGCCAGCGGCCAGAGATCTTGAGATGTTGCGTTGAGCCAGAACTCCGTACCTCCGGCCGGCCAAGCTTGGAGAACAGGTCTGGATGCCGTAGCTGCTGATGGCCCAATGGTAGCACCAAGCATGGTAAAAGTAACAATGGTTCCAATCAGAAATGCTTTGATTTTGGGAGATGAAAAGTGTGTAGATCTGCAGGTAGCAAAAAACTCTTTCGACCAGAGCAAAGATAAGTTGGTAAAATCAAACCCAGCTGTTAGAGTTCCGAAAGGTAAGGAATACCAGATTAGCTGGGCACGTAGTATGGCAAACAGGATAACGGAGAGTGAGGCCATAGCCAGCAGCTCAAGCATTTTTGCAGCAAATTGCAAACCCAAAAACCTGAGTCCATCCTCTCCTATTGGCCCTTGAAGTTCGCTTCCTATATAATAACCCTTCAAGTTGAAAATTATGAGTATGATTGAAGCAGAAGTCGGAACGATATGTAGGATTGAAACAAGAGAGGCAGAGCGTAGGCTAGCGATTATAGCGATCTTCTTTTCTTCGATATGTTGAGCTCCTCCAATTTCTTGAAGAAGTAGATACACGGATCCTAGTCGAAGAGCGGTTGCAAGCTTGCTGAGACGAGTCGAAGGCGTCCGATCGTTCTGATCATCTTTTTCTTCTTTTAAGGATTCTTGAGTATCTGCCGACTCACTGTTTATTTATCAGTACACGACCCACAATGCTCAAGCCCACCCAGCGGAATTACCTGCTCGCAATCGCAACAAATGCGGGCGCCTTAGCCCCATCCTTCACCTGTTGAATAGGCCAAGTCCAAGCAGATCGTAGCGCCATACACTCGAAACAATGCGAGCCCTAGGCGACAAATAATTATCCTGGAAGACTTTTGTAGATGCTGGTATTGGACGCAGATTTAAAGAAATATATTGCTCTTTAGTCAAGCTCTGACGAGCGTACTTAGGTATGCTTTCATTGCAATGATCGAAGAGACAAAGATTCAGCCAACGTTTGTCAGAGTGAAGGAGGCAGCCTGATGTTTCACTATGAATCTTGGAAACAGGGTTGTTTTCCCTTTCATGCAGGTGGTGTGTAGCGCGCGGCTGCAGGCAACCTCCCGACGTGGGGGTTCTAGGGTATCATTTTGGGCCTCAGGCGACTGCCTTAGACCCATGAACTCAGTTCAGGCAACTTAATCTTCAGGTTCGCTTGGACTAAGGTTTTGACCCGTTCCCTTCTTAAGAAGCGCATAATAATCCGAAAGACTGTCCCTCTTACAACTGTCTTCATGATCAAAATATTTCTCTCCTCTCCGGATCTTGCATTCATATTTGATTCGTGCGATATTTAAGCATATTTTGAAAGCAGTGCAGAACGCACTAACTTTTACCAAACAATATTTCTGAACCTCCGAGGTATCTTGAAATGATAGTATTGACATTCGCCGAGATTGGTGAAGAACAATGCATACTTGAGCGAAAGAAGTAAATTAAATCTCGAGTTGTGGTACCAACAGGAGATACTGCTGTGGGGTGAATTGCGGGGTGCATGATATTCTCCCAGGATGTACTAGTTTTATATCAGTTGACAACTTGCTAGCCAAGAGGCCGAGGCTTACATTATCGTCAGCTCGAGGGCTTCTTTTTCGCACCAAACATGAGCTGAAGAAATTGTCAGGAGGCATGTCGAAGGTAACATTGGCATGAGGAAAGGTTTCAAGTAAAAAGATCCTTCGGGGATTTGAAAGAATACAAGGAAAAGGTAATTCTTTCACCTCGGCCCTCACAACTCAGGATTTTCTATAAGAACTTGCAGTATCTCAAGCATTATGGAATTCTTCACCAGACAGAGACACTGCCCTTTCAGCTTGTTGCTTCAGAAGATCCCTCCCTCATTTTCAATAACCATCAGCTCTCCGCCTTTTCAAAAACTCCAAAATGAAGTTCCAGTCGTTGGCTATTGCTGCTTTCATCTGCACCGTCGCAGCAACGCCGGTCCCCAACCGATTGGAAGCACGCCAAACTGATGAGTCTGATGAGTTGGTGAACGGAGCTTGCAAAGCGGTGACTTTCATCTTCGCTCGTGGTTCCACTGAATCTGGTAACATGGTAAGCCACGTCTCATACCACTTGAAAATATCTCCAGAATTGACCGAATTAGGGAACAATCGTTGGCCCCCAAGTATGCTCTGACTTGAAGACTACCCTTGGTGCAGATGTTGTTGCTTGCCAGGGCGTCGGATCGCCATATGATGCTACGTTGGCAGACAACTTCTTGCCTCAGAACACCAGTCCCACCGATATTGGAGCAGCGACCACTCTCTTCGACTTGGCAAATTCCAAGTGCCCAGACACCAAGATTGTAGCTGGTGGATACAGGTTCGTGGATTATTTCCCGTTTTCTAGCTCTTTAAACAGTAGTGCTAACCATCCTGGTACTTAGTCAAGGAACGGCAGTCATGGATGGATCTATCCAAGCCCTCCCTGCTGCTATCATGTCTCAAGTCAAAGGTGTCGTTCTCTTCGGCTTTACACGTAACGCGCAGGATGGTGGTAGGATCCCAAATTATCCCACCAGCCAGACTAAGGTCTACTGTGCGGTTGGCGATTTGGTTTGTGATGACAGTCTGGTTATTACGGCCGCACATTTGACTTATGGTGTCGATGCACCAGACGCTGCTTCTTTCCTTTCTGGGCTGGTGCAGTAAGCTCATAAAAGAGTGCTCCGACTCAGCTACTAGAGCTGGTCAAAAATCATGGGTCGAGGTGACTTGTGGAAAGGGGTTGAGGTGGCTGGCTTGGTGACTTCTTTGCGCTGGTTCGCTCTCTTTTCGGTTGCTCGAGAAACACTTTCAAATTGAATCACAAATTTGTTGTTTCAGCCAAAGTTGAATATGAACTGTGAGATCGAGGGTTGTGATTACAGCACTTAAGTTGTTGGAAAGACACTGAAAAAGCAAAGAGAAAAGACACTCCTAACATCCTTAGGATATAATTTCCATTGTGCACGTCTGAGCCGAAATTCAATGTTCATTCTACTTAATATACCCTTTTATCTCCAGAACCATTGCCCCTTGAACTTGAACGATTCTTTCTCGGGTATCATCATCGTAGACTCAGGATAACGCCATTTCCATTACACATTGTCAACTTGATACTCTCCAACCAAGGTCTCTCGTCTCTGCTCTCGATGGCCTTAAATTCTTGAAAAAGTCTTATCAAAGTATAAGAGATCTGGGTTAGAACTAAACCCTGACCAGGACATGTCCTGGGACCGCTGCAAAAGCGAGATAGTCAGCAAAGCCAAGGTGATGATGAGGTCACGTGGTCTTACCCTCCGAATGCTTGATAATGCCATCCATGTCTTTGAGTCTCCCATCTCTCTGGTTTGAAATCGTCTGCATCTTCACCCCAAGTCTCTTTATCTCGGTGAAGTATGTAAGAATTTGTGCCATAGATCATTCCTTTCTCCACAAAAACCGGGTCTTTACCATGCGGTCCTCCTCCTCGTGGTAGAATGGTGTCTTTCAATGCCACTCTACTATTGTTGGGTGCAAGTGGTAAAACACGCAGACCTAACAGCGTTAGCGATTGCATCGTCTGAAGCGATTGAGTGGCACATACTTTCGTTGATGACTTTCCGGAGATATTTCATGCTCTTGAGCACCTCAAACGTTGGGATTTGCGCATTTATAGTGGAAATCTCCTCTCGGAGAGTCCTTTGCACGTCTGGATGTCGAGACAACAGAAAAAGCGTATTGCTGATGATGATAGCAGCGCCATCTTCGGCAGCTTGCAAGATGTTCAGAATTTGTGAACGAATGAGTTTCCTGTCATCTGTTTCTTTCGCCAATTCGTTCAAGAGAACGAGTGGCTGAGGTTCCTGCGAAGAAGATTTCCTAGTAGCCACAGTATTGAAGTAGGCATCGATGCGTTCGTCGACATACTTATGCGCTATCTGGCAAGCTTTATCGAAGTTCTTGTCTCTAAGAAAGAAGCGTAGTTTTCCGAGCAGGAATCGCTTTCCAACGCCAGCATCTGCGTCTGATAGAGCTCCTAGAAACTTCTTGTGGTCCACTGACGAGTTCTCCGTAAGTGTTCCCACTGATTCTCCCAATATAAACTCGGTCACAATGTCCGTACCCTACAGGTATTAGCGTGCATTTGGAACATTGCTCAATCGCATACCAGGCGCTCAAGAAGCGGTTGTACATCTACCGCACTACCATCTCTTGGTAATAATGGTAAAAAGTTCTGGAAATGATATTCCAATCTGCTCAGATCGCTAAACTGCGCTTTACCCAAGATGGGCTTTACTTGGGCTCGCGCATGCGCCCAAAACTGGCCGTCAGTAGTGAAGACTCCAGGACCCATGTACGGTGCCACGGCAGGGAGCCTCAGCGGTTCCAACCCCCAGCTTTCGAAGTCGTGTACCATAACCCACTGGATATTCATAGGATCAATTGTGAAAATAAATTCTTTCCCGAAGTTCGTAACTTGCCAAGTCCGATCGTACTTGTTGAAAAGGTCGCGCGTAAATTCCATGCGGCGATGATCAAGGGATGCTTTCATGGATTTGATGAAGAAGTCCAACCCAAATGGACCCTTTTGCTTATGACGAGGGGCTGGCTTGCAGCCTCTCGAGGAGGCCAGGAGGTACCGGCGCCATCTCTTGGATATATAATTAAAGAAGAAGATAATCAGAGGAAAGGCAACGAGCGCCCAGGCAACTTCAAGTGAACGATTCATCTTTGAACTTCTTGACAGAATTCCGGCTGCAAGCAAAAGCTAATTTCTAAGCTATCTTCCCACTTGGCAGTACTCTCATTGATCACACTCGTACTCTAGGAGCCGATGCTTAAGCTAAGAACAGGAAAATAAAATTTCATTCTGAACAACATTTAAGAAATGCTGTTCAAGTCTGCTTACGAGGCTAGAGCCAAAGAACTCTTAGCTCTGGTTGACGCAGAGTGAGAATTTAGCTGGAGCTTAAGTCAAAATTATTGGCTGCTGGAGCCGAGCCGCACAGACACCCCCTATTTCAGATCCTGCTTATCCTCTTTCTTTCCAGATCCATAGTTGGAGAAACAGCATGTGAGATCACTGCTACTGACTGCAGCAAATAATCACTCTAGATACTTCCTATGGTAATATATCACGAGAGCTGATTTTGAAACTCGTTCGAATCCGTTGCCTTTTCCCCGGTGCGACTTGTGTTTTCTATCAGAAAATCGGCGTGTCATGCAAAGATCAATGATCTCACTGGATGATCTTATCTTGTCATCGTAGCATCGATCGACAAGTGGGTGTTTCATGGGTACGTCTTGGCCGTTGATGTTAGTAACACATGCGGGGCGAGATTCGGATAAACTCTGGATACTGAGAGACACATCTGATCTCATTCGAGAGCATTGTAAGCCTTTTGTGCTACCTTCATATATCGTTGGGACATCATGTAGCACCATGGCTCGGACGGATTTTCTGCCCCACGCATATCTCGTTCGGCAGCAGAGTCGAAGATCAAATCGAGGTATCTTCTTTGCAAACAGCGTGACCCGAGAACACTTTGAAGTTGCTGCATGCCAAGGCTTGGGTAAAGTGAGTAATCAATGATCAATATGATCTTATGCTATGATAGTACTCGCAATCATGAAAGCCACTCGGAAAGTATGTAGTACATATTTCTAGGCGAGAACTCGAAGTCACACAGATGTCACGAAACCTACTCGAACTGGCATGATCAAATATGCATCTCGCCTAACTTGAGACTCCGGGTGGGAGAAGGTCAATGGATACTGCTGTCTAAATCAATTGTGTTACTATAGCTAGTGATGGCGACTAGGCCGCCTCAGCGGGCTCGCTGTGGCAATCCGGACGCTTCCGAAGTACGAAGTACATAAAGACCGGTGCCTCCATGAGGTTCTTCAGCTTTCAGAAACCAATGGCAACTGTAGCAACAAGAAATCACGAATGGACTTATTGGTTGAAAATATGTTATCCAACGCTTGATTCTCCTCCACCATCTCCTGACAGACCTCGTCCTTCGAAAATGATTGTCAATGCTCGAGGGAAAGCTTCATATAGATGGCTGTTGACTGATGCTGAACGCAAGCACATTGCTGCTTTACTCGACATTCAAGGTACGTATATCTTTCTCATGCAAAGCCACACCTGCAAGACTTCTTTCAGAAAACTGACTATTGACGCTGTTCTGATAGTTGGCGACCTTGCTATTCGAGGAACCACAATGAACCGAGAACGTCAAATCTGCAAAGTCTGTGGAAAGGCATCTGGGTTAGATGACATCGTTAAAGACTCTTTGGACTCGGGTACTCATACAAAAGAATACGTCATAAATGCTCTTCGACTTGGACCAAAGCACGAAACCACATCATTGTACGATATATACTGTTCCGATTGTGGGGAGAAGCATGTGTACAAGGCTGGATGGGCGGTGTACGATTTCAGTTGGTTATATTGAGCATTTTGAGTGGCACTCCGGAGAACGTCTCATATCAAGCGTGTGAATCTCTTGGACTTCGATATTTGTCGTAATTAATACTGAAATCTATCGTTTTCTGTGACTGCTTTCTGGCGATGCATGTCATTACACCTCGCAAAGATGTATCATTGTCAAATTGGTACAATTGAACAAAGGATCTCATCGAAGAATGTTCCATCTACCAAATCTATCCCATAGCTACTCGTGAAAGCCTAAAGATCAAATATTGCTCCGCGTGTCACAGTTCGGTGTGGAACGCTCCCGTCCCGCCTCCCGCCCCTCCCCTTTTTGCGAAAAGTCCTTTGCTTATTGATCTTAACACTTTCCTTTCATTTTTCCACTTTCAATCGGCAATCTACGTATTATTGAACAATTCCACATTGAGAATGAGGGTTTCTCTTGAAAGTATCCAAGATCAATAGGATAACCTTTTTTGTGGCGAGCAAACATATGCCTTGACGCTTGCTTATATGATTGCACCCACAATTGTACACACTAGAGCTGTAAGACGGAGCACTTTTTCGGAATCTATAATTGGACTTTAGAACGTTGATGGTACTCCATTTCCGTTCCTTGAATGGCAGTCTTGGAAAGCTGTAACTGAATAATTGAGAACATGCATACGATCTCGTCATTGGTCGGCACGAGTTTCAATATCCTTCGCGCTTCAAGTATTCAGCCAAAAGATACGAAACACTATCTACGTACTCCACCAGAACAAATTTGTCTTATCTACGGACAATTTCCTTGCAGAACGCCATCATTCTATCATTCCACCACAATTCGACTCGTTAGAAAGAACTGAAATCGGGATGTAGTCTACAGAATGGCATCTCACCAGTACAAGACCTCATCTACACCTCTCTCCACCATCTCAAGCAGGCCAAACGAATTGCCGGCACGAGAACGACCACGATCAAGTCGGCGCGGGGCATATTGCAAAACCAAACTCTTCGGTATCCCCGTCTACTTCCTCTGGACACTTCTCCTGATTGCCATTCTGGCACTCGTGATTCCCATCGCCGTCATGTTCGGAAGAAAGAGTCGCAAGCCACCCAAAGCCACCGTCCTCGTACCTCTCTACATCTATCCCGACCCCTTAGCCTGGGATCCCTTGTTCGCAGCGTCAGTGCTCTCTCCCCTTTCAAATTCTGACTAACAATAGCAAAAACAGCGTCGCGAACAATTCAGCTGTGAATTTCACAGTAATAATCAACCCAAACAGTGGGCCGGGCGTTCCTGGTTTAGACGCAAACTACACGCGCGACATACCCCGCCTCAACGCCTACCCCAATGTTCTGACCGTTGGCTACGTATCGACAAACTACACGAACCGGGACCTCTCCCTAATATTTGACGATATTGACACCTATGTCTCTTGGTCCCAAAACGTCAGTACGAAGGGATTGGGAATGCGGGGCATTTTCCTAGACGAGACGCCGAATCAGTGGACGCCTGCTGCTGGGCAATTTTACGACAGTATTGCTACAGTCATTCGCTCTTCGACCGGATTGGGAGCGGATCCTTTGGTGAGTACTTTTTATCTTTCTTGTTGTGGAAATGGAGGTTTGGATTCAGGCAATTGAGGTCCTTCCGAAGGGTAATATATAGGGGCTAAAAAGAACTCGCTTAACCCCTATCCTTGACCCCGCAATTCTGGTGTACTAGCACTAATGTTCTTGACATGAACAGATAATCCACAACCCGGGCTCGATTCCAGATCCCCAGTTTTTGACGTCGTCATCAGCTAATGTTACAGTCGTTTTTGAGGGTAGTTATACTAGCTACCAGCAATACTCCTCCTCGAAGTCCATTGGGGCCGTGCAGAAGAGTGCAAAGGTGAAGAGAGAGCAGTTGGCGGCGATTGTCTATGACTTCCCGGATGGAGAAGATACCAAGGGATTCTTGGAAGATCTGAGGAGGAGAGTCGGAAATTTGTTTATCACTGGAGATGGAGTAGATGGCGATGTTTATGCGGGATGGTGGGACGAATGGGAAGGCTGGGTGGGGAATATGAGTACTTTGTGATTGTTCTCCTAGATGATGAAATAATGAGGTTTTCTTTGTCGTACAGAATGGCGTATTAGTTAGGTACCTCATCAGAAATCTTACCACATACAATGAGTTGAATATTGAAACGGTACCTGCAGAAACCATGCCGGCAAACAACGTTACACCTTCATCTAACAGAAAAGCTTGTTTCATCCGACTTAATATCCACCCCAGATGGAGTCTGGGGTACGTATCCACAGCGACTCATTGCGCCAAACGCGAGATTACTTTCGTCACCAGCTACACAACTAGAGCCAGGAACTTCGCACCTATTTACCATCCAAAGCAGGCCCCTTGCCCCTAATCCTCTTATGGAAATGATCAAGCTTTTTCAATTTGGAGGGAAAAGCGGAAGGCTCTTCCACTTGCCAAGAATACCCGCTCCGCTTCCGGAATAGTAGTCGGCATATGTAGTTGTGTGCGCTTGCTTGGGTAGACGCGGCCTCCAGGTTCTGAAAGCGGAAACGGTAAAGGAACGCAGAAGCGAAAACGAGGTGGGGCGTAAGGTTGAGATGGTATTCGGCCTCTTCCAGGGTCAATGCAGATTAGATCTTGTGGTCTGAAGATTTTACCATCTTCAAACAACTTTGTCCATTATTGAGCTTAGTCGCCGTGGCTGTGAGAATTATGACGCGAAGGCGTGTGTATACAGTATGATGTTGTAAAGTGGAAAGAGCTTTCTTTGAAAACATTAGGGAATAGGAAATCAGCGGACAGAAGCTCGAGAGAAACTCTAATGGACAAATACACATTGATTATCTGTTGACTAGCAATACTCCACCCAATTATCCAAATCCATCAACTTAACCACAGTCGAAAATCCCACTGCAGCCGTATTATTACAAATCCCATCCAATGTAGTGGTGCTGATATCTGGGGCCGAACTTGGATACTCAATCCTGAAGACTGGTTTCCCAGCATCAAGAAACTGCTGGAAGTCCTCGCATTCATCGTATTGTCCACACTGTTCATTCACCTCCCACTGTAGCATGTCAAGAGTCGCATTCACAATTCCACCCGCATTCTTCAGTCCAATCGACATGTTGCGACTATGCGCTTCGACAGCAAGAAAGGTAAGGTAGTTGATTGCAGTATCTTCGGTGAGGTCGAGCCCAGTATCATTGTCGTAGCCATCGACATTATCGGGATCAACGCCATCGCAACCTTTGCTTGCTGCCAATGCGATTCTTGCCCTCATGATATTGCGGACGTTAGAGGAGTTTGTGTTCAACCACCATTCTCCTGGCCATCCGTCCAACGGCTTTGCATAGTCATCTTTGGTGAAATTCCCCGAGTCTGGTCGGAAGTCCTCATAGCTTCCTGCAGAGAAGTAGCATATGACACTTCTGTTCATAGCATGGAGGCTGTCAATCGTTGAGGCAGGGTTGGTGAAAAGGTCAATGTCGTAGACGGGGACATCGATCGATGTGTCGTTAAGTGCGTATTCAAGCACGATCTGCCACGGTGTTCCCGCTGTGGGTTTCCAGAAAGTTCCTGTCGTTGCGTTGGTGATGTTTCCAAGAGGTGGAGAGGGTTCTGTTGAAGCAGATCCATCCTGTTCATGGCTTCGTGTCAAACCGACTCCAAGACCGACTCCTAGGCCGATTGTGACGACGAGGAGGAACACGCATATGGCTATCCAGAATCGTTTCGTTCGCCGCGATAAACGCGATGAAGGTGGTGTGCCTGTAGCGTTCCCCTCCTTAACGGGATCAACATGTCGTGTTGAAATCCACGAAGGAGACATTGAGAGCGGGGTCGTAAATGTTTCGTTCCTGTCGATCTGTGGTATTGTGGGGTAATGTTTCGTCAATCCAAGAAGAACTCGAAAGCTTTTATTTTTGACCTGAGGCTAAGAGAGGTTGGACGTTACACGTCTGAATCAAGCAAACCAAATTTCAAGGCCTCATCCGAAGCTGAAAAGTAACAAAGAATGACAATACTATTCTCAGCAAACGTGAGAATCATGAGCGAGTGCGAGATACTGATATCACGACAGTGCCGCCACAACTAGTGACTTTACGTAAACTTCAGCTGGACAGCCTCCAAACAATTCCAAACAAAAGAAAGACGACAAGACGAGGGAATTTTCGAGGCTACTTGATGCGAAAATTCTCTCGAGCACGGCAGTCTTCACAACCCTTGAACTAGGCTACAGGCACAAGAACAAAGGGCGTATGAGAAGGCTGATGCCACGCTGCAATATCGGCATGCATGCAATGAAGACCTGGCTGTGCCCCAACCTCGCTATCATCCAATGGCTTTCAGCCTGCTTTGAAATTTGATCGTTGCACAGCCGCACTCGCATAAGGCTGAGTTGGCATATTTTCACCTCGTCGATAGCTTCGGTGCAGCGGAAAGATGAATTCCTGAAAGAACAATAAGACTCTCAAAATCTTGCATTCGAAGATATGTGTAGTAATGTAAGGGTATCAAATCTGCGCATTGATTGCGGAGAGCATGAACACCATCGTGCATGCAGGAATCAGGAGATGAAAGATGTGAGAAAGGAGATTTACCCGGTTGGAGCCGGAAGATCACATAGTTCGTCTGTCGGCAAATTTTGGGGCTGCCGCTTTTACAAAAAGCAATGTCGGAAGACTTTCCGAAGTGACTGGAAATGGACTTTTGCTAACCACTAAAACTGTCACAAGGGGCACAAAGTGCATTTATCCAGATTGAAGAGACCGAGATTTGAGAACTCGCTATGCTATTACTAAAATGAATTATTCTTGAGAGTGAAATCTTTAATCCATACACGTGATGCCCCGTGATTTAACTCCACCTCATGCTTTTGGTGTCCTATGCAGAAAGAGATCATATGGCGATTCTTACAAGGGAATAGCCTCAGTTAATGTGAAGCCGACTGGAGACCCAGCCATTTTGACCCAAACTAGAATCAAGATCAGTACTTCGCTGGACATTAGGGCGCGAGGCAGGAGACTTACTAGTCAAGGGATCAGAACCAAGTTGCTCAGTTGTGAATCCTTTAGTACTGGTGACATTTCCTGGGACTGTGATAGGAATCTCTGCTGCACAGGTATTGCCTGTAGTAGTCAAAGTGACGCCTGTTATTGTCTGCTTGGTAGGGTTTGTTTTCCATGTGAGTTGAGGCGCACATGCGTCTCTGGCCATGCGAGTAGCAAAACCGGTTGCCATCTGTCAGGTCATTAGAGAGATGTTAATAGCATTATCATGATTTCGATACTTACATCGTCGTGTTTTTGCGAGACAATGGGCCAATCAACACTAAAAGACGTATCATTGGATGAGAAATCGATGCAGGTAACGGTCAACTCACAGTCTAATCATTTCTTGAACAACGGTCTCCATCCAGGCTTGGAGTAAAGAGTACTGATCTGTTACTCCGTTGATCGTGGTGTCTGGAGCTGTGAGGTAGTTCAAATTTGCTTGATGAAACATGAAGGCATCGTGATGAAGGCCAAGCAGATGACGGGTGTTAGTTTGCTTCTCAATTCCCAAAAGCGTGTACCAATCACCGTCTCCAGCAGAGGTGTTGATCCATTCCAATACAGTGCAAGGAGGTAGTTGACAATTATAGTAGATGTTTGTTGCCCAACGAGGGCTTATTTGCACTCCAGCATATCCATTCTCTGCAACCGTGGACATGAGAGGCCACATCTCATTAATCTAGAGACTGTCAGTAATCGTACATGCAGCCAAGAGATATAATTTCGTACCGAGTTCATCAGAACAGGTCGTGTATTGTCACCAACAACATTCGAAATACCATTATCGAGCCAAGCTTTGAGAGCATCGCCATTATGGAGACCAGTGATCGCTGGTGGAATGATGCCTTTAGGACTGAATCTGTCGGCTGCTGCGATACCAACTTGCGTGAGCCAAGCTTGGTTCCAAGAAATTTCGCGAGAGCAGTCGAAGTAGGTTGCATTGTCCTGGTCTTCGTGTGTAAATGTATGCGAGACATGGGCAAACGCGTTTCTATTGATAAATCAGTATACATTCTTGGTAGAAATTTGGAAGTCGAGGAGCTCTCGTCCTGGGAGTTGAAACACATGTCCTTTGATGAACAGCTCTCGAAATTTTAGTCCCGAAGATCTCGACTCTTAAATTGAAAGCAAAACAAGGCCAATTACAAATTATCTGAATCCGACCACCATAATTTCAGTGCATCCAAGTTAGTGCAGGAGGCATTGAACGGGTATTTCTCTGCTGTAGATGGCCATAGATTGGTGCCCGTACCAAGAGGTTTGGCAAATTCCAGTGGTGTGTCGATTTGGTCGCCATATTCAATGGATCCAGGGTTACACAGGTTGTCGTTGTCAGTGTCCTCTGCGTCCTGGAGGATATTAGATAAAAAGCGCCAAAAGAAGGAAACAGCTAGAATATGTGCCTGTATCCAGTTGAATGGCGCTCGTAGTCCACGTGATCCCAACATATGAAATATTCCAGGTAACAGCAAGAAGGTGGACTTACTTCGATATTACCATTGCCATTGTGGCCAATGTCAAGGAACCAATCACTCCCATCGGGCATTCTCGAATTGATGTCTTCCATCCACGTGACATGTTGAGCCAGATCGGCTGGGGTGATCTGGTATGTGGTGCCATTGGGACTGTAGATGTCTGACTCAAGGAACATATCATCAACTGCAATTATATTAGATCCTGTGAATGCATCATGCGGCAAGAGACAGACCCTGTGTATTCAAAGTGCAGCGACGATAGCCGGTGTCTGTTTAACCGTCAGTAAAGTATGAGAGTCTTGGCACGGAACACATACATAAACCTCTTGTCGCCCAGTGAATCCATGCGTGTTGAAGGAAGTTGGATGTTGGGCTCCAGTCCGTTGCGAAACTGGTGAAAAATACCATCTAATAGTGATGAGCTTCGTTCATGCATCCAAGAAAAGATTTACCTGTTGTCTGCCATCAATTTTGTTAATTACTGCGGCAGTGGAACTGTCATCGAAACCGTCTATTGGCGCGAATTGAGCAAATTCAGTGGCTATGGTAGTATTGGTGATTGTTGCTGGATAATGCCATAGACCTAGAGTGCTGACACCTTCTCCAGTTTTGAGCCCAGCGGTCGGGAAAGCATCGCTATCCGTGATAATCACATATTGCTCCACACCGCTATCACAGCACCCTCCGAGGGATGTGGTGCCAGAACTTATTGATGGATAAACATCCAATCTCACCATTCGAACACCGAAGGATACTTGATACTGGTAGAGGGCGTCCCATTGAGACGTATTGAGGGCGCTTTGAAATCCGAGCGTTCCTCCATAATCGTAACTAACTTCCGAGAGTACAACGATAGCTCCAAAGTTGCCATGGGTAGCAGTACTGTTGAGAGCAGGAAGTGTTACACTAGATTGAGGCACCGCAACAAGTTGGTACGGAATCGCGTATGCATTGAGTCCAGAGTATGCAGAATAACCCGATACAGAATCGCGAACCAAGACCAAGACTGTAGAAGAGACAGTGTGAGATGACGCATTTTTAGCACTGGGCGTGGTGATATCAGAAATTGCTGCTCCAGCTGCAGTTGTATTGAGTTGAACGGTGATACCGTTCACTGGACAAAGTTAGCAGGTTTCCTCCTTCTCAGAAGATGATCGCTTACCAGTTGCAGGTTTTGTGGCTACTACTGGGGCAGCTTGGCGGACAACCGTTTGTTGGTTTGTGCCAACATGTTCAGGGGCAACAACGTGGGAAGGGATTGCAATGACAGCTGGGGTACAAAGTGCCAAGAGGCCGACTAAGGAGAGTACAGAGAACATTTTGGAGATTCTGGTAATCCAGGAGAGTTCTCGAGAACTGAGAATGACTTGCTGAAACGATGGAACTTCTCTCGGGAGAGCATACTTTAAACGGAACAACAATGAGCACGAAAAGGCATATGGGGACGATGACGACGCCACATGGACTGATTCGTATGCGACAGTTCAATACCTGGGTCTGATTCCGAGCCTAGAAAGTCATAAAAAAAACTTTATACGAAGCGGGATAGTGTTCCGGAAAGACACTGCATGGGCTAAGCACTCGCCATCTGTGTTTGTTTGCGGGGGAACGGCCAAAAGAGCAGTAAGGAAACATGGGACAAGTGGTTTCTTCTGAACCAGAGAGTACGAATCATGAAAACAACGTAACTTCAGTTGCCATCAAGAATTATCTTTTTGTGTGTTATATTCGCCTCAGCCTTCTCTTGGCAAGGCTCAAGAACAAGTCGAGCTCCATGTAGCCCAAGATATGAAAAAGTACCAGGGTTGGTTGCATGGGACAGGAAAATTAATATCGCGCTCCGCATTCCGGCTTCATGCTACATAAAATATATTGCGTTGATGTCCCGGAACGTCAGCATGCGAGCGGCGACGAGGTTGATGCGGAGGAAAGTGAAGAAGATCCAAAGGCAGCGAGGATCCTCCTCATTTAGCCGATCGTTAGCGCGCATCACGTGCTGCCTGCGTTACAGAACCGCGTCGTCTCATTTCCACATGCGTCAGGGCTCACAGAAATGCAACAATCCAACGGGAACACGTAGCTCTTACAGTACCAATATATACGAACGATACAATGGTCTCAAGTCCATAGACCCACGACATTATCGGCAAAATCGGCACTCTTCCAACGTGGTCGATCTGCAATGTCCCCGGTTGAGATCCCATGCACCGCGCCCATGTTCCATATAGGTACATAGGTATTGCGTGGGCCCTCATTGGGCTGATTCATGGCGGATCACTGTCGCCACATTTCTCTCGCTGCATGTGCAATGCGTGGTCCTAATGGCCTCTTCGAAAAGCCTATCTAACTGTTAAGTCTCCGCAGTCAGCGACCTATATGTCTGATCTGATAACGCATAGCTGAAACAATATTCATTTGTTCTAGAAGATTAGCTTTCCAGTATTTTGCTTCCTGCGGCTGGCATCCGAGCCCGTTCCAAATGCCTGTCTCAAGGTTCGGAGTATTTAGCTGGGCTGCAGATGCCTCCGTATCTAGTTTAGTGATCAGGTGACTGGGCGGAGTTGCCAGCCATGACATGAGCAAAGCTCACTGTTGATAACGAGCTTTGATTAACAAATCTTATACTTGGCACCGTATCGAGATGCTTACTGCTGAGATTGTAACTGTCTCTTTCGTTCAATATTCAATATTGCTCGCTTCAGCATGAAATTGTTGACCTTCGTTCCGAGTGGAAATGGTTTATATAAGTGGCGTTCATGCTGAGAAATGGTCTCAACTACATCAACACTGGTGGCAATTGGTAAAAAACCATTCCCCCGAAAAGGTTGTGCTAACTGAAAACAAAACAGGCTCTCGTTTTGCTTTGTTTTGTATCCATACTACTGGGATTTGGAGTACTTGCGTATAAAATCGTAAAGAATTTATACATATTTTCCACGTTGAAGGTTGGCGAGATCAATTTCGTCTTTGAAATTGTGGCTAAGACTGTTTACAGGGACTTGAATCTCACAAACTTCAAGCGAGAGTGTCAAACCATCTTCAAAAATATGCTGCTTCAGGCTCTATAAAAAGTAGTCAAAAGCGCGTTTATGTGCCGCCCAAATCTCTGAGCGTTTACTTAGGCTCATTCAGTAATCCGGTTTCCTTGGCTCAACTTACGTTGCTTTCGAGATCGGACACGATAATCTTAGATCCACAGCAGCAGAATGTAACAGTTGCTTTTATAGCCCTGAAGGAGCAGCTACACACGCCTAGAGACATAATTGGTCGACTCGACCTAGGACCATCGCGCAACTGGCCCACGGGACTGACAGGCTTCGAGACTGATCAATTGTTTTGTCTTGATCGATGTGTAAGATTTATTCTCAAATGGTATAGAGATCCGAAAGGAGCCAGTAATTGCTTCACTGGTGTGCTTCTTGCTGGCTGGGAGGTATTTTCTCGGCCAGTCCTCCACGAATTATCTGATGTGATTGGGACTTTCGGCTTGACTGTATATTTAGAAATATCAGAGCCCAACTTTCTGGAAGAACCGACCATTCTTGCGACGGACTCGATAGCGGGACTCGTCATTCGTAATGGACTTATTTTTGCCAATGGAGAGAGGCAGGATTGCTTCAAGATGGATTCTTTGAGCACGACGGTTAAGGCATTCGTTTCGCAAGCATGTCTACGAGATTTTAATGTGTTTCTGTGGGAGACATACGACGATAATGCAAGCCCGTCGAATGCAGTTCTACAACGCACCTTTGCCTGGTGCAATTTCTACAGCGTGGTACCATGGATTGGTTGCCGTACTTCTCTTATGGATCTATCCACGGATCCGGTTTTGTATGAACCAATGAAGGCCTTTACCTGGCTGAAAGATCCAGAAGTTGTAAAACTTCAAGATGCTTGGAAGAATAGAAACGTGGTGAGCGATTCATGCTATCACTTTGCATGTACGGTACTGACGCTCCAGAAGGTTCAGACTTCAGGCCACTATAACTTTGACTCGAAGCGGCTCAATGAAATCATCCCGAGTCTCGAGACGGCAATGAATGAGTGCTCTTGCAATCATCCTCTAGCAAAAGGAAAATCAGCTGTCCACTTCGCTATACCTAAGGATGCAAACTGGTTTACCAGTAACATCTCAACAGGAGATGCGATCGGAGTTTCCAGCACAGGCGAAGGTTATGACGCCCTTGGGTGCTTCCCACTTGGAGTAGAGGTGTCAGCTGAAGACTTTCGAGACGTTGTCTCGGTACAGAATCACTTGCAGAGTCTTGGAGTTTTAGATATGGTTTCCTCCTTGGACTTACACAAATTGGGTTCTGTATTCGCGAACTTCTACTCTGCAAATAGACTTTCCAGCTCAACACAGCCTGCATCGTCATTGGTTCGGGAAGCAGTCCTGGACCTTGCAACGATTCTTGCATCCTCAACTCACGACGATATTGGAGAAATTCGATTGTCCTTAGGGCTCCAATCTGGCTTCAGTAGGACGGCTAAACGATATTTCTGGGCGGTATACCATGTCCATCCCTCTCGCACTCTTGTGGACATTTATATTTCCAAGGATGTTGTCGATCTACCAGCTGCTCTATTGCACACCTTCCTGTCATCTCGAGGCATCAGTCGACGCGAATGCTTGGCGGCCGAAACTGCATTTGCAGTATGGAACCACAGTGCCCATCCAACACACGAAATCTCTCCACGCCTTGCTCAAGATCTCCGAGCTCTCACCCCCGAAGACGCTCTTGCTTTACTACAGCGGCTGTCTTTCAATCCGAGTCACAAGATTGACCCTCTCATAAACACAATGAAGTCCATGATCACGAAAAGTCTGTTGGACATTCCTACTTGGAATCAGCTCCAGACTATTAGCTCAGTAAAGTACTTGAACGGAGACATAACAATTGGAGAATTGCTCAGATCCAGGCTCGCATGGCACTGCCAAGCCAAGAATCCGCATCCAAATCTTGGGGTCGCGATTGCACTGTCTATGGAGATCCAAGAGGCCCTTGTGCAAGCGCTGAGACACAGAGACCGTAACAACATTCAGACGATTGTCGAAGCAGTGGGAAACATGCTTGAATTTTCGTCAACAAGCGCAGTCGGAGGCCTCCTCGCGCTAGCATTTTTTTGCACAATGAAGAAGCTTGCCTTCGAAGAAGTCTATTTTGAAGTCACTGACAGAAACCCTTTGTTCAACGATCAAGCGGACCAGTCTGCTGCCTTTGCAGAGCTCTTTGCTCTAGGATCTAGGTGTGAATCCTACTTCGACGTCACTCCAAGTCAGTTTGGAGAACTTCTATCCACAAAATATCGATCTCATTACAGTACACATCAACCACCAATGTTCCGAGAGACGCAAATCGCCCTTAGTTCTGCTTATGCTGAAGCACAGATCGATATTGATCTAAACTACCGACCGACTGGAATGCCTGCATACAAACGCTTCACGTTCCTAAATGTTTTCGCCATTCCCGCTCTGATCGACATACTATTGTTAACAACTACGGGCCATGGACTCTATCTGAGTGGAACCAACGGGAGAGGCTACTTCTTCATGACGCAAGTGGAGCAGCACAGTGCTACCACCGCGCTTATGATTTCTCTTCTATTATCCGGAGCTATTGGCACCTGGATCACTTGCGGTGGGATATACTACTTGGCTTCAATGGCCTTTTCTGCAATGAACTACTTTGTGTTGACTCGTCTTATCGGCGGCTTTGCCTTCACTCTCATTGTTGGACTCTTTGGTTTCATCGTATTCGCATCTACTACATCAGTCTACGCTGGATTGGTCTTTTTTCTATACCTGGTGGTACTGACATCTTACCTTTCCCTTCTTGCGGCCCTTGCAAATTACCAGTTTCCGGGATCGTCCTTCCACTCGGGTCGAGCAACCATTATCTTTTGCGTGCCGATACTCTTCGTTTCTCCTATCACGACCATATTCGTTCCCAACCACGACATCACCATCTATTTAAGTGTTCTTTACTCCTTCGTCAGCCTACTCATGCTAGGCGTCATGCGAGTAGGGGCCAATTGGGTTACTTGGTTTCAAGATATCGTTCTTTTGACTGATGAAGAACTTAGATCTTGGTACATGGATACGCAAGATTCCAGCGAAGCACAGCGTCTCCAAGAGATGCCAGATCCTGCAGCACTGAAGTTAGCCCGCGAAAAGTTGTTACAAGTTGTTCTCGCGGAGCGTAAAAGACTGTTCTTTCTGCCGAATACAAAAGATCTCCTCGTCCGGAAGCTGGCGCAGTCATTCGATGCCACAGAATTTCTTATGGTGAGTGAGATCTACCTTGGACTTTCTCCAATTTCTGACCATAACACAGAGCTGGCATTCTCGATCTACTGGTAGCCCACGGCCCATGATCTTCACTTCATCATGGAACCTTCAAACGAAGGTAGCTTTGTCATCTTTGCAAAAGTCTCAGCTTGGAATCCGTTTCCATAATGGTTTCTTGCATTGGCGCCAAGCGGGCGACGAGGTAACTGTTTCAGCACTATAACGTGATCATGCTAACCTAGTTTCAATCAGATCGGCTGCACTATTTTATATTTTATCGTGGCTCTGCTAGATAAATGGATTTCGCTGATTGATGGTGGCGATAATGTAGGTCTAGGAAACGCAGATGTGTCTATGACAATGCCAGTTGGCTTCAGCCTAGCTTATTACCTTATTGGCGCGGTTCTCCTCGACTACAATGCTCAAGCTCTACACGAAGCCGCTTCGAGAAAGACTGAAGAGCCGATTCATACTGATGAAGACATTCCTCGTGCGGTTCAAGTCAAGTCAGATAATCGAAGGACGGTCTACTGGAGAATCCTTGCTAGTAATCTCGTCTGGCACATATGGGCTCTAGCTGTTACTACCGTCCTCCTTTGGCTTTTTGATGACAGCGACAGGGATACTGGAACGATCGTGTATGTCTCATATGTTTTGGCATATACTGGTGAGTTGAATTTCCAGAATCATGTTAAAGTGAATTTGAGAGCTAAGTCTGGTGTTAACAAGGTCTTTTGTGGTATCAGGTATGAAAGACGCCTCCAATTTCAGACGAGATGCTTATCTCTATAGTATACCAAGGTCTTCTCAGGTCCCCGAGCGTTGAAACCACTTCTAATAGGAGCCACTGCTGGTCTTATCATTGGATTCGCACTTGATCATCATTTCCCGAAATGGGTGTATTCAGATATCATTGGGCTTGGCACAGCGACCTGGACCGCAGCAGTTTTGTCTTTGTGGGCTGGTAGGATAGTTGGACCTAGCGAAGATGTCCCACCACCTATAACTTCCCAACAAGGAACCTATCATGCATATTCTGGACCTGGATCAGATCAAGCTTGGTCTCAAGCCGAACTGCAAAGCCTATATGAGCAGCTTTCCGAACTTTCCGAGAAAGAGCGGTTGAAAGTCGAACCCCAATCGGAGTTTGGAAGACAAGTCAATCTGATCCTTGCCCAGTGCAGGCAAACAGAGCTTTCCGACTTGGCAAAACGCGCATTTCCAGACGCAGAGACACTAATAAATACGAGTGGTAAGCTCTTTAATGAGAAAGTCTTGAGAGTCGCTCTTGTATCGATCGATCACTTTTCAGAACAGGGTCGTACGATGAGAGCTATCAGTTCGCGTGAACAAGATGGATCCATGGTGATCTTTGCTGCTTGTGAGGCGAAGCGTATCACCCAGACCCAAAATCCAATGGAAAGCTTCTACTGGGAGTGAGTAAACGAATCCTGCTTTGAACATGAACACTGACTGAGTACACAGTGTCGCTGAACTAATAATTCAGGTCGCAGCAGAAAAACTCTTTGGGTACTCTACTGACGATGCACTCCTGGCAAGGATACTTTGGCTGAGCAACAACGGACTTTGGAGTGATGCTTCAGGACCAGCTGTCCTCGAGACTCATTTTCGAGCCCACACACTTGAAAATATCTCAACCCTTTCCAAACACTTGCAGAAACAATTACTACGAGGTTTATGTTTTGGCATTGATGTTGATACTGAGTTTGAAGAGTTACCAGAAGACATTCGTCAGCATATCGTCAATAGGTGTCTGGGAATTCCCGATCGACTCACTGAAGAACAGAAAGAAGCTATGAACAGTAAAGTCAATCGCACGCCTGGTTTGGATTTCGATAAATATGTCGCAAGACGAGATTTCGCAGCCTTTTCATATGCACGAATGATTGACCTCGTAAAGGAAAGGACTATTGGTGACAGCTCGAAGCCGCTTGGTCGAAGATCAGAGGGACAATCTCAGATCGTCCTTGAGCCACCTTCTCCTGGAGCTACGATCAAATTTATTGATCTACTTGCTCGAGCTCCACCTCCCAAATACTCAATCTATGATCACATCGTGGACTATTCGGGGGCTGCGTACCATTATGTTGGGAAAGTTTGCAAGTACTTCTCTATTGCCCTTGTCGCAGACCCGGAGTATCAGAGAGAGCTTGATTGCGCTTTTCCTCATGGGAAGAATCCAGCGAACCTCTTGGCTCGGTTCGTAGTCCTGGCAATGTGGTTATGGGTTAAGTTATTTCAGAGGATGTTTCTGCCCGTGTTTCTGGTAAGTCTTAAAGTGGTCTGCCCTGACTAATGTGGAGACGTGGTTAACAAGCATAGTTTTCTCGTCGCAAGAGTATTACCACTATTTGGAAGAACATCAGAGGCATGGAAGTATCGATAATCCGACGGAGGGTCTTGGTTCGAAGCGTTAATGGAGTCTCAACAGGTTTCATTCACTCGAATGGCGACCGGACATTTCAAGTACGACAATTTCGTGGCGATCTCTTGTCCGAACCTACAAACGACATTGATCTAATTGCTATCAACACCTACACAAAAGGCATGCGTTTGGTCAACAGAGTTGAAACAGATCATGGCAAGATCATAAATGAGTATGCGTACGCATACGTGGACGTCGGATTACAGACAAACAAGCAATTGTCAAAGTCAAACTTCTCTATGGTGCCTGTCAGCAGGAAATGCACCGCAGGTCGGAATGAGTTTCACGACATCTCCTACACGAAGAAGGGCCAAATAGATTCAGGCTCATACACCAAAGACGGCAACTTGATCCGATTCAAATATCATTACCAACAGTCAGACAAATATATAGGTGGTCTTCTTCGAGCAGAATTTGTTTTACCTCACTTGAGCTGCATGGTCTCATGGTGTGCCCCACCAAGAAAAGCCGCAGAGCGGCTAGATACCTGGGTAAGATACATTATCATATAATTCGGCATAGGATACTTAACAGATTTAGATTCCTCATTCACAGGTGATCGAAGCTACTTTCGTGGTAGGTCCTGATGTCTGGGAAAGCAGGTTTATCTACGATCACAAGTTTGATCACCCGAACATACTTACCACGCTAAATGGAAGACAAAAGGTCGATACTCCCGACTTTATCTTACACGATCATCTAGATCTCCTTAAGAAACCGGAACATGTCTTGTTCCTTGATGACAACCCCTTATTTGGCTTCAAATCAATCTCCTCGAATCCCATCGCAAAGCTATTCCGAACAAATACTCGCCGATACCCGATATCAACGTCACAATCACGCTCCTTGTTATGGAAAACGTGGAAAGACAATCCGAAATTTGATGGAGTGATCGTCCGGTGGCTAGATGAGCGTCTTCTACGACGAGAACCAATCCTCAAACCGTACTGGCGAAATCGCGACTTTTGCAATTTGCAGGCCGCAGAAGCGTACTTGGACAGTCATCGAGATACAGTCACGGCAACTGTGGATCTCGACAACAGCATATCCGGGTGGACTCCTCTTGCAATCAAATTAAAGGACTTGTACAGCTTTGGCTCAGGTGGCGATGCATGCAGCAACACGCGATCAAAAGCTGTTGCAGAGGACGAAGACGGAAAAGCCTTACATGTGATTGCTATAGATACTGGAACATGGCCTAATGAGGTAAGTCCTGTTATGACTCTTTCACAGCCGCAAGCCGCTGACAAGTGCTAGGGAGGAGGAGTGTCGGCTTGCAGAAGCGATGTTATCAACAATCTCCGAACAATCAAGTGGCATATGGTAGCAGAGTCAGCAAATGACTTTGGTCTCCCAAAACGCCAAATTGAGCGAAATGTGCACTCACTGAAGGTCGTCCCTCTGTGGGGCCTGGATCTTCTGACGCCAACGCATGGCCTCTTCAGTAATCGACTAGAGTCCGAGATAGATCATGTAGCAACTCATATCACCCGCCTGGACATTCAACGCACGTTCATACCAATTCTGGCTGCTCTGGTGCGTGGTGCGCGAGCTCTCGAATTTACAATGAGAGACGCCAAACAAGTTACCAGAGCACTTGTCAATTTGAATGCATACTTCAAGGACTCGAAGAACTGGACTGCTGTCTGGAAAAGTGATGTAGTGAAGTCGGCCTGGCGCGAGCTCTGGCTTTCAAAGTCAACCGCCAATGTCCGTCCATCATCTCAATGGCTTAAGACAGAGCATCCCACACTTGGACAGCTTGACCAGGGTCTTGAATTATGGTCAAGATACCTTTTCATCTTTTCGATTCCAATTCCAGAGAAGATGCCTCCTGTGTTCCAGGCATCTCATCATAGTGTCAGTGCGTCTTATGGTATTGTCTGCAAGATCAAACGTGGATGCACACTCCAAATTTGGGACCATGCCATAAGCTGGAGAGAAACAAATCTCTATTTGTCTTCCGTACTGTGCCCGTTGTCCCCATTCACAAGAAACTCTCTTCTGGGCCTGATGCGCATGACATCTGTCCTAACTTTGCATCATGCAGACACTATTTTGCCTTGTGCCGACTTCTTTAATCCAGGCTGGGAGGTTGAGATCGGTACTTGTCAGGGCAAGATCGAAAATCGAGTAGCTTTCAGACGAAAAATTGACCCGGTCGTGAATGGTATCACAAATATGGAGGTAAGATCTATGTTTCGAGTAAACAAACATTACTAACATTGTTCAGCGCTTCGCTCCAGTGAAGGATATCAAAACCAAGACACCCACTGTGACTATGCTGTCTCATGTCTGGTAAGCTACTGTACATTCTTGTCCGCATTGTACGTCCAGCTAAGAATTGTCAGGTACGCTAAGGATATTAAGACTGCATTGCTGGCTGCCGATATAATTATTAACGAATGGGGGTTTAAAGACTATAGACTCGAGATATATGGTGCTCTCGACAAGGACCCACCATACACCGCAAATTGTCAAGAGATCATCACGACGAAGTCTTTGCGACATCAAGTGTCGATGATGGGCGAAGCCAACCCAATCCATGTGCTTGAGCGGACAGTAAGTTTCATTGTCTGTTTTGTAGATCTACACTGATACTGTAGCAGTGGGTGTTCTTGAACTCGTCGATATCCGAAGGCCTACCACTAGCACTTGGCGAGGCCGCACTTACTGGCGCACCAGTTGTCTGTACCGATGTTGGAGCATCACTTCGGGTTCTCACTGACCCCTCAGATGGATCATGTTACAGTGCAGTTGTCGCTCCCAACGATGCTCGTGCCTTGGCGCGCGCGCAAATCAGTGTCCTTGCGCTCCTTGGAGAATGGAATCAATATTCCGACGCAACTGCTTGTTCCACATCCACAACAGACTTTTCCTTCCCTGAAAGTCCAGCTCCAGATGACATAACACGAATTACGAGACGGATGTATGAACAGAGCAACGCTCGCCGAAAGCTTGGCATGCGTGCCAGAGAAATCGTACAGAAATCGTTCAGCGGAGAGAGATATCTAAGAGAGCATGAACAAATGCTTTGGATTGGGAAGTCGAAGAGGGATATGTATTTGCCGGTGAATGAACGACCGTCGGCGAGGACAATGAGCTCTGTCCCGGGGATGATTATGAATGTTGACAGCAATGTTGCGCTTCTTAGATCGAACGCGCGAAAGCCAAGTTTGCAGTTTACGGAACAGAGTACGAACACTTCGAGCTCTATGCCATCATTAGCATATGAAGGCTCGAGTCTTAGACCAACTAGTATTTTAACTGATAGAGTGCCAAGTGGTTTTGGTCAAGTTGTATTTGGTGATGAAAAGTGGGTGAAGAAGCCGCAGGCGGCAGTCACGAGCGGGCTCATTCCTGGGCAATTGAGAAGAGAGTCTAGAAAGATTGGCTCTGGGTCTGGAGATTCTATGGTGTAGTTGCTAGTTGCTAAGCATTTTCGAGGATGCGCTTGATACGCGAATTGCGCTGAATGCGCTGAATGCGCTGGTTGCGCTGCCATCGTTGTAGCTTAGATCTGCGCACGCACTTCTCAAGCATTCTGATTCAAATGACTTGGTGGACATTCGTTTTGATTGAGAATGGTCACAAACCACGCAGAGAACCTACCACGCTATGTTTTAACACACGCGATTGAAGGCAATGCGGACGGGAAGGATATTGGAAGAATACCTAGGTACTTATCGCCGCTCAATTGTGGCTTGTGGCTGTGCTAGAACAACATCACGGGTTATTGTCATACAGGGCTGTGTCCCGTTTGTTCCAAAGCATGCCATCTGTTCGTCTAAACTCGTCCAATTGACTCCTCATTCTATTCCTTGAAAGTCCATAACTCCCATGACCGTTTATCCATTCCCAAAGGCCACCAAATCATCAGCACTCCTCCATGTCCCTCGGCACTATAATTCTCCCATCCCTATCTCTCCCCAACCCCCGATTCAATATCTCATTCACCTTCGCCAGCATCTGAAACGGCCAAAACACAATCGTCCACCAAGTTCCCCACACCCAGACTAGAAGATTCAACCCAAACTCTTTTGCTTGATAAGTCAAATCAAGCAACCAAATGGCGCCGAAGATAATGACGCAGACTCCAAAAGCGATCAGGACGCCTCCACCGTAGGGCCAGAACTCATCATGTAGAATCTGGCTTGTGGTGAGATGTATTGCTGTGCTGGTGGGCGAGGCCGTGGTGAGGGTCGAAGTCGGAGCATCGCAGGGCTGGAGAATCATGGTGGGGTTCGCCATGATTGAGGTACAGGGGTATGCGCCTGTTGGTATTGCGCTTATCATGTTCAATCGATAAGAGATCGAGGGTACACAGAGGATTTGTTGGTGTGTGAGTTTTTATGTAGGACAGTTTCCGAGGGAGTGGGAAGTTTGTTGTAGATATTTGAAGCTGAGGTTCGAGACGAGGCGTTAGGCAGACGGCGGGGCGAGGCTGCGGCTGCTTTTGTCGAGAAAACGCCACAAAGCTATGGTGGTAAGTCTGCGATCAAAGCTGAGTCCTAAAATTCGGATGAAAGTCGTCTATATGCCCGTTAACCCTTTCTTAATGTAAGATTTCTCGTCTCTATTTTATTATAGCTCGCTTAGCATTGGACTATAAAAAGGGGAAGTAAACTATCCTGTCTTAGCCAATCAGAGCGTTCAACATCAAGCGAATGCCTATTGGCTCAGTAACTACTTCATAACGATTTGCTTTTTCTTCACAAAATTGCATAATTTGTGGAATGAAACTCAGTACAAGACGAAAAGTTTACAAATGCTAGGCAGATTGGCTTTTGGAAGGAAATCTTTAATTATCCATGTCTAACCGAGCAAAAAGCAAACATTTTCCCAAAGCACAATTCCATGACAAAGAATCCAGTCGCTAATAGCGGCTACACAAACTCCCCTCGCGGAAAGCTCCTTCGAGATCCCGGTGTCACACAAAGCTCAGCAGCAGAGCCCCAAAAGGCCTCCGTGGGGGTTCCCGTGCCTTGATTCGGCGAGACATTCTGACGCCTCTTTTCATGCACAACGCAGAAATCTATCGTGCACGTGGAATATTTCCAAAGCTTATGGGTACACGAACCCCGCTCTGGAGAAGGTCACGATGGGCATTGCACGGTTCACTATGGGGCCTTTGGTGTCAGGGAAGTGATTGAATTGCATAATTTAAGGAGTATCTGTTGGACTATTTGTATGCCAAGATTCTGTGTCGTACTGTAATCATAACCAAAAGATGTGTGTTTCGTCACTTTCATTTTCTCGGGTCGTGTCCGTTTCTTCGTGCGAGTGTATCTCAAAATCCGGTCCCACATGACTCCACCAGTATGCAAGTTCCCGGTTTGAATGTCCAGGGTGGTTTTGAAACTACATGAACAGTGATCAGTCCTTCAATTGCCCATGAATAAACATGACAAAAACGTACCCCTTCTTATCTTCATCATCAACAACAACAAACTAACTCCCGTCCCCTTTCCTCTTGGCCTCCTAGCGCTATCAAGCTGCCGGCCATTGAGGCTCCTCAACATATGTCAGAAATCTTCACTGCTTTCTCCCCATCTCTCTCGTCTTTTTGCCTGCCAGTCTTTCCAATAGACAGCAATGACAATTGGGATCATACAGCAGAGTATAATTCCGCCCAACCCAATGACGATCGTCGTAGCCCAATCTGCGCCTGAGAACTTGTTGTCCTTGTATACTGACGCAGCAGATGTCGAATTGGACGTTGAGTTATACGCCGAAAGGGAGGGAGTGGGGGTCTGTGTATTCAATGCAATGATTGAGGTAGAGTGAGAGGATAAAGCTGTGATCGTCACAGTTACGAAATTCGGAAGGGTGGCTTCAGAAAGGGCGGATGAAGCGGTACTGGTAGCGATACCTCGCTGCTCCGAAGACGCGGCACTCGGGAACGAGAACAAGATTGGTACGGTTGACATCTTGGCTCAATTGCTGGGAGTATTTTAGATACTTTTTCTGGGTCCAGCGCCAAGTTTGGGCTGGGGAGTTGGGGGGATTCGAAGAGGTTCTGGACCGAATGCGGGAAGTCGGCACGTTTGCCAAGAATGAAGATCTGGGGATTGGGGTTAGGGGATGCTATGTATGGGAGGGAAGAAGTGGAGATAGGAAGTTGTCACGAGACTTAGTTGGGCATGGGGGCGTCTGAGAGGATGCCACGATGTCGTGGGGGAGAGAAGAAAGGCGTTCGACTGGATGAGACGTGCAGGAAAATGTCGTAGGGATACCGAATAGGTTCTTGGGATTGAGAACGTGCGTCTGTTGGAGCTGAAATGTGGAATTATTCTTGCAACTGACCTCTTCATCGCAAAGCACTTGCATGAGGAGAATACTTGTGAATGAGGTGGATTTCTGTATCAATGTGAGTTGTTGTATATCAATTTTCACATCTTGGAGGTGTCCGAAATGTCGAATGTCAACGTGTTCCAGTTGAGTCGTCAAGTAGCGGTGTGTTACATTGACAAAATCAGCTCTCGAGTGGAATGTCCAAGCGGAGACTTATGATTGACTCGATTCTTCGACCAGATAGCAAGATTGTTAAAGAGATCCAAATATAGCTAGATATCGCCGTTCTTGTGCACTGGTGGATGACCGAATACCGAACAAGTGGTGAAACGGCATGTTTCGTCCAGAGGCGGGCAATCACGAGCATCATCTAGCGAGTTTGAGCTTTTCATATTGGTGAGATAAAACTCATCGCATTTGTTTAGTTGGAGTAGAGCATACTTCGTCTTCTTTCTTTCAAGCTTTTATTTCAGAATCGGTATCCCACCTAAATCACGAGCTGAGGAGTCTCAACATCGACTGGCGTCTGCCTGCATTGGACTCGGACTTGAGCTAGCGCAGTGATGACAATGTGACGACAACATGTCACACTTCATGGAGCTCACTTGTCTATCCTAAGAAATATCGATTGATGTCCCTCCGATTTCAACGCACGTTGGCGTCAATAATCCAACGGGTGACAATTGTATCAAGTATCAGAACACTAGATTTTAGGATCGAGGACGAAGTGTCTTCGAAATCGAAGATCCAGCGAGTATAATCAGCAAATCCACTCGTTCAGGTTCCTTGTTGTTCTCCAACTCCTGTCAAGTGTTTATAGACCCCGCTGTAACGTTAAGCGAGCAAAAGAAGGGAATCGACGTCGTACTTCAGGTCGCTCTTACACCACCCCCAAATCTTAGTCCACATTTGGGACCTATCCCATTGATATTGGTCCTCAAAGTCTAAAACAATGTTGTTGTATATTCTAGTTCTCATGTACTCATATACGCTGCATGATACATATTCAATGTGTGTCTAAAACAAAAGAGAAAACCATCGCCTGACCCTTGTTACGCCAATTCCAAGTCCTGCCTCTCCACATTCAGCACCGTCTTCAGATGCGAGTATTGCAACGGAACACCCTTATGACAAGCCAATAGTTGACCAGTCTTAAGAACATTCTTGATCTGCCTTCCATTAATCTCCACATCGGCAAGTTTCGCGATATCGTCCTCGGACAAATCATGTTTGACACCTCTCTCAAGGAAATTCTTCCAAACTTGGGTTCTGGATACTTTGTCCAAGCCGGGATACTCCATTGAGATATGGATTCTGCTCTGGAATGCAGGATCCATGTTCTTGACACGGTTGGTCGTCAGGAAGAGAATACCTTCGTAGTATTCGAGAGTGCGGAGGAAAATGGAAACAATCTTGTTTCGCTCAAGATCGTGGGCTGAGCGAGCTTCCAGGAAGACGTCACACTCATCCAACAACAGGACGGCGTTCCATTTCGCTACCATTTCGAGAATGGTTGTGAGACTGGTTTCCACCTCGGACGATTTGATGCCAAGATCTCCAGCACTCACTAGAGGAAAGATTAGTACTTGCTTCATAAAATAACTAGCAGCCAAAGTTTGGGGAGGGATGAAACTTGTGCGAGAACCAAAGTATGGCATATGTGAAAGTAAGCGAGAAGAGGAAACAAAGAAAAAGGAATGCGTACTCATATAGAGTGGTGTACGCATATTCTCAGCGACTGATTCTGCTGTCAAGGTCTTGCCGATACCTGGACCACCGCTCAAGAGCATGATGATGCCTTTGCCCTTACCAGAAATGACATCGTCAAAATTATCCTTGTATTTAACCTGGGACTCGGCGAATGCGAGAATCAACTCTTTCTGGTCTTCGGGAAGAACCAAATTGGCAAATGCAGACGAATTCCACACAATCTCAGAGACGGAATCCACAAAGAATGAAAGCCAACGCTTTGTCTTTAAAGTGTAGCCTTTCAATAGAGGAGAGCAATGAATTAGTTGTTGATCGGAGAGTGGAATTCGCTTGATCTCCTTGCCGGCGACAGAATCGTGGGAAGCTAAGTCATCGTCATCCTCGGAGTCGTAGACAGATCCTTCGTCCTCGGAATCTTCTTCATCGGAGACGGCGGCCTTTGATTTGATCTTGAGAGGTGCAAGATGAGGCAGGCTGTTTGGATTAAATTTGCCATATGCAAATGTATCACTAGAAAGTCAGACAAAAGCTCATTGCATGATGGATCAAATGACACTCACATGATTACGCGACTGTCGACAGTAACTTTGATGTCTCGACCACACATGTCTTTTCCAATTGCGAATGCCTTGTACGCCTTGTAGTGATAACCATGATAGTGCTCAAACAGCTTACCGCGCTTCAATAACGAGGCTTGAATCTTCTTCTGCTCTGGGTGAAACTCTAGTGGGAAAGCATCGAGAGCAGAGATTTGCATAGTCCCACCGAAGGCCAAGATGAGATGTTGACAACTGGCATAGCCAAATCTGTCGCCATCCCATTCTACCTTCTGTGAGTTCACTCCATAACATGGGCCATATTTGGGGTGGTCAAAGTAATTGCCGTTGGAGAATTTGGAACCACAGTCACGACCCCACTGCTCTGTATACAGCGTGGCTCCAGGTTGAAAGATCGTCCAGAGATGCTCGAAGGTGATGACCTTGTTCTTGATATAGTCGTTCTTTGCTGCAATTGTATCCTTGAGCTCCGCCTCAAGTGTCTTGTAAAGAAGTTCCAAATGCTTCTTCGTTTCCTCATCTTCTTGTTGGTCTAGGGCATTCGTGAACTCCGTCCATCGATGAACGAATGGGTTGAAAGGTGCTTGGAAGATCAGTCGCTTGAGGGTTGGAGTGACACCTTGTAATTGTTAGCCAGGTCTGGGACAATCATGATTATGACTTACCAGGATAGTCTTTCAACACCTTGGTCAGAACATTTTTGAGCAGAGGGCTTTGAACGACAATGCTGTCAATCTCGAGTTTCTTTCGGGAGTCGAAACTCTTTTTGTTGCGAACAAGGATAGCATATCGAGCAGTCATCTCATTCTCAGCTGCTTCGTCCAGGTCGTCTGGATACTTGTCTGTCCACGTGTGGCGTCCTCGATCATCCTCTTTCTGATAGAGGTTTTTGAGACCACACTCCATACCGACCTTGGTCACCTCTTCAGGTTCCTCTTCTTTTGCAGAAATATCTTCTGCTTTTGTATTGCCATTGACAGGAACGGCAGACTCCGGAGAGTGTCCATTGACCTTGTCGGTTTTTATGTTCAATTGGGAAGAAACGTCTGACGAAGTCCCTTCCTGGGCAGCGTGCCCATTCTCTACAGCGCTGGGAGCCATTGTGACTAGAGATTGCTTGAAAAGAATAGAATTTGTCAGGAAAGAAATGCTGATTGAAGAAAATAAGATACTTGAAAATACCCTCAACTTTATAAGAAGAAGACAATGGATCTACTTTGACCAAGTCTAGGCGTCAGCCTTTGGCCAACACATTGACTCACCGGGCTACAGGCCAGAACAATGTGAGATTGTGGGGAATCTCCAGCTCCGACGTTGAAATTCCATCCAATAATGTGGATGAGCAACTTCAAGTGGGAAATTCGCCACAGACTCAACCCAGAGTCTGCCATAAAGACTGCCTTCGGTGTCATACCGTTAAATCCTTCGAGGCTTCTGCCTGCCAAAAGGCGGTAATCCCAAGCTAGCCGCTTGGACAGCATGAGAAAACTCAAATCAGAGCTAGATGTCTTCTTACCACAGATCTGCTCACCCAGTGACAGCATGTACTTAGATCTGATGTTGCCTGAAGCTCTCCAAAGGAGTTTTGGAGCCTTACTATTTTAAGCGTAGGCTAAATTCGATATCACGTGAAGTCGCTATTCACGCTAGTGCCAAATCCATCTTTTCTGCAAGTCGCGACCGCGTTTTGCCACCTTCAATGACATCTTGTATCTTGTGAAGATGATCATGAAAGATGCCGTACGCAAGTATCAAAGCAGCTGAGCAAGCTGCGCTACGCGGGATTGTCCCAGACACCGATACTCAGCTTTGCGAGGGAATCCAGCAGGATTTGTTATCAGTCAGTGATCTGCAGGCACCCTCAAGCCTCCAACAAGGTCAAGGGCTTTAACGCTAACCAATTCTGTAGAGCCCTGCCAACACGCCTCATCACGTCGCGTCGGCGAATCTCGACGCCAATAATTTCGAGCCTGTCCCTGAAGTTGAGCTCGAGGACGAGCACGAGGAGGACGAAGACGAGGAGGAATGTGAAGATGAGCTGCAGTTTGATGCCAATCACGCAAAAGATCACCAGATTCCCGGCGAGGCAGCTCAATTGATTTCGGACTTCAATTCTCAGCGTGAGGACGCGAATCGACTTTCGGTGGACGATGCTGGACCCGAGAGCCATGATCAAGTAGCTCAAATTCAGATCAGACGAGACAGTAAAGGCAAGCTGAGAGCATTCACGATCAGTGGGGAAGAAGTTAAGACTGCCAGCTTCGAAGGGAAGTACCGCGCAGCTGTGGAAGCACAAACGCAGGAGGCAGCAATGGAGGATCTGACCCAGAAAAGCTCGATGTCTTTAACGCAGGAGAATCCCGAATCAGCGTATCAACACTTTGATCTTCAACAGGCTATACACGAAGAATTTCCTTCTACTGCGACCCCAGACGATGGGAAAACCCACGGCTCGATACCGAATCTACCGCAAGACTCCATTCCTTCAAAGCAGCATGCCTCCACGAGGACCGAATCTACTGCATATACATACCAAGAGCAGGATACCGGGCATGTGAAGCTTGACTTTGAGCCTGGCGTGGATGAGGACGAAATGGATAATGCTATGGAAGATGGTATGGACGATGACATGGACTCTCAGTCTCAAGATGCATATTTTGCTGCTCCGCAACTTGGAATGCACTTTGCGGCGCCATCTTACGATCCACAAACACCGGTTGCTCCCGTCAATCCGTTCTCCGAAAAAGGATCTCTCCTGAAGGGTTTCGAGATGTTCAGTGCCACCCAACCCTCATCAGTGGCTCGACACGCAAGTCCAACCTCATCCCGACCCTCGCCGGATGTATATCATGATTTCACATCACCACCCAAGCGACAGCGAACCAACTCTTCCCCTCTTACACGACTTTACGAACAGGATGTGGAAACGTCACCATTACAGTCGTCAGTTCGTGGTCTCTTGATGAATACTTTATCCTCAGACTTCCCTGAATCTACTGTACCGAGAACTTCTGGGGTGCAATCCTTTGACATGGTTCGGAGCAATTCACTGCCTGAACCTCGACCTTATGTTTCAATGAAAGAGTCTCAAGAAAAGAGAAAACGAGAGGATCTGGGTTCGAACTCGGATTCTGATGGTTCTGATTCTGACGGTACTTTCACGCGAAAACGGAAACGTGAAAGAGAGTCGCGGATACAGAGAGAGCTCTCCACAGTTGCAATTCCTCCAAGGCGTGCTCCTGCCACGGTCAGACCACAGTCATCTGCATCTCCTGCTATCGAGGTGCCTTCCACTGGCAGGCGTCGTAGTATCCAGGAAAAGTACCTTGCACAATGCGAGGGGCAGGATGCTCAGGACACCGAACAAGATACTCAACCGGATGACTACATCGCTGATTCACAGGGTGGACCAGACCAGAATGCATCCGCTCAGGTCCATGATAATGCCAAAGGACACAATGTCGACTTAGACATGGGACAAAGCTTAGCAGTATCGGATACGCCGTCAAGATCGCCTCGCCGGGTTGGTGACGCCCCCGGTCACCCTCAATCTCAAAACCCAGCGTCGCTACCAGAAAATGGGTTGCATGTTGATCAACAATCACAGCCACAAAATCCAGAGTTGGCCAATGATGCTGAACGGTCCTCACCTGGGCCCAGCCTGCCGTTAAAAGAATCTACTGGGAATCGCAGCAATACACGGACGCCCATTGCACAAAAATCTAACTTGCTTTCGGATGGAATGATTCCCGAGACCAGCCCACCTGAGGAACGGATTCGGCCTATGGGCGAAATAGCAAGTATTTCATTCCGAGAAATCCAGATTGACATGAGCGATCTTCCAGGGTTCAGTCAAGATCCGGAATTTGAAAATGTCCTGCGTCTGGGATCGCCACAAAGTCCTATTCCGAGACCACGAAGCTTCCGTCAAGGCATGCCCTCACAAGAGCCACTGAATGTGACAGTTGCTCCTGCACAGGTACCTGGCCAACTTCCAGAAGTCCCTACTAGTTCTGCTAATGTCCCATCAACTCTTCTTAATCAGGGTCAACCTGAAGTTACAAAATCGAGTTCACCTCTAACGCCTGTAGTCAGTAATGAAGGCATGGTGGAGGAGGAAGATGCACCATCGCAGAATGATAACCCAGTTCCCGAGAATCCGATCCCCGAATTGCCTCAAGAAAATATTAGCGAGAAGGGAGACATGAACAATGAGAACCAGAACGAACAAAGTCAAGATCAAGGGGACATTGAGGAGGATCCACCAGGCAAACATGACGCTGCTCACGAATTGACAGCCGATGCCACAGAATCGAAATCCTCGACTATAGATGACGGCAACCAAGGTGATGCCGACATTGTCCAAGCAGCGGCCGAACCATCATCACCGAAGCAAACAGGCCCAAGAAGGAAGGCCGACTTGAAAGCTCCTGCCAGATCGCTGAGAAGCTCTGAGGCGAAGGCGACAACTTCGAAAGCATCGGCTCGTGTTACGAAGACCAAAAGTGCAAAAGAACTTGATAGATCAAGTGCGTCTTCAACTCCAACTCTCACTCCTGCAGAACGGTCTAGCACGCGCAGTCAAGCTGCTCGTGCAAAGGCATCAAAACAATCAACCCCAGCAGCAACCGGCAAGCGTACCTTGAGGCGCCAACCAGGTGTTACACTTGTCGAAGACGATGATACGCCTATGATGTCTACTCGAAATGCCAAGCGACACGTCACAGCTAAGCTCCCCAGAGAAGATAGTGAAGACCCTCTAACATCGACTCCTGCGTCTACCCACAAGAATGGACGGTCAAAGAAGTCTGGAACCACATTGTTCGATAAAATGGCATTTGCCGTTTCGTACGTTAAGAATAGCGAGGAAAAGGATACCGTGACTAAATATATTGTGGACAACGGTGCTCGTCTCCTTCAGGATGGATTCGATGCACTATTTGATGTAATTCCTAAGACCGCCAGTGAGGACGCCCAGCTCTGCCTTTCTGGACCCGCGGAGTCACTAGGCTTTACAGCGTGCATCGCCGACGAGCACTCACGGAAGGCTAAGTTTATACAAGCCTTAGCGCTTGGCCTGCCTTGCATATCTGGTCGTTGGGTGATGGCCTGTGTGGCTAAGATGGCTATTGTCGACTGGGCGCCGTATCTACTATGTGCTGGCCAGTCCTCATTTCTTGGCAATGCCGTCCGAAGTCGAATCCTTCGCCCCTACTCCGCTTCTGACGCGGAGCTGGCAGATGTGTTTGCAGCACGTGACAAATTTCTCGAGGGGAAATCGGTTCTGTTCGTTACTGGGAAAGGCAAGACGGAAGACAAGAGAAAAGCTTACGTCTTTCTCACCCGAGCACTTGGTCCAGCTCAAGTCGCTCAAGTGGTGGACTATCAAGAGGCGAGAAAGCACCTAACGGAGAGCGAGGCCCAAAATCAGTTCTACGATCTTCTCTTCGTTGAAAAAGACGAGAGCGTAGCAGATTCTGTCGTCTTTGGCGCTGCCGCGATGATGAGCAAGGCGGGAAAGCGCAAGCGCTCCGTCGAACCTGTGGAGCTAGGTATGCCTCCACCAAAGAAGATTAGGGTCATCGGAGACGAGACTGTGGTGCAAAGTCTAATCTTGGGACAACTACTTGAAGAATGAAGAAGATATTGTACGATCAAGAGTGGTAGATATGGGTGTCAGGGGCCAAAAATGGGAACATGGATTAGGTTTTGCAATTTGCATGCCTAGGAGGAATATTTGCTAATGCTAATAGCTGGCGTTACGATAGGCTACTGTCTGATCAACGGAGCTGGAAGGAAGAAAGGCTTTCCGATTTATGATACCATTACAAGTTAACAGCGACGTGCTGTAAACCAAATCTAGCAATAATAGCGTTTCCGGCCTTGAAGAGTTGTCGTCAGCCTGTGCGCTTTTCCCATTTTGCTTCCTTTTGTTCCCTACATCCGGCAAGTGCCAAGAAGTAAATCGTCTCTACTCATGTTCACATTTTGCTATACTTTCAATGCAAGATCTCGATTGCTTCCGAGCTTATCATTACTTTACCAAATTGTTGTAGCGCAAGATAATATTTCACTCACCCTGAGATGCGGCTTATAGGCGTGTGAGTCCAACATTGTCCATCCCGTCGATAGTGTCGCAAGCCAACTTTTGCATCTTATGTCGTGTCGTGGCTCTGGGATTGGTGCCTGGTGTACGAGCCGAATTCAGTGATCACTGCGTAGACGATTGTTGAGCCTTCGATAGTTACCCGGTTGTGGGGTCTAGAACATTTCAGTTGTTGGAAAATGCGTGTCTCGTGCGGTGAATGCTGGTAGGTCATATCGGTTTCCCCGTACTTGCTGACACGAATATGCGGAGGTTATTGGAGCAGAGGAACGAATGCCATTACTAGTACGCAGCATTCCCATTTTCTAAGCTTTATCCTTGACTCACCCCGCAACCATCCTCCCCCTCCCCCCCCGGGGGGGAAGATACTCCCATGCGGCGATTGATCCTATGTCGCTAGTCTATGGTGAGATTTGTACGGGAAGAAGTGAATATTGGTGGCACAGCACAATTCCCACGTACAGTCACGATGGCGGGAATGTTGGAAATTCACAAATATGCGATCTAGTGCTTTGGCCAGAATCTGTGTTTCACTCTTCTTGAGCCAGTCGTCTTGAGTCATTGGCTCCAGGTAAAGGAGCATAAAAGACCTTCCACTTCTCCTTTCCTTCCTCTCATACCTCATACCCTTTTCTCTTCTCACTTTTCGGATTGACTTCTATTCTTATTGTCAATTAATTTCACTTACCTTGGAACAACATGAGGGTAGCAATCATTGGAGGCGGTCCTTCGGGACTGGTTACTCTGAAGCATTTGATCACTGCTCATGAATTCTTCCCTGGCGCAAAACCATTCGAGGCCAAGCTTTTTGAGGCAGAGAGCTCCATCGGTGGGACATTCAAGCATCGTGATTATGAGGATGCCGAGGCAAGTGTCCCCAGTCAACCAGGACATCTGAACTGACAGAATCACAGTTAGTCTCTTCGAGACAACTCACCACCTTCTCAGACTATCGCTACACCCCAGAGTCCCCTGATTTCTTGTCAACCAAGGATTACTGCATTTATCTTGAGGGGTACTGCAAGAAATTCAATCTCTGGCCTTATATACATTTGCAGACCACCGTCACTGGTATTCATCGTGGGGCCAATGGCGGACATACCATCCAATATATTGCAGCCGGAAAGTCGAGTGAGTGGCACTGCGATGCTGTTGCTATCTGCTCTGGGCTGCATGTTACTCCCAATATTCCACTTTTGAGCGGCCTGGAGCGCGTTCCAACTGTGATTCACTCATCGCAGTTTAAAAGACGAAAACAATTTGGAGAAGGTAAAGATGTCCTGATCGTTGGAAGTGGCGAGACCGGAATGGATTTAGGATACTTGGCGATTACTTCCAAGACCAACTCCGTAACGCTTTGTCATCGTGATGGCTTCCTTTGTGCTCCCAAGGTATGTCTGTCTTTCCGATGATCAGAGCTCAATCTAACTCCTCTCAGCGTGCTCCCGAACCATCCTGGTTCGGCATGAAACCCACCACAACGCTACAAGGCAATGTCCCATATGATGTTGGTGCATCCAGTCTATTCGATACTGCGTATGTCCATCCTCTTCTTCAGGACTCGTTCCTGCCTTGGTGGTACTACGACCGATTCGCCAAATGGACTACATGGCTTGTTTCGGGGACAAAAGCTGGTCTTGATCAGTGGATTGGTGAAATTTCTCCTGAGAGGTTCCATGCTTCGAAGAGTAGGCTTCCTCGTCGTTCAGAAACTTGATCTATGCTAATAACCAAAGTCTTCTTCAACAAATCTACCAAAGCAATGCCCTACATTACTTCTCAATACCGCCGATCCTCCATCGGGAACACACTCCGCTCATACATCGCTCAAGTTCCCCTGGTACCTACCCATGGCCGCCAGATCGACCTAGCTCCCTGGCCGCAGTCCATCGACGAGAAAGGCATCGTCCACTTCACCGAGAACAGTCGCTCAGAAGCAGAGGTCATGAGAAAGAAGATCTGTAAACCAGATGTCCTAGTCCTCGCAACTGGTTACACACAGTCGTTTCCTTTCTTGAACTCGATGTACCCAATGCCCAAGGATGCGGACATGAGAGCCATCTGGAAGAAGGGCGAGGAGAGTGTCGCTTTCATTGGTTTCGTTCGTCCTAGTTTCGGCAAGTTCCTTGCATAGTGAGTTGAATGCAATGCTGATGAGTAAAGGTGCCATCCCGCCACTAGCAGAAATGCAAGCCCAGCTCTGGGTTACCTCTCTACTTTCTCGCCTCCCATCACCTCTGAAAGATACAGGACATTACAAACTCCATCATCGGGCTGGAAGTCGGATTACATATGGTGTTGACCACGAATCTTACGCTTACCAATTGGCGCTGGATATCGGGTCCGCTCCGTCGTTCATGGAGATCTTGCCGATGGGATGGAAGATGGTGTTGTGTTGGGCGTTGAGTGCTCAGGTTAACACCAAGTTTAGACTGGTGGGGCCATGGAAGTGGGATGGTGCGCAGAATGTTATGGAAACGGAGATTTGGGATACTGTTTCGCGAAGAAGAGGATTCTTTGGGCATTTCACTTTGAGTTTCTTGCCAATGATGTTGTTTGGGACGTTGAGTGCTGTTCTTTGGGTGTTCGAGGAGGTTTGGAAGTTGATCAAGTGGGTGTGGAAGGTTCTGATGCTGAATTGAGGGAATGATGGCTTGTAATCTGTGCCTGGATTTGGATACTTGGTGTGCGATAAGTTGAGGAGGTCATAGATTCAGCCAGTCTCGAGAGCGAAGAGTCTGTTTTGATAAGTAGTCGTCGAATAATGCATAACTTTAAACCAATGTCAATCTTGCCGCCCATTTATCTTCTAGAATGTCTCTCGAACATCTTAGTCAAGAGGCATCATGGGTCGCCGAGACATTGTCTTTGAAAATCTCGAAAGATATTCTCGTTGAGGAATCCAAAAAGGTTGATCGCGTGCCTGCCATCGTGGGGGCCATCTTCGAGAAAAGCAAACACGACTAAGTGAAGTGCCTTCTTCATCGGTTCTCGTGACCCAATGTCAGGAACTGCCTAGTAGGTATGTGCATATTCTCAAAGAGGCAACATCGATGCAGGTGATGACAAGCATCTTGTCAATATGCCAGTTGTTAACTTTGAGTAACCTGCAAAGAGGCGGAGTTGGATAAGGTGGCTTGCCGCCAATGAGACATCAAGTAAGACATATCGTTGCCATAAAAATATCCGATTGTCCACGACTTCCCTAGAAGAGTTCCACGAGTCTCTTCTTCATCAATCAAGCAATCATGGAGCTCGACAGATTCCCACAATTTAACGACCTATGATGTCCGGCCGAGATACAGGACTTGATATGGGAGTTCGCTATCGCACATACTGAACCACGAATCGTCCACATAAAAGCAAGGACATGGAGTACCGTCGATGGAAAGAGAATTTGGAACTCTTCATCGATGCTCAACTCCTCGTGTCCTATCCCAGCACTTCTCCACACATGTTCACGATCTCGCAAACTCGCTTTGAAGGAATGGAAATTATGCTTCAATGCATCGCTATCTCAACCAGCATGTCCTGTCCAACCAAGAACTTTTTTCGATTCTAAGAATGATACTCTTTTCCTTTTCAATGAATGCGAATTGTTGGACACATTCGCCAATCACGTCAGAGAGAGTGAACGCCAATTAGTTGAGAACTTAGCCCTTTACCTAGATCATTTCGACTACGCTTCCAATCTCAGCAATGCAATCGCTGCTCCAGAATATCCAGGCTATTACGGCCCGTTGGCTGCCGAGATCCGCGCTGCTTTTCCTTGTCTGAAGAAACTGAAGATTGTAGTCATGGGGCTGTATCAATTCCGGCATCTTTGGGGAAACAGTGAGCAGAGGCTGGGATTTTTGCCGATGCAGAATTGGGGACTTGGTGGGATGGTGGAATTGGGTATGAGAGTGGACTTCGACAAGGTTTATAGGAAACATGGGTGGGCATTTCCGGAAGTGAAGTTCGTTACTGTTGTTGGGACGGAAGTGGAGAGGTTGCTGAGGAGTGGCGGTGGGGTTGGGAGGCAACAACAAAGATAAGGTGTATGCTACTCAAGGGGTGTGCTTTGTATGTATGCTTATGTATTGCAGAAAGTGTATGAACAGACGTGGAATGCTAAGCAGGTGCAAATGTACAACGCAAGAAGGGACCATGCAATCTCTGGCTCAAAAGTATGGTCATGCACGTGATCTGACTTGGCTCTGTGCTCTCTATTTATCTTCTCGTCCATCTAGCCAGCTAGTACAATTAACGCAGCGTTTAGCCTATACACAGTCAGTATCAGAGTTGCTCGTCCTCTCAAATGAATTATACCTTCTGACTAATCCGCTTTCGGCAGTATGGACACTTCACTTGATACTTGATGACTGTGTCTTTCGAGAAGAACTCATACAGGCTTGCAAGTAAGTAAAGTGAAAGCCCAACGCCAACGAAGTTGAACATCTTATTGAGGAAAGCTCTGCTCGTGACGTCAGCGATATTCAGATTCAAGCTTCCGGCTTTGGCTCAAGATAGTGAAGCAATAGAAAAGCAATGAAGAGGAAAGACAATAGTGTGTGACTTGACCAAGGCTCTGCCGCATCGAAATATAAAACTCACCCATAAGCTAAGACCACAGCACCATCGTCTACAGCTTGTTTTTGGGTGTTGTAGCCAATTGCCATGGTGTGGTTATAATTTGGGCCGCTTCTCAGAACTGCAAACTTCTCTTCCATGTTACGATTGATGAAGGGTAGCAGCGAGAGGGGTGGCAGTAGAATATCTGAGACAAATGAGGTCACTACTGTTGTGAAGGCTGCAGCAAGTCTGTATATTGTCAGTGAGAGCTTTCATTGATTGCATTTATAGAAATGTGATTTTCTCAACTCACATCAATCCTACAGCGACCTCAATAATGTTGTCTTGAAGGACCCAGTCGGTAAAGCCATGCCAAAACCAAGATACACCCTTTCGAGCAGCTTCCCCTGAATGGGTCAACAGCTCCTCGCTATTGTGCTGGATATCTTCAAGACGAATTCGAGGCATGATGACTGATGGAAGACCTTTCGTGCGCGTGAATAGAGATTCTCTTCGAAATGTACAATATGTATGAAGAGAGCTGGGCAATCTGCACCTTCTCAGGTCACCTCAGAGTTGAATCCGCACATAAATATCTTCTCTAAAAATCTCTTAAATTTGAAAATACTTTTCTCTCTGGAAATTAACCTCTTACGTCATAGGCGAGGCCGGGCGCCTGAGGGCGGCCAGATTAATCAGCGTTGTGGCCTTAGGCACCCACCCACGCGTCCCCACCAAAAGCAAAGAGCCGCAGCATTAGTTTATTATTAATTTAATTACATTGCGACGTCGCATAATTTGACAAAGAGAATGCGTCGATTCAACTCAACTAACTTCATATTAAAGCTTATTCTTAAGCTTTGCGATCGTGGCGTTAGTAGATAATTATCGCGATCGTAGTCACGAGTGCTGGGCCCCCGCACGTGATTATATTGACGGTTGTAGTCCAAGTTAGTTTGTTTTTTTGTATCCCTTTAAAATCGAATTCGTATATAAATATATTTTCTACAACTTTTTTAAATTTGAAAAGTTTATGTTTTATTTTTTATTTAAATTTATATAATTATAAAATCCGATCAAATTATCCGGAATTGATTCGCGGATTTTTGATTCTTGCACTAAGAATTAAATTCTCGTGGGGCTGATATGTTGGTCAATTGCGTCTCAGCCTCCACATTCTTCAACCTAGTGTAGTGCGGCTGAGAGATGGACAGAAAGTTCGGAAGATCAGCCAACGACGTCCAATATGCATCAGCCTAGTGAGCCATGCGGACGCGAATACTCCTCCGTATTTCGTCCGTATTCACACTGTGTCTCTTGTTATATCGCTTGATGCATCTTACTCCACAACATTTGGAGCCGTTGCCGTTGCCGCAATACTTCACCGAAGTCGACTTCCGATTTGAATCCAGGCTTATCGGAGCTGTCAGCCATATCGATACGAGGTTCTCTCCCACAAAAGCACTCAGCATCGACCAAGTTCATCATGCGTTGATCAACTTGCTCAAAAGCTATTTCTTTATAATGAAAGATCTTGGTTTTGAGACTTGGCTTGCCCACGGGACCCTCTTGGGGTGGCATTGGGGCGGAAGGATATTTCCTTGGGATACTGATATTGATGTCCAAATGTCTGTGGTGTCACAGCGCCGGCTGTTACGGATCACCTGAGCCCATCGCCTGAGCCAATCGCCTGTCCTAATCGCCTGAGACAAAGGCCAGGCCGGGAATAGTGGCGTTCCCGAGCTTTAAGCCTAATAGGGCTTAGCTCCTCACATGACATCCCCTTACTTCTAACATATATATGTATATAGATCTCTCCTCCTCTCCTTTCTTCTCTCCTTAGCTTTAGATTCTAAATGAATAGCCCGACGTTGCGTCGCCACCTCACACCATCGTCACAGTGCTGTCACATGTGGACGTTTTGGCCCTTCTCGCTACTGATTACAACGCGACTGTGTTTCAATACCTCGATGAGGAAGAAATTCACACATACTTATTAGACATCAATCCCCATTACCTAATAACATCGACTCAAGACTTGTCAAACAAGATAGATGCTCGCTGGATTGATATTCAGAGTGGGAAATACATCGATATAACAGCACTCCGCCGCAGAGATCTCGATCCAAACGTTCTGTACTGCAAAGATGGGCACGAATATATGGTCGGTTATATCCTCTACATGTTTTACTTGCACTGGATCTAACGGTCGGCAGGATGAGGACATTTACCCGTTACAGGTCTCCGTCTTTGAGGGTATTGATGTCAAAATTCCATCCAAATCAGAAGTCGTTCTCGTAACAGAATACGGCAAAAACGCACTTACCAGCAAGAACCATCACTGGTACGGCTGGAAAACTTGTTGGCAAATAATCATAGCTAATTGGAAACAGGTATATCTTTGATGATTATTCTCAGACTTGGATGCCTGAACAACAAAACAATGGGTAGTGGGCATGGTTCCGAGCTTTAATAGCGTTTTTGTGACAGCACTGGGACGAAGGTGTGAGGTGGCGACGCTCCGTCGGGCTATTCAATTAGAATCTAAAACTAAAGAAGAGAAAAGGAATGAGAGAGGGAGAGATCTATGTATATATATGCCAGAGTAAGGGGATGTCATGTGAGGAGCTAGGCTCCATTAGGCATAGAGCTCGGGAACGCCACCATTCCCGGCCAAGGCGGTTGACCAGGGCGGTTGAGCTAACCGTCACAACGCTAAGCAGTAACGCTGGAGCATCGGCACAGCCGGCGCTGTGACAGTTTTTAATATAATTTTTAATATATTATTTTAATATATTTATTTTAATTCATTAAATTTAATATATTTATAAAATAATATTAATATTAATATTTCGATTTTTAAAATTTACGATTTAATTTTTGTCGGGAGTATAGGCCAGGCGCTACCCCATTGGCTGAGACCGGGCCGGAAGATCAGACAGGATTAGCGGGACTAGCCGTTTCGTATAGAAGCACGTGGTGTAAGCAGATTTATGCAGTAGCTAGTATATAACTCGTACGACGTAGTACGAGTTAAAGGGTAGACGCAATACCACGATTAGTACAGCACCTGCTGCTTGTTGTGGCCGCGTCTCACAGCACATGCAAATATCACGTGATCTACAGCTGAATACTGTGCTTCCAACAATTTTATAAATTCAAAATTTAATTATAAAAATTATAATCTAAAATTATAATATTTCGATGTCTCGGAAATAAATTGGCGCTTGATGGAGGGGCATACACGTGACCGCGATCAGCTTGGCGTGGCAGTCGCTATCGATAAGGGCGCCAATTTAATTTTTTGTTTGGTCTCCCGCACAAAGTCAACACAAGCAGGGAAGAACAACGACAATGCCACCCAATATGACAGAGGACGAAATCGACGATCTGCTGTACTTTGCGCGCACAGGTGATAAAGAGGAGTTCGAATCCCTGAAGAATGAGCTCTGCAAGAGAGAGAATGTATCCGTGATGAAATTATTGCAAACCGCGAAGGATGAGCACAGCGGAAATGGAGTCTTGCATATGGCTGCAGCTAATGGACATAATGGTCAGTAACTGATGCAGAATTATCCAAAATAGGTGAATAATGGCTGACATTAAATCACAGCACTTCTCAGCGAACTCTGCAAAGCATTATCCGTCCCCTCACCGCAGAATCCCACAATGCTCTCGATCCTGAACGCACAAAACAAAGCTGGAAACACGGCATTACATTGGGCGGCCCTCAATGGACATCTAGAATCTGTCAAGGTGCTTCTAGAACAAGGCTCAGATCCAACAATCACAAACCAAAGAGGTCATGATGCCGTCTACGAAGCAGAGTTAAATGACAAGCAAACAGTGGTGGAATGGGTTCTGAAAGAAGGTGGAGCAGGACTTGAGGAAGGTGTTGCCGGTGACAGTGGTGAGGGAGAAGCTGAAATGGGTGAAAAAGACGAGGATATGGACAACATGAATGAGGACGAAGAATCGAAGAAGGTCACTGAAGGATTGAGTCAAATGGATCTTCAGGAAGGCAAGGGCAAAAGCTGAGCTACTCCTGGAATATACGATGTTTACGAGCCATGATACCAAGAACTCAGCATATACCCTTTCGAAAGGCAACCTTAGAGGTCCCCTTCAGAACGTTGGCCGCTTTGTCGCTCTCGAAGAAAGACTCAATTTGAAGGCCTTCATTCGGTCGAAACGGCTGTGGAAACGCATTACCCGAGCCGTAGAATAGTTCTTGCAGTAAGATTACATGCAAGACAATACTATTATTGCTAATGACAGTCTGCAAATTTACGTTCGACTTTGCCTGACAGAACTAGCAGTCAGCTCACTCTACCAGATTGACCTCTCCTCGAGTATACTTCGTAACGCTTGGTGTTAAATGACCAGTATCATAGTGCTTTAATCTTAATTGTCGCAATCAATACCTACGAAGCAAGTGCCATACTATTCCATGAACTTAGACAATGTTGCATCTCCCAAGGTGGAGATTGGATTCGAAGCCGTCCGAGACTATATTGTTGGAAGTTCTGTTTGATTGCTTGTATATTGGAAATCTATCGATAATCCAATCATCTAAATATTACAAGTTTCCAAGCGAGAAAATAGCGACTGAAGTTTCGAACATCTCGAGTATTGCGCGTATAGCGCATTCAGCGCATTCAGCGCATCCAGTGCGTTTCGCTCGATTTGCGCCATTTGCGGAGTAGCACAACATTTTGATGTTACACTCTATTCATATATCCCAGAACGCGGCCATTTATTTCAAGGGTTCGAGAACGACTGCATTGTTTATTCTACTTCTATTTCTCATTTTATGTCCAATACCACACATACAAATCCTCTTAATTGTTGTCCTCCAACCCCACAATAGTCGTCTCGGCATGACTGAAAGTCCTCAAACCAGTCCTCACAATTCTCAACACAGACTTGCAATTCGGATCAGGGCATGCAACCAGAGCATCAGATTGCATCCAATCATTTGGGTGTGTCTTTCGTTGTTTGGCTGCAAGTAGTGGGAGTACAGATGCTATCAAGTCACTTAGCATAATATTGGTACATTTTGAGAGCTAAATGAGCTCACATAAGCTGTATATGCTAAAGCCTTGACCAGGAGGTAAATGTAGCATCTCGCCTTGCAAGGTGAAGCAATCCCCATTTTTGGCTCCGCAAAGGATTCGTTCTCCTGGGGGACAAACAACTTCTACGCGGAGGTCGTAGAGCTCGAATGAGTCGTCGATCTTTGTTGACATGATTCAGGAGCGTATAAAGTGTCTGTATATGATCTCTAATGGAGGACTTTTGTTTGTTGGTAGGCTCTACGTGCGTTGAAAGTTTTTGAAGGTGGGGTAATGCTACCCCGCACCTGTACGCAAACCACTAAACTTTCAGGGTGTGCTCGTTCCCCTACTCCTGATATTGTCTCAGATCGGATCGAGTAGTACAAGCTTGATATCGAACTGTACTTCGATTCTCATTGATATATATATGTTTTTTTTACCAGATCGCTATCTATACTCAGACCCACAATCTCCCATAGCTTCAAATACGTCTCTTGCTTTAGACTTATCCAACACTTTCTGTACCTCTCCTAAATCTTCCTCATCAAGCTTGAAAGTAAAAGCTTTCAAGTTCTCTTCAACATGTTCGCTGATACCCATCCTCACACCGACTATCACAGCACCTACATATTCATGTTCCAGAACCCATCGCACAGCTACAACGGAAATAGAGACTTTATGTTTCTTTCCGATTGTTGAGAGGATGGTCAGAAGTTCTTGAAAGAGCTTCCAACCTCCCCATATTGTGATCATTTCGAAGTACTTGAAAATTTGGTCAGCGGTTCGTTTTCAGCTGAATAGTGATGGACGAACCTTTCGAGAGCTTGGTGTCATCTCTGGATCGAATAGATTTGGAGCTGGTTTACCCAGCCAGCGATCAGCGAGTAGACCTCCGCACTTTGATAATAACTTAATATTTACCAATTCCAAGTCTAGAGCTGGAATCTTACCAATGACCCATAAGTGAGAAGTTTCACGTTATGTTTTCGGCAGCTCTCCGCCATTTTGAATGTAGGTCGAAGATCAATCAAGGAGAACTGCGCCTCGTGTTAATTAAATTTCTATGTATATTGAAGAATTACAAGCATACTTGAACTTGATTCGAGACAACTTTGACTCCCGTCTCAATGATTTCATCCATGTGATCTGTGTCAAAATTGCACAATCCAAGACCATCAACTCGTGAATCTTGCTCGATTAGTTTCGCAGCTTCCACATATTGTTTGTCTTTGTACTTCAAAATGTTAGTTGAAGCAATAGATTGGTGGTAGAAGATAGGTACATCTTGCCAATGGAATTGTAACAATTCTACTCTGTTGGATTGCAGTGTCGTCAAACGCTTTGTAATTGCGCCTTTGACAACACCTGGCGATATAGTAGTCGTTTCAAATACGCACCATTTCGTGGCACAGTATATGTTTTCTGCGTCGTCTTGCAGAAGTCTGAATGCTCCCTGAAAGAACTTCGTCAACATTCAAAGCTAATTGAGCTCGAAGTCAACTTTTACATACGAAAGTCCTTTCTGCGTCCCCATAATGGTCTGCCATATCTGAGATCTTTGTTAGAAGATCCTACTGTTTCCTATAGGCTAGCAATCATCACTTACCATAAGCAACAAAGCCAGCATCTGCATGCTTCCTGAAATCCTTCTGAATATTCGACCAAGATGCTGAACCCCAAGCAGGACTTGAGAACTGCCATAATCCCATAAACATCCTCGGGACGATGGCTTCTCCAAGCGCCATAGTCTCAATATTTGACGCTGAAGATTTATATTGGTATGGCCTTGATCCTCGGTGCACATTCATACCATTTGGCTCCTTCTTTTCATCTTGAGTAAGAAGCGTCCGCAGAGTCGACGATCCTCTTCCGAATGGGGGCGAATGCCCAGATCGCGCAAAGTTGGCGTCACACCCATCATTCGCTTTTCGTAAGTCTTGTATGATGCATTGCTCGCTTTCGCTTAATGCTCGAAGACCAGAGGATGTGCTCAATTGCTTTTGCAATGCCGTTACAGCTTGCACGAGATCGCTATCAATGACGGCAAAAGTGTGATCCGAAGAGTCATCTAGTTTAGTCGAATCGATATCCAATTTTCGAACTTGTTGGATGACCTCGCTAATGGCTCGCAAGCTCTCAAAGCCCTTTCCACATCCCATCAAGCACCTATAGCGTTTCTGAAACTCATAAAAGTCAAGACTAGGTTTTGAGTCTCTAGTCGTAAACAGTACTGGGATCGAAGTAGGTTTAGTTGCCTCGAGATATTTTGCTGCAAGTGATTGAAAAGCAGGGGTAACTTTGGCATCCACGCCTAGCAAGCTCCGGAGAATCGAACGTAGGCCATCGGGAGGAAGGTTGGCAATGATTGTATCCGTCATCATGTTGACATGCGCCGCTTTTGCAGGCTCGTGGGTGCCATTTGGTGTCTCTTGCGATATTGCCATATCGGAGAAATTGGAGAATATTGGCAAGTGCGAAGATCTAAGTAGATTTGACAGGTTCAGATTGATCGACCGCCTTGTATGAGGAAGAAATCAGATTCTTCCAATGATAAAGTACTCTGTAAACGCCTCGAAACTTTCTTCTCAATTGCAGTGTCCACATCTACATTGGTGATGTCGGTGTCCTATGGTACCCCACTTTTGATACAATTTTGAACACCGGTCCGTCCCGCTCGAGTCTCATACGTCCAGTAGCTTGGAGACAGAGATTGAAATACAAAGAGCAATAATCATTTGAAATCATGCAAGCGGAATTGCAAAAGAGAATCGAGTTTACCTCAGTAGATGTAGACACACTCGCCTCACACAGAGTTACGAAAACGGTCTAAGCGATAGTCTATCAGTGGCGATCCTTACGAACGCCGGTATCCTCCTCCCAGTCACCGTTATCAGAAACAAACTTGTTTCTATCGTTACTTGGCTCAATCTCTCTTGATTTTGAGGCATGAAGTAAAGACAAAATGGATCTCGAATTCAAATCAACCTTCGAGCCAAAGCACGATGCATCCACCTACATCAATGAAGAAGCAGGCTCGGCCGAGCCCAGCTCTCCAGAGCAGCTCAAGCGCAATCTTGGTGCTCGCCACATCAATATGATTGCCATTGCAGGGATGATCGTAAGTGTTCCTGCATCTTGTCAAACCAAAAGATTAACAAGCTTAGGGTACTGGGTTATTCCTTGGCTCAGGAGCCACAATTGCCAAAGCTGGTCCTGCTGGAGCTTTGATGGCGTATATCTTCATGGGTCTCGTGACTGCTGGAGTTAGTGTAAGTCAAATACATGTCCAAAGAGCTGAGACATGATTTGATATGTAAATAGTACACAACTGGTGAGATTACGGCATTCATGCCAGTTACTGGTGGGTTTGTGAGGCATGCCACAGCGTTCGTTGAACCTGCTCTGGGAGCAGCCACTGGTTGGAACTTCTGTAAGTCGTTGAGTGTTGATTGCTTTTCGTAGAAGATTAATGGGCCTGCAACAGGGTATACAATGGCAATATCGGTGCCCGCAGAACTAAGTGCTGCGGCAACTTTGGTCCAATTCTGGAATTCATCCATCAATCCTGCTGTTTGGATCACCTTCTTTCTAGTTGTCATTGTGGCTTTGAACTTCTGCGGAGTGCGACTATATGGAGAGGCGAGTCTGCCCGACCAGCATTGCAAAAGAGTGCACTGACAGAAAATAGTCCGAAGTGATCTTCGCCTTAATGAAGATAGCTTTGATAGCGGGCCTCATCATCGCAGGCCTTGTTGTTGATCTGGGAGGTGGACCAAACCATGATCGAATCGGCTTTCGATATTGGAAGACTCCGGGAGCTTTCAACACCTATCTCGTAGACGGGAACACGGGTCGATTCCTAGCTTTTTGGTCTTCTCTCATCAGTGCCGCTTTCAGCTATGGGAATATCCAAGTCGTTGCTTTGTCGGGGACTGAGACTCAGAACCCTAGAAAGATCATCCCTGAAGCTACGAAGAAGACTTTCTATCGAGTGTTCTTCTTCTATGTTTTGAGTGTTTTGATTGTGGGCATGATTGTGTAAGTCTCCCCAAGATCAAGATCGGTCCGTTACTGACAAGATTCAGTCCGTATGATAACGCCAAGCTGAAGGTGTCTACGGGCACCGCAGCTCAATCGCCTTTTGTGATCGCCTTTCAAGCTGCTGGGATTTCTGTACTTCCCTCCATCATCAATGCCGTGGTATGCACTTCAGCCATCAGCAGCGGATCAGCTTGCATCTTTCTAGCATCCCGAACTCTGTATGGACTGAGCTCCGATGGTCACGCACCCAAAATCTTCTTGGAATGCAACCGTTTTGGAACTCCGTTTTGGACAGTAGCTTTAAGTGTTCTGCCTTCCCCTCTGGTATACTTGACAGTCAGCAATAATGCATCGATTGTGTTTGGGTGGTTTGTAAATATAACTACTGTTGCGGGTCTGATTGGTTGGGTGGTCATTGAAATCACGTACCTCCGGCTGTACTACGGGATGAAGAGGCAAGGTTTTTCTATGAATGGTTTGAGTCCTCTCGAAGTGTCTCGATAAAGTGCTGATCAATCTAGAATTGCCATACAGAAGTCCCTGGCAACCATATGTCGCTTGGATAACGCTATTGATGGTATTACTAGTCATCATCTTTTCTGGTCAGTTTCTCCTACTTGCAATATTCGATGTGTGCTAATGCTAGTATTAGGCTTCGACGTATTCTTTCCGGGAAACTTCACAGCATCTAGCTTCTTGACGAACTACCTCAACATTGGAATATTCGCTGGTAAGATTTTCGTTAGCTGGTGACAAGAGTGGAAGCTAATAAGACCTAGTCCTTTATCTCTTCTTCAAATTCTATCTTCGGTCAAGAGTGGCGAGCACCACGGACATGCCACTTGAGCATCTATTTCAGTCTGTTCGAGAATGGCAGGAGGTTGAAAAGCACCGAAAAGACGATCCTACATGGAGGAAAGTTTATCGGAAGATCTTTTAAGAGCGAATGGCAGTACTATTAAGCAGAGAACGAGGCTGAACCAAATATCAAACATCACCCTCTTGTGAACTTGGCAATCTCGCGAACTCTCGCAAAGCTACCATTTGATATAGCAGCACCTATAACTACAAATATCTATGGTACACAAATCATCTATAGCGTTGTCCTTTTCCCTCCGATCTGGATCTTTAAAACTCGATTTTCCAGTTCTCGCCAATGGCAACCTTGGGTGCCTTGACTACTGCCCAAGCAGCCTTCTTTCCTTCCTCGGCATAGTACTCCAACCTTGCCTCCTCCCTGCCAGCCTTAACGCTGGTCTTCTCAGCCCACTCCTTTGGTGCGCCAATTATGATGAGCTTCTCCACCCCTACGCTCTTCATTGTCTTGAGATATTTGTCTGTCAACTTGCCTTTAGTACCAATGTCCTTGCTCTCCAAAACACCGTTGGAGAACTCGAATGTACGATGAATGTAGGCACCTTGTTGGTAGTCGAATGTCTCACCATCGTCGACGTACAGCTCGCCTGTGGCAGAGCCAGACTTTCCAAGGACGATAACTAGGGTGTACGGATCCCATTTCATGAGTCCGCTTGAGCGTCGAGGACGGTCTTTGCGGGGAATGATGTGGCCGCCTTGCATCAAGAGAGGAATCTTCTCAAGTGGTGCTGGAACAGTAACCTTTCCTTGGCCGGTATACTTCTCGTAATCGAAATAATCGTAATATATTTCATCATCCGGCAGATAGATATCAACACTTTCAGCCTTCTCGGTGACAACAGGTTTGGCGAGGAGACCTGTGCTTCCAACGAAGAATTGATCATCGAGGTCGAAACCAGCTTCATCACCAGGGTACACGAAGTAGTGGGGGCGGATGATGGGAGTGCCATCAACACTGGCTTCGTGGAAAGCAGTGTACCAAGCAGGCAACAACGCGTATCTAAGACGCAGAGCTTGAGTGATGATGGGAGTGTATGGTTCACCAATGAGGTAAGGCTCTCGGCGTCGAGTATCGATGTGGGCATGACCGCGGAAGAATGGATAAAATGCTCCAGCTTGGTACCAACGGGTCAAGAGATCCTTCTCTGGATTGCCAAAGAATCCACCGACGTCTGCACCAGCAAAGGGGAAACCTGCGATACCGTTGTTGAGAATCATTGGGAATCCAGCAGCGAGGTGATCCCAGCTGGCTTGGTTATCGCCGGTCCACATAGCACCAAGACGTTGAGATCCAGCATAGAATGATCGAGTCAGGACAAAGGGGCGGCGGATTTCGCCTTTCTTGCGTTCAAGCATAGCTTGGTAGGTCGCATTGTGGAAAGTCATGCCGTTAATGTTGTGTACATCACGATGCTCCCAATTGCCATGGTGAAGATTGTCTTTTGGCATAGTTGTCTCCGGGCCGTTGAAAACCGAGGGCTCGTTCATATCGTTCCATATGAATAGGTTGGATGCACTTCCTTTGAAGGCGTCATATTTGAAGAGACTGATCCACCATTTGATGGCAGCGGGATTGAAACAGTCAACCCAGTGAGATGAACCAGGCCAACACCAGCCTTCATAGATATTTCCATCCTTGTTATGTACAGCTAGATCTTTCTTCTTGAGCTCTTCAACGATGTGGTAACCATCTTTGTTCTTGATGTGAGGATCGATGATAGCTACCAGCTTTCTTTCAGATTGGTCGAGCTGTTCAAGCATTCCAGTTGGGTTTGGGAATTGCAAGGGATCCCAGGTGAAATATTGCTTGTCGTCGGTGTACTCGATATCTAGCCAAATAACATCATACGGGATCTGATGCTTTGACATTTTGCGGTCAACATCCTTTACATCCTCATCGGTATTGTAGTTCCATCGACATTGATGATAGGCAATGGAAAATTCTTGTGGAAGCTGAGTATATCCAGTAAGCTCACCATAAGCCTTGGTGACCTCCTTTGCCGTGGGTCCGAGGAAGACAAAGACATCAATCAATCCACTCTCAGAAAACCAGTGAGTCTTAGTGTCCGTCTTGGACCCAATTCCGAGACTGAGTGGGTTGTGGGCTTCCTTCTCCTTGATGACATCAATCCACATTTCAGCTGCATTCAACCAGAAGACTCCGACAGTAGAGTCTTTCTTGTGAGCTTGCATGAAGGGAATTGAGCCATACAGGGTCATAGGACTGTCCATAATGTATTCGAAAACATCTGCATTGTACAACCTGTATGGGTCTTGGTGGTTGCCACTCGACTGGCGAGTCTCCTTTAAAGGCAAAGATCCTGCATGCTCAGGGATACCGAAAACATGCTCGTAACCAGGGAATGTGATATCTATGGCAACACTTTCGGGTCCTTTAGCTTTCGAGTCAGTGTTGCCACCGAAAGTCTCGTCCCACCATGTGCTCTCGTCTTCTCCGGTTTCTGCAACTGGTGTCTCCGCAGGAGCATCTTCACCTTCTTTCTTCTCCGGTTCGGGCTTGTCGACCTTTGGTCTCCAGTGATCCAAGTTGGCCAAGCCTCGATCATTGAACTTGATTTGAGTGATATCGTCTCGTTTGAAATCGATTCCAAAAGGAGCGAAGGTAACCACAGCTTGGAATTTGCCCTCCGGACCATATTTGACGATGCTCCTGGAAGCATCTCTTTCTTCTGTAGCGCTCTTGCTCACATCCAGACCGCCCACTATAGCCCAAGATTGTGCTTCATTGTACCGTTCCTTTCTAGCCTTGCTATCATGTCGAAGCTCGATCTCTCCCTTCTGGCGTTTCTCTTCATCGATTGTTACTCTCGCGGATCCCGACTCGAGGAAGGAGATGGTAATTGGCAAGCGGACGGTCTCGCCTTGCTTGTTGATAGTCTTGAGGATTGTGCCTTGCAATTGGCCGTTCTTCCAGCTCAACGACTCTGGCGTTATTCGGTATGGAGCCTCCCACTGTGATCCCAGGGCGGTCGCCTTATCAGCATATTGTCGATTTCGTTTGCAGAATCCGGATTGATCGCAGGTCTTGAAGTTTTCATGCTTCACAGAAACTTATAATGGTCAGCAAGCAATTGCATGTAGAAGGGTGGTATTTGGCTTACCAGCTGGAGTAAATAAATAACATAACGCAGCAATAATAAGTAGAGCCGTCCATTTGCTGGACAGCGTCGTAAAGGATCGCATGGCTGAAATGCAGCAGTTGTCTATCAAAACGTCGCCTTCATGAAAAAGTCGTTACCAACTGTCCAGCAATTGCTACTCGTGCAGATTATGAAAGTGCAGATGTCTTCCTCTGTATCTCACGCCTCACATTCCACGCTGTCCTTCACAGCCTTAGACCTCCCCTGCCTTGGCACCGAGCATCGCTGAGGTAAGGTTTCAAGCATCCCCATTAGGCAAGGCGTCTCAATGGTCTCAAGCCACAACCTAAAGCCACGAACTGTCCCGCGCCACCAACAACCCCTCCAAAATTCTATCACTTCTTCTCCATGACAGATCAACAACAACGCAAAGATCCTGAAATCTACAAACACTTGAGCCCTAAGACTCAAGGTTTCCTTCGTGCATCTGCAAATCAAAGAGAAGAATCAGCAAGACTCAACGACGACACCATGGCTACTGAGCAAACGTAAGTTGGACCATTATCCTCAGCTGCAAACTCTGGCGGTGAAGCTAATTATTCCTCACAGTTTCATTGCTATCAAGCCTGATGGCGTCCAAGTACGCATGGCAGATCCGTTCATTCACTCAGGGAAACATATTAACGCAATGCTCAGCGTGGACTCGTTGGTCCTATCATCTCTCGTTTCGAGGCTCGTGGGTATGTTGACGAGAGACATCAAAGTGGAATATGTGTTAACAATTGCATAGCTATAAGCTCGCTGCCATCAAGCTCATGACTGCTTCTACTTCCCATCTCGAGAAGCACTGTAAGGATTCTAGTGTCAGATCATATTATCAAAACAATTGCTAATTGTAGTCATAGACGAGGATCTCTCCGACAAGCCCTTCTTCCCAGGACTCGTCAAGTGTATGCTATCCCAATACTGCTTCCACTTAATACATAACTAATGTCACATAGACATGGCTAGCGGCCCAATCTGCGCCATGGTCTGGGAAGGACGTGACGCTGTCAAGACTGGCCGTAGTATGTTATCCCGCTATAACTACATTCAAATCTTCAAACACTAACCATCCAACAGCTCTCCTCGGTGCCACCAACCCCCTCGCCTCTGCTCCAGGTACCATCCGTGGCGACTACGCCATCGATGTCGGACGTAACGTCTGCCACGGCTCAGACAGCGTCGAGAACGCCAAGAAGGAAATCGCTCTCTGGTTCAAGGAGGGTGAAGTTCAATCATGGAAGTCTGCTCAGCAAGACTGGATCTACGAGAAGCCATAGACGCTTGCTCTGCAAAGCGTGCCCATGGTCGGATATGACACTTCGTACATGTTGGTTTGACTGATGTGGATGGCGGATATGAAGGGACGTCTTTACATAGAACAAAAGCTTTGATGCCTTCTAATGGTGCAAATTGGTCTAGATATCTATTATGTGATGTATACTCGTCAGGGTGGCATCTTCTTCACTCTATCGAGGTCCTTTCCTATCCCGCCACCAACACCACCAGCACTGGCTCCCAGCCCAGCTGCGCCTTTGCCATTCCCCGCTCCCTTCACACCTCTAAAGAGCCCAGTAAACCTCCCAACAAATACCCTCGCAAACCATGGTGTCCCCCAAACACTGAGCAACATCCTCGCTGGCAAGAACACCTTCGTAATAGCATACGCCGTCGCAACTTCTACCAAAATCCTACCACCCCTCTCCCCAACACGCCACCTGTTCTCCTCACTCTCTACCGATATCTCCCCCCCTTCCCCCTGCTCTCCCTTCTCTTGTGCAGAAAACCCAAACCATCCCTTCCTCCCGAAATACCGCCCGAACCTATCCACGCCCTCTTTGACCCACCGTCCCTCGACCCAAGCTTCAGGCAGCCAGTTCGTGTAGTGGAACAAACTTGCTAACCCAATGAGCGGTACAACAGCCGTTATTTCGTGCAGGATGAGGAAGGATACCAAGTGGGAGATGGGAGCTGTGAGGAGGCCGCAGGTGTAGGGGTGCAGGAAATTGGGGAGGCGGGCATGGAGGGAGGTTATTCGGGCGCGGGTGCGGGATTCGGCGGAGGTGGATTGATGGCGGAGGATCTGGCGGGGTCTGGGGAAGTAGAATGGCTTTCGGAGAAGGTGGCGGATAGGCATTGCGGAGGCAATTGGGAATCGTTGTGGTTGTGAGACAGAGGAGAATTTTGGATGACGCGTGCAAAGCTCGTCTACGCGACCTCGGTCCTGTAACTTGAAGTCAGCATTTATTTTTTTCATAACAAGTTTTGGAAAAAGTCGAAAAAATTATTACTGTAATGCTAAGAATGATTTTAATTGATTAGAAAAAAAGCTTCGCAATATAAAAATATAAGTTAATTGAATAAAAATTTATTACGTGATAAAATAATGAGTGAACGGGATGAAGCCAATCTCGTTGGTAGGTAGATACCTAGTAGTGTTCGACATACGCGCCAACTCCATGTAATGTACCGCCTAGCGCTACCTACTTCTCCTATAGGTTCAAGTGATCAGAAATTATTAAGGTGGTTTTGATCCTTGCCTCGATCTGCGAACTTGATCAAAAAGACGAGTTAAAAAGCACTTCCTGGAACGACATTTCTAATTCTAATAGATGATAAAATATATCTCGAAAGCTAGGTATCTATTCAAGTCTGAGAAACTTGTGCCTCGTCAATCGGGGCACGTGGTTCGGGTACATTTCTCAACCCCATATGAATATATGCTGCCCATATACGAGGATCACCGACTGAAAGATCCCAGGAAGCCAAGTCGTCCTCATCCTCATCTACCTCCCTAAGTTCAACATGCCGATTACTGAGAAATTTTCCTTCTGACAGGCGAGTAACTGCGTTGTGCAACCCACACGGTACAGAGTCGTCACTCATATTCGACTTCATGATTTCATCATATACATCTGCCGCAACAGCGACGCAATGCTCGTCCGAGAGCGCCCACAAGGACCCAATTACATGATGGAATCCGACAAGTTGGAAAGCACTCATCAGATGAATCCCTTCATCGATCAGCTTCGGGTCTTTGATGACTGCCGTAGAACAGGCTGAGAGATAGGCCAGGAAAGGCGGACTCTCATCTAAGTTCAGCGTCATTAAGTCTTCCACGGTGAGGGCATCATCTTTCCAATCCTTCAGAAGCAGAGAGCTCTTCAATGGGTCCAGCGGATGCGATATACCATGGCCTGCGAAATGAAAAATACTCGAACCTGGAAGAGCCTCCTTGACGTCTTTCTTGAGCGGCATGTTCTTGATAAGCGTTGCCTCTGATGGAAGATTCTCATTGAGGAGATCAACTTCCTGTCGTGCGTAAGGCAAGTCCCGACAATCGAGCGTCTTTTCCATGGAGACAAGCAACACTCTATCGGTGCGGCAGCCTACGTCCATTTCACGTCTGCTGTGTTGAATATATAACAGCGCTTTGATGGACGGGCTATATGAGGAAATGGCTCGCCTCAGCGCCGACTCCTCCAATGGACCTGCTTTGGAATAGTTGCCTGCGGCGTGGATAGGCAAGGCGCACAAGGCTCCAACTGGGACCCAACAGATATGCGGCTTTACCTCACCTGCTGATGCTTTGATAACAATTGGCGAATTGAGGATCGGAGCGACGAGGAATCTCCATAGCCACCGAAGCATTCCGTACATCTGTCCTCGCGTCACATCTTTCGCTTTGAGCTTGCCTGCCCAATACTGAATTTGGGAAAGACGAAAACCACGCAAGCTGATTGGGACTACTTCATTTGGAGTCACTACCAGCGCGTGGCTATGAGAGTCGCTAGCACTGACGACTATAATTGTTCCAGATTCAGACGCTGCCATTAATTCTTCAGCTGTGGTTGGTTCAAGGAATCTCCGAAAGTCCGGATCGTCCTGGATTTCTTTAACCACCTTGTCAAATTCTGTCTGTAGTGCCTCTCGTGCCAGAAAAGGATTCAAAGAACCATGGGTCTCGGGAGCTTCAGGATCGCTCGATACTGGTGAATCCAGCTTGTCTCGCAACTCCACGAACGCTTTTGCTAGATCAGGTCTTTTTTTCCTCAGCCTAGCTATGTCCGATCGAGCATCATATAGCATTCCAAGTATTACTCCTCGGCCATGCTCAATAATCTCTAGTGCTCTCTTGCCTGACCGCCCAGCTTGAAGAGCTGCTGACATTGCCAGAGAGACCATACCGCCGAACCTGGCCAGATTGTAGGTCTTATCCTTATGTTGAATGTGACGTGGGCTAACCTTGGGAAGCAGTTTCACGGCATCTTCCAAAAGCGAGCTTGCAGCATCCCAAGTCAGATCTTTGATGTATAACTTGGCTGCTCGATAGGCTACGTCGACCTTCGTCCAAGCATCAATGGCTGGCGTTTCTCCGCATTCGATAAGTGCCTCGATGGCTCTTTTCGAATCACTGCGGTCCCGAGTCATCTCATATTTCTTTTCCAGTAGAAATCCAAGGTTGTCAAGCTGTTTGCCTCTATGACCGTCATCTTGGCCATTTCGAATAAAAGACTCCAACAGATTTATGCCACTTTCGATCTCATTTGGATCTTTTGATACTTCTCCCGACAAGGTCCGAAGATATGCAACGTTGTTGATATGAGATGAGTAGTTCCTATTGTTCGGTGAGGCTTCATCCAGGGCATTCTGAGCAAATTCCAGAAGAAGCTCAAGGCAAACAACTTCATTTTCCTGTCGGTATCTCGCAGACTCGAACTCGATCAAAATATCGAGAATGCCTGCTCTGGTGGTGTCTGTGTCGGTAGTACTGATGAGGACTTCCCAAGCGATTTCTTGGGCTTCTACACCGTCCTCGATGCTGTGGAAAAGTTTGGCTCTTCGCGCAAGGAGCCTCGCGAGGTTAGCTTCTCGGTTTGGCCGGCCTTGATGACCTTCCGCAAGAGCGTCCACAGCTTTTCGGGCAAACTCGACTGCTTTGTCCGTCTCGCTCTTCGAGTGAGTTCCAGTCACGTCAACCTTCATACGATGAAGCTGTGCTAGCACGTGCATACATTCTCCTGCCTCAGAAGACGATTTGTCTTCATTGACAAGGCTTTCGCAGGTCTCAATCCCCTTGTTGATAAATGTTATGTCCTTCGTGATTTCGTACTTCCTAACACAGACTGTTGCAAGTTGTGTGCCGCAATTCAACCTCACTCCTTTTTCGAGTATGTCCAAGGAAAACGCTTCGTTGAGCGTGCGGTATGCTTCTTCGACGTCTTCTGGTGATGATGTCCTTTCGTATCGGCCTCTCAGCTTTGTCCCAAGACAACACAGATACTTCGCTCTCTGCTCGTGGCCTTCGGGTATGCACTGAAGAGCCTGTCTTGCGGCACTCACCGAGTTCTCGACATAGCTGATGTCTTTCTCCCATGAATACTTCAATGCCCACGTCTCGGAGAGCTGTAGCAGACAGATTGCGTGGTCCGAAGTCCCGACGGAAATTCTCGCGGCCTCCTGGAAACAATCAATGCTTTCCTGGACATACTCAAAAATCTTCTTGTAAATAGCGCTCCCAAATAATAAATCTCCTAGTTTGTGCAGATTATCACACCGCTCTGGATGTCGTTGGGGTGTCTCTGCCACCGCCATCCGCGCAAACTGGATTGCGGCGTGTATCTCGCCAGATGCGATATAAGAATCCCTCAGGTAACCCATACACAGCAGCTTGCTTCCAAATATATAGCTGGGCATTTGCCATTTGTTCTCCGAGTCAAGACTTGAGAAGGTCTCTGAGAGAGTGTCCTTTTTGGATTTGAGTTTGTTCAAGTGTTCTCGAAACTTTGAAACATGCGCATCAGAAGGGGACGCAATAGTGAGAGCTGATTCTGCTCGACAAATAGCTTGGTCGAGGTCCATTGCCTGTCCACCATAATCAAATTTCGAGTCCAGCATGCAGCTCAGGTTGCTTTCTGTCAAAGCCTGCTCACTTGTTGTTTCTTTATCACTACCGGCAGCCAACAACACAAGAGTAACTTCTGCAATCCTGATGGCATGATTGAGATCTGCAGTTTCTTTGGTATGGAAATACAAGGTATACCATATGGAATATGCAAGCCTGTGTGATGGCTCCTCTGGACTGGGAGCATCATTTCCTAGCTTTTCGGAGAGAGCTCGAAGGTTATTCTCGTCCAGGCTCAACAAGAGCTTCTCCACCGTGCTCTCGAGGAGCAAATCCGATATTCTCATAGCACATCTGAACGATGCCATATCTTGTTTAATGGGTTAAAGGGTCAAGTACGATCAACCTCCAGGACAAAAAGCTTGTTTTCACTGTCCAAGGCTGCTACCACAGACAAACAGGCACAATGTCCAAACAGTAGTTGATTTATTGACTATGGTTGGACTCTGGAAGCTCTTTGCGAGATTTTATGAATCAGCTGGAGTGATCTTGGTTTATTGGGCAGAGTGATGGCACGACAGTCTCAAAAGGTGTTACTAATGCGTACCTTGTTCTTAATTGTGATGGCTTCCATAGACTCGCAGGACATAAGACGAAGACGCTCACGTGCACATGGGAGGATGACAGACCGTCCAGAACGAGCCGCAAAAGATCGACGATCGTTCACATGTAAGTGTGCAGACGGCTGTCGAGAGCTACACCCGAAAAGTGAAAATCGACAATGACGGCTCTGTCAACCTTGCGCAACGCCCGACATGGTTGCACAAATAACAAGAGAGGTGGTCGCCGGTCGCTGCCAAGCTGTAGGATTATTTGGGTCTTTTATTGAAGCTCGCGCCCTGCTGGAATTGGTCGAAGCCTGTACATGTATATTTTGTCGGGCACACCGGCATTTCCCCTCAAACATACTGCATAAATTGCGCATGTGTACGCCCTCCACACGGTTCACAGGCAAGTACCTTCACATGCGTGCATCAGTAAGCTGCCCGCAACTTTCAAATGAGCCAAGCTGAAATGCAGCCAGACTTATGTGATGCTTGTTCCACAAGCAATACTTGAATCTTGCAGGTTCTCAATAATGTGTTCGCAGGTGATTCGCTTGACCTGCAGCGATTCCATTGGCTTAGAGGTAGAATCAGGGGGAGGATATTGCTTAGCCGTGCGTGAGCGATTTTTAATTGTGGTAAATTGACCCGGATGCATCTGGAGGCATTAATAATGATGAAGCTTGAAAGTTGTGTTTCACAAAGGACACCCCTGCCTAGCAGGCTCCGACTGACGCATTTGCGAAGGTCAAGTCAACAAGTCTATTAGCGTAGCTTATAGTTCACTCAAAGGCAATCGAGGTCCTGCAGGTGCATTGATTATCGCAATATCTGGCTTGAATTCTCAGCTCTTTGGACCATACGCTCGAATACCCACTGCTTCTTTCTTGCCTGCTTCGGCTCAGTATTGAATTATCTTCCCGAGTAATCATTGCAGATGTCTGGAAGGGAGAAGGCAACGTATCTGGTCTATCAGCAAGGGCGGGACCCAGACAAGTTGAAGTTGGGCAATCTTCTCTTCTTTCCACGAAATCCTCAGGAGAGAGAACCCTTTTCCTGTCCATACGAGTAAGTCCTACGCGCAAAGTAAAGCCGGTCACGAAATCTTTGCTAAGTATTCTAGACTGGATGACTTATCTGAGTGGACCGGCAAGCCTCAGATCGACGCAGATCTCGCGATTGATGTTCAAATATCACACGATGTATCTGGCTCTGTAAGCCTGTCCACAGTCTTTGGAGGAGATGTGAGCAATTCACGCAGTTCTCAACTTCATCTTGAGGGAAAGAACGCTCGTAGATACCAGATTGATCAGTAAGTGAGCTTTGCCTACTGTCTCCAAGGCCTCATTTTGACTCATATTTAACTCTTTGCATAGAGCTACAGACTTCTTGAACAGGGTCGTCCTAGCATCTCCCGGAGCCAGAGAATGGCTTAACTCGCGCACCGCCGTATCCGAGAAGATTTATCACTTGAACAAGCTGAAACTTGGTAAAGCAAGGCATCCACAGATCTGGCTGGTCACGGGAATTCAGCTACTTTCCGAAGTGAGTCTTCGCAATGAGACGAACACGGCTTCAAAGGGTAGAGTCTCCGTGCAGATTCCACCCCCTGAGCCTGTCTCTGGGGTAGCAAGTATTTTACTCAATAATGGTGGAGTGGGTGCCAAAGGCACGATCTCAAATGGAGCAACGAATGCCGTCAAGTTTAGCCACAAAGAGGAACGGGTATGGGCGGCGCAATTCAGACGCTTGAAGCTTGACTTCGTCAAGAAAGCGGCAATCCAATCATCTCTCGTCAAGGAGATCTCGCTTCTCGACCTTCAGGATCTTGGCCAAGCAGGCATGAAAGGTGACGCACAGCAGGAGTTGGACAAAGCAGCCGAGGTGGTCGACGACGATGAGGTGGATCTGGGTGATATGGAGGCTAATATCACCCAGGAAGATTGGGACACCTTCGACAAGCTCCTGAATGCTTCTAAAAAGAGAGCCTTACTCATCGGGGGTTCCGAAAAGTCTCTGAACGGCGTCCGGCACGATCTTACGGCCATGTCAGATCTCCTCATTGCTCGTGGCTTTGACATAACGCTGTGCTACGGCGAGAGTGCTACGAGAGACGGTATTATCAGGGCATGGCGTCATCTAATTCAGCAGACATCCAAAGAGGATGCCGTCGTCGTCTATTACTCGGGACATGGAGGTTGCGCTCCGAAGAACTCCGGTCCAGGACTCCCATTGCAGTACCTGCTTCCGACAGACATCGAAGAATCGAAACCTGGCGATTTTCGAGGCATACTCGATGTGGAGGTCTCCCATCTTGCTAGAGGTCTCACGAACAAGACCAGAAACGTCACGATCATACTTGACTGCTGTCACGCTGAGCTAATGTCTCGTGGGCCGTTTCAAGTGAGGTTCTATGCACCTGTATCCCGCGAAACTCTTGAGAATCATAGGAGACAGTTGCAGGAGTCTGGTTTCTTCGATCAGAGTAGCTTCTATCTCGAAGGGAATCCGCACTCGGTCCGTGTAGTTGCTTGCGGGAGTGATCAAGGGGCCTACGAAGTCTTTATTTCCGATAAAGATCAAGTTTCCATGGGACAGATGACCAGGGAGCTTGTGGCAGTGATCAAAGATGCAGGTGACAACATTATCTCTTGGGACGCCGTATTGGTACACCTGCGCAAGGTGTTGATGGACCCGAACATCTCGGCTTTTCAACGTCCACAGGTCGAAGGGGAGATGATGCGTGCGTTGTTCTCATTGGATCGACTTGACTACTGGGGTCAGCTTGGGCTGAAGCAGCGAGGAAATAATGTTATTCTGATGGGGGGCTTGTTAGCGGGCATTCGCGACGGTGATGAATATGCCATCATGCCTTTGACAGCCGTAGCTGTCGATCCAACCAAACAGATCGCAGTTGCTACAGTCCTTCATGTCATGCCTACAACTTCCAAGGTTCATGTGCAGTACTTTGGGTCTCATTGGAAACTCCCAGAGCGGTCGAAGGGCGGGGCAAAGGCTTTTCCACTTCGGATGATAAGACCAGAACTTGGGATCGAGGTCCTCGTCAATGACACAGCTCTCTCAGATCGACTTTCATCCCGCCTCTCCAAGTCTCGATTCGTGCATCACTTCAAGACGGGTAGCTATGAGCACGGCCCACTTGCTACAATCCAACAAGAGAACAACAAGCTGGTCTTGATCCATCATAGACCGCGGCCGGCACCAATCTTGAAGTACGAGATTCTGACCAATTCCAATCCAGGAGATGCAGTGGAAGATGCTATCTATCAAGTCGAAAAGCTCGCCAAATCGGATCACATGCTACAGATGAATGCCAAACCAAAATATACTCTGGACTGCTCTTCCGTCTCAATCACAATGGGTTGCGTTCAGGATTCATCCCCCGTGCCGCTGCCAGAGGGAGACCGCTCCGTCATTGAAGAACAGTACGTGTATGTGAAGATCCAAAACGATGGGACGCGTCAAGTCTTCGCATCCATATTCTTGGTAACTGGAATCGGGACTATCAGCTGGCTGTCTCGTGGCGATCCATCTGGTGTCGATATCCTTCCTAAGACTACATATACTTATGGTGAGAACAAATCCAACGAGGAGCTCGAAGGGACACGTCTCGTCTGGCCTAAATCAATACCCAGAAGCGGAGATCTCGATGAAAGTATCGTCGTTGTCTTGTCGAGTAGACATGTCGACCTAGGATTTCTCGGTACTGCCTACCGTCACACAACGGACATTGCGGGCCGTGAAGAAGCTGAAGACGTATTCGATCAACATGCTGACCAGGATTATCTGAAATATTCCGTCTACCATCTTGAATTCAAGTTCAAACCCAGAATATATGTATGAGAGAGAGGGAGAGCCCGCGCGGGGGACGGATCATTAGCGCGGACAGTTTTTGATATTGTTATCACTCAGATTGGACAAAGTCATGCTTCTATACCTATTTATGCTCTAATACCATTCTATATCTGCAACTTCACGTATAGGCGTAACTCTCTGAAGGGAACCAATGCTAGCCAACCCCTTTTCCTATTCTCGCTTATTTTTCTTGTCGAAAGTAATTACCTACCTAGTTGAACGATCATTCAAGCTAGCAGACTACAAATTCCAACAACAAGCCGATGATTTGAAGGCCGAAACCATCGAAGGATTGGTACGAAGCTGCTCAAATCGCCTTAGATTGCATGTATATTTTCTGTCTAGTCAGAGCCAGCCTCCCAGAGTATCGTCAGTCACGTAGTGGTAACCTCCTTGACATCTCCACCCATCCCCTTCTCGATCCCAATGATATCCATTCTCGCATGGTCCGCGCTTCTTCAGTGCCTTCAGTATAGCCTTTTCTCTAGCTTTATCAGAAAGTAACTTCTCTATCTTGTCCTTGATCTCTTTCAACCTTCGCATCTCATCCTCACTCAATTCTCTCTGCCGCGTCATCTTACTTATGAGTTCAGCGAGTTCCTTGCGTAGTTTTTCAATTTCACTATCCCTTGCCTCTCGTCGATCTTTCTGCTCTTTCTTCTGTTTTTGGACCTGGGTCCACGTGGCATCAGAGACACCTTCCTCGCGGAACGGAGGTATCTCAGCTGGTCCATTGTCGTCTTGGTCATCGGAACTTACAGGGCCCAAGGAGTGGACAGAACCCTCCTTTTCCACTTTCTCGTTTTCAGCATCAACAATTTCATCTAGTCCCGGGGCCGACGCGCTCAGCGGGGAGAAGGGTGGCTCGTCCTCTTGAATTGACGTGATCGAATGAACGCGCGCAAGGGGGTGGAACACACTTGTACTGCCTCTCCGTGCGCGATCTGTATACGTATGAGTGATCGGTGGAGGCGGCGCATTGCGGATCTCGTTGGCGATACGGAACGGATTAGCACTCGGGTCGAAAGGTGACACACTCGCATTCTTCTGCTCGTCTGTAGTATCCTTCTTAGATCGGGACTTGTGTGAAAATAACTCTTGATTGAGGCAGGCGAGTACTGTTTCCGCCGATACTGGTGGTATCTGATCCTGATCGTCATCATGCGTCTCGTGATCATGAAGAACTTCCTGCATATGTGTGGCTGCTATGCGCTTCGCAAAGGCCTGAATATGTCGTGCATTATTCCAAGACAGAAGAGAGCGAATCTCATCGAAGACTTTTAGAACCTTCATGTAGCCCTCTAAATATGAGTACTTGAGGAAAGGCGCCTGGACGTGTCTGTTTGCAAGCTCCCTCTGCAGCAAAGACATGCTGTCGCGCGAATTGATGTCCTCAAAGGCAATCTCTTCCGTGAACAACCCAGACAGCGCCGGTCTAGCGACCATTAGTTCCTCGATCTGGTAGGTTTGGCCAATGAGAATGACCACAATCTTTCCCGTGTTTTCTTCCCTCGTCAGGAACATGGTCAACTCGTTGGCGGCTTCACTGGCATAGTAACCCTCCTTGAGTTGGTGCGCATCATCTATAATGAGGACCTTGCCAAGAGCCTTCTGGAGCTGAGTCTTGGTCTTCGGAGCTGTCTGACCAACGTACTGGCCCACGAGGTCGGATACTGTGCAAGAAATAACCTCGTCTGTGGACAAGAATCCTATGTCATAAAAGACCTTGCCCATCTTATGAGCCGCTGTTGTTTTTCCAGTCCCTTTCAGCCAATCAGTAGAAAATTCAATGGCAGATCAACAGGGGAAATACATACCTGGGGGGCCTTTGAAGACAATGCAAGTCGGAACAAGAACTCGTGGTTCCACCTTGTATCTGTGGGCAGCCATCGACAACTTCTGATATCGTTCAAGCCTGGTGATGATTTTCTCTGCGACAAGTCCATCGAGAAGCAACCTGCAACTGCTTTCCCCACTGGATCCCCTAGCAAAGTCTGGATCGATGTCTTCTTGCTGAAATTCAACGTCGTAAGGTCTCTCTGGAATGGGAACCTTCGCATATCTTGCTTCATAATTCATCTTCGCTTTCGCCATCAAAGTCTCAACTTCTCCGGCATTGGAGAAGTTGGGACGCATTAAAGCTCTAGCGAAGATATCGCCAGCAACCCGGTACGCGTCGTCGGTAGCATTGAGATCCTGCTCATCCATCTTTTTTCGCATGATCTCTTCTAACTCGGGCTTAGAGAAGTTCTCGAATCGAAAGGCGTTCTCGATGGGGAACCTCCTGGAGAGACCTGGGTTCACATGGTGGAACATGTTTCGGAGCTTGTCTTCGTATCCAACAAGGATAACGCACCTATCTTCGCCCAAGACACCTTGGACTTCGGCGACAATAGTGTCGATAACACCATTGCGATAGGAGTCTGTCTGGCCATCGCCGGGATGTAGCATGTAAGCTTCGTCGATAACAAGAACTTTGCCTGCGGTCGAGGCTAAGATACCCCGTGTATTAGCCTCTGACTTTCCAACGGCGTCACCGATAAAGTCGGAAGGATTCTTTAGTACGACTAAGAACGTATTCATGGTCAGCCACTAAGGTCACTATGGGTATGAGGTTAGTAATACGAACCATCTCCACGACTGAGAAGACCTAAGTCAGCAAGAATCCGGCCATATAGTCTGGCTACTGTCGTCTTTCCCGTTCCTGGTGAACCGACAAAGACTTGGTTCAGGGGAACACGGATCGGACGACGCTCGGATATTTCTCGTCTGTAATTGGATTCAATAAGGCCAAAGAAGTTCTCTACAGCCTTCTTGACAGCATCGAGGCCGATGAGCTCCTTCAACTCTTTCCACGCCTTGCTCTTTTTCTTGGCAATGGACGGATCAGGTCCTATCAAGTCCTCCTTTGTGAAAAAGAATCGATTCGGATCTTTATGCTTGACTTTGTCGTTCTTGTGCTTTCGAACTTCTTCTCTTATTCGTAGAGCTTGGCGCTCGGATATCGTGGCGAGAAGGTTTTCAACAGCTCGCGCGTTCCCGAACCCTTTGCTCCCACGGCCTAGTCCAAGTCGACGAATAGCAATGTGCATGTACAAGCCGTGCAGTCCATCCTCCACTCTCATCTTCCCACTATATCTCTTTTCGATCTTGTCACACAATATTCTCCAAAGCTCGTCGTCGGTAAAGTCTTCAAAGTGTATTGTGTATGGTATTCGACTTCCCAGTCCCGGATTGTGTTCAAAGAAGACCTCCATCTCGTTCTTATAGCCCACGAAGATGACAAGTAGCTTTCCAATGTTCTTTTCCATTTCCGTCAAGATGATATCGAGGACTTGGCGCCCCTCACTGGACGCATGTGGAGCGACAAGTTGGTAAGCTTCGTCGACGAAGAGAGTGCCGCCACCGGCGTCCTTGACCAGCTTCTTGATACTCTTCTTTGCCCCCTTCGCCCCCTTGAACGCCATCGTGGCGCCAGACCTTACCTTGAGAGATTTCTTAGAGGGATCATCGCTTGACTCAATTGCTCCCACATCTCTCATGAAGGCCGCAAATAGATTGGCAACAGTTGTCTTGCCTAAATAGCTCTTGTCAATATACGCAAAGAGTTAGAGAGATAGGGTTTTATACCGGTACCAGGATTTCCTTGAAAGATCACATTAAAACGCTCCGTCTTCAGATTGATGTTTTGTTCTCCGCAGGTATCAATCTTAGCTTTGATGGCAAGGAATTGCGCCTTGACTTCTTCGAGCCCGACAAGTGCCATAAGATCGTCGAGAGGCTTCGCCCACTTCTTGTCACAGATTTCTTGGTCTTCTCTCTTCTGCTGCTCCCACTCTCCCGCTGCATTGGATGGCTTCACTTGAAATCTTCGAGCAGCTGCAAGCGCATCGGGCACTACCACTTTCTCGCCGTCTAGCCCTGTGGATAAGATCGGAGTCATTGATTCTTCGGCAAGACTTTGCTGTGATTGCTTGCTATTGAGGTCAGGATCAGATTTTGGATCTCCAGTCTCCTCTTCCTTGGCAGACCAGAATGAAGTTCTTCGCGAAGACTTGCCGCTTGAAGTGCCAGGCATGGCCACAACCGTGGGAAATTTCGGAGAGGATGGGTCGCTGGGCCCAGGGGAAGATGAAGAGGTGGCTGCCACTGCCAAAGATTCCGAACTGTTGTGATTTGGTGTGCCATGCACAGAGCCAGCATCTTCTGTCAGTGATTCCATACAAGGCTTCTCTATTGTGGATTCGTGGTCAAGATCCTCTCTTGATAACTCTGGGTCAGAGGCTCCAGTGGGAGGCCCAGGGCTCACATCATCAATTTCTGGTTCAAGGTCAGAGTTCCCACTCGGCATTCCGTGATCAGCATCTTCAGTTCGTGATTCGACGCTGGATTTTTCACTTGGCTGTTCATCTCCACAGTCTTCAGTTCCTGTTTCGACGCCGGAGTCTTCACTTGCCGGTCTCTGAAGAACATCTTCAGTATGTGGGTCGAAACCAGCTTCGTCACTTGGCTGCTCATGGCCTACAACTTCAGACCGTGATTCAGAGCTAGAATCTTCTGCTGGTGGCTCATAATTGCCGGAGTCTTCAGCTGGTGGTGGTTCAAGGCTAGAGATTTCTTCTGCTTCTGGAGATTCAGGCTTGCTGTCTCTTTTGAGGTCGTCCTCCTCAGTTTGTATGCTCTCATCTAACGCTTCGGACGACTCCTCAAGATCAACTGGGGGAGACTTTTGTGGATTATGAACAGAGTGTGTTTCTGTATTCACGTCTACCTTTTTCAGGTCAGAAGTATCTATGAGTTCCTTCACTACTGTTTGGGGCGGCTCTGTAAAAGAGTGAGCTCAGGCTTGAAGGTCTGGAGGGTCTACGACAACCCACCTTTATGTAAAGCTTCTTCCTCTGCTTCTAAGACGTCGACTTCTGTATGACTTTCTGCTTGAGGCCATAGTGCTCCTGCCGAAGTAAGAGGGACTGAATCCATGTGGGAGGTGCGTAAATGGTCAGTTGTGGAGAGACTTCTGTATAGCGGAAATCTCTGAAGAATGTCGACAGCGCGCAATTAAGATGTATTGCTAGGTAAGTGCCTTGTGCGAAGTTCATAGGGGTCTCAGGGCGCCTGCATTGCGCAACTTTCGTTACTGACACGTGAGTTCTGACCCGGCTCTTGTTGACTGTCCGAGAAAGACGTGCGTATCCCTTTGATTTTAGGCATGCATGGATTCCTGCGTACTCGGTCATCCCCAGCCTCGAATGCCCGGAGTACTTGCATACACCATAGCTGCACGGCGAATGCAAGAGGATGCACGGCGTCGTTGACAGCCAGCGCCTTGCCGTGCCACGTCATAATTAAGGGCATTTCTAGATATTGCCAAACAGCAACCGCTTTGGCTCGAGGGAAATTGTCTTGCAGAAAACTTGACTTGGAAGCACAGGGACAATGATAATGCATTAGGAGTAGACCTCGAAAGGCGCAACATCGGCTGCACGTCAAGCTAAAGAGCCTCACGTATATCCCATGAAAGCGATGGGTCAATCACCAATTACTCGATTTCTCGAAAGCTCTTTCTTGAAGTCAGTTGAATCAAGTAAAAGTCGGGACAATTGAGACCGCAAATTCCTCTCAACGAATGTTCCTGTCAAGCCTTTCGTCAACTATTATGAGCTTTTTGACGACTTGTGCTCACCTTTCAGCCAGCCTCCCAACATTGAAAGGCGGAAAACGACACTGCCGACGGACGCTCTATGCATACGCCCTCCACCCTGCTGCAGCCGGCTTTGTCATATATACAGGGACCCTCGCGTATTCGGGGAACATCATCACTCCGCTCCTGGAGCGAGTCCGCTGGCCAATCAAATAGAGAATGCAAACAATGTGTTCGAGATGAGACTTCGTGAATTGAAGGTCATATCAAAAAATTCTCAGAAGAATTCAAATCACTCGGAAGCTATTCACAATGTAAGCCATATTCTTTGTTGCCCGTGGTCGTTCGGTAGGTATTACCAGCCTCCAGATGTCCACACCATGTCCCAATCTTCTCTTCCAAGTTCCTTGCGTCCAAAAGCACTCTCTGACAAATAAACCAAAGGAACTTGACCGAACAAGCTCAAATATTACACCAGAACTATATTCGTACCGGATCGAAGCCAGCATTGGAATCTGCGGTCAAATTAACACAGAAGGCCGTAGATACGACACATCCAGCGGATCCGGACCTTACGGAAGCATTATTCCAGCTGTCTATCCTGCTTGGATTGAGATATGAACTTACGAAGAATGCCGATGACGCGAGAATGGCAGTAGATGCCGCTGAGAAGGCTGTTGATGCTGCCCCGTTGAGTCAACTAGAACGCGCGGCTCTCTTCAGCAACCTGGCGACCCGACTTTCTAGGAAATTTGAGCTTACGAGATGTATCAACGACATTGATCGGGCCATCGAGCTGTCTGAGACAGTGAAAGATGAGACGCCGCCTGGTGACTCGAGACGAGCTATGCGCTTGAATAACCTTTCAAATTTTCTTGAGATGCGATTCCAACAGACGCTCGTGGAGGACGACATAAATCGTGCTGTACGGACTACAAACTTGGCACTTGATGCGATAGTCGACGATACGGATCGAGCCCCGATACTAAACACTAAATCAACAATGCTCAGGTCGCGCTTCGAAAAACTAGGGAATGTGGAAGATTTCAGCAAAGCCGTTAGATCTGCCAAGGAAGCTGTTTTTCTCACTCCTCCTGGAGATTCAAAAAGGACTCTCAGATTGCATAATCTCCGAGCACTCCTAGATCATCCAATTTCAGTTCCCATGAATGTCAAAAACATCAGTGAGCTCATAGACGTCGCTAGAGTAAGAGTTGAGGTCACGCCAATCATGCAGACCAACAGAGCAACTGCACTGAAGCCTCTCAGAGATCTCTTGGTGTTACGCCACGAGCAACAACGGTCAATCGGTGACTTGGACGAGGCCATCGAAGCTACTAAATGTGCACTTGACATGACTTCTGACGACGCAGATGCCGTATACATAATGAACGACCTGGGATCCCTCCTTGGCCTCCGATTTCAAGAGCTGAAGCAGCTGAGAGATATAAATGAAGCTGTACGGCTTACCGAAATGGCCGTGGGTACCCCTCATCCCGACTTTACGGTTTTGCCTTTCTGGCTGAAAGACTTGGGGACCTGGCTTGCCCTTAGATCTGAACACATTGGATCAGAAGCTGATCTTGACCGAGCTATTGTGGTTTTTGAAATGGCTTTAGGCATGACTAGCAACGACTTTCCAGATCAAGTCGAACTCCTAGGGTCACTGGGATCTTGGCTTGAGACTCGATTTGATAAGACTGCCAATATGCCCGACATCAATCGCGCTCTTGAGGTCTGTGAGATTGCTTTCGATGCCACGTCTTTAGATCACCCCGAAAGAGAGAATCTGCTCATTCTACGAAGTAGGCTTCTCCAACGAGTGGAAGAAAAAGCTAGAGTTGTATGGGAAGTGTCGAGCGAGTAGAAAGTGTCGCCATTGAGCGCGTCAGCACATGACTTCTTGAGTCGCTTTCAGCTCTTTTGCCAAAAGTAATTTGGCTGTATTCCATAGTGCCTCGTGTGACCTTCAGCGCAAGCACACTCACCACTCGTGTCAGCCTCCCTAAGTGATCACATATCACTACTTGGTACAGATTGTACAGTATCATATCGGACTTTCAAGGCGAGGTAATGTCATCAAGTACTCTTGCGGCTTCTACAATCCACTACTGGAACGCGATGAGATCCGCTTGCTTTTGTTGCAACCTCTTCTGTGCCAGAGCCTCATCAAATGCACAATCATACACACGAGGCTCCAAGACGAACCTAAATATGATTCACTTTCATACACGTGCGGTGGGGCAAATTCGAGGACCATTCAGATCAACGGCGTGGAAGTTGCTGTCAGGGAAATCCTCTGGGAAGCCCTGCATCATCTAGCACCTTCGATTGGAGTTCGAATCTTGTGGATATATGCGATATGCATCAACCAAGATAGCGATCTTGATAGAAACCATCAAGTAGCTCAGATGGGTAGGATCTACAGCCAAGCCTCAAATGTTCTTGTCTGGCTTGGATCTTCGACCACGTAGAGCATCGAAATTTTTCGCATGTTGGGCAATCCATACGAGTGGCGAGAGATCTTCAAATCCCCTTCTTCGCTCAATTAGTGCTTGGAGAATCTGGTATTGTTATACCGCCGAGAATACTGGACAAGACTGTGGATTGTGCAAGAAGTCATTCTCGCCTCGTCAATATCGATCCAATGTGGTGCACAATCGTGCCATTGGCTTCGATTGCGCTGGTTTCTCGACACGATCGGGATGAGATGTGACGCAGCTACTTCTCCGTCCTTCGCGGACAACAAATCACTTTCCGAAATCGGCTCTTCGATCTTACTTCGACTTGTACGCCAAAGAAATCTGAATCGCCACGGGTACAAAATTTCACCAAAATCGGAACATGATAATTATAGGTTCTTTCCTACGCCAGTTTAGTCCGAAGACTTCGACCATGCAAAACTAAAGCAGCATCTACGTCCACTACTCAACGTTTGCTTGCGATACAGCCAGGCGTGCCAAGACCCAAGAGACAAAGTGTTTAGGTTGCGCAATCTCGCAGCTGATTGCTGTAAAAAGGCAACACGTGTTGAGTATAAACTCTCGCTACAGCAGATATTCGCAAGTGTTGTTGACCATCATGTCAAGAAGAATCACCTCAGCTCAACTAATGTGTGGGGAAGGTCGCAGCTCTTCCAAGTACGCAAAATTTCTGGCCTTATCTCGAGCGACTTTCTCAAGATTATCCTTCAGTTCAAAAAGCTTATGCATGTACCAGGGTACGATTTCTTTCACTCAATCATGGAAGCAAACACAAAGGACTTGGCCTTTTATCATCACCGTGTGGAGAAAAAGCAGGAGAACTGCTAAGAATCGAGGGGTCGTTTAAGGATTTATTGAGTGACGCGAGCTCTGGACATGAATGCCTATTTTATCATATGCCCATGCCAGAGATCGACACAAGGGTTTGAGTCTCGATATAGTCAAGAGGCTGTGCAATCACTCGTACTCAGAGGTAGCGTCATCTGTTATTAGCAATGCATGCGCTCGATTTTAGAAGATAGCTATGTTGACTATTTGTTTCGCCGTCTCCTTTTCTCTGCAGAGCTTCCCAATGAATATCCATCATACCAACCTCGTGTTGAACACTCGTTTCGACATCTAGAACATGTCGATAAGAAGAAGTCCGAGCAAATGCTAAGTCACCTTAATCAACCCCTTTCTTCTCACGTGTTGCTCATAGGCGAGCAGTCCAACAATCGGCTAGCATGGAAAGTGACCTTTCCAAGGTTAAGATTAACATCTAATATCCGTGCTTATCCGCAGCAGCCCACCCTTTTGTGTTAAAAGCTTTCACACCTGCACTTGTTCGTGATACACGCACTATCGATACCCACCAAGTCTCAGATTGTCAGTGGAAGAATCCACTTCTTCTTAGTGTCTTCCATTGACCATGAACTAGCCAATTTGGCTATCCCCGCTGCGCCACCAGGAAGGCTTTGGCATGAATCGATTGATCTCTGGAAAGGCAGAGCCTCGGTTGAGATCTCCGGGATCTGCTTTATTCAGGTCTGAAGTTTTCGAAAGGGTTGAGAAAGCATTCTACGTGTTAATAAAGAACTCTCTGTGTCCTCTATTGCTTGCTACCATGGAGAATGAGGCGATGTAGCAGTTTTGATTAGCGGTGCAAGCGGATTGATATTTCTTGTAATTGTACTATGTTTTGACTTGGGACGAAAATTTAAGAGAGACTGATCAGTCAGTAAATACTCTGAACAAACCTGACTTGCAGCAGGGCATCTTTTAATCACATTAATAAGCTTTTGGAAGACTGGAGTATTGTTCGATGAAGTGGCAAAAGGGCTAAAGTCTCTTTCAAGCTGTGAATTATCCAAATGTTTGAAGCCAGTCAGACTTCAGCTTTTCCTACTATTCTTACACTTCGACTCATCTTTTCTCCATGATGACTATGAAGCCTTTCTTTGACTAGCAATCATCTGCTCCGGCTTCATGCCTCCATCTTTCAACACACCTGCCTTCTTCAACGTATCAACCGTCTTCTGAATCACACTTAAATCCACGCCTTTGGTCCCACTTGTAAACTTTACAGTCTTCATCCATTCCCTGGCATCAGCCTCGCTATAGTCCAACTTCGTGCTGATATACTTGACAGCTTCTTCTTTATTCCCACCAAAATATCTCACTCCCTTGTCTAGTTTCTCGAACATCTCTTCTAACCTTGCATCGTTCTCCTTGATTGACGTACTAGCAACAATCTTCCAACTCGACCATGGCGTGTATATTTCTCCAACTTTCTTGATCTCTCCATTGTCGTAGTATCGTTTCGACGTGAAATGTTCCCACATGAAGAAGTCGGCCGTACTGTCGTTCACGGCATTCCGGAGTTTCTCGAAGGTTTGGAGAGGGATGAATTCGAACGGTTGTGTAGAAGGATCGGAGGAAAGCCAGCCTTGTTGATCTGCCAAGACAAATCCCATCACGTAGGATCCCGAACCTATCCTAGAGACTCCAATTTTGCCATTCTTCAAATCTGCTATGCTGTTGATGTCTCGTTTTGCTCCTGTGGAAATAGCCCAACCTGTCCGGATTTCTCGTTAGTAGGTAACAGGGAGAGAGAAGGGCAATGGCCGGAGATGAGACATACATAGAGGTGTCTCAACATATGTGCCAACGATCTTGTATCCTCCATCTCCTTCCACTTCATCCTTTCCCAACCCAGCTACCCATCCTTCAGTAAGTCCAATTCCAATATCAATCTCACCAGCCCGAAGAGAAGTAATCATATGTCCCGTGCCAGACGGGAATGCAATGAGTTCTCCCTCCAAGCCGAAATGCTTCTGTGCAAAATATAGCGGGGTAGAAAAGTGCTCAGGTACATAACCGATGCGGAGGGGTTTATCAGATGAAGCCATTATGAATGCCACTGATTAGGAATTTTAGAATGAAGAACGTGAACAGAGCAATTGTGGAACGTTGCAACAAAGAAAAGTTTGATTCTCTTTAAGCTTACACAGATGTGGGAACATGAAGTCTGAGGATGATACATCTGGACCTGGGCAGTGAGGGGTGATTATTCACGGCAAAAGCGGCCGCACACTAAAAACTGGGTCAAGGGACTTTCCCAAAGATGATAACGACACTTTGACATTCACAACAAATTTTTCCAAACCACAACTGAATAGGATTTGAGCATACTACTCCTACATTCATCTTACGCCCTCGAATCTTTTCATCGACTTAAAAATGGCGTCAACGACAGCACAAAGACGATTGTTGCAAGAATACCGAGCGCTGACCAATAATCCACCAGAAGGAATCACTGCTGGACCAGTTTCCGAAGACGATATGCTGTACTGGGAGGCTTTGATTCAAGGTCCAGAAGGCACGCCATTCGAGGGAGGCATATTTCCTGCGGAGTTGAAGTTCCCGAAAGACTATCCGCTTGCGCCGCCAACCATGAGGTTTCTAGGGGAAGTTTGGCATCCAAATGGTAGGTCGTGTGCTCTTGTCTTAGAATTACAGTATCACCTATGCCCGCGATTGAAGGACAGGACTAATGTATGATATAATAGTGTATCCTAGCGGTCTTGTCTGCATCTCCATCCTCCACGCCCCTGGCGACGACCCAAATCATTACGAGCATGCTTCCGAACGATGGTCGCCAATCCAGTCGGTGGAGAAGATACTGATATCGGTCATGAGCATGCTGGCGGAACCGAACGATGAGAGTCCGGCGAATGTGGAGGCTGCGAAGATGTGGCGAGAACAGAGACCGGAGTACGAGAAGAGAGTCAGAGAAGGGTGCAGACGAATGCTAGGACTATGACCTGTAGTCAGGACATTGTTTACCAATCAGCGGACAGGGCAGCATATGAGAGACGACTCAGTTCGATACCAGATAAGGCATGCTTCTGGTGGTGGAACATAGCCATGAGGCGGCAGATGAATCATAGGCTTTGGCATATGCAGATGGAGCGCTGGCGTTAAGAATGGCATGAAAATACATTATGGATTGAAAGTACGTTCGGCTCAGTTCTCAGCTTCCATGCATATATGTGATCTTCTTGTGTCACTGGGTTCTGGGTGATCTATATGGCTGCAATTCCACTTGTTCGCGCCGACTTTCTCTTTCCAACTAGAACAATTTCGTTTGCTTCTTCCTTATCTATACGTGCTTTTAATTTTCCTCCCGTGTTCTGCCCCCGTTCGGTCGTTTGTTACTGCTCTCATTATCAAGGAGACAGATACGTCCTTTCAAGAATGCTATTGGATACGGAAATGTGAACAGTGTTAGCTGGTTACCTACGACCAGTATGAGAAACAAGGTGTATAGTGCTGTCTCCTCCAATCATCGTTCAGTGAGAGGGGCAGTCGTATTGGAAATGACTCTTTAATTTATTCTGGTTGTGACATAGAGATATCTCCATCTGCATCATACACAGCTTCCGACAGCTTCCTGTCTAACCATATACTCAGCTTATCTTCATTGCCTAAAATCTGAATCTCCGCTTTCATATTGAGCATCAACATCATCTGAAGCTCTCTCCGCCATTCTTGGTCCCCTGTCTCCACATCTTGTCTCGCTAGCATTTTCTTGGCAATATTTCTATCCCTCTTGGTGAGACTGAGAAGACCCTGAACGCTGTCATCTGTTGTGAAATCCAAGCTTCGAATACCAAGCCAATGTAGTGATGGAACGGCAACATTTTTCTCGTGGGCTAGAGCTTTGGATCCGTGCTTATAGGTCGACATTATGCCTATGCCATCAGGGTCGAAGTCTACAAGAGCATATATGGGAATTCGTGGGAAACGGGTGGCTAGAAAATGGAGAAATTGCCGTGTTTGGATGTCGGGATAACCTTTTGCCTACAATGAATCAGACATTTCATCGATTTGATATGGTAGATTGTCTTACGGTAATCAAGATACCATTTCCCGCTATACAATTTTGCCAATATCTGCATGCTGCAAGGGATCGGAAGGTGGCCTAGAAAATTAGCTGAGGCTCCTGGAGAAAACGTTTGAACCCACCTCTTTCTCAACAACTACAATCCACCGCGTTCCCCCTAGATATACATCCTCTAAATCATCGGACTTTGGAATCAATATGCCCTGCCATTTGATTAGCAAATATGTTGATTACGGGGATATGAAGGCGGACCTCTGGCTCAGACCAATACTCAATTCTATGACCGCCCCTTTTTGTGACACTGAGGTTTCCTATCATTAAGCCCTTTGCTGCTGCGGCCTAGAAGCTCGTACTCAGTTCTCATGTCCATGAAAAAATAATAGAAGCAAACTTACCACATTCAACGCATCTCTATTGATACCAAATGTATATGCAATGTCATCCACGTATCGATCAACAATCGACTGTTTGGTGAATAGTTCTGACTCTCGATAATAAATATCTCTACACATCACCGTGTTAGCATCATAGTGTTTCCCGAGCTGAAAGCATTGTGCTGAGCTCCCGGTCCCAGGCTAAGTAGTGACATGGATTGGCGGCAGACAACAACCTTTTGGTGGTGACAACTCCAGATATCAAAGCTTCGTGGGACAATTCTAATATACGACAAAGAACAGCTGTATTCGAGTTAGCAAATTTCTTCCACAAGACCAGATGCTAAGACTTACTAAATCTCCAGGCTTCAATTGGACATTTACTTGGAAACTTGATCTTCCGCAGGTGAGATTTCTTCGGTCGAGTCCCATCAACCCCATTTTGTACAGCAGTCTCTTTCCAGGTTGTTCTGCTCTTCAGCTGGATCTCGAGCTCTTTCCTGCCGCTGAGGATACAGTCCGCAATGGACTCGAAGACCACTTCAATCTTGGTTATCACAGATTGGTGAGCATCGGCAGCTGGTACCGAGAGTGCGGACACATCAGGCTCAGATATTTCTGTATGAAGAAGGTTCTCGTGCAGGAACTCTGAAGGTTCCTCTGTAATCAGTGTGCTAGGTAAGTGTGGAAGCACGTTTGGTAACAAAAGCAGTTGATTCTCTTCTGGGGTATCAGACAAGAGGTCGATGTCCATTGAGCAGTTGATCTGACAATCTCATGCCCCATTCTCGATGCTGCATAGTCGTGGAGATTGAAGTCTGAAGGGCTTCGAGGAAATGTGAAGCTGTTGATATTTAATCCCCTGCAATACAGTATGCATGTCAGAGGTTCAGTCCTTAGCTTCGAGATCTTCCCGTGTGCCTGCGCCCAACCCCTGCAGGCGCTAGACCTAATGAAAAATGCACTTGGGCCAGTGCTAAAATGTCTCGGGAACCACGAGACCATCGCTCCCGCTTCCCCAGAAGCTAATCGACTCGTCCCCTGAATAATGCCTTCCTTTCAATCTGAAGGGCTTGGGGGGGACGCATTGATATCTCACTTTGTTCCTGCGGCCAATTGGACGCACGCGCCGTTTGCCAACTCTGAGAAACAATCTATCAAGATGGTCGCCAGCAACGACAAGCAAGTTTCTGTCACCGCCAGACAGCAAAAGAAACGACCAATTGACGCTTCAGTGAGTGAAGTACCAGAGACGAAAAAGCCAAAACTATCAGAGCGTACCGATCATGCTCGCTGGCGCTTGTTGGATGAGAAAGGCAGGCAGACCTGGCATTATCTCGAGGAGGACGAAGAAGTGAAGGAATGGCCTCAATCCAAGGCCGACAAGTATTTTCTTGGTCTGCCATTGGTATGCGACTATCATTTCATCACGGAGTGTACTGACGCGTGTAGGAACTTCCTGACTTGTCATCTGCAAAAACCCCCCTCGATTCGGTCAAGAATGGATTGGAATTCTTTCAACATCTGCAACTCCCTCCTGGCAATTGGGGCTGCGAATATGGTGGACCAATGTTTCTGCTACCGGGCTTTGTCATAGCTTGGTATGTCACAGAGACAGAAATACCAGATTCCATTGCCATCGAAATGAAGAATTACATTTTCGCCAGAGCCGAACCTGAGGACGGAGGGTGGGGACTTCATATTGAGGGCGAGAGTACAGTTTTCGGGACTGCAATGAACTATACGGCTTTACGGATTCTGGGCGTTAGTGAGGAAGATCCACGCATGATCAAGGCCAGAGGCACATTGCACAAGATGGGCGGAGCGAAATGCGGCCCTCACTGGGCGAAATTCTGGCTGAGCGTGCTTGGTGTCTGCAAATGGGACATTGTGAATCCGGTCCCGCCCGAGTTCTGGCTTTTGCCTGATTGGATGCCAATGGCACCATGGCGCTGGTGGATTCACATGCGAATGGTCTATCTCCCCATGTCCTTCATCTGGTCTAAACGATGGACGTACAAGGAAACCCCGCTGGTGCGACAACTGCGACAGGAGCTTTTCGCAGAGCCATATGAGTCAATTGAATGGACAAGCCATCGAAATAGCATAAGCGAGAAGGATAACTATCATCCAAAGTCATGGGTCTTACGGGCTGCGAATTGGTTTCTCATAAACATTCACATACCCTTTACCAGGACCAACGCGTTAGTGAAAGTGGCCGAAGATTGGTGTTGGGACATGATAAAGATGGAAGACAAGAACACAGATTACTCTGATCTTGCTCCAGTCAATGCTCCCATGAATTTTCTTGCTTGCTATATCCAGGAGGGCCCAAAAGCATACTCGGTGCAACGTCACCGCGACCGACTAGCAGATTACCTCTGGATGAAGGACGAAGGTATGTTAGTAAATGGCACCAATGGGGTTCAATGTTGGGATACTTCATTCCTTATTCAAGCTGTCATGGATGCTGGACTGGCTGAGGATCCAAAATGGAGACCAATGCTCACTCGAGGGCTGGAATTTCTTGAAGATCAACAGATGCGCGAGAATGTCGATGACCAAGCCAAATGCTACAGACAACAGCGCAAAGGCGGATGGGCATTCAGTAATAAGGACCAAGGATATGCTGTCAGTGATTGCATTTCTGAGGCTCTGAAAGCTGTCTTGCTCCTTCAGCGAACACCAGGATACCCTACACTTCTCGATGACCAGCGAATATTTGATGCCATCGATACACTACTGACATATCAGAACCCGTCCGGTGGATGTGCCTCATATGAGCCTACTCGTGGCTCTGAGTATTTGGAAGTATTCAATGCTGCCGAAGTCTTCGGCAGAATTATGATCGAGTATGATTACCCAGAATGTACCACCGCTGTTGTAACGGCTCTGTCTTTGTTCACGAAGTACTACCCGGATTATCGGACGGAACATATCAAAGTCTTCAAGGAAAGAGCAGTGGGTTACATCCGAAATGCTCAGAAGCCTGATGGAAGCTGGTATGGGAGTTGGGGAATCTGCTTCACCTACGCTGGAATGTTTGCCCTTGAAAGTCTCGCCAGTATCGGAGAGTTTTACGAAAATAGCAAGCACTCCAAGGACGGTTGCGATTTTCTGATCTCGAAACAAAGGGCAGATGGTGGCTGGTCCGAGAGCTATCGGGTGAGTATTCTTCCGAGGAGTTTAGACAACTGCTAATATCATTTACAGTCATGCGAGACAAACACCTATGTTGAGCATCCAACAGGTTCGCAGGTTGTCATGACTGCTTGGGTGGTCATCGCTTTGCTTGAGGCTCACTATCCAGACCGTGCCCCTATCGAGAAAGGTCTGAAATTGATCATGAGTAGGCAGCAATCCAATGGAGAGTGGCTGCAAGAGGCTATAGAAGGCGTTTTCAACAAGAGCTGCATGATTTCATACCCGAACTACAAGTTCATTTTCCCGATTAAGGCTTTGGGCATGTTTGCCAAACGGTATGGAGATGTAGCTTTGGTATGACATGGGCATGGAGCATGGACTGAGATAACGAGACCACTGGAGTTTATATATTATTAATCCATAATGTAATGACAAACAATGATCATAACAAGCTCGATCGCTTCAAGTAGATTGTTCTCACAGTTTCTCATGGTGGCACTCGAGTGAAGATGTGAAGACTTTCCAACACACTCCATTTCTATAACCTTCACATCATGCTGGATACGTATTTTAAAGTCTACCTAGATAGTATACGATTCTTAATGTCTCAAATAAATGATTCGACGAAGCAATTCACTTATCGAAGTTCACGTGAGTACCCCGCAGCCTTGGAAATAGTCGAGGCGAGGCTGTGGTTTCTTCTGCCTAACTAATTTTTCTGGGAGCTGCAATTCACAAAAGCCAACAACTCCTCGCACAAAGTTTCCCAACCTATACAATACCAACAACTCCGAACTCAATACTCACGATCGTTGACTATCATGGCGGAGGTCGGTTTCGCAAATAAAGGCCAGGCTGCTATCCAAGCCGGAGACTATGCCACTGCTATCAACTACCTCACGCAAGCTATCCAGATCTCCAAGTCACCGCTCTGGTTGACTTGGCGTGCGACTGCCTACCAGCGAACGAAACAGTACGAGCTCGCCCTTGCAGATGGTGACAATGCTGTCCTCGCAGCTATCAAGCGTTCGAAGCGTGACTTGATCGCAAACGCTCACTTTCGACGTGCAGTTGCCTTGCATGGACTGAAACGATACGGCGATGCGAGGATGTGCCTCCATTGGGTCAAGGAATATAACGAGAAGGAGAAGGGCTTGACTATCTGGCTTGCTAAGATCAAGACCGACTACGACAATGCGGGTGGTGACGAGGCGGAATGTAATCAGGTCACGGTGAAGAAGGTCCCAGACGAGGTCGAGGATGTCTCGAAAGACACCAAACCGGCCGCAAAGGAGAAGGTAGAAGCTCCAGCAGTTGCTGCCATACCTGTTGCACCGGCACAGACTCCAAAAGAGAAGATCAGACATGAGTGGTATCAGTCTCCAACTACTATTACCATTGAGATCTTCGCCAAAGGTGTACCAAAGGAAAATACTGAAGTCAAGATTGAAGCTGGAAGTGTAGGTATTCCCTCTCTGCTACTGTTTTTAATCGCTAACAATTTGTAGCTCGAAGTCAGCTTCCCGCTTTCCGCCACGGACAGCACATTTGATTACACAATCGATCCATTCTTCTCAAAAGTCGATGTCTCTAAGTCGAGCCACCGGATCACACCCCACAAGATTGAGATCGTCCTCCACAAGTCTACACCGGGTCTCAAATGGTCTGCGTTGGAAGGTACCGATTTAATCCCCAGCGAACCCGTGAAGGAGGACACAAAGGCGGCTGTTCAATTGCCAAAGCAAGAGACTGCGCCGGTCTATCCCACGTCCTCGAAGTCTGGACCCAAGAATTGGGACAAGCTGATGGGTGAAGAAGATGATGATGATGGAGAAGGCGAGGATGTGGACCGTTTCTTTAAGAAACTTTACAAAGGCGCCGATCCTGATACTAGACGGGCTATGATGAAGAGTTACCAAGAGAGCAACGGTACTTCTTTGAGTACGAACTGGTCAGATGTCGGAAGCAAGACTTTTGAGACAAGCCCACCAGACGGATTGGAGGCGAAGAAGTGGGAGTCTTAGGCTTTCAAAACTCTCGGGTCATGGCGACGGATATTTTGCAGCATTGCAGGGGCGTTTTTGAGCTACCTTTTACGAAGTTAATGACACAGGTAGCGACCATCTAGCAGGCGTACAAAAGTATGAGAGATACCTGACTGAAACGCATTTCTTTTGAAAGTCCACTGACAGATAAGTATCTCAAACATATGTTTCTCTGTACGAGCCGTTCTTTACCCCTCTTTGCTCCGGAGTCGAAGCAATACGTTTATTCTCATCCTGTTTACAACGCTGTATTTCCGGCACGCAGCACGGTTCTTTGCGTTACTATATCGTGCTTAATTGGAACGAGAGCTCATTAAAAGGCAGGTTCCGGATCTACGTCTTGTCAGGTACAGAACCATTTGTATTCCGGCTAAATATGTGCCAAGCTTTCCCAACATTCGTCGTCGAGATCAGCCTCATCTTGATTGAGGGAAAATTCGAGGGATCAGCCGCGCGTTACCGAACCATTGTTGATTTACCCCACGAAATATGGAGCAAAACATCCCACTTTATCCAATCCTCTGAGTCGGGATTGAATTTTTTTCGTTTTCTGTTTTGTTCACGATGAGGGGTTCTGATCTACTTCACGTCATTGAGGTTCTTACCTAAACGAGAGGGAACATCCTTCCGATTCTGTTGTATTCATAACTACATCACGCTCATTTCTCGTTTCTTGTTTCTTGACATTCTTTTATGATATAGTAGCCAGAGAAGAATCACCGATACGAAGATGAGATCACGAGGTCTATCAGCTGCCTCTGCAGCTGTACTCTGCTTCGTCGACTTGGCAGGAACCAGCGCAATCCCATCTACGACTCCGGTGCCGATTCTTATTACTGCGAATGGCCAAGCAATCGTGAACAACATCGCAGTCCTCGTCGGCAATACAAACACCAGTCTCACTCCAATTACATCCAGCACCGAGGGCGTCGAGTTATCATGGCAACCATTGAAGAACCATGTGATTAAGATTGAGGTGGAAACCAATTACACTTTTGTTGGAGCCCAGTTCACTATTCCGGAGGAAGACAAATTTTTCGGGGTATGGGAGTATCCGTTCAATGGCCAGCTTGATAATTCGAATGCGTCATTTGAAGACATTGGTGTTGGCAATGAGGATGGCATCAATTGGTCAAATGCCAGAGCGCCATTCTTTATCACCACTGCTGGTTACGGCGTGTATACGGACACTCTTTCAATCGGATCTTACGACTTCAGTTCTCCGAATATGGCACGATTTGTTTTCAACTCCAGCAGTTTAGTCTACTACATCATTCTACCAAAGACGGAGGGTGACTTTAAGTCCATCATCAAGGAATACACAGCTCTAAGTGCGAGAATCGAGATGCCACCAGATTCCGCTTATGGACCGAATTTCTGGTCAGACGATTTCGAGCAGGATTTTCATGGAAATGCCACCAATGCGCAGGAGAACTACTTCGATGTTATTGATCATCTAGCTGCCAACCAGATTCGAGCTACCAGCATGTTTGCGGATAGTAAGTGCTCTCTACTTTCAGGCGAATTATCTACTAACATCACCAAGGACCATATGGAACAGGAAACTCTTCTTTCGGCAACTTCGACTTTGATCCACAGTTCTATCCCACGCCCAAGAAGTTCATTTCGGATCTCTCTGCAGCAGGGTTTGATTTCCAGGTCTGGGTAGCTAACCGGGGCTTCCTCAACACGGAACTTTACAATGCATCCGTTGCAAATGACTGGCTCTTCCCGGGCATCTCGCCAATCCAGTTTCTAGGCCCTGCGCTCAATCTCTCAATTCCAGCTGCTTACGATTATTTCAAATTGCATCTAAAGAACTTTACAGATCTCGGAGTGAAGGGATTCAAGATCGACAGGGGTGAGGAGGGAGAGCTGCCAGACTATGAACAGAATCTCCAAAATACACTCTTCGAACAGTTATGCCATGAAGTCATGGTTGAAGCTTGGGGATTAGGAAATTACTACTCTTTTGCTCGATCGGCGGTTGATCGTGCACGATCTTTGACTGGAGTCTGGAACGGAGATTCGCACTCCAACTTCACTGGCTTGCAATACACTGTTACATCAGGTATCCGAGCAGGACTGTTAGGCTTCAGTATGTGGGGAAGTGATACTGGTGGCTATGTTCGAGACACAAATTCACCAACAGAAGAGCTGTGGGCAAGGTGGATGTGGTTCAGTGCTTTCAGTCCCGTGTTTGAGATCATGGTTGGCACTGGACACACACCTTGGTACGCTCCTTATACTTCGAGATTGGTGTCTATCTTAAAGACTACGGCAAATTTGCATGTCGCATTGGTGCCGTATATCAGAACTTACACCTACAAAGCGACACAGACAGGACTTCCCGTCATCAGAGCCTTGTGGCTGGAGTATCCGGACGAGATGGAGACCGTGAGAGATATCAAGGATCAGTATATATTTGGAGAGGAGTTCTTGGTCGCTCCAATCGTCAACGGTGGAAACTCAAGGTCTGTATACTTTCCTGGAGAGAAGAAGTGGCTCAACTACCTCTCTCGAACGTCAACCCCACAAGTCTACCAAGGTGGAAAGACGATTTCCAACATCACCGCAACAATCGAAGACATGCCCGTATATGTCAAAGAAGGAGCCATCATCCCAACAGGCGATCTTCATCAAAATAACGCGAAATGGGATAAAGATTGGCAGCCTGTTTTAAACTTCGAGCTATTCCCTAGCTTCGATGTTGATAATTCAACATTCAGCTACTTCAGCAAAGAGACAAACAAGACGGTCATAATCCAGATGACCGTGGACAGCGACGAAGGGAGTGGGAACGTGACAATCACGAGTGGGGACTTTGGGGGTCTGGAAAAAGCTTGGAATGTGACGAGCATTGGTCAACTCTGGGTTTATGTTGCCGGTACTATACAAAAGCTTGCTATACCTGTAAGTGGTGGAATATCGGGTGTGACTATGGAGAAGAGTATTTGGGACTGAGGTGATGCAAATGAGTGCAGGTTTTGGTAGATAAAGAGCTTCAACTGGCTCAAGTATTTTGGTGGGGCCTTGCTGGCAAGTATTCAAGATCGACTTATATTGTCTTATTGAGACTTGTAGCTAGCATGGTCTGTTATTTACTTGATGAGTTTAGCTTTATGGTAGTATCATAATTCAAGCAACACACCTTCTCCAGATCATCTGACTTGCACAACACCATACTACTCTATCTTGTCTCTTCTGAAAATAGTCAACATCTCAGCTTGTATTGGCGCTCTTAGAGTAACAATAAAGCTACACCTTCTAGGTTCACTCCATTTCCATCCCACCATCTTGTTCATTCATCCGCAATTCCTCCCAAAATCCCGAGACACTCCTTAATAACCATCTCCATCCTTTCATGACACAATTTACAATCCATACCCCACCTCTCCCCATCCCAACACCGACTCCCTTCACCACCCCGCGAACCCGCCTCCCTGCCTCCCTGCCTCCAAAAGCGTCTTCCAAGCCTCGATATTCTTTTCATCAAACCACCTCCCAATTTTCTTGAACCAATCCATTTTATAATGATCAATACAAGGCCGAAAACCCAGCCGCCCGAGGAAAAACGGGAACCCAAGAATCAGAAGAATTAAAACAGCTATTTCTTTTGTGATTGCATAATTGGCGGCACGCGACACGCTGAATAGGCACGAAGAGAGGAAGACGAGGAGGATCCAGCCGAGGCCAACTGAGAGCCCGATTATCAGGCCAGCGCGGTGGGTGGTGACAGGAAAGCCGCCGCAGTCGGTGCCGTAGCAGCTTCCGCCGCCCATGATGAGGACGATTTTTGAGTGTTATCAAGAAAACGATTTTGGATAGAGGAGGGGTTATGGGTTTATGAGGGGTATGAGTCGAGTGAGACAATTATGTCTCTAGCGAGGAATATAATTCGCTTGTTCGGAGACGTGAGGTGGTTCCATTTCCTACCTCTCCGATATCTCCTTATCATCACAACCTCATCTAGTTAATTAACCCAGCATGAGTAGTCAGAGATAAGCGATGTATATGCAAGCAGTTGGTAGCATAAGCTGGATCAATAGCCTATTTGCCGCTCCCAGCGTTATCGTGCGTTTTTCTGCCCGAGAAACGTGCGTCATGTGATATGTGAGGAGGAGGAGGAGGACAATGTTGTAAAGACTTTGGTCCTGGGTTGTCAGTAACAATTGGAACAGCGTGGAGGCGAGATGTATGGCGATGGTGGCGCTGTTGGAGTGGGCGATTGGGTGGTGGGGGAGAGTGAGGAAAAGGGAGATGGACAGGTGAGGCGAGGTAGTTTTGTCAAAGTGGAAGAAAGCTATACAGCAAAGAGAGAGGCAAAGAGGTATGAAACCCAATATTTGGATCAGGTTGGGATTAGTCTTGTTGAGAGTGCGTACATCCGTCCACCGCATGTGCGAATGTAAAATCTGAGAATATTTGGACAGATAAAGAAGATATAATAGACTATCCAAAGAACGCTTCTGGATCCTTCAACTATCAAAAAGACTTTGTATAGAAATCTAAAGCAACCCTCATGTCATGAGCCCTATACTAATCCTAGGTAGCTCAGGGGTATCGCTAAGCATTAGCGAAAGATCCGCGTATGAGCTAACCCCGGATAGTCATGTACCCGGAACCTTGAAAAGGCACAGCTCGATCGGACTAAATTTCAACGTCAGTTCATCTCTACTTTCGTCTCATCTTTTTTATTGTTGATATTGATCTAAATTCCGGCAATCTGGGAGACAAATTGCTGTTGTGTTGCGAAAGCTGGTGGCAGAACAACTACGACCGAGCCAACGGGAGCTTGTTCCCACCCAGTAAGTATTATCCTCCATCCTAACCCTTACCATTCAAGTCTACCCCAAACCTTCACTTTGAAGTCCAACTCCGCGTCCTCATCCAAACGGGATGACTTGACTAAAAACCCCAGTAGGCCAGCTAGCGCGCCAAGCAGTCTCCGAAACGTCTCAGGTTACACAACGAGACATCCCCTCGAATTTCCACCCAACACCATCCAATGTCATTTGAACCTCGTGTTCTCACATGATTCATCCCAAATGGCGTCAATAGCATCAGAGTTGCGCAGCGGGGCAACGCAACGACCCACGGACATGAGTCGGAAGATTCGGGTTATTGGTAGTGGGTTTGGACGCACGGGTACCATGTCACTCTCAGCGGCTCTAGAAAAGTTACTTGATGGAAAAGTCTACCACACTGGAACGATGATCTTTCAGGAAGAAGGTTAATTCTCTTTCTTCTTAACTTCGCGTTTCCTCGTGTGTTAACTTTTTTCTAGCAACGATGAGAAAATGGGGTCGACTCATGAACCCAGATTCCCCTCCAGAAGTCTCCAAGACTCTCCTGGGAGAGGTATTAGCTGGCTATGTTGGCATCACGGATACGTGCGGTGCAGCCATGACTCCGGAGCTAGTCGAGATGTACCCAGACGCAATCGTGATCTGCACTACTCGGGAGGAAGAAGCATGGTGGAAGAGCTGGTCTGATATGTCGGGCAACGCACCACCGGCTTGGGTCATGAAGATTATGTTCCTGCCCGTTCCTTGCTTTCGGTACTTCCCTGGATCGATTCATCAGATGTGGAGGAGGTGAGTTGGGCATTTCTGTTTTGGCATCACAGCAGCTTTGTACGAGAAAGGGGCACAGCTGACTTCTGATGAAAGGTTGAGCAAACTCTACGGCTTCGACAAAGTTCAACAACCGCAAGACAAAGGTATTGTTGAACTCCATTCTCCTAGGAGATTCTTTCGCTAACCAGGAACAGGTTACATTACCATCCATAACGAGTGGTTAAAAACAGTCGTTCCACCAGAGAGGCTGCATTTCTTCAGCGTGAAAGAAGGCTGGGGACCACTCTGCAAGATCCTTGATCTACCAGTCCCCGAAGAGCCATTCCCGAGAGCAAATGAGCAGGCTGCGATGACGGAGTTGAGTGAGCAGATTATGGTTCATGTGTACAAGGGCTGGGGATCGATCATTGGCGCTACGGTGGTTGGTATTGCGAGTATATGGCTGTATTTGAGGAATTTTTAGGTGTTCGCTCATACAAAAACATGGAGTTGAGCGTTAGATTGGAAAGATTTCTGGAAGCTACTTTCAATTTGGAAGAAATTGTCGAATTGAGTTCTCGAGAATAATAGCAAGTAGTATGTAGGAGTTTTGCAGTTCAATTTAATGTAAGCTTCGTAGTAGTGCAAGTTTCCCAATACGTGCCTTTGAGCCCTCTCTTCCTGTGCTGTTTCGGGAGTTCCCAGTCTAAGATAATGTTGCATGTGAGAATGTTTTTTTTTGGAGTAGTAAGCTTGGAGTCTTATAAGACAAGTGACATGTCAATGACTGTACAAGAAAGACCGAACTACAAGCTCGTCTGGAGACAAAGTAGTCTGGAGTCCACAAGGTTTTCAACACACTTTCACACAAGAAGCCCACCTGGCTGAAATCGCTGCTTGCTATCATTACAAAAGGCTTTTCCTTCTGGCGATTCAAGGACAGGATAAATGGTCTAGCAACTATTGTGAGGTTAACTCACTTGACCTGATATTCGACGTGATTTACGAACTACCCGCTATCTCAACCAACCTCCCTAAACCACCCACCAAAAGCCGACTCACTACCCACCGAAACACAAAACCTTATTCCTCATTCCCGAACAACAATCTCTCCCTAAATCTCTTACCCACCCCTCCAAGCTCCTGATCACTATTCTCACAAGCCCTATGTACAGTACGTACCCTGAAATAGCGTATATTTTATATATCATCTACAAATCCCAAACTCATAATTCCAGCGCTCTACTTCTCCACCTTTATTTGAGAGAAAAAAGGGGGGAAAAAGGCGTGCCTAATCCCCTTTCTGAACGCGATGAGACTACGACTTCTAGTGTGCTAGGAATACAGCAATAAATGAGATGGGAGGACTGAGAGTACGGCAGTGATTGCGCTGGTCACGCAATATTTCCCACCCGACCATAGCCTAACCTCTCACTCATCCCTCCCCTTCTATCCGCCCCATCTACTATCCTCCCCTCTCCGGCTACTAAACGTAAAAACAACTTCTCCAATCTACGGCTAATCCCGTCCTCCTCCACACACTTATTAATTATCTTAATCTTTCTTCCCTCATACAACTGACCCTTAAAAACTATCACAACTCTATACTTCTCACCACATTCCAATTTATTCACCTCAAAGAAGGACAACTCAACCTAAAACCGCTTCTAATTAGCAATATAAACAACCCTTTTCTCCCCTCCCGCCCTTCTCAAACAACATTCGTGCACAGCATAGCAAGATAGCAAAACACCAAGCCTTCACACACAGAGAAACTCAACCACAAGCAGAAGCGAACGAACCATAAATAGATAAATACCTATTTTGTGTATATATAACCCAGTATCAAAAACATCCATTCTATATTATATAAAAAAAAAGAACACCGCTCCCCTATCCATCTACCCATCCATCCGTCTATCTATATGTACCAACCACCCATTCCAAACCACAAAAAACAATCAATCAAGCACACCTAAGGTTTCCCCCCTTGGTAAGGATTCCACGTCGGCCCATTAATCAACGCCCCATAGTACGTCTGACTACTATCGGTCGGTGCGCCAGTGGTATCCGTCCAATCCGCCGAATTCCCCGCAGCGTTCCCTGATCTAGGGATATTCTGACTGTCGCACGCCGTCTTGTGACTATTGGGGATATACGGTTTGCGCGCGACCATCACATCGGGGGCCTCGATGAACGTCGCCGTCATGCCGGCTTCGACGTGGAATTCCGTGTGACAATGGAACAGCCAGACACCTGGGTTATTAGCGATGAAGCGAAGCGTGACGCCGACGCCGGGGTACACGACGACGGTGTCGCGGCGCATGGGGGCCGCGGGGATGGAGTCGAGGCCGGGCCATTGCGGCTCGTCGCCGGCGCGGTTGATGATCTGGAAGGTGTGGCCGTGTAAGTGGAAAGGGTGGGCGCGGGTGTCGTGGTTGTTTAGGTCGATCTCGATAACTTGGCCGAAGGGGAGGATTTGCGGGTTCACTTGGCCGTAGATGGCGGTATTCATTTGGTATTCCGATGGTGCGGTCAGGGCTGTGAAGAAGGTGGGGACGAGTTGCGAGAGGTAGGTTTGGCCGTTGACCATGGCGCGGTTGGAGCCCCAGTCATTGGTAGCGAAGTCAACTGTTAGGTAGGTGCTGGGAGGGGGTGTTAGGAGGGTTGGATTGGGTGGAATGGGTGGAATGGGAGGGGCTTACTATTGCACGTTGTCTGAGTCCCAGAGGGGTTGCTGATCCCAGGGGACGAGAACAGTGTCGGACCATGGTTGTGGGGTCAAGGTGAAGGGTGCTGGCATAGCCAAAGCAGAATTGTAGACGAGGAAAGCAGTACACTTCAACAATTAGCAGGATTTATGACCCTATAGAGGATGACTTACAGTAGGGTTCTGTCCAGCGGGTGTAACACTCTCGTCAAACATATCAGTCACGAACTGACTGACAATCGCAAAGTTCTCAGTCGCAGTCGGTAGAGCTTGAACCAAAACGGAATATCTCTGCGCAACAGCCACAAAGATTTGATCCGTCACATACGGCTGAGTGTATACACCGTCTGCTTCAATGATCGTCATGTTGTGTTGATCGAATTGGAGGAATTGTCCAGCGATAGCACCCATGTTGACGACATGGAACAAGTATGTCTTGCCAGGTGTGATGGCGAATTGTGCGTTTTGCGCTTCGTTGATCAGGGCGGAGTCTGGTACAGGCTCGGCACCACTTGTATTGTTTGCGGACAGGAAGTAGTTGATCAGGTAGGGCGCTTCGACGTGGTACACATCTGTGAGGGACAGGATATACTCCTCATCAATATTGCCATAGTTGTTCAATGCGTTGGCGTCTCTGATGACCACGGGACCACGGAAACCATCTTATGTATGTCAGTATGGAGAGGTCGTGAAGATGTACAGACACTTACCGATATATTGACCTCCAACATGTGCGTGATACCAATAGGTACCGGATTGGGCGAGCACATATTCGTAGACAAAAGCTATACTCGTTAGTCTTTAAACTACATGTCAGATGTTGTTAACTCACTTTCTCCAGGCCCAATGGGACATTGAGCAACCATAGCAGAACCGTCCTCAAATGTATTATTGGCATTGAACAATCCGTGCATATGGATAGACGTAGTCTCATTTCCAAGACCATTGTAAGCGTTGATTATGATAGTGTCTCCGATGTCAGCTAGAATTGGTGGAAGAGGCCATTCACCATTGACGCCAACAAAAGGTCTGCTGAAACCATCTGGTGAAGCATTGACCCACGTGATGTTCCAGTTGAAGGTCCTTCGGACGGGAATTGGATTGGTTGCTGTGCCTTTAACTATTGAAGTTGTGCTGGTCGAGCTGGTCTTGATGGTCGACGACGCTGTGGATGATCCTAATGATGATGAAGAGGAGGTAGTCACGTGCGAGGATGAGGAGGTTCCGCTGGATACAGGCGACGTAGATGACCCCTGGGTAGAACTGGTCGAGGACACGATAATTGATGATGATGAAGTTGTTGGAACAGCTCCTTGCTGGTACATATCAAGTCTTGAGTAAGGGAATTAGTAATGAGCTCGCAAAGGGGAAGAGGAATGAAAGTTACCTATTTCCGGCACCACAGTACTCCAGTGAGTTTCCTGGGCAGACCTTGTTACAATCGGTTGTTGCAGCCAAGACACTGCCTGTGTTGAGAACATTTCCGCAATAACCTACCAGATACTCATTAGTCACCATCCAAGAAAAAAGAGCCACGAGGTACATACATTGAGTAGCGTACTCCACACCGGCATACGTATACCCTGAGCAGTAATTCACACACTGCTCAACCGTCATCGTAGAGTTAGTGAAACTCTTCGAAGACAAAGCACGCATGCTTGTCGCCTCAGTATAACAACCGATCCATCCATAAGTACCGACCACTGCTTTGTGTTGAGGTCCGGTAGGAGGCGCAACATAAGTCTTACTTTCGTAAACGGAAAGGCGGTCAGCGGCTCCGCAAAGCTCGGCGGAGTTTCCAGAACATGGTGTGTTGCAAGTACTGTCGAGAGCTCGAAGGGTAGAGTTCAATGTGTAGCCGCAATAACATTCTCGCCCATATTCGGTTCCAAAGAAATCGTATCCGGTACAGTTTTGAGCGCAAGATTCGAGGGTCATGGGATCGTAAATGAACTTGTTAGCTGCAAGTGATCGAGTGGTGCCATCGATGAGATCTGAGTAACATCCAATGTAGTTGAATGTGCTGATAACAGATGGTTCTGCTGCATTGAGGCCGGTGGTTGTGTAGACCACATTGCCCGATGCCGTGCTACTGGAAACGAACGAGGTGGTCGAGGATGACTGAGTTGATACCGTTGAGGAGCTACTGGTCTTGGACACACTGCTCGAGGTTGACAATGAGCTGCTGGAGCTTGGCGATGAAGAAGTCGACAGCTTTGACGAACTGCTGGAACTTGAAACGCTAGAACTTGAGCTGGAGGATACTTTGCTTGATGATGATGACGTGGTTACAACAGAGCTGCTGGAACTTTTGGATACCGAAGATGAAACAGAAGTGGAAACCGTTGACGACACTGTAGATTTCGAGCTGCTTGACGTTGACGTTGGTTTTGACGATGAACTCGACGCAGTTCCTGCAGGTCCTCCAATGGCGTAAAGCACATTGTTCTCCGTGGTATAAATCCTGGCATTACCGAAGACTGGTCGTTGATACTTGTTCAATCGCCCTGATGCCCAACCGAGAGGGATTTGAGTCAAATTTCCGTTGGCGGGAACGGCGTGGAATGCTACAACACCCTGGTTGGTATCCGCGAGCCAGACCTAAGGGAGGTTAATTGAGACCATGAGAAGGTTATGAGAGTGTACTCACGATAGCTGAGCCTGCTTGACCATTCAAACTGGTGACTGTGGGGTTTCCTGTACAAGCCAAGTTACTGCCTCCTTGGCCAGCGAGGGTGAAAAGGGGGTTCCCACTCCTGTCCAATGAATAACTGTATGCATAGAGTGGTCCTCCAGTAGGACAGAAGTAGAGATATCCGCCTTCACCTGGGTAACTTCCCACACCTCCATAGAACTTAGCTCCACTGACGACGATCTGCTGGAGAGCTTTGATATGGTTAGTTCACGTGATCGAAATGAAATGTAGTGAAAGAGTTGGGAATAACGTACTGGCGTCTTGAATTCCATTCTTTCCATTGTAGAAACCTCCTAGATTATCGGCGTTCATGATGTAGACCTAGAGAAGCGACAATATTAGTCTCATATTTGACGCGTCACTGGGTTTGGAGATGTCCCAAAACGGAAGGAAGAATGAGAGAAAATGCTTACAATGCCATCCTTCCCGGAAGAAACCGCAATACCATTAACTCCTACACCAGGCGCTTGGAATGTATTTCGATCCAGTAAAGCGACACCTGATGAGCCCATATCCGAGTCACCTCCATCGAGTACGGTGTCGAAGTTGTAGGGCTCGAAGTAATCGGCTTGGGTTAGTGTTCCAACGTTGGGATCCACAGCAAATTTGGCCACGACTTGTTCGAGCGTGCTGCTGTAGGTATTGCCACTTGCAGCTGTGCCTTGGACCTTGTTCACACCGGCACCAACACCATTTCTATTATAGAGATTTCGAATTAGAAAAGAGCCGATGGACGCTCTAGGACGGAGTGATTGAACCTACCCAGTTGCGAAGTAAACATTGTCACCGTTGACAGCAAGACCCATTCCACCATGCCAGATACCAGCTTTGCCACCGGTTTGTTGTTGGTAGTTTGTTGGCTGGGGTGATGGAGCACCTATTTGAACTTGTGTTAACTCCCACTCTCTTGGCTAACGGGAAGATTCTCATCAGTCATACCTGGAGCGGCTACCATGGCTTGCATGTTGGTAACAGTTGCTGTCGTCTTGCTGACAGAGACGAGCATTCCTGTGTAGTTGAAATTGTCACAATGGCCACCAAATCCTGCAACGATACTGTTGCCAATCATAGCTAATAAATATGTTAGTACTGTCAAGCTGATAAATGATTGGGCAGCTCCGAGTAAGAGTCGTCTCAAAGTCCCAGAAACGGTCAACATATATTTGCTGCCATCTCCCAACTCCGAGACCACTCCCATCCTCAAAGCTACCAGAGAAAAGAATAGTAATTTACCTAGACCTGGTCGTTGCAAAAGTGTACCACCAACAAAATAACGGGTATTGTCGTTGGTCGCATAGTGTCCCTCCATGATAATCGGGAACCCAGCAATGTCAGTCAATCCAGGAAGTTGCACAGCGTAGAACTTGTATTGTCCTGTCAAGAGTCAGAACACATCATTCCTTCCGTACCTTGAACCTCCTACTCACCATTCAGAGTTCCACTGCCGGTTGCAGCACCCTTGTATCCCTTGCTGAAGAAGTACATGATATCGGTCGCTGGATCAACAATAGGAGTTCCTGTGATGCCAATCGTCGGCGAGATATCACCACAGTCTGAATCTGTCGCTTGGAAGGGTGGGTCCAGGGTTCTGGTGTAGAGAATGGCGCCGGTCAATCCATCCAGGACGCGAACAATGTTCTGGTGGGATGCGGTGATGACCAGCTCGTGGGCGTATCCATTAGGGGTGTATGTGATGGGTTTCGCACTGAAGTATTCCTGAGCATTAAAAGTACTGGACCAAGAATGAACATATTGGGACAGCTTGGTCGGATCAACATTATGATTAGGTAGGTAACCGGATTGTGCGGTGTCCTATGGAGGGTAAGTACTGCATCGCGGTACCAAGGTATCTTTTGCCCAGGCTCTGGAATGAGGATATACTTACTGCATCTTGATACTGGTCAGTCGAGCTCACAGCTCCTGCCATCCACGGCAGGAGAGCCGCTGTCAAGCATGTCGCGACGGTGAGCCGCATTAAAACGATTGGATAGACGACGATATTGTCTCAAACTTTCTCACGCCCACAAACAACAACCGCGACGGAGGGAGAATGCCAGAAACGAAAGCTTGGCAAACTGCGCCTTAAAGAACGTCGAGAGGAGAAGGAAAATAATAATCAAAAAGAGAGACAGCGAGCAAAAGAATGTAACTGCTGTAACGGGAAACCAGAAAAGAGAGACCCAGAACGAGAGACTACGACCCAGGGGAGAGACTATCGATTTTAACAATCCAGCCAGGGGTAAGAAAGCTGGTAGGGCAGGTCAGTAAACACCCAGTGTGCAGCTCAGCAGCAGGCCAGGAGCAACCAGTAGCCAGCAGCAGCGTGCACACTAAAAGGATCTCCTGCGCCACCGAGGCCTATGCCCACCAATGGCCCATGAGCAGTGCGTCATTGGTCCTTCATTTGAACCTGTACCTACCTGGACGTCCCTGTGCCTGGCCTGTCCTCTCAGCCTCGCGCTGTCAGCTTGACGGGCGTGCGGGTGGTGGACGGTAATGAGGTGCATCGCACCGCAGCAGCACGATCACGATGAATCAGATCAGAACTCAGGAGAGGATAAGCATGAATCTGACCACTGGGACGCGCGGGAGGTATCTTGGCAGAGCGCCCAAAGCCGTTACGGTCCTCCGACTGGGACGGTGCCACCACGTCGTCGCGGTGAGTTGCTGAGAGAGACAACGGCTCAAGAGCAAAGTGTGCCGGCTTGGTAAGACGACCGAGACGCAGAGATTGGTTCCTGCGTGGCCGGGCTTGCATGGCGTTTTCGTGGTGCATGGTGCATTGGTGAAGGCTTGTTCTGTGCCCAGACATAATTTACATGAACGAAGTACTGTAAGCCAGATAGGAGGAGCGAGCGACATCAGATGAAAAAAAATGAGAGAAAGTGTTGACGGTGGCGGCCCAGCCACATGGTCGCCGCGCTGGATGGGGGTAAGCGGTGTTTCAAGACGCAAAGCTTATTAAGTACTGGGAATTAGGACGCTTTCGTTCGTATCGCTGCCGCCCAGCGAAATTGGCTTCAGCCGCTTTCCGCTCCTCGGAGGCAATCAAGCTTTGTGGTTGACGAAAAAACGAAAACAGAGAGACATGGCGAGAGACAATTAATTCACCGAGTGCGCGTGCGTCAGGCGTACACAGCGTCATGTTGATTGTGGAAATATGTATGTCAACTCGTACCCTGTACACTCGACACATCAGAGATGTTACCTACCTACCTACGACTGACAACCATCACTCAATCAGTTGTCCGCACTGCAAGTATCCATGCACCCATCACTCAGCTCCCCACGCTGTACAGAGAACAACAGACAACAAAGCAATAGTAGTTAATCTATTGTATCTGCACTGCTGCAGTGACAAGACGATCTCAATCTTCTTCGAGCTGACTCTCGACCTTCTCGACCATCTCGACCTTTTCAGCTATCTCATTCCTAGTCTCCCACTACTTATCTATTGATCGATCTCCCCTCCCCTTGCGGCATAGCGGCAAACCCCGCTCCCATAACCCTCCAGCCCTCCTAGCTAATCTCCACAGGGCTGGCTGAGACCGACCCAGCAGAACAAGCTTCCTTCATCCAAGGTTTCTCTCTCTGCGCCCACCGCCTACCGCCTACCGCCTACCGCCCACCGCCCACCGACCGCCCAGCCCAGTCAAGATTTGATTTATTTCCTTTCGATCGAAATCTCCAAACGAGCCAAAAAAAATGTCCACCAGTGTCACCACCATTCGTCACCCTTCAAGCCCAGCTCTCGGCTCCTTCCTTCCTCTGCGGTACCCCCATCCATCATCTATACCCCCATCTCAAAGGAACCCCCCCCAAAAAAATTAGTCCCTTCGTCTACAATACCTCTGCCTGCGCTTATCTCCAAGCAGCCCTTCCCCTGTCTATCATCATATTAAAAAAGCTGACGGCGGGCGCACCTGCAGGAACACCGCGGTCGGGGCTTCCTCACCGGGGAACGGGCCAGTTTAATCTACTGGGGTACGGATGACTTAAAATAGGATACTTGCATACATACATGCATGTATGCATTGCGCGCTCTCGTTCACAACGAGAAACGAGCGAGAGAAAAAAAAGCTTAATTTGGTCGGTGCGTGCGTGCGTGCGTGCTGATCGGATTCGTTAGTTAGGTTGCTGACGGACCGGACGCATTTGGTGGTTATGCGAGTTGTTGTGGATTAAATGCCGCGATGCGATTTCTGTCTGAGGGTTGGGGATGGGGGATGGGAAATTCGATGTTGGAGAGGTGAGGACGGGACCGGGAGGTTTACGAGGGAGGGAGTCATGTGGAAACCATGTGATAGGAGGAAGGTCGGAACAAAATTCAACACGAAGATCTCTCGGGACACAGCCTCCCTTCCTAGTAAGTTTGTTGTTAGACTTTGTTGCAGGATTCAAAACTCTGTATGGTACGCTCAGGTCAAACTGTACGCCCTTCATCGCACAAAATTGACGAGCTTACCTACCTATTCCATACCTTCATCTTCTCTCTTCCTTACCAACGTGCTTCGCCGTTCGTACTCTCCAACGCTGAAGCACATTCCCTTCTCGGACCGCAGAACATTTCATTTATTCATTTATTTATTTATTTATCTCTCAAAGTTGCCTGCTGATCCATCGAACGATACCTTCCTTCCTTCCTTCCCCTTCACGCTCTTGCCGAGGTAGCGAGGTTCGGATTCTTGCGCGGGGGTTTTTTTTTTTTTTTTTGGGTTCTTCGATACGATTTTCTGAGTTTGATTGATGATGGGTCGGTCGGTTTTAAGTTTATCTTAGAGTTGTTATTATGGTTATGGAGAACGACGATCGGGAAATGGTGTCTTTCTTATTTTGTGGGTCGGAATGGAAAGATGGGATGGGATGGGATGCAAGAGAGATCTTCGTCACATGATTTCTTTCTTTCTTGTCGTGAGGTCTATTTCTTCTTTCTTGCTTGGAGGCATCGAGGGACTGGAGAGGGTGGTATCGAGCGATTTGAGCTATGTATCGATAGTTTCGAGGTGTGCTGGTTTCGGTGCAGTTGAGTTGCACTTTGTCCTTGGATGTTGTACGTTCTTGGTCTTCGCGCTTTCGCATTCATTTCCTTGCCAAATCTTGTTCATCGAAATTCTAAATTGAGTGTTTTGAAGCTCTCTTTCCATCATACATACATAGTGCGAAACATAATGAAGGCCACAGAAGTCTGTTTTGATATCATTGCTCTGCTCTGATGGTACGCTCTTACCAGAGATCTCAAGACCGCGACAAGTGGTACGTCCAACAACAATACTCCTTCGATGGTATTCCACCTACCATCTACCAAGATACAACTTCATTCTATGACTTAACAAGGAACTCTGCTCCCATGGACAACTCACCCTCACCCTCTCCCCAAGCTTTCCCTTCACACTCCACCTCTCCTCCTCCCCAACCTCCCATACAGAATGCATCCTAAACTCGCATCACACATTCACAACAGTAAAAAAGCGTAAACAACATAAAATAACACCCCACGACCTCGTTGTCAGCGATCGATCCCCAACGTGGCGGCCGTGCTGCTAATAACCAGGGTGCCGTATGCAAAGCTGCAGATATTCATTTAATTTTCGAAGATAAACTAGTCTGCAGCTTAGTATTCCTAAGTGCAAGGTCTAGTCATCTACATTCCCAAGAGCACGGTAGGTCTTCATCAGCATACCTCTTTTCGAAGCAATGGACAAGTTTATAACTAGATACTTTCATGCATCCATAAACGCCCAAATCGAATCCACGATCCCTTCCCCAGCGCTTCTCCCTCTCTCCCTCCCTGAAACATAACCTGCAAAACTACCTAGGTAGAGGAAACAGCACTCCATTGTATCGTGAGAAGTGCGACGTGAGTGTACGCAGACCAGGAGGTGGGTGGCATTAGATAGATCGAGGTCCTAGTCGGGTTGCGGAGCGGGGTGAGGAGGAAATTTTCATGTGAGAGAAAGCGATCGGGACTGGACGTCGGTGGATGTGAAGTGAGGTGCTGTTTGTAGCTACGGTACGATCGAGTGAGAGGCTGCGATGGAAATCATTTGAGGTTTGGGTAGGTAATTTTCGTATGTAGGTATAGAGGCTAAGATAGGTTGGAATCGGAGACGTATGCATGTAGTCTTGTCCTGAGAAGGGTTGTCAACAAGGAACCGATATCTGAAAACGTATTCGTTCTATAGGCCCAGTGAAGTAGCAACCAAGTCTACTCTCTCGTTCATTCCTGACGCAAAACCCAAGGAGGGGTGCGTGTTTGATGGGAAGAAATGCTCGCGGGGTGCTTTTCATTAGGGAAGGTGTACATTCAAGGAATATTTAAGGATGCTTTGAATAGCGTAATGTGATGTGGTTGTTAATAGAAAAGAATCAACTTTTACCGCACCGTTTTATGATTTGAAACTATATACGACCGCTGGCATCAAATGGGTCGAAATTCATTCTAAATACCGCGTCACAGGAACAATTGCTTGATCTCTTCAACGATGGAGCAGTCATAAGCGATACGGTATGGAGACTCTCTTTCACATACACAAGTGTGCCCATGTACTTTGAAGTCGAAACGAAAATTTATCGCCCTCGTATATCTCGTCATATTCGGCTGCATGACGAACTATTTCTGTTCCATTTGAAGAGTTTTAAGGCAGACAGATCTCGTATCATCATACCTTGCAGCGCTGTATACTGTAGTTGGACCGAAAAGGGGTGCTGGCTTGATATCTCTTACCAACTCAGTGGAGAAGAAGGATGAGTGATAGCATAGCGCGCGTTAGCGAGATCATTAAATGATGCATGAAACTTGACACAGCCAGTGTGGGGAAGTTGAACAGGAAATAAGAAGAACATTTATGAGTAATAAGGATTGTAGGAGTCTGAACAATGGAGAGTGACATTATAATTTTCTCATGCGAGAGGCTAGACAAAAGAAGCGAGTTCGAAGAGCGCAGCAAAAAAATCTCAACAAAAACTCAAAATCAGCAAAACAAAAAAGGTCAAACAGTGTTCCTCAAAGCAAAACAGCAAAACTTCAGGAGCGGCCTCCGTAATGGGGCCCCTTATCAAAACCCCCCTCGGTTGTCGAGGTGGGGGGGGTTTTAGGCGTTCGATTGATCGTAATGGCGTGTGTAGCAATGCTACTCGGGCCAGGCGTAAACCAACTGAACCATCCCAGCCCGTTAATGACCTGAACTACCTGCCTAAGTAGCCGCTGTTAACGGGCTGGTGACGAGAAAATGTTTATTTAAAACTATATGTGTGCAAGCGACTAGCTTCTTTTTGGCGCTAAGCGCAGCCTTGTGTCAACATGCCAATGTAATAAATGGCGCTAGCGATCTGAGCAAGGCTTTTAGGTGTGTTTGTTGATTTTATCTATAGATAATAGACGTACTGTAGTGGTCTGGCTGTAAAGCACCACTTGATGTACATTGCACAGTAACATGAGCATTCTTTGGCCGATGCTGTTTTCACACCGGACAATAGGTTGCTCTACGTCCCTGTGTGTCAAAGAATGATGACTATTGCCAAATACTGACGGGATGGTGTCCTCATTAGGTCAAGTCAATCTAGATTTCCATGGTCTGGCCAGAAGTCGGAGTGAAAAATGAACCTTTGCTGAGATCGAAGTTGAACTAATCTCGAGAGTGAGAACAAGACTTGCTCAAAGACCTGCAGAAAGAGAAAGGAAGACTCCTTGAAGTATCATATGACCTTTCCATGGATACCCGAACTTTATAAAGCATCCGCGCTACACCATTCTAGGCCGATACCTTGAGCTGAGAAGCCAAGAAAGTTGTCCATCAAAAAGCACACTTGTAATCCTACCCACGACTGGTTGGCGAAGTACGGAAAGACTCTCTGGATCCATGCCCACCAAAGAGTTTTCGAAGTCATCATATACACAGCGACAAGCACATTGATCCATTCCATCCCTTCCGAAGCAATCGCAGATGAGTCTGTTGGTAATCGGGAGAAAAGCGGCCCAAAACATGCTGCCAATACCACCAGTCATCAAATTTTCGATAAGGTCTTCGACTTCGTATGCCATGGGATTGGACAGCGACCCGGAGACACGGTTCCGAGGCTAGTTCTTGATGGCAAGGATGGCTCCAAGCTCTTGCTCCTCGAGTGAACTTGGATCAGCAATTTTTCGAAGGGATATCGAACCTGATGGTGGAACAATGGTCTCGCGCAACAAGTCCTTTGGCCAAGCCTACGAACACGTTAGAGGTGCTTGAGCTCAGCCAACGAATCCTTACCAGTTATTCGTGCGGATCATCCCTCTCGCATCGACAATCATGCCACAGACAACAGCATTTGGAGCCCATCTTCATTGGAAAAAAGATCGCCCATGGTACTTGGCGGTTTTTCCCGCTCCGCTCACTTCGAACAATGCAGCTGTGAGTTTTCTGCTCTAGTACCGTGACGAGATCTCCAACCTCTGGAGCATCTTCCCAGCACATTTCACTCGATGTCCGCTTGACAACTAGAACAGCTCCAACTTTTTGACCTGCCAAACTCCAAGGACTGTTCACCCCATCATGTTCAGTGGCGTCGTCCATTTTGAATCCCTCGAGACTTTTGGTGATTGTTGTCGTTGGCGTTAATGAACCAGCGAAGCTTGATTCTGAAGCCATAATGAACGATGCTTCTCAGACTGAAGTTTCTGGGAAGGAACAAAAATATGGAAATTGATTTAAAGTCTCTGAACCTCCATGGCAAGTGCAAACGGAATCAGGGACCCGCTAGTCACGGGAGGTATGTTTCATCACAAGCAGCTCCCCTCACCGCTTACTGCATATGCGACGCTTCCCTGATTGGAATTTCTTACAGTCAGACTGTGCGGTACAAGGATACCACTCGATTCATTACACCTGCCTAATCCTTTCCTGGAACTCCACATTTCACAGGAAAGCATCGCCATCTTCGGTTACAAATTGTACAGTATTCAATTCGATATGACGACCTCTCCGCAAATAACATTTGATTACCAAGCCAAAACAACAGTCAAACCCTGAAAACCTCCCTCTGGCAAAGGCAGTTTTGTTCGTGCCAATTTCAAAGTGTCATGGATGCTCTTTGATGTACTTCTGCATCTTCAAGTTAACAATCGGCCGCTGCCCGTGTACCAAAATGAACTTACCACTGAAGCAGGAAAGTCCTCATAGACACAGTGGCACTCCCAGTTCTCTTCAGAATAACAGGCACAAACTTCACGCTTGCCGGCCGGGAAGACGGACATCCACAAAATGTTTCCCTTGCCGCCGGTACGCAAGTTTTGGACCCTCACGTAAGTTGACTCCTCGCTGAGAACTGGCTCCAACAACTCAAGGTGATCTCCAATCTCGCAGTCGCACATTATCGAACCGTCATCAACTCGTTGTGCTCTGTGTTTGAAGACGAGAATTGTACCAGGCATCTGGCCGTACATGGTAGCAGGATTTGCCAAGATGGAAAACTCTCTGCGTGCCTATGAAGGAAGATAAGCATCACGATGACGACGACAACAGCAGATTGCAACTCACGAGCTGAGATTCCGACCCAAGAGTTTCACACCGGCAAAGTGCTTTAGTGCAAGTGCACCTCTCGCCTATCTTCAACGGGAAGAAGCTGGACCATGGAATGTAGCTTGATTTACCAGTACGGAAAGACCTCACCGCACACTCACGCACGTCATGCTTGATAATCTTCACAAAGTCTCCCACTTCTGGCTTGTTCTTAATATTCGGAGGGGTCATTATTCGCTTGACGACCAGGATTGCACCAACTTGCTGGCCAGCGAAGGTGTTTGGATCGAGTGCTTGGATGTCTTTCTCTGCTGGATTGGTCTCCATTTCGCTCGGAACATTCGTCATTGGAGTGTCCCCCTTACTGGAAGTGATTACCGGAGCCATAATTCCGGAGTGTTCATGGGCCAGATGAAGGAGTGGTGCAACTGATGATGATGAAGAAAAAGAAGGAAAACATAAATGAAGGCATTTTAAGCTGTACTTAAGTACATGAGTCCATGCTAGAAGCTTCTTTCATTTTGAGCGTCCACAAAGACGAAGTCTTCCCCGCGTGTATATGCATAGGAAAGATTATGTAGCCAAAGAATTCCGTACTTGCAAAACATACTATTTCGCCGGGAACAATTCGGACATGTTGCAAGACAATACCTGTATTCTTTAAAGAGAACCAAGAATGCAGGAACCTTGCCTCTTGCGTCTTATGCCATGCACACTTCCATCCTATACATCCGCCCGAATAAGTCTTTTTGATTATCTCGCCAGCTGTAGCAAACTGCATCATACCCAGTTGAGTTGACATGATGTAAAGCGCAGCTCGTATATCTCTAGGGCATTTCAAGGATGGAAACAGCGCAAGCTGTAGGTACCTAGAGACCAAGGTCACCTGACTATGACCTGAAATTTGCCCAAGTGGTCAACATATTAGTGAGAATTGATATATATGGCTGTGAATTTCAATGATCTAAAGTTTCAAAGTCAGCCATTGCTCTGAAAGTGTTGATTCGCAGAAAGCTCACTCATATTATACTTGGTGCCTTGAAGCCTTACTGTAGGCATGACGATCCAGACTTAGTTTGGACCCTGGTGCGAAGCTCATATGATCGTCTCTGCCCTTCTTCCCTTCTTCAACCCATCCATGATTTTGTAACATTCAGCACAAATATCTATGTACATATGGTCCTACAAGCATTGCTGCGCCTCCTACAGAGAGGAACCAATGTATAGAGAGATGGAAACAGTACAGATTTTCAAAAAGTAGGTGTGCCCCCCCGTGATTGTTGGCAATTGAGCTTGATGTCCCGAGGTCTTCCACGGAGAGACTATTCTAGTCGCCATAACTCGCCATCCAAAGGAGCTTGCCTTGCAGATATAGACAATAGTAATTGTTTCTCCTATGTAGGTTTCAGACCAGGCTGAGATAGCCATTGCCTGACATTAAGCGTGGTATGCTTCGTCACTCTTTCTGTCGCTGGGGCTGACTTCAAGTGTTTCTGCCACGGAGAAAATCTTCTGGATGTCAGGAGTGGTCGACGAGATATCGCGTAAGTTGAGTCCAGGAAGTGACTTCACTAGCGACTTTAGTGATATTGGCGTAGATGGTGTGTTAGATTTGGTGGAAGATGAAGGAGATTTTGGTAGTACATTGTCCGTTCCAGCCTGGGTCTCTGGCGGAGCTTCGAAGGGGTCGAGTTCACCTAGAATGAACCTCGCGATGAGATTTGCCCGTTGAAGTTTCCGTACCGGCCTTCGAAGGAGTCGGAGGCGTCGAACTTCTCGTTGTCGGGCCATGCTCGAGTCATTCTCGACTTGAAGAGCCTGTCTTGCAAGAATTTCATCCCATCCTTCCGAGATTCGGGCGCATCGATTTTTGCATCTTCGGGGCTTTTTGAATAATTTGGAATGACGGACGACGGGATGACCGATGTGATGGACCTGTTTTTCATATATTTCGTCCTCTCCTCTTAACTTCCGAAGGCGCCGAGCTCCGCGTCGTCGGATCTTGCTCGACAGACGGTCGATGTAAGAGGCTCGTCTTTCAAACATCTCATCCGTAATTGTCTGCTCAAAGAGCATGTCGTCGTATTTAGGAACCCTGATGAGAGGAGTATTAGCAATTGCTTGCAAGACCAATAACTTTGAATCAGTCTCTGTAGGTTGGAGTGTTTCCCCCGTGCTTTGGATGGCAAGCATAAGAAGTAGTCTCATGGTGAAGTTGGAATCATTACCTGCATTGTGGAAGTATCTCTCACTATGCGGAATGCCCAGTTTATCCACTAATTTCCCCAGTCCAGTTCTCACATTGAGGTCAACTTCATCGCCCTTGCGAGTGACCGCACGATCCTTAAGCTCAGGGAACAAATGTGTGGCTACAGCCTGCGTATCAAGAACTTTGACATCTGGTAGAAGAAAGTCCTCGCTGGCCAACCACTTCAAGTCAGAGCCTAAGCCGTGACCCACCACCACCAATTCTCGAGCTGCATCGGCTCTGGAAAAATTGTGTAGGATGAGTCGCAGTTCAGGTTTATCTACAAGAGCAGATTGGCCAAAGATGAAAGTTTTCCGAGGAGCACGAGATATAGGTTTTTGTTTCGCCTTCCAAAATTCAAAATTGTAACTTTGAATCGCTCTTTGAAAGTCGCAGATTGATGAAGAGGTAACGGATAAGTCTCTGAGATGGCGAGTATCCAATATAGAAATTCCTATCTCGCGGATGGCTGTCGTACTGAATTCACAACCGATCGAGATGAATACGGGATCAACTGAGGCCTGTTGGATGGTTTCGGTGTCAACTTGAGACACTGGTATGCCGAGACTTTGCTGGAGAAGACGTGTCATTACTCGACCTGCTGATGAAACGTCCAAGGCCGACCTTGGATACTGTGTGGGACGCAGCAACTTGCCGTTGAGAATACGCATCTTTCCGTTGGTCTTTTGCTTGGCGTCGAATTCTGGGAAAATAGGGCCTTTGCTCGAAGTTGTTCAGAAATCATATTGCGACAGAAGCGTTTGGCGTCGTCATGACAAGCTATACGTTTTCCTAGGTTGAAATGTTTTCAACAAGGGGACATTCGAAGTCGCGGCTCTTGGTTTGGTGGAAGATGTCGATGTTTGAAGACCGCCAGCATAGGTAGGTAGGTATTTTAAGGTAGCCTTGTCACGTGTGCGCGAGTCTCAATCTCATGGAAGATATACTAGGTGACTCTTCTAGCTGCCACATGAGTAGTGAAATTGTTGGGTAATTGATATTCTGGTTGCCAAGGAATGTGAATCCCGAGGTCATCGTGCAAGTTGCGGTCACGTGCTACCATAAACGCTGAGAGTCCTACCTACAGATAGGTGAGTACAATGGGGTAAGAGTTATACATAACAGAAGAGTCTAATAAGAAGTATGAGCAGTCCGAAATCTTCCAAATCATCATCTGGCGCTGAATTTTCAATTGGTCTGGGACAACGTCGTGCAATAACTCCCTGAATGTCTCAACCGCTGCTGGGAAAACTTCTGTAATTTGATGCTCAAATACCACATATGTCCAGAAAGACAGCTATTGAGTTTTATTTGACTTAGAACCAGACCAGAGGTTAAGATATCCCAAGATCTTGTTATCAGGTTCCACAATCATGAGCTGCCCCAAAACGTAAGCATCTCCCAGGATCCGAATCCTTCTCTCCCCGCCTAACCTTAAATGAAAGAACTTTCCACTCAAAAAGATGACGGTATCATCAACCATCGTATCGAAAGAATCCAGATCAATACAGTTTGTCTTGAAGACAATTGGCCCTCCATCTGGACCGAGGGACCATTAATTGACCCATCGTTTTCCCACTCTCATATTCATCAGCATGTTTTGAAGGAGCTCGAGTACTAGCGAACAACGAGTCCGCCACCAACACAATAGCTAATAAAGCCATGATCAGCTCCGATCTTGTCTTTGTAAACTTCTCGGGCAGCAGCCTCGAAGATAAGGATGCATCTACAAGCAAAATCGTTCGATCGCACGTGATGAAGAAATACCGGAAGCAGAGGAAAGCTGAGACAAGGAAACGAAAGCCGTTCGGGAAAATCTCTGTTCCATTCTATACGGAACGCTTTCCTGACCCTCGAAAGTCCCAAGAAAGCTCTCCGACAACGCAAGTGTCAAACCTCGATAGTTTGACTGCAGTAGCTCTGTCGTCACCAGGAATCTCCGAACGAAGCCAGTCCTTTGATGATATTGAAGATGTGGAAAGGCAAGAGCCGCTCCCTGACTCTCCACCAGATTCCTTTGGAGATTTGCCCCTAGCATTTCTGGACAACAACTTGAATCCCTATAGTTTCTTACCAATATTGGCATCTCCAAGGATAGTGAGTCTTCTCCAGTATAGTACGTACATTCCAAATCTATTCTAGTCTATTCCTTGACTACCAGTTTCCTTCATCAGCTCAGAGCTCTCATACTACAAACAGTTACTGATAGATCTAGATCTCTCTTCCACAATCCGTACATCGGTCCATGCCGATCCGACAGGAAGATACTCATCTTACTATGTGGACGACGCTGCTAGGCTCTACATGGCACTGTCATATTCGGCTACTCGATTCCAGCAACAAAGGGGCAAGAATGCAACTGAGAGCGTGTACTATCTCATGAAGTCAATCTCCGCAGTGAAGGAAGACCTAGCAAGCTCTTCGAAACAGGTCTCTGATTCGACCATTGCAACGGTCGCTTCTCTTGCAAATATTGAGGTTCGTAAATTCTATCTCCGAAAGTTCTGTAACCCATGAGATACTGACCTGTGTCTTCCTGGATGCAGAACTTAGACGGGAATCCTCAGAGCGCCATCTTACACCTGAATGGGATGAAGCAAATGGTGGATATGAGAGGTGGACTTGACTCCTTGGGAATGAGAGGTATTTTGAAACGAGTCGTGTTATGGTAAGTTATCAATTCCTGAACGGATCATCTAACTAACGCAAACAAAGGGCAGACCTCTGTGGCGCCGCAAGGTTGCAAACCAATCCTCGCTTTCCGCTCCTTGAGTTTCCCGACATGCCTCCCATCTCTCAATTCCTCCAAGCAGAAAACTCAGCTTCATCTACTCTTATCATCACCGACAATCTACTCGAAGCAGCAGTATCGCAGAGCCAATTGAAGTGCATCCAAATTCTACGAGACCTGCACGAGCTCTCAAACTTCTTGAACGATACAGGAAATCACAGAGAAGATCTTCCACAGGAAGTGTGCTATCCAGATCGAGTGTACAGCGTCGAGCATAATACCTTAACAGCCATCACCCGAATGTCCGATGCTCGGGATCCAAGTAACATCTTTAGCATTCTGCTGCATGCCAGCTTACTTTTCATCTACACCAACCTCCGGCAAACTCCCGTCGGCGATCAGATCCGGAAATCCTTGTCTGCTCGACTACGTTCGTGTATTCAAGGTGCAGATGTGGCATTCCTGCAAATGATGTTTCCCGCGGAGCTACTCTGGGCATCGCTTCTAGGCATTGTGGGAGGGAAGGAGACAAGTGATTTTAACTGGTTTTTGAGCAGTGTTGAAAGACTTTGTATGGGAAATGGAATAATGACTTGGGAAGGCGCAACAGAGTTTTGTATTGAATTGCCGGTTTTGGAGACAAGTTGTAGGAATACTTGCGAGAAGCTTTGGGCCAGGGATGTATCATTCTAGACTACGAATTTTGATTCACATGTAAGACTTTCTTGCTGTACTCTTTAGCAGATTTTTGAAACCTGCCTGAAGCCATGCTGATATCGAATCAATAAAATCCGTTGATTTTCACGCCATTCGCTTTCGTTCCATTCATCTCCACTCCATCAGTCTGTGCCCCACTCACAGCACTTTCGACACTAGAGACAGGCCCAAGAATTCTCAACAATCTGAAGAGATTAGCTTGCTGATTTGAATCATCTCTTTGAATCGTGACCAACCTTCTCAATCCTTCTGCCAAAGTGTCTCTGTCGAAACTGCTGAACACTAGCCGGAAGTGGCCAGCTTTCTCACCATGCTCTTCTCCAGGATGAACCCCAACACCACCATTCAACAACTTCTGTGCCAAATAGAACTCCCTCTCTGAATCGCCTACTTCTGAAGTCTTCGCTGGGAGCCACGGACTTAAGTCAACGTAAAGGAAGAAGCCCGCATTGCTGCTCACAATCATCAGCTACTATCCCTCCCAAGGAAGAACAAATGTGTTGGTCACTCACCCAGACGGAGCATATTTGATACCCGCCTCGTCTAACACTCGACATGTATACGCACGACTACCGGCAAGTCTCTCTCGGCACAGGCTGATGAAAGTCCTCACGAATGCTCGGTCTTCCAGTATAGCCGTCGCAATAGCGATGGACATACCGGATGGATTGTGAAATCGCATGTTAGCAGCGACTGCTTCTCTCAGTAGTGCATTGCGACTTATCAAGCTGCCGAGTCGGAGACCTGCTGATGCGAAGTCCTAGGTCCTGCATTAATTCGCTGCTGAAAGATATGAAAAGTTGGTCTCTACCTTGCTCATTCCGTAGAAGATATGCAGTCTTTCGGGGTCTATGATTCCGGTGGGATCTATAGACAGAGCTGATGTGAATACGTGTGCTTCTTTGCAGCCTGTATCGTAGACTGAGAGGGCGTAGACTTCGTCGCTGATCATATGGATGGAGTTGTGTTGGCAGAATTGCATGAGAGCTGCCAATGTCTCCGCGGGGTAGCATCTGCCTTCATATACAGTGTCAGTGCTCTTGAATTTCTTATTGGGAAGGTTTCATTGTACCTGAAGGGTTATGTGGGTTGACAATCAAAATTGCTTTGACATGCACCCCCTTCGCAGCTGACAGATTAAATGCTTTCTGGTACTGCATGACAATGTCTAGCGAGAACGGATCCATACCATCTGAGTCGGCGTATACAATATTCAGGCTAGCAGTATTCCCGAAATCCAGTTCAAAGCGACCGTATATTGGCCGACTTACAAGAATGCCATCCCCAGGATCCGCAAGACTTCGCCCAACCAATTCGTGGATTGCTGTGAGTCCGCTGGCAGTAATGATATGTTCAGATTCTACTGGAGAGTGTGGATTGAAATACTCGTTCATATGGGCCGCCATGGCTCCAGGAAATCGAGGTCCGCCCATGGTGCTGAAGCGATAGGAGAAGGCAAGAGCAGGTATTTGGACCTGCAATCGAGGATAAGCAATGGGCTCCGTTCGATCATAGACAGCTTACATTCTTGGAAACGAAATATTCAAGTTCCTCATGAACAAGACCCTGTTATTTTTTAGGGCTGGCTTCGACGCAATCCAGTTGTTACTCACGTTTTCTGCCGTTCCAAATGAGATGACACCTGTAGGGTTTGTGACTTTATCATACCGATTGTTACCACCAGGAGCAAAACGCCATGGAATATCTTGGCTCCCAACACTTTTTGCACCACGATTGGATAGCATTCCCGACAAGGCCTGCAGAATGAGGGACTTGAGGTTAGTGAACGGTCTCTAATGGGGTACTTTGAGTTTGGAAAAGTGCAGCAAGCAAAAGGGAATACGCAGAGAGAACGCAACACGCACTCCAGAAGGAAGAACAATCTTGATCTCAAGATATGACGAATGAGAATGACAAAGTACAAGATGAAAGTGCTCCGAATGCGAAAATCGCCTCTTTCGAGCTTTTCCCTGCAGTTTCTGCGACCCAAAATAGAAAATGATGTGATTGGTTGCATGTAGTTCATGCCAATCCTTATCAAAGGGCTGCAGCTGCAATATGCATGTAAATGCATGTTTGGAAGGGGATCCAAAAGAAGGGACGAACAAAACTGGGACAATTTCCTGGGGACGAAGCTCTGGAAGTGGGAAAGCCGCTAAACCACAAAGAGAAAATGCTCTGATTGGTCACTCCAGCCTTGGCCAAGAATCCTAAATCTATCAACCCATCCCATCCTATCCCACTCATCACCACAACAACAAATTCAAAAGTCTCAGGGGTAGGTAGTACGAGCTCCAACAGCAACCCATCTCGCCTTCTTGGTTCGACTTGAGATATACAGCCAAGCTGTCCCCCTCGGAAGCTTGCCGATGGTAAGATCCCAAGATACTGTAACGCTCCTTGCAGGGCCATTCTTATCTTTGAGTTTTTGGGAATCACTACGAGCCGGGAAAACTTCTTGCTGGCTTAGCTCGGACAACCAGCTCTTTTATATATAGCTCCAAGAGGATGTGTGAGCTCCAGGAATGTGCTGAAAGAAGTGTGGAATACCGACCTCCTGATTTTACTCAGCCTTCTAACACTACTTTTCAACATGACTTCTACTATTCGAGCAACGAATACTAACGAGATGAAATCGATGACAAATAACCAAGACGACGAGATCCAGAGGACTGCCAATCATGGCACATTTGGTCCAAATGAGAAGGAAAAGGACTTGTCCGTCCAAGCCGGAGAGCTTACCTTCGAAGAAGATACCTCTGGAGGACTGGGCCGCCATCTTGGTGTCTTCTCTACCACATTTCTGATGTATACTCTTCTACTTATGAGCACTTTCTCTTACAGAACCTCAACCTAACTGCTTCGTAGTATTGGGCGTATCATCGGTTCGGGCATCTTCTCAACCCCCTCGAGCATCACCACAAGCACAGGAAGTGTTGGTGCTGCAATGTTCATGTGGGTTCTTGGCTTCGCCATCTCCATGGCCGGTCTTTTCGTCTGGCTTGAGTTTGGCTGTATGATTCCTCGAAGTGGTGGCGAGAAAGTGTACTTGGAAGCATCCTATCGTCAACCAAGGCATATGACCAGTATTCTGTTCGCCATCCAGTCTGTGTTGCTAGGCTTCTCTGGTAAGATGCCTTGACCTAGCTCCAATCAAAGAGTATACTGAAAGCGTTTTGTTCTCTAGCTACTGGATGCATCACCTTCGCATCCAACATGGTGCTAGCCGCCGATACAACCGTCTCGGAGAGCGCATCTCGAGGCATCGCAGGATCAGCCATGATATTCGTTGCGCTCATGCACGGCCTCACTCCAAAGTTCGGAGTCAAGGTCATGAACGTTGTTGGCGTGTTGAAAGTTGGCATCGTCATATTCATCGTCGTAACTGGATGGGTGGTTCTCGGCGGTGGCACTCGTGTCAAAGACCCTCATGCTAGTTTCCGAAATGCATTCGAAGGGTCAACAAAGACCGGCAATCCGTACGCCACAGCTTTGTTCAAGGTCTTGAGCTCCTTTGCTGGGTGATTTGACTTACAATTTCGAATGAGATACCTCGCTAACACAACCACTGTAGATGGTCCAACGCCGCTTATATCCTGAACGACGTCAAGAATCCCGTCCGCACATTGAAAATCGCAGGCCCGCTAGCAGTCACTACTTGCGGCATGCTCTACATTTTTGCCAACATTTCATACTATGCGGCAGCCACACCAGCTGAGGTTTCGGCAAGTGGTGTGACTGTGGCATCGCTCTTCATGAAAAAAGTTTTCGGCAAGACAGCTTCCAGAGGTTTGAGCGTCTTTGTCGGACTGTCAGCTCTTGGAAATGTGTATGAACTCCATCAAACTTACCATACTACCGGGAACTGACAGGCTCCAGAATGACAGTAACTTATGCCCATGCAAGAGTGAACCAAGAAATCGCCAAAGAGGGGATCCTCCCCTTCTCCAGCTTTTGGGCTACCACCTATCCCACCGGCGCTCCAACAGGTGGTCTCTTCCTCCACTTCATCCCTAGTATCATCATGATCACAGCCATCCCCTTCGGCGATGCATACAACTTCATCGTCGATGTCGAAGGATACCCACGTGCAATCGTCTTCGCTACAGTTGTGATCGGACTGTTCTTCCTTCGATGGAAGAAGCCTTTCGCAGAACGACCGTTTAAGGTGTTCTTACCAATCGCTGGATTTTTCTTGGTTGGACAGTTGTTCGTGCTTGTTGCGCCTTTCTTGCGCCCACCAGGAGGCAAGGGAGATACAAGCCAGCCATATTGGGCGTACCCACTTGTTGGCCTTGGAGTGATGTTCGCAGGGTTGGTATACTATGCTGTTCTTATGCATATCTTGCCGAGATTAGGCAACTATTCTCTCAAGCATGAGAAGGTGGTACTCGCGGACGGCACTTTCGTCATGAAGTTCGCGAGGAGCAAGGATGAGTAAGCAGGGAGAACATTTGTCATATCTCCTTCGTAGGCTGAGAATGGAGGCATAGGAGGTACGCATTCTGGTGAGTAAAAGCTCATTCGCATTTGCGATAGGCAAGGGAAACCTAAGAATATGGCGAAGTGGATTGAAATGAAAATTAGTAATGGGATAGTATAAATCAACAACGATGGACAGTCTATGCTTAAATTTCTGCAATGAGCCAGCCTATTTTTGATCAGTTCGGCTTGCTAACCATGGTCCACCAGTCCTGAAACCTCCTCAGCAACTAAATGAAGGATTAACTGCTTGGAAAATGCGCATCACAGCCATCGTGACAATAGGGTATCCCATGATAACATCATGTAATCCCGTTTTCAAGATTTCCTCGCGAATGACACCATTATCTGTTCACCATTCCATGACCGATCCTGCTGCACCGAGATCGGTCTTGATCTCTGACCTTTTTTCTTCCAGCTCATCATGGCTTATTCCTGTGGGAACCGTCGCATTTACAGCATGCCAAAAAAGCTCCGGAGTATGAGACCATGGAACGTCGTAGTCGTCTTCAGCATGAATGATAGTCAGGCGATAGCTTTCACCATTTACCTCATTGGCACGTACGTATTGAGCAATTCGGTCCTTCGTAGACCATTTATCGCGTATGAAGCCTTGGAGAGCTTTGAAGAGAGTAGGAATCGTTGCGAGTGGCGATAAGATGGGGATGGTCCCTGCTACTCGATACGTCGAAACCAGGGTAGCTGCATCGACGAATGGCGCAATAAGAACAGTACCTGCGAATACCACTGGAGGTTCTTGCCGGGCATATTGATTCGAAATGGCGGTGGCCACGGCAGTACCCATCGACTGTCCAAAGATGAGTATCCTAGAGGGAGAGATTCCAGCAGTATTGATGGCCCATTCCACAACAGCAGCAGCATCAAGAAGAATTCCGTTCTCGGAAGGTGTGCCGCTACTACGTCCATAACCTTGATAGTCGAAAGTCAGCACGTGAATCTTCCCTGGCTGGCCAGCTGAAAGGGTTCGATAATTTGGTACTCTGTAACCTGATCCAACAGTTCCAACAGCACCGTGGAAATGAAGGATCAGGCGAGCGTCAGGATCTTCGCGCAGCAGCTTAAACGCAAGTTTTGATGTAAAGTCGGAAACTAGCTCAACAGGTTCTTCGAGAAGAGCAAGTTCATGCTTGCGAAAGATTTCGAGGGGGAGAATATGCCAGGCGTACAATCTCTCACCATCAGACGATTTGAGTATGAAAGGTGTGGCCTGATTGCGTAGGAAACCAAACGTTTCAGGGACGTCGAGGTCTGAAAACCAGGTCATTTGTATTTTGTGTAAATATACCACGTGCCTTTGGAAGGTTTGAGTCGTGAGAAGCCCCAGAAATGTCGCATACAAGCCAACTAGGGCTGCTGCCGAAACGGAGACAAATTTGAAGACCGAGGCAGCCATGTCGACACTGATCATGATGTGATAGAAAGCAAAAATAACAAATGCGTAGATGAATTCTTCAAGGCAGAAGGCTGCGAGATGTTGGAGATGAAGTTGGTGAGCGCAAACTGATGACTAAGCAGCGCTTAACTCCTGGTCTGCTAGGCACAGCAACGCCTGTACGGCCAAATATACATAGATATTTTCCCCCTTTGGATGGCGACTTATGGCGACTAGAATAGTCTCTCCCTGGAAGACCTCGGGACATCAAGCTCAATTGTCAACAATCACGTGGGGACATCTACTTTTTGGAAATCTATACTGTTTCCATCTCTCTATACATTGGTTGTTCTCTGTATACTGTCATTGGGCATAGAAACGAATCTCACGGCACAAGAGAATCAAGAAAATGGTTGGAAGAATTGCTATTCGCTACGCTTGTGCACCTTCGATACGAAGGCGACACGATATTATGTACAATATCCATTGCCCCGCAATGAATGGTAACACAGTCCCTATTATCTCAAGCTCAGAGTTAAGAGGACAACATCATACCTGCGAATCTTGCCGTCATCTTGAGGACGTCCTCGGTCGTTCTTCAAACCTCTGACCACAGCCCACCACATAATCCTAAGCCAGGTCTTCATGTTGAAGGTCCTCAGACTCATGCTGTCCCTCAGATCTCTCTGCATATCCCATTGCTCGGTCCTGAGTCATGCTTCCATTTTGAGAATACCCCAACTCATTTTGTCCGCTCACATCTTCACCATCTATCAGTGTATCTCTGAGATCTCGAACTTCTGCTCCACTTCCTGCTCGTGGAGGTGCGATTGGGTTCAATACAGACTGCTGGTCAACACCAGGGTTTGCAGATGTCGTAGAAGTCGATCGAGAATGAGGATCGTTGTGGGCATTGTTTTGGACGAGTGTTTCTGTACTATTTTGAGTTTCTAGCGCTGAGATGGAAGATCGATCGCTTTCGCAGTCTCCGATGCCTGAATCATGCTCATCGCTATCGGGGCTTTGGGGGTCTATGGGGTTCTCTTGGGGTTGTGGTTGACGTTCCGGCGTTGGTTGGTCTTCGTTCATCTCCCTTTGTCGATTTTTCTTCTCTTTACGGGCAAGGATTTTAAGATCTTTCTTCGTCATGTTGACTAGAAGTTCAACCACTGTTTTGAAGTGTACTTAAGGCTGCGATCTAGTCGATCTCGGGAGGGAACTGCCTAGGTAGTCAATGGCTTCGGATAGTAACGAATGTTATAAATGAAATGTTTGATGTTCTGCAATTGGATAGCGAATGACTGATGAAGATGTTGTTTGTAGATGAAAGGAGACTTGAAATTGTAAAAAAGAGCATACCAAGTCAAAATTGGCAACAGCAAGGGAAGCACCTGCCTACCTACCATGCACTTCGTCAACCACCAGATCATGTGAGCTGTCAGAAAGAGAAAGAGCCAACCTTCCGTGAAGGAAATATATCACACAACAAAGCCCGCCTCAACGGGCTGAGAGACAATTCAAGTGGATATAGGTTATGGATCTGTCCTATCTTCAGTCGAGTCCAGAACTGATCCAGACTTACCTTCATACATAGAACTCAGCCCCTGAAATGGTTCATGAGATGCAGCCAGTCAGGTAGTGAGAAAATGGGACTAAGCGAGATTGTGGGGCAATTCTCTCGTGCGAGAGATTCCTATTTAGGAATATCTCGGCAATTTCAAATGGCGAGGAAACATATTCGGCCTTCACAGAAGTCTGTTAGCCAGAGGAGAGATATAAATATGTTATCTGCTCCCCCTGAGTTCTAAATTGCTTCAGACTTCTTTGCATCTAAATCTGGTTGCAATTTCATTTGCTTCATTCATACCAGGACATTCAATCTCAGCAATCATGTCTATCAAAGCCCCGGTTATCATCATGGGAGCAGGCATAAGTGGCCTAGCCCTTGCTCAAGGTCTTCTCGGAGCCTCCGTCCCATTCCATGTTTTCGAGCGAGACCAAGCTCTTAATGTCAGGGCCCAAGGGTACCGTGTAAGAATTAATGGTCTTGGAATCAAAGCACTCAAAGAACTTCTCAAACCCGAGATATACTCACGTCTGGAGGACTGCATGGCGATAACCACCACAGACGGAACTGCACCTCCCCTCCATCTCGACGCTCTTACGGGGAAAGAAGCAGAATTCAAGTTTACTATGCCACCCACCAGTCCATTCAAACCCGCGGACGTTCAACCTCTGAACGCAGACAGATCTGTCCTTCGTATGGTTTTGACCAAAGGAATCGAAGAACATATCACGTTCTCTAAGGAGTTCGCTTCATACACGACCTCACCGTCTGGCGTTACTGTGAACTTCACAGACGGCACTTCCATCGAAGGGTCTCTTCTTGTTGGCGCAGACGGTACAAAATCCAAGGTCCGCTCACAACTTCTGCCAAACCACAAGAACATCGACACAGAAGGCCGCTGGTTTTTCGGGAAGACAACCATCACTCCGGCCCTGCTCGCCGCTCTCCATCCCTCAGTAGCAACTCAAATGACACTGGTCCAAGACAAAATCAATCTGATCCCGACCTCTCTACTTTGTGAGCCAGTGCGTTTCAAAGACAACCAATACCGATTCGAGCTACCAGCAGACTACATCTACTGGGTCGTCGGCTCCCGCAAAGACACCCTCGATATATCTGACGCCGAGATGCCAATCAGCAGCCAAGAAGCCGCATCCGTGGTTCTGAAACTGACAGCAATGTGGGAGCCAAGCATCAGAGCTCTCTTCGAACAGCAAGATGTCAACCAAAGTTCTTTCCTCAAGATCGATTCTGCTAAGCCCGACCTACCGGTCTGGGAATCCGAAGAAAGAGTCACGTTGATAGGCGACGCAGTTCATGCCATGAGTCCAACTGCTGGCGTTGGAGCTGTGACGGCTCTAAGAAGTGCAGCTGCACTGTTCGGTGCCATTGAGAAAGATGGGATTAGTAGAGATAGTTTGAGGAAGTATGAGGATGAGATGAGGGAGTTTGCAGGGGCGAGTATTAGGCATGCTTTTTTTGGTGGGAAGCTCATGTTTGGGATGAGGAGTTTCGAGGAGATTATTGCTGATGCAGAAGGGACAAAGTGAAATACTCATTGAGCTGCACATCGGTGCCTTACTTTTTATTTTTTATATCCCCAACAGAAAGATAGTCTCCACTCAATCATAATTGTCCAATTCATGCTCAATTTCAATCTCCCGCCTCCCCAAGGACTTTTTACCCTTTATCAGCACCTCCCGAAAGGACAAACGCCAAGCAATGGTGCGCTGAATGCAAAGCAGAATATAGCCACAATAATGACGACTCCAAGGACCACGCCCAAAACATGTTGCACGTCAAACTCTCCTGGATCTCTTCCTCTCAATCTCCTGTCGAGTACTCTCGCTTGCTGTATTGATCCATAACTCGGTATGGGATACGGTATGGGATACGGTCCCTGGTATTCCTCATCGCTGTGATGGTGATTATGGTGGTGATGGTGATGATGCTCGTGGTGTCCGTGGTCATGGTGAGGTTCATGATGCTGAGAGGAGTCATGCTGATATCACGTGAGCTTAATTCGCAGAAAGAGACAGCTAGGAGGGGAAGCTGCATGATGCGAGGTATCATTGAAGGTATGCCCAGCACTGTGATCAGTATGAGACGGATCTGCCGCCGCCGGAGCTCCCGAGTCGTGCATCGTTACTGCCCACTCAGCACTCAGGACCGAAGAAGTGGAAATGCAACTTCACGACGGCCCGGAGAATATAATGCGGAGAAGACGGGGCTCAAGTATTCCTGGGGAAAGCAGAAGATCAAGTATCAGAAGAAAGACTGGGATTTGCTGCGCCTTGGGCTTGGCTGCAGTTGCCTGTCAGCTGCAGCCAAGTCAGGCGACGAACTCTAATGTACGTAACGTCTATCCCTGCGTGCCGAGACGCACACTGTAGCGAGACAAATCATAGGTACTTCAGGTTCAAGCGACTCCAAATCTGTGAACGGGTTAAAATTTCTATTCATCTTCATTTCAGTGCATTGTATACCTCCCCCGAATACTCCTAACCTGTTACCTCCGAAAATTATTAATGTGTCGTCGCTGCCCCCTTGGTTGTATAGAGAGCCTCCCTTTACACTGTAATAGGACCCGTCGATATGTGACACCGCCATCAAGCTTTTTTACCATTTTAACATATGAAGCGATTAAATATGGATATTCAAGTCCTAACATAATGCTTGAATAATATTGCCACGCTTGTGGCGGCCAATGCGTGCGCTGTCATACAGCGTCGCCATATCGGCTAGTACCTCCTTCAATTAAGCGAGTAAGGACCCTAGTCAGCTGCGTTGTAGTTACGGTAATCTCGGTGAAGTTTATTGTTTCAATACTGTAATATCTTGTGGCTACTAAACCGTGGATCCGAGCTTGTGGCTGAGTAGGGGCTAATATTGCCGGGAGATTCCGTGTCCGATATTCTCCGACCAGCAAAAAGTGGCAGCCAGCATTCAGCACTTTCGGCTTCTCACTGCCGGCTTGTCACTTCCAGCACTTCACTTCCGACTTTTCAATTCTGGCTTTCCCCTTTTGCGCACTAGTTAAAACGACGGACCACTTCGATTCCTGGTCTTGACAATGGGAATTCGCTCTCTTGCAAGATTGCTGACCATATCAGAGATGACCTTAATAATGACACAGTCTTCAAGGGCTGCAGGATCGCGGAAAGGAGCACGATATCAGCACGCCAGACTGCGATGACCTAGAGCAACACCCCGACGACCAAAGGTGATACTACACACGATACATATAACGAGGGCGTAGTGAGAATAGCGCAATGAAGATGGCACAATGGAGATGGCACAAATGAAGGCGTACGATAAATGGCGGGCATGAGATGGCAGGCATCGGCCATTACAAGCCATTTGGCATGCGCAATACGGGGCAAGCACGGTAGAGGAACGTCAAAGGCTAGTTATAACCTCTTGTGTCAAAAATTGACGAAGACTAAACATTACATTCTAACTTAGGTTACTATGCAGCAACAGGTAGGGAATCCAGCCTGAAATCGATCCTCTATTACGTGTTCAAATGGCAATCTTGGCCTCTACTACCACATCTTCGCTACTGGGGCTACTGGAGCTCTCCTTAGTTCTGGCACAATCTCATCTTCCGCAATCGGTGTTTCCATCACTAAGGCTCTCGATGATGCTAGCGCTTTTCTCATCCGCGCTATCTTGGGATTTGGTTCTGGCTCTGGTTCCTCTGCCTCTGCCTCTAGCACAGTACTTTTGCGCTTCCGACCCCGTTTCACCTTGTCTGCGGTGGCTTCCTCTGCCTCTGGCGTGGCACTTTTGCACTTCCGACCACGTTTACCCTTACCTTTAGCTGCTTTGGCAGCGTCTTTTACGACACGCTTCGCTCGTGCTTCCTCGAGGTCCTCATAGCTCATGACCTTCGCCTTGCCTAGCACCAATGACTTGGTCGATCGTCGAACCTTGGCTTCGTTGTTGATTGTGGTCAAGAGTTGAATCCGGTCCTCTTGGAGGACGCCCAGAGCAGAGGATTTCTTGAAAGCTTTAGTACATTTCTGTAAGTGCCTTACTAGGTTCTGTTTGCTCGTTTCATCAAGCGCATGAGCATCCTGTTGGATAATCAGGTTCCCTAGCGACATAAAAGACTCTACTGACACTGGCGTCACAGGCGTTTGTGGTTCTACGTCTTGCCGACAAGTCCATACCTTTACCTCATCTGTGCTTGGAATGGCTGGTTCGGCTGGGGCGGGCATACTTCGGAGCACCCTATCTGGATTAAACGGGAACAGGCCGCTTGCAGCGAAGCCGGCCTTGATATTCTTTGGCGTAAACGCTATTTTCCTTGCCGGGCTGTATAGAGAGGTGAAGTGCTCCTTGCCGATGGTATTTACACCTCCTTGCTCGAGTCGATCAACCTGTTCGCGATACGCTGTCTTCAGTGGAGCAAATGCTGAAACATCACAAGGCTAGAGCTTGTGGGAGGTATGAGAAGGGAGACGACAAAGAAGAATATTGTTCTCGAAACAGAATTCTAAGATTTCGAGGGTTTCGTGCGTTCCAAAGCCGTCGCAAATTAATACGCGTCGTCTCTTGTTAGCTCGTTCTTTGGTTTCGGGATCAAATACACGCTTGAGCCACTCTAAGCTAATCTTAGAGTCGGTATATCCGGAGTCGGAGTACGCATACTGCCATCCAGGGGTAGGAAACGTGGTCCAGTTACTTCGATGGGTGCTCGCTGGCCAGATTATCATCGGATTCAAAAACCTACCGTCGCCGCTAATGCATTCGATGGCAGTCACGGATGTGCGCTTGACTCGCGCACCTCTATAGTCTCGCTTGTCATGCTTACTTACAAGGACTTTGACAGAGCCTGGCATAGAAAGCATCACTCCAGTCTCGTCCATATTGTATACATTTTCGGCCAGGGTAGCCGGATCTTGCAGCACGTCTTTTATCACCTCAAACCAGTGTACAACTTTCCCATATATATTCTTCTCGTGACGTTTCCAATCTAACGCCTTGACTCTCCTCGCTAGAAGTATTGGATGGCGTTTTTCTAGAGCTTTCGCCCAGTTCCGACTCGGAGCCTTACGAGGCCTTTCAGTGGTAGGTCGATGACGGGTGACACTATAGGCTAAGGAAGGGATAAACTTCATACGTATCGGATATCCAAGGTCGGACATCTGAAGTAGATACTTAATGATAACCTCTTCCTCATACGGTCTGAGGTACTGTTGGCCTTGGGCCTTCTCTTCCATCGAGGGTCGTCCGCGAGCACGATGATGGAGTGTAGAGTGTGGGACATTGCCATGATCTGCAAGAGCACGGTATGATTCAGGCACGCCAAGAGGTACGCCTTGCGCCAATACCTGACTGGCTCTGTCCATACCAGCTCGCCGTCGTGATAGTGGCGTGAATAGAGATGGGCGAGAGGGCAGCGGATAGGCAACCATCTGATGGTCACGTGTCGTAGAAGGTTCGAAAAGCCAACTGTCATCTCTTCTGGCAACGCTTCCCACACTAACGGCCGCACAGACGGGCCTAGTGTGATTGGCATATAATGTTTACACATCACTCAGCTTGATTTCTGGCACGATTTTAACCATGCGAACTAAAGCCTATCCTGTCAACGAATCAATTTCTACGCCACAAACATGACCAGGCTAAAACAACAGTGGCTGCGCAAAGAGTTCACGGAATAAAGTCGCTAGCAAGCTGCTGACGTCTCCCCGATATACTCCGAGATGCACCATGGCCTTTCAAGCGGAAGCCTGGGGTTCTCCAGTGCCGCGACCACTAAAACCCATCACACGTGACGAGTAGACCACAGGTGAGGTAGCGCATAATTATCGCCCAATTCTGGGAGCAGCGCACTGTCACCTGGGAACGTGAACATGGAAAAGAATTTGGAGCTCTGCGACACATGTCAAGAGATCAAGCTCGAGGACTACCTCTTCGAAGCTAATTATCCCGGAACAGTAGAACTTGGTCCCTTCCAAGATGTTGCCAAAAGAAATCACTGCTCGCTGTGCAGACTCGTAATCCAAGCACTCAACAATCACTCACGGCAACATTGGAAGAGCAGCATCTACCCTGTTGAAGTTTGCTATCTGGGCAGGTTTAATGAAAAACCGAACCGGCCAGTCCTCGAGGTTTGGTTCAATTCTACATCCGAAACACTCCCAGATGGCATGTGGGGCTATTCTACGACCCTGAGCCAGATCCTTCTGCTGCACCAACAACCTGTGCACGATGCGACTAAGGCAAGAGCAAGTGGTTGTGCCCAGCTCGTTGGTGAGAAGGTTGACATTCCTCGCATTCGGGGCTAGATGAAGAGTTGCGCCTCTCTTCACGTGCCAAATTGCAACCCGCCCAGATTTCACATGAGTGAGGATCTAGACACGAGCTTACTACTAGTTGATGTTAGAAGGATGAGGCTTGCAGAGTGCCGCTAGGCTTCTCGCTACGTAGCCCTTAGCTATGTCTGGGCATCCTCTCCAAGTCTGAAATCCACGAAGAAAAACATACACCGTCTCCAAGAGGACGGGGCTGTGCGAGAACTGTGGGGTGAGCTACCACAGGCAATTAAAGATGCTATCGAGCTCACCGACGCTCTGGGCGAGACATATTTGTGGGTAGATGCGCTCTGTATCATCCAAGACGACAACCGCTCAAAGGCTGTGTATATAGCGCGCATGAATCAAATCTACGGCAACGCACATATTACCCTCGTCACGCTGAATGGACCATCGGCCGAATCGGCACTACTAGGAGTTGCCCACTCCCGCGTCCTCATCCAGTCACCTATTGAAATCAATGGTTTAAATCTGGTTCCCAGGCTGCCGCAGCTTTCTACTGTTGAACAGTACTCTGCGTGGAGTTGCCGAGCTTGGACTTTTCAAGAAGGCCTCTTATCCAGGCGTTGTCTGTATTTCGCAGAACACCAGGTGTTCTGGCAATGTCGCACCACTTACCAGTCAGAGGATTGCCCAGATGATCATGATCAAGATGCTTCGGATTTTGTACGGGGGCGGAAGACCAATGCTCTGCAACGAGATACCCAAAACGACGTAAGAAGGCAATTTGATGTGTACGAATCGCTCGTCAAGCAGTATTCCCCCAGATCCTTGACTTTCCCGACTGATTCCTTGTCTGCTTTTACTGGGGTTCTTTCTGCCATCGCAAGGTCATTTAGCTGGAACTTTGTGAGCGCCTTGCCAGAACCCGCATTCGACCTGGCATTGCTTTGGAGACCGATGTTCGGTGCTACTATGCGACCCAGACCGTTGTCCGGTCAGAAGGCAGGTCCTATGGTCTGCACATCACCCACTTGGTGTTGGACGGCCTGGCACGGAGACCTTTTTTGGGATCCCTGGCGTTTAGGTTCGTTTGCGGCTCGGAGAGTTAGTTTGAAGACAGAGGTCGCGAGCTTTTGGATCCAAGAGTTTGGCAGACTGCGTCCCATTCAGCGAGGACGAGCTCATGATTCTGATGTCGAGATTGCCGGTTACAAACCTGGCGAGCACACAACAGTCGGTTGCACACTGGTTTTTGAGGCCAAGACAATCGATACTGAGGCATACGACATCTCGACACCGCAGCTGGACCAGTGTGCCTTGTGGAACAGCGAGATAGCTGGTGGCGGATTGTCTAGCTATTTCCGTAACAATACGTCCCACTCCCTCTGGATCTATGATGTTGCTAGTCAACATTGTGGAACGTTCTCCAGCTTAGAGCTAGACGCGTGGCCAAAGCAGCGGAAGGACGGTTCTCGCCATGACATAGTCCTTCTTTCACGGAGTAGCCAAGACGAGGTAACTCAGGCAGCCATTCCACACTTTGAAGACCATCCTCCCTTGGAATACCCGTCCGCCAGCGAGTATTATGAAGAGATCTTTGACACACGTTACTACAGGTACAAGAGTGACTGGGCTCTCAATGTTATGTTGGTGCGGTGGGAGAATGACTCGGCAGAGCGTGTGGCGGTTGGACAGATGCATGCTGACGCATGGAAGGAAGCCCTTGAAAAGTCAAAGCTAATTATACTTGCATAGGCTCGGCAAGCCAGGAGAAAAGAACCCATCCGGGGGAGGCTCACGACTCGTATTCATATCAGCCTTTTCCATTGTTGAGACTTTTCTAGTTGCAATTGTAGAACACTGGAAAGAAACACAGAAATACAGAATCGTTCCTTCGTATGACCTCTCTTCACCCGGCTTGTCAAGCGATTTTGCAATCTTGCTCGAGGAAAATAGCGGGCTGATTTAATATGGAAATCTTAATTGTTTCAATATTGATATAGGAGTATCCGTTTAACAGGACGAGAAGGAATATAATGGGCTCTAACCATAAAGAATGCTAAATTAGACTTGCCAAGAAAAGATATAAAATTCTAAAGCTATAGAATCGTCTCGTGACAGGGTGCGTCTCGGACCACAGGGACGGACGTTACGCCACACGCGTGACAATTCGCGCCACAAACATGACTAATTTAACTGAGGCTAAAAGAATAGTGGCTGAGTAAAATTTAGCGACAAAGGAATTATACGGTATTTCGCTCCCAAGCTAGTGCATATTAATAAGCACTCCTTTGAAGCTAAAACATGTGGCGTTTTATGCTCCTCCTCCTCGCATCGGAGTAACTCCCGGATTGCATCATCTCTTCCTTTAGCATCTTCAAAACTTGGAGCTCTATCATCTATAAGTAGTACCTCTCCCTAAGTGCTCCGAATTTTATAGAGACGTTGATAGTCGCGATTAAGCAGGGGGGAAATGCCGAAGCGGCGATTAGTGCCGTGCTTGAAAATATCAATAGCATAATTGCATACAGACTTTTTCTTGCGGCCAATGTAGCTGCTAGAGGAGAAATAGGTGAAGAAAGCAGTTTTATAAGTACAGCTTCATAGACCTGCTAGGAAAAAAGTTGTGACTGCTGAAGTATGAATTTGTCTCGTTATAGGGTGCGTCTCGGCACGCAGGGATAGACGTTATAAAGTCCCTGCATTGCCGATCCGGCTTTCACGGACTCTCAACTACAGATTGATTACCCTTTTTTTCGGATTTCAAATGACATAAAATGCACTATGGTTGTAGCCGGCCCTTCCCACTGAAACAACTTGTCTTCCATAAGTTTCATAGCCTTTTTTCACGATCAGGGGTTATGAACGTCTCGCTTGTTTTTCACTTCCTTCATTGACGCAACATTTCATAGTATCCATTACACTTCCAATATTGCAGAGATTATGTAAAGCTATGAATATGTGAATTATAGAAATCCAGTGATGGAGCTTAACAGACAAAAACTTTAAGAGCATAGACACTGCCCACTTCGGCCAAGATACTAAAAAGTCAAGCCCCTAGACCATCAGATATATAATAGTGCTGCTTAGTCGCAGATCATTTAGAATAGTCATCGTCATTCCATACAGAAGTTGTTGCTCCGAGGTTGACGCCGGACATTTGATCACTTATTCTCGACTCGTCACTCACCTCGGATCCACTGAGACCCGTCATTGAGATGTCTCGCTGTGACTCTGCGGTACTTTTGACATCCATCTGTTCGAGACCGGCACCATCACCATCAGTAGCCTTTCCGGCGAACTCATTGCGATCTGCTTGTCGCTTCAAGATACTGGTTTCCACCTCACTGCCCTCGTCAATGAGCCGGTATGAGAAAGACTTTGGGTTTCTCTGTCCAATGCGATGTACTCGAGCATACCCTTGAACTTCGCGGAAGAATTCATACTGCGGCTCCATCATCACCACGGCAGCGGCTCGAGTGAGTTGCAGACCTGTACCAATGAGACGGGTGGTGCCGATGAGAAATTGGAAATTGTCCTTGTGTTTTCGCTCGCCTTTATCATCCATCGCGTCAGTGAAAGCTTCGATCACCGCAGTGCGGTCTTTAAGCTTCATGTCAGCAGTGACGACGCCTACACGATTCTTTTTGCCAGTTACGAGATGTTGAATGAAAAGCTGCAAAAGGAGCACTACAGGGTTGAACTCGCTCATGATCACCAATTTGTGCTCTTTGCCTTCATAGTCCGCGCTGTTGCACATATCATCGATTATTCTGTAGAGCTCCATGCATTTTGGGCTTGCTTCGCATATTTCTCTGAAGTGCTTGTAAGGACTTTGCATCAAGCCACTGCGTCTAAACTTGAAGCATTCTTTGGCGGTAAGTTCAAGATATTCGGGGTGTTCTTTTGCTGCATATGGGACTAAGGCTGGGAAAGTAGCCATGATTCGAAGTCTCCACTGGACACTGCAGGCGCTATTGAAGCTAAGCTTGGTTGGGCGCTTTGGGTCTCGCTTTCTTGGATCCGCATTGTCCCAGGTTGATTGAAGCTCTTCGACCTATATGTACATTAGTATGCCCTTCCAACGCATATTAAGAGTCGAGGAGATCATCCAATGAATGGAAACACATAGTTTTTTGATAAGCAGCTCACGATATGACCACGAAGATCCCAGCTCCTAGGATGAACAGATAACGAGGGCAGAACTTTACGTACCTTCTTTGCTATCTCGGCTTGAATGACTGTGCGCAATTGTGCGATATCATCGTCATATTTCAAATTATGTTCTAGAGTGATGTCGGTATGTTCGTGAGGGTTCAATTTTAACAGAGGATGTCCGAACCAAAGAGTATCCGCATTTCGGCGAATCATGAAAGTCGTTAAAAACGGTTTAAATCTTTGAAAGATCTCGTCAAGAGTTGTTTTTTCAGGCTTTGTATCTTTAAGATGCCTCTCGAAAGACTTGCAAATTGCATCGAGCTTCTTCCAGGTAAAGCGATGCAATTGCCGTTGATCGGTCGTGTGCAAATTTTGTTCCCATGCAGTCCGCTTGGGATCGAATTTGGGATCTTTGGGCCATAATTTCTCAATGGCCCACAGCACTCCTTCTAAGCCCCTTGGTGTTTGGGTAAAGGGTGTTCCCGAATATCCCCAGAGAAAAGGGTGGTTTTCCTGAGGGAGATTGGCTAGAACGCCCGATCTTCCCTTTTCTTTGTGATAGTGCTCATGGCACTCATCAATCATAGCGATCCCATAGACCAAGCCAGGGGCCTTGAATTCGTACCACCTACCTGCTTCGCTTTTGTCGTAAACGCGCATTTGAACCTTGTGCTGAAATCTCTCTTGCCATGGCTTACTAGCCTTTTGAGTCGACTCCGATGTAGTCAAAACAAGAATCCTATCTTGATTTATGGCCGCTTCATCCTCATCGTATCTCACTCTCTGACTTGGTAGCGGGTTTTGGACCGCTTTCATCAAGTTGGTATTATGGACCGTGTTAACATCGAAGGAATCGAGATTACTAGTAGCTTTGTGCGCAATTATCAACTTCATATCGAGCGCCGGCAGTGGTGCAATATGATCTATAAACTGGTCTTTCCAACTTTGTACCATCGAGGGTGGCACGCAAGCCATTCTCAACCCATATTTTGCCGGCCATGAAGAAGCAGGACTTGAACTAGTGCATGGGCATGCAATCCAATGATCTCTCTGACTCGGACAGATATCTCCTTCTCTATGCTGGGCTTTGTGCAGATGACGCCCGTCGTCGGCTTGCCTACTCTCAAGCACTTCGCGCCAAAGAACCGAGAGCTGACGCTCAACGACGATGAAAGCGAGATAGGAAAGCGTTTTGCCAAGACCCATCTCATCTGCGAGGAAACCACCTCCATTTTCTCTCGAGTATGCCATTTGCCAATAAACGCCAAAAGCTTGGTATTGATAGAGAGGGTGCTTCAAACCAGCGACCGGGACCCTCTCGTTAATTCCAGTCTTCGTGGAGTCAATACGGAATAGTCGACAGCACGCTTGCCATCTCTCGAATGGATCTGTGGGAGTGGTCATTTGTATAAGCTCGTCCCTAAGGTTTAAAAGATTAGTAACGTCCTGCTTGGTCAATTTCATGTGAGGGGCAATCTTCCATCGGTGGCAAAGGACCACTCCCCGCTATCGAATAAGATTGATTTCTGGATGAACCCCGACAGTTTCTTGCACTTACATATTTTGAAGATTTTGAAGTTGCGAAACAGAGAAATCGGCTTGATCTTCTTCATCTATAAACTGGTGTTCCTCTTCGACTTCTTCATCTGCATCATCTCCTGTAGCAGGCTTAGATGTGCGAAGTTCTGGTATCTGTTCATCTCCACCTTTCGTGTAATTAGTTCTTTTTTTGACCACTCTTAGCTTGTCGTACCGCTGACGTCGCAACTCGTCTTTGTCTAAGGGCGTTGTCGAAGCTGACAAATTGTTCGGTACGAGTGTTTGTCTCAAGGACCCGAGAGCGTGTTTGAGGTTCTCGCCTACTTTTGTAGCAGTGCTTGGCCGGACAAGAGAAGAATCTTGAGGCTGAGCAGAATAGGTACGCAGAGGTGGATTGATGGTGGCTTCAGAGCCTACTCGCTCTCCTCGAGATTCGGTCGGAGTGGTTGGCACACTTGAGTTTCCAGCTCTCGAAGTGGCCCTCTTGATCAAGCCACCTATCTTCTTACCGGTAGCGTTGAAGGATAAAGGCGGTGTGCTTTTCGCAGCAATTGTCGTCTTTTGAGGCTGCGCGGTGACAGGCTTGTCGATGGGTTTTGAGGCCGGACTTTCGATCACTGCTTTTGGTGCTACGGTCTTAGGACCACCTGAAGGTGATGATGATGTCCTAGGGACCTTTGAAGGATTGCTGCTCCTTGAACTAACACTCCCATGTAGCGAAGGCGTCGATGTAGGTCCTGCTTTGGCAGTCATGCTGCCTGGTCCACCTGGAATTCTCTTAGATTGCCCCGTGGGAGTGACTTTGTCGTCAGATGGATATACAGGAGATTGACGCCGGGGAGGAGGCGTTGATTCTTTTGAAGGTCCAACCCTAGTTCTGGTGCTCTGGGGCTGCGTTGCTTTTGGGCTTTCAGTGAGCCGCCGTTTTGTACCGCTTCCCGGCGCAGGGGCCTTTAGTCTTTGGCTAGCTCTCTCTGCGTTGAGTCTGTTTCTCTCCTGGGCCTCTGACTCTGGCTGAAAAGTAAACAATATGGTATCATCGTCGCCTCTGTTATTGAACAAATGACTGATTGCAACTTCAAAGTGCGTTTGCCTTGCGATTTGTTTGACGTTGTTCCATTGTGAATATGTGAGCGTACCATGAGCGAACTCTAAAGGAACTGCTCTAGCTTCGTTGATATGTGTTTCAGCCTCGCGCAAAAACAACTTGTGATCATAATTTTTTGGCAACGTTGCCAGCTTGCCGTCTTGCAGACATCGGCTGAGCGAGAATTCAGCAAACTCTTTCTCTTGGCCGATCTGAGTTACTTTAAGTTGCACCCGTACAACCACAGTTTCAAGGGTAACTGGAGCTTGTTGAACTGGACCCACTGTATCGATATCAAAATCAGGGTCAGTTGAAAAAGCTTCCTATGATAATTCTTGGAAGCAACGCCGTAAAATATCTTCAAGATCTTCCTTGGAAATGGCAGTGCTTATTAGGGCTGATATATTATAGATTTTGGTAGCAAGATCTTTCGAGCTTTTTCCCAATTGAACTCGGCCCTCAGCGCTTTTGAGGTCAGACAAAGCCCTCAAGTTGGTTTCCCATTCATTTTTTATCCATTTCTCAAGGTTGTCTAGATCATTATCGGGCAGGGGGAGACGCTGCTTAAGCTCCGACCATGCCGAACCAGTTTCTGGAGAAGCAGACATTGTTGTCGCGGTAATGAAAACGGACGTGCAGTCAAATTTTGGGAATGATTGCGTGAAATTCAATGTGCTTCAAAAGATTCAGCATCAACAGGTTTCAACAGACATTGCTTGATGTAACGGCAAATTTGAACTATAACAACAGACTTAGACAAGGGAAATTTTCGTGCAAGAAAAGAATCTTTCAATCCCAAAACGGCCATCTCCACGAGGTTGGTTCGATCAGCTGGGATTTTTGGGCGAATGTGACCATTTCCGGCCATACTCTTTGTTCGTAGTGGCAGCTCGTTTATATCTTGTGGAATGAAAAGTGCCATACGCACAAAGACGGCGACATCACTGTTCATCGAATGGAAGTGGCTCAGCTTGTGGGATCTTACTCCGCAATTCTCTCCGTAGAAGATGCTATTGCAATCCTTTCAGGGACTTATTTAGCATGCTTGCACAATAACAAGTGCACCACTCTGCGAAAATCACGAAAAAGGCGCAGCCCGTGCTTCAATGCTTGCTTTGACGACCGGCTGACACTAGCCTAATCCGGGAGTCTTCTTTAGCAATCAAGGACAGCAAATATCTTGCGCAAAGCAGGTAGGGAAAAGTGGCATCTTTACAACGATGAAAGACTTGTGCGAATTTTCAAAGTGATGTCTTCAGAGAGGGAGAAGGAGGAGGAGTCGCTCAAGCTAATCTCATCAAAGCTCGCTAGACATGTAGGTAGGCAAAACTAGACTACAGTAGTTTAGCTGAGCTCGAGGTTACAATGAATGCTCTTCTCTTCTTTCGGCCGTCTTAGCCGTTCCACACTTCTTGCACCTTGGCATGTGTAGGTACACTCTAAAGAACCAAAGTCTCTCCACGAAGCAGGGCTCATATAGAAAGGGTGCTAAGCTTTATCTCCACGGCGGGCATTTATATGTTTGCGAAATCTAGAATGTCCCAGCTTCAGCAAGCCATTCCGATTTCCACAACCATAGCCAATGTGTTTGTCTTGCTTCTCTGGGCTGCGTAGCTCCAAATGTTGCAACTATACCAAACGGCGTCATGATACCCTGAAATGGCAGATCAAGATTCCCGGCGTCTCGGTATACCTTTGTAAGCTCAAACAATCCTTCCCCTTCTTTGAGTATCAGCTCAAAGCTGAAGTTGCCCATGAAGTCCGAAAAGTCTCCGTTAGAGCGCAATCTTGTACCCTCTCCAGGCTGTGTTGAAACGACAGAGAATTGCATTCCATCTATGGGGCGGAAAAAGCTTGCGGGCTCTTGCATGTCGTGAGATGCCATTAAATGATCCAGAAGCCCTTTTCAATGAATGATGCTATACACATTGACTGAAGATGGCATACATTAAATTCGGTTGCACAATCTGCTGAGAAAGGAAGTGGGAGAGTCCAATCGTCGACAGCTGCGCGGAGTTGGCGATTGGTTTGAAGTAATGAGAGGGCAGAGCGACAAGGTCCATTGGAGGCGACTCGGCGTATGATCTCAACAGGAAGCGTGTCGAGTTGGCATTGTAGTTCCGCCATCATTCCAGGCAAGAAATCTCAGTTGTGTATGAGGGGGATCCCATCCTAGTGGAAAGTCTTGAAGAAATGTTCTGTTTGGTTCCCAAAACAATTGGCTGTACATACGACGAATAATATGGGAGCAGAAAGTGATCACGATCAAAGTTGGGGTTTGAGCAAGAAGGATGTTGATTTACGATGTTGGATCCCGATATCAGGCCCCACACTTTGCAACTCGCTAGGCAAAGTAGGCTAGCTTCGCGAGGTAGTGCTTATATACTATGCTACCCAGTTGGTGCTTAGACCGAATCCTTCTCCTTTTCCTTATATCTTGTATTTTTGAACCCTTCTTTTTTTAAAAAAAGGAATACATCAAATCAAGCAACAATAACTTTACATGTTATTCCTGAGAGATGGTCCACTCACTCTCTTGGATTTTGCGCATCCATGTCAGGGTCAGGACATGATTTACTGGCAAATCTTGGAGGAAGGGACTCAAGGAGAGTGCCACGATATTTTCAAGAAAAGAGTATTTGGTCCCTCCGATTGAGCCGCAAGGCGTGACCCAACAATGGATGCAGCATCCACATCCTCTGCGTCACTCAAGAAACGAGTCAAGCACACCAAAGTCAGGACTGGATGCCTGACTTGCAAGATTCGCAGAGTGAAATGTGACGAGACCAGACCTGCGTGTCTGCGTTGCACCAAGTTTGATGGTCAATGCGACGGCTATTCTACTTCAAAGGCCAAGCAAAATCTTACGCCAAGACACGAAACTCAGAATCCAGCACCGTTCATGCAACCGAGACCACTTCTTCCTCGGAGTGGTAAAGAGGATCGTACTTCATTTGTTCCGACTCTGTATCGTCCAGTCCACGTTGCAAAGTTCCGAAACGAGCAGGAACATCTGGGGTTCTTGTCGTTCAGAAACCCGACCATTTCTGAGCTTTCGAGCCTCTTTCCCAGTTCTCTTTGGGAGCGGGTGATACTTCAAGCATGTCAAGAAGAGACGTATGTACGCGACGCTGTTATTGCTGTCGGAGCATTGTTCTCATGCGAACGAAGGCTTGTGTTCGATACAGAGAATCGGAAGAGTTGGGGAGGAATTGAAAATGCACCTCGGTACCAATTTGCTCTCCAACATTATGGAAACACTATAAAGACAATGCGCCAGCAGCTACCTTCTATGCGCGGGGACCAGAGTCTTAGGACCATGTTGATCGGATGTATTCTCATTGTTTGTTTTGAGGCAATGCAAGGAAACTATGTCCAGTCCGTAACACATGCAGTTGGTGGACATGGGGTTCTGCAGAGCTGGCTCACCTCTAAGAGGCGTTCCAATTCGCCATTTTTCACGAAAGAATGGCTTACATGTCCGGCGACAAGCCCGGCGGAGGATGTTGTTGAGGACGAGCTTGTGCAAGCTTTTGCGCGCATTGACTTGCAGATAATGCAATACTCTCTCGACCCTCGAGGGATGGAAGACCACTTGTTGCTCGGTTATGAAGGCTCAGAGGCTATCAGAAATATGCCCTTGCAATTCGCCAGCATAGGAGAGGCCAGATCATACTTGATCTTAGTCGACCGCCGGACGTGGCATTTCCTTTCGAGCTTTGCGCTTTCACAGTACGAGAAGAGAGGAAGAGAAGAGGACATCGACGTATCAAAGCACACGGACTTGAACGACGTACTATCAAAAGATAATAACAGAGCTCAGATTTGGCAAGCCGAAAGTGCGGCTCATGTAAGTGAGACAAACCGCTGACTTTCTGCTCTCGAGCCCATTTACAGAACTCTGCCTCGGAACTCACGAGAGTGGAAAGCAGCAAGCCTTCTTCAGATCCAGGCTCAGACGACAAGAATCTATCTTCATGGCTGGCTTCGCTCAGATGAAAGCTGGAGTGATCAATTCCTTCCCGAATTTCAGTGGATAGTGAATAGAGGCAAAGAAATATTCGACGATGACTTGATCCAGAACAAACATCGCTTCTCTTTCGATGGCGGGTTTATACATCCATTACAGACGATAGGTCACTATTGCCGAGAGCCTAATGTTAGGAGAGAAGCTATTGCACTATTGAGGAGGATTGCTGCGAAAGAGTTATTTTGGGATGGATTGATGCATGCTAGCGCTTGCGAAGCGCAAATGAAGTTCGAAGAAGAAGGAATGGATATACATGGCTTTATTCCGGAATCGCATAGATTCCAAATACGTGGAGGCAAAGTGGATATGCTGAACAGGATTGGAACGATTATATACAGGAGAATGGGCAGAAACGAGGACGGGACGCTGGACGAAAGAGATTCAGCCTTCCACTATGAGTACCCGTTTCAATCACCCGCAAAAGGACACTGCTCAATGGGATCCTCAGCTTGGCAGACAATGCTCTTGCAATACGTTCAAGCCATGTTTGTTTGAATGCAGAGTAAATCTCAAGCTCTGATTCAAACCAGATTTTGGATTCACAATGAGCAACTTGTCAGCAATTGCCTTTGCTCTGAATTTTCTCCTCTTGTGAATGGCTTCAAGCCAGCATTCACACCGTCACAAACCACGAACACATAAACCCCCCTCACCCATCCTCCTCCCCATCTCACGCACCAACACCACCACCACAATGCCCCTTCTCCTCACCCTCACCGCCCCCTCCCAAAACGACATAACCGACAAATACAACTCCCCCCTCTCAACCCCCTCTCACCTAATCATCGACCTCGAAAACCCCGACAAGAAATTCCTATCCCGAAAATACGGACACAACCCCGAACAACTTCAAAAAGAATTACACAAGATGGTCAAAGATAAGCTAGCTAAGCGGGTATTCGTCGCGAAGTTTCCGGTCTATCAGCTGCCGATGGAGGTGGTGCAGAAGAGGCCGTGGATTTATGAGTACGTGCGGGATGTGGCGCAGGTGGATGCCATGAAGGAGGATGATGAGGGTGAGCGTGAGATGGCTGGGAGGCTTCGGCGTGGCTTTTCTTGAGTGGTGTTTGAGAGATTTTGGTAGAGTTGTGTACGATAACGAGGGGTGCTTTGAGGTACTTGGTGAAAAATACCTCGTACCTTGAGCCAATTCCAAGCGTAGTGTAAGATTGATGGATGAAACACATTCATCAAAAATATTTGAAAGTCGGATTCCAGCTCGAGCTTCAGGAAGGGATTGAGAAAAGTAGCGCTCGACATGTGAACTCGGAGCTCACTGTCTATTATTTGAACTCCTTCCTGCCTGATTTGACCTGCTGCTTTAGAAAGTTTTCTTAAACGCATAACAATAACGGGATCTGCAATCGTTCAAACTGCGGCGCTGTTTTTGTTGCGCGAAGCTTCTTACAAATATCCAGTGGTTCAAGTTGAAGCATCTTTGAAGACGCCGGAACGATGTAATATTTCCCCATCAAGTAATTTAATGTATCGAGTTGACATAGCTGGCTCGGGTAGTAAATGCACTGATCCTTCTATGGCCTCTCCTTTTCCCTCTGGCTTACACCCTCCATCTCCTCAGTGACCTTCCTATTGAAATACTCCCAACCATCGAGGTAGACGATATGCCCAGCTTTTGGGACAATAATGACCTTTGCGTCACCTTCATCCGCATGCTTCTCTTCGGGAGTCGCAAACTTTAGCATTTGCCTTTTCAGACCTAATACTTTCTGCTGCGCTGCAAAACCCCCCTCCTTGTCCATCCAGTCATCCTCGCCGTAGAAGAAAACAATAGGATAGCCGTTTTCTCTCTCCATCTTTGTCGATAGAGACGCACAGTGGGAAGACTCTAAAGTACCTGAACCAGTAGTCTGTCTTTGGAAATATTGTCTGCCAACATCTTGAATGCGTCTGATAAGTGGGCGGCGAGCAAACATTCTTGGTGTGAGGATGCAGGCGAGTGCGTGCTCGCCGCTACTAGGCTGTATGAATAGGCTGTAGCTATAGTCGTGCAAGGCTCGAGCCTCCTCGGTGGGGAGATGGGAGAAGCGTCTGCTGGTCCAACCGCTCACAATTTTCGGACCAAATGGACCTGTCCAACGGAGAACGGTGAAAGGGGAGATTTTGGCATCCCAAAGTGGGGCTAGCCACTTTGGATAATGCCATTCTGAGGTGTTTGGCGAAGCCTTTACTTCACAAATATCAGTCTCGAGCAAAATGCTGGCATCTTTGACGCTGGCAGATGTCTCTTCGTCTCGGTGCTGCGTAGAATCATTCATCGTACTAGTTTTCTCCGCTGACTCATGAATGCGTTCATTGATGGTGTTTGGGTCTTCCGACATGCCCGCCGGACTCACAAGAATCAATTTTTTGAGATGGCCAGGATACTTGAGCGCATACGCTACCGCCATATACCCACCCAGTGAGTGGGCCATAAGTGTGAAGCGCTCAATTCCTCTTTGCTTCCTCCATTCTTCCAGGGCGTCGATAAACCAATTTTCTGCTTCTACAATCTTACCATCTTCGTCCTTGGCTTGCAGTTGAAATGGTGGCCGTGACGAGCGGCCCATACCTAAGAGATCGAGCGAGTAGAGTCGCCAGCCAAGCGGCCTTGATAAGGCCTCATAGTTTTTATACCAAAATGCGAGCCCGGCGCCATAGCCGTGTAGCATAACGAGTGTATTTTGGACTTCCTCGCCTACCTATAAAGTTCATATTCAGATTTAGCCTATGTTTTATTGAATCCAGATAAAGTCTCAGAAACGTGTAAAGATTAGGATTTCACACCTGCTCTATATAGAGCTCGTTGATGGAGCGATCTTCGCCACTCAACTTGATTCGACTCAACTCCCATCTCCGCTGCCGATGGGAATCTATTGTTTGATGCAATTTAATTGCTCTAGCCAGATTGGCTGCCGATTCCAAGACGTCTACAACGTTTGAATTTGTCGGTAGCGGTGGGAGAAACGGAACACAGGAGAGGACTTTTCTCTCGTTCACTGCAGTATCCTCGCAGCTCCACTGCTACTATCAGTGACGGTTACAATTCATTTAATGGAGAACAGTGGAGGAAGTGGCCTCACCCATTGTTTAAAGCTACCCATGCAACTCAGCGGAAACATCGGACTGATCTTTGTCTGCGGGTCAACTTGCTTTTTGACTCGATGCAAAGACGGCGGACTCTGCTTCTCATATGTGTGGCTGATCTCACCGTTGGACATTATGGCGGATGCGGATGCCATTGCTAATTGGTATCTCTCCAGATTCGAATGAATGCCACGCTGCCCAGAATTGACTTTAAACATGATCCGCTGGTTAAGAAATTGAATTGAAATAAGAAAAGTATTGTTGCAGAGTTGCAACTCCTCGAAAGGTGTACGTAAGTCAGATAAGAAGTAGTCGGCTTCGCCAAGAAGGGGAAGGATTCAGTGGCATATATAGCGGCATATATTTACGTATTGTAGTCACTGAGAAATAGCGTAAGACCACGCAAAGACGATTTACAAGGATGTTACTATGTGGGGGCGATCCACATCCTTTGAGGGCGCTTGCATCCCTGCACCGCTTCCCTTCTCAAAAAACTGTGCCACGCGCCTCTCCCCTATTATTAGGCTACCTGCAAACGCCGCTGAGATGCGGGACGAAGTCCAGCTGCCATAATTAGTTCTATTCAATGAGCGTATGATTTGCTTACGCTCGCTCAGTCGAAAATATCTCACTGTGATCTTAATATGAGAGCAGAAACTTCTGCTTCCATCTCTTCCTCTTTAGACCCAATATACTTATTCACTTAGTTGATTTGATGCTACAACTTACATCTGACAAAGTGCATCCTGAACCACTTGGCAGTCTCTCCAGCGCACAAGTCTTCAGACTCAGTCATTCTAGTTGAAAATGCTCATTTTACTTCGAGCTCTCGTCGTCGCTAGCTCAATATACTTCTGGCATCTCACGCAATCCATGTTGGCCCGCCGCACTCCAGTTCCTCACAGCACCACAAGAGTCTCAAGTATTCATGATGAAGTCCATTCCCTCACCTCGACAATGCATGCCAAGCTTGCAGCAGCGACACAGCTAGCCAACTTTCTTCTTGCGTCATCTTCTGCAATTGTGGATGTCTTAGGCCTTTTCCTCTTTACGATTTCAGTCTTCGGATCAACCTTTGAACCTGTTGTCGGTATCATCCTGCTCTTCACCCTCCGCCAATTTGCCCAATCTTTTTGTCACCTACAGCCACCTCAGGGCATCATCTGGCGAAACCCTGGCGTTCCTTCTCTCTTCGTGACCTACGATGTCAAGGACGATCTCTTCTTCTCTGGACATACCGCTTTCGCTGTCTATGGCGCTTTGATACTACATTCTATTCTTGGGGATCTCGTCGGTTTGCCAGTCGGATTTGCTCTCGTTTTCTTTCAAATATCTACTGTCCTGCTGCTCCGCGTCCACTATACCATGGACGTATTTACTGGTATCTTTTGTGCACTCTATATTCATCAGCTAAGCCATAAGCTCTCTCCCTCGATCGATAATTTTCTATTTGCCACAGGCACTATGTAACTGTAAGTTGGTTAACTCATCTGGATATGTTGTCATGATACTAATTGGTCTTCAAGGCTACGCGACCATAGTTTGAGCTGTTCAAACTCCTCTTGGAAAACGGTTTGAGGAAGGGCATTTGGGATGCGCAAGTAATGGCGACGATGATGGCAGGATTGTGCCAGCTGCTTAGTTTTATAGTAGAGAGAGATCGTCAAATGCTGGAGTAGAAAATTGATTAAAACATGTCTTCTATTTTGATGCCAAAGTACAGAATCTTACAAAGTGATAGCATTCTTGGCTAGTGGCTGGACAGCGGCGGATGTTTGCGGAATTCAAAAAAGCGAGCGATTTAGTATCACTTGAGGTCAAGGCGTTACCAGGCGATGCGCACATACTTGTGCTACCCGATTGACCAAAAGTAGAGGTGCAAGATGTTTTTCCCAAGACTCAATTTATTGAAATGACTGATATCGCTCTCTATACTCTATGACCTCAATAGTTCTGTTCTCGCCTCGTGACATGACCAACAAAAACGCGATGCAAATGGCTGGATCTCTCGCTAATCAAGCGACCCCTTAAGAGAAGTCCCCTCAGTATACCAAATATAAAATCCTCCAAAAAGTCCTACAATGACATTGTTGTTACGTTGTTACTGATCCCAAGGTCCTTCAGTCGATTGAGACTAAGCACCATGACCCTTTCCAATCCGCGCATGAAGTGGAACGGAGCCTGTTACTTTGTTGATCACTCCTTCCATGGCCTCAAAAAGGCCAATTGCAGTCAATGGACCATTCATCCAACCTGTCACGAGACAGTAGTTGCGATCGTGCGGACGCATATGATGCACTTGATGATCCCGTCGTGACACCAGCAACCCAAAGTCTTGGAGCTTTTGAACGATCCAGGGAGGGTTCTTCATATGCGCAAAGCAATGGATCTCATTGGCGAATCCGGAGCACATCGTGTAGGCAAGCCAGAAGCTAGCGAGTGCGAAGCTTGATGAAGGGTCTGGATACGTAATGGCATTTGCTGCAGCCCAGATTCCTGGTAGACTGACCAAGAAATTATTGCCGTTTCTTTCGATGAAGCCGTGGGTAGTTATAGCAGAAGGATCCGAATGATGATGATGGAAAGGACGAAAGAAGACTGATCCTAGGACTGGAAAGTCGCTCTCACCCCAGTTATCGACAGCCCAGTGCACGACTCCAGAAGTGAGGTCGGCCGCGCTCATCCCAAGTACAACAGCGACGAGCATGCGGTAGGCCATGATGGGGCTTGCACCGTCAGCCATGAAACGATCACAAACACTTTTCATCGTGATTGCCGCATAGCCAAAAAATAAGACAAAACCACATAACTCCAGCAGGAAATGGGCGAATGTACGGCCGGTAGTAAAGTTGGCATCTTTTTTCTGCAAGATAACAGTTTTACTGTTGCGTGTAGTGGTAGAGTCTTGTTCGTGATGAGATTGGAAATGTGGCTTCGGCTGGAAATCGCGAGTTTTGACTCCCATTTTTGCGGTAAGATGAATACAATGATTTATTGCGCTGGCTTCGAATGAATAGAGTTTGAAAAAAAAATTGAACTGAAAAAGTGACTGTATCTAAAGTCAAATGTGAAGTACTACTTCAGATTTATAAGAAGCTCAGACTTCTAATTCTAACTTCTAATTTCTGATCAGAAGCAAATTTTTGTTGTATTTACGACTTATTGGCTCCGCAGTAAGCGCTTCATCTGCATTGGAGAAGGATGAATCACATTGAATCTGAAGCTGAAATCCTACCGCCGCTGATAGCAGTCGTTACTTCGTGGTCATGCTCGTGGTCATGCTCGAGGCTCGCTTGCGGCGTAGGCGGCGGCGGCACGCGAGCTGCTACCCGTTTAGTAACGATATGGGGCTGGTTTCTTTTTTTTCCCCAATCCAACAACATCTTCATAGAACCCGGATTTGCGCAAATTATAAAAATAGACCATTCATACACGTACAATACTATATTTCCGGCTATTATGCATTAAGGATATAGTCATACCAGGCTCAGCCGCTGTGATCCTCCAGAATTTTCAATAGTGCGCCTTGGGTAAGACGACTATTGCTGTAGGAGCGACTCTTGATGTTCCTCTCCAATGAAGGACCGCGAGGATTCTGGCACAATCTAACACTAGAGATAGCATTAGACGCTGAGTCGTCGGACGCCGTCTCACTGCATTGAAAATTGCTTCCAGGTCTTTATCATATCAAATTCTGACGTGTTCTAGATCCAGATAGATCACGAACATATCAACCACGGTACCCACCTCTCCAAAAAAAAGATCACCAACATATCAATCACGGTGATTACGCCCCCATACAATGGAGCACAGTGGAGAAGCCTAGCTACGCCCCCCCTATGAGGTATCTCACGTATGGAACTTTGTCTTCAGTGCAACGGAAATCGTCTACAGAAGTTACAAGCCACGGTCGTTGAGCCAGTCACTTCAAAGTAAAAGAACATCAAGCATTGCAAGTTCAAATTTTTCAGAAGACTCCTGTCATTGCCGCCAGAGCCTAGCTGCGAAATGGTTCTCAACCAAAGACTGGAGCGATTTCTGAAGACGGAGTCGCCACAGCCAGAATGGGTGCAAAAGATTGTAACATTTTGCAAGAGACGGCCCTCTGAAAAAATTGCGTTTCCGTTGGTCATTACCAGCTTCTGCGTCATAGAGTTCATCCGATCAGTCGACACGAGTATCCTCACGTTCCTCGTCAGAGCTGTTGCCGAAGATCTTCACGCAAGTACAGTGGACTCATACTGGTGCAGCGCGTCCTACCTCTTCAGTATGACAGCTACACAGCCTATCTTTGGAGGCATTGCGGAGGTTGTTGGGCGAAGAACATGCACTCTCTCAGCGACAATCATTTTCATGGTTGGTAGCATTGCATGCGCAACGGCTAAAGACATTTCTTGGCTAATCGGAGCCCGAGCAGTAAGATATTCGCATTTCTTCTTGTTAATGGACGTTTCAATGCTAATGATTTCGGTAACAGCTCCAAGGTTTAGGTTCTGGAGGGATGGATATGGCTTTCAGTCTTATCATTGTTGACATAGTCTCTTTACCACGAAGACCAATGTACGTGGCATTGCTTCAGCTTTGCGCTGGAGTAGGACTGATATTTGGTGGGCTGATTGGCGCACTTGTCATTGAGAAACTATCATGGCGCTGGTAAGTACCCTAAGTAGCACCACAGATGATGAATCTTGCGATTTCACTAATACTAACGACTTCTTGTACAAGGGTCTTTTGGATCAATCTACCATTGACCGCTGTTCCGCTGCTATGCTTTATTATTGTACTACATGTCGAATTCACTCCGAAATCATTCTCCCAACAAATCAAAGCTATCGACTGGACAGGTACTTTTCTTATCATAGCCTCGCTTACAAGTCTTCTTTTTGCTATTTTCGGTGGTGGCGTCGTATACCCTTGGATCTCTAAGGAGGTATTGGGACCACTCATAGCGGGCATATGCGGGTTGGTTCTATTCATTCTAAATGAGAGGTATGTGGCAGACCGGAATTACATTCAGCCACTCATGCCACTACGAATTTTCGGTAATCGTACAGCGGGTGTTGGGTATTTTATTGCTTTTATACACGGCATGAGTCTCACTATAATCTCAAGCATCTTTCCCCTTTACGTAAGTTCATCCTTCTATACCCATGTACGGTATGACTAACAGGGAAAGTTTTACATCACGGATGAATTGTCTTTCATTCCTACAGCTGTCCGGATGCTGCCTACTCCATTAGTCATCTCCTGCTGGGTTATAGCCGCGGGCTATGTTTTGAATAAGACAAAGAGGTTCAAGTGGTCAAACGTGCTTGGGCTGGTACTTTTGGCCGCTGGCTTCCTGCTATTATTCACTCTCAAGTATCACTCGTCTCTAGGCCAAGAGATTGGCTATCAAGTTATCTACAGTGCCGGGATTGGGATTCTATTTCCAGGCCGGATCATGGCTGTCCAATCTGCACAGGAGAGAGATGAGGATGTTGGCCTGGCTGCATCGTTAATCTCAGTGACACTCAATCTTGGTCAATGTTTCGGTCTTGCTTTAGGAGTTGCTCTCTTCGACAACTTCTGGAATATACGGGTCCGAAAAATACTTCGAGACGGATTTATTCCACCAAACGACATTTTCTATGGCAATGCAGTCCAGGAGAACCTGGATACTATCAAGTCGCTTCCGGTGGCTATAAAATGGCACTATCAGCGCGTTGGAGCTGAAACTTGCTCTTATATATTCTTGATTTTTGCAGTAGTCTCGGGCTTCACTCTCTTCTTATCATTGTTTTCAAGGAACTTAAGTTTCGATAGAGAAACGAGAACAAGGCTTGTGACGCACGACTCGAATACGATGTCGACTAGTTGCTCAGGTAGTATCGAGAAGTCTTCCGCTGATGATGCAGCTATGGCGGTTGTGGCCTGCGATGACGGCTCTGGAAATTGTCTTCGAACTACTGTGTGAACATGTGGGTTCCTAACTTCATCCATCTATCACGCTCACAACTCACAGGTGTGTCAGTAACGAAGTGCTCTGTTGGCAACAACCGAAGCATACCATGGAAGGAAAGCGGCGGTTTACCCTGCAGGAATGGCGGCTAGGCGATGTAAATACTCACGCTTTAATACTTTTCTCTACAAAACCAATTCAACAATTCCAAACAATCACTGCAAGCGCTTTTTTTTCACTGTTTCATTGATTTGATGTCTATATAATGCTTGGGTCACTTGTTATTTCCTCTCACGAACAGTCAGGCTAACGGAAAGAGAGTAGAATGAGAATCAAGAATTGCATGCTGCTGGGCACAGCAACATTTTACATTCACACGCCCCAAACTCCACATACATATATATATCTACACAGCCACCATAAATACAAGGTATCCGCCACCCAACCAACCGTCTAATAACACCGCGCTATCATATGTATGAACAACCTCATGAAATCATTACTCAACAATTTCTCCCATTGGCCCAACATCCCTCGACGTCACCGTATCAGTCCTCTCTTTCGGAGGTGGGTTAAGACCATCTTGATAAAACTGTCTCCTTCCCTCCACTCTTCTTTCCGTAGCGCCATCACCACCGTCTCTTCCAAGCATAAGACTAGTGCCATACGCTCTCGGACTCAAACTTCTCGCATTTCTAACAGTGCTTGCGACAGCGATACTGTGTCTGCGAGTCCGTTCAAAGGCCAGATCACCCTTGTGAATATTGCGATGTGAGTTTGGAATCGTAGGTCCGGGATGTAATAGCGTGCTCAAGAAGTTCTGGGCCTGACGTTGAGGACTCCTTCCTCTTGATCGGCTTCTCTCACTCTTGTTTGTCTTTGTCGCACCAGAGTTGACTTGTGCAGCTGTAGCCATTGTACCAATCGAAGATCGTCTTCGGACATGCGCAGCTGCGGTTTCTGCTTCTTTTCTTTGGAGATGTTCGCTAGGGAGGAGAATAGCGCGATCTAGCTCATAAGGGAGACCACGATGTCGACCACGGACTTGCATGGCTATTATGACCAATTTCGCGATGACGCCAAACTCGGCAGAGAAGGAGGCGTCGATATTAGTGTATCCTAGACTTAGTCCAACGGTTCCGTAGGCAGATACGACCTCGAAGAGGACTGAGAACATAGTGAAAGCTGGATCGCCGCTTTGCAATCTGGTGCCTTCGGAAATAGCGATGACAAAGAAGCCTAGAAATATGTACCACAAATCGAAGGACAATTGACGTCGCAAATGGGCACCAACGTAAGATGGCTCTCCTTCATCTTCGTTCTCCTCTGCTTGATTGCCATAAATGCCAAGCGACTTTTCCTCGTACACATTGGTTCGACGTACGGAGATAGCGATCGGGAGGACGGATATATACATCATGATTAGGTATGAAACTTGAATGGCAGGATGAAGCTCTGCAAGATTGACGACGCCGAATCCTGCAGTGCGAGTGGAAACGGCTTGGAACCATCCATCAAGGACTCGAATGTTGACTGGAAGTTGAGTGACGATTGAATTGCCGAGCTAATTCGGGTCAGCAAGAACAAATATAGTATAAGAGAGAAACACACATCAAGGATTATAAAGAAAATCAAGTCCAGCCCGTTCAATATCACCAAAATCCAGAACAACCACCAGGTAGCCTTTGCCGGGAATAGTAGAGTAAAACATCGGCGGGGATGATCAAGTAGAAACTTCAGCTCCTCCCAGATCCCACTCTCTCTTGGCACGTATTTTGAGGTGACCCAAATGATGATTCGCAACATGATTGGGAATCCTGTATTGCCAATGATGATCAGAAATGACATCAATAACAGAGGCCAAATGGCTGTCCCAAACGAGATCATGCTGTCAGGCGTGAGAGTATATCCCAAATCGGTGAAAGCGGAATTAGCTGTGAAGATACCCCACCAGCCTCTTCCTTGACCATCTCCCTCGACAATTACGCCATAGGTCTTCGTGGTATATATCCATGGAGTGAGACATACCATCCCGAAGACAGAGAATCCCCAGAAATAACATGTCAGGATGAGAGCCAGTGATTTCAATGACCGGTACTCAATGCCGCCCAACTCTTCTCTCTGCTCTTCTGTTAGGTCCACAAACATAGAGTTTCGTCCGACCGTGGCTTCCCAGCTCAGGTACGGCATCGTCTCTTCTTTGTCCCGGGATAGGGCAGATCTGATAGTCTGCAAAGTGTTCGTCCTGGTTCGCGAAGAGTCATGATGATCCTCGTGCAACTTCTCATGCTTACTCTTGAATATTCTTGGTTTCCGAAACCTCAGTGCCGACAAAGTGTTCTTTGCAGCGGTAGCATCCTCGGCAACATGTTCAGTGACAGGGATAGGCGAACGCTGAGGTTCTGCAATCGTGATGTTTCTCCTAGGGCGCTCCTGCTGGTCATCTTGATTGCGAGCTGTGTCCTGACTCTGCCTCGAATCAAACGTAGAGGCTCTCCTTGAGATGGTTTGATGAACTGTATCCGCGTCGTCCACGGCCTGGGGAGCAATACCTGCATCAGCATCTCTGGGTCCTGGAATCCTCAACACAGCTCCATCATCCGCATGTCGTTGTCTTTCCAAGATAGCGATATGCTCCTCGGTCCTCCTCGGTGCAGGTAACCTCTCATCTCCCGAAGGAGCTCTGGCATGACTCGGTTTGACCTGGTCCGCGAACTTGATCTGTGGCCTCTGTCCATCCTCTTTCTCTTCTTCCGATCCACCATTCAACCCTTTCTTGCCCGTTCCTTCACTACTACTCTCATTCGAACTTCTCGTTTTCTCCTGCTCCAGCATCCTCTCTTTCTCGGCTCGTATCTGATCCTCAACACTTCCCTCCACCGCCCTCTCGTCTGTCATCCCATTGGCTCTCGTACTCTCATGCATAACCACAATCTTCCTCCCATCCACGCCCCTCTCCTCCACATCCAGATCCCTCTCCCCCGTCCTCGCCTTACTCAACGACTTCGCCATACTCCTGCGATTCCTACTCGCTTCCCTGGCTATGTGTTGGAACCTCTTCTCAAACCAATATAAACGGAGAAACACCACGAACGAATTTATGGTAATAGGATTCGTAGCCATGGGAATGAGGAAGACAACCACTTGCTGCCATGTATTAAGTTGATTGATGTTGATAGTGTTCAACCCAGATTGCGTCGAGGCACCGCTCGCGAGGAAGAGGGCATCGATATATTTGATTTCGCCGCGAATGTAGAGACATATCGAACCGAAGAGGGCCATGCCTATGATCCAAAAATCTGCCAAGCATAGTCAGTAGAGAAAATGGACAATGTGGATTGGAGGCCGTACAATGTACAGTAATGAAATTGAAATGGGGCGTTTTGGAAATAAAAGCCGGCTTGAGGGACTCGACATGATGCCAGACATCTAGCAGAATAGAATACATCTTGACGGTCTGCGATTGATTGTCCTATGTAAAGAGACCAGCTGAAAGCGCGTGGTGGTTCTTCCAACTGATCTCGGGCGGAAGGTTGCGGGAGGCGGTGCTATGAAGTGGAAGGCGAATTGGATGAGCCGGGTTCGAATGGATGCATCTTCAAAACGTCTATTGACAGAGGAGAATGGCGATTGATCTTGGTGTTGAATTGAGGATTGAGGTCAGCAGCGGTGATCTTTGTTTGTTTTCTCCGAGGTGTAGAAATTGGACTGATGGATGGAAAAGAATCTAGATTGTTAGTCTTGGCACCAAAACAGAATCGATTGGCGTTGGTTGCTGTTAGTGCCGCTAAGACCACGAGATCAAGATGTCGAGCTCCTCCCCGTTTTCTTTTCTTCGATCATATGATATATCTAAATTGGAGAAGATCTTTCGCAGAGAAAGAGAGAAAATAACATTGAAGTGAAACCTCCTGTCTCAATTGATAGTTTTCTCCCAGGTACGATCTTTAGGAGCTTTCCTCCTTGGCAGTGAGAGGATCAGCGTTGTCAAGTCCACAAGATCCTTGCCTGCATCGTCATCAGCGGCCGCGTGCATATAAGTTGACACCAAGTCGAGATAAGACCATTTCTCCTCTTTTCCATCTTTAGTGTTGTCCTAAGAGCTTAGTGAAGTTTGAAATAGCTGAAGATATATAAATTTTGGTTGAGTCTAAATGGTATCGTTGCCTGCTCTCACAGTTGAGATGAAATGCAATGACTCGCACGTGTCAATGACGACGAGGCTCCCCTTGTCTCATTTATTGGCAAGGAGCATCAATTGGCTACGCACCGTTGTCTTATCCAATCTTCCAAGCGAATGCACGACACGATAGTTTGCATAGCCACTCGATGTCGAGAATCATATCTGAAGCATCTCACATTCCCTGCGGCATTTTCGAGCATCCACGACATGCATCAACTGATTGTTCGTTCGTTATGTCCACTGAATAACCAGATATCCCATACATACAAAAGAGAACCCGAAACGCCAACAAAGCATACTTTCCGAACCCTCCGTAACCTGCCCAGACCACCGTCATATATTCATTACAAGCAGCGGTGAAGTTTACCTTCACATGCCAGACATCTCCACATCAGCATCACTAAGTAGTTCCGACATAAGAGAATCTCTTCTGCCAATGATGGTGCCTTCTTCCTCCTCTTCCTCAACCTTGACCAATTCCGTCTTGTCTCCTTCTTCTGCCTCAGCCCCATCGGCACTGAGGACTGTCCTCTCTTCGTCTACACCGCTCGGCGCTATGCTTCCTTTCCTGCTATTCACGCTGCTCTTCAAGCTTACCGTACCATCTGCGTCCTCCTTGAGAGAGTTCGCAATCTTGCCAAGTGACACGTGTATCTTGAACAAGGCATTGCGACCAGTCGCATCAGCGATGAGCTTGTCATCAATCGCAATGGATACTTCATTGTACACTTCTTTGAGCAGAGCAGGCGTTGAAGCTGGTGAGATGTGGAGCTTGGCGAGCATTGGTGCTAGAAGTTTCTTCTCTTCTCCTGTCGATGTGTTAGTCGGCTCATGCAAATTCGTGGCAGTACTTACTATTGATGCCAGACCCCAGCTTCTCCAAAAGGTCACGCGCAAACTCAAGATGAACATCTCCATTAACTGCCTTTTTAGAAGCTGCTTCATCTCCTCCAGTGAGCTGGATCCCGCTTCCATAACATTTTCTTGGATCCGTCCAGTCGATGAGATGAGCACCAATTGTAGTGATGCTTACCATCTCAGTCTCTGCGTCTCCATCATCGTCCAAGGTTTCCTGGACCTCAAACAACTTGTGCAATGCATCGCAGGCCACTTTTCGCATCCTATCTTGATTTTCCTTTCTACTAAAGCTGAACACAGGTAGGAAATAGCTGAGTGTTTGCCTCACACCTTGATTATGTGCGCTGCTTGGATCGAAGTATAGGACTACCAAAGTCTTGAGCAAATCATCGATCGCTGTAGAAGAGTCCGCAATAACACGACCAAGCATAAGCTTGGCAATGGCGACAGTGGCTGCAGCCTGGACCTCAGGAGCCTTTCCTCCAGACTTGAGTGCCTTAAGATACACCTTCAGAAGTGTTGGGTTCGTGTCCAACAGGTGCGCACCATGAGTGTTGAGGATATCAGTAAGAATCTGCAAAGCGGTGATCTGTAGTGCAGAGTGGCCCTTGGTGAAGAAATGCATGAAAAGCGTCAAGTTTTCCTCTGCGAGAGACTTGTCTAGGAGAGAACAAAGACCAAGACAGAGCAGACCACGCTCTCGGACTGGTGCCTCGTGAGACCGAACAGCTGGCACAACAAGGTTGTTGAGCATGGCAACCAGGTCGACGTTCTGCTGAAGGTTGCCTTCCACATTCTCGAGCATACATTGCACGATATGTAGACATTTCATGTTGACCATGATCTCTCTAATAGCCTTTTCTTGGTCCTCCTCTTCAGTACGTTGGGAATTCTTGCTTGACTTGGTCGGCGTTCCATCTCCGCTCACTTCTGACCGTGCAGAGTGGAAGCTTTCATCTGCATCCTCCGAAGCCGGCTCATCCATGACCGTATCGTGGACATCAGCAACAGCTTCAAGGACAATGCTACAGAATTCCCTCTCTCCGGCGGCATCAGGAGAACAGATTCCTCGAAGGACCTCAACGGTCAGCTTGGTGACTTCTTCCGGAAGATCTGGAACAGAAAGCGATTGTCGCAAGAGAGCAAACATCTTTCTTCGTCCAGCTTCGTCTGAATAATCCAGAGTCCGGGCAATATGAAGGAGTTGCTCAACAATAAATTCCTGCTCCACCGTATCTTCTTCCTCTTCATCTTCGCCAATTTCTTGCTGAGCAACACGTTTCAAGGCTTCGACCAACACAGTAATATAACGTTGAAGGTAGAAAGCAAGTTTCGTTACCTCTGGCAATTTCTCTTCAACCAAAGCTTCGAATTTGCCATTGCCCTCATTTCTGCAGAAATCGTTGAAACTTCTCGCCATGAAGACAGCTTCAGCCGTCAACGTATCCCAGAAATTATCATCAAACGTAACAGCGTCTCTGTAATCGGGACGTCCTTCCCAGAAGCCCTTCATAGCCTCCAATGCGACTCCATTTTCGACACCAGAGTTGACGACATCGATACGCTCAAGGAGTTCCAGAAGACCTTCGAAACTTGGTGGCTTTACTTCTCCAGCGGCTGCTTCAACTGTTTCGCCTTCTTCATTCTCAGCAGTACCAGCACAATCTTCAATCCAGCGTTCTCGAAATAATTTGCCAGCAGCTTTTCGGACATTCTCATCTCTGTCTCGGAGACCCCATCGAAGCAGCTTCTCACGCATAGACAAGGACAGATGTCGAAAGTCTCCAAGAGCTGGCAGAAGTCTAGAGTAAAGTGCTCTTCGAGTAGCAGGGTCCTGATCTCGGGCGCGTTCCAGTAGGAAAGGCAGGGTGTTTGGAAGAATAGGAAGGTTGACCAGCAAAGACCTTCGAACATCTGCACTAGGATCGTTCTGGAGGACGTCGAGAAGTCTTTCAAGCAGGCCAGACGCAGAGTCATCATCGTCACTATCTTGCGCTTCACCGTCTGCTTCGTTACCTGCCAGTCGTCCCAATCCCAAGACTGCTTGTACGCGAACCATGGCTTCCTTGTCGTGAATCCTCTTGAGAAGGCCGTGTCGCAGAAGTTGAAATAGATCATCGTCAATAGCTTCCAAGGAATTGATAACATGTGCAATCAGCTGCGTGGATCTGTATCGTACGAACTTCTCCTTGGACGTGAGAAGAGGTAGAATCGTGTTCATGACATAGGATGTCAACCTTGTGCTCGGTGTTTCGACCATGACACCGTCATCCTCCTCATTCTCCGGGAGCAACTCGTTATCCTTTTCGTTTGCATGTCGTAGAAACAGTCCAATGAATCGAATTGATCGTTCTCCCACGCTCTCACTCTTCTTCACTGGCATAACCCGTAGAACACATCTCGTCAACTCATGTGTGAACTGATCTTCATCGAATTCCTCTGCTCCGGTCTTGTTCTTCTTGCTTGTAGGCTCATAACAACATGCTTCTTGAATCTTTCGTAGATTGATCACCAACTTTCTATGTCCGGCCGTTGTTCGTTGCGCATCGCGGAAAATAGATGAGATTTGAGTTCGGAGCTCGTTTTCTGGCGTTTCTTCTGGTATCTCGACATAAGGAGTAGAGATTCGTGATGCTGTTGACGCACGTGAATTCAACGTTTGGGTAGATGCTTTGTGTGATACAGCAGCTGAAGTCCTCGAGGACCGAGCTGTTGAAACTCGTCCAGGCATTTTGGATAATTGTGTGCACGCTCTTCACGCCGATTTAAGTTCTTTCGTCTCGCAATACTTCGTTGTTCGTCGTGGGTCGTTAATTCGTGATGCAAAACAAGCAAATCGCCAAAACCGCGTCGGAAAAGTCAACAATCGTTGACTCGCCAACATCTCGGATCGGATAAGAGCTCGTATAGCTTATTGCGACATCGCAAACAAAAATCGGCTTAGGAATATCAGTAATTTTCAATTGACAACCAAAATGTTCAGACTTGGGGTTCGTACGTTTGCGACAACAGCTAGGAGAGCTGCGGAGACGATTGCGCAAATGGAAGCTCCAAATCAGTACGGGATTGGAGTCTCGAAAGCCCAGGGCATTGTGAAGGGCTTGACTGGAGGTATGCTACCCCTCTCTTCATAGAGAATTCGTATTAAGAGTTTGCAGCAATTGGAAATACACCATTAATTCGTCTGAACCATATCTCCGATGCGACTGGATGTGAAGTGCTAGGAAAGGCAGAGTTCATGAACCCAGGTGGTTCAATCAAGGACCGAGCTGCATTATACGTTGTCAAGGATGCCGAAGAGAAAGGTCTTTTGAAGCCAGGCGGAACCGTTGTTGAAGGAACAGCTGGAAATACCGGAATTGGCCTTGCACACGTCTGCAGATCCAAAGGCTATAAGCTGGTTATCTATATGCCAAACACGCAATCGCAAGGCAAGATTGATCTTTTGAGACTCCTCGGTGCAGAGGTCTACCCGGTACCTGCAGTGGCGTTTGACAATCCGGAGAATTACAACCATCAAGCGAAACGACATGCAGATAGGTTAGACAATGCGGTATGGACGAACCAGTTCGACAATATTGCGAATCGGAGAGCACACATTGAGACGACTGGGCCGGAGATTTGGCATCAAACGAAAGGGAAGGTGGATGCTTTTACATGTGCTACAGGTACTGGCGGGACCTTGGCTGGTACAACAAGATATCTGAAGACGGTCTCCGACGGAAAAGTCAAATGCTACCTTGCAGATCCACCTGGAAGTGTCCTTCATTCCTACATTGAGTCAGGCGGAAAGCATGTAGAGCGTAGTGGATCGAGTATTACAGAAGGAATTGGCCAAGGTCGTGTCACAGACAATTTGCAACCTGATATCGACTTACTAGACGGATCGATAAATATAAGCGATGAAAAGAGTATTGAGATGGTCTATCGATGTTTAGATGAGGAAGGACTGTACCTTGGTGCGAGCTCGTGCTTGAATGTAGCTGCAGCAAAAGAGGTTGCCGAAAAGCTGGGAAGAGGCCACACAGTGGTGACCGTCCTGTGTGATGGAGCATATAGATACGCGGACAGATTATTCTCCAAGAAGTGGTTGACAGAGAAGAGCTTGATCGGAGCGATACCGAAGCATCTAGAGAAGTATATAGTACTTCCTTGATACGTTGTATGTTATTACATGCTGTACAAAATCTACAGAGCTCTCATCCTCTATGACGATCCTGTGCCAATCAATTTATCGTACATAACAAGACCATAAAGAGGCTCGTTCGACGTCCTCTTCTGCCTTCTGTTGAGATTCTCTTTCGGTGGCTTCAGCTTCTCGAATGCGTCCCATTGCTCTAATCGAGCCTTGCATTCAGATACTTGTTCACTCAGCACATAAGCCTTTGATCTCAACTCCTCCGCGTTTTTCGTTCCTGGCTGAAGACTCTGCGCAAGATTCATGCCGTGTAGAATTGGGACATAGGTCCACATCCAAGGGTGAAGCTCCTGTCCATTCTCCGTCTCGGGTAATGGTGTGAATGCCGTAGGTGTGTTAAGGAGCTTCTCGCTGTAGCTTGCAACCTTTCCCTCTTCATCCTTTCCTTGAAGATGCTTGGACGCTCGAACTGCAGCAAGTTGCAACAGGGTGCCAATTACTTCGGGGGAGAGCCGGGGGTCCTCTTCTCCAGCGAGTGAAGTACTACCAGCATGCTCAAGATTCTCCATCAAGGCAGCAGCCTGCTCCGCGTACAGAAGGGCTTTCTCGGTATCGGCCGCGTTGAAATCATTATCGTAAGCTTTCCTTCCAAAACAGGTGAAGACCCTCGTAGCCAAGTTCCGAGTGCTCATTGTCAAGCCAGTGTCCGAACCTCGCCTTAAGCATTCCAGTACAACATTTTGACGGCCAGCTTTTCCAAGCCTTCTTAGAACCTGCTCTAAAAGATAAGTCCATTTTTCACCACTCAGAGTTGAGTGAGACTTCATCGCCGTAGCTGCGCCTTGAAGTAAACTAGGAACATTTTCCCAATCTTTTTTCTCCCGCATCATGCTCAAGGCTTGTCCCACACTCTGTGTCAGGCTTGGTTGGGCTCGCATCTTCAGTGGCTTTAGCTTGAAATCTTCACCTTCAATTGTTGCAATGGTAGATTCGGTCTCGAGTTGTTTTCGGTACTTGTATTTTCGGACGAGCTGCAGCTGTGAATCGGAGAGATGCGATGGTAGGAACAGCTCTTCGCGGAGGTATGTGAGGAAATCTTTAAGCTCGGGGGAGGAGACTTCTGTGAAGGATGGAACGGCGCCTACATAATTAGCAAAATTTCATTGATGGTAGGACCTACTTACCATTCTTATGAAGAACCGTAGATGTCGTGAACAGTCTTGGATGAGCGGATGATTTTATGGCGGTCCTGAGCGCGCATTGACTACATCGAAGCAGCGCTCCTGCACGTCTGGTATTCATCTTTGCCGGTGAGAAGACTGCTTGCCCAGTGACCGATCAAATTGGCGTTGTAGTAACACGTTTGAAGTTCTGTCGCGTGCCGTGAACTGATAGCAAAGCGGACTCGAAAATTATTTAATCCCTGTCGATCACGGCCAATCAGAAAGAGGCGAGGATTTTCAAATCGATCACCAACATCGTATCTTGACCACAAACACATCTGCTCTCCATAATGGCGATGCCAACGCCCACACTACGGCCATTGAGCTGTTGGAAGTCCTTATTACGACATGCTAGACACCAGAAGGTCGCGACAAGGTCGTTGACCACGTATCACAAGTCTGTGACGTTCTCAAAATACGAAATACCTACTCCTGGAGCTTCCATAGGTAGGATCACACCCCAAGAGAGCTTCAATCGGGCCACAAGCTGATTCACAGAAGTCACAAGGAAGATCAAAACCTATCCTCCGCCACAATCACCTGCTCAGAAGTTCAAAGAACCATTGAAGGATTTCACAAAGCACCAAATCTCTATTCTTGATCCTACAGGCGCCCGAACACACCTCTTCTCGAAAACGAATCCAGAAGCTGCGAAGGTTGGAGACATTCTCCTTGTACGGCTAAAGACGGGCGATCCATTTGCGGGCGTATGCATCAATATCAGACGGCGAGGTGTAGACACGGGCATATTACTGCGAAATGAATTGACACGAGTCGGCGTGGAGATGTGGTACAAGATCTACAGTCCAAACGTAGAGGGTATCGAGGTTGTCCAACGGAGAGAGAAGAGGGCTAGAAGAGCGAGATTGACGTACTTGCGGAAACCTAAGCACGATATGGGCAGTGTACAGAATATTGTGTTGGCTTACCAGAGATCGAGAGGGGCGATGAGGGGCTCAGTTCAAGAGAAGAAGGGCGGGAAGAAAGGAAAGGGCAAGAAGAAGTAGATATATTATATCGGATGTATATCTGGCGTAGAGCGGTCATGGATACAAACTTGTACAACAATCTATACAGTACAATCATGCGTCCAAGTTCGGTTTCACAAGGGGTGATTCAGTGAAGATCACACTACCAGCTTCCGAGATTTATGGCAAGTGCTATATTCCTGCTTTTCCTGTCTTTAATGTTCTCAATCTCGAAGTCGTTGATATTCCTCACGATCAGTTAAGAGTTCACTCTCCCAAAATCTAGCAGCAGCATCAAACTATTTCTGTCTAGTCTGCAGCCTCTAATATGATATCGAGACCTTTTCTATACTTCATCTCAGTTGTAGTTAGCTCAGTCATTTTTCGCTACTTAATTCGCTGCTTCGCCATGTATACTCTAAGTTCATGTTCCAACTCTTTAGGATTCACTGGAATCACAAGGCCTCCCAGCTTTGGGGGAAAGCTCTAGATGAAAATGAGCGAGTGGTGTTGCGGTCTGGATATATTTGCGGTACTTTCTTTGTTGGGTAGCATAGCGAACCGAATGTAATCGCTCTCTAGCACGAGTACGTACTCTAATTGTGCCCTGCAACATCTTGCTTGCTTATTGTCATATCTTGACGAATCAGAAATCTGCATTTTATACAGTGGAGTCCCAAAAGATTAAGTGTGAGAAAGTGGTATGAGATGCATATTGCAAAAACAACAAAAAACTCCCTACAACCCGGCGTGTTGAGTTGTAGTTGGAAAAAACCCCAGACAGTTTATTCTCAGCAGTCGATCCATGGCCAGGTCCAGTTCCAGCCCCGAGTCCCACCTATGAACTTATTAATTATGCTGTTGATTTAAAAATGTTAGAGGACTCGAACTTCCCAATCTGGGTGGGACTGCCAAAATTTTGCTTATTCGAATTTATATGGTCTATTGCCCGCTAAAGCTCTGCGAGCGCAAGATGCTCGAGTCCTTAGCTCTATTCATAGTTGCATTGAGTAGCAGCGCCTATTATCATGACTCTTCAAGACCACAATTCACCAACGAAAGCGCGTTTCTGAAAACTTCCTCGAGGTTCAATATCAACCTCCAAGCACATTTGTGGCAACATGGTAGATCCAAGTTAGGACCACTGCACAGTCATGATAAGACCACTTGATCTCTTACGATTAGCATGCCAATTTCCAAGGGAAACTGTCACACTCTTCAAGTAAATGAAGACATTGTGAAGAACCTCGGACAGCTCAACTTCGGCGAAGACAAAGATTCCTCATTGTTAGCGTATGAATTGACGTTATATCACAAGGCTAATTGACTGAGTTTGCTTAGAGGGTAGACACATTTGGTGTTGAATTCACTCTGTTGTTCGCTTAATTTTTCCTATTGTTCTGGGTGCGTAGCACAATAGGATGAATGCCCTCACCACGGCCTGCCATCCCTTACCAACTATTGTCACAATATCACACAGTAGCTTTGAAGACCTTCTGTTCTGCACAATTGTTGCGTGGCAGAGCGCGCTCGCTTGAGAAGTTTGTGAATTACTATTTAATCTCTCACTCCCTCCCCTTCTCAACCTTCTTTTTTCTCATCGCGAAAGACTTCTTCTGAGAAACGTCTACTGTCTGTCAACAGCCATCAAACTTCTGCAACGTCCTTCACTTTCTCCACGTCAACTTCCACACTCAAACAACTTGTCATCCGCCGACGTCACAAAGACATTATGGTTTCCACAAGAAAGCGCAGCTACGACGACGCCTCCTCCGCTCTTCCTCTGCCGGCACCAAAGCGTACAAAGAAGGTTTCCTCCGTCCCCGCTGCCTCCATGGCTCCCAAGAAGTCCGTCTCTCGTCCAGTTTCGTCCAAGAAGTCCACACCGAAGAAGAAGACTGGCGCTCCAGCCAAGAAGAATGTCGTCGCCAATGTCGAACACGAAGCCATCGTCAATGTCCAGCCGGAAGTCCCAGCGAAGGCCACCAAGCCCGCTTCTCCTCCCGCCTCTCCTGCGGCCCCTCCTCCCAAGAAGAAGGTTCACTTCTTGCCAACGGAGAAAGGCTCCCCACCACCGAAGGAGAATGTCGGTCCATCGAAGAAGAAAGAGAAGAAGGCCAAAGTCCCTGCCCTCTCAAAGGTGCCAAAGGCACGAAAGAGTCCTCCCGTCCCCCGGCCCTCTGGCGCACCAAAGCCACCACCAGCACCGCCAGGATACCCGTTCTCCATTGGCCCACCTTCGCCCGGTCTTCTTGCTCGTGGTGGTGACGATACTGTCACCCCACTTGCCCACGTTCCGAATGCCCGACCATTTGTCTCGAGATTGGAGTGAGGGGAGGAGGGATGATGTTTGAGCTGGGGTCTGGAGTTTGGGGGTCCTTTGTTGTGTGTCCTGTTCTTTTTGCGGATGGGGTGGGATTAGGGGGAGAATGTTAAGTTGTTTTTAGCTTTGTTTGTGAGTGCTGGTTGCACTCATAGAAATCAATCGTCTTTGCTCCGTGCCATTTAGTGTTCATGTGTGCTTGTGCTATTGACATCTCGCTGATTTAAATATCAGGCGAAGACATTATCTTGCTTGAAGTCCTCATCGTTTGGTGCTGGCTATGCTTCTATGAATGCACCGCCTCTTTCCATCCATCTTCGTATTCAATTGAATATTAACTTTTGGTTGATCGATTACCTCTTCAGTTATGTAATTGAAATCATGTACCTGTCTCACCACAAAATCCTGCAAGTCCTATGTCTCATGGTTGGATTGTAATTTTTCATTGCTCTATATGTTATACTGGAGATTTGAGATCTGTGCTTCTATCCAGGATTTAGAATGCGCAACTACTATTGGACAACCCACACATGTTAAACATCTATCTCTAAAAGAGAATTAGATTTGCATTGTGAGAATGGAAGTAAAACGCACAACTGGACTACTTGTTAGTTGCGAGTAGGGAATATTCCATTTCGTGCTGAAGATTCTACTAACCCAACGTGGGTGCTTTCGTGCAATTCATTTACATATCTTCACCATCCTCAACGTGGAAATGCGCTCCACAAATCCTTTCTTTAACACGTTCGAGATTGCATATATTTGCTCTCCCATAAAATGAACTAAACCTACCTACCTATCATGCTTCTTATGGCTGATGAAGAACGACCTCCAGTCGCTAAATTAGGGCGCTTCAGGCGTCAGAAAGGGGCATCTTCGCTAAAGAATTGCACTCTAGCTCCCTGTGGGCATCTACATAACTATGTAACACAACATTCACCAAATGATCCAAATGATCCAAATGATCCAAACACAGCCAGTCGGCTTGGTATCTGCTTTTTCACACAATCGCAAGTCATGATTCAAACCTCATTCCGTCTCAATCAGATCTCACATTCTGTTGAGAGGCTCGAAATGAAGGAAACGACGCCCAGCTGAAGCCGTGCAGATCAGCTCAGCGACAAGAAGTTCACGATGCACCCTCACGATTCAAACCGGCATATCAAATCATCAACATGCAGCACACCCACCTCGCCGCAAACCAACATTTGCACCGCTCCCCGCATGTTCACGAGCATCCTCACTTCTCGCAGCTTTCCATCTGATCCAGGGTTCAGCCACAAATGAGCAAATCCGCACGCCAATTTCGCTTTTGGTGCATAATCAGCCCGTATCGGTGGGCGGCGGTGGGGTTCGGACGGGCCACTATTACTGCAAGTGATTAGCCTCGTTGGCTTGCCCACCGCAATGTCTTACTTTGATTTCGATCCGAATTGTGCTTTTCTGGGCCCAGTCAATCTTTTTTCCTGGGTATTTCTTCCTCTTCGTTCATGCTCACTGTTCATTATTGATCTTGGATCTTACGAAGTGTTTGCGTCGTTGAAGAAGTGAAGCATCGAATTTTGAATGCTTGCCAGCGGCGCGAAATAAGCGAAATATGGCAACGCCGGCAGCAGCAATCGCTCAAGCCGTTAGTTGAAATCTTCCCTGTTGGTTGGATCAAATTTACTGACATTGGGGAAGGTTGAGCAAGTTGCAGTGGAGGCAGCTGAAGATGTTGCGAAAGGAATATTGAAAGATAGCAATAAAGATCTAAAAACCCTAGGGAACAGCGTCGCAAAAGAAGCAGTACATGCTTCGGAAAAGGACAATAGTTCTGCTTTTGTCAGTAAGGTCGAGGGCGCTGCCCAGATCGTGGCCAATGAGGTTGTGAAAGGCGCACAAAATGTAGTCACGGCTGTTGAACAGCATCCCGAGTTACTCGCTGAGTAAGTATCCTCCTGGTCATCTCTAGTCACGCATCTAACACGTGCAGGGGAGGCTTGGCAATCGCTGTTGGAGCCATATCTTTGGTACAGCCAGAGTTCCTTGCTGGTGAAGTTGCTATCATTGGAAAGATGGCGGGTGATAGTGCCACAAAGACACTTACACAGATTGCCCAAGACGAGGGTACTAAGATCGTTCAGGCGATCTCAAAAGATGCTTCTGAGGATGCAAAGAAGGTCGAAGAGGCCGACAAAAAAGTGGAGGATGATTCAAAGAAAATCGAAGGCGCTGTGGACAAAGATGTGAAAGTTGACGACACGGCCCCCGCCGTTATTGATCCCGCGCACGACGGTCTTTCAGCAGCAGGAGCAACAGCTCTTGGAGCTGCTATTGCTGACAAGGTGTCTCCCAATCAAACTGGAGATAAAGTCGTCACATTAGAGCTCGACCAACCAGATACAGCTGACGCCACTGTCCATCATCCCATCACTTTGAAGATCACCGTTGGAGCTGATGGGCAAGTGAAGGGAGTTGCACAGACGGTCGTCGATGAAGTAAAGGCGGAAGACTTGCCCCAGGCTGACGGAGAGAACAAAGATGTCCCAGCTCGGCCCAAAGTTGATGAGAGTAAGAGTGTTGATACCCTAGTGACGAAACAGGACAATAAAGAGGAAACATCAGTCCCGACGAAAGACATGACACCAGAGGCAAAAGCTGAGGAAAGCAAGACGGAGGAAGCAACGCTTGAAATTCCAAATTCAAACGGCGAAGAGAAACCTGTCTCGTTGAATGTCACTATAGCAGCAGACGGACACATTGAAGCAGTCACGGAAACGGTAGCTCCGGCTTCGGAGCCGATGGTTAGCGAAGCCACAAAGCCGCTGGAATCCAAAGCGGAAGAGCCAAAGATTGAGGAAGCCAAGAATACCAACTTTGAACAGAGCAAGGTCGAAAACACGCACCCGCCAGTCCACCTTGAAACTGCCATCGCACAACCTGCCAAGGAGACACCGAAGGATATCAAGTCCGCTGTCAAAGAAACAGAAACCAAGCCAGTAGTAAGTTCAAAGTCACCCCTAATTACCTCACGGGAGGGGTATCGAGCCCGTGATGAACACGCTATTTCTTCCAGACCCAAGATCCGAGAAAGCCTTCAACTCTAACATTGAGTAGGAAGAGAACCCAGTCCCATCAGAACCTGCTTCCGAGACTGTCGTCCCTGTACACGAAGGTAGCGCGGGCCACATGGCTATCATCCATGCAGAAGGAAGTTCTGCAGCCTCACAATCCACGCCCGTACTTCCCGAAACACACAATACTGAAGTTCCAGGCCTTGCGCCCACTTCACCAAAAGTACACGAGTCCGAGCCTCTACACGAACAACTTGCACCCAAAGCCGAAACTCCTGTTTTAGCAGCTGCTTCAAGTTTGATTGATGTCGGAGCTGTAGCGGAAATGGAGAGTGCAAAGTCAATTCACGTGGAAGAATCAAATCATGAGAACCAAGTCCCAGCTGCTCGGGAAGCTGAAGTGCCAAGTATCGAGGAGCAGAGTACTGCCAGCACGGAAGAACTGAAAGTTTCGGAATCAGAGCCGGTAAAGGAGTCTGCGCCTCTTCTGGAAACCCCAGTCCAGATTGAAAATAATTCTCAGGCTTCTACCGAGGCCGAGGCGGTTATTCCAGAAGAACATAGCACTCCAGCCTCTGCGGAAAAGCCAATATCAGAAGCCAGGCCGGTAGATGCCATTGTTGAAGAGAACCCAATCCATGGAGATAAGGATACCTCACTAGCTGTCCAGCCTGATATCTCAGCTGTCGGAGAACAGAGCTCCCATACTGAAGAAGGAAGTGTTCCTGAGCCTTTGAAGGAGCACGTCGAGTCGGAAACTACTCCAATTTCCATTGCGCACGTGGAGCAGGATTCTATTCCAGCAGAGACGACATCACACATTGAGCCTGTAGAACAAGAGGATACCTCAGCTCTTGTAGAGCTGAAGGAGCCCGCCGAGCCCGAAGCAGGTGCTATCCAGGAGGAAAGCCAGAGCAAGCCTGAGGTTTCATTGGACAAGATTGAGGAGACTCATGATACCCCGGCACCCCTTCACGAACAAGAGTCTATCCCGAAAGAAATTGAGCCAGTAGTTCCTACCAGCGAGGAGGAGAGTCATCCCAAGGCAGAACACCCAGGAGAGAAGGTTGATGCATTACCAGTAATTGAGCAGGAAGATCAATTTAAAGAACTTGAGACGCCTTTAGCCAAAGAGCAGCACACCATCAAAGACAGTGAGCCAGAGGTCCAATTGCCAGAAGAGCAAATCAAAGATTCGCTAGCTGCCGAAAATGAGGAAGCCCTTGCTCCGGTTGTAAGCAATTCTCCCAATCCCGCCTTCTTGGAACGAGTATCTAAGATGTGATACTAACTTTTGCAGGATGAGCCAAGTATTCTTGCAGAGGAGAAGCTTGAAGACGTACCTGTGATCGAGAAAGAAGAGGGAAAACTCTCTAGTGAGGAACCACTTGCCCCAGTCACAGAATCGGAAAGTCCACGAGACAAGCTAGAGGGCTCTCCAGATATCGAAAAGGCGCCAGACGCAGCCACCGGTGAGGAAAAGCATACCAGCATCCCTGAGGTCACTCAAGTCGAGGAGGTGATTCCCAAGATCCAGGATGATGCCCCTGCTACAAGTGGAGACGTTGATTCGGAGTCAATCGAGAAAGCCGTACAACCTGTAGAATCTACATCAAACGATCAAAAGTCAATGACCCAGGATACCAAGGACATTATCAAAGAGTCAGCCTCTATCGCCATTATCGCTGCAGCAGAGATATCAAGCCACGAATCGAAAGATGAAGACCCAGTACATGAGTCGGCGTCTCACGTAGAGGGAGAATTACCTGTCTCTCATGCGGAACAAGCAACTATTGAAGTGTCCAAGACCGAGTCATCACCTGTGGAGCGCGAGGTCATTCACCAGGAAGTGGAAATCTCAATCCCGAATTCTGAGGAAGCCAGCAGCCACAGCGAGGACAGCAAGGCTCAAGAGCCCACCCATTCCACAGACGTCTCAGAGGTCGAAACAGCAGTGCACGAGGACCCAGAAGTTCCAGAAAGTACTGTCGAGCTATCTGCGCTTGCCCCCGAGTCGGTTTCTGAAGAGAAGCCCTTGGAAGCCGAACTTGAGAGCACAGCCCCTGTTCAGCCCACCCACGTGGAAGGCGAGGCGAGTGCGATGTCTGAGCCTGAGCCTACACCGGAGGTTGCCATCACTCCTCCAACGCCAATTGAGGCAAGCCTTGTAGCCAAGCAAGAAGTCGAACCTTCCCCAGTCATCAAGGAGAGCGAACCGGAAGGAGAGAGCGTTGAGACCGAGTCCGCTCCTATTGAGCAAGCCCTCACCCCTATTGTCTCTGCATCAGAGGAGGAAACAAAGCAAACCACTTCTGAGCCAGCCATTGAGACCGTGAAGGCTGAATCGGCCCTCGGTCCCGTGGTATTAGAGGCCGAGGAGCACCCAGAGCAGATTTTGCCCGAGTCGGTCAGTGAGAGCTCCAAGATAGAACCTAGCCCATCTGCACCAGTGGTCGAGGAACAAATTCTCCCCAAGTCCGAGGAGCAACCGCAAGAGCTTTCTCAGGAACCAGTTGTCGAAAATGCGCAGGTCAAATCGAGCTCTGTCGAAGCCCCAGCCCATGTCGTCCCAGAGGCCATTGTCCCTGTGGTCCAGGAAGAACCGACGGAGGTTTTGCCAGAGCCAGCAATTGCAAGCACAGTGGAAAAGCCGAAAGAACAGACCTCAAAGGACATTCCCTTGCCATTCACTGTTGAACATGTCTCCCAGCCTGTTACTCCATCTAAACAAAAGACTGAGGAACTAAAGGCTGATGACCCGCATCCATCTACTTCCACCCCACTCCAGGCAACCGAAATAGTAGCTCCAGCAGTTATCAGTGCCACAGTATTAGCTGCTGCTGGTGTTGAAAAGGCAGTCTCATCTTTACCAGAGCCAACTCCCGCACCAGTGATTCCGACATTGCCTTCTCAGGAAAGTTTGGATCATATACATACAAGTACGCTTTCTCCCACATTCTTCCAATTTCACCATAAGCACTCTTTAACATAGACACAGAAATTGACAACATAAACGAGACGCTTCAGCAACTCACAAGAACGCTGTCTCAAACATCTGCTCACCCCGCCCAGCCAGCTGTCGAGTCTGTCGAGTCAAAGCTAGAGCCCGCTGTTGTCACCAAACCTCTTGAGCCAGTCTCTGCACCTGCTGTGGAGCCTGTCAAGGCCCTAGAACCCGTTGCCGTGAAGGGGCCGGAGCTAATTAGCACGAAATCAGCAGACCCGATTATTCCCCATTCTGCAGAACCCATTGTTCCCAAGGCTCCGGAAACCAAGCCTACTAACGAGACCCAGCGCCCAATGACAGTAACCATCAAGTCCGTCGAGAACGTCAAACCATCAGCTCCTGCTCCAAAGGTTGTTGACAAGCCAGTTGCTGAGGCACCAAGCCCAATAGACACTGCGATCAAGCCTGTCGAGACAGTTGCGCCTACCACGCCTACATCTACTAAGACGCCGACTCCTGCCAAGCGATCTAGTGTCTGGAGATACCTTTGGCCTTTTGGTGGCTCTTCGTCGAAGAGCGCTGAGTCTAGTAAGAGTGACAAGACGGCCGATTCACCAAAATCACCTGTGTCGCCAGACGCGTCTTCTATCCCACAAATGGCTGCGTAAGTGGGGTGTATGGGATGAGGAGAGGAAAATGAGATAACTGCATGAGCGTTCCTGATTTGGCTTTGCTTTTTCATGTCTATCATTGCTGAGGGAGTTTAGCATTATTTGGATTACTTGTTGAGTCTGTGGTTGATGAAGATACCAGAGATTGCCTTGCAGTGTCAAATGTCTGTCTGTTCGAGAAGAGTGTTTAATAGTATAGCGTTTATTGTTTGTGTTAATTGTCTATATTCTTTGTATGTAGTTGTGTTTCGATATGAGATGAATGACAGGGGCATGAAGGAAAGTCGATTGAAGGAAGATACCAAGGTCGTCGTTGTCTCTCCCTACTCATTGGAGATTAATCTAGTGAAGGAATACCAAATTGTCCCCACTTCAATCAGTACTTTACAAGTCTAAAATCATCACCATTTGACCTCGACCTGTACTCTCTCGTTCCCGATACCCCGCCGCATAGCTTCTTCTAGTATAGCTTCAGTGGCGGTAGCACCGACTCTTGAGACTCCAAGTGCCCTCACTCTCAGAAGATCATCGAGCGTCCTGACACCACCTGCAGCTTTTATTTGTACATTCGGACTAGCATGCTTTCTCATCAATTCTAGATGAGGAATAGTAGCTCCCTTGTAATTGTATTCCCCGCTCGCTTGCTTTACGAAACCATACCCAGTCGACGTCTTCACAAACGCAACTCCCAGTTCACTACAAATCTCACACAATTTAACAATTTCCTTCTCTCCCAGATCTACTTACCATCAGCTCCATTCCTCAAAGCCACTTCCCCTATCCACAAAACACCAGGAAAAATAAGACAAAACTCACAATCATTCTCAAAAATAACCTTCAAAACCGCCCCCCTCCCCGTAACCGCCTCATTCACCAACCGTATCTCATGCACCACATACTCCCACTTCCCACTCAACACCCTCCCCACATTAACCACCATATCGACCTCGTTCCCTCCCTCCTCCACCGCGCGGATTGCCTCAAACACCTTCACCTCGCTCGTGGAATTCCCGTGCGGGAAGCCGATCACGGGACACACGAGCACGGATGTGCCTTCGAGACGCTTGCGCGCGAAGGGGATGTGGTACGGTTTTACGCAGGCGGTGGCTACGTTGTATTTTTTTGCCGTTTCGAGGCCCTGGGCTACTTCGGTGTCGGTTAGGGTCGGGTGCAGGAGGGAGTGGTCGATCATTTTGGAGAGGTCGGGGAGGGAGACGTGGAGGGTTGTTGGGCGGGACATCTTTGGGGTTTTGGGAGGATGGTGTTGGAAGAGGGATAGATACAGGTTTTGGGTATTTGGGTTGCTTTTATATCAGGTTGTTGAGCTACAGTAGGTACTCGTACTTTATGGCTGCCCCACTTACCCCGCTATCAAGCTGTGCGAAAAAGGAAACTCCGCACAGCATAGTTGCAGAAAGGAGGGAGTTGGTCGGAGTAGCCTAAAACGATAATGATTCCTTTGCGTTTATCGAATTGATTTAGGATTTCATGTCTAACTTTATTTAAGAATCGCAAAGAAGATTTCCCAACCTTACACGGAGGGACTCAAAGATCGGGAGTCCCCTTCATATCGAGGCTCTAGAGTTCCAGATTGAAGATTCCCCAGATGCTTGGAACTTAAAGACTAGGGATTCCAAGCAAAACTCCCAAAATCTGTCTTCACGATCTTTCACAATTCACAAAGTCTGCTCATATTCTATCAGTTTGCTGCGCATGGAATCTGATGGATTTGCGATCACCATGCTTAGTTGATATGCCAATTCCCAGACAATGCAGCTACCCTGAGGCCGATAGCATCGTCCTAACTTTGAAACAAAGTAAGATGCTTGAAATGGCAGCCTGCAGTTGATCCTGGGTCGCTTTCATTCATTCGCTGTTGATTCTGGCATGCTTGCACGCCCAAGGCCCTTTCTTGTTGGTTTCATTGCTGCTGCAGGGCGGTTAATTTATTGGTGTTTGTTTTTTCCAGCCGCATGTTGTGTAACCATATAACTGGAACATTCTTTCGACCTAAAGATTGAACAATTTTTATTTCTGTCAGCCTCTGGTCTTGGACAGATTGGTGAAGTCATGGAATGCGCTGTTGAGGGCGAAGACTATCGAAGTCGACTGAAAGAATTCCAGGATGTTGAGGCTCGCCGTCTTCAGTTCATCGAGGTATGGATCCCCTGATCCCGCTGCAGCCTGTTAACTGATCAATGTTCAGGAAATGCTTTCCAAGCTAGATACAGTTACAGCAGATCTAGAAAGAGTTACCCAAGACCGGGCCAGGGAGGTTTCAATCCTCAAGGCTGACTTGGAGACTGAGCGTGAGGCTCGACGTGGTTTGCAAGAGAAGAATGGTAATCTTCTTCTGAGCGTTTCGAAGATGGTGAGGGCTTAGTTGCAGTGCAACCGATGCAATTTGATTTAACAGTGTTTGTAGGAGCAGGCACGGTTCGTGCTTGTTTTAGTTGACGCTGATGCCGACATATACTTGGTAATATGACGACCTTTCCATACGCACTGTCTTGGATTAACATCTGAGATTAGTTTCGGGACGGCCTCCTTGCTCAAGGCGGACAGGGTGGCCAGTTTGCCGCTGAGGAGTTGATAGCCAAAGTCAGAGAGTATCTCGCAACTTTCGAATCTTTCAAGGATGCCGCCAAAATTCCGATCATGGTAAAGGCGTACGCCAATTTTTCTGGATTGGCGCAAGCATGCATGCGAGACAAGAAGGTGGTATCTATGGAAGCCATGATGGAGTTCTGGTGTGGTTTCACCAGGCGGTTTCCTCTAGTTGACTTCATCAACGTTGGCCCCGGTAAGGAGGAAGCTGACAGCAAATTGAGAGGTAACATACCCACCTCCCAAACTTTGTTTACTTTCACTAATCATGTAACTAGAGGTCCTTGCTCATCACATTGTCAGTCCTCTGTGCGAGCATGTTCTGCTCGCTTGTTGTCATGACGCGGGATACGTGCCTGTTCTCAGACAGTATGCTGCTCAGAAGGACTTCTCCTCAAGGATCACTTTGATTGCTTCAGGTCCATTTCGAGGCGATATGGTTTCTCTCGGATTGCGAACGACCAAGTCTTTCGAGCCCCTTTTTGGTCACGTCAAGTCTTCTCAATCTGTGAGATCGTATGCGGAGGTGGGTGCGGTGGCACCCAGGCCTCCGTCCACGAGTAAAGCCGTTTTATCTGTGCAAGATCTGAAATTGTCAGGTAAACCTGTCGCGAATTGTGACAGGTTGAGGCCGATTCTCTTCAATGAAGCAGGGAAGCGCATCGACAAGCCTTTGAGTGTTCATGGAGACTGTGTGAAAGAGATCAGGAAGCGCAATTTGTGCAGTTGGCACTATCTGCGCGCAGATTGTATCGTGGACGGGTGCAAGAAAGTACATGACTTCAGGAGGCCGTTGACTCCGAAGAATTATGATGCGCTGTGGTGCATTTCGCGTGAGAACGTGTGCCGCAGGCTTTCGAAGCATGGGAAATGCGAGGATGACCAGTGTATTTTTGGTCATGGCTTCGTTTGAGTATGAGATGAATCAATTTGTGAAATTGTGAAGGGCTATGAGGACGGAAATTGTGCATTTTGCTTGGAATATTGAAACTCTGGGTTTACGAGCAGCTGAAATTAGTGCAACTTGAAACAGAATGTTCATCTGCTGGCCTTACATGGGAAGCAGTGATGTTTAGAGGATCAAATGGAGAGAGTTTGAAATCTGAGGATCTCCTCAAGCTTCCCCTTCAATGGCATCATGTCAAAACCGGCAATTCAGCAAACGCTTTAAACTTCAAACATTTCCCTCTGGGCACTTCCTGACACTTGATGATGCTCACGCTGTTGTGTCTAGCACAAATATTAGACATGATGGAGGTTCATAAATGATGGTACAGTAACACCTAGCAGAATAATCTAGCTCATCATACATTTCTAAAGATGCCCTAAGCGAGCCCCTAAACTTAGCGAGCTTCGTGTCTACTCAGGTTTTGCGCGTTTTGCGCGTTCTGTGTGATTTGCGCATTTTGCGCTTCCAGCCTCAATTGGGGATGGTCGATTTACAGGAAAAATTAGTAGAAAGGGACGCCAAATATCTTTCAAGATGGTCGCTCCGTGCTGGTTTTCACACTGCTCTAGTAGTGACAGGAGCTCAAAAGTATGGTGTTAACCACATTGTCCCTCTCGCTCTCGATGTCTTCGATTGAATGAGCCGAGCGGAAGAGGCTTTTCGGAGTGGGATGTTCTGAAGTTCAGGTGCTGGCAATAGGCTATCTAATGGGTCTGAACATCAAGGTGAGACGGGATTTGAGTGCGGTATGAGGAGTACGTTGATACACCTTTAACAGGGAAGGACGATCCAGATCAGAGCTGGAAGTTGATCAAGGGTACAGTCACGAAGTTTATAAAACTCTCATAAAGTGTTTCGATAGAGTTTTAATGAACAGCAAACACTGCCACCCCGAGAAGAAATTCGCTTTTTATTATTGTACGGGGGCTACCAAATAGAACGTTAATGGCTGCGGCCCGTGGTATATTGAAACTTTCTTGTTTAATCCAAATTAAGATGACCCAAACACAAAATAAATACCCTGAAATACTGATATTGCCCTACTAATCCGGCGTTGTCGCTGATTTTGAGATGCACACTTGCTAACATTCTTCGCTCTCTCAAGTTGCCGGCGCCACAAGCTTCACCACAGCGACTCCATACTTGTCATGAAACCAATGATGTGCTGACAATTCCGCTGGTCCAGGACGATCTTCGGGAAGGAATTGTAAAGTCTCTCTCAAAAGACTTTCGAGATCGTTGCCTTCAAGAACAGAGATGGTGACTCCAGCAGGCTCAAGGAAGTCGATCGTAGGTTTCGGCGATAGTACTTGCTCCGGCGTTTTTGGTTTCTGATGTCCCTCGTCGGTAATACTTCCTAATGGAATACCTAGTGGGTGAGACGAGCCTGTGGAAAGTCCTTCTGATGAAACAGTCTTATCTGTGCCCTTTGAGCCCGAGGAACCTGAACCATATTGATTTTTGTTGGATGAGCCCGAATTCGCTTTCTCGCCGGATGAGCCAGAATTGGGTTTCTCTCCCGATGAGCCTGAGTTCGGTTTTTCGCCAGAGGAGCCAGACTGTGGTTTGTCTTCCGACGATTCTGTGTTAGGCTTGTTGACAAGTTCCATCACTTCTGCTGCTTCACTAGTGGTAAGCTCTTCCACCAGGGCGACGAGATGACTCGTGCTGACCTGATGCATCTGGGAGGTGGAAGACTTCCTCTTATCCACGTTAGGAGGAGTGTCGCCCTTAATTTCTATATTTCTGAGCTTAGAGGATGACGTGGTGGCGTCGCCGTCTCTCAAACCGATCTCCATGATACATTCATGAAGTTTCCCTTGCGGAAATTTGCAAAGCTGACCATCTTGAGCAATTGAGTCTTCGTACCACTTCCGACCTTCGTCCCAAGTATCCCACCACAAGTCCGGTAACGGTCCCATTATCTGCACAATTGATGCAAGAATTTGGTTTCGCGTGGGTTGCCCTCTGTATCCAAATAAGCAAGAACCTGTTCGTATCTCATAAATAGTGCAGCCGAGTGCCCAGATATCCGATTTCATACTTCGTTTCGTATCAAAGTTGAATTCAGGGGCACAATAACTCTTTGGCGTTCCATAATCAGATGATGAGTATACCTCCAAAAATGAGATGCCAAAGTCGATGATCATGATCTGATCCGAGAGCCATTGCGGATCAACTTGCTTCATGCTTATTGCTTCGACAGTGTATTTGGGCGCGGATGTATCCTCATTTGCACCCTGGACGCGATGGAGACCCTGTGTTTGCGGAAAGCCAAGTCGTTCATGGATCTGATCGATAGACCACTCGTCAATGTTTGCGATCTGAAGAAGGATGTTCGCAGTCGTGAAGTCTGATCATATTATCAGCGCGCTCATGTTTCCAGCAGGCATGGTACCCACCACCATGGACAGTTCCAGTAAAGTGAATGAAAGCTAAGCCTTTTGCTGCTTGTAGAGCAACACTTCTTGCTACCTCTGCTCTCAATCTCCTCGTACCGCTTTTGAACCCCGGACATTCATTGAATTGCTTGATACTCGTACCGGCAACCTCACTAACAACACATAAGTGTTTACCGTTCGGGCCATTAATCCAGAAGTGATCAAGCAAGCTCATCACATAAGTCTTCCCTTCGTGGTTCTCACTGTTCCGAAGTCGTCTCAAAGTCTCGATTTCAGGACAGTCACGTGATAGACGTGCTGCCAAGATCTTCAGTGCAACGTATCGCTGACGGATACTATCGCGAGCAAGCCAAACAGTCGCGAATCCTCCATGTCCAAGCTTATGTATTACGGTGTATCGGCCTTTCTTGAAGACATCGTTCAGATGCACGGGATGGAACCCTCCGGTCCTGTAGTTGAGGGTCTCAACGTGAACTCGCCGGGAGGCCATGGTGGAGTGGATGTTGAGTTGATGGAATTACTCGGTAGGTTTGCCATCGTGGTACAGTACAGGAATGCGTTGTCGAATGAAGAAAGTGACGAGCCTGATGGGAAATTTTTCTTGTAGTGTGATGTTCGATGTGGTGTGACTAAGCAAAGGCTCTGGTGATCTTGAAGGCCGCCGCTCTTGGAAAACTTGAAATGAGATTTGCAAGGATGCAGCTTCTGAATTTTGATGTAGCTGCTTCGGACGTATTCTTTTCGTCCATTTCAAATCCTCGAAAGCGTTTTGCTCGTGTGAGAGCAAAGAAGGCATACGAGGTGCTTTCCTATGAAAATGCTTCACATTAGTTAGTTGCTAATGTTGTCCAGCAACTCTTGGAATACCTGAAAATGATGATGGAGATAAAAGAAAGTGGCAGAGTGGATAGATACTCTATAGGTATCATGCGAGAACGACCACTTGGTCACAGACATTTCAATACGACAACTAGATTCGCCAAGGCAATAGCTGAAAGGAAAAAAACCACAAAGACACGGCCCTTCGACAGGCTCAACCAACTTCAAGTCACCAGCACATGGCGAATAGTTAGAGACGATAGCGAGATTGAAAATCACGCTTTTATGCCTGTCTACTAGCCATCTAAAAAGCTCTTCCATATGAGCATCCTCTGTGCAGATCTGACCATGCATCCGAAACGCCATCACCCCATATCAAGATCTATCCGGCCTGTACGCAAATATGATCTCCGCTAAAATCGCATATCATCAAGTCCATTTCTGAACGGCAGTTCCACCTCGCTTGAACTCTGAGACATCGCCCAAAGCGAGAGATTTGTCGGTATGGTCCTTATTTGGGAATGTAGTCGCCAAGACCCAGGGTCTGGCACTGCTACCAGGATAAGCTCTCTCAATGAAGCCATAAACATCTCCAATGGTATGAGTAGCGTTGAATCTAGCTGGCAATCTGGTTCCGTTTGCAAGCTGGAGACGGAGGGAGAGTGTCGGTTGTGAAGAGTCGACTTCTTGTTCAGGTACTGAAGGTGATGAAGTAGCAGCAGGTGCGGTGACCGGAGCGGGAGTCGAAGTTGCCGTAGATCCACCAGGAGTAGGACTTCCCAGTCTTTGACCCGATCCACTAAATGGCTTGTAGACCTTGGGAGGAGCTTTATATGGTTCATCATGCTTGATCAGCTGGACATCAACTGGTTGATCAGGTCGGACGCCCATGAGATGGAGTGGAGCACGTCCTTGACGAATCATTTGAAGATCGGCTGCATTTTGAGGGTCATCGAATCTACGAAGCGGCCCATCTTCAATGCTGAAGCCATCTGCCCAAAGATGTAGGACACGAGTCTCAGCTGGGCCTGGATCCGCGGCTTGAGGATGGGGATCGGGAATGGTTTGGGATGGGGTATCGTCGCCGCCAAGAGTTTGGCCACTTCCACGGAAGCGAGAAGGAGGAGCTGATGATGAAGATTCGCCGGTTGGTCTTTGGACATTTCTACATGTGATTAGCAACTGTTATCCTTCAGAGATTGGCCCTACATACGCTCTGGCTTGCTCGAGAATATCACGGACAACTCTTCGAGGGTCGCGGCTCGATGGGTCCTGAACCGCCAGACCTGACTTCTCGCCACCAGCAAACAAATCTCTTGGTTCTTCGCCCGGCTCGTAGTCTTCGTCGTCGGAATCATCATCATGCGCATGACCATGACCGCCAGCAGGACCAGATGAGCTTTGACCCAATGTTCCAAGTGTAGCAATGCCCCCTCTCTTCTTAGGTGGTGCACGAGAGCTCGACGCAACGGAGGGAATCGACTGAGGAGCAGGTCTGCCATCTAAGGTCCGCGGACCAGTATATGCCTCCGGTTCTTGGGGATCGTTCTCGCCACCCTGAGCGTCTGCTGTACCTTCCTCCAAAGTGGTGAAATACTCTGCAGCCGCACCGCTCAAGTCCCATCGGTTTGCGGCCAGATATTGCTGAGCCTATAAAGCCGTAAGTATCATCTTCATAGAGCAAAGCCATCTTGAAGCGCAAGAACTTACATCTGCTGGCGATGCGCCGGTGATATTGACAAACTGGCTGATGAGCTCATCGTGGTTTACTTCGTCCGCCATTGTTGTTTAATTAGTGGTGGAATTCAGACTTATTTAAGTATGAGAAGTTTCGCAGGGAAATATCGCACAAGAAAGGTGGTGAAAAGGAAGACGTGCTTCTACGGAGTGTTTGTGAACAGTTCAAGCCTAGAGAGCTTGAGGCAGCTTTTTGGAGCGTCACCCCGCCGCCTTGACTAGCGTCAAAGCTCTAGCCTCGCAACGGAACCTGCCGCGAATATTCAAAGCCTCAACTTTGACTTATTTTATATTGCTTACAACCAGTGGAGCAACGATCGCCTTATCCCCCCCTCGCTGCAGGTCCACCTTTCGCCCCAAAGATCAGATTTTCGAGATGTCTTCAGATGCTGAAATGGTCCCTTTGTCGGAGTCCTCGATGACGATTCCTTCCGACTCCGAGCAGTATTCTGGCAACGATGATATCTCTCCTTCACCACCATCCTCCTCAGACTCTCCGCGAATGATCCTTTATTCTCCTCCTACAATATGGGGCTTAGTTCGAGGTGCTGCTATCAATCTGCTACTGCCATTCATCAATGGACTTATGTTGGGGTTTGGGGAGCTTTTTGCTCATGAAGCTGCGTTCCGACTCGGCTGGGGAGGCACAAAGGTATGGAGTACCTCTTAAGCGTTGGCAGATTTCAGGCCAAGATTCCCGCTACAAACTGCTACGTTGGGTTATGGGGTTCAAGATACAGAAATGCCCAAATAACAAGTTGGCTTCAAATTCAAGCTAACATTTCTAACTAGGTATTCCCTAATACAAGAAGCTCACACTCTGTGGGACCTGGAATCGAGTTACGAGACAATCCAATGGAGAGAAGAAGACGAGACGGACAGTTGGATGATTTGACGAGCATGGAATAAACATTTAAGCATGAAGGAAGATACAAACATGTAAATATCAAGGCGTTGGGGGAGTTGTACAAATATTGTCTGCATTTCAGCTGAGATGAGCCAGCAGGGGCACTTGAAATCACAATTCACATGTCAAATTCAACATCGTATCTATCTGCAAGAGACTAAGCTCGTGTGAACAAGCTGGGTGAAGACGTGTAGGAGGTACTTTCAAATAAATCGTTAATCAGATTCTCTTCTAAGACGATATTCTGAATCTGAGCTTCTCGAACACTTCGGATGAGATTTACACATTTCCCCTTTGTGATAGTGCTGCCCTAGAATTGCAACTGATATACGGTCCACCAGGTCGTGTGAGGTGAGCTTTGGCTTGCGCTAGTACATTTTATGCAAGGATTCGCGAATGTGCATCACAAGTCTCCAAATATTTTTGAGCGGGCGGATATCTTCAGCAGCGCAACATGATACCCAGCAGAGGCCTTCGATGGTCTGGCCAGGCCATTGGCATTGGTCGGCGGCGTCTTGATGCCTTCTCTGCTCGACAGGTAGATTCTCCGAGCAATTGTGGTAGACTCTGCTGACTTTTTTTTGGCAGTTCTCTTCCTCTGTACATCATGGACCCAATAGAGCCAGTTCTCCCTTTTCACGAAATACTACTTCTCCTTTTCAGCCGCTTACACAGTCAAAATTGACTGGGATTTTACAAAATGGTGCTGGAATACGTTTCGCATCGACATCTCCAGTCTCGACCTCACCAGCCCCGGCATCCTCAATACCCTCCCCTACCGAAGCCGTCAGCTCTTCAGCACAATCTGCACCCGTCACAGAATATACCTCCTCACTCGACAGTGCAACCGATTTCGGTTCCGAGTCCCTATACAATATCCCAGAAAGCATTGGTTACTTGAAAGCGCTTGGTTTGGATTATGGCAACGGACCAACAGCTATGATGGAATGGACCCTTGAACACATTCACGTCTACGCAGGTACCCCATGGTGGGTATCGATAACTCTCACTGCGATTCTCGTTCGAGCTGTACTTTTCAAGCCATACATTGCTGCTGCAGAGAATGGTGCCAGAATGGCAACTATCGCACCTCTTACCGGGCCTGTCACGGCCAAAATGCAAGCTGCTTCTGCCATGGGCGACGTGGACCAGGCAATGCAATTACGAGGCGAGCTGCAAAGGCTACATAAACGAGCTGGCGTCAAAGTTTGGAAGAGTCTCGTTCCAATGCTGCAGGTGTTTGCTGGTTACGGAACTTTCGTCATTTTGAGAGCTATGTCGAGGGTACCAGTACCTGGATTAGAGACTGGCGGGTTCCTGTGGGTTCAGAATCTTACCGTTCCCGATCCTTTCTGGATTTTACCTGTGGCCACTGCGGGAGTTTTGCATTGGGTCTTGAGGGTTAGTATTCCTATCGGTTGTTGTGTTACGTCCAAGTACTGATTAGTTCTGCACAGAAAGGAGGCGAGACAGGCGTATCAAATTTGTCGCCCCAAATCTTCAATGCCATGATGTGGGGTCTCCCACTTGTCAGTTTACTCTTCACTTTCTGGCTACCTGCAGCTTTACAATTATCTTTTTTCGTATCGGGTTTATTGTCCTTCTGCCAGGCCACTCTTCTCCGCCAGCCCTGGTTCCGTAATTACTTCAACATGACCCCTCTCCCCGAACCAAAAACCCCCGGGCCTACACCGACTCCATACAAAGGCAACCTTAAGATTGCCGCAAACCCAGTCCTGTCACAAGCAGAGCTTAACTCTCGATTCCAAGGAGCGCAAGGTGGTGCTCCGTCTCGAACTATCGAAGAGATCAAGAAGATGAGCCCACCGAAGACTGTGATTGGGAAATTAGTCAGCAACGTAACTGGGACAGTCGACGAGATTGTTGGTGCGGGCAAAGGAGTTTATAAGCAGTCAATGGAAAAGATGGACAAGAGACAAGAAAGGATAAGTCTCAAGGAGCAGCAAAGATACGAGGAGAAAAGACAAGAGGAGTTGAAGAAGCAAAGATATGAGATCGAGGCTCGGAAGAGACGTGACAGGGTGGCGCTGAAGCGTCGATAGAACTTGTAGAAAATTGGTTGCATTGCATTGGGCACGGTTGTATATGTATTGAAATAAGTGTACCAATTCACCGCTCACATTGAGTTGGGATATTTGTAAAGATATAGCATTCTGTGGCATCACCTCTTTGTAAGGTTATAGCTTATTTATGAGCTTATAGTCAATGCGATACACAGAAACGACAAGCTTTGCTATGATTGAGACAAGGTCAGGAAAGATCAAGTGCGCAGACACCAAATGATGAGTGAAGCAGCTCCTCAAATGACCATTTCCTGAACAACGAGTTGTACATCGGGGAATAACCTGTCATGTGTGCACAAAGCAGACCTTGGAACAGGAACTCATTATCTTGTTGCGAAAGAGTCCTCGAACAATGGTGCCTCATTGTCACAACGACGTACATGCAAATTTTAGAATCTGACTTTATTTCATCGAGCTAAATCTACCCCGCTCTAGACCTGTTGCTCTATCCACGCCTCTCAAACACTCTTCTTATTCTCATCCTCAGCATGCTGCGGAATCTGCGTAGCCCGCTCTCCCATAGCCGCCAATCGACCCTCGACTTTCTTCCACGCCCAATCCCAGCCCGGATACAAGAACGGCCGCAAATCAAACCTGTTATCATCTGGAGAATAGTTCTCCGCATGGTAACTAGGAGTGATGGTCGTCATCTTATGTCTGTTGATGCCGTAGAACCAGAAGAAGGTTCGTACTTTTTCGTAGACTTGTTGGGGACTCAATTTATCTGCGTTTTAAATGTCAGTGATGATGAGGAGGACATGATTGAAAGGTTAGCTTACCGCCCCATTGGTGTGTCAATCGAGACCACATGGAATACGGGCCAAGCTTGTACGTCTTGCGGAGAGTGCCGTAAACCGAAAGTTCGGCGTATGACATCGACATGTCGGCTTCGTCGCTTTGGGTGTAGTCGGCTGTGATACTGTGAGTGATTTGTTAGCATGTCTTTCTGCAGTATGCAACGGAGGATGAGGAGTCCGAAAGACTCTATGGGAGCTAGAGGAAAGGGAGGGGGCAGTACGGTTCGAGCTCAGCTGTTGGTGGCGCATCGATGAATGACTGCAGGATTGGAAGCTGGAAATTTGTGCTCGACCACAAGATAAACCGCTTGAGATCGGTCTTGGAAACTACCGTAAAGTATTAGTATTGATTCTGTACAATTTCGAGAATAAGAAAATCAAGCTATTCTGTCTTTTAATTGCTCCTGACCGAACACGCTGGCCTTATGAGGAGTTACTTACTGCCTCCAATTGGATTACTATGCCTAATTAGTGTAAAGTCCTTCGCCGAAGTATGGAGATGGCGAGGGTAAAGTACACTTACATGTCAGCTGAGCTGCAGTCATACTTGGTCAAATATCCTCTGAGCGATTCATCCACGTTCTGTGATCATGAATGGCTCGTCAGTTTACTGATCTTATAAAAAAAAGGTGGAGTATCTCTAGTATTCCGAACACGATGTATGTTCAAGAAGATATATCAAGCAGATAGAAAAGGGGAATGATAGTCTGAGAAGATGAACCTACCGCTGATCCCAACACAAGCAAGCCACCTGGGTTGCTGTTGTCTGGATTCTTGGCATTACGACCTCTCACGGTTGGGAGAAGCTGAGCAAATAGATAACTAAGCACCATTCGAAGACGAGCCTGGATGTTCTGCAAGGCTAGATTGGTAGCTGGAGTCCCTCCATACATTTTGTACTATGAGTATCTGTAAGCTTGGATCTAATGCATCCTGGAAGGAATCGGGGAAGAGTAGATGACGCTGGGCGAGTGGAAATTTGAGACGATGTACTCATAACAAAGAAAAGAGCTCACCTTAGGAACGAAGTTAGTAACAGTGGTAAAAAGAGCGACGACTGCATTATAGCTGTACGAGACACGAGGTTAGCTCACTTGGTACATTGAAAGAGAAGAATATTTCCAGACCGTTGGAGACAAAATACGGAAGGGCGTTCCAGAACCTTACCAAGTGTCAATGTTCAAGTCTAGATGATAGGACCCCAGATCCGAAGCCAACTCCTTGGCTCTACTTCGAGTGTCTGCCGAGGAATTGGTTTCCATGCCAAGATAGGCAGTGTGGAAGATTTTTGTGGCAATCTCTTGCGGGTTCTTGGGTCGCCATGAGCTTGTCGCAGGTTCTCCAGCAATCCGTAACAAGTCCTTGAGGACCTGTGGATCTTTCTTTTCCACGGCATCCTTGAAGACAAGTCTGCACATCGAATGGACTAGAATAGCAGTCGCGCACGAGTCAATACCGCCACTCAAGGGTAAGAAGAACCCCGCTTGGTTGCTTCTCCTCAAATAGTCCCAAAGCCAACATGCAGGTCCGTAGGCGATCTCTTCTTCTGGGAGTAAGAACTTGGCAGAGATCTCAGGAGATGGCTTCAGATCAAAGTCGAAGTCATCTGAATCATTTGAGAGACGAAGTTCCACCTCGACTCGTTCGTAGGCTTTCTGATGACTTGCTTGCATGGCTCGGCTTTTGATGGAACGATAGCTACGCACATCCTCTAGGTCAACAGTTGCTGTAACGACCTCGACATCCGATAAGCTGAATTGTGATCCTTGAGCCACAATCCGACCATTAACGATGATCATGGCAGAGCCATCATAGTAGAGACGATCACCATCGCAACCTTGTTGGTTGCTGTATAAATAAATCCCACCACTTCTTAGAGTTTCTTGTCGAATCAGATCCACTCGGGTATTCAATTTTCGGAGTTCGTGATGAGACCCAGATGAATTGGAGATGATCTCACATCCGTCTAGTCCAGCGCCTGAGCCTGGGCTTCGAGGAGTAAAGAGCTCCTCACAAGTCTCCGTACCTAGGCAGGTATCTCTTGTTTGGATCAATGCATCTCCAATCCTGCATTTCCTCTGACCCGCAGTCAATTTTTCGATGGCCGGCGGCAAGTAGAAATCTTCAACGATGGTCTCACCTTTCCACGGTGTGAAGTATCGCATTTCTCTATAGTTACCATCATTTGCAAGGTGCAGCTTTGGTCGGATGAGAAGTATCTCCTTGTTGTATGAAATGATACGGCAATTGTACAGGACGTTCTTATGCCAAACAGGCATTCCGATATCGATGAGTATGTCCTCGCATACCGGATTGGCGAGGATCATAGCTAAAGCCTCCCAGGCTTGCGTGGTAGTATCGGCCTCGAGAAAATGATCCAGACATCCATATCCAGTGATTTCTAGCTCGGGACCGATACGGAGAGACGCACCAGCAGCTTTTGCCTGCCTGATACTCTCAAGGATACGACGGGCATTTCCTTCGAAGTCTAAAGCAAATTGATTCGGAGGGAGCGTTAGCACTTTTCATCTTTGTTGTTTTAGGAAAAGGATAAGACAATGTCTCGGGAAAGGAAGTGGAAAATGGGGCTTCCCCAATACCTACGAGCGAACAAGTTGCAAGGGTCACAAGTTGACTCATCTTGTGTTCTTGTATTTAGGATGTTAGAAAAGGTGAACTAGAAAGTGAAAGTATTTTTTAAATGATCCTTTATAAAAAGGCAAATAAAGATTTATTAGGTAGAGATTTAGTCTAGGCTCGATATAGTTTAGTCTCATACAGCGGATTGCATAACTCGTGACACCACGGCAAAACTAGTCGAACTTTTTTTTTTAAATCATAAAAATCTAAGAATAATTTAGCGCCCCGGTTGGCTAAGTTTAGCGTAATTATTTAAAAATAATTATTTAAAGAAGTGCAGAGGCTGTAGTGAGAGTGAGAGCTTATAAGGCTGCCACGCTCAAAAATGGAGGGCTGGAGAGGAAGTGTTGCTGCCTGAGGCCACAACAAAAGTGATAAAATGCTCTGGCAGCCTTATAAGCTCTCACTCTCACCACACCCTCTGCACTTTTTTAAAAAGTAGGTATATTAATGTAAATAAGGTTTATTTGCAAAGTTACTAATTTAGATTTTTAATTTAGAGTGCTATAGTTGCGCAATAAGGGAGTAGTTATTCTTAGATTTTCATGATTTAAAAAAAAAAAAGTTCGACTAGTTTTGCCGTGGTGTCACGAGTTATGCAATCCGCTGTACGACCGACTTCCGAATTTCCCCCGCAACTGCTTAAGGACAAACCATGAAACTGTAGATTCTTCGACTTCTTCTTAGCTGAGTAGACCAGTCTCATGCCTGGAAGAAACCAATCGCGTATGTTTTGAGATGATCCTGCCATCTTTGAAGCCAACTTTCGTAGTCGAAATACCAATCCAAAATGGACTAGTTGCCTTTCATCCTGAGATCTGAGGCTACTCATGTAGCCCTACGAAACACCACACCTCCTACAGTAGTTTGTCCGGGTATTTTGGTCCACGCCAGCCTGGGTAGGTACTTATTGAGTAAGCACAGCAAATAAGCTATCGCCGGTCTGGGTCTACTCTATAACCTCTTTCCTAATCATTGTCACTGAATATCTTTGCACCGAAAGCAGTCTTAATTGTCTTGGATTCCTATTTCATATTTCAGAGCAATGGGTGCTTTTTTGCCTTAGCGCACAGGATGAATGCACAACGCGATGCGGCCAGGGTAGCGGCATCGCCTGCAGCTGCTGACAGAGGAGCCTCAATACCTTCATCGTCATCTACGAGTAATATCACGGTATCGCATCGAATCAAAGTCAAGAATAATACACAGAAGAAACGGAAGTCGTCCACCAAAGTCAAAACTGGTTGTATCACATGTAAGTTGTGAAGTTTCGCCCTTGAGGTGTTTGCAGCTCCTGACAATTCCAGGCAAGTAAGGGTCTCCTCAAGGGCAGAGGGTAACCTTCATCTAATAAGCACAGGGTACGAAGAGTCAAGTGCGATGAGACAAAACCAAAATGCCAGCGATGTATCAAATTTGGTATAGAGTGTGATGGTTACAGAAGTCAACCTCCAGTCCGACCAAAGAGAACAGGTGCCCAGCTTATCCTACCCAAGAAGGAGAAGTTAGGCTCGCCAGAACATTCTTTTATAGAATCAATAGCTCGCCTGTACGGCGGTAACTTGGACGAGGCAGATGGGTCCTGCTTCAGACTTTATCTCGAGGAAACAGCAACGCAGATCAACAGCGTTTTCCCAAGCTCGCTTTGGGAGCGACTCGTTCCACAAATCAGCCAGGCGGAACCATTCGTCCGCCATGCGATCATTGCAATTGGTGCTTTGGCCAAACAAAGCAAGAGTGAAGGTCGACGAAAGCTGGCAGGAAAAGCTTCCACTACAACAGATCTTCAGCATGCCTTGAAACAATACGACAAGTCCCTCCGAGGGATGAGAGATGCTATAGCTGATGGTCAGCATGACTTGCGAAAAGCTTTGATAGCATGCCTCCTGGTTTATTGCTTTGAAAATATGCTTGGCAACCAATTATCGGCTGCAAAACATGCCGAAAGTGGACTGATGCTCTTGTACCAGTGGACGACAGGAAAGAATCTCCTTGGGGAAACATGGGGGACGCAGAAACTCTGGACAGATCACCTCTTTGAAGAAGATCTTCTTGGAGCATTCAACTCTCTTGACCTCCAAGTCCTACTTTTTGTCGATAACAGGAGCAAAGAAGTTCACGAACGTATGAAGGAAAGCCAAAGCCGCACTATTTCCTCCATGCCCCAACAGTTCTCCTCCCTAACTGAGGCTCGACAGTACTGGAATCTCATCCTCACCCGCAATTACCATTTCAGCAAATCCATGCAAGGAATCGAGATGGAAAAGATACAAGAACAACGCACCGAAACTCCTTGGGAGGATTCGGCTAATCTCCAAACCGGCGAGCTTCTACTCAGTGACTCTAAAGACGCCCCTGCGTCCCTAAAAGACGAGCACATAAGATATAGAATCGACATTGATAAATGGACTCTCGCATCGGCACGTCTTTTCGCGAGCTTGGCTACAGGCGCCGATGAACGTCAAAAAATCGGTGCCGCAATTCTCCAAGTGCAGGCCAAAGTCAATCATATCATGTTATCAGGATCCTTCTTCACAACCGAAACAGCCTACGATGTTTTCTCCAGAGAATTCAAAGCCATCGTCACACTTTCCGAAACCATTCTTCCTTATATCCTCTCATCGTATGAAGGTGCTGCACCTCGCTTTCACTTCGAGATCGGTATTGTTGCTGCGTTATACCTCGTCGGATCCAGATGCAGAGACTACAATGTTCGGACAAGAGCTATCGAACTCCTGTTCTCATCCAATATCAGAGAGGGAGTGTGGGATGCGTTGAGCGTGGCCCACATGGCGAAGTGGATCCGAGATATCGAGATGGAGGGGCTTGAGAAAGGAGCTTCAATTCCAGAAGAGAAGAGGTTCTTCTTGAGTGCGGTCAATGTCGACCTGTACCATCGCAGAGCTCTTCTCGGCGCTACTCAGAGGACGAAAGAAGGCGCCAAGCAGAGGGAAACAGTGTTGACGTGGTAGAGGGTAGAGAGTGCGAGTTTACCGGCAACAAACAACCGTACGCCCAGCAAAATCAGTCCTCAGATAGGAATTTTAGTTCTAGGCTTGAATCCCTGTGGATACAGCGTGTTAAGGGCCTGAAGAGTGATCAATCTCACCCATTCAATGCTCTGACAGCACGGAACGTCCAGCTAAGAATTGCGCTGTCGACAGCCCAACTCTTGTGCGTCTGAGACATTCGCGAATTCTGTCCCTCCCCTGATTCACCATGCCGCGTTCTTCTGAGGCTCAGCATAAATCGAGTGATTTCTATCATTTGAGGGAACAAGTCTTTGATGCGAACGTCGTGCGCGATGCATCGTTATGTCATCTACCAAAGAGTTCTGCAGGCCCATCCACACTGATGCCGAGATATGCGGAAGCCCTCATTTCAGAATAAGTAAGCTTTTTAACGAGCGCCCTCAGACGCGCTGCCTTCTTGGAAATCGTGGAGAAAAACTTGTTCGGCCGACGCCGCAAATGCTTATTTCTCCGAAACTTCGATAGTGTCTTGATCCACTCATTATATTGAAAGAAATGGGCTTGCGGTTCTAGAGCCAAGCCAGACGCTTCTCGTTCGTGGCTGGAAGTGGCTGCTAACCCCTTAAGCCTTTCAGCTCCGGATGCTTCCAGTGGCGGGCGGGATGGAACGAGAGCCTCAGGCATTGGGTGCTCGATCAGGAAATTGAGACCAACCCTTTCGACTTCATGTTCCCAAAATGGTAACGAAGCTGAATGTCACCGCTTATGTTGGCGCTGAGAGTCATCCCAGGCCGAGAATGATGTTTCGCGAAGTTTTTGTTGCTAAGAGAAATTCATCTTTTTCGCCACAATGCTTTTTGTTATATATCCTCTTTCCCAGACATGCAAACAGTCTGAATGGCAGACTTCACACTCCTTTCTTGAATCTCATTCCAAAGTCTCTTAGCAAATATGAAGTTCTCAACCTTCGCCCCTCTTGCACTACTCGTGGCAGGGTCGTCTGCATCGGTCCTCAAAGATCGGGCCGTGGCCAATAACAATTGCGGTACTTAGCCTTCATCATTGCTTTTCAGTTCCCTTGCTGATTTTGTAGGGCGTGCAATCGTTGGAACTGCTAATGGCGCGTCATCTCTGTCGAAGGCCAAGATGGATTGTAGCTCCAACGTAATTTCATACACAACCGTCACAATTACGCCCTCTGCTTTGTAAGTATACTTATGGCTTTTACTTAGCCCAGCTAATCACGGACATTCAGGACGTTTACCACAACTACTCAGCTGCTATCGACAATTTCAGCGACAACGACAGTGACAGTTACTGGCAGTACGACAAGCACAATTCCAACAATTGCGGTGCAAACGATCACTTCTATCGTCGTGGCCACTTCGTCGGTTACTGTCACAGTGCCAGCTCAATCCTCAACTATTGAGCCCGCGAAACGTGATCTTTCAAGACGTTCTGCTACTATTCCCGCTTATGCTTCGGCATGCACAAACTTTGCAGAATATGCAGTATGTATCTGTTTTTCCCGATTCATAATAGCAATATATATTAATCAAGTATTCAGTCCGCTTGTGCTCTTGCAGGAGTCACTCAAGGCACTTCAACCCTTACTGTCACAGCACCTGCACAGACTTCCACTCTCACAAGCTTGACGACATCGATATCAACCATTCTTCAAACACTATCTACCGAATCAGACCTGTTATTCACCCAGTACAGCACCATCTCGAGCTTCACTACCCTAAGCACCACCACCACTGTCCTTGCCACAGCAACAGCAACCGCTTGCGTTCCCTCGGTTCCAGCAGGCAACGTTCTCACCAACCCAGGATTCAACGACGGCGCTTTCGATGGCTGGAACCCCGGCGGATACGGCGGGTTCTCCAACACAATCGTAACGGACGCTGAATGCGGTCCCTACGGCGCAGAGTTCTCAGTTGACGCAACCGATAGCTATGGCCGCATAGCACAAGTTTTCAAGACTCTCGACGCCACCAAGACGTATCAAATCCAAACCTACGCAAAACTGGTGTCTGGCAATCCCGCGTACTGCTATTATTACGTTACCTGTCAGATTCCTGACAACATGTCATCAGCGGGCAACGTGATTATACAGACGCCTGTGAGCAGTATTCCATCTACTTGGACTTTGTTCACGGTCACTTGTCCGGCGGGGTCGAGTTCGCTTACGATGTCGATCTCGCTGCAGTGCAACCAAGGTACAGGTCCAGTTACTATTGGAGTTGATGAGACAGCTATGTATCCGATCAGTTAGGTGGGGGGCATTTTGGATTATTGGGTAGCTTGCTCAAAATTGTAGAGTCTGGTGCTCATGCATGTAGTATACTAGGATTTATCTGAAAGTAAATATTATTCCACATCAGCGCTCTCACTCCAAATATTCTGGTAACGTTCGTAAAGATTTCTCAATCAGTGCGTATTCTTTAGGTGCTGCATGATGTCTATACTACAAGGTGACCTAGTTGGCTGGCATGTCCAATTTTCCCATTGTCGGTTGAGGTGACCATACTTTAAGTGTCTCCTCAAAGACTCAATGTCCGTTGAACAATGACATACCAAGAGTCTTCAAGTCGATTTCATGTTTATGGAGTTGTGTGAAACTCTCCAGCAAGACCGCCCCCTAGCCCAGGGCATCCAATCTGGGCATATGAATTAGGATATCAAAACATTGTTTCGAGGGCTTGCAAGGGAACTTTTAGTGTCTTTCGAGAAGCGTGTAAGATGCAATTGCGGAGACCTTTTTCAAGAGAATACATCTCACATGTTGGACTATGAGTGTTACGGCCGTCATGATCTCGATCACTTCAATTCTTTACTCGCGATGTGGTTGTTATGCATGTCTTGCGAGAACTTTGGGAAGCTATCATGATCTATAAAACAAGGTGCTTGGTTGATTTGAACTTGAGTGGGCAATAAGAGAATTTAGCTTTGAGCAATTCAAAAATGTATTTCTACGGCTCAAAGGTGGGCTACGTAATTCGGCCAAGGACCTGGTCTCTGGACCTGAGCATGATTGACACCACGTGATAGGTGACACTAAGCCTCGCTTAATCGAAGCTAGCGCGACTCCTCCTACAGTACTTCCTGGGCTTCTGACTTTCGATCTCTTCCTCAAACTTTCAAACCTCCCCATCATTTAACACATCGTTATCCCTTCATACGACGCTACGCCAGTCATTATCATTATCTTCATTCCATTTCCCTACCCCTATCCTTATCTTTGCCTCCCGCGCTGCGCACGACTCTCCTCATTTATTTTACATTGTTACTGGACCGAAAACGAACCCATCGCGCATAGGACGCAACGCCAGCCATTATCATTATTTTTACTCCATTGCTCTACCCCCATCCTTATCCATGCCTTCCGCGCCGCGCGCGATTCTCTTCATTCTTTTTTACTTTTTTACTGGACCGAAGTCGAAGTCATTGCGCCTCCGAGAGTCTATCACCATCGCGAGTATTACTAGTCACAAGAGACTTCGAACCCCTCTTTCGAGACACTTCCTAACTTTCTGCAGATTACAACAGCATCCTTCTACGTAGACTCTTCTAGGCTAGGGAGAGATTTCATGACCGTGTCAGCGCTGGAGAAGTTGACAGTATGCGCCCATCAGGTATGAGATTCCCCCGAACCATTGTCTCGCGTTATTTGGGGTCACAAATATGCATTTTGGCTGACCTTCTTGGTGTTCTCAGATCGGAGGCCAGTCGCTGGGACCATGGGAAATCGTCCGGGATTGACCTATACCTATTCGCGTGCCTGGGTTAGGTAAGTCTGCTCTTTAAAGCCCAAATTTTGCCAGGAATATTGCGCTGACTTCGCTATTAGATCACATCCTATTGACTTTCGCTTCCTTCACGGACTTGCAAATGTCTAGGTGGTTGGGCCTTGGTCGCCAAGGCCCAAATTGGCGACCTTCTATTCAACTATGAGGCGCCAGCACAGCTCCAGCCTTAAATGCTTTGCTGCATATCTGGCTCTCCCTTCGGGTCGCAGGCGAGGGATATGTAGCAAAGCAGTGCAGCATAACTTTTTGGAACACTCTGAGATAATGTCTCATTTACGTAGACTCTTCCTAGAAGAGGTTTTATGACCGTGTCATCACTGGAAGTCTTGACAGTATGCACCCATCAGGTACGAAATCTTTCGAGCTAGTATCTCGCGTTGTCTTGGGGTTTATACATACTGACTGACTCTATTTGTACTCCCAGATCGGAGGTCGTTCGCGGGACCATGGGAATCGTCCGGGATGACCTATACCCCTTATTCGAGCCTGGGTTAGGTAAGTCCACTCTCAAGGCATAAAATCATCTTGGCAACACGCTAACTTCTCGACTAGATCACATCCTATTGACTTGCTTCTTCCCTACGGAATTGAAGATGTCTAGGTGGACTTGGTGACCTTCTATTCAACTATCGAGGCGCGGCATAGACGCTAGCTCCAGCTTTAATGCCCTATACTACATATCCGGCTCTCCCTTCGGGTCGCAGGCGTGGGATATTAGCACGGCAGCGCAGCACAAATTTTTGGGACACCCTGAGACATAGTCTTAATTACGTAGACTCTTCTTAGAAGAGTTTTGACCGTGCCATTACTGGAGTGTGGCAGCATGAACCCATCAGGTATGCAATCTTTAGTATTATTTCGCGTTTTCTTGGGGGTTGACTCATACTGACCGAGTTCTTTTGGTGTTACTAGATCGGAGGCACTTATGTGAGACAATGGTTTCCGTCCGGGATTCCTATACTTTTACCTTGCCTGGGTTAGGTAAGTTTGCTTTGAAGGAACAAGTTTATCTTAGCAACACGCTAATTCTCTGTCAGATCACATCCTATTGACCCCCTTCTTCCCCACGGAATTGAAGATGTCTAGGTTGATTGGCGACCTTCTATTCAACATCGAGGCGCCGCACAGCTGGCTCCAGCCTTAATGCCCCATACTGCATATTTGGAACTCCCCCTCGGTTGTAGATTCAGTTCTCCCCATGGGTGTAGGCGAGGATATGCAGCCAAGGCAGCGCAGCACAAATTTTTGGAACACACCCTGGGACACTGTCTCATACAGTTCTCTTCCTACCTCTTTCTCCATTATTTGAGGACAAGTTGTAGTCTGAGGTCAAGGATTTTTATTTTGAAATACACTGGGACGCTGTCTCATACCTTTCTCTTGCTACATCTTTCTTCATTATTTGAGGATGAGTTGCAGTCTAAGATTAAGGATGCTTAATTTTTGGAACCAAACTTTCGTTCTTGTTTCTCTTTATACTAGGAAACAAGAATAAACGATCACGCTCTTTCATGAGGGACAACATTTGAAGATTAGGTAAGCCAATCCAGCCCAGCTTGAGAGTGACGGACTGCTAATCATACGTGTGACACAATGTTACATTTCCAGCTTCGAAACTCTAAGTATAGAAGGCTTTGGGCGATCTCTTTCCTGCCGAAGAACACAAACCTCCTAATTCTAAGCTTGATGTCAACTGTCAGATCTTCTTGGTGTTGAACGCCACTCACCGCAACCTTTCAATCTCCTTCAGAACCTCTTCGCAACATAAATGATGGCTCACAAAATCCTGCCGCTTCATACACGAGGAGAGGAGGATTTGAAGGGATGATCTCTTGGAAATAAATTCGTTGAACAAGGAATGGTTTGGACATAGGGCGTAAACACATGCAGGACATAGCGAGATAGATACGAATAGTGTAGACTTTTATGTGCTCTCAACCCTTAGGCTGATGTTCCTTATGAAGTGCCACATCCAATAATCACTTTCTTGAAGGCCGTACTTCCCAATAGAAGTCAATCCTGCTCCCGAGCTCTAGCACAAGATAAGTAGGGCTGCCAGAGTCTTCGAGGTAGAAGAACTTCATCCTATTTTGCACGTTGCTATTCATGTCGTTCTTCCACCACTTTTTATCCTCAAATCTTAGTTCAAAGTTAAAACTTAGCTCATTTGCACAGTAGACCCTTTGGCTGTGCTAAAATATTGTCTCTATGTTAGGCATTCAACAACCCCTCAAGTCCGGAAATCAGTCTAGACATTCTTGCAACTTCTCTAGCTGTACCTAGACACTGGTAGTCTGTATCATGTATTCATGTCACCTACGTAGTCTCCCGGCCCCAAAAACGCGCGTTAGCCTCTGCTGGAGCAAAGTCCTGCTGCACCGGCCATATTCACCAGCATCTGGCAGGAAATCACCTTCAGCAGCCTTGCCACTTGCGACTAGTGCTCTAATCGCTTAGATCATGTGCCAAATCGAGTAGGCCGATCTTCCTTTACTTTGTCGTCTCGCGCTTTTCTACCTCGCAACCTCGTTACTTTCCAATTCAACTTCCAACTCGTCAACAACCCGAAGAGATCATCATGGCGGACTCGCAGAAGATCGAGAAGGGAATCCAAGTAGAGGTACAGAAGTCTTTGAAGGGTAAGGGTAAAGAGATTGCACGTGAAGAAGTCGATGTCGAGGACTTCAACGACAAAGAATCTGCTCCCGCAAAGGTATGTTTCAATTTTGACTATTTCCTCTCCAAAGATTCTCAAAAGAGATATGAACTGACTTTGAAACTAAACATAGACCTCTATCGCCGACTCCCAACCGGACTTGGCTTCTAAGATCAATGCGCCTATCACCAAAGCTGCATCTTGGGTTGATGGGTTGACTATCGATGAGTTCTCCTCGTACACCAAAATAACAGGCATGTACATGTACAAGAAAGCTAAGCCCAATTTCTACGGGGCAATCAAAGTAAGTTAGATCCGCTTCTGTATCAACTTTAGCACAATTGAAACTGATACCTTTGCGCGTGAAGGAAGATACTGTGTGGTTGGAGATCAACGGAAAGAGGGATTGGAAGAGCTACATCCAGAGACAAATCCCGATTGCCCAAATTGAGAAGGAGCGCCAGGTGGATGTTCTCAAGGAGCATTGCGCCAGCAAGTACCTTCCACAGTCTGAGGAGAAGCCACTCTTGAAGCTCAAGCTGTTGGACTATTACATTCAACGACTGCTGAGAGAGATGACCACGTACTCTAAGCAGCGCGGATTGGCCGACACAGATAAGAACGTGCTGAAGAAGGAGGCCGAATACCACGTTGAGGAGGCTGCCAAGGCAAAGCGCCGCATCTGGGAAGACTACGTCGACGCCTGAACCAAGTTCCTGGATAAGCAATATGGATCGATCTTTGAGTCCTTGACCAACATCATGTGTTTCGATGAACAAAATCTCAAAGCTGTCACTCTCAGAGTCGAGTACCTAAAGAATGCAACGAAGCCGAGAGGAAACATGCGTACCAATGTCGGCCTCAAACCATTCAGGGAGTCGACCGAGGATGAGGAGTACCAGTATGAGGATGACTTGCCATCAAAGGTATGTTTCTCTGGAGTCCATCCTTATATATCTTACACAATAGTGATACTGATCTGAATGCCCACAGAACGGTGAAGGTTCAAGCGGTGCCAAGGTAGGATTGCAAGCATACTGATTGACACTTTCTAATTATTTCCAGGTCTCTGCAGTTCCCTTTACCAGCAATCGGGAGGGTCTTCGTAGCCGTGTTCCTGTTGCTTCGAGTGCTGATGGTGTCGCCAATGACAACGATAAGGTATATCGAGTTTCTTTCCAGTCAGTCTTTTCAAATCTAATAAGCTTGCAGCCTGTTACCTCGAAGCGAAGATGGGCCAACATACCTAAGTCTATGATGTTCTTCCCACCTCTTAATGATGACAAGGATGTAGGTCGAAAATCTCTTCTTGTTCTTTCAATTGTTAATTAGCTTGCAGTCTACTATCTCAAAGGCTGTCGACCCTAGCGCTGATAAGCTGGCTAGCGACGAGAATGTATGTTGATCCCTTCTTGTCTCTTCAATTACAGATTCTAACCAAATTGCAGCCCGTCATCCCGCCACCTATCTTGTCCCAGGTCGTCGCTACTCAAGCCGTCGCACAGCCCATCATCACTAAGGCAGAGAAGGAAACCGTAGGTTCCCGTCATTGCTTCCTCTTCAGTTGACTTCATGTTAATCAACTGCTCAGGTCGACCGAATTCTTGTTCTTCTGGGGTTACTTTCAGGGCGTTTGAATAGTGCACAAGCCTCTGGTAGCGGTAGCAACCTCGTTGACACAGTCCAAAAGCCAATGGCTAAGGGCAACGCTAAGTCTATCTCCACTACCCGTCATCGAGCCAAGGTAGGTGCTTCAATCTGCTGCCTTCTGTAGATACTAATCTGTATAGTCTACTGCCGATGATAGCTCTGATTGCGTCGACGATGATGTAAGTTGTGGATTCTGTCTTGCCTCCACTTCAACACTAATCAACACAGGGCTCTTCCAACTCGGACTCCGACGGTATCGAGAAGAAGAAGAAGAAAGTCGTAGCGCCTGAGAGATCAACTAAGCACAAGAAGCCTAGCAAGGAAGACCCAGATGCAGACTATGACGATGTAGGTCCTCAAGATAGTATTTTGACCTTGAGATACTGACTTTTATAGGGTGCGCTGAAGAAGAGATCTGCGGGCGATGGAGATTCCGGAAGCCGAAAGCGGAAGTACAAGCGTAAATTCTGAACCAGTGGCACTCCGAGGGATAAAGTGGGGCCAAAATAAGGGGGGCTAAGCGAGCACTGAAAGTCGAGGGTTGAGTCTATAAAGGTTTTCGCACTCTTGGTAGTACTTTACTTTGCTCTTTGTATTAGTTACGATCAATGCCTGATTTTCTGAAACACCTCCAAGATACCTGCCGTGCGTCCTTATCGAAAGATGCGGACCACGAACCCCGAGTCAGTTGACCTCGTTTCGCTCGCTAACTGGCTACAAACATGCAGTGTTCCCCAAATTTCGACAATCTTGTCAGCAAACAGCCTACCCATTCAATTCTATCGCCTCGTGCTCGCACTCGTTCAACCCCAGAATTCACTTGCATGAAGTATTGTCCAGGGTGTCGGCATTTAACCGGCAGATGGCGTGTCTTGGTGCTACCCAGTACGATTTACCGTGTATCGCAAACGGAAGCAGACCATACTTTCATGTTGTTTTTCCGATGCAGTGGTACCGATCGAGCTGGGGCTTACCCGAGACGAGAATGCAAAGTTATTTATTCTGAGGATCAAATAGTTGTACGATCCCCTTTTTGATCTCCATTTTTGATCATTTCTCGCGGGTTATTGATTTGAGTCAGATTTCCAGTTTACCTCGAGACTCTCGAGAGCTAGTCAGGGTCTTCTTAACCTAGTCTTGAGTGGGTTGATGAACTGGTGTCATCTGCTGCAATGGAGGCTTCCTCGAAACCAAAAAGTGCCAGTATTGACGTCGAAAGTGGGGACGCTCCCCATTCGAACCTCAAAAATAGCGGATCCAGCTTGAATGAGTCGCCAAGAGAGATTAGAAGTGATACATCACTTCGAGAAGCTAACATCGATCCTATTACAGAAGCAGCTTTCTTGAAGAGAATGGATTACAGAATGGTGCCACTGCTCTTCCTACTATGTAAGCCAAGTCATGCACAGAGGGAAGCACTCGTCTGATGATTATAGATATGATGAGTTATCTTGATCGTTCAAACATTGGGTATGTCCAATTTTCCAACCCTCCAACAAACCCAGAATCAGCTAACGCTTTTACCCAGCAACGCAAAGATCGCAGGAATGTCCAAAGACCTCCATTTCTCCACCGACGGTAATGACTACAGCTGGCTCCTCACAATCTTCTACTTAGCCTACATCCTTTTCGAACCATTCATCCTCCTCTGGCGAGTAATCCCAGCTCACATTTTGGTCCCTATCATGGTTTCTGGCTGGGGTCTGGTAGCAACACTTCAATCTGCGGTCAATTCTTGGTCCGCACTCATGGCCCTACGATTCTTACTGGGTATGTTTGAAGCTGGCGTTGGACCAGGAATCCCTCTTTATCTTGCGTATTTCTACCAAAGACACGAGATTGGTCTGCGACTGGGCTTTATTCTTTCAGCTGGGCCACTTGCGACATGTTTTGCGGGAGCGCTGGCTTATGGGATTACGAGTGGACATCCAAGTATTGCAAATTGGAGACTGCTTTTGCTCGTTGAGGGTTTGCCGTGTTTTATATTGGCTGCTGTGGCTTGGTTTTATCTGCCGGATTCGCCTGCATCAGCGAAGTTCTTGAGAACTGAAGAAGATCAAAATATTGTGAGCGCAAGAGGTATTCGGCAGGTTGGTGCAGCTGAGGCTGGTCATCACGGAAAAGTTGGTCCAATCGTTTGGTCGGAAGTTGGTGCTGGTGTGCTGAATCCGAGGGTACGAAGCGTCGACTCGTCCCAGAACTCGAGAATTTGCTGACAAGCATGCACAGAATTATATTACAGCGTTGATGTACTTCTCTTGCAACGTCTCCTTCTCTTCCTTGCCAGTCTTCCTTCCCACGATTATCACAGAGATGGGCTTCTCAGCAATCCACGCGCAAGGTCTCTCAGCCCCACCATATTTCATCGCCGTCATCTTCGTCTTGATAAGTACCTACTTCGCGGACCGCTACGGCCAACGCGGCATTGTGATCTGCATCAGTGCTCTGATCGGAGCAGCTGGTTACATCGTCCAAGCAACCACAACCGTGACAGCTATCCGTTACTTCGGTGTCTACCTTGCAGCCTCAGGAATATACTCAGCGATCATCAATGTCATACCGTGGATGATCAACAATCACGGCACAGACACGAAACGTGGTGCAGGATTGGTGATTATGGGGTTGGTGGGCCAATGTGGACCGGTACTTGGGACGAGGATTTATCCTGCGAATGATGAGCCTTATTATAGGATGGGGATGTGGACTTGTGCTTCGTTTATGATTTTGGTTGCTGTCTTGTCAATTGCGTTGAGGACCGTATTAAAGTGGGAAAATAGTAAGTTGGATGCGAAATATGGGAAGTTGGAAAATGGCGGAGGTCGAGTGGGCATGGAGGCCGAAGGCCCAAATTTCAGATATGTCCTATAAGGGAGAAACCAGAGCAAGGGTAGAAATCAAGAGGAAGTGAAACAAAGTAAGAAACATAAATATCTAGAACATGGAGTACGAAACGACTAATGAAGGCTTTCACAAGCTCGCCTCTTTGACTTTGTTTGGGGAATCGAAGAATTCTGCAGCTGAAACAGGTAGGAAGAAAAACATCACTCTTACATCTTCTGGGCATAGATCCTGTTTTGTGGACATTGGAAGAAAAGCAACATCGATTGCAGTCGTCCAGACAAGCTTAGCGAGCAGAACCTCCTACTCACGCAAAGCTTCGCCGCCTCTCTTACTCGCCGCTCGCCTAACACTAATGCATAACAAAGCTACCTAGCTAGCTAAGGGAGATTTTCAATATGTTTGATACAGACTAGCATTTGGCGGGGTAACACACGACCATCAATCATAAACAGCTCGTCCCAGCATACATATATTAAAAGAAATCACATCTAATAAAATGTAATCTAATCCGTCGATCATTGACATCACCAGACATCCTAACGAGCGAGCCCCAACCCCGCGTTCCGCCACACTTCCAGCATCCATCGTCACACCACACCTCTACACCAGAGGCGCAAACCCGAATCTTGGTCCACTTGCATCAAAAACCGCATAAAAAGCATTAAAGAAAACATCACCATAGATATTCTGGTTTCCCGTCCCCGCACTCTGCAGACCACCAAAACAAGTCGTCCCATCCAGGCTCTGGAACTTGATCAACGAGCCTGGGATAGTAGCGTAAGCGGATGGGCCGATAGCAACAGACAAAGTGGGCAGAGTAGCTGCGCAGGGAAAGACGTAGCCGCCTTGTTGATAATCGTAGGAAGCGCCAGCGACTTGAGAGTAGTAGGCAGTGACGGCGCTGTCGACCATGAGGACGAGGGTCGTTCCTGTGTCGGAGATACCGACGGAACCGGTGCCGATGGAGTGTGTTGTGCTGCCGACCTTCACAGTGGTGCTTGGGTACTGCCAGAAGCCGTTGGCGCTGTTGACTGCTGTGTAAGTGATGGTACCACTATATCGTGAAGCGACGGTGGCGCCGAAGTCGTATGCGCCGTTTTTATTGTAGGGTAGGTAGGCGGCGAAGAGGGGGGATTGGAGGGAGGCTTTGACGTTGTCGAAGAAGGTCTTTTGCGGGGCAGGACTGACGGTGTTGATACTGCTGAAAGCAAGGCCGAGCACGCCGTCAGAAGCATCCGTCACGAGAGTCGAAGATACTCTCGAGGCGAGTTCAACAGCTTGGTTCTTGGCAGATGTGGTTCCAACAGTGACGGTGTCTGTCCCGACAGTGCCACTTGCGCCACTGCCATCTGCGTAGCTAATCCGCCATGTGTATCCGGTCAAAGGCTTGTAGGTTGCGCTCTTAGCAGTGCTGAAGACGTTGTGACCTCTTTGATAAGCTGCGCTCAAGGAGGTAGAGAAGACCCATCTAGAAACATTCAGTACACAGAGCTCGCCACATTATGCATTGAAACTTACAGATCGGCACTTCCAGTGTCAAAGTCTAGATTCAAAGTTTGCCCGCCAACTGAAGTGGGTACGAGATACTCAATCCCATTTGAAGGAGATGCTGGAGCACTGCTATCCTGACGCTTCTGTTTTCTCTGGCTCAATTCGGCCAGGAACTCAGGAGAGAATTCTTGACTAGGTGTCAGGCCATATTTTGCATATGCTTTGAGCAAGGCAAGTGTGCCATTGCGGACATAGTTTTCATTGTGGATTGCTGGAGCAGAGAATACTGAAGGGCCCGCTACCGAGGCATTCGTATAGAATCTTGGAGCTGGAGCTGCTTGAATAGCAAGAGCAAGAGCTAGAATGGATAGAGTAGAAAGCATCCTTGTAGCGAGCTGAAGCGGGCTGATGAAGGAGGTAGAAGGTCTAAAGACGGGACTGGTAACAAGAAGTGAGAGAAACGGACCGACACTATATACACTTTGAAATCCTTATCTTCGCATATATACCTAACTACGCGCTGAGATGATCAGCACCGATATTCCTTGCATGCCAGGCTGGTAGATACAAGTCCTACCTAGTAGGAATGCTTGAGTGGTAGATAGACCTTTCACATCTTGATGCATTGCTTGGACAAATGAGAGCGAAGGAAATGATCTGTCTTGGAGGTTTGCAATGGATGGTTCTGGAGAGCACGCGATAAGTACTCCTTGACACAACATCGACCATCGAGATTTCGGTCTCTTGGCACCGAGGTGAAGACTTTAGCCTATGTGTGCCCTAAACCTGGTCAGAGACGATTGTATTATGTATAATAGGATACACTTCTTTGATAGGAAGGTATGAAAGAGAGTACTGACAAACTTTCATCTATGTTGATTAAAGAGCATGCGAGGGGGGACTTAAACCTTGAGCTATGTTCATCAATTGCCGATAGCAACTCCAATCGCTGAAGTTCCATCGAGAGATAAGAGCGACATTAAAGGTTGCGAATGGTCGGTTTGTATATTAAAACTACTTAGGCTATACAATGCTCGACCGGCTAAGCGACGCCCCAAACGGCTCTTTAGATCTGTAATATGTGCAAGCGAATGGAGATATGCCGTACAGCTCTGACTGCCGATACGGATCGGTCCGTTCTCTCCGCTTGAATACTCCATCGAAGCATAATCTTGGGGGCCTAGTGATGCAGCAAGTGACCTCATGTCGAAGCATAGCGAGGTAGGACATGAAAGCACTTTGCTCTGAAAAGCATAGAATTACCACGAGAAGTAGAGATCACCGGGTTTGCAACAGAGTTTATTGGCACCTAGACTGTCTTCTTGGTACATTGAAAATCTTGTGTCAGATTCACAAGCAACAAGTTGAATTTGAGTTTGAAGACACGAGTTTTTCACGTGACCATTCACTTTTGCCCCGCTACTTGCTTGCAATGTGTTGCTGATCATTAACGGCAAGGTGTGCTTGTTCGGTAGCACGGTTCTGACCGTGTGGCAAATGGGCTAGCTTGAGAATCTGATATGCTCGACAATTTCATACCAAAAGAGCAAAAGTCGTAGCAAGTGAATTCCCCAAGAATCAAAACAGGACCTCAAACTTCACCTCAAGCTCCAACACAAAAGTGAATCCAGCAACGAAACCAACTGGTTCACAATGTGACTCCCTTTCATCGAAGGAAGTAGTATAAATAACCCTCTTCCCCACAGGATTCTCACCTCACCTCAATCCGGAAATTTGGTTTAGGAAAAAGACAAGCCAAGCGGGGCCGCGAGCCCATACAACGTTGTTAGTCTTCAGATTCTGCGAGAAATCCGGGAGATCCCAAAGCAACTCGAAACCGACTCCCGCATACAGCAAGACAGAACCGAAGGAGGAGAAAATTGACAACAACACCATTGCTACTAATAATCCTTCTGCTATCAACTTCCCCCGCTACTCCGCCACTTGACCCCGAGAATCTCAACCACCTAGGCTACCTAGAACATCTCTACCCGGCACATAACTCCGAAGACCGCAGAAAACACAGTCCCCGTCGATTCTCTCTGGTAGGGTACGGATATGGCCATGACTTCCAACAGATGGGACAGCCGGGACAACTGTCGAAGTGGCCGCTACATGGAGACTCAAGTCAAGACCAGGACGTTTATTATATACTGATATTTGAAAGAAAAGAAAAAGTCAAAAGAAACAAAATCTCGCGCGGGAAAGGGGTGAATTTTAGCAATTCCAGCTTTCCCTCTGGGAAGAAGTGAATACGACAAACAAACTGATGGACCTGAGCCAAAATTTCCACAATCCTGCGGAAGGAAAATATATAAACCTCCCAGTTATCTTGATATGAAGGTAGAACATCACAATTGGGGAAACCCTGGCAACAAGAGCCTCGAGTACAGTAAGATGTACAGAGTACAAGCTGGGACGCTGGCAAGAAGCTACGGTGGCAACTTCCATGTGCTTATGAGGTTTAGGAAAAGGGAAAACAAGTTGCTGCAAGGCACTTGCCAGGAGGGAATGGCTGCCAAGTGATAAGTTGTTGTCAACTCCCCACCACTTAATTTCCCACATAAGCAGTAAGATCGAATAAAATCTCACTGCACTCACAAACACCCACCTGAAACCTCAAAATCACAATCACCCATCTCTATTTCAAAAACTTAGGTTCATCATCAATTCTTTCGTAAAAGCGCATGATCCTCAACCAAGGACCACGCAAAATCAGGGTATCTAAGGTAACGGCAGCTTTCCTCCCATTCCATCCCATTCCATTGATCATCTCGGCGATCAAATTTTGAAGATCGCAGTATGCAGCATCCTAATTTCCGTAATTAAAAAGGACCATGTCCGTAGAAGCAAGTAAGTACTCAGACAAGCAAGAAGAGGTTCAAGCCTTTGCGAATCGAGGGCGGGCGTTGGGTTCGAGGAGTGTGTAGCAGGTTTGGTACAGGCCGGAGTTTAGAAGACAGTTCCATCGCTGAGGATGGCGATTGGGGGGCATTGGGTATTTGGTCGTGAGATTTCAGCCATTTCTCGTCCACCCTGGTAATTGTGTTAGCATGTCTACAGCCATGAGGTTCGTCGGAAATAACTAACCTTCCAGCTTCCAGCCTCCAACATCTGTACCAGACTAAGCTTGTCTAGGCCCTGCAGACCAAGAACAGAGTTCACTTCCTCAAGTAGCAGATCCAGGAATCCAACCGTAACAGCTCTCCACTCAACAATCACATCATCATCTGGTGTGAACATTGGAACAACCTCCATGCTACCCTTGCCACTCAGTTCTCCCTCCTTCTTGAATCTGAGTAAACCTCTCTTCTCATCCTCTTCCTTCAAGGTCAAAACGCCTGTGTCGATGAACAATCCCCCGTTTCTGTATTCCGGGAGACCAGTCATGAGCTCAGCTCCAGCGAAGTGGATATGGATTAGTTTGGACATTGGCTGCATGAGAGAGTAGCAGAGCCACTGTGTGAGTTTGTGAAATGGTACAATGACTTCCCACGGTTGAGAAGTTGCGTCGGAAGGCATCGTGGATAGTGGCCAAGCATCACCAAGAGATGTGCCATCAATGGCAGTTCGAGAAGCTGGCCAGATTGGTGCAAGACCATCCATCAAAACTGACCAGAGTGTAGGAAGGAGGACGACGGGGACGGAGGAGGCTTGTGTGGTTGGGTGAGAGATGAGGTAGTCTAGAGAATGTCAGTAAAGTTGAAATGGAGGCAGTGACTGACTTACCAAGCATATTTCCAGGTCTTGCATCAGCGCCAAATAGATCCTGGTTGTTGAGAGCATCTGCCAATTTAATCAGAAGTCCTGTTCGTCCTTCTAATCCTGCAATTGGATTCCTGTCCGAGACTTGCAGTCCCTTAGCCATCTTCTCAACAGTCAAGCCTCTCAATCCCTCTCCGTCGACTTGGTGTGGTTGACTTGTGTTGCTACTGAACAAACCGTCTTTGAACATTTCCAAGCTTGCCACTGCTAGTCCTTCACTCCGCCTGTAAACTCGGCCACTGTCTTTGCTCTTATATGTCCATGATGTTCCTGCACCAGCATCGAGTAGAACTGAAACGAGGAACAGGTCGAGGAGTCTGCGACAACGTTCGGAGGGATCAATTGAAGAAGGCCAGCCAGCGAGCATGTCTGCGATCCTGTCCTTTCCACCCACGTTGAAATGCTGCCATCTGCCATGAGGGGGAATACTGGCATAATCGGGAGCAAAATCGCGCTGAAAAAGACTGTTAGAAGGGCATACGATGTAGCATTGAATATTCCCCACCTTAATAATTGAGACGACAAACTTGGTAGTATCTTCAAACTTGGCCATGTCCACATTGAAATGGTTCAATTGATTCCTCTTCGCCTTCTCCAGCACAATCGCACATCTTTCTCTCACTGCGCCAATACTCCTGAGGTGTCCGGCTGGGTCGACGTGTGGATCTGGAGCCTTTGGCAGCGCGACCTTCGGAATAGTGGGGGGAATTGACATTTTCGAGAATCCGGGCGTCGCAGGCGATTTCAAAGAGGATTGTGAGGACATGGAACCAATTTCTGCCAGACTCGACGAATTCTTGCGCGAACCAGAAGTCGTGGATGAGCCTTTGTCTTTACGTGAGAAGAGACCCATGTTGAGGCTTCGAAAGTGGAATTTCCTGTCACTCGAGAACGTGCGTTCCTGGCTACCCGCGTTATCGTGATAAGACGACGTGGATTATTTGCTGGATTTCGTGACGATGTTTCGGAGACAATAGAGCTATCAAAATGATCAGCCGGCGCAGCCGTTGAGGCAGCGGTTCCGATTGGTGTTGGGGAGTCAGGGGATTCTGTGTTCTGGTCTGAGATCTGATAGAATTATGTGCAATTGATGATGGGTGGAATGAGGTCGCGGTTTGTCGAGAAAAGTTGAAAGCGAAGATGAGATGAGGTTGAGAAGAAAGACGATGTTGAGGTCTTCCCCCAAATTAACCTTATTGCCTCAGTGAATGTTTCTCAGCTTCCTTTCCCGTCCAAGGCCTCAATTTCGACCCAATGCAATAAACAATCCACCAAGACCAAATTCAGGGGTCCCGGATTCTGGACTTCTTGCGAACCTTCTAGTCCAGGACTAGAAAGTGATTTACTCCGACTACCAAAACCTCGGGCAGTCACTGTGTCTCGCGGAATTCAATCAACGTGGCCCGGCGCTCGAGAAGACGGGTATAAATCTCCAAGAGAGTGAATATTGCAAACGGTGCTGCACGAATCCTTGCAAGTGATGGTATTCCCAGGTTGATGTCGGGGCACTTAACTGAAAGCGATATGGACAGGGTTGTAGATTGACGGGTGGCCGGGTCGATATGCAGGAACGAAATCCTACCCTCGAAAGAATCCCTGCGACTTCGTTGGTCTCTTTGATTTGGGATGGAAGTCGGCCAACTGCGTGGTTGATGGGGCGATGTGGGCTGATGCAGAGAAGGGGAGAAAAGTTTAAAAAAGATTTGATGAAAGTTCCCTGAGAGTGGAGAATCTGGCCAGAGTAAAGAGAAGGAAAAGGAGAATCAGAAGAGCTTGAGAGGGGCTCGATAGTTTATGTGCATGTATGTCTAGAGCCGCCTCGATCACCTTAAGTATGGTTCGCCGCCGACACGGTGCATCTGGGGCCCTGTGCAAGAAGACGCGGGAGGTGTTCGAGAAGGTGGGAGCCAATGAGAGTCAGCGGATGAATATTTAATTCGGCAGGATGGCCCAGTAGCTCGAGTCAGCCCAACGAGTCTCTGGGGATTGGCCGTCAGCTATGGTGACATCCGGATGTCCTGGCCGTGGGTGGAAAATGAAGTGTTACAATATTGAGTTTGCATTCCAAACAAGCACCTGTCATTCGAGTCTGTAACGTTCTTCGTCTGTGCAGACACAGGCGATTCAAGAGAAGGTTTATCTGATGTCTTCCTCTGTTGGACCCTGATACCCGTGAAACCGCATTTCCATATAAGGTTACATGATTCAGGCTTCTTCAAACCTCCCCCCAAAGAATGGGCTTGCAGAATTGAGGAATGAGACATCATTGCAACGCTCATTCCAAACTCAGCGGCTTTCCCTTCCGGGCATGCCGTGACCATCATTGGCTTTTGGCTTCTTTGACCATCGCTTCGAGTTCCTTCTGGTACTGCTGCGACCTCCTGATGAAGAAAGCCACCAGTCCAATGGCTACGACGCCCATGGTGATGACCATTTTGTGGTGATATCCCCATTCCGGGAACCTTTCCGCCTCAGAGATCCATGTTTTCTAGGTTGTCAGCGTTGCTTCTCACTGAAATGAGAGTTGGTGATCTCACGACAAGACTTGACAACGAATTTGAAGCAATTGTAGCCGGATTCGGGATACTGATGTCGGGGAAGACTAGAGGTTCGTTGCCCTCGTTGCTAGCTGGAGGTGGCATTTTGGACAGGACAGATAAGGACAAGCGTACGGATCGCTGGGTGTCTATTATCCAAAGGCGATGTTGTATGTAAATCTAAATATGTGTATGTGGGCAGATGGATTGTATGTGAGCCATAATCAGATTTATGGTGGTATGGTGCGAAAGTTCCCCGGCGTGGCATCGAAGAAAATTGATATCAGATATTCGTGCAACACGTGATAGCGTCATGAACCACCAAATTTGGATGGCGGCCGTTTTCAGTCGAATAGGACACGTAAACTCCTTTAACACTTATACATTGACTTCGGGGTATTTACAAGAGATCCAGGTTCACACCCAACTCCAAAATATTACAGAATCTAATCTTCTTTTCTGATGCTGGCCTGAAATTCTCTCCAGTCCTTCTCATCATCTGAATCCAGAGCGAACTGCTCGTCCTTTCTCTTATCCTTCACTTTCTTAATCTGTTTTCCTTGTCGACTCAGTGCTCCAGTGAGGCAAAGTCCTAGAAATATCACGTAGAAGCCGACAATGACCGGTAAGATCATGGCTGGATCTCTGAGGCTTGGCGGAAGGTAACCCTGATGAAATTAGCTTGCTAGAACATTAAAAATGTTTGATAAGAGAAGACATCTCATACCAGTAGGCTCTTGAGCAATGGATCATCATATATGTGATGCATGGCCGAAAAATTAGATAGGGGAAGGTGGTATGAGCGAACTGTTCTGTGATCAGATTCAAGATTAGGACAAGAACGGGATCATATATTCACATTCACAGAATACTGACCAAATTAAATCGAAGGTATTAGTGTAAGTCGAAAGTACTGAATAGGAAAAGTTCGTCGGGATGATGAAGAAAGTGAAGCACGTGATGCCTTCTAGAATATCTCAGCCGCGCGCTAAAAGTACGGACGGAAATAGAGACCATAACCACACTTGATATGCCAGCGAAACATCCCATGGAAGCAAGAAGCTCACGAGATCTTTCGCAGCTCAATCTTCTTGCCATTGACGCCTTCAATGACTTTATGACACACTCAAGGCTCATTAAATGATCAAATTACAGTTTCTCTACCACCAAAATGGATGATCTTAACGGTCTCGACTGGTCTGCCAACACCAGTGCAACCCCCAAAGCACCAGCTGGAACTGGAAATTATTATCCTGCTCTACGACCTACCCCGCCACCTCAAAATTCTGGCAGAAATACACCATTGTCTGCGCAAGGTTCAGGAGCCTTCAAACCTGCATCAAAACCATTTGTGCCCCCGAAATCATCCACTCCTGACAGCTTCTCGAACCTCGTCTCCTTTGGCTCTGCGAAACAAAATACCTTGACTTTACAACAACAGCAAGAAAAGCTACAGGCCGAAAAGAGGAAACAGGAAGAGGAGAAGAGGAGGCAATACCAAGCACAATTTGGCAACAATCAGTTCTGGGATGGACTAGGAAGTAAGGGGCATAGCCAGGCTGGGACACCGCCGGTCACCTCTCGAAGCACAACACCAGCACTGAAGCCCCTGCCGGTGAACTTTGCCAGAGCTTCGTCCCCAGCTGTCAATAGCTCAAATGGTGGAGATGAAGACTTGTTTGCAGCTTTCAGTGCAGATGCGCCAGTAGACAAATCGAGCCACTATCCTCCTCCTCCTTCAGCCCCAGCGAGCGGTAGAAATACGCCTGGCTTTATCGCGAGCAAGCCCATGGATTTGAGCAAACCACAAGCTTGGGAACAATCAGGGACACTTGGAGCGGAATTAGGAGACGACGATGATCCATTCGGACTTGGACAGATGAAGCCGCAGAGCTCTGCGCCAGGACCGGTTACGAACTTGGCAGATGATGATGACTTTCTGGGAGATCTAGCCAAGCCAGTGGAAGAAGTGAGGAGGGCAAGTCCGCCGAAGAAAGAAGTTGCGCCAACGCCAGACTCGGATGGCGAGTCAGACGACCCGTGGGATAAAGCAGTAGCTGAGCTTGTGGATATGGGATTCTCAGCAGAACAATCACGACAAGCTTTAACGGAAAGTGGGTCAGGTCTTGATATTCAAGCTGCTGTTGGATGGATACTGAACGACGCGCATCGACAAGCCAAAGAGAAACAAAGAGGTGGTGCAGGGAGTCGGAAAAATGGCCATCCATTGAATGGAGAGAGGAGAGATGACTCTAGAGAGACTGCTCGGCGAGAACAACATCCTTCGTGGATGCGAGAAGAGGGCAGGGATGGGTCACGGACCGGACGAGAAGACAATCGATCACCAAATGGAGAGGCAGATTTCTCAAAACAGGCTGCCGCTGTAGGCACAAACTTCCTAAAGACGGCCAACTCATTGTGGAAGACATCGCAGAAGAAAGTACAAAAAGCAGTTGCAGAATTTCAGCAAGAATCTGATCCAAACCAACCAAAATGGATGCGAGAAGCAGCTGAACGAGAGCAAGCAGAACGGAGAGCCGAAGGTCGAGGAAAGCGTCCCGAAGCTATCGTCCCAGATGTCACAGATGAAGCTCTTATGTTGGAAGGTGGCGGTAGACCACAACGCAAGGCAAAAGTCCCAACCCCTGAAACGAGACAACAGCCCCCTCGCTTCGATTCATCACATGACCGACCCCCAACAATGCCGAGACCACCGCCTGAGAGAGGTTCTCAAGCACCACGATGGCAGCAGAGTGCCAGTGCCCCACCTGATCCAAGAGCACGCATAAGCAAGCAAGCTATCGAAGAACAGTCAGCGCAAGCATACATCAGTCCTGCCAGACGGAAGAAAGCCACTCCACAACCAGCGCCACAACCAGAAGTTGACCTCTTCTCTTCGCCCGCACCTGCAAAACCCCCTCAACCACCACGGATATCCCAGCGGCCATCCCCTCCGCTTTCCAAACCTGCAACACCTATTCCTACAAGACCAAAAGCGCCAAAACGACAAGTCCCTTCAGTTTCTCCTACAGCATTAGCAAACTCAAATCAACATCGCTTAGCCGGAACAGCACATTTCAAGCGTGGAGACTACGCAGCTGCTCATCAATCATACTCTTCCTCGCTCTCCGCATTGCCTACCAGCCATCCCATCACAATCATTCTGCTTTGCAATCGTGCTCTCACAGGCCTAAAAACTGGAGAACCCAAATCCGCTGTTTCAGATGCCGATACAGCCTTGGCAATCATAGGAATTTCCAGAGGTGATGGCGAGAACATCGACCTTGGTCCGGGTGAAGGTGCTGGAAGCAAAGACATGAAAGAATTTTATGGCAAAGCGTTGATGAGAAAGGCCGAGGCATTAGAGCAAATGGAGAGATGGAAAGACGCTGGTGAAGTCTGGAAGATGTGCGTTGAGCATGGCGTTGGAGCCAGCACTGCCATTCAAGGTAGGACCCGATGTGAGAAAGCTCTTGCTCCTAAACCACCACCGTCAAGAACTGCCACACCAAAAGTTGTGCCAAGACCAATGCCTTCTTCTGCTCTTTCAGATCTCGGTCCGAGCGCAGGAGAAGACTCAGCTGCAGTCAAGAGATTGAGGGAGGCGAACCAAGCAGCCGAGAAAGCAGACGACGAGAAATTCGCATTGAGCGACAAAGTCGAAGCCAAGATCGGCCAATGGCGAGACGGCAAGAGAGACAATCTACGAGCACTGATTGGCAGCTTAGATAGTGTAATGTGGGAAGGTGCTGGATGGAAGAAGGTCGGCATGCATGAGTTGGTGCAGAATAATAAGGTCAAGATTAATTACATGAAGGCGATTGGGAAGACGCATCCGGATAAGGTATGTTTCCCGTATCTGCGAGACGAAAAAGGATATGTGCTGATGAAGAATAGTTGCCGCAAGATGCCAGTACGGAGGTAAAGATGATCGCTGCACTTGTGTTTGCGACGTTGAATGAGTCGTGGGATAAGTTCAAGCAGCAAAATGGCATGTAGATGATACCAATGTTACGACTTATCAGGCTTAGAAGGAAAGAGCCTTGCATGTTTCATTGTTCGTCGATGATTTTCAGTGCCCATTTTGGTGAATGTCTGTATAGATCTTGTAATCTTAAATTTCCCAAGTGGGATTGTCGGAACTTGGATCATGCCTTTTCATGTGAATCTCAGCCTTTGTGGAATTAAAAGCTTCCAGTATTCTACCTCAAGGTACCACTAAAAGGAGAATCAAGCCAGCAAGATTAAGTAGTGTGCTGGGCAGAGGTGATTTTCTACTTGCATATTCTAGAGCTTAACCGCTTTTCGTCTGCAAGACGAATTTTGAGTTGTCGTCGAATTGGCCTCGTTCTCAATAAGCTTTTCATTATTGTCGACACTCTGAACGTTTCCCCATGTCCGAGTGGGCTGGCTATCGAGTATCGCCTCAAATGGGCCAAGTGCGGATGACTAATAAGATCTGGCACTTCAACCCTCTTAAGCATGGCGAACTCCATTGTCCTCATCAACAATGTTTCACACCAACGCCTGACTACATGGAACATATATCTGACCAAGGGACAGGAGGCCCCTTGGTCCCGAAGCGGAATCGAATTCAACTGAGCTGCACCAATTGTCGCCATGGCAAACTCAAATGTGACCGAAAGCACCCCTGTTCGCAATGTGTTCGAAGAGGGAGAGAATCACAATGCACTTTTACTATGCCAATCCGAACGCCTGTAGTCAGCTTGAAGAACAGATTACAGCACCTCGAAAGTTTGGTGAAAGATGCCATGACGACTCAAAGTCCGGCTGCTCAGGGAGCTTTTTCAAATCCTCCGAATACGCCAATTGGGATCGTAACGGATTCAAGCGGTGATACCCATAATCAAGACCAGGCCAACGGACACAACACTCTTGCTTCTGGTCAAGTGCTTCTGAAAAATGGACAGACTTATGTGGGGGCAACTCATTGGGCAGCTATACTTGAAGACGTGAGAAGACTCTTCCTACTAATTTCTTTACACTAACATATCACAGATAGAAGAAGTGAAAGGATTCTTTGAGGAATCTCTCGAAGACGCCGACAAAGGGCAAAGTAGCCACTACAACTCACTTCTATGGAACATTAGGTCGCCTTTAGGAAAAGCAGATATGCTCGCAAATCTTCCGCCGCGGCTCGCTGTGGATCGTCTGGTATCTCGATACTTCAACTCTGCAAGTCCAGCGTTATGTGAGACCCCCCCCCCCTGGAGCACCATGACTTTTCGTTGACGAATTATCAGTCATCGTTCACAGACCCACGTTCAATAAACACTATCGTCAATTCTGGTTGGATCCTGAAGGCACTCCGATCATCTTCGTCGGGCTTCTGTATGCATTCATGACAATAGCTACCCTCTCCGGCCTTGCATCCGGAGAGACTCATCCAGATACCCGCGGCACACCTTCTCATATGCTTCGAGCATATCACGAGAATTGTGTCCAATGTATTGTACTCTCGGACTACACCAAGCCTACTCGATACACCTTGGAAACAATGATGATTTATGGCGAAGCGGAGTTCCTCATGAGTCGAGATGATCAGGTCCACTGCTACTTACTGATGGCTGTTGGTGTCAGACTGGCACTTCGGATGGGTCTTCATCGCGATTCGAGTAAGATTGAGACCCGTCTCTGTCCATTCGAAGCAGAAATCCGACGACGCATGTGGTATCACCTGAACCAAAATGATCTTCTGTTCAGCTTCCACATTGGCCTCCCCGGCATGATGCAAACAATTGAAAGCGACACACTGCCTCCCCGCAACCTACTGGACGAAGACTTCGATGAAGAGTGTACAGAATTACCACCATCTCGCCCTGGATCAGAAATGACGCCCATGTCTTATGCTCTCTGCAAAGGCAGATTAAGCAACGAAGCTGGGAAAATCATGGCCCTGGCCAACAAACTCCAACTTCCACCGTACGACGAAGTACTGAGATTGGATCGATCATTGCGGAAAGCATACGACAAAGTCCCCCCACAACTCCGCCTCGACGAATCCGAGATCACTGTCACGGACTCGCCAAGTACTATCCTCAAACGCTTCACTGTATCTGTCCTGCACGAAAAGAGTCGATGTATGCTGCACCGCAGATACCTCGCGAAGGTCTCAGAACATCCAGAGTATCAATATTCGAAACAAGCAGGACTCGACGCTTCTATGAAGCTTCTGCAACGTCAAGGCCTCATCCACCAAGCGGCATCTCCTGGAGGTCCGTTGGCGCTTGATCGATGGTTTCTTTCTTCGCTGTCAACGTATACTTTTCTACTCGCGGCAATGATCATGTACCTCAATGTCATGAATAGTATCAGGGATCAGCTCAGAACATCTTCATTCGAAATCCTGGAGGGTATCGATGCGCTTGAGACGTCGCGCAATAATTGGGAGGCGGCTTTGAGTCTCTCTCCTGAAGCAAAGAGGGCTGCTCTTGTACTTAATGGTATGGTCGACAAGGTTTATCAAGCGCTGGGAAAGCAACCTCCACCAAGACACAAACCAGACATTAAGCTTGGAAGAGGTATTGCCAGCCCAACTACGAGCAACATGTCGCAATTGTCACGAACAGGTGAGTTTTCATAATGATGCGTCTGCGCTTAATTCTTAGGCTCACTAGTACCAGACAATTCTGCCATCCAATTTCACGAGTTCGACAGAGAACAAGGCTTCCCTTTCAACCACTCAACAAACAGCATTTCTCCATCTTCTAGATTATCAATGCCTCACGACCTGGACATGGGAGTGCAGTCGAATCCTTTCGATTCGATATTAAGTCTCCCCAATGACTTCGACTGGGAGTTGTTCGACACTCAAGTCAGGCCACAAGTACCAGCTACACGAGAGGAGTGGCCAGACTTTCTCACCGATCTCGAAAATGGAATGAACGACGACTACAGTTTGTGAAAGGCTTGAGCAGCCTAGCACCCACAACATGATTCATTCACAAGAAATCTCTCAATTGCTTATTACAAAAATCCAAGAACTTCTCCTCAGAACCACTCCCGCCTTCCGCCACACTCTTCTTTCCCAACACGATCTCGTCTGGCAAATCACATTTCCGACCCCAAGCCATACAATAGCCGCCATTATCCTCCATCGTGACTTCAGGAGAGAATCCCGCATATAGAACAGAGTACGCGCCATTGATCGGCGGCTTATAAACTGATCTCTATACTATATGTAAGCAACCACTCGCGATAAGGGACGCAGACTTACCATCAAAGGTCTAACCACATTCCTCAAAACCCAAGGCTGATGCCTCTGCAACCCCGTCGGCATCAACCCAGGATGAACACACACACTCAAAACACCCTTCTCCGCCAACCTGTCAGCGAACAACCCCGTGAGCCACGCAACGCCGACTTTGGATTGCATATAATTCGCCATAAACCCCGTGAGGACTTTAGGCGTTCCGTCCGCTTCGAATTCCATACTAGTATGGCCTTGCAAAATGGACACTTCCCAGACGATGCGCACGCTCCCCACTGGTGTGTTGGGCTGTGTGGATGTAGAAGCGAGGAGGTGTTCCAAGAGGAGGGTGAGGAGGTAGGGACCAAGGCAGTTGGTGCCGATTTCTAGGTCATTGCCCTGTCAGAAAAGTATCAGCTTCTACCATAGACCGATGGAATTGGTGGATCACAGACTTGTTTATCCTTCGACCCCGGCGGTGGTCCCATCGTCGCAGCATTATGGACCAAGACATCAAGTCTCGACTCTTTCGCCAGGAAACTCTGGACGGCAGGCCTGATGGTCTCAAAGTCCGATAGATCAACGACTATAGTTCCCAGTCTGCCATGATCACCAACGACAGACTTCGTCTCAGAGATTACTTGTTCGACGGCACCGTCGCAGCGGGCTTGGGAACGAGCGGCGATGTAGACGGTAGCTCCTTTAAGATACAGTATCTTTGCGAGATGATACCCGACTCCAGAGGCAGCGCCCGTCACGATGTATACCTTTCCTGCGAGAGAAGGGATGTCTTTGTCTGTGAATGCTGGAGGCCAGGGAGGGAGGAATTGGGAAAGTCTGGAGATTGGAGGGTTCTTGGCTGGTGAAGGCATGACTTTGGCGATAGGAGAGGAATTGAAGGAGGATGGAAATCAAACAGATGGGAAGTGTTTATATAGTAGATGAAATCTACAATTAGCCAGCAGGATGCAACGTCTCCATCATGGCGGGACAACGAAGAATCATAACCCCGTAGTGAGCGGAGTTGAGGTTGAGAGGTGGTGGAGATGGAATTATCTATCTCCGGATGCCGGATTATTGATTTTCCGAGGAAGACTACTAGAGAAATGCAATTCGAACATAAGTACCAACCAAGTCTTGGGCTTCCTAAAGGACTTGATTGATCTTCGTTGCCTAAGCTTTCAGAGACTTTCAAAAACCCATTTTAGATGAACTATAACTAAGCATTTGGCATTTTGAAATCCACGTTAGCCCAGATCGTGAAACTCTTGCATAAATTGCACGTTGCCCGAGCTTGTAGAGACCTTCAAAATCTTGTTTCTAATGACTTGCAACTTGATGTTTAGCTCTCATTCCTATCAATTTCCTTGTGTGGAATTGCGATGGTCTAGCTACTCGACTCATAACCCCGACTCCATTTCCTCAAATCATGAAAGTCTTGCCCAGCTTTTAGAGACTTTCAAAAGCTGTATCTTTCAAGGCATTTCACTTGATATATGTTTTAAACGCTTCAAGCCTAAGTTTTACATAGATCCAATCCTCAATCCCTTGGTTTTCAGGCACTTCCAATTGCCCAATGCTTCAATACTCATATTACACTCTCTACCATCAACACGACCCACTACCCTGTCACCGGCATCGGAATTACAGTGTACGCAGAATCGAAACTACTTTCGCTGTTGCCATCGCCAACTTTAAACACGTGCTTCAATATTACATTGCTCTACGCTCAGTATTTGGTTCGGTAGGACAACTTATCAATCCCATAGAAGCGACTGGATTCTTTGTCACATAGATAGGACAGGTTCTTGTATCCGTGCCGAAAGAAGAGCAACAGCGCTCTTTGGCCACTGTAAAGATATCTTAGCCATACAATTCCACCGCTGCTCTATTTTACCTAAAACTGCAATCTTTATATCTCAACCCAATACTTTCCTGTACATCCATAAATCAGACAAAGACCCCGCTTTTTAACAAACACTACAAAACACTACAGCAGTGTGTCTTAGTGCTACCTCAGGAGTATCTCGTGAAAGCGCATATGCCAGCTGATCTGTGTAAGGTGATCACCCACATGGGTTTTGGTTGTGTTGTGCTACTTTGTATGGAAGATATGTCCTTTTCATTAACTCAGCTTTAATATACTTTCAAAACTTAGGTTTTGAGGCATTTTCACTTGGAATATATTTTCAAAATCTTCAAGTCTAGAATTCCACAAAACTAGCTCTCAATTTCTAACACATTCCACTCTGGATATTAATTTATATTATTTGAAGACTTCAAGCCCAAAATTTACGCAAAGCCAGTTCCCAATGTCCCTAACTTCCAAGGACTTTCAGCACTTTGCTTTTGCAGGTTTTTCACTCGGAATATATTTCAAAAATTTCGAATCCAAGAATTTCATCATCTTATTTTCATTATCCCAGCATTTAGGGACATTCAAACCTTTACTTCTTTAATACATGCCTCAAAAACATCAACTCCAAGCTCCCCACATATCCACCCTACCATCTCCCCAGCTTTCTTGGACATTCGAAAACCCTCTTTTTTACTAGGCATCCACTTATTTGCACCTTCCAAAACAAGCGGTCCATCGTCCAAAACAAGCAATCACAGTTACAAATCAGGAAGTCACATATCACCAATCAGGAAAGAGCAAATTTTTATTTTGGCAAGCATTCATTTACTACCTAAAGGTAGTACTCTCCCAGAGAGCACCACCGACCGCACAGACGAACCCATAAAAAAGGGTGAATAAACACCCCCGAACCGAAAACAGCAGGATCCCAAATCGGTCACCGGCTAGAAACGGCGACCATGACCGTGATGGAGGTGACGCTTGCGCGCCGCCGGCACGGTCACAGTCGCCGTCTCTGCCTGCGTGACAGTGACGACTTCCTCGACCCACAGAATCTCCTCGACCTCATTGGCCGAGATGGTATTGTATGCGGTGCTGAAGAAGGAAGGAGCAGCCGCAACGGGGGGTGAATAGATGGCAGACGAGGAAGGAGCTGCTGTGCTCGTAGCAACTGCCTCGACGGCCGCGGAGAAGGAGGCACCGGTGCTGACGGCAAAAATGCCCCCGGGCATGTAGGACTCTGTGCTGGCAAGGGACGAGCCGGCAGAGTACGACAGGGTCATGGCGCTTTGGGTGGTTCCGATTGTACCACCTCCAGCTGTTGCGGTTGCCGACTTTCCACCCGCAGCAGCACCAGAGGCATAGCCGGGTCCGTACGCAATTGCTGGGTTACCGGGCAAAGTCGTGACAGCACCAACGACATTCTCGTGGGCTAAAGCGGAGGGCAGAGTGACGTTGCAGTTTGAATATACATCGGAGTCTTGAATCGTGAACAGAGCACAATCTTCGATCTGACCTGAGAGATTCGTGCATGTGTCAACGGCTGACTGAAGGAATGCCTCGTCCCACCCCATCATAAAATCACCATGGTATCCAAATCCTAAAGATGTCAGCGGTTGCGGTTACGAGGGAGATTGAGATGCTTACCAGTCGGGTCACCATTTGCCAACATGAAGGTGCCATTGATACCAGCGAACTCATAAGTGTTCCAGATGGTTTCATAGAACAGTGAAGGAAGACGGACTGGGAAGTCGGATGGACAATCGCCGGTCATGACCTCAGATGGGAAGGCAACGTGAGACTTCTTGTCCACTGATGTCTTGTCGACTCCGTTCCAGCAGGAGGGAAACATGAGCTCAAATCGGACGCCATCAGTGCAGTGAGCATCGAGGTAGGATTTGTCTGGAAGGAAGTGACGATACAGAGAGCCTTCTGGTGTGATGGCATAGTTGAGGCAGTTGAAACCGAGAGCAGCTTGTCTAAGGAAGGCCTGTGTGTTGTACGGAGCAACATTCCAGAGGGATTTTTGGATGTCAGGGACAGGATAAGTGAAGTTGCGTTGATTTGTGTCGCCAGAGATCATCTCAAAGCCGGCAGGGAAGGCAGACAGAGTGGTGTTATCGGAGTTGGGGTAGAGAAGATAGTATCTTCATGTCCGTTAGCAGTGATTCCAGAGGGTAAAGGGGGTTCCGAGGTTTAAGCGGAGTCAGAATCAGGTGACCGATCTATGCTGAAGGTGACGGCCAACAACATAACACGGATATGGTAAAGAGGAGCATAAACAAAGGCGAAAGAGAGAAGGGGGACTTACGCAAGCATACCACCGATCTGGTCAACCAGAGTGTACTCGCCAGTAGCCGAATTTTGAAAGTACAGAGCAGGGGTCCAATAAGCAGATTTGTCCTGACTGACTTCGCAAGAGGTGCATTCGCCAGCGATCAAAGCATCGTAGCCTGCAGTCGTAGAGAAACCTGAAAGAGAGTAGTTAGTACTTTGAGTGTACTTGGTTGTGCAAACAATGCCATTGGAAGTAAACATATACAGAAAAGGAGATCTTACCAGAAGAGCCATGAAGGGCATGAGCGTGCTCGGACAGGGTTCCGTTAGAGACAAGAGGGTCAATACGAGCGAGACCAGATCGTGCCCGGCAGGGCATTCTCCAGAAGGCTGATACGTGTGCACTGAATAAGAAGACGAGCAAGGCCTGAAGACCCATCTTAAACGTGAAACGCATTATTAGAGCGCTGGATTGTAGTCCAATTGATCGAAGACGACTGTAGAGTTGTAGAATTGGGATCCAAAGATCTTGGTAACGTTCAAGGATGTGTATTTGAGATGTGTGGTTGTTTGAAGGATGTTGTTCGGATGACGGGTGCGGAGATCGAGAAAGGACGTTCGCGATATCAACAAAGCCTCATCCGAATTCAAGTGTCCAGCTACGTCAGTTCCTAGTTGCAACCAACGGAGGGTAAGAAACTCCGAGATCCGTGATATGCTAAGACTGCCTCGGGTTGTGGTAGAATATATTTTTCAATATTCTCGACACTTTGATATCCGATGCCAAGACCCAGCTTTGGTAATGCTTTCTCGAGCCAATGCTTCAACGGTGCGCTTGCTTCAGGTGTCGCCCGATGAATTCCAGATGTACAAGAATGTATTGCTAACTTGTAGCAGGTCTTTGCAATGATGAATCGTTTCTCGTGGTCGTCGTCCAACCCATGCAGGTATGCTATGCAAGATGCAGAATGCTCGCGAAACCCAACAGCGCAATCTAAAAAGGAGCGATAAATTCGTGTCCTAGGCACGAGTTGCTTGGTTGAAAAGAGCGTATGCGTATGTCGAAGAAAAGAATGGAAGACTACACCGCGAGGGAACCACGAAAAGGAATGTAATGCAACTGTTGGCGACAAGACCAGACGACGAAGACGTGAGGGTAGAAAGAGAGAAAGAGAAAGAGAGGTTAGGAGGGATCACGATAGGCATAACCCAACACCGACCAACAAGCATTGCAACAAACGAGCTATGCTTGCTGGTCAGTACTGCAGTTGGGTTAGGGTGGGTGCATACTGCTGCCATCAGCGGTACCTGCATACCCCATGTCGTTACCCCTGGACTGGGTGTGTATGCACAGCGAGTCGGGTCACTGGACCGTCGTGCAAACATCGTCGCCGCACCACGAGAGAAGGATTGTCCAAGAGTGTGAGGTGGCTCGAGAGTGGCTCGTTTGCATGGCAGAACTGGAGAGAGCCAGAGAGATTGGCTTGCCGGTCGAAGGGTGAAGGCATGATCCTGATCTGCCAGAAATAACGGGGAGCTCCCTGATATGCTGGCTGCGTGAGACGGGCGATCACTAGGATGTCGTTGGTTGGCTGCGGTTGGATTGTGAGTTTCTTTCTTCAGGGGGCAAAGGGCGAAGCGTGTGCATCCAAGGGGCTGCTATCTTCCCGTTTCCCACGATAGTTGCACGTTTTCCCTTCCTGGGTGAATTTCCTCGAGGGCCGGGTATCACGAAAGGTTAGGTCGAGAGAGTGTGAAAGGTTGTCGATTCGTCGACGAGAGAGATGCCCAGCCCCCAAGGGTGAGATACGCGCTGAGTGCGTATCCCGTTCTTCCTCTCATGCCGGTAGAGAGTGCGATCTGATCTTTTCCTCTCTCTGTTTGCCGTCGTTCCTGAGTCGACTTCAGGTGAACGGGATGGGGCAAGGATGCACGACACCACAGGGTTGGGAAGAAGGAAAGACAGCGGCGTCAACGTGAAACGCTCTAAAGTGGCTCTCGGGCTCACGAATCACAGCGCCAAGACACCCTGGCAGTGCAGACCCCACCTACCGCAAGTGGTTGGTGCGGGAGCTGCGGGTAGTTTATTTTCAGGGGCGGCCAAATATATCAGGGATCAAATGAAGTTTCATAAGATCCGACCATGTTGGCGGAGAGGAAGGGTGAGGGTGTGGGTGAGGTGAGGAGGAAGAGAGATGTCGGGTGTGGGAAAAAAAAGAAGGGATGGTTGCGCATGGATGATCTGATCTGATATAGGAAGCGAAAGGATTCAATCGTTCCTTCCAGATGCGTTCCTTCCCTTTTCGAGGCTTTCGCTATGATATGGCGTATATAATATTAACAGATCTGCCTCGCCACAACTTTCGTATCAATTTATCCAGGAGAAGAAGGGTCGCATGCTTCGCTCTTTCCTTCTGTCCATATACGAATGTCTGCATACATCGTCCAGCGTTCACAGCCGCTCTCAGCCTCAGGGTCTGTCTACTTTATGCTTACCGGAAAGTCTCGACCCTATGTATGCATTTATGTTCAGTCTCGTTTTAAACCCTGAGCTGGTGGCTGAGCAAACCAGTCCGTTCTCAGTACCTGTTCGTGTGCTCGTCAAACAATGCAAAACATCCCATCTTATCCTGAAAGAACTCTTCTTCTCCGCAATCTCGACTCTTTCAAACCTTCCATGTCTGATCTTCAGAATCTACGTACGCCAAGCGAGCGACCTTCCAAATCTTCTTTTTCTGTGAGTACCTCGGCAGCTGCCCGATTTTGCCTGTGAGTTGCGTTTTATGCAGAATTTTATGCCGCCATTTCATAAACGACTCTTCCATGAAACGATTTGTGGAGCCGGATCATCATTCGAAGGAGTTGGGGTGGAGGTCGGACGAGTAATTTTTTGAGCGACCAGTGTCGCACGAAAGGATCGACGACCAGATCGCTTTCTTTAATTTGTTTGCGGAGATGGAGGGATGGGTGCTGACGAGGCTGTTGCGTTTGGTGGAGTTCTTATCGTGGGATGTGGAGTGAGAGTTCGGATGGCAATCTGCGATAGTACTTATATGGATCCCTGCTCGGAGATTTGGAATTCGAAGAATGTTCTTCGCTCTCCGAATCCTTTTTTATTTCCTCGACTGAGCATTGCATGCTTATGTGGTGGGCTGAATGCTCGAATCCTCGCGACATGTTGTCTCAACTTGGAAGATACATTAGTGTAAGGCATTGATGGTGCGCAAGTCACATTGCCGTTATATTGCCTTGAACCTAACTTAGAGTTATGAAGTTCCCATAGAACTTGCTTCGGTGTTAGCCTTCAGTATTGGACCCCATAAGTTGCTTCAGTGAGCTCCAGATTTGGTAAAAGTAGGTTGACAGATCATCTCGTGGTAAAGTAGGTATCTGTATTTTCCATCAATTTTTTCAATGTAGTCGAGAACACATGAGAATGATTATTATTGTTGGAAGTGGATGCTTCTCTTTTTGCCAGATGCTTTCGATGCTGTGTTGTTGATAATTCATCAGAGATATTGTCATGTTTTCGCCAATACTACATTTGCATGAATGATTCTGAAGTAAGAACACAGATTACTAGAAAGTCTTCGATATTCTTATTGTATCTGATCAGGGCAGCTTAGTAAATATAAAGAAATTCCGGAAGCTGCCAAGCATAAGGTACTTAACGCGTCTCTGGTATGAGGAATTAGCGAACCGACAAACGAGCTCCCCGGACTGCTGATGTGAGAAGAACAAGGTGTCGAATCCTGTCAATCCCCAACGTTCAACTCATAACAAACAATTAATTTCAGTCCATCGTCGACAAAAAGATACTCACACAAGTCACTTACAATGGCCGACCCGCTCGTAGTCTTCATCACAGGAGCTGGCAGAGGTGTGTTACCCCACCTTGCTCCAAATCGCTATTGACTGATAATCCAACATAGGCATCGGGTTTGCATTAGCACAAGCCTACCTTTTACAACCGAATTGCACCGTCATCGGAAGCACCCGCAAAGAATCAGCAGAACTGAAGTCATTACCAACCGCAACCGGATCCAAGCTCCTTCTCGTCACAATCGAGAGTACCTCGCCAAAAGATCCGAAAAATGCAGTGAAAGACATAGAAGCCGCCGGGATCCACCATATCGACATCATCATTGCCAATGCAGGCGTGAGCCCACCTGTCCATCCTCTCGAGACAGTCGAGCTAGAAACCATGTTATCCACCTTCAAAATCAACGCCCTCGGTCCTCTAGCACTCTTCCAAGCTTCCAAGCATTTGATGGAGAAATCCAGTAACCCGAAATGGGTGTCTATCAGCAGTGCTGCCGGTTCCATCAACGGCATGGAGGGCTTTGGCTCCTATGTCGCGCCTGCTTATTGTGTTTCTAAGGCAGCGTTGAATTGGATTACACTGTAAGCTCTGACACCTCCCGTGGCCTGAACTGTCTAATATGAAATCTTCAGTTCTGCACACTGCGGTAATAAATGGCTGACGGCTTTCGCGGTGAACCCTGGGTAAGTCTTCTATACCATATCACTTGAGTAATTACTGATTTAAATGTCAGACTTGTTGCGACGGATATGGGCAACGAGACGGTCAAATTCTTGGGCTTGGAGAAGGCGCCTTATACGCAGGAGTATAGTGCAGAGCAGATTATGAAGCTGGTGAGTAGATGTTAGAAGGTTACTGGGTGAGGCTAATGCGGTGCAGATCGAGAAGGCGAGTCGTGAGAGTACTTCTGGGAAGTTTGTTGATGCTATTAAGGGTGAGGAAGTGCCTTGGTAATCTGTGAAGGAAGGGAGGTTGGGATGATTTTAAGCAGCACTGGTTATGCTTGAAGATTGGGCAGAGAGGGATATTGACGATTTGCTACGATTGGATCTTCTGGAGATACTTCAAATGTTTCTCTCGAGTGTCACAATAGTAATTGAAGACAGTTAAATTAGTCGATGCAAAAGAGAAGAGGAACAAAGATCTCTGATACTTTACCTATTGCGCCTTCATGGGCGAGTTGAAGAAGAGCCCGGCACGTGAGCCGATCTCTGCCCCTGGTGTTTCTACGTTTCTACTTCATTATGTACAGAGTAGACATAAATACTGATATTGATTTTTACTGTTATGAGTAATCAATGTAGTTATATGTCGAGATCTGGGGTGCCTCGGCTTGAGCCAGTAAGGAAGGACGCGCGCCCCACTTTAACTTTATTGTAATTATTCAGCAATGTCAGACTGCTACTCAACGGCTTCAACCTCAAGCATTTCAAACACAGCAATTTCGATACCAACAACTCATCATGAGTGGAGGAGCACTTCGATCCAAGCAAGGCTGCTGGACCTGTCGACTCCGCCGCAAAAAATGCGACGAGCGACAACCCGTTTGCACGACATGCGAGCAGCTCAAAATCACCTGCTACGGCTATGGCACGAAGCCCGACTGGATGGACGGTGGGGCAAAAGAGAAGGCGATGATCGATCAGATCAAACAGATTGTGAAACATACATCTAGACGGAAGGGGAGGCTTAATGTCGCACTCAGTCGATTCCAACGTAAAGAGGAGGCCCCAAAATTAGCGCCTAAACCGACCGCTCCGCTACCGACGACCTCAGAGTCTCCTCCGGGTACCGAGAGCACTGTAGTCACGGTCAATGGGTCCTCTTCAGGTGACACTAGTGAGCATGCGAATGGGTCTTCCCCGGTAACTTTTCTAGTTCTGGTAAGACGTACCTCTATTGCTAATATCTGTGATAGAACTCCTCTGTCGAGGCCTCAGAGGGGGCTTCCGTCTCTTCCTGGTCGCCTTTTTCGATCAATAGCCAAGAAGCAGTCCTGCTTATGCATTTCATTGACAATGTGTTCCCGCTCCAGTATCCCGTCTACAAGCCAAGTGTCGCTGAAGGCGGTAGAGGTTGGGTCATCTCTTTACTGCTACGCACCAAACCACTCTATCACGCTTGCTTGGGTCTCGCCTCGTATCACCGAGGCTCTGTACTGTTAGAGCAACGTCGAGGTCCTTGCAACACAGCAGTCGTAGTGGAGCAAGAAAGGCATCTTGCTATCTGTCTCAAAGAGTTTCGAGAAACTATTCAGGCCGTCGATCATTTGATAGGAAATTTCAATTGTCCTAAGAATAGCCTTGGGCTAATGGCTTGTATTGTACAGCTTATTTACTTCGAGGTGAGTTCGTTGTTCTCCCAAGAGTAGGACCCCTGTCTAACTTAATCACAGCTATTTGCGGGTCATGATACTTGGAAAATCCACCTCCAAGCAGCGTCATCAACTTTTAGTCGTGGTTATTATGATCAACTCGATGAGCTTGACATGATTCGAGGACGAGAAGCCATCTGGGACCCCGACGGAGAGGCGCATGGGCATGGATGTGAACCTAACGAACAAAAAGCTGTTTTCCGGTTCATGGGAGGAGTCATTATTTGGCTTGACCTTATCTCTAGTATCACAGCAGGCACTTCACCAAGTCTTGTTGAGTACCATTCCCACGCCCTTTCAACATCATCTCATATCAAACTGGAAAACATCATGGGCTGTCATAATTGGGTAGCCGTCCAAATTGGCCGCATCTCGGCCCTTCACGAACTCAAAATGCACAAGATTCAGCATGGGTGCCCCAATATCACTGATTACGAGACTCAGGTCGTCGATATCAGAGCCGAAATACAACGGGGGCTTACGGAGATGTGCCTTGGGACGCTGAACCTCAACCAGACAGTTCCAACGTGTTTCGGTAACACATTCATCACGAGGATGTTTGCATTTGCAGCTGGACTCTACCTCGATCTCGTGGTCAACGGATATGTATCGAGCTCCGAGATATTCCACATGTTGAGAACGGAAGCAATGATGGTACTTCGAGGACAAGTACCTGCTGAAATGATGCATACGATCATCTTTCCACTCTACATCATTGGATCCGTTGCGGTACCAGAAGACCAGGCTTTCTTTCGATATGTGTTCCAGACCAGCCCGGTGCTGGACCCATCGCTGGAGCATCGAAGCAAAATTCTGCCTCTCCTGGAGAAAGTCTGGCAGCAGACACAGCTATTAGGGGCACAACTGACTTGGGAGGACAGCTTGAAACTGGCAGACCAGAGCCTTCTTCTCATCTGAAAACCGATCGTCAGGCTGAGATCAGACTGCTGGAATCCTTCGACACCGAATCTGGACACTCTCATCCTGGCTAGAGCCATCACGAACAGCTTATTCAAGGCTGTCGCTCTGCTTATCAAGAATCACGAGTCTTATATGAGGCAGACATATCGACGATGAATCAGCTTTAGGCGGATTTCCCGTACAACCGGATTAGGAATTCGTCAAATGTCCGTCGGCAATCACTGACAGCTCTCTGAATTCCTCCGGGTTTATTTGGTCCGTCAAGCCTCTAAAGCTCGGACCGCTAGTTGATTGGACAAGTGCGAACGAAGCCATGGGTTCCCAAGCGCAGTCTCGTCCAACCAGCGCTCGGAGCGCAGACGGGATGACAAAGCGTCCGTTTTCCGCGCTGCGTAAACGTCTCTCATTCGCTTTCTTTGCGGGTAGAGAATTCACTCCTTGGACCAGACTGCCGGGTGCAGCATTATCAAGCAGATGAGGAAATTGCTGAGTCGAATGTCTCAAACTCCATCTCGATTTGACGCGGGGCAGGGAGATAAAAGCTCGTCTTCATACATTTATATTCCTCTCAATTCCTCACCGCAAAATGGCCAACAGCATCGCAAACACCATCCCTGCAAGCTACTCGACAGCAATCTACGCAACACTTTCTCTAACATCCCTCTACGTCGCATATCGACTCCTCTCCTCGACACCGAAGCCTCAGCCTACTCCTGTCCTTCCAGCTTCCGAGATGAAGACTATTGTTATTCTCGGCGGTTCCTTCGCTGGTCTCACCCTTGCACACAAGTTGTTGAAGCAACACGCATCAACAGGCGATGTGAAGGTCATTATCGTGTCTCCCAACACGCACGTATACTGGAATCTGGCTTCCGTTCGAGCAATCATTCCAGGACAAATCCCAGATGAGAAGCTCTTTCAACCAATTGCACCTGGATTCAAACAATACAAGGCAGATCATTTCGAGTTTGTTCTTGGCAAGGCAGAGAGCATCGATGTCGCAGGCAAGAAGGTTGCAGTTTCGAGCGCTACTGGCATCAACAACCTCAGCTATGACATTCTAGTCCTTGCGACTGGCTCACACACCAAGGCAGATGCACCGTGGAAAGGTCGCGATACATACGAAGAGACCCGCGATGTCTTGCACGACTACCAAGCCAAAGTCAAGAAGGCTTCTTCAATCGTTGTGGTCGGAAGTGGAGCAACTGGTGTGGAGACATCTGGTGAACTTGGATTCGAATACGGCAAGACCAAGAAGATCACTCTGATTGCCAGTGGAGATCATGTCCTCGAGGGCACACCAGCATCCGTTTCCAAGACCGCGACCAACCTTCTCAAGAAAGTCAACGTCAACCTCACGCTCAGCACAAAGGTCGTGGGCGACGCCAAGATGCCAGACGGTCGCACAGAACTCACCCTCTCCTCCGGCCAGAAGATCACCACAGACCTCTACCTCCCCACCATCGGCCTCGTACCAAACTCCTCCTACGTCCCCGCTGATCTCCTCAACTCCAACGGCTTCGTAGTCGTCGACAACAATCTGAGCGTCAAAGGAGCGACCGATGTCTGGGCCGTGGGCGACGTATCCTCCATCCAACGCGCGCAGATCGTGAACGCCACCAAGCAAGCCGACCACGCGGCGAAGAACATCGATCTGGCGATCAAGGGCCAGCCGCTTCTTCCGTACAAGGTCGGAGGTGATATGCTGGCTGTTCCTGTGGGACGGAAGGCTGGGACGGGACATATGGGGAGTTGGAAGTTGCCGAGTTTCATGATTGTTATGGTGAAGGGAAAGACGTTGTTCACGGAGAAGTTGCCGCAGGTCATTGATGGAACGGCTAAGATGGGGTGAGGAGGCTGTTCAACAGGGTTGGATGAGGGTAATGGAAATGGTTCTTTGGCTTAGCGTTGCATCGATATTGGGTGTTTGCTATGTAGTTTAATAAATTTGCGTTATACCCTTCGTATGAGATCTTTTCTATCACTTGTGTCTGACCTTTTGTAAATATTGTGTTGTGCACACGATCAGTGATCACTGGTAACTCATCGTGTAGAGCATTCATGGAGATTTTCGATTGGTCTTGGAGACTGCAAAGACCTATCCTACCAACTAATATGAAAACACACAATCGATAACAATAAACCTGTCCTCATAACAACATACACCTCTACCTAAGCAAGTACCTATATACATCCCTCTCCATATCCCACTAACCTCTATCTGCCTCCAAACCTCACCTCACCTTCGTAACCTAACTCCTAGTGTTTATCTCTCTCACCTAACTCCATTCCAGCCCTTAGCTGTATATAAAATCAAACAAACAAAACCCTTACCATATTAAGTCCGGAAAACCCAAGGTTATCTAATATATTGTGAGCTTAGTTGACAGATTTCCAGATGGACTTATAATAGCCTCTTTGAAACTTGCACTAGCTGTTGGTTTGGAGGAACCATCGATTTCGGTCGGTGGTTGTGAGTTTTGATTTTTTTTCTTGGATAAGGAAAGGTTGGCGAGGTAGATTGGGAGGGAGGTTGTCGTTTTTCTTAATGTAAATATTTTCGAGGCTGCAGTTTAGGATAGATCTGACAAAACATAAAGCATGAAAGATAACGTAGCGGATTCCTATAAGGAATAGACAATTGTATAATCTTATTCTAAAGTTTGTAAAACAATATAAGTGAGAAAAGTAAATTCTGCGAGAGAAAAGGGACTTCATTCTTTAATTCTTCAATTACCCTTGGGAAACAGTCTATTTATATTGTCCCATGAACTCTGTAACAATATTGTGTGTTGTCATTTGGCAATTTTGCGTTTGGGGATCTGGTTCTTGTTCTTAGGAAGGATGGACATGTGAAATTCTCAGCGGGAAGCGGTGCTGCTATCCCCTAAGCTGTGTTTCAAAACAACTTTTCTAGGCTATGGTAAGCCCCTAAGCGAATCATTCCAGGCCCCAACTCTAGCGCATTCAGGGCACAGATTGCTGGAAATTTACAGTAGCGAGTACGGATGCCTCAGGCCTAAAACTGTGCTTACCGTAGCTTGAGGACAGGCGGGGCTAGAGTGTCGGAGCCGGAACAACCTCTGATCCGTTTTTCACTTCAAGGCGGTCAACGGCGGTCAGACTCTTTCTGCCACAACGCTTTCCCTCATTGAGCCACAAACGGAATCAACGATGGCCGACGCCGACTGCGCCGACCACAGTTGTGAGGGCTGTCCAATCTGTTGGAAAACATATCCATATCCGCCTAGAAATTACAAACCAAAACCACCACGACCTCAAACTCCTCCACCCGCAATGGATCCCCAAGAAGAATCAGTCGCGTCGCCGGCCTCAGAGCCGCGCAAGCAAAAGAAGAAGAAGGTGCTGCTGATGGGCAAGTCGGGCTCGGGCAAGAGCTCTATGAGATCGATTATCTTTAGCAATTACGTTGCGAAGGATACTAGGAGATTGGGAGCTACGATTGATGTGGATTTGAGCCATGTCAAGTTCTTGGGCAATTTGACTCTCAATCTTTGGGACTGTGGAGGGCAAGTTTATTTCTGTTTTCGAGCTCTGGTGGGGCTGAAGGCGGGGAGAGCTTCAGCTGTTTGTTCTGTGAAGCTGTTGATGTACTGCGATCTGGCACAAGAGATTGATATGCTTGAATACAGCTAACAGCTCACAGACAGGATGCATTCATGGAGAACTACCTTTCGCAACAGCGCGCTCACGTCTTCTCTAATGTTGGCGTCCTGATCTACGTCTTCGATATTGAGTCTCGAGACTTCGACCGCGATCTCCTCACGTACCGCTCGATCATCGCTGCCCTCAGTCAATTCTCTCCTAGTGCAAGCGTCTACATCCTGATTCATAAGATGGACCTGGTCGTCCCCACTCAACGAGAAGATATCTACAACGACCGCGTCACTCTCATCCAATCCAAATCTGACAACTTCGCAGCTACCCCGTTCGCTACCTCTATCTGGGACCAATCTCTCTACAAGGCATGGGCTGAGATCATCCACGACCTGGTTCCGAATCTAGATAAGATCGAGACCCATCTAGGCAGACTAGGCGCTATCATCATGGCCGAAGAAATCCTCCTCTTCGAACGCTCCTCCTTCCTCGTCGTGTCATCCTGGGCCTCTTCCATCGGCAAGCAAAACCCCACCACCGACCGCTTCGAGCGTCTCTCCAACATCATCAAGAACTTCAAGCAGACCACCTCCCGCTACACCGGACTCCCGAAATCCTCCGAGCAATTCGTCCTCATGGAAATGAAGCTCCAGACCTTCAGCATGTTCGTCATCAAGTTCACGACTAACACCTATCTGGCTGTCGTCCTTCCACCAGGCGAGACTACGTTCAATTGTGCGATGGAGAATTGCTATATTGCGCGTACCGAGTTTGAGGATCTGGATTCGCCGGCAAAGAAGAGTGCTGATAGGGGCGCTACGACTTCGGGTGCTACGACTTCGGCTGAGACTTAAGGTTTGGCAACGGGAGGCGTTCATAGGGGATAATGGTGCATATTTCAGAGATCGCAAAATGGAGAATCGAATTGAATTGTAGCATAGCGGAAATACCCAAAATCAGGCAGGCGTTAGACGCAATTGATGAAATAAATGCGATGATATTCAACCAATGTTTGCACTGATTGTAATGTGATTACCATAAGAATGAGAATATAAGATAATATTGTCCCAGGCTTTATGAGACAATATTAGTATGTCACGTCCCATTAGTCAACTAGGATTTGAGGGCTAAGTGGTGTAAGAACGTGTTGAAATACAATTTGATGTCTTTTCTATCTCGAAGAATTTGTTCTGCTCACATTGTCTCACATATTCTAGAGCATTATCATTTTGAATTCCAGTCTAGCTTTTCGAGAAATTAATACCCATTTGATAATCCTCCATCCACACATCAACCCTCTCAACCAAAAAACCCCCCTCATCTAAAGGAACCCGGAACCCCCAACCCGCCCAATTTATTATCGATTGCCCTAAAGCCACAAGCATGAACGAGAAGAACATTTGCCTACCCCGATCAAAGATCCTCTAGAAGACGCGGTTCCTCCTCCCGGAGCAAGTACTTACAGCGTGTTGCCATTAATGCTACAAAAATCCACATATACGAGTACATTTATAAGTACCCTCACAAGGACCCTCAAACAATAATTAGCTAAATTCTTGTATTTCATGCCGTATTTAGAGATCAAACACAATAAATCGATTTTCGTTAGGTTTATAAACCCACTCTAAACCCATTTAAAAGTGCAACAAACCCACAAATTATTACAATAGGAAATGTCCCGAGCAGCTTCATCTAATCATAGGTTCTTATTTCAAAAGTTGCAGCATTAATGAGAACAGGCTGTATAGCGATTACGCTCCACATACGGACTGTAATCACTATCGTCATTCATAAAGGAGGTGCCTGTAAGGCAGACACCCAAAACCAAGTCCCCTCCCCTTTTCATCAGGTCATGCCAATCTTCTTACTCGAACGCGGATCTTTGCCCCTATTCAAAGCTCTGTGACATAGCGGGACCCCTCCCCCCCTCACAAAACAGCCTTGGACGATTTTGATAGCGCGGACCTGGGGTTGTGAATGAGCGTAAGGATATATTATAGATGAATGTACTCACAGCCACTAAAACACCTTCAAAACAGGTAATGTCACGATTACTAACCTCCTAGATGATGGAGTCAGATTTTGATGTCTATGCTGAATACAAGCGTTTGCATGGTGATGTAAAGAGAGGAGTTGAGGGAACTCGCCAAGGCACTTGAGTATTGAAACAGTGACTTCGATTGGAGCAGACTCAAAGATGTGCGTATCGTGGAGTGGGTTGCATGCCAGACGTTTGAACTTTCTCGTCTCGCTTATGCTACCGAACAGCAGTATTGAACATTCCCTCGTCAAGTTCACATAGTGTATGGCTGCACCGTTCACACGCATGCCGAGCTACTCAGTGGCTGCTATTGACAAGATGAGTGTTTCGCTGAAGGCAAAACCATGAACAGGTTGGGGAATTAAAAAGCATGCTTCATTGATGCCGGAATTCAGGTCACATGCTTCATTTCACTTGCTAGGTACGAACAACAGAACGGAAGAATGGCGAAGGCAGGGAGCTCAGAGAAGGCAAGAATTCATTTCCTGGTACTAATTTGCAAACTCATAGGAGATGCACCCTGCTGATCCACCATGAGATAGCAGAGCAAAATTCAGTCTCTAGTTCAATTCCACAACTTATGAATGATATGTTAGCACTTTCCAACGAAATTGGAATGGGGAGGGGGTTCACTTTTGTGCATATTGCCCTTTCCTCCCACGTAACCATTTTCCTGACGTGCGCAATGCACCGAGTACCTCAATCTTAGCATTCGGCTTCTTTTCCTCTCCACTGATATCCTATGCCAAGAGATCCGCAACATTCATTGGCATTTCATCGATTTGAGTTGAGTAGTACACTTGTAATCATTAGCATTTTCACGTTGACCGCTGGTGGATGCTTACACTCAATATCTCTCAAAATCCTGACATCTTCGCTGGTCACGAAATTGATAGCAACACCCTTGCGTCCAAATCGACCACTTCGACCAATACGGTGAATATAATTCTCACGATTGCTTGGTAAGTCATAGTTGATGACAAGTGAAACCTGCTGAACGTCGATTCCACGGGCCCAGACATCAGTAGAGATCAGCACTCTCGAATTGCCTTGACGGAAGTCTTGCATAATGCTGTCTCTCTCCTTCTGTGGCATCTCTCCATGCATAGACGAAACTGTGAAGTTGGCCTCACGCATCTTGTCTGTGAGCCAATCGACCTTTCTCCGGGTGTTGCAGAAGATGACAGCTTGTGTGATAGTAAGAGTATCGTAGAGATCGCAAAGAGTATCAAATTTCCATTCCTCCTTCTCGACAGCGATAAAGTATTGTTTAAGACCTTCCAGCGTCAATTCATCGCGTTTGACTAGAATACGGACTGGGTCGGTCATAAACTTCGTAGTCATTTCGAGGACATCGTATGGAAGAGTAGCGGAAACAACGACGACCTGAGTGGCAGGAGGGAGGTATCTGTAGACATCGTAGATCTGCTCCCTGAAACCGCGGTTCAACAACTCGTCAGCCTCGTCAAGAACCAGCATCTTGATGTGGCGTGTACGAAGATTCCGACGACGAATCATATCTGCAACACGACCTGGTGTTCCGGAGACAATGTGCTGGCCATAATCGAGCTTGCGAATGTCTTCGCCAACATTGGTGCCTCCGATACAGGCATGACATTGTACATTCATGTAGTCGCCCAATGCCATAACCACTGATTGAATTTGAGTCGCCAGTTCGCGAGTAGGCGAGAGAACGAGGGCCTGGGTTTCGCGCACTGCCGTATCGATGACCTGGAGCATGCTGATGGAGAAAGTGGCTGTTTTACCAGTACCAGATTGCGCCTGGGCGATTGTGTCGCGACCCTTGCAGATTTGTACGATCGCACGAGATTGGACTGCGGAAGGAGATTCGTAACCGTATGCATAGATACCACGGAGAAGGTTTTCTGCTCTCTGTCAGTATGGTTCGACAAGGCTATAGAATTCTCCTACCCTTCAAATGCATGTCCTGAAAGGTCGGTGCGATGGTCACGTCCTTGGAGGTGGTAAACTCCATGCGCTCATCTGCCTTTCTATCGATGCCTTCTGCCATGATTGCGATTGGATAGGTATTGGTGGTACTGAAGTTGTGTTGATCGTATTTTGTCGTTGTGCTTTCGAGTGGAATGAGACGAAGCGCTCTGAATTTTTGGCGTCGTCTGGGGAAGCTCAAATTGATTGGACAGCGCAAAAGTTTGACGAAGAGCCTCATCAAAATCCATCAACAACAATTCACGACTACAGCCTTGTTCGCCAGTCGCCTTTCAAACACCCGGAATTGTTAAGTTCAGACTCTTCTTCATCATTTCATCGCCATTGTGCCAAGTGCAAAGACGAAGCAAGTATGATTTTGGAGGAGCAGAGATTTCTCCACGAGGATCTCGAGAGGCTCGAGCAGGGCATCAGTGATCGAGTTGCAGAGGAACCAAGACATGTACGCAGCGATCATCTTTCTGATATATACATACGCTGACAGTCGCTTCAGATCAGAGAAAGACTGAATAGAGACCATCAAATCGCTGGATTCCTCGACCGTATCCAGGACCAGTCAAAACGATTACTCGAGATCTATAAAGATGCAGACGGCGCGCGATTGAAGGAGATTCAAGCGATATCGACTGGCGAACCATTGGAAGAGTTCTACAAGCAGTTGGTCGGCATCAAACAGTTCCACTCGAGATACCCAAATGAACCCGTAGAAAACCTCGAGAGAGCATACAAGAAGAAGACGCTCGGGGAAGGAGAAACGCCTGTTTACGAAATTGATAATCTATTCACAGGCGAGGAAGCCTTTGGCAGATTCCTGGACCTTACAACCATTCATGAGCTCTACCTCAATCTTCCCAGCATCAAGCGACTCACTTATCTACAATACCTCGATGCCTTCGACATCTTCACTCCACCGCAATGCTCTGTCAAGAGACCAGACAAGATGACGGACCAGTACTTCACTTACGTGGGCCAACTAGCAAACTACCTCGAGAGTTTCATGCGACGTACGAGGCCCCTCGAAGATCTAGAAACATTATTCACGAGCTTTGACGAGGATTTTGAGAAAGCGTGGAATGACAACGATATTCCTGCCTGGAAGCTAGAGACCACTGCTTCATCTAATGGTGCTAGTGGTGATGGTATCTGGTGCGCCGATTGTGAAAAAGAATTCAAAAATGATAACGTTTACAAAGCGCATTTGACCGGCAAGAAGCACATTCGAGCAGCCGAGGCAAGAGCAGCAAGACAGGCTGAGGGTGGAGAGGATACAAATGCTGCTCATCGTGGGTCGAGTACGCTACGATTGAAGGAACGAGCTATTGCCGAACGAGAATACCGAGTCAAGCGTCTGGCTGCCGCTATGTCACAAGAAAGGAGCGATACCAAGGTGAACATCGAGCGAAAGCAAGGCATGACGGAGCGCGAACGCCAAATGGAACTGGATGCCCTATTTGCCGAATCATCGTCCGCTCCTCAACAGCGTGGTGATTCTGACAGCGAATCCGACGAGGACGAGAAGATCTACAACCCACTGAAACTTCCATTAGCTTGGGATGGGAAACCGATTCCATTCTGGCTTTACAAATTGCATGGACTAGGTGTGGAATTCAAGTGCGAAATTTGTGGTAATTACGTCTATATGGGCCGAAGAGCTTTCGATAAGCATTTCAACGAGGCTCGTCACATCCACGGTTTGAAGTGCCTTGGTATCACAAACACGACACTATTCCGGGAGATTACAGATATTGCCGACGCTGTCAAGCTTTGGGATAAGATCCAAAGAGATAAGACAAAGGCTAAGAAGGATGACGGAAGCGTGGTGCAAATGGAGGACGCGGAGGGCAACGTTATGCCAGAGAAGGTTTACTATGATTTGCAAAAGCAAGGCTTGCTATAGACGGCTTCGCAACGGGCCCACTGGATGTACAATGATGTATGTATACCATGAAATCATACACTGACATCGTTGTGCGAAAAACTTTTTTGGTGGTTGCTAGGGTTGCCACTAACAAGCTGTCATGATCCCATCCCCCTTTTGAAGTCTGGTAGGGATCCACTAAGCGCCAAGCTTAGTGCATAAGACGTCCCATATCCAGCAAGGCTGAATGGTATTATTTAATCGATTTTACGAAAACGTAGCAAGTGCTAATTAGAAGTCAGAAGTCCCATTCCATTTAGGCCTAGTGCAGTGAAAGATTTTAATTCTAGCACGCACAGATTTTTGAACTAAATATTTCACATACTATATATATTCGCAAGTTCCTGCAGGCTTTCTCGCAATTTCCAACTTTCTCACATAGCCATATCTTCCTACTCTCAATATGAAGTTCTTCAGTTACTACGCAGCGGTGTCCTCTGTGGCAATCTCCACAACCGCAAGTCCTATCCGAAATCCAACCCAATCGATCAATTCCTCCCAGCTCAGCAATCACACAGCTCACTCTGGCAAGGAACACGATTCAGCAAGGAAATATGAGGCCATTTCAATCCACGAGTTGATGACGAATGCTACTGCATACAACGAAGCCTTGGCTGATTGTGCTTGGGACCTTTCAAAAGCCAGCAACGAGACACGGGCGAAATTTGCTATCGGTGCAAAGCACAACGATCGCCTTGCTTGCAGAATCATTCTCGCAGATGTTCTTCCACATAGAAGACCTCAACTCAACCACACTCGGGTCGGCAAGGGTCGTCATTCTGTCCGTTCTTGGTATCCCAAGTCAAATGTCACACACCACCGTGGAGGCCATCATCATGCTTCGAACTCAACAAATGAGGCACTGGTTGAGCAGCTGTTTTTTTGAGTGTCTACGTACGAACACGACAATCGGCTATAGTGCACTTGTTGACTCGTGCAAAGCAATGGCCGAGTTGGGAGCTATCTTCATACCAAACACTATAGCGCATTTTTCAGAGCACGCAAAGCGTGATTCCGAGATCCAACCCTACCAGAACGCATACAAAGACCAGGAAAGACAGCGCCTCAATCAATGGAAGCAAGACATCACCAAGCGCTTCTCGAACGGTGTTCAGGAATGCATCACTACTGTATCCCATTCTTCCACCGGAACCCCCAAATTGGACCTCGATGGATGTGTCAAAAACGTGACAGATGACTATTCCCGGGATTTGATCTCTGCCGAACAGGGCTCGCTCAGACTCGATGATCTACTGTTACCGGGACCACCTCAGATGAAGGATATCTTCAACAAGGGAGGGCTTCGCAAGGATGCAGCTGACCATCTGGTGGACGATCTCGCTAACTGTCGCATTCTTGTTCTCCACGAATTGCCTTCCCTTACAGAACACCAACCCGAGTATTCTACCTACCCTTTCAAGCAATGCGTCGAGGATGCGGCTAAGGTCTATGCCAACAAATTGGACCTTGCCCAAGGTCCTTTCGCAAACGCATCTCATCGTCTTCACGCGTTGCATAATCGCGAAGCTAAGTTTACTGATGTCATAAAAGACTTTGCTGCGAAGGTGAAGAAAGTTGCGAAGAAAGTTGGGGAATTGATTTTAAATGACAGAGCTGTCAACCGTAGAGATCTCTTCAATCATACAGCTCCTTCAAATCACACAGCTCTTAGCACTCGTCCCCTCACACACCACGACTCTGATGCCATTGAGAAGTTCATTGAGTCCGTTAAGAAGATGCCTTTGGAAGGGGGCTCTGAGTAAGGATCAGCTGTTGCGAAGCGTGGAGAGGATCAGGCGGCGCTCGAGAAGTGGAAGGGGTTGGTTCCCAGCGTTTAATTTTTAATTCACATGTGCGAGGATAAAGGGGACTTCCTCTGGCCTCTATCGCATATGTTTGAATGGTTTCATTGTTCCCCAGACGCCTCATTGTTAGGCGTCTGGGGAATTTGTTAGAACTCGGGATAGTGTAATACAAAAGTTTTCTTCTTTTTATATTTTCTCCTAATATACAGCTCGCTGATAATGTTCCGATTTCTATATTCGTTCTTGCTTTCCTCGCACTATCAGATGGTTTTCATCAAAGTTGGGGGCTCAGGCCAAGCTGTTCCAACCATAGGAATACTCGTCAATCCTCCATCCTTGAACACATTACTCTTCTTTGCAGCAGCAGTCGCGGCCTCGAATCCCTTCCTTACCTCTATCTGTAGCTTCAAAGCACCTGGTCTCTGCAAGGGTTCTCGCATCATGCATCTCATGACCAACTCCCTCAACGTCTTCGAGTATAAATTCTTGAACTCTCTCTTGTCGAGATCTGCTCCTTGTGTTTCTCCACCTCGCTTAAGACTGTTGAGCATACCCTTGAGCCCACCTTTCTTAGATCTGAAATCTTTCGTTGTCAATGTGATGAGACAATGGACAATGCAGCCTATCTGGTAAATGTTTGATGTTGTCCCTTTGCGAGGGTTCTTTAGTGGTGCGCTCTCTGGATCAGCCTCTGGAGGACGAATAGAGAGATCACCAGCTATTACTCGAGCATAGCCAGTTTTGTCGTTCTGCAATGATACTCGAGGCTCCTCTACAGCAGTACTAAAGTCTGCGATCTTCAGTATGGGATACCGGGGATGATCTTCATCTCTGTAACCTAGGAATATGTTGTCAACTTTGATATCATAATGTGTGATTTCCGTGTTTGAATTCCACGCGGGTGCATTTTCATCTTCAGTTCCTCGCGCAATGGCTGCTACTCCCAGAGCAAGACAGTAGAACATGGCCCAGATATCAATTTCCAACAGTGCTTTCCTTGGTGCTTCAATCTTGTCATGTCCGCTCTCCAGCAGACAGCTCAGATCACCCCCTGGACAATACTCCAGAAACAACCTTATATCCTCCTGCCCATCACTCCCGATGGCTCTCACTAAAGATCCATACATTCTCAGTATATGTTTGGATTGTATCTTTGACAGAATTTCAAGAAGCTTGCCTTCGATGTAGGGATCGGTGCCGATTAGGCTGTATTCTGATTTCGAGCATTGTTTCACGACGACATGTTGAACAGGTGGTGCTTGATCGGCTGGACCTTCGTATGACCAGAGTCCTGCTATGCCGTATGAGCCTGTGCCCAGGATCTTCTTACCTTTGAATCCATTTGGAGGGGCCGTTTTCCAATTGGCGGAGCTAAGAAGCCATCGTGCGTTTTGATCTGCCATGATTTATTGGAGATAATGTTATATATTGAATCTCGAGCCACTGTCAGATACTTCATGGGATTTCACAGATGACGAAAGGAGTTTAAGACATCTTGACCTGAAAGAGTTTCTATTTTAAGATCGCTGCTCGATCCGGCGTCGCCTTTCGCTCTTTCAATTTGTTTCTCAACAAAACAAAGGAAAAATTCTAGTCAGTGTTTCCTTTCTGTTGGCCTCTATTCAGAGGGCGAAGCCGAGGAGAAAATCAGCGATCAGTTGGCTGTTTCTGCTTTGAAATGGATACTTGATACGAAAATAGGCCATATGCTATGTTGTATATGAAATTTAATGATCATCCTTATTACAAGATAACAATTGAGACTCCTTGGTGGGCGTGAGTTTTCCGCGTTCGCGTGACCGAGGCTTGCTGACAGACCACAATGTAACTCTTAGTCTTCCCTTACCTTCCTGTATGTGTATCAAAATTGGTAAGATAGTAAAAGTAGGTGATATCTTACCAACATTGTTTTGCCTTGAAGTGTATTTGCATGCTAAAGTCAAGAAATACTTGGGTCTCCTGCCAAAGGTGGGGTTGTCTCTTATCATTGTTCCTTCCCCACCACGACTTCTTCGCAACACCGTCAAGTGAACGTAGTTCTGTGATAGACATAGATTTGGGAGGAGGCTTCTGGTACGTGTGCCTTAGCAATATCGTTGCTTCAATGATGTGAGCATCTCAAAGATCTATCAAGCGAAGTCAATCAACAGTGGAGAATGCTGGAAGGGCAGGAATACCCGAGAAAGATTGCATGCAAAAGATGCAGAAGGCGCAAGAAGAAGGTACTAGCAAGGAATTGTATAGACCCTGATCAATCCGGATCTAATATAGGATCTAGTGCGATCATGAGAAACCGATTTGCGGGGAATGCAGGAGGACGAGATCCGGTATGGGCACATAACTAGGAGAAGCACCCATGATCTGACAGGTGTGATAGAATGTGTTCCATCGAGTCCAGTAAGGACACCAGTCGATTCACCAGCTAAGTGAGTGAGATCCGCACATTGTCCAACCAAGGACTAACACTTTTTAGCTACATCAAGTCACTTGAAAGTCACATTGCATGCCTAGAACAGTATGTTGCCGAGCTAGAAGAAGTAGCGTGCATATCCAATCCAGAAGTTGTCAAGGACCACTTGTCGATGCAGAGAAGTCCCATTCTATCAGGATTAAGACGAGGTGGAGATCAAAGTCCTCTACATTCAGCCTGTCTCCCATATACCAGCTTGTCGGGGTCACTTGTTCGTGCCAATCAAACGGGTCTTTCCAGTAGCGACGATAGTACTCAGCACCTGGGCAACGATTATGGTTTGAGTCTTCCAGGTGAAGATTCAAACAGCCTGGGATATCTATCTCCCTTCGAACTTGGGTTTGGTTCTTGCTTTGGATTTGGAGCGCAAGTATCGACACAATTGTCGAATGCAGAGACCACACGAAGTCTCTCTCGGTTCTATGAAAGGCTGTACTTCACAAATGTCCAATCATCATGGCCGTTCCTGCAAGAGAGTCGTTGGAAGGAGTGGGCAGAGCATTATGGGGATGAAATGCTTCTTCCAGGTGCAGAAGATTGGCGAGGATTCTTTGTAGACATGGTGCGATCTGTGGGTGCTCTGGTTGCACAGAAGTTTGAAAAAGGCTCGCAACATATCGATAGATCGAAGGTAAGAAAACCCTGGGGCGTACCATGAATTCTCTCTAACTGAAGTTGCTTCTTAGTCCTTCCATGAACGAGCGAAGAAGTCGTTGCCACAAGCACTGAGTCAACCCTCGCCAATACTACACACTCAGTCTTCACTGCTCCTTACTATACACGCGATGCACAGCGAATCTGCAGACAACATCGATGATTATGCATCGAACGCCATGATGTATTGTGCCCTTTCTGGTCTATATCACGATAAAGTCAGAAAGGGAGTTCGAAGAGACCAAGTGAGCATCCAAGATGACCGCTGCGAGAATATGGTTCGACGCCAAGTGATGAGAGTCTGCTATGGACTAGATAGTTTGATTGCCATGGCTTTCGACAGACCGGTATTTGTTGCAGATGAACTAATTGATACTGAGGTGAGTAATGCCAATTCAAGATGTCATTGAAAGTTTGGCTGATTGCGCCTCACTTGAAGTCGCTCTTGCATTCAAGAGGTGACAATATTGTCTTTCAAGACGCGGCTGACTCCAGCCCCGAAACAATGACTGGAGTTGCCGAAAGTGACCATCGATTCCATCTACGTCAAATCCAGTCAAAGATCCACTCAACAGTAGAACGACTCGAGTATCATGCCCTGTGTCAAAACAAAGAAGTCACAAATCTCTGGAACTCAGAATTGAGACTTGAACTCGATCAATGGAAAGCAGAACTGGCACATGTTCAAGATCCCATGTCCTCCTGTTCAACTCAGTGGCTCAGTAACCTTTATTTTTACAATGTCTTGGCACTTTTCCCAAATATGAACCTTGCTGCCAATGGGGATGCTTTATGTCACGTTGTTTCTGCTAGCAGTGAGGTCTTGAGAAACTTCAGGTTCATACAGATCCCAGATCAGAAGTCATGCTACACCTGGACAGCTGTAAGTAACTACCAGATCATAAAAATGGTTGTTCTGTCTGACAATTGATCTAGCTTGTCCATCAGTTCCAAGCTGGAATTTCACTTCTATACTGCTTCTGGGCAGCACCATATCATCTCGCCCACGAAGTCTACGGATCACCCGATGTTGATGTAGCGCTCCTTGCATGTTCTGCTACACTCGCAGAATTTGCATTGAGATGGGAAAGTGCCAAACATTTCAAAGCTGCGTTTGACTTGCTCAACGATGCCGTGGTAAGGAAAGGCCGCAGGTCGTATGATTGTAGCTGGCAATTCCACAACGAGCTATATCAGCTCATTGGTGAGCTAAAGAAAGGTAGAGCTCATCGTCGAGTGTTGAAGTTAATCGAAGAGATGAGTGGCGCTGTTGACTAGTGAAAGGCGGGGTCGGGAGTTGAATCTGGCCCAAATGATGGCAAAGAGCAATTTGACAAGCTCGAAAAACGCACTCCATCTACCCTAGCTTTCCAATCCATGTTGGGGCATAGAAGCTGGGGTGCGCTTACGTATACTCCACATTCGGCTTACCATGGCGGACTTCGTTATCCAAGTCCGCCTTCGACCCACCACTCATGCGGGGATCCCACCTTTGTTTTTAATACAAGGTCTGACAAGCAATCTATTGCGAAGCGTGCTTCAATTTGATATTAGCAAGACTAGACGCTCATTACAACAGGATACCTACCTCTCAAGTGCGTTCGCGTATTAAGTCTTCGATTCTAATTTCAGTCGCAAGGTTCAGACGACTTCAGTCCGGAAAATTGCCATCATGCCAGCTATTCAAACTGATCTTGCTACCGAGCAAGCAACATTCAATGCTGAGGTCGAGTCTATTGAGGCTGCATGGAAATGTCCTCGTCAAGCTCACCTTGTGCGGTAAGTCGTCTTGATCTCAAATTTGAAAAGCGTATTTCTGACACAACACTTATAGCCCATACTCTGCCCGAACAATTGCAGGGCTTAGAAATTCTATCCCACAAACATATGCATCCAGTACTATGGCAGACAAACTTTGGGCCCAACTGAATGAACATCGCAAGGATGGGACTTGTGAACTTACTTACGGTGCCACGGATCCAATCCAAGTTTCCCAAATGGCAAAGCATCAACAGGTCATTTCCTCTGCTCGTGATATAATGAGAGTCAAGATAAACTAACGAGACGTCTTTTCAGACAGTGTATGTTTCTGGATCTCTTTGTGGTGTCTCTGAGGTTTCAACACCAGGTCGCGACGCAGCAGACTATCCTTGGGATACTGTGCCTAAAGCAGTCGACAAGATTTTCCGCTCACAGATGTGGCATGACCAGCGTCAAAGACAGTAAGGTCCATTCGTTTATGATCATTTTGCTCTCAGAACACTGCGGCCGAAGCTAATTTCAAATTCCCAAACTTCGTATGTCTACCCCTGAATCCAAACGTAGTGAGCTCGAAAATTGGGATTACCTCGCACCAATCATTGCAGACGCAGACATGGGGTTCGGTGGTCTGACATCGATTGTGAAGATGACGAAAGCTTTTGTTGAAGCTGGTGTAGCGATGATTCATATGGATGATCTTGCTATTGGTATGAAGCGTTTTTCGATGGGAATGGGAAGAACGGCGGTACCCACCAGCGAGTACGTCTCGAGGTTGACCGCTGTTAGAATGCAATTTGACATCATGGGGTGCGTTCCTTTTCTTGAGAGATTACTTCGAAATGTTAAGACAAAAGACTGACAAGTCAATTTTCAGAGCAACAACAATGCTGATGTGTCGCTGCGACACCGCAACCTGTAGTTCATCTCCTCAGTTATCGATCCTCGAGACCATCCTTACATCCTAGGAGCCACCAAAGACGTCCCATCACTCGCCTCAGCGATATCTATTTCAACCACAACTCCAGAGTACCAGTCCATCCGCAAGACCTGGAAAGAATCCGCGGGTCTCATGACCTTCGACGAAGCCGTGAAAGCCCTCGCAGCAGAAGAGCAGTACAAAACCTACTCTTCCAAGCTGTCAGAACAAGAAGTCACGCCCATGACAGAACGAAGAAAGATCGCAAAACAGATTCTAGGACAAGACGTACTATGGGACTGGGAACTCCCTCGCAGTACAAAAGGTCAATATATGTGGAAGCCCACAATTCAAACAGTAATCGAACGAGCCAGCGCTGTTGCACAACTCGGAGACGTGACGTGGGCTCGAATCGACGCTCCCACCTGGCCAGACCTCGTTACGTTCCACGAGGCTACGAATGCTAAGTTTCCCAATCGCCTCTTCGGTTTCGGCTATGTTGGAGGGTACGACTTCTCCAAAGCAGGTTTCAGTGAAGAGCAGATCAAGAATCTGCACAAGGATCTTGCGAAACTGGGTGTTGTATGGCAAGTTCAGCCGGTGTGGGTTACCATGGCGTTGAGTGATGTTACGGATAAGTTTGGGAAGATGTGGCAGGAGGAAGGGATGGGGATGTGGGTTAGGGATTGCCAGAGAACTGGGTGGATGAAGGGTGTTGATGGAGCCCATAAGATGGGCTGGAGTGGAGGGTATCTTGCCGATGGTTTTGCGGAGGCAGTTAGTGGGAGGGATATGGTGCTTTGATGAAGTTCGTGGCTGCTGCCGACGATGCTAGACCGATTTGTTCCACACAAATGCGATCTTTCTAGAGTTTTGGCATGCTCTGGATAGGAAATTTATGATCTATATCTCAGTGAAATTATGGTTTGAATTCATCAACATGTATTCGAAAAGCGCACACGTGTATAGCAAAGTCGACATTTGCGCACATTGCGCAGAGCGCGCAGAACGCGCGAATTGCACTGGTTGCGCTGGTTACGCTGTTTTTCGAGACCTCGAGTGCACTGACGGAACATCGTACAATATTCTCCCTTTAGAAGGCTTGCAACCTAAAAACTAATTATACCATTTACCATCCCTGTGTTCATCTTTAATATACACATCTGAAATGAATATTCCTCAAGCCCGTCAAGTCTTTGATATGGTTATCGCTAAAAGGCCCCCTAATTAAGCGAAAAAGATGGGCAAAAATCGGACATGACAGACAAAGTCCGCTATTTGCCAAGAAATATATGCGATGTTCCCACTTTCGGCGGCTGTACCCATAGCAGATGCCCAGATGCCGATGTGATGCACTATCGGCATCTTGTCCGATGCTAACAATCGACAGATTTAGCTCGTCCGAAAACACTGGGTTGCATGTGACCTTGACTCGAAATCAATCGGCTTGGACGCCGTTCGATGTCTCCATAAGCTCCTTCAACGCCTCAGCCAATCTCTCCACTCCATCCCGAATATTATCCTCCTCATGCCACGCCCAGCACAATCTCAAGCTGTGACCAAAACCACCTTGTGAATTTGCACGCTCGTGACTACCACTGTCGCCCACCACTTCAAACATCTGCCCGTACGCGAATCTCAAGCCTTTCTTTTCTAGTGCTAAAGCCGCTAGTACGGATGTTGGTGGAAGGTGTTCTGGAATGCTTAAGCTAGTGAAGAATCCACCCGCGAACTGGATCTCAGGACCGCCACTCCTGAATGGCTTTCCAACAGTGATTTTTACCCCGAGTGGGATCAGCGAGGTTTGGATTGCTGACATCATGGCGTGGTATCGCGATGAATATGTTGGGATGAGCGTTTCGTTGATGTGTTTGTCAAGTGCTCCTGTTGATATCATATCGCCCATGAAGCAAGACATCAAATGACTTGGACAACCTCCCGAAGACGTGACGCCTCTTCATAGATCGTCAGTCTCTGCTATTATGAGGCAGGGTGCAATAACTTACACTTTAGCCATTGCTGCGACAAAGTCCTCTGTTCCTTCAGCCCAACCTACTCTCGTGCCTGGAGCGACGATCTTGGAGAATGAGCCGTTGCTGACGGTATTCCCAAAGAGATTCGTTCCTTCCAACGCTCTGTCGATGTCAACCAAGCGAGGAGGCAGTGGACCAAGGTCTGTTGCTAGATCAATCGATTGATCTTCAGGCCAGCGTAAAAAGTCGTAAACATCATCTGACACTACCAAAGCATCAAACTCACGAGCCAGTCGCACGAGCTTCTCTCGATGAGAGAGACTCATCGTCTTGCCGCTTGGATTCGAGAACGTCGGCACGCAATAGATGACGTGTTTATAAATCTTCGGATATCCGGTCTCTGGACACTTCTTCGGAATTGCCTTCGTATCCTCAGATCTAGCTCTCTCTAACCCAGCACGCAAGAACTCCAAATCGACCCCCTCCTCATCTTCAGGCACACCTTTTAATCTTCCCGTGAATCCGGCATCCTGAAAGATCGGGCAAGCGAGAAAATACGTCGGCTCAACCATCCAGATGTATTGTGTGAAATCGGGATCCGTGAAGCGCGACAGAACAGCTCCGAGTGCAGCTGAGCCGCCGCTCGTGACGCAGACGCGCGTGGATGCAATCATGTCGGGCTTTCGATAATAGTGGTTGCTGAGCCATGAGGATAAAGCGGTTCTGAATGCTGCTCCGCCGAGGGAGGGTCCGTATATGAGAGAGGAGCTGGCGGTGGCGAAGTCGCTGAGGATGGTGGTGGTGGAGGTGTTGATGAGGGATGATGGGAAGAGGGATGGTGAGGGCCAGCCGAGTTGGAGGTTTATGTCGTTTCCGGAGGGGATGAGACCCCCTGAGTATTTTGACATTATGTTATTCGGATTATCTTTTTTTCGTGCAAGAATGGAAATTTTGTTGTCAGCTTGAAGGGAGTAACTCTGTCGAAACAAGACAGGAATGACGGCTCTGATAGATTGTCTTTTGAAGAGCATCCCACTCATTATTTGTGGAGTACGCTTTGTCGGGATTGTTGTAGGCCGTATGGTGATGGAGAGACTAAGAGCGGACTGCGGACAAAAAGTGGGGTCGTAAAATAGTGGCGTAAAGCTATCTAAACGAAGAGCTTTGAAACCGCGTTGCGGTTGAAACGTAAAAGATATCGGAAACAAGACATCGGTAACTACAAACGACGAGTATTCCAAATTCTCTATTCGATTTGTTAAGATCTATAAGAAGCCTAGGCAACTTTGTTACGATTTGCCACCACGTGACAACACATGATTGTGATTGCTCTCATACATCTAGCATATTTCTCACTGCCTGCGCTCTGACTGACCATTCGCTTAAATTCACTAATAAAATGATGCTTTTGATGAATGTGATCTAAGAAATATTAAATATTAAGGCGAGTTCTTATTTTTAAATTAAATAATATTGAAGAGAAAAATTAGGCTTATAAAGCTCTTTCTATCTGTAAGAGGGATTTAAAATGCAAGTATTGGAAGATATTAATTTTCAAGGATGAAAGTCACGAGTTTTGATGTGAAACTGCCCTTGAACGAATACTTAATGTCTATTACTGTATATGAGGAAGTACCGCTACTAGTGGCCTCTTCTTCTCTCTGCTGCTACTCCTAATTCCTCTTGCCATAACGATTAAAGTCCACCGCGACAGTGTCCGGGCGAACGCCACTCAGTCTAAAAAAGTATTATCGTCCAGGACTTCGATCTTCTTTACGTGAACTTTGTCGACCTGACTTAACCCCTCACACATGATCCAAAAACCACCTCTTCGCACTCTCCTGAACCTCACTTGCCTCTGGATGAGCATAAAATGACAAATGAGTTCCCCTCTCCATAACAACCAACTCACTCCTCTCCAAGCGCCTATGAGCCTCTTCACTATACCTCGGCAATGCATCCGTATCAGCATCCCCGTGGACGAGCAAAACCGGACATTGAATCTTCTCGAGCCCCAAATCCTTGATAGCTGCAAAATTCTCAACGTCGTTCAGCCAACCTGCTTTCCGCGCGCCGCCAACGTTGACGGTCAACGCCACCTCAAGTACGAGCTGGCGCTGGGCGGGATCAGCGATTACTTGCTCGGCGAGAGAGTGAAGCTCGGAACCTCGTAGGGATCCTTCGCCTTTGAGCGCTTCTTCGATGAGGTGCTCGGGCGAGTGTGATGATATGTATTTGATGATGCGGTTTCCGAGCTTGGTGCCAAACATGATGCGGTCGAGGATGGGGGTCTTGGGTGCTATCCAGGCCGAGCTCACAGCTGCAACAGTGACGAGGGCAGATACACGTTCTGGATGTCGAGAGGCGAGCTGGTATGCAACTGCGCCGCCACCTGACCAGGCTAGAACACCCGTACGTGGGATTTGCAGAGCGTCGAGTAACCCGACAAGGAGATCCGCTTCGGCTTCGATTGAATGGTTCACTGGAGATAGTGGAGTGTTGAGATAGCCGGGACGGGAGAGGCAGATGGTTTTGAATTTGTCCTTGTCGAGGAAGCGGCTCATTGATCGGGCGGCATCGATGCCTCCAGGACTTCCGTGTAAGATGAGAATTGGTATACCAGAGCCAGAAACTTCGGCCTCGACTAGGCCAGCCGCCGTTTGAATGCAATTGTTAAAGTTAGTGGAATTCATCTTGCTGCGTCGAGAACAGTTGAGGATATCATTTAAGGTGGGGATGGTCAGGATTTCGGATGCGTTCCCTTTATACAACCATTTTTACCCGAAGACCTTACAATACCTCTGCAGGCAAATGCGTGGCCTTCCACTTGCGAAAGTAGAATTCGTGATGTGTCTGTTGCGTCTTGCATTCTTCTTTGGGAATTCTCTACGCCGCCAAACTTTCTCGTGCATGGTAGACCTGATGACGTAGGCCAAATCCAACATCGTACCAGATCGGACACCCCTTGATAATTGGCAACAGATGAGAACAGAGACACATCTGGATAGACTCAAAGAAGTGGCTCAATCGAGCAATCTCTAATTGCGGATATCGTTCTAGTCACAAAGCTGACGTTTACCGTTGAAATACTCGTTCCATCCATTATGCTCAAGTCTGTAGATGTTGAGAGAGGATTTGGATTCGCTATCTTTGGAGTCATTGGCCGAATTGGTGTATGACAGTACTAGGCTCCTTAATTGCACAATAAAATACAACGAAGAGGAGCAGCGGGTTTGTATGTCTCTCTTCATTGGTTCTGAACCTACTCTTGGAGCTCACGATGATCAGCTTTCATATACCACAATATCAAGAATTTCGACATCGAGCTCACCCGTTCGGGTCCACGAATTGCTCTTCCATAGGCATGCTACTTTTTGTTTTAACTCTCTCTGCTTTGGATTAGTACCAGGCGTTACCTTCAAATTCGAACTCAAGTTGTTGGACTGCCTGCCTTCTACTTGACATAATTGGAATCTGTGGCCTGGCGTGAGCAGTTTCATTCGAGGGAAATGTGAGATTAAAGCTTATGACAGTAGGAAAGTCTTCTGCCAGTTGGATTGGTAGACGGAGAGAGAGGATTTATCGTACGTATGGTTACTCACAAGTTGTGCTTACTTTCATGGCAGATTGGTTTGTCTGGCGTATCATCCTTGACATCACACCCTGTGTGGGTTATTTTGGTTGTTCTGTAATTCGTTTTGTGACGGAACTTAAGGCAACTAGCAAGAGGAGAGTCATTGTGTGATTAGAACTTTCTGCCTTGTAATTATTATGTTTGTGAAAAGGAGCTGAAAATATGCCATAGTGTATCTCGCGAAGACCACTGTCGACACTGGTGACTCGGATCACGATAGAATCTAGATAATGGATATAATCAAGAGCAAGAGTCATTAAATGTTAAAAGAGAAAAGACTAAATTTGAAACATTATACAGTGGCCGTATTATTGCCAGACATTGAGTTGGTCTAGTGAACACCTTGGTAAGGTAGGTACCAAGGTACTAATCAGAGCACGTGAAACACGTGATTATCCTTATTATTCCGAGTGATCCGCGTTTCGTAGGATCAGAACCTTACTCAAAAACCTCAAGCTACAGACGTAGATCTCTTAAGACCAAAGCTTGATGTAAACTTTTCGAATCTCGACAGGAATGAAACTGATCACCCAAGCACTGACCAACTCGCATTGGGACTTGTCAGGAAATGTAACGATGTAGAAGAACGTTACATAACATCAATGAATTACACACGGTGAAGATAGGCATTGCTGTTATTTCCATGGATATCTAGCAGTATTGTTCAGGCGAACAAATTTTCAAAGGTCTGAGCTCTTGCTTGGCTCAATTGGGAAGGAGGACAGTGGAAGGACTTTCCGGTGAAAGAATAGCAGAAGGCGATTGAAACAAATTGCCTCAACACCGACTAAACTTTACATATCTTCAACCAACGATCAAACACTGTGCCACATTGATGAAGCAATAGCCACGAAACTTCACTTCACCGATCTCTTCCCCCACGGTGGATAAGGCAAGCCAACATCAGAGAGCGGGACAGAACTCTGCAAGGCATCAACTTGAATGCATCCTTCAGGAGAGTATGCGTCCAAGCTTTTGAAGTCGTATCACCAGCAATAATTGACTTCTAACAAACAGCATACTCGGTCCCGATGTGGCTTAAGGTTGACATTGTAACAAGGCTCACTTGCCCATGGATAAGTCCCGTGGTAGATCGTGTGCTCGCACAATTGGACGAACCACACACACACCCCTCTCCCACTCCCTGCATGCCGGTGCAGAGTTTGACCCGGCAGTCCCCAGAATAGCGTCAATCAGGCTTCCATTGTGCTTCTATTATGCTTCTAGAAGGACGGGAAGTCAGCTCTGAGGTCAGCGGCTGCTCGACGGCCCCTGAGTTACGTTCCACTAAGTCGAACTTTCGACGTAACTGGTGAGCTGAGGGCGGAAAGAAGCAAAAACACACATTTCTCGGGCTGCTTAGCCCGTATCAGATTTTTCGAAATCCTTCCATGCATCCAGAAGAGATCAATCATTTCGCCCAGGGTGGCCTGGTAGGTGCTCGTCCTCGGATCGAATCATCGAAAGATCATAGCCGTGTCGCGCGACGTGTCTTGTTTCTCCCCCATTCACAGCTCGCAGCAAAGCCACGGCATGCCGGACCCTGGATGGGCTTCGAACATCGATTCATAAGCAATAAAAGTTTTGCATCTGAGGATACCGAGATGATTGAGACACTCTCACCGACCCCTGGATTCTGGTTGCAGCGTGCAGCAGACAAGAGGGTGTCGACACGGACTCGCCGCTGCGCGTGGGGGAGAAGTTTGGGTGCGTCTATCATTGGTTAGTCGGATTGCAGGAGACCTCGTTCCAAGACAAGCGGTCACGTGCGAGTGTGGGGTTCAGCTCAACGATAAGCTCTCCTGCACTCTCAGCCTCGACGGACATTTATACCTTCCTGCTCTCCGCCAAGTCCTGTCTGTCTGAACGACAACCACCGTTTGTTATATCACCCACAAAGAAACAACACCCAGCTCATGTCTCGATCAAAGCTATGCCACCACGGATCCGCACCGTTGAGGGCTCATGCTGGGGGTGCAAGGAGAGACGAGTTATTTGCGATTTGACCACCCCGGCTTGCGACAAGTGCTCTAAGATCGGACGACGATGTGACTACGGAAAAGTGAGGCTGCGATGGACCGACTGTGTAGCTTCCCGAGGACGACTCGCCGGAAAGAAGATTCCCCTGTGCCAGTCGCCGGTCTTGCAAAAGACGACGGATCATCATATCATGTACTTCGAGAGAGAGTTGTTGCCGCGGTTCAATCTGACCAATACGGTCCCGGATATTGACTTAAAGATGCTGTCGAAAGATCCCATTCTATTGCAGTCAGTCGTTGCTGTTGCAAACGCCCACGCAACTTATCGCAGTGCCAACGAGAAGGCACTTTCACTGTCCAAGATTCAGGACAGAAACAACGCTTTAAGGATGTTCAGAAAGCATTTGATGGGGTCACATACGGATGAAGCCAACAATTCTCTATTTATTGCGAACGTACTACTCTGTATTCTGGACGGCATCATCGAACCCATCACCGAAAGTTCCGCTACCCATCACCATCTGGTTGGCGGAAAAGCCATCCTCAAACAGTGGAAGGGTATGAAAGAAGTGTTCCTTCTGAAGGAAGAGCTGCCTGTTTTGATGCTTTCGATCTTCGCAACCATGGACCTAACGCATGCCTTATTGATTGGAGATGACCCCTACTTCGATGCATCATCCTGGCAAGAGTTTGGAGACTGTGAACCGTGGTGGGGCCGAGTTCCCAAGAATGACGACTTCCTCGAGATCATGGCCATCCTCTCGCAACTAGCAACACTGGGCCACGAAGTTCGAAACTTTCGAAGTACTGCGCCTATTGGCGTGCTCTTCGCAATTCAGACGGCTCTGGATCAGCAGGCTGCCCGACAAGAGGAAGTTGACAAGACCAAGGAACAAGCAGGGTGGACTGCATTTTGCGCTTGCTATCGATTTTCGGCGTCTGTGTATCTGTATAGAGCTCTCAGCGTCCTCGACGTCGACCATGAGCTTGTCCAAAAGTCCGTGGCCGACTGTATGGAAGTCATCAGCGGACATGATCTCACTGACAAATTGCATCATTGTATCTTGTTTCCCGTGCTCATTATCGGAACACATTGCTTGGATAGCAAGCAAAGAGTCGAGATCCGGAAAAGTCTGGCTCGAACGGCAAGTTACCTATCCTTTGAAGCTCTTCGGTCTCTGGAATCCTTCCTCGAGAAGCGCTGGCACGAATTGGACACAAGTCCTGAGCTCAAAGAGGCGGGCTGGTGGGTTTACTTCGATGAAATTGCCAATGTGACATGCCTGTTCTGAGGAAACTGAGGGGAGAATCATCGTCGCCAGCAACGCAGCAAACACCTCGACCCTGACCTCCGTCCCTGGAGCGGTCTTCTAAGCTGTGCTGTGCAAGATGTTGATCGTCCCGGTCCGGAGAGAAATTATTGCGTCGATATGAGCACGTCCGTTCGTTTGAGTGAAGCCTCTTTCCTTAGTGTGTAAACGACTAGAACGACCAAATTGAAAGATGAATGAATGGAGGGGCGCCAGTCTGACAATTATACCAGAGTTCGGAGTCTCCATGGGAGAAACTCGGCGATTGTATTACGGAAAACCGGAGTTTGACCTCCGTATTTGGACAATATTTCTTTTGTTCTCTCTCCATCAGGGCTTTATACCCGGTTTGGATGACTCTGGGAGCGCTTCACGATGCAGAGGACGGAGTAAGGCAAGACTAAAGCAGGCTTCAGTACCCCGGCACATCACCAGTAAGTGGTAACCATTCCTACACAAAATCCTCTTTGGATGCAGTCCTTCCTCAAAACTGACAATACAGAGGCATTTTAAATGTACGATCAATGAAACAATTTTCTCATGATTGGTGGACCTGGTGGACGCGACATGTGATTGGCTGCAGTTGGTCTGTGGACGTTTCTGTGCCTTGTTTTGGAAGACGCTCCCGGAGCGAGATAAGAAGGCGTAGCCTCGACTCGACTGGACTGCCTTGCCGATTGCGATAACGCTTCCAAACTTCAACTTCATCTGCTTTGCGTCCGCGTCTCTTCCTTCGAATCTGCGATCCTTCTGCACTCTCGTCGATAACCCAATGAGACTGCACTTTAATTCGACGTCGTTCGTTTGAGCCTCTTCAACATGCCTGCTGCATCAGTCGTTCTCAAGGCTTGGGAAGCATGTGACCTGACCGACACAGTAAGTGATTCACTTTCGAGATAAGATCAATTCATGATTTCAGTTAAATTGGTTACAACTGAATTTGATCAACGCCTTACTTGCGGCTGCTAACGAATTGTAGCTGTTCGTCCTTGTTTGTACGGTATTCTGCTGGTAAGTCATGTGCTCTTCAATCTCCATCTCCCTCCAGCTCTTTTAACCCATGCTGATTTGCCACTCAGGCCCATCATCCCTGCAGTCGGACTCGCGTACTCTGGCTACAGTCACCGTCGCAATGGAATGTCATCTTTCATGCCCTCGATCATGGTCATCGCGACCTGTTCAATCCAATGGTTTGTGATTGGATATTCTTTCGCCTACGGTGAGGGTTCTGGCGTGATCGGTGACTTCAAGTATGCTTTTCACAATGGCGTCCTTGCAGACCCTGTCGGCACTATCCCCGCAATCCTCTTTAGCGAGTTTCAGTTGGTCTTTGAGGCTACCGTTTGTGCTATTGCGGTTGGAGGTGCTTGTGAGAGGGGACGAATGTTGCCGTTGATTCCTTTCATCGTTGTATGTAGTATCTAGTCTCTTTGATTCAATCTTTGCTAACTGGCACAGCTCTGGTCAACCTTCATCTACTGTCCTCTAGCACACATGGTATGGTCAGAGACTGGATTCCTCGGGCAACTGGGCGTCCTCGACTTCGCTGGCGGAACCCCAGTCCACATCTGTTCAGGAGCTACTGCTTCTGCACTCTCCATCTACCTCTCCTACCCACTATTTCGCTCTAAGAAGTCATCTACCCGTACTCCATCACACATCCAACTCCACCGTCCTGGAAACTCGATGTCTCAACTCATCGCCCTGGTCATCATCTGGAATGCCTGGCTTGCATTTGACGCCGGCACTACTCTCAGCTTGAACTTCAAGTCAGTCATGGCTATGTGTGTCACGAACCTGTGTGCTTCCGGCGGTGCATTGACGTGGGCATCCATGACCTACTTCGAGACAGGCAAGTGGTCATTGGACTCCACCTTCATGGGAGCCATTGCAGGTCTAGTCATGATTACGCCCGCAGCTGGTTTCGTCGACATGCCAACCGCGTTCTTCTTTGGTGTATTCGGTGCTGTCATCTGTCGGCAAGCACTGAGAATCAAATCTACCAAGTTCGCCAAGAAGATGAAATGGGTTGACAATGGAGATACATTTGCTACGCATTGTGTGGGTGGTATCGTCGGTACTGTGGCCACTGGACTTTTTGCTCGCAAAGAGGTTGCGTTCTATGATGGTGCTACGGCTATCGATGGCGGAGTCTTCTTTGATGGGAATGTCAAGCAATTGGGCATTCAGTTATTGGAAGCTTTGATTGGGTTCATGTGGTCTTTCATTGGATCTTATATCCTGTTTGCTCTCATTGATTGTGTGCCCGGCCTAGAGGTTTTGGCGAAAGATGAGTAAGTCTGCTTTCTTCCCTGGTGTTTCGTATAGGTGAAATTAACGTAACGATTAGGGAGATTGTGAGTGGCATGGATGCAGCCGAAATGGAGGAAAGCTTTGACGGGCAATGGGAAGATGATTACCACCCCTTTGTCAATGGTAGGCTGGAGCTGGACTGAGAAGTGATTGTGAGGACGGGAGCACAGCATAGCATTGCTCCCAAAGATATATCGCATCTCTGAAAATAACTCACCAAGTCTTGCTTGTTTGGTCTCAGCCCCAAAAATAACAAAATGATCCCTCAAATCTCCACATCATTCATTCACATTTCCTTTCTTTTTCTCTCTCTCTCGGAGATAAACACCGTCTCGAAATCTGCCCCGTGATGTCCTCGTATGCACCCCATGAAACGAAACCACGCATTTCGCTCCACGGCGAGCTATCTCGAGGCTTTTCCAAATCCAAAAAGTTGGCAGCGCCTCCTCGGTTTCGCATCTCTACCGCACCGCCCTCCAAAACAGCAGGTCATCCCACGCTTCTCGCGCGGACGAACCACAACACTGGGAATCATCAGCCCAATCAACAAAAACGTACAGTAGTTCCTACCCCATACTGCAGGGATGTCTGAGGCAGCAAATGGTCCCTAGAACTGCCGTTTTGGGCATGGTGTTGGCTTGCTGGGGTTCCTCGAATGGCTTTTCCAGGATTCGTGTGCTTGGCGAATGAGAGGAAAAGGTCCCCTGCCGGTGGAGAGTTGACTGGAATAGGTGAAAGGATCCGGGGACGTTGATTGGGAGGATATCTAGCCGCAGGGTAGGGATTAAGGGCGGGATTTCGGTATTTCAGGGGAATATCCGTTCGTGCAGATGATGCATGGTGGGTGGTGGGAGGGGGATGGAAGGGAGAGGAGGGAGAATGCCAAGACTTGATATCGGTGTTGATACATAGATAGATAGATAGGTAGAGAGATAGAAGAGGGGATTTGTTGTCTTGATAAGGACATCGTTTTGTCGTCTGTCTGTCTGTCGTTTGTTGGTTTTCCTGTTTATCCCAGCTTGTTGTGAGAGGTAGTTCTGTTGTGCGACGAGATTGTTACTGTCTGTTGTGCATTGTAAGGTTGATTGCTGCTGCAAAGAAGGAAGGAAGGAACGAAAGAAGGAAGTTCGACCTCCTTTTGGTGCTTCAGCTATCACGTGTTGACCTGTTTATTGGGTGAGTCTTGGAAAGGCTGAACCTCATTCGCGAGACCTTCACGCAACCTGATTCCCGTCACCATCGATCCGAACGCGTCTTTCAGGACCGACAAACAGGACGACAAGATCAATCATGTCAACAACAGACGTCGACACCAAGATGGCCGACGAGAAAGGATTAGCCACCACCGACGACACCCCTCCCAATGGACACCTCTCGCACGGCGAAGTGGACGATTTGACCGCGTTGGGCTACACGCCTGAGTTGCGACGCAATCGGTCGCTGTTCACGCTGCTCTTTCAGACCCTGGCCATCGCTGCGATCCCCTACGGTGAAGGCGGTCCCCTCATCAGCGCCATCTATGGCGGTGGTCAACTCTCGATCTTCGTCGGCTGGTTGGTCGTTATGGTGCTGGATGAGTGTGTGGCTCTCAGTTTGTCCGAGTTGGCGAGTCGGTATCCGACAAGTGCGGGCCCGTACTATTGGTCTTTCCAGATCGCGAAGAGACATAAGACTGTGTTGTCTTTTATTACTGTAAGTCGAGGTCTAATCCCCCGAAAAATGGAGAAAGGGACTGATGGAGATAGGGTTGGATTTGGTTGATTGGCAACTGGACTATCACGTTGTCGGTCAACTTTGGTTTCGCGTCTCTGATCTCGGCTACGGTTTCTATGTACCATCCGGATTGGAGTGCAAACTCGTGGCAATTGCTTCTGATCTTCTATGCTATCTGTCTAGGCACTTTCCTGATTTGTACCTTTGGCAATAAGTTCTTGCCTATGGTAGATACGATCTGTGCTGCTTGGACTGCGGTTTCGATTCTCATCATCCTAATTGCCTTGTCTGCTAAAGCAGAGGTTGGTCGTCATTCAGCTGCATATGCTTTAGGTCATTATGACACTTCTCTTGCAGGATGGGGAGGCTTCACGTTCTTCATTGGGCTTTTGCCGGCTGCGTATACCTTCTCCGCTATCGGTATGATTGCTTCCATGGCTGAAGAAGTTGCGGATCCAGCTGTCAAGGTACCCCGCGCTATGTCCCTCTGTGTGCCCGTTGGTGGAATCGCAGGTCTCTTCTTCATCATTCCGATTTGTGTTACCTTACCTCCATTGGCGGATATCATCGATGCTCCAGCTGCTCAAGCCATTCCCTACATCTTCAATGTTGTCATGGTAAGTCATGCAAGAACACCAACAATAAAGACCTATACTAACTCAAACCAGGGCTCCCCAGGCGGCGGTCTCGGCCTCGTCTTCCTCGTCCTCGGCGTAACAATGTTCTGCTCCATCTCCATCACCGTCGCCGCCTCCCGCTGCACCTGGGCCTTCGCCCGCGACGACGCCATCCCCGGTGCCAAGCTCTTCGCCATCGTCTCCAAACGCCTCGCCGTTCCCGTCTGGGCCCTCGTCCTCGTGACCGTCGTCCAAATGCTGCTCGGACTCATCAATCTCGGCTCCACATCCGCTTTCACAGCCTTTGTCTCCGTCGGTGTCATTGCCCTGGCCGTTTCATACGCTATCCCGATCGCCATCTCGCTGTTCTGGGATCGAAGAAAGGGTGTTAATCACGCGCAGTGGAACTGTGGCCCGATCATTGGACCTATTGTCAATGTGATCGCCCTGGTGTGGATCACGTTCGAAGTGATCCTTTTCAGTATGCCGACCGCGCTTCCCGTTACGGCTGTGTCGATGAATTATGCCAGTGTGGTGTTTGTGGGCTTCGGAGCTATTAGTGCCGTTTGGTACTTTGTCTATGCTAGGAGAGGTATGTTTTCAATAACTCCCCGATTAGGCGCCGAACTAACATGTGATGAAAAATAGTATACAAAGGCCCACCAGCATCTGATGGTTTGTAGATTCGTCGACTTACTCACTCGCCCTGCTCTCTTGCTAGCTATGACCTTTAGCGGTTTGCTCTCTGCTTTGCGAATACAATAAGCGCGCGCGTGTATAATACCCTCTTCTTTCACTACTCGTCAGTCAGTCAGGTAGATAGATAGAGAGAGAAAGAATTCTTGCATAGAACGTCTCCCTTACATCTTCACACCCGCTCGTGACAAAACATATCTTCATCCCGAAGTCCCCTTAATCCAGAACTCTCCCTCTCCCTCTCCACCACCCTCCATCCTCTCCTCCCTTCCTCTCAAATCCCCAAACTCTACACCAGCAACCTCCTTCCCTCCCTTCCCAACACCAATCCCCAACACAGGCGTCGTACCACCACCAGTCCCATACCCCGAATCCGCACGCCCCCTCTTGGTTCCCACCTGCACAACACCAACACCAATACTCCCTTCTTTCGATTTATAAGAAGGCGGAGGTGTAGATGATGGGAGGGTGTTGGAATCTGCTCTTCCTCTTGCTCTTCCTCTTGCATCTCCACTTTCAACTCCATCGCCTACTATCGTGCCACCTCTTTTTCTGCGCTGGAGGACTTGGGTTTCGATGCCCGTCTGATTGCCCAGATCTGGGATGGCGTGTTCTCGAATGTGCGCTTGTCTTGAAGGATGATTTTGGTCAGGGAATGAAATTTGAGTGTGAGGAAAGGTGTACGAGTCCTCGTCGGAAGAGATGGAGAATCGGGAGACGGAGGGGATGGTGGAGAGGCGGGTGGTTTTTAGGTCTTTTGAAGGGGTGGCGAGAGAGTTGGCGTTTTGTACATGGAGAGGGGGACGCAAATCAGAGGTAGTGGCGAGAGAGGATGTGTTGGTTGGATGGCCTCGAGGGATTCTCCTCGTGCGTTTGAGTGTTGGGGGTCTGGTTATTGGTGGTGGTTGTGGTTGTTGAGGAGGGGGTTTGATGATTGGGTGGGGTGTTTGGAAGGGGGGAGGAGTGGTGTTTGCTGGTTGCTGATGGTGGCGAAGAGTCTCTGTACGTCTCAAGGTTGGGTTGCGGGCTGAGAAGCTTGAGGGTTTGGGTGAGTGTTGAATTGACGAGTTTGGATGCTGGGACGGGGCAGGGTGGGTGATCGGACGCGATTCAACGAGGGGTTGCGTCTTTTGTCTTTTCTCCTTCCTAGACAAACGTCGTGCCGGTGCTTGCTGAACATTAACTCCCTCCTCGTCCTTAGATCGTTGCCGCGGTTGATGCGTAGCTGCCGGTTGTGGTATTCGAGGAATTGAAGGCTTACCAACAACATCCTCACCCACCCCAACCCTCTTGCCCTCCTTCATATCTTCCAACCACCTCTCATACTGCGTTTCCGCACTCAAAACACGCCCCATCTCCTCATCCCTCCTCTTCTTCCAACTGAAACCCATCTTCTCAAAAATAGGCGCCAACCCTCCCCTCTGAAAATGCCGCCCCGCGCCCACACTACTCAGACTCTCTACCATCGATACCCTCTTACCATCCTTCTCCCTCATTCCCCTCCCCTCCACCCTCTCCCCACTCCTCACACCCAACCTCCCCTCCTCCATAGCCCGCCCACCAACCCTGCCCCTCAAATCCCGTAACACCCTCCTCTCTCTCTCCACTCTCTTGACCTTGACCCATAGAATGACAGCAACCCAAAGGAATATGATAACAGCAAAACAAATCCCAATTCCTTCCAGGAAACGTGTTGGGAGAGATTCGTGGAGCGAGAGCGAGTAGATAACCACGACAGTCAAGAAAATAGAAAACAGCGTGAAGAACAGGAAGGGTAGGAGGACGTGTGTCGTTTCCCACAGATTTGCAGAGGGAGTAGGGGGTTGTGAGTGGAATGACGAAATTACTGAAGGGGCCGGTTGTTGATGTTGGATATGTTGCTGTTGATCTCGAGGATGATATTGGCGATGTTGTCTCGCACTACTCGGATTCTGGCCTACTCGCGGGTAATTGGACGACTGATTCCTCGCCAGTCCTCCGTCTCTGGGCTGTTGGAGAGGGTTCACCCCTCGAGAATATCGATCTCGAGATTCGGGTGATGAAAAGACCTCTTTCTCCGTATCCGCTGAGTCTCGATTCGTGTTCCTGGTTTCATGTCGTGGGGGTTGGAAATCCGGTCTTTCCATGTCCTTGCTCTGCAAGTTATTCGTGGAACCGCGAGAAAATGAATGACAGGGTGCGGTGTTCAAAATGGTGGAGATTGATTGCAGCTAGTGACCAAAATCTTCGGGATGGAGTAAGTACTTACTTCAAAACTCCTCTTTGCAGGGAGGCAAGTTTCATGTTTCGAATAGAGAACATAAGAGAATGGTCGGCGGTACTCGGGCTCTTTCTAAACACTACGGGAGGACTCATATCTCGTTGCGAAGCAGCCGATGGATGCATTTCACTCAAAATAGCTGTATCGATGGTTTAAACGACCAGGCCTACTCCAATATGTATAAAAGAAAGTTTAACTTGAGCTATACAGTAGACGTTTGGCTTCGCTCTACACGCAGAGATGAGGAGCGTCAGCGGTCGCGGATTTGTCCTACACGAAATATTTGAACAAGTGAGGTGGAGGGAATAAATCACTTTTGATGAAACGCTTGCTTGCCCTTATGTCTTTCAGATCGACGAGAAGATTTACTGAAGTATATAGCACTATCAACATTTGAATTGTTGCCAATCAGCAAGAACGAGCTAGTGGTTGACAGTATAGATATAGATGAATTCTTTAGGTCATATGAAAGAGCCTGGGCATAGTAAATATGCTAGTCGAAAATGTATATCGTTGTAACAATAATTTTGAAGTTTTCAAAGCCTCGACTCCCGCGCAAAAATAGGACGTGGTATAGAACAAAGACAGACTCATGATATCCTTCCCAGCCCGTACTCCAGCTTTCGCAAGCCTGCACCGTTTTCCCCGATAGATACTACAAAAGAAACGCTCTCATACAAGGTAACAATCCATCAAGTCATCTTGACATCAGGATTCCCATTCGCGTACCCGTTCATGGGCGGTAGTTCCAACGGAGGCTTCTCCATCGGCGTCTCATCATTACTTTCCCCTTCCGGTTCTCCTCTCTTCGATCGTCCTAATCTCTCACACCATTCTTCCGCACTAACGATCGTTCCATCCAAAACACCCGAGACCTGAGCCATCATGTCCAAACCCTCTTTTGCAAGAACAAGGACCCTGTTAGCACCTTCCGTCACATCCGTTTCACCATTCTTCGACGCATCTCCATTTCTCGAACTCGCAAGTCTGAACCGTTGAGGAAGACTCGTCAAGTGTCGACGCACCAATATACGCGCATTCTCAGGTAATGCGCCACCCGCATATTTTGATACGATGTCTACGACTTCCTTCAAAGTCTTCAAGACATCTTTCTTCAGATCTGTGATCTTTGCATTGAGCGCCGATCTGTCGGCTTCGCTTCTTAGTACCAGTTGGCCTTCTTTTCCTGATCCTTCGATCGTGCCTTCGACTCTACCGTCTCGATCATATTGCTCTAGCACACTTTTAAGGGCAAGGATCACTTTTCCAATATGTTCATTGGCCCAACGTAACCAGCTCAAACAGTACTTTAAACTTCGAAGCGACTCTTCACTCATCGCAACACTTAGGCCACTGGTTGATAGTACAAGGCGCGATTGCCATGAGCTACCAGGGCTTGTAGGTTCTTCTTGAGTCTGAGTTGGTATCAACGCCTGCTGCGTCGCTTCGTAATTCGGACTTCGGTGCTCATCATATGCTGGAAGACTTTCCACAGTCGACGCTTGACTTGGTCTTCGCTGCCGATGTTGCAATTCCTGTCGATGGACAGGGTATGGGTCATGGGAGACATTGCGATCCGTGTCCGTATCATCGTTATCGACTTTGCGCCTCTTGTTTGAACCTTCGTTATTCTCCAAATCTGATGGCTGGTGGTGACTCGGTCTTCGTCCTCCTAAGAACCAGCGTACTCCTCCTTCCACACCAGTCATGCGCCCAACAGACCCGACGGTGTTCACCACGGGTGTGAACCTTCTCTCGACATATTCCGCACCAGACTTAAATCGTGGACTGAAGTTCTTCGACGCCGAATATGCTGACAGAGAACCACCAATCGCAGTACCTATCAGAGGATGTGAAGTCGTGAGAAGGGACAGTAAGGGTTCAGGTTGCTGATTATTTCCAGACTGGTAATTCGGAGAAGAAGCAGGTAAAGGTTGATGACGCTGAGGAGGAGATTGGATAAAATCTATGCATGTTAGTACAACCTCTACAATTCATGACTTGAACATACCAGCACGGAGATCCCCCAGCGCTTCAGCTGCAAGCCGCACGTCAGGATCGTCAATGGATAAAACACTCCCACCACGCCTTCCCCGACTATCTGGCGTATCCATATCCATGGTCTTGGGCGAGTCCATACCATGCGACGACCCAGTCTTGGGCGACAGAGCAGAGGGACCAGGTTGGTAGTATGCAGTTAGGGGATTCGAGGACGGCCAGACAAACGGATGCTCTTCTTGTCGGTATCGTGGTTCTGCTGGAGCAGGCGGTAACGGCGGCAAAGTACGTGCATGATGAACAGGTGGTGGATCTGCGGTGGGTACAGAAGGAAAATTTAGAGACTGAGGGTCGTGAGATTGTGTGTAGGAGGGAGGCTCTTCTCGGAGCATGTGATCCTGCTCCATGGTTGTCGCAAACGCCGACCAGTAGAGGAATCGACACAGAAATTGGAGGAAAGGTTATTATAATTGAGTTGACAATGACATAAAATTTGTGGTCTGATCGAATAGCATTTGGGGAAGTTGTTCGGGGCAAGAGTGGTTCGTCCTAGGATGTGTTGTTGTCTGGCGGTCAACCCGTAGCTTTCAATGCGACTCCCCGCGTCTGAATTTCGAAATTTTGTTGGAGTGAAGAATGTCTGAACAAGTCTAAATAAAATAATAGAAGGAAAGATCTCTTTTTTCTTCCAGCTGTCACCGTCTCCCCTTGCAGTATCGTTGACGTCGTCGCATTCTCACATGTTTTCAGCAGCAGAAGGAAGAGAGAGGGAGGAAGCGGCGCCATGATGGAAAGCTTCACGTCTGATTGATCACATGCCACCAAATTCGGCAAAGTGGCAGGCTAAAAGCTATTTGGGGGTATTCACACGTGCGAGGCTTCTGATTCTCGTAAGTCCGAAAACGCGGAGACGGAAAACCGAAAATTTATGAGAAGAAAGATAAATTTGTGCTATAATGCCATTGATGTAGATACAACATCAATCTTGTGGCATATAACGCCTCGAATGTTGGTCTGAGAATCTTGAGGTGTTGTGTACTTCATCGTAGAAGTGTGAATTACCTAGGTAGGTACTCAGGTCGAGATAATCTTGAGCTTTCGTGATTCAGCCAAATATATACGGATCCATGAGCCGCCAAAGTGCATGAATGCGCGCATTGTATATAGATGCTGTTAGTCTGTATAGTTCTTCATCGATCTAAGGAAGAAAGGTATTGTGTGCTTCCTGATGATAAGCACTGTAAACAGAGTGCGATCTTGAGCACTCAATGGTGCTATTGGCAGGAACATATTGCAAGTGAATGTGCGTGATATGCGTGGCCATGAGCTGCAGCTGTACACGCAATATGTATAGATATCTCCTCGGTCTGTATGGTCCCTCTGACGCCGCCCAAGCAATCTGTTGTTCTTTCAAACAATGCTCGGCCAGCTCTTATGGTACCTCATGCTCCGTCTCCGCGCCGCGAAATCGCTAACTGCATCAATGGGAAGGCAAGATTGACTCTGACAGAAAGCCAGGTCGGTTGTGCTTATATGTTGAGCTGCACTGTCTAAAAGGGCGCGTTGAAGAAAGAACAGAAAGAATTTCGCAAACGAAGATTTTGATATCTCTCGAAAGTATTGAGCTATTCCACTTTCGGCCTTTGGTGCGAAGCTTAAACCCAGGCCAAGCGAGGCAAGGCCACCGTTCAAGCTCAATAATCAACAGGAACGTGGGGTCAAGGCAACTTCAAAATAAAGAGCGCATTTGAACTGCACCCTTTGCGAATGATTCAGCTCGACTGAGATATTAATACTGGCCGATTCGGCTTTCTGTCTCTCTCAATCATCCCTCCTCCTCCTTCACCCTCGCAATGGCGTCAGCTGTCTTCTTCCTCGACCTGAAGGGCAAGGTACGTCTCCTGAAGACCTCGAAGCGCCGACTATTCTGATCATAGTCTGCAGACCCTTCTCGCTCGGAACTACAGAGGAGACATACCAATGTCAGCAGTTGAGAAGTTCCCAATACTATTGAGTGAAGCAGAAGAAGAAAGCTCCTCCGTCCCGCCATGCTTCTCAGACGAAGGCATCAACGTATGCAACAATGCTCCCTTCTTAGAGCACCCTTGACACACAAAACAGTACCTCTATATCCGACACAACAACCTCTACCTTCTTGCCCTTACGAAACGTAATACGAATGCTGCCGAGATCCTACTATTCCTCCACAAAATCGTCGAGGTGTTCACAGAGTATTTCAAGGAGTTGGAGGAAGAATCGATACGAGACAATTTTGTTATCATCTACGAACTTCTTGACGAAATGATGGACTTTGGTCACCCGCAGACTACAGAATCCAAGATCTTGCAAGAATACATTACGCAAGAATCACATAAGCTGGAAGTTCAGGCACGACCTCCAATCGCAGTCACGAATGCAGTATCATGGCGATCCGAAGGCATCAGATACAGAAAGAACGAAGTGTTTCTGGACGTTGTCGAGTCTCTGAACCTTCTGGTCTCCTCGAATGGAAATGTTCTGCGGTCGGAAATCTTGGGTGCTATCAAAATGAAGTGCTACCTCTCTGGCATGCCGGAATTAAGATTAGGATTGAACGACAAAGTGATGTTCGAGACAACCGGACGAGCAACAAGAGGGAAAGCTATTGAGATGGAGGACGTCAAGTTTCACCAGTGTGTACGACTGTCACGATTCGAAAACGACCGCACGATTTCCTTCATCCCACCTGACGGAGAATTCGAGCTTATGTCATATCGTCTAAATACTGCAGTCAAGCCCTTGATCTGGGTCGAATGCATCGTCGAATCACATTCAGGCAGCAGGATAGAGTACATGCTCAAGGCGAAGGCACAATTCAAGCGACGAAGTACGGCGAATAATGTTGAGATAATCGTGCCGGTACCAGAAGACGCAGACTCTCCAAGGTTCAGAACGAACATTGGAAGTGTCCATTATGCCCCTGAGAAGAGCGCTATTGTGTGGAAGATCAAGCAATTTGGAGGTAACAAGGAATTCCTAATGAGGGCAGAATTAGGACTGCCGAGCGTAAAGGGTGATGATGAACATGGTGGAGGGATGACTGGTGGATTTGGTGGAAGTATGGGAGGTGTTGGAGGCAAGGGTGCGAAGAGACCCATCAGTGTGAAGTTTGAGATCCCGTACTTCACCACTAGTGGTATCCAAGTACGATATCTGAAGATCATTGAGCCAAAGGTATGTCATCTATTCTTATGTATCTCGCCCATCAACTAACAACTCCAGCTTCAATACCCATCTCTACCTTGGGTCCGATACATCACACAATCCGGCGATATCGCAGTCCGATTACCTGATGTTAGCTGAACATGATCAATCTCCAAAGATCCAGAAAGCATCATGAAGGAGTCCAAAAGCAGGTCCCGCACGCACAGAGACGAGGCCAAGACAGAGACATTGGGACAGGCGTAGGAGAGATCTGCATTTGTGACTCCAGAGCATGGAGTTATTAGAGCTTTTATGTAGGTAGACTTCAAAAAAGCTCCAAGTACATACCCGGATTTTGATGCCCATTGTGGTGAGACTGCTGATGATATATGATTTGTTTTTGTCTTCTTTGATTTTACCTAGGCTCTTGTTGGGTTTCACGCAAGGAGAGTACACTCCGCTTTTCGTCGTTTATACTCGACCACGCTGAAAACCCTGCCCTTCATCTGAGGCTTGATCTTGGTCGCTTGCTTCTATTGTTCTTGCTAAGTGGCCCCAACAGGCTGCTATACATATCCACTTATTTCTCCTCGCACTATATCTAAGCCCAAGCTGCATCTTGGAATATAGCAAAACACTCAGCATGCCAAAAAAAAACATAGCATCACAACATAAACCTCAAACTTTTCTTCTCATTCCCTCCTAAACCCTACACAACCTTCCATCCTCATTCCCAACCGGATCCCCACTCCTCACCTCCCACCCCTCACTCCCCACCGCCGTCTTCGCCCAAAACACCTCCCCGGGATCAACACCCCTCTTCACCCCCACTAACCTCCCATACGTCTCCGCCCCATAAAAACTCGTCTGCCACCCCGTCTCTCCCCTATCGCTCTCCCCCAAATACGCCCCCGACCCAGGCGTAACCGCTTTCCACTCTTCCATCCTTCCATTCAAACTCTGCCGCGCCTCAACCTCAAGTGCAGCGATGTCCCCAGTGGCGTTCCACACGTTGGTCTGGATGGAATGCATCGCCGCCTCGCGCCACGCGGGGTTGACGGCGCTGTCGGGGTCGTTGGACGGGTGCACGGCTCCGCGGATCTGGAACGAGATCAGAGAGTAGCCGGCTTCGACGGAGGTTTTTATGGCGGAGAAGGTGGCGTTGAAGAGGGTGGAGTTCGGGGAGAGGAAATTGGAGCAAGGGAAGAGGCGCGAGCCGAAATAGCCTGATGAGCGGGAGACGGGTTCTTGGGGGAAGGAGGCGGTCCAGGCGGGGAGGTAGGTGGCGTGGTGGGTGTAGGTTATGGGGAGGGGGAAGGGGAGGGAAGGGGTGAGGAGGGATTGCGTTTGCGGGATGGAGAGGTTCGGGGCGAAGAAGGGGGAGAGGAGGAATGTTGGGGTGGAGTCGGGGGAGGAGGGGAAGATGAAGAAGTAGCCGTAGGTACCAGCAGCTGTGAAGGAGGGGAAGAAGGTTAGGTAAGAGCGCACGCCGTTCCAGAAGTCGGTGGTGGTTATGTTTGGCGGGAAGGCGAGGGAGAAGGTTGTGACGGGGAGGGGCGGGTAGGCTTTTATTGTGACAGAAGTGACGACGCCGAACGTTGAACCGCCGCCGCCGCGGAGGGCCCAGAAGAGGGTTGGGTTTGAGGTTGGTGATGCGGTGACGAATTCTCCGGAGGCGAGGACTAGGTTTAGGGAGAGGATGCTATCTGCTGCTATGCCGTAGATCGAGGACAGAGGGGAGTGGCCGCCGCCGAGGATGTAGCCGCCCATTACTCCGACCGTCTATTTTTGCATCAGTCGTACGTTCTTGTCGGAGGTAAAGAAGACTTACCCTCCCTTCACCACCAACGACAGTAACACCCTCCTTCTCAGCCGCCTCATAAATCTCCCACGCCTGCACCCCACTCCCAGCCTTGAACGCCGGCCCAGAATAGTTTCCGTACGCATCTCCCGCATAATTGGCAGTGAATGCAATATCTTTCAAATAATGAGTCCAGATATTCAGTGATCCTGCCCCACTAGACTTGCCAGAGAAATCGTGGCCGGTGTTCTTGATCACTAGTCTGATGCCAGTGTTGCGAGCAAAGTTGATACCAGCTTGAATGTGCGAGACTGTAGTTGCGTTGATGGAATATGACGGTAAGCCGCCTAGGGTGCACGTCCCGTTGAGAGTCGGGGCGAGGGTGGGTGGTTCGCATGTTCGGCCTTGCCAGATGGGGGACATTGGGGAGGTCGGATCGACCATACTATTAGATGTAAGTTGTGCTATTTTATTGACGAATGAAAGTCTGCATACTGTATAGAAGAATTTGCCCAGTTTGCCGTGAGGTACGAGCATTGATCGGTGTTGGAGAGTGGACCAGGATAACATGGGGAAGCAAGTGGGATAGTCTTGATCAATGCTCCATCGGTAGTACTATTGAGAAGCGCCCATTGGGCGTCACTTGGCCAGAGAGCATCTCCAGGAAAGACTTTACATGTCGTGTTGAGTGGAGGGGGATCATCCCGTTCAGCGAATTTGAGGAGAGATGCGTTCTGGTCTGACTGAGTGAGGATATCTCGGGGAGTCAATTGAGATTTCTCGAAGTTAAAAAGTTCAAGGCCGCTGATAATGGAGAATAAGAACTGGAAAGCTATCGCTAACTTCAAGAATTGACCCATTGTGATTTCGTTCTCCGAGGAGAGGGTGTGGGGTAAAGAATGAACTTTGGAAAGAAAGCACAAGGACCTCAAAACTCAGGAACAGGAACGCGAGGGAGTTTTATTGGCACTGAACTTAAAAGTCTCAAGGAGATATACCGAGATCAAATCTGACCGCAGCGCCTCTCATCACACTGCATACAATATACATGCCCCGCATGAAAGCTTGTGGATGGGACCATTCATAACAGTATGCTTATGCCAAGAAAATATCAGCCGCGGGCCAGACTTTGTAATTGATCAGTTTGGAAGGGAATGAGAATAAGAATTGTTCCTGACTTTGGTACCGGGTACCTGGCTGTATATATTACTCACAGCCGAATTTGCTCGAGGCTGTATTAGGTAACCACCCAAACACAAAAGACAAGGGGGCATGCACAGCAATGGACGTTGGGAACGAAACCGAAGTGCCGATTTTGGTGCAAAGCCCTCATATATTCTGCATCGGCCCACTCAGGCATAATGAAAGAGGAAACCGAACAACTATCACGTGTATGGACAAGGCGTTGAGGCAAAGCAAACTACGGTACTTCAATTATTACTCTGCCTGAGGTTATCCATTGCGCATACGTGAGATAGAGGTGAGATTAAGACCTTCCTAAGCCAAAACCTTCTTCAAAATAGCCTCGACCTCAGCATCACTTGCTTCCGGAACACCAAGCAACTCATTATCAAGCTTAACAAAGCGCCCTCCATACGCCTCATCAAAGATCGACACAAAGATGTACCCAACCATGACTGGCATGGTAACCTCGCCTTTCGCCAGCTTCTCATCCGAGCTCTTCTTCATATCATCGGTACTGGCAACAACGGGCTCAAATTTCTTCTCTGGCGCAACCTTCTTGGCGAGTTCGAGGAGATGGTTTTGAGAGATTGTTCGGCTTTGAATGTACACGGGTCGATTCTTGGTTTCTTCGTAGTGAGTCAGAACACCAACAACAGCTTGTCCGACACTTGCGAGAGTAGTGGTGCTGAATTGGCGGTCACCGCCATTGTACAATGTTGGTTTGCCTTCCTTTGTGTTGAGAAGGAAACCGACTTCGAGACCCCAGTCAAGGAACCCGCCGTTGATAACATAGGTGTAAGTGATATCAGCGCCGGCCTGAATTTTCTCCTCGAGATGCTTGCGGGTTGCGAGCTTATAGCCGAAGACGGGCAGCTTGGCGACATTGGGATTCGATAAATCGGATCCGAATTCAGAGGGAAGGAATCGCTTGACACCGGCAGCGATAGCGGCGTCGATGAGCACGCTTTGGCCGAGAAGACCTTCGGTGCCGACGGTTGAGACGACGGCATCTTGGCCTTTGAATGCGGAGGTTAGAGAGTCGAGGGAGTTGTAGTCAGCTTTTACGACTTTGACGGAGGAGGGGAATGTCGCTTTGGAGCCTTCACGTGATACGACGGTGATGTTGAATTTGGCTGAGTCTAGGATGACTTTGAGGATGGGAGCACCTAAGGAGCCAGAAGCCTGTTGTGGGTGGTGTTAGTATTGATGTGATGATAACATATCTAATAGGGCAAGGGCGACTTACTCCGACAATCGCAACGTTCTTGATGGAAACCATGGTAGCTAATGGATTTGAGGATGAGTATTGACGAATGGTCTTGATAAATGAAGATGTGAGAGGACGAGTTGTATACTTGATCATGAAATTGAGATGGAAATGAGAACGAGAAGAGGAATTTCCTAGAGAACACTTGCTACTCTATATACTCTAGAGGCACAGAAAGAATGTTTGTCCGCATTTCCAAGCAAGTGAACAATGCCTGAGAATCTGAATAATGACTCGCATGGAATGCCAGCATCGCAAGAGGCTTCGCATTAAGCTTTCATTAGAAATCTAAAACGTTTGCTATTGCAAATGTGGGCTAGTGGAGATGCATGTCGTTGTGAACATTGTGGGAGGAGCCGCAGTGATGATGTGAATTGCTGAGAAATGGGTGGGCGCCGATTGTCCTTGTCCGACCCGTTGACGAGAGGAAGCGGCGCAGTGAGAATAGATAATCTGAGGTATGTTCGGAGGTTATAAAGAGCGCGAGACGTGCGACCGGGCTCGGATTAACTTGATTTTCTGTCGGATCCGAGGATTCTCGGAGCAGATTGATAGAGGAGGTAGTAGAACATCTAACCTCACTTTGCTGAATAAGCTATGCTTGCGTCTCCACCAACCACAACACATCCAAACTTCACGTCAAAGCCTCCCACTCATCCCACAACAACCCGAGATTCCTTAGCACAATCCTGGCTGTCCACACGGCTCTCCACCGTTGTCGGGATTCTGAGAAAGCAGTGACCCATGGCACTGGCACTATAACCCCGGCGTCAGGGTCAACCTTTTTATTAATTTCGAGCTCATAACGGCTTTCCCCCAATATCCGCGGCCGCGACGGATCCCTCCCATCTGCATACGATGGAGCATAAACAATATACTTGCGACCATGATGGCTGCGGCAAGTCGTTTGCTCGGAAAGAGCATTTGGCTCGTCATGCCAAAAGCCACAATCCGGCCAATATGCTTCAATGTCCAGTTTGCAGTCGGCATTTCAACCGAAGGTATGTTCGTCCAATGATGGGAACATTGATCAATCGAATTCTGATCCCTGTCATAGTGATAGTTTACAACGCCATATTGTTAAACACGGTGCAGTAAGACATCACTTTCTCTCATCGAGATTTCGCCTCTTCTAGAATACCTGCCGTGTGCCCCTTTGAAATTTTGATACATGTTAACGTGGGTCTAGGTATTCAAGCAAAATCCATCCGGCAGGAGCAAGCGAGCCTGTCTTGCATGTCGTGCTGGGAAAACAAAATGCGATGGCAATGACAACTGTGCAAAGTGCCTCAAGCGTGGTATTGAATGCAAATATGGTGAAGAGGATAGTCGACGAGACGAATCTCCTAGCCGAAGTCAGAGGCAAATCGGTTCACCAATTCCTACAGAGTCGATTTCGGCATCGCGAACTTCTGCTCGAGACACCATAGATCAAATACCAACCACGACACCGAAACCCCTGGAGATCCCTCCATCGTTAGCAAATGGCTGCAGCGGTCTCGTTGATTGGGCTTCGACCCAAATTCGACCGGACCCTAAAGTGACCACCGGCATCGAGGTGGGCATAGACAGAGACCTGTCGCAGAAGTACTTGGATGCGTACTTTGAGCACTTCCATGATCGATGGCCTGTTGTACATCGACCTTCCGTTGAAGAGGAGATCGACGACACTGATCTCTGCGAGTTGTCTATGAGGATGATTGGGGGGTGGATCGTGGGAACTACTGATTCAATTCAGTTTGCTCTTGACACGCATAATGTCCTTATGGATCACATCATGTCTCAATTGGTATGGATTGCTGCTCAGTACCAATTTCCGGCCCATGACTAACAATAAATTAGTCTCAAGTCACGTCAAAAGATAGTTTTCAACAATCACTACCTGCCTGGATGTGCATGGCAGCAGTCTTGAACATTGTATTTGGACTGTACTACGGAGCGAGTCTCCCCCACTGCTTCAAGACGAAGCTGACGAACGTATAGCACGATCGTGAAGTCTCTCGTGCGATAATACTTTGGAACGTCCTAATGGCTGTCCTTCGACAAGTTGGATTCTTCAAGTCTGAAACTGCGTGGACGGACGAGAAGAAAGGGTATTTTATCCCGCTACGTCAAGTGAGAATCGGGCAGAGACAGAGGTAGAGCCAGAGCCTTGCACGTAGTATTCCTGCTAATGTATTCACAGGTTAGCTTACAATTTGTTCAAGATCAACGCATATGTGAGCATATTGCGGAATCTGCCAATGTCCATCCAGCCTGAGGAATTACACTTCTCACTTCCTTCTACGTTTTCATTATACAATTCGAACGGCCTTCACATCTGGGAAGAACGGCAGGTCGGCGAACCTCCTTATCGAGCTTCAAAAAGCATGTATAGCTTGATTGCAGACGATGTTCAGGAGATCGTTTCAATACAGGAACAACCGATGATCATTGAGGATATCAGTCTCTGTTTATGCGCACTGCAATCGGATATCTGGAAGCATCTCCAAAGAGATAGATCTCAGACATGCGAAGTCAATGATGTCCTACAAAGAGACTCGTTGCGAAAGCACCTAGATCGACTCAAGTCTCGCCTAGATCGAACTAGCGCTCAGAAAGTACTTTTCTCAAAATCGGATTTTAGCCACGAAGAGTATTTACCTTACCGATACTATTATGGCTACGAAGACCACACTCAAGCTGGCTGGCAAGAAATTGTTGCGGTTCGAGTAAACCGCGTACTATTCGACACCGTTATGCTCTCCTTCCTTCTCAGCCTACATCTGTCTGTCGATGTCCGAAAATTAGGTCAACTCGCCAAAGATCGGCGATTAAGTACTGTCGAGGAATTATCAGAGGCTCATGGTCGAGCAAGAGAACAGCGCCATGTTTCGATGAAAGGCTGGGCTGCCACGCCTGCTGCACGATGGGCAGTATGTCAATCGGTCGATGTCCTTGTGACTTACCAGAACTTCAAAAACAGAGCAGGGGCGGCGGAAGTCCGCTATCTTGATCCAATTTGCCATATTGCACTTTGTGTCAGTGCACTCATCCTCTGGACATTCTGCGAGTTCTATGATCATGGTTGCGTTATGTGTCTTCCTGGAGAAATGGCAATTGTCGAGTTGACGAGGTGGAGCATGACTGGCAATCAGTTCAAAAAGGACAAAGAGAACTGGCTTGAAATGGGTGGCAGATACCCTCGATCTCGACCTCAAGTCCAAGGCATCCAACTGTGTCGATGCAACACAGAGTTCGTGACGGCTCTTTTCCAAGCTTGTCTGCCTGAAGGATGGGCTATTGCTGATTCGATTGCGCCTGGTATCTTTAAGGGCATAGCGTAGGACTCGTTCGAGGTGAAAGTTCTCATGTTACCCTCGATCCTCTTCAGGTATGAATGCAAGTGGCGTCTGTGATTATCACACCATCATTTGGTACTAAGCTGATTTTTAGGAGTATCTCAGAACATCCAGAGAACTACATATCTGACTCAGTGACCCTGCACTCAGGGATTATGAAAGGCTTCCCGCTTCAAATCTTGGTTCGACCTTCGACGGCAAGATCAGGCCCGGCAACAGTATATAAGCGAGACCCAACGATCGACGCGACCTAATCATGGGGGTGGCTTGATTCGCTGAGGGCTAAGAAAATGATCCCAACTGTCTCAACCTAGCGTCGATTACAGGCTTACTCCCTGCCGGATTGCGTCTGATGCTTACGAGTACGATCGATTCTACTCCGGCATAAAATGCGTAAGACGCCATGTTTAGGTTGTATCCTTCATTTCGTATCAAAAACCATTCCAAATCGAGCACATGCTTCCTGGAAATTACGATTGAAGCCCAACTTCATGGCTGACATGCAGATAGGGTTGCATCTTTGACATACTAAGCAGGTATCGATGCGGCCCGTCCTGCAGGATATAAGTCTAACAGCATGCTGTTGGCCTTCGAAAACGTTCAAACTGATGCATATTTGGGTGTGTCATCGCGAGCAGCTCCAGGCTGACAATGCTTGGAAAGTACTACGAACAGGTTATTGACTTTCTGCCGTCCTGACATGCGGTCGATCCTCAGAAGAAGACTAAGCCGCATATGGCGGTCGTCGCGAACTGCTGCAAGCCTTCCCAGCCTACCAAATGCATGGAAAGAACTTAGAACGAGTTTTTACCACTCTCCCGTTTCTGACGTGCGGAGTCTAAGACAAGAGTTCTGTAACCGATGATCTCCACTAGTTAAAGTTGTCAGACACTCCCAGGATGACGAACCGGAAACTCGACTAGAGATTCCTTTCATTTCTGACAGAAATGATCCGATTTTCTTTGCTTCAGATGTTCGACACAAGTTCCCGAAGAGAGGCCTTGTTCTCTGACCACAGCCTAACTCAAACTATTTCGACGTCAGAAAAAGCCCCATCGTCGACTTCAAGGTCCGCGAATTGCAAAGTTTGGAGTTTGGAGACCAAAGAGACTACCACCAAGGAAATCTTCGTATCCGACGAACTCTCTTGTCTAGTACAGCAGTTAGTTCATTTGAGCCGAGTAGCCCGAAACCCCCTGCATTAGCCAGTTTCGATCTCCAGAGGATTCTTTTGCGAATCTGTGGAGATCCCTGTCGACACGCGGGTGGAATATCGAATATTTCCACCAACCTCTGTTTAGTGGTTGGAATTAGCTTCTGGAAGATGGTGGGTCCAGGATCCGACGCAGGATGTGCCACAAATTTCCAAATCCCGCAGGCCCGTGCTGATCTTCGGAACCCTCCCCGGATCTGGTCTGAAGAAGAGACATGAGTTTATTTAAATTCTTAGGAGTATATTTGTTTTTCGTACCTGCCCTGATGATGGGGTATGATTGTTGATCTGTACGACATCTTGGGAGCCTTTCAGGCAATTGTGTCGGAATGTCCTCAGTAAGTCCGCCTTGGGTTTTGTTACACCTTAATCCTATGGATGAGTCTTTTTTTACCAAGCCGTTTGGGAGAAGTCGGCGACGAGTAAGGTTATCCATCATCATCTACGACCTTCATGGAATTGGAAATACATCTGTGCTCAATTTAATGGTCCTATGACTAAACAAATGTGCAGACTGCAGGTCTACCAAATCCGTCAAGAGTACCTCAAATACTCGCTGGAATATTGTTGCCCACGCTTTTCGCATCCATCTTCGTAGTCGCAAGACTATACACACGATTCATCATCACAAGAAATTGGGGAAACGATGATACATTAATCACAATCGCCTGGGTTCGTCGTCCTCCCTCGTCCCTCAATCCTCTCACCACTATCTGCCCCATCAAGGTCACCAGCCTAGGTCTCGCAGTAACAAACGCTCTCCTAATCCCCTTCGGCGGCGGCCACCACGCCATCTTCCAAAAACCCTCGCAAATTACCCCGACCCTCAAAATCGCCTTCATCGGCCGCCTAATCTACCAATTCGTATTATGCCTCACCAAGCTCGGCATCTGCCTCTTCTATCTCCGAGTCTTCCAAGACAAAGCCAGTAAACGACAAGTCTACATGATTGCCGCCTTCACCATCATCTCCGCACTGGTCATTGAGATCGAGTTCGTCTTCCAGTGCAATCCTGTATCCGATGCTTGGAATTTCGTCAATCCGAATTGTAAAGCTACGAATCCTAGCGTGGTGACTAATTGTGTGTGTAATATTATTGCGGACGTGTGGATTATGGCTTTTGTCATTCCGAGAGTGTTACCATTGCAGATGGCGAGACGGCAGAAGTTTTCGTTGCTTGGTGTTGTGAGTCTCGGTATGTTGGTTATTGCAGCGTCGATTGTGAGGTGTATTTTGGTCGTCAAGTTGGCGACCAATGATGATCCTACTTGTGAGTTCCCTACACGCCACTTTTTCTTTTTGTGATGAATAGCTGATGATTGGTAAACAGGGAATGGTCACAACATGGACAACGCTCGAAGTAGCAACAGGATTATTCTGCGCTTCGGCTCCATGCATCAGACCCCTACTCCGCCAAATCGCGCCAGGATTCATGTCTTCGCTCTCGCAAACCTTTTCAGGACCATCGAAAGCTCGTACGAAGACTGGACCTTCGTCTAAATACGGGCTAGGGAGCGTAAACAGAGTGGGGAAAAGAGGCGAGGCGTTCGAGTTGAGTAGCAGGGGTGAGGGAGACAGAGCAACCTTCTGGATTGAAGAGGGAGATAACAGAAAAAGTGCAGCGGACAGCGAAGAGAGTGAGAATTCAAAAGGCAATATCACGAAGACAGTGGTAGTTTCGGTGCGGCATGATGAATCGTCGTCTTCGTCGCTGCCAGCGGAGACGAAGGGGTGGCAGAATGTTTGAAGTTTTGTTGCACGTCGAAATTTAGTCGACAGCTGTCGACAAGGAATTTTTTGGTCCAGCTTTCCTGGTGTGGAGCTAAAGACTGTACTCATGAGGCGTTGGGGTGCATTCTTGATTGAATTAATACTTGATACCAAACTCTTCTTTTGTACTGTACAACAGCATTAGATTCTAAGCCTTTTTCTCGGCACTGTACAGTACATAGCAGAAGTTTGATAATCTCATTCCTAAGAGATGGTCAATCATCCACACCAACCTCCACGCCTCATGAACCAGACTCAACAAAGACTCACTAATCTACTCTCTCTGCCCTTTCTTTCGGCTTGTACGGATCGACCTAGGCAATGACACCCCACTAGATTCCGAAGGCTCTTCTCGAATTCAAAATTTGAGCCTGATCTCCTGACTTAAGCTAGAATCCTGGCACCGGATAGGATTCCGAGTTGAAGACTAGTGATAGTCTCCTATAATATCGGGATGTACCGACCCATACCCCACTAGATTCCGAAGGTGCTGCTCGAACATAAACTTCAAGCCCAGTCCACCCACTTAAACCATCATCCTACTACGGAAGGGATTCCGAGCGGTAGTCTTTCGACCGTCCACTTAATACTGTAGTGGACATAAAGCTTCTTTTAAGCCTCCTCAAGCCATAGTCCACCCTAGAGCTCAACTCGTCCACCAATACCATACCCTCACCTCCCAAGAACCTCCTCCCCCTTCGAACTCTCCGCATACACAATCGTAATATTCCCATACCCCTCCCTCGTCGCCCGCGAATCGCCACTCTTCGCCGTCGTGATACTGCGCCAGCTTTTCGCTCTGCTTACACCCGCGCCTAGGCCGAGGAGTTTGGGTTTTGGTTGCTCTTCTGGGATTGGTGGTGGTTGTGGGCTTGGTTGCTCCTCTGGAACTGGTGGCGGGCTTGGAGTGTGAGGGTTAAGTTGGGTTAGTTGAGGAGGAGCGGAACAAGAAGAGACTGAGAGAGGAATTTCGAGGATCAGGGATGACGAGAAGAGAGTTGGGAAGAGGGAGCGTAGTAAGGGTCGGATGGTCGCGAGACCGGCGGCTAGGAGGGCGACGCCTGGTTCGATGGTGGACCATATTGCTACTGTGGGTTTGGTTAGTTGGGTGGATAAGGTTGATGGTTTTGGAAAGTGGAGTAAGTACTTCCTAACGTATCCCCTGTATTTAAAAATTAGAGTTTTATATGAGGATGGGTAAAGGGGAGGGACTCACAAAGAAAATCATCCAAATCAATAATGGTGTGTATAACACTTAATCGTACTAATGTCGATGTACTAGCAATCGCCCCCAGTCCAAGTACCAAACTCATCATAACTTTCGTCCCCCATCCCATCTTCGCATTCCACAGTAGCGAAATAGGCAGCAACCCAAGCGTCCAGTCCGCACTTGCGCTTAGAATCGAGTGAAGATACGTTCCCCATACGATCACGGCGTCGGGAAGACAGGAGCCGTGATATGTGGAGGAAGGGGAGAAGCGATGCCAGATGAAGGGAACGGGCACGCATTGCGCGACGACGCAGCCGAAGTAGGCGATGCCGAAGAGGATAACGGCCACCATGACGAGTTTTACGAGCAGGGTTTGCCAGGGCCGGATCATGATGCGGAGATAGAAGACTGGGGGGAAGTGTTAGTGGACGGTGCTGAGTGGTGGAGGGAGGGGAGGGACTGTACCTCCTACGGCGTATTTGATGGTTGTGGTGGTGAGGACGTATGCCCATTCGCAGAAATACCAATACTAAACCTCCAAATCAATATGATGATGTTTTGGTGGAGGGTGGATAAGTACCTTGACGGCCATAACGACGTCTTGATCTGGTAAATCTCGATCGTGCTGTCCAGTCCCGTAATGTAAGCCTACAAATACGAAGGAGATGTACATCGTATAAAGTCCCTTAATTCCAACCTATTAGCTAAACGTCTGAAAGGAGGGCAGGAAAGGGACTCACAAGACCAACACCCATCAACCAATCCTCAATCTCTAACCTGCCAACTACACACTTCCTAACATAAAACCGTAACGCCACCCCCACGAAAGCGAGAATATAGCAAATGATTGCTATAATGCGAAGTTGGTACCCATGGTTCTCGGCCGACATTGCTCGTTCTGGTTCTCATCCCAAACCCTGGGGACACATCGATACACCAATGCTTATCCTTCTCTGATACAATAGGCATCTAAGACCAAAAAATAAATTAAAGAACAAGATCCAAAATGCACCAGAAGCGAAAAATAAATTAAAATATGAGATCAAAAACAGGCACAAGAACAAGTTGCCCGCCGCCATTACGAAAATTAAAGTTCGCATTATTCTCTTTTCTTATAACACTCCGCGTCTAGGGCTGAACGAGAGGCTCGGTGTGCAGAACTACTGCGCGCACGACCCTTCTGATGGCAAGGCTTGCGGCTGGACCAGCTTGATGACGGTTGGGCTGACGCTCAGGGATCGTCGGAGATGCTGCCGAGCGAGTGGGTTCGTGGGACTGATCGAATGAGAGGGGGTTGGAGATCGTTGCAAGGGATGAATAGGGTTTTCGTATGGACAAAAGTGATGAGTTAGTGATGAGTTGTTGATGGTGTGGATTTTGTGGTCTATGTCTATCGTGAAGAAAAGCAATGCTGCTAGAATAATACAATACAAACGGCTGGTTCTGATATCCCCGGCCTCCTTTCCTTTTTGGTGTCCTGAACGAGCTGTTTTTTTCTCGTTTTTGGAAATTGAAAACTCCTTGCCATGATGCTTCCATCCCATTATGTCCCTGCATACCTTTGGTGTACCCCTTCCTATGCAATGCAATGATGTATACCCGACTCCATATCCGTCCCAAAAACCCAAGTATGCACAACATCTCGTCGTTGCAATAAGCAGTCTCCCTTCACTTCTTGCGCGAATTCGAGACGAATAGGCCGTGGACTGCCTTGTCGGATGTCTGTGTCCTGCTCATCATGATATCCACCAAGATGCGGTACATCTGCACCATGAACGCCGACCGAATAACCGGACAGCCCTCTGGTCTCGACATATCGAACGAATCCCCGACCGGCTCATGAAACTTAATAAGGCTCATCTCCCTCTCCTTCCTCTTCTTCTCTCTCTGCTCCTTCGTCTCATGTGCAGCATGCCCCGACACCATCGTCCTCAGCAAGATCCTCATCACCTCATCCGGCGCCGCCAAACCCCGCGCGAGCAAGAAGTGTGGCGCCTCAGCGACGGGCAGCACGATCAAGGCCTTCTTGGGATGTTCGCGGGTCGGCAGACATTTCTGTCGAAACTCGAGAACGGACTCGGGCGTCACATCGGTCGGTTTTCGAGCCGTGCTAACGCAGACGTAGCCTTCGCAGCTGCGGCCGCTGTTCACGCATCTCTTGCACGCGGGTTTGCGTTCGTCGCATCTGAGGTGCAGTTTTCTGTTTGTCGTTTGTTAGATAAGTGTCGATTGAGGGGGAAGGGGAGTGAGACGAACTTGCAGGTTACGCAGCCTTTGGGCATGGGGGTTTCGATGAAGAGGGCTTCTTGTCGCATTTTGGATTATGGTGGGTCGTGTTTGTGATTGATCGAGAAATTGAATTGGAGGAGGAGAAAGAGCTGTGTTTGTGGAGCTGCGGAGGGTTTATGAAGGGCGAGCATCGTGACCGGTACCCTCTTTCTCCCTTGGCTGAGGTATGACAACATCTCAAGTGCCGATGAGAATCGTTGAAGCGTCAGGTGCAGGACTTATGATCTGAGGTCGAGAACGGAACGGGCATTGTGGCGTGTTCCGGGCCATTTCTCGCATGTCGTGGCCTGACATCGTACGAGCATCAGGAAGGAAGCGCAAGTGCACGTGATGAGATGTACGACGTCTCAGTTGGTTGCAACATTGATGTTTTACAAGTGCTTGATGTTCTATACTACCGTGCATATTGTATGCAGCCATCTTCTGCTGTTCTGCTTTGCTATGGGTGGGATTCGAGACATAGAATTTATACCTATGAAGTAATTAGAGGACTTTCGCGTGTTGACTTGCATTTTCCCTTTAAAAAAAGCATTTGACGATAAATTTACTGGTATAGCTCTTAGTGTTTAGCATAGCAGCTTAGAGTTAGAAAGTAGTATTTCTAGCTCTCTGTGACAGTGTTTGCTTGTTTACTAGGTCGCTCCTTCCCTCGTAACTTTTCTTCTTTCCTAGTAATTACAATTTCCTTTTTCTTCATCAACTTGCCTTCCTGTTATCCATGTACCCCTTCTCACTTCCCATTCACACAACTTCTCTGGTGCCCCATCTCACTTTTCCCTTCATCGAACCTCGCACCAAAGCGCCAATGCTTTCAATGCAGACTTACCACATATCGGCCGTCGTCTTTTGAATTGCGAAAGTAACCAGCCCTTTGACCTGGCTTGATTGGACCATTGTGGAGCGTTCAAAGTAAGAACCTGCCCTGCTGCTAGAGGTATTACGTTTTGAAGCTGCAGTCAGGACCGGCCAGATTGTTGAAGTGTGTGGGCCTATGATTCTTATGGACGAACTGGCACTCGTTCAATTGCTCATGAAGACCTCTGCTTGTTGATGTTTAAACTTGGTTACTTTTTCACTCTTGATTTCAGCCTCACTCACTTGAATCATTGCCGACATCCAAATTATGTGAGTATTCTGTATTACTGTATTAGCCTGAATTACCGAGGCGACAACCTCGATTTGTCAATTCCAACATGCCGCATCAGGTCTAGCGCGTACTTCACTGTGCCATCGCCCGCCGGCGCTTATCTTACTTCAACGTGGGAGGCAACAATTATCCCACATGATAGAGTTATGTACCACTCCAAACCAGATGTGTCTCTTTCGCTCAATAAATGGAGGAATATAACCTTAGCCCTTCCGGTCCTGCAAGGAGCCGCGCTCCGGGTCACCGTGCCCGCATACCCTGTGCTCGTGCAAAAGCGGGATGCGTACTTCCCCCTAACAGCAACGATTCATGTGAAAGGTGGTCCAGATCTCCTTGAATTGACGCCAACCAAAAGGACTGACAAATAGATAGATGCGTTCGACTACAAAAAGTATGTGAGCGAGTCGCAGTCCGGGCAAGAGTTCGAACAAAACATGCCGGTGATACCAGGTAAGCTATAGCAATCCTCTCGGCCCAGGCACATAAAGATCCTTCGAATCAGCTGTTGAGTTATCCTTATCTTGAGAAACCTGCAGTGCATGCTACCAGGTCGTGTCCTCCAATTCATCGGTCAAAGAGTCTCGCGACATGTTTGTGATAAGACTATGCATTCTGCTGGCTACTGTTACCGGTCTCCAGATATCTGGTATTCCCGGTAGAATTTCTTGGTTCTTTGCAAGATATTTGGAATCATCACTGACAAGTTACAGGGAAGAGCGCAACCTATGACTACGTGGTGATTGGAGGCAAGTAATATCCTTTTACCACAGTCTATCGATCATACATTAACCTCATAGTGAGCAGGGGGCACAGCTGGGTTGACGATAGCCACTCGTCTGGCACAGGATTCGTCTCTATCTGTTGCTATAGTCGAGGCCGTCGGATTCTACGAAGTCGATGGCGGCAACGTCAGCGTGGTCCCCTTTGTATGTAAACCACCCAGGCAGCAGACTTCTGAAGCTAATTTTACCATAGTACGGGAGCCAAGGGACCTCTAATCCATTGCTGAATTGGCAATTCATGACCACACCCCAGCCCTCGTTACTTAATCAAACTTATCACTACGCGCGAGGCAAGACTTTGGGAGGTTCGAGTGCCCTGAACTTTATGATCTACCAGAGAGGTGAGAAAGTCCAGATTCAAATCAAACTCTCAGACTGATTACGACTTGTAGCAACGGTCGATTCATTGCAGAAATGGGCAGACGAGATCGATGATCAATCTTACACGTAGCCAAATATGCTCAAATGGTAAGAGCTGAGGCCACGACACACGGCCCACTCAAGCGAGACGCGGTACGCGTCCTCTTTTCAGCACCTCCTTTTTAAAACTTTAATAACTCAACAACTACTTATTCAATTCTTCTGCAATTTAACATGGAAACACCTGTAATACTCAGCTCACCCCTCGAGAAAGATAAGGGAGAATGGCCTAGCCTTGCGCGCGCAATTATCCGCAGCTTACAATAACAAGGAAAATCTCAGCGCGAGATCGTCCAAGAGATTCAGGTGCCTAGGAGGACTGTACGTCGCATTCTTAAGCAAGAACACAGCCGCAGAAAGCGTAAAAAGAAGCACTCGAAACCTTATTTGATATCTATAAGAACAATACGCCAATACATTCGCACTATCTCAAAAGATTGGTCCTCTTGCAAAATAAACTTTTCGAGCCTCAAAACTCTACTACGGCTCGCTCCCTTTATTCGAACTATACGCTAAGAACTAGCTCGCGTAGGCTACCATCGCTGCATTGCATGCCCTCGACTTTATATATCAAGAGTATAAGCTAAAAAAAGGTTACGCTTTGCGCGGGATTATAGGTGGTGGGGCACATTAGACTATATAGTTTATAGGGATGATGGCAGGCAAGGAGGGGATTGGAGGAAAGTTATTTGGTCTAATAAGGCAATATTCGAGACTGGCAAAAATAGCAAAATCTAGGTGATTAAGAGGGTAGATGAAAAAAAGTGCCCTAATTGCATCCACTCAATTTATAGGTTAAGAAAAACCACGGTTATAATTTGAGAAGCATTAGGCTAAGACTATAAGTCTCTATTAGTATTTATAGAGAAGCTTCTAAAACGTAAGGGCATATATTTTAAGGCGTATTTCTAATAAGTCCTTGAATTTATAGTTTTCCCTTTATTTAACACCTTTAGGCTGGAGTATATTTTCATGGAAGATAGTTCAAAAGTGCATAAAGGAAATGCTTGGTTAAGACTTTAGTATAGAATTTGCGGGTTCAATTAGCCTCTTTCTTTATTTGATCTAAATCCTATTGAAAAGGTTTAGCGATGGATAAAAAAAAAACTAAAGAAATTGCTTTATGTGCCTAAAAATAAAAAGGATTTAAAAAAGGAGTTGCAAAAGCTATAGAATCGAGTAGATTTACGTGATTTTAGGCCGTACACAGAGCGTTTGACTTGTAAGGTTGAGGATGTGATTGTTGTCCGAGGTTTAGCTATTATTCATTAATTTATATTCAAAATCTTAGAAGATTCTATTAAGAATTGTAGTTATTATAATAGATATAAAACTAGGTGTAATTTTGAGGTTCTCGCTTAAGTGGGCCGTGTGTCGTGGCCTCAGCTCTTACCAAAAGTCGACGAATTACACGTATGCCAAGGTCGATCTCCGTATAAGGAATGCTACAGTTGCCAACGACACTGGTGCTTTTGTTGCTGGCGCAGGTCCGCTTCATGTTAGCTATCCAAATTATGCCAATCCTCTAGGGACTTTCTATCCCGCTGCCTTTGAAGAACTCGGCTTATCTCCTTTGCCTTATGGCGTGAACACCGGACCATTAATTGGATATGCTTATTCAACGGTCACCGAAAATCCGGAAGACGAGACTCGGAGCTCTTCGCAGTCATCTTTCCTTGATTTTGCGATTACTCATACTAATTTGACTATATATACTAAGACGATAGTAGAAAAAATCCTTTTCGACAATCTCAATTTGGCTCGTGGAGTCAATATCAAGACGGATAACACCTCGTTCACTCTTTTTGCTCAAAAGGAGATTATCTTATCTGCAGGAGCAATACAATCTCCACAATTGCTTATGGTCTCCGGTATTGGCCCTGCCAAAATTCTCCAGCAATACAACATCCCAATAATTGCCGATTTGCCAGGGGTCGGTCAGAACCTGCATGACAATCCTGCATCTAGTAGGTGGTAGAATCCTTAAGGTTGATATCGGATTACTGACGATATACACAGTCGTTCTGTACAACTCTCCTTTTGTTTTAGATGCCGCTCAACTTGCTACAGCAGTAGTTCCCTATGAAGTTAATCACACTGGCCCGTACACGAACCCAGGAAGCGAGGTCATTGGTTGGGACAAAGTGTCAACGAAGAAGTTTTCCAACCTAAGTTTATCGACCATCGCTTCTTTAGCCGAATCTTTCCCACCTGATTGGCCCGAAGTCGAATTCGTGGCTAATGGAGTTGGTACGTATTTCACTGTTCAATTCTTTAAATTCCAAGATTCTCTTGTCATGTCATACGGCCGACATTCCCCTGCACAACCTATGTGAATAAACAATTCCAAAACGGCAAGCTCAACGTCGTGACGCTGACACGAATTCGTAAGTGGTACAGTGTTCTCTATCTTAACAACTTTTTCACGTGGCAATGTCACCATCTCGTCCGACTCCATGGACAACCCGCCGCTCATTAATCCAGGCTGGTATTCCGACCCCAGAGACCGCGAGATCGGTATTGCTTCATTTCGTTACATCCGGGCGCTGGAAGCCACGGAATCTCTCAAGGAGCTCTTAGTCGATGGCGAACTAGTCCCTGGAGATTCCGTACAGACTGACGAGGAGATCTGGGAATACATACAGAAGGGCACTACATCTCTTTCTCATGCTTCATGTACTAATAAGATGGGCAAGAGTGACGACAAAATGGCAGTCGTGGACTCGGACGCAAAAGTGTACGGAATCAAGAACTTAAGGGTGGTGGATGCTAGTTCTTTTCCTTTTCTGGTTCCGGGACAGCCTCAGAGTATGGTGTATGCACTTGCTGAAAAGATCGCAGACCGTATTTTGAACCCTTAGTCCACGATGCCTGTTTTCATAGAGAATAGTTGTGATAGTATTAAATTATGTATCTCAACGTTTAACTTCTTGAGTTAATTTTAGTTATGCACTGATTTTCTTACCAACTTCAGATCCCCAAAAGGAGTTGATTGAGGTGGAGGGCGATAATTGGTACATTTTAATAAATATACATCGCTTGGACAAAGTCTTGCTGCTTTACAAATACTTGAGATTCTATTCCAGCAGATGGACTATAATACTATATGCTACCATGTTACTTTCGCTTCTGTATCAACCTCTAATTACGTGCTAGGTACAAATCTAAGCTTGTTCCACCACCTGGACACTACTGATGGTTGCCATCTCCACTGTGAATGGCCCAACAACCTTCTTATTCTCGACTTCAATCTCTTTGAAGAAGGATTCCACGACCACGACAGCAATGTCCAGATATGGCCCCCAAACAACTTGGCGTCTTGGAGTCCTTTTTACTCTTGAGCAGACCCTTTAATTGCCTTTTGCACAGCATCTTGGTATATGCTTACCACTGTTGAGAAGCAGGTATTGCAAACGCTTTCATCATCTTCTACAGAGAAAATGACCCGATCTTGCAAAGCACTTCTCATTTGATCCATGAGTCTCTTACTCTGCCTTGTAAGAGTGATGTAATCGACCCGTAACTGGGGTATGGCTTTTTGGACCGCGTCGCGGAGACCCCTGAGCTTTTCGACTTGAGTGAGGCCGCGTTTTGGGGTCGACCTTTCCCTTCTTCACTCCTGATTCACCTCACACAGAAGTTTCTCAGCTGAAGAGTCTCCATCGAGATACCCTTCAAGGAACTTGCTCACAGGCGTTCGCTTGATGAAATGCTTGGAATTAATCCTTTTCCTGTCACTTTCACTCATCACTAGAGTAGATGCGCGAACATTTTTGGCATACTTCGTCGCTGAGAACCTTACACACAGACCAAGTCGAGCGGAAAAGTCTTGGGGCGATGTTGGAAAGCTGCCATGGAACAGGTCGAAGATATGGATTTCCATGGCGAGCTCCAGCTCAGGCCACCGACCCTTGAGGCGTCTTGTTTGTCGAGCCATATTATACAAGTGTGCGATGGCAATGAAGTAAGCACTGAAGTCAGCATATTGTACTCCAGTGTTCTCCATCGCGAGAGCTAAGCGAAGCAATTCCATTCCACAATACACCGGATTGTTGTTCTAGTAATGTATCAAACTCTTACTCGGCCAAATATCCAGCATGCCAAGACTCGTCTGAGTCCTCATTTCAGTCACTGCTGTGTATTTGTGACATGAACATGGCACATCCCACAAATAGACCACTTTTTGCATAAGAAGACGCTTGTTGTAGGCGGCCTCGTTGCATCGAATACCCCCTCGAATATACAAATTTGTAAGTATTGCTTGATTCGCAATCGCTTGACAACCCCATTAACTAGTGAGAGGCTCGCCGATTCAGACCAGCGTCTGAGAATAATTGTGAAAACCTTTAGGGAGCAATTTTGTGATCGTGTGAAGATGTTAGTAAGTGTTCGGCTCGGAGTGTGGGTGAAGATAATGGCAAGGTAATAGTTTAAATACAAAGTAGCAGGGTAGTATTAAAAAGCGAGAGCGTGGTTTGATGTCACCAGATGTCGTTATGAATATAGAGGAGATCAGGATTCACGTTATATTTTCATGGGTAATGGACTCTTCTCGTGACATTATTTTTGTTCTCTAGATATTAGTATGGCAGCCATACTAACAATTACCATCCAAGTAATCCAATCTCCACTTACCCTCCCAATGCCGCTATCGAAAATTCTCACGGAATCTTAGTCATCCGAATCGCGGGTAACTTCATCTATACTGAAAGGCTCCACTGCCTTCTTGTCTGCCACCGCGAGCTCCTTGATGAATTCCTGCACGACAATAGCTGTGATCTCCACGGTCTTCCTCTGGAATGGCGCTCCAGATCGTTCAAAATTTGGAGATCTGTCAGTAATGTGCCCACAAACATTGCTCAACACGGCCGAACCAATGTAGAAACAAGTAACATTACTACCGCCCCCAAAATCTACATCAAGCTCTGCCTGAAGCTTGTCCCAAATTCGCCTTAGGAGTATGTCGCACTGACGATTGAGACAGATGAGATCTTCGCGTATTTGCGGTAGAGCTTCTTGCACAACATCTCGAAGTCCATCAAACATGTCTATTAAATTTGAACTCTTGGTTGGTGAAGGCTCGAGATTCTTAAACTTGTTGATGCTGTGCAGAAATCTCTCTGCAGATTCATTGCCTGCTAAGTAGGCTTCCAAGCATGCTGATATCGGACTTTCTTTCAAAGGCTCCACGCGCTTTATGGTGCGAGCAAGAACCTTCTTTCTAGCATTGCGAGCAAAATTGGAAGCCTTGATCCCGAAACACAATCCATAACGCCGAACAATCTCGTCAAGTTTCATGGGATAACTGCCGTGAAAGAGTTCACTCTTGAATCGCTCCATAGCCTGTTCCATGTCGGTCCACGGGGCTGCAAGCAGTTCATTCTGATTTACCAGGTTATACACATGGGCCATAGCCACAAAAGCATATATCCCGTTTGACAAGAGAATACCGGTTTTGTGCATGGTGACAGCAAGTCGAAGGCTCTCCATGCCACAGTATATAGGATTGTGGTTATAGAAGAATATTGGGTCCTTTGATGGCCATGTCTGTATCAATATCTGGTCAACTTCTGACGGCGAAGAGGATCCGCTAGGAATGGCCCAATTCTTCATACAAGCCTTCTTCCTAGTTGCAACAAGATTGGTCTTGATACCACATCGAATCATCGAAAACGCACCAGTCGCTTGTCGAACCGCTTCATCTGATCCCCAAGCTAATTCAAGCCCGTCACGAATGCTTTGATCATATCCAGCACGATGCTTCAACAATCCTTGATGGTAGTGATCAAAATCCAAAATTTGAAGCGCAGACGCTCCGTCACGTCTGAGATCTTCGTAGAAACCCTTGACAGAGGCTCCCAAGATATGATTGGCATCAAGAAGGAGCCTTGAAGCAAAGACAGTAATGACGTCGTTCTCCGTCTTACACATAGTCTTAGTGATGCCGTCTAGGTAACCATAATAGCGTCTCGGGAACCCAGGTTTGTTTCCAGCACTTCGATTGTCCAGAATCTCGAGTTCAAGAAACTGGACACCCTTATTGACTTTGAAACTAGAAATATCCAAATTCATCCGATTCATAAATAAGTCTTCATCTTTCTTGCTGGCGTATTGAGGCATGCTTGTGAGAGGTTCGGGGAAGATGGATCTCGTAAACGCTGGATTCCGTTGAGGCGTGAATGCCACTTCTTTTTGTAGCATGAGGAACTCCCAGATGTATGCCCAATCGGTGCCATGGCCAAGGTTCTCAGGATGGGCCACAGAATCCCCAGTTGGAAATAGTTGAGTAAAGAATCGGAAGTATTGAGTGTGGTCGCATCGGTCAAGACGGCCATGAGCGAGTGTGACCAGGTCTGCTTCCCACTTTTCCACCATATTTATAGCTACATCGGTCATGAGAGCAGCAACGGAGGAGTCGAGTGTTTTCTGGTGGCATCGTTGCCATGCCTCTTTGAGGACGTCTTGAATTCGATGAAGGTCCTCGAAGAAGCAGAAGATACGGAATGTAAGATCTTCATCTTCACCTCGTTCCAGCTCATATTCACGCGCGTTGGCTTTCTTCGGTTGTTGTCCGGTCTTAACTGTGGCGGCAGGCTCGATGGCAAGACTATCCAAGGTCTCATCGTTTATATCGCTCACTTTAAGTGCTTGGAAGGAGTTATTCAAGCTAGTGAGAGGGCTTGATGTCGTTGAGCTTCTCAAACTGCGAGGTTTAAGATCAGGTATTTCGAAGAACGGGCGCAAGACATCTCGAATCTGTATGAGACAATTGATGAAGTGTATGTGGGCCTTCGTATTCTCTGCACCTTCATCGTCGGTAGGTGAGTTGCTCATGAACCAATTCGAGCAGCGCTGTCGGGCACGAATAGCCCGCTCCAGGCTGCTGTGTATATAAACAGGCACCTTAACTTTAGGCTTGCCATTAGCTAGCCATTTAGCCTGCTCAACCAAGATAAAGGTAGGTAGCTTGATAGCCGGAGAAGCAGAAGCATCTTGGGTCCGGACTAATTTGCGATCTTTCCCTTTCGCACGTCCAGTTGATATGGCAGGTGGTGTAGCAATATGAATTGGTAGCTTGTAACCGCTCGTGTTGGCTTCGTTTGATAGCCAAGTAACAATTGTCTTGGTGTCTTCCTTGTATCTTTGATAGGTCTGTGAGAGAGTGTCAGGCAAGGTAGAAGTCATGATGCGCTTTTTGATGATATGAAGGGAGTTGGAGGATGAAGATAGGAGTTGTGTGAATGCGAGCCGATTGTGATTGTCGGAAAGCGCAAACAAGTTTGTTGATATCGTGTGTGAAGGATTGATGTCTTGCGAAGAGTGGCTAGAAGTATTGAAAGAAATGGTACATCAACTCTTAAGGATAAGTTGAAGAAACAATCCGCATTTCTAGGCCGCGCTGAAGCTCTCAGAGACAGGTATTAGCAATTCAATGTGGCCCGCTAGCTTAGCGTCCAGTGACCTCGTTTAAGCCCCTTTCGTCCAATGTAAATTGTGCGGAGTAAACAATGTCACAACCTTGATAGGAAATAGTGGGTGCAAGATCTGCACTCATTTCAACGAGCGCGAGATGTCAGTCTCTATGGATTCATATCCATCGTGAGATAAACCATCTCTTGAGAACTACATGGAATGCGTTATTAGAAGGGTTCTCTCACTATGCAATCAATAGCGGATCCGAAATGTTCACGTATGTGGTAATAGAGCGAACATGACTATACAACTTTCGTATAATATCTAACCTACGTGCGATGCCTCGGAAGGAAATTGCTGCTATTCTGGTGGCCTCTTTGCTGGGTTGGCTTCTTCAACTTCAAATGCGTTCTAGTTATCAAATCTAGGCTGAACCTTTCTGCCGGTAGTTCTCTCTTGTCAATATCTAGTTCCTTGATAAATTCATCAAAGGCACCAGTTACCATACCCATCAGTACCGTCCTCGTCCGAACGCTTGATCTTTCCTCGTCCTTGTTAGATCTATGTGTTCTCGCTCCAGTGGCACCTCGGATAAGGTTGACACCCAAAGCTAAACAAGATTGATAGTTTGCGCGTCTATCGCTGAGGTCCATTCCTGGTCGGACTCGCTCCCAAATAGGGCTACACTGTCTGTTGAGGGTGATCCAATCGAACTGCAACTGAGGTTTTGCGTGTTCCATGGCATCTCGTAAACCAGTGAGCAAGTCGACATGTGATAATTCTGCTGTGGGCGTCACCAAGTCGCGCCTCTATATCTGATTGATTTCGTGGACGAACCGATCCCCCAGATTCTCACCTTCAAGATATTTTTCCAGACAGTCAGAAATTGCTATAACCCTCGGCCAATGTAAAAGGCGATCCGTATAAAGCTTATCGATCGTGGACTGACGAGCAGTCAGGGCAAATTCTGATGCCTTAAACCCACTGCAGATCATGAAGCGTTTAAGTATATCATCTGGCTCCGTAGGAAAGCTACCATGGAACAACTCTTTTCTCAATATATCCATCATAGATTCTAAGAGGGGCCATTTCCCTTGTAGACCATTTTTCTGCTGCTTTACCATGTTGTAAAGATGGGAAATCGTCTATTGACATATCAGTAAGTTTGTTTTATATCTATCTATCAAAAAGCTAGCATAAAGTTCCTCAAGAAATCGCCTCTGAAAGTGAAGGTGGATTGTGACGTACCATAATTAGAGAACCTTGTTGATACTGTAGAACACCCGTCTTTTCCATCGCCAGGGTCAATCGCAGAGACTCCATACCACAATACACAGGATTATGGCTGTGGAAGAATGTATGGTCTTTGGATGGCCATATCATACCTAGGTGACACTATTCGGCTGTTTCTGTACAGCATAGACATGCAATATCCCACATGTGGTTAGGTTGCGACATCACAGCACGCTTTATAGTTCCCAACCTGTTCGACTTGATGCCCCTGCTAATTAGATTCTATGTGGAAATTGCCTGATTCACTGCCAAAGGACTACCGAATAAGGGCAATAATTGCCTCGGTGATAATCCCCATCCTGTTGAAGTCGTTGTTCGTTCCAAGTCGCTCCATCCCCAACGTAACTTTCGCTCTGCTTGTGCTCCTTGCCATCGGAGATTCGAGTAACTATCTTGGATTGTGTCCCCCAGGATCTCTTGTATATCGCAAAGAACCCGTACCATGAAAGCTGAGATGACGGTTGATCCTCCAAGACAGCTTGCGTACAGGGACTTCGTGATAATATCTAAATATGGTTCCGGCTTGGTAGGAAAGTCTAGAGCTTCAGATCTGACGTTCGATGTAGTCTCGGAGAACATTGTCTGGTCTCCAGTCAAATGCGGATAGTACAGATCAAGCATCATATGTGATATGAAATCGTAGCTCTCCATAGCCTCTGGACCAATAATAGCCCTCAGCCACTGTGGAAGTGATGGTTCTTCTCGGCAGGGAGCTTGATGGCTGCTAGTAGATGTTCTACCTTTCGGGAGCAGTGACTCTATGAGATAGGACCACTTCACAGGGTCACATTGCATCTTCTCAGAAAGGACGTCCGAGAAGAGATATCTACTGATCGAGAGATATGGAGTCAATCCTGACTGGTTGAGATGCTGTGGAGAGAGATGAACGAGCTCTGCTTCTGCTTTCTGAACAAGCTCTAAGGCAACACTGGTGACGGTTGATGCTGTTGGAAGATTCAGCGTGCCACCAGCATGCTTTGCCCAAGTCTCTTTCAAAAAATCTTGAGTACGGTGAAGGTCGGCGAAAAAGCACCAAACATGGAATGGCAAGTCGTCTTCGATGTCATATTCAAGCTCGTAGGTCTCTCGTTCTTTCTCCACACGAGAATTTTCTCTAGCAGCTGTCTGGGCAGAGTTCTCTTGTGTATTATTATCATCCTCATCTAGTTTGAGAAGAGCTTCGAAACGATTGTCTAAAGACAATTCTACCGTTGAACCGTCAGGTTGTTGAGTCGATCTAGACTTTTGGGACCGAGCCGAGTTGAAGAAGGGATAAAGGAGATCTTGGAAAGCTTTCAAGCAGCTGATAAAGTGTTCGTGTCTTTTCGTTGAGTCTTTCATTGTGTCGTTGTTCACTTTACCTCCTTGTATCTGGTTGCGAACCAGTCTGAGCATCGCTGCCGAGAAATAATCGCTCTCTCCAAAGCCCGCTGCATGTGTTGGGGAACTCGAAGACGGCGTTTTGTAGAATCGTTGGCAAGATGTTCGACTTATGCTTGTAGGATTCCTGTTGTTATCTTTCGAAGTGTTGTAGATGGTGTGGTCGATCGATGATCTGCTAACAAGCGTGAAAGACCCTTAGGTTTGCTGCTGCGTATAGCAGTGGACGTAGCATTTGCGCGAGTGTCATCTGCAGGAAGCTTGTAACCACGAGAAGAGGCTTCTTAAGAGAGCCAAGTGACGAAGGTGTTTGTGTCCTGTTTGTACAGGCGGAATGTCGACAAGTGACTGGAAGGCAACATAGTTACAGAATAGTGAGTAGTCGCTCCGAGAGTATGGGTTGCTGAAAAATTGAGCTGTTGTGGCCTCGCTCAATAAATAGTGTAGTCTTTGTGATCAAGGAATCGACGATATGATAGAGATGCAAAGAGTTAAACCGTCGGAATGCGCTCTATCTGTTTTGTGTATGATTGACAGTTGTGCTTTTGGCCATCGCTTTTAGTAAATGTGCGCTGACTGACAAATGTGAGGAGCGTAAGTTATCTCAAGGTTTGCTTGCAGTGATTGATGCAGTAAATCTTGCGAGAGTTAGATGTCAGGCTCAAAAGGAGTGTGATTTGTGCTCTATTTATTGATCCAGGAAAAGGCAGAGCGTAAACATTTTCATTGGGATGCGCTCGACCCCCGACCTAATCAAGCTTACCATTGTCCTGGAAGACTAGTGTACACTCACATCGAAAGCCTTCGCTTATCCTTCTCCCAGTCAACGTTTGGATAGTGTGCATTATGGAAAGCTTCCGTCGGATATTTCGCAGTTAAGGATTAGTTGGACTTAAGTGAGCCGATTCGAAAAAATAGATTGAGAAAGTCGAAGGTAGGGAAAGTAGAAGATATTCTCCTTGCGCATTAATGGTAACTTCTCAAAGGAAATAAATCTGAACATAATGCAGCACCCACAGAGCTCTAGCTCCACGACTCTCGACAAATTGAGGCTTAGGGGCCAGCATCATTATTATCATCTTGTTCCCTTTTATTATCTTGCTTATGGTGATTGCGTCGGAGGCCTTTTATTGAATGACAGAATAAGCAGTAAGTGAAGGTGTGACAAGCGTTTTGAACCCGGTGACCGAAAGATTTCATTCTACACGACTATTCCCAGGACGTGAAACAAGCAGCCAAAGTCCTCTTGATACCACCGCCTGATGGAGAAAGCAAGAGACGTAAAAGCAATTTGGCAGACTGAAGAAAAGTCTGCACATGACACTTCATGCGCAATTCGTCCTATTTGTTCGAGAATTACAGGATGGTTATGAACAACACAAACCTTTTCACATTGACATAATTACCGCACTATAATCGCTCCATCACAGCTCTTCATCTCACCGCCGAACCTGAGCACGAAAGACCTCCGGAATATATCCACTGGTATCTAGCTATCCCCTGGGCATCAAGCTTGAAGCTCCAATGGAGCTGCTCCATTATTCTTCTCCAGCGGCTAGTCATCCATACTCAAACAATCACATCACTTCTCCTTCTGAACCAAGAAAACGTTCGTCTCGAACAATGTTCTCTCACTCCTCATGCAGGGGCCCCCAAAACTTCGCAGCCTAAAAATCGTGTAACCATGCCGATTCAGGCTCTCTATCTGAAACCGCCCCTCCACGCCCCCAACCGCCTCGTCCCCCACACTTCACAAACATGATCTCCTTGTAGATCAAACGAACGCCTCAAAAACGCTAATTGAGCCTCCCTCTACAGCAGGCATGGGAAAAGGAAAGAGGAACGACAAGAAAGGCCACACGAACGGATCTCGAATCTCCCGTTGGGAGGCATGCATAAAGATTACAGGGTCTGCGTCGTGTTGTTGTGGTCGCTATTTAACCTGGCGGGAACTCTTAAGAGGGTCGGTATAGGGGCTTGGCACGTGTTTCTTGCTTAGACGAATTGGCTGACGGACAACCACAACCAGTTTTCCTGTTGTTGTCATCAGAAAACATTTCGGACTTCTGTGCCTATGAGTATTTTCTATTCTTGGGGTACGGAGAAGAAAGTGGGAGAAGGAATGAAGTTTGAAGTCTCAAACAAATAGTAGTTAGGGGATGGATGGGATCGAATCGCGATGCGCGATCTCGACACGCGGTGGAATGTGAATGACGCTCCATCGCGTCCCTCAACGAAAGAATGCCTCTTCTTATCTCTCGCACTTCAATTCTTCTCTTTTCAACATCTTAACTCATTCCTCTTATCTCTCACACTCTGCGTCGTTCTTCCCAGCCCTCTGGCAGGGCCGCTTCTCATAATTCTCACCTTGCGGTTTCGTTTCAATTCAAACTTCACTATCTCCGGAACAAGACATCTATTTCACGCCCACACCATCAATCGCTTCTCCCTCGAAAGCAGCACGGTACTGCCCTGGAGGCAGTATACGTGACTCTCGAGCTTACTCATAAATATAATCTCGCTGCCATATATCTTGCACTCCGCGTTTGAGAGTGTATACAGGCAGAAATCGCCATTCTGAGACAGTCGAGAGAGGTCAAACAGAAACGAATTTTATTCGCACGACACTCGTCATCTCCTCTTTCTAGCTCTCCCCCTCTCTTTAATTCTTTCCCGATGATCATCGAAGGCGAGGAATGAATGCGGTCCAGCAGGAAAAAGAGAGAGAAAGACATAGTGGAGGCAGCGATGGGTCCGTATCCGGATTTGCAGCCCGCGCTGCCCACTCACTTCGTCCGCCCTTCTCGCACGAAGAAGTTGCTGAGCCCGGTGCTAGTCCTGCTTACGGTGGTCTTGCTGTCCGTGGCGAGCTTGATGGGGTTGTGTATTGCGATTGTGGTGTTTGCATCGAGTGGTCCGAAGACGGGGAGTACGAATGCTGCTCAAGGTTTTGCTATAATCTCTGTGAGTAGTTGCGTATGTAAAGTGTCAGGAAGCTGGAGCTGACGATTATTGTAGGCGATAATGTCGATCGCGTACGTCACACTTCATATGGTTGCGGCAAAACATAATGATCCTGTTGGAATCACAAGGCCTCCGGAGTTGAGGCTTCATGCTGCTTGCTTTATAATGGCGAGACTGGCGTTGGTTGCGTGGTTCATGGCCTTTATTGCATCGTGTGTTGTCATATCAAAGCCGGAAGCTTGCTTGGTCGAGAGTCAGGCGTGTCAAACTCAAGTCGCGGATGTCGTTGCGTCGCTGGTAGCATTGTGAGTACACCATGTCGTTAATGATGTGACGCTGCATCGGAACTGACAAAAATTAGTGTCGCCATGGGAATAGTTCTTACAGCACTCGAAGCCTGCAAATATCCCTTCCAGATACCCGACTTCCTGCACATATCAAGAAGATTTACATACCGAGTCAGTGCCTTCGCAGAAGATCTCCTGGATAGAAGTGTGTCACGGACCTCATCGCTTCGTGGCCACAGTGAGAAAAGTAAAGCAAGCAGCCAGAAGTCGAGCGTAGATGAGAAACCTTTGCCCAAGCCGCCGTCAGATATCAGCGATGTATCACCAACACGACCAATTACACCGTTGTTGCCTATGGCAAAACCAGCAAGGTCAGCATCGACCACCTCGAAAGGTTGGGGAGAAGAGTGGACACACCTAGTGAGAGAAATGAACGACGGAAATCCAGAAAAGAGCGGCGCTAAGAACTCGTTGGATTCTGCCATCTCACTCACCTACGACAGCTCATCGGGGTATGTGAGCTCATCAGAACGAAGCTCACATACACGCATGAGCTCATACGCATCAACATACAGACGATCAGCCATTATTGAGGGAGGCGCATATGTAACTGCTTCGCGGCGAACAGGTGTGGAAATGAACGCATACGCTTCGGGGTCCAGACGTGCGCCAGTCGCCAGGAGGCCACGTCCAAGAGTGGTGACGCCGAGCAGTAGTATAAGCAACATCTCTCGTCGATCACCACTTTCCACCATGAGGTTGGTGGACTTTCACGTGACTGCAGTATCTGCTAACACTTTCCCAGATCTGCCGAGTTCCCAGAGATGGTTGTCCGACCAGACTTGAGATACTATCCACCCAGAATTTCATCACAGCATGAATGGATTCCGTCAAGGTCGTCTTCAATCTCGGCACTTATGCCAATAGCAGATGTGCAGCGCCTCCGACGAACATCCATGACGTTTCCGGACCAAATGAGACTTCGAGGGCCAAGCAAGACTCTTCCTCCCTTACCACGTCCAATATCTCCAAGACCGCCGTCGAGAGGGCCTATTAAGAGGAGGACAGCGGATATCAAAGTGCCAGGAGCATATCCGCATCTCGAGCATAAGCCGAGTTTCGATCTCGAGCAGAGTCTAGATGATCATATGAGAATGATTGAAGTAGAGTACGTGACACGAAGGCAGAGTAAGGCAAGTCCATCTTCGAGCAGCTTTGCTGCAGGCTCACGGCAGGCTCTGAAGCCATTGTCGAATAACTGTGCACGACGAACGGAAAAGATGGAAAGGCGAGCATCGCTTATTCGGTCTAATCCGGAATTGAGAGAACAAAAGTCGATAAGTGACACTGGAAAAGGACCATTGCCAGTTCGATCAAATCCTGAATTGAGGGTATTGAAACAGAGACAAATGTTCACACCGAGTAGTGAGGTTGACAGGCCATCTCTGCTGGTTCCTATGAAGCCCAACTCGAGTCATACAGGGCATATAACTCTTGGAACTCGAAGTCACACGACAGTAGCAATCAAGGACGCTCGACCCGGAACAGCACAGCCCAACAGTACATCCAAGGCAGATTCGGGAGTGAAGGCGCTGAGGCGGTTAAGTCTAGGTGACCTCTCATCAGGACTTGGGGATCTGTTTAGGTGAAGAATAGGGGGGCTTAATCAAGCAAAACATGTACATTAGAAGGACAGCATGGTAGGAAGGAATATAAATATCACGGTCTAGACTCTGGGTCACTTGAGCCTCGAAGTGAAAGATCCCGCTCCAAGCGCTGGCTCTCTGCCTCGGTGAGGAATCCCGAACCAACATTAGGGCAAGACGATCCCGTGTTACCTGAAGCAGCTTCATGCATGATAATCCTCCCCTCCCATTCGGTGAGGGTGAAGATATTCGAGCCAGGCTACAGAGGCCAATAGACGTTGGTGATTGCTCCTGCGATGTGACGCATTTTCATGCAACAACGACGCTGTCAAAAAAAGTCGTCGACGCGGGGTACAGCAGCAGCGTGGCAGCACACGACGTTGACATGTTACATATGTACCGTTGTGTAGCCCACGTTTTTGACAAAGTTTGACTTTACTTTCGAAGTATATACTCGGCTGAATGGAAGTGAATGATGCTTTGATAGTCTCTCAAAGCAAAGTTGAGTATCTGCTGAGTCAGATTTCGATGACGTCCAACTCAAGCGCAAGCCACAGTTGAACCACACCACCATTTTCCAGGCTCGCACATGATTGACCCCATCGAGACAACCTGGAATTCGACTTGGAATTTCTCACCTGCGCAAAGTCACACGAATCTCATACGAAGCCACGAGACATTCTGACCACCCTCCCAACAATTCATCAGCCTCGCCTCAGAAATTTGTCTGCGTTTGCATGTGAGTCAAATCTGAAGCAGAGCCCTTTGTCGCCAACAGCAACAAGAAATATCCTGCAACGATAAACACAAGCTTTCCGCTCTTCACAGCCAACAACTCTTCCACTACTCTACTCTACTCTACAATATACAGCCCTCGATGACGGACATCATGGCCTCAGAAGAACCTCACACCATCCACTCGCCACCGAGCCCTTCTACCAAGCGACCAAAAGGTACGGAGATGTTCCCGCTATTGTACCCCTCTTCTTCACAACTCAAGCTGATAACAAAACACAGGCATCCTCAAGAACTCCTACCACCGCTCTCCACCGAACCAAGCACCTATCTCGACCACTTCACCTCCTGCCGTCTCTCCTACTCGCGTTTCGCGCCCTGCGTTCGATGAGCGCGACCTCTCAGACAAGGACATCACCCTCCACAACACAATCCAGAATGCCGGCCACAGACGATCCTCCTCCGCTGCTCGACCGCCAGGATCTAGACGACACTCGAGTCACTCATCGCAAGGCCCTGTAATAGATGGAGATGGGGAGATGCGTCTCAAGTGGGATGAGGCGAACCTATACTTGACGGAACAAGAGAAGAGCTCTACGATGAAGATTGATGAGCCTAAGACACCGTATGCCAAGCACTACGACCCCGCTGAAGACGACGAGGAGATGCGGACGCTTGATGCGGATGAGATTGTCGTTGATGAGCTGGACAAGGCTCGTGCAGGTAGAAGCCCAGGGAAATCATCACGCGCTAAAGAAGATGAGATTCCAGGACTCAGCCTGGGTGAGCCAGAGGAAGCCGTGCCAGAGAAGGATTTGGATGAGCATACTAGGAAGGAGAAAGCAGTTCATGTCAGCGGAGAGGAGCATGTTGGTCTGAGTCAAGAGGAATTAGAGAAGCACAAGAAGTTCGAGGAGATGAGAAAGAAGCACTACGAGATGAAGAATGTAGCGAACCTTCTAGGACACCCTGAGGACTTAGATGAGGATGACGATGGAGATGAGGCTATGAACGGGAGCGCAAGATAATAATGGATGGCACTTAGGGATGGGATATGATGGCGTTTTCTGACCGTTGCTGCACGGCATTTTTTCTGCATACCAACCAACTCGCATGGAGCTCCTAGCTTGTATTACCGGTTCTCTTTTGTCTTTTTGCTTGGCTCTTTTCCTTAGTACACGCGGAGATACAGAGATTGCAGCGATGCAATGATGATTGATGATGATGGTCGATGTATGTAGTTTAGTTGAATCAACGAGATCACTTCTTTTTGAGGCTGAGAGGTAGTTTGACTCCAGTGCTTAGAACTATCAATGTCTGAGTTCATCTTGTAGATGTGTGGCGGCGTGATGTTGATTCTTGTGTCAGAGATGTCAAGCTCTACTCGGACATTTACATATTCATGAGCTATATCAGGGCGACTTCAACATCAAATTCTCTTTACATAATTCACTTTCAAGTACGTCTTCCTTAACCTTTAAATCACACGCCTTAAATTCACTTACAATTATCGCAGAACTTCAATCCTCGCTTCCAAAATTCATATTCTCGCAACCCTCAAAATAAAACAACTCGCATCCTCCATCATCCACCATCCACCTCCACCCTCACAACCTCACCCCTACTTCACTCACCCATGCGGTCAAGCTCCGCACCACCTCAACTACAAACACGCGCCATGAGCTTTTCTCGTAAGTCTCTCTCCGTTATTTTTACTCACCATCAGCAACCATTGAACACACAACAGCCGGGTATGATATCAAGTATTTCGACGACGAACAAGACTTCGACGACGACGAAGACGAAGACACAAAGGAGAATCCTTTACTTGATGGGCTGGAGGCTGAGGTTGATAAGCATTTAACGATGGCGCGTGGCAAGAAGATAAAAGTTGAGCCGGCGGCAAGGAGGGAGAAGATCAATGTGAAGAGGGAGAGGAGTGAGCGATCAGGAAGCTTGTTGAGACGAGATAGGAAAGATGAGGATGCCTGGGCCAGAGAACAGCGAGACGTGGAGGAGAGTCAAGCTGCGGCTGGCAGCCAAGCTACTGGCCAAGCCACGGATGCGTTCCAGGGCAATGATGAAAGACCTCAGGTGCCGAAGGCCGGGCTTGGTAGGTTGAAGCGCACAGAGCGTGATAGAGCGGAGATCGAACGCGATGAAATCGATGTAGCTGCTGCTATAGATGCAGTAACGCGCCGCCGAATCGGTGATACGGCAAGGCAGGATCCACAGCCGGTCAACCATCCCGTCCCAGAAAACAAGAGGACGAAAACAGAAAAGAAAAGAGAGAAGCGGGAACAAGAAGCAAAGGCTGCAGCTGACGCTGTTCGATTGGCAGCCGGCAATACACCTAGCCAAGCTTTTGTGCAGGCGGATGATTCTGTTGCTGCACCTAGTGCAGCGAACGAGACCGCTAGAGCCCATGATGAGAAGAAGAAGACAACGGCACAGAGAAAGAAGGAGCGTGAAGCGATGTTGCCGGCTAGTGCTGGCGATTCAGCAACTGGCCTTGCACCATCTCAAGCCTCAGTGTTGATTGATCCTTACAACACAGCGCCTGCTGATAATCGGGTTGAAGACGGAATCATCGATGGCGAGCAAGAAGTCGAAAATGCCAGGCAGTCATTATCAGTGGAGCGTGGTCAAGGAAAGACGGTGATTCGTCTTGATAGCGATCCTATGGAAGTCGATGCATTCGACGGCGTGCCAATTGATTGGAACAATCCACCAGGAAGCCCAAATGACCGGCTCCAAAAGGACGTGAGCCAAGACAAGGAAAAGAGAAAGAGGGCAATTTCTGATACCGGGTCCTTGCTGTCACGAGTTTCTGAGACCGAAGCTGCAGAGATGAATGTCGTGCAAGATGAAGCTTCCCAGTTGTCAAAGAGGGATAAAAAGAACAAGAAGCGCAACTCTCAAGTAATCGATCTTGTTGACGATACTGAGGATGATCCCGCGACTCGCCGAGCAGCACTCAACCAGGCAAAGGAGCGTCAAGGCAAGACTGTTTCAAAGAAGAGACAGCGAAGAGAAGCCCAACAATCTCAACAGTCTACTCAAGCTGAGAAGCCATTTGACTCTGATTACGATGCCACTCCACCGCCAGAGAAGAAGCGGAAGCGCAAGCATAACAATGAACCTCCAACGCAATCGACTCAAGAATCTGCTCTTCGGCTACACGAGTTGCCCGAATATATCAGCAAGGAAGAAGCTTTGCGGCGTACCGTCTTAAGAGGCCGTGTTGACTCCACGCCTCCTCGAGTTATCGCAAGCCAGCGCTCGCAAGCTCCTAGTCCAGCGACTCCGATCGTTTCTAGAGACGATGATTTCTCAATCGATCTAGATAGGATTGGTACTGCTCATATGCCGGCTGTGGCAAAGACTCCCCGAGTTCGAGAGAGTCCCATCCGTCCTCCGACTACCATCCATTCTCCGGCCGCACAGCGTCAGCGCAGTGTTTCTGTTTCAGCACCAAAGGAAAGTCCTATTCATCCCCCAAAGAGGATTCACAGTCAGCTCTCTGAACGCCAGCGTAGCGTCTCTGTTTCACCGACGAAAGTCAGGAAGAGCAAGGAGAAGGCAGTCAAAAAGAAGGGGAAGAACGAGAATTCTGCTTTCGAGACAGCTGTCAATAGCATTAGGAATGCTGTTGGTAATCGATTCAGTGCCCTGTTCTCTCCTCTTCCAATGGAGTGGACGCCGACGGTAAAGTCTACGACCTCCTTGAAAGACCACAACGGCACCAGTGACAGTCAGAAGAATTCGAAGAAGCAGAAGAATACTCATGATAACGTTCCTTTACTCAAGGGTACTCCCGTCATCGATTGGGAGAAGAAGAGTGGAAAGATCCGTGCTTATGTCACACCAGAAGATGGAGATGATGATACTGAGATTAAAGAGAGTAAGTATTCACACACATCCTCTTGACGAAAGTTGGTGACAAGCCTGCAGATATCGCGTTCTCAGCCAAATACATAGCCAAGAAACGTTCAGTCAGCATCTCGAACACGACTTTCGCTAGTCTGAAACTTGAAGTCGGCAAGAGACTCGTTCTCAATGAGTGCACAGATGGAAAAGACAACTGTAATTTGAGCATATGCAGTGTGGCCGAAGGAAGAGTTCGGGTTCTACTTGGTGGTGGAGAAGATGGTGTAGAGGGAACATTATTTGAGATTGGAAAAGGCGGAGTGTGGAGAGTTAGAGTGGGTGAGAGATGTGAAGTCTGTGCCGTTGAGGGAGACCGAGAGAAGGAACGCGATGGTGATGATATCGCTGCTGTGATGTTTGTTGTTGGTGTTGGTGTTGAGTAAAGGAAATGGGGAAACACGGTTTCTCTTCTATTATGTTTCTGTGTGGAAATATTGTTGATTTGTGTAATTACGTACTTGGCTCGCATTCAGATATGCAGCATACATTCAGACTTGCAAACCCTATTCTCGCAAAGCCTTCTTCTTCTTCTATTCACATTATCGGAATACCAAAGGCTGCATGGTTAGTACTTTCCAAGGGAATGCTCGGAAAATCTGTTCTGTGGAGACTTCGGTATGAACTCTGTAAAAAAGGGGCAGATTGAGACTTACCCAGGTAGGCGACGATAGGCGTCACATAGCTAGGTACTGTAGAGCGGCCCAAGCCGGTCCAGGTGTCCTTTTGGTGGGTCGAGCTTCTACTTTCTCGTGAATTAATTATTTTGCGATCTACCTCGTGAAATATAGAGGATATTAACCGAGAAACTTGGGGCGATGCGCGTGAACTTGAGCTGATAAGGTTGGCAAAGAGAAACTTGGCGTCGATGGTTGGCATGACCTGAGTTTCTACTACAATCCATTTGGCTTATTAGGTCTTCGTTCAAGATCCCCATCAGTCAAGATGCAATGCGGACAACTTGCTGAATGGACTTACAGTAACCTATGAAAATGTCTCGCTTCTGCTTGTGCAAGTGCATGCCGACTTGAACCCTGGCATTGTGGCGTTTTGAGGCCTCACGTCACGGGCTAGCGCTCGTCACGTATCACAAGAGGCTGATACATCTGCCTTTAAGTTTGTTCGATGCATTCTGTGTCTCCTTCAAGATTTGACTTCTTCGTTCACTTTTGCATGCTTCTTGGACGGCGTCGATAATTTGACAACTTGAGGGGCAATCGGAGTCCTTATAAGATTATTTACCCAACGCCATGGCTTCTGCATGTTTGACTGAAAAGTTCTTCTCTATTTTGAGAGCAATCAAGCATGGAGAATACTACGATAAAAATTTCGTTTGCGCCTATGCTTTTGACGCAAGATACTTCTGGGGTTTCTTCGCATTATTGGCTCTCGTGTTCCTGGTTGACGCTCGCAACAGAATCAAACATGGTGTATATCATCCCCTGGTCCGCTCGGGACCCTTCTGGCCGTTTTTCATTATTCTATTCATTGACTTTCTAGACCAGACTTTTGATCTCGGGGGGCGTAAAGAATCAAACATATGTATATTCTTGAGTCAAGTTCCCGGTGTCGACTGTGGACAGGTGCTTGGAGTCCTTCTTACATACGCGATTCTTTCGGCTGCAATGTCCTACTACATCACATTGTATGACATTCCAGATGTCCATACCAACTATCCTCAGTCATACGAATACGGCTACCTCCACGCGAAAGTCTCGTACTCATTGCAAGACAAATCAACGCAAACTGAAGATATTTGGACGAGAGCTGGGTGGAGACGTACCGATGACACACCGACTGGCGGATTCGAGGGCTCCTACCGTTCCAATTGGAGGCTCCCTATCCCAGAAGACGCAGTTATCGGCGCTTCTGGAAACCCACGAGACTGGTGGAAGCCATCGCCAGCTGAACGGGATCTTCTATACCAAACACAGTCGGGGTTGGGGAGTTCTTCTGAAACGGAAGCGCCTCGAGATAGCATTGAGACTGTAGATGGCATGAAAAGTGGTATGATGAACTATCTACACCAGTTCCATGCGACCTTTGACACTGACATCAACGTTACAGGCTCGAAAAAAGTACATGCCTCAGAAGCTGATGCTCCATCTATCAAAGAAAATGAAGTACTGGGTACTTCCAGCAACACGACACCAGAACTGCCGACCTTCAATACGCCCATCTCCGCAACTCGATCGGGTTTCACATGCTGCAATCAACTCTTCCGTACTCGAGCTGAATACAAATAAGTATCCCCTCCATTTTCTCTTCGGTTGACTAACATCCAAGCAGTCGGCATGAGCGCTACCACAAGAGACCAGTTGGTTGTCCCCGCTGTCCTCTGCGTTTTGGAACAACAACAGATTTGGATCGACATATCAACGATGTGCATGAGAGAACTTCAGTTTGGCATTGTGCGGAAGTGGCGTGTAAGCACTCAAGAACTTCGAGCGGCAGAGGATTCTCGAGGAAGGATAATTGGAGGAGACATATGAGAAATGCACATGGTGTAAATGTGGAACGAGACGCAACTATCTAATTGCGGGTATGTCATCGAGGAGGGTAGTCGCAATGCTATAGATGCCAGAAATGTAAGCGCCCAGGCAAGCCAAACAGACGACCGAAAACTTTGATTAATCTTGGTTCAGCACAGTAGTTGAACAAAGGCATTGCGCTGAAGACATTACATCTACCCTTCTATCAGACAACATCGGTATTAGAAAGTTTGGTAGTATAGGTAGAAGAAGGCCACAATCTTTTATGTCGAGCCACATTATCCGAGCTCACGTGATGCCCATTTCTGGCAGCAGCTGAGAGTCTCAGACTGATTGAGCTTCGTCTTTGTCTGCTCGCAACAACAGGAGCAGATCTTAATCAACCGATTGTCCTTGTGACGTGGAAATCGCCCGGCATCAATAGTAGATGTGGCTCATCTCTGCAGACAGCTGCTGTGAACGTGTCAAATGCTGGCTATCCCCGCGAATCTGTTGACTCGATGCCTCCTCATGTGGTCTTGAAGTCGAGCCACCAATAGATTCATCCCTCGTCGCAAGCCTTTGGATATCGAAGAAACCAAATTGTCCAGAGGTAGCAGCAGACAGGACTTTCGGTTGATTGGAATCTGGTAGCTGTGGTGGAGTGTGACTTTGTTGAAGACATGGTTCAAGGCTCTGATTTGATACATCATAGAGCATGTTGCCTGGGGACTCTAGTGTTGGTCTAGATGTTGCCCTCGCAGTGAAGGAATTTTGTGCTTGCGAATTTAAGTGGGAATGCCAGTGTGTTGCCGAATCGTCTTTTGTTTTTGGTTCAGGTCTCGTGTCGTCTCGCTCTATACATTTGAGTTATCGACTGTAACATACAGAGAAGGGGTCATACCATAAGAAGTCTGATTTTCTTGGAAAGATATCCACCAATTTTCAACATCGTTGGAGGTTTGCAATGGGCATTGTATCCAGCTCTTCATTCTCAAGGCTTTGCTCGTATTATTCTGATGCGAAGAAAGAGGCTGGATCACATTTGTGTAGCTGAAAGAGCCCCCTCCATTGAACCTTCTAAGTTCACAAAGTGCATTGTAGAGAGCCGCTTCAGTCTCATTTAAACGCGCTTCGAGCGCACCAAGATAGCCAGCAGGTATACCCCTGCTCCAGTCAGTGCCGAGTTTCGAGGGATAAGTTACTAATTGGACAGACCTCTTATTACTCTCTGCATACTTACACTCTGTCTGAGAGGTTGTACAGTGACCGCAAACAGGTCTAAAGTGCCCAAGTCAGCCAACGGATGGCTCTTTTTGTAGGAATGCCTCACAGTTGTCGATCGCACTAGGGATAAATGAGCAAAGGATGAGGAGCATGATGGGGCCGTACTTTGCATTTCTTTCGTTTACATGGCTCACAAGAGCCGCTTTGAAGATCTGCCATGTGTGCAATGAGAGCATTTCCAATCCAACCTTGATGAAGTGAGGTGAGGTCGTCAAGAGCTCGCTTGATTAGCGTCCAGTTAGGTTCGGCCCCTCCCAGCGGAGCAGTTTCGATTCTTCCGAATCTCGACCCATTTACACAGCAAAGAAAGAGAGCAATGGTTGTTTTCATTAAAGACAGGGAGGGATCTTTTATCGTGTATGGTGTACGTAAAATCGCTATCTTAAACTGATTTCCTTTTCCTCACATAGACGCGAGCGGTAATCTTCCAAGAGGTGATAGACAATTGCGGGATATCATTCTTATCTACAAGTTTACTTACACCCACCTCGCAAGCAGGGTGTGAAGTTGCACCTATTGCCCTTCTATCGACTGCCTTCTCGTTTCATCGCCTCCTTCCCATTTGAAGAAAGCGGCGGTAGCACGTGATCTTCAACGGTCAAAAATAGAGGAAGCCCTTCCAGCCACAGGCCCTCATAACTTAACCTTAGAGACAGTAGTAGCTCTGATTCGTAGTATAGTCAGTAGGAAAACAGGTGAAGTCAGTCTGCGGAAGATTGCCGACTGGCCCAATTGCGCGAATACCGCAGAACCCGCAGAATGCGCAAAAAGCTCTGATACCACCTCAAAACAAAACCCCTTGAACTCGAAAGAAAGACTGAAACGAAAATAAGTAGTTTTCAATCAGAAAACAATCGAACTCTAATCGCCTTCACCTCGCCGCAGATATCGAGTTAGCCATGTTATTGGGACATACCAGTATTGGTGTTCGCTCAAGTGAAACCGTTCAAGAAAGTTCGCTGAGATGATAAGGTACGTCCATGAGTTGAAATATATCATCGAAATCATCGAATGAACTTTCCATAGGAAAAAATTGTCCATTCATAGCTGGCCAATTCTGAAGCGGCGTTGGGTCTCCCTGGAAGACTGGAATTGGAGATCGGCTCGGATTATTGGGAGCGACTGTGCCTAAAGGTGAGGTGTCTTCTGCTGCAGCTTTCAACATATCATGATGCGCTCCAGAATTTCCGTGACGAGAGTTAAGATGTTGTAAAGAGGTTAATGAGGAAGCGTTCTCACGGTCTACATCAAGACGATTCTCGAGGCCGTTTGTGCTTGATCTGAGTGTATGTATGTCCTGTTGTCTGCTCGTAGCAGGTTCTGTCTCCGATCCTAGAAGTTCATTCCCAACTTTCTGCCTCAAAGCCTCTTGCAGGTCTTTGATAGCCGCTGCACATGCTCCAGGCCAGAACACCCCTCGCAATGAAAGATTTTCAAGAATCTTGACACAACGAGTAGCTTCTCTATGCGACGTTAATCTTCCGGAACTACCATCCCCGCTGGAAAGAGACTATCATATCATACCTTTGAGCAGTCTCCACAGCATAGAATCCATTAGATGCAGCATAAAGCAATATTAAACCACTCATCCAGACGCACCACGTGAACCCTGGCCAGAACAAAGGACTAGTGGTCCGACCGTCTGTTGACTGTTCCTCCCTCTTGCAATCTTGTAAGTGTTGATATATTCTCGAGATGATAGCTTTTGATGCTCCAATAGACTTCTGGATCGCTGCGCTGACTGCGAAAGTATTATGCCCCGAAGTCATGACTGGCCGATTCAACAGGATGACTGATTCATGTTTCTGTACAATGAGCAGAAGTTTATGGCACGATCTTATCATTTCAGAGGGCGCTTGTCCCACTGGAGAATTGGTGCCATCATCTTCCAAAGATGAGGGGTCGATGAAATCTTGCACCTCGTTCCAGTATCTCGATATCTCAGTATCTATGTGGGCGACTTCATTAGGATCAGTCACCCTATGATTAATCGACTTGTGTCTAAGCTCGAGGATCAAACCTTTAATCTGACTACTACGAGCGAGAAACGTAGGAAGTAGGAAGCGACGCGAATCTGTGAAATGCGATGAGAGGCGTGATGAAAACATTCCCTGAGCACGTACCATTGTTGTTCAATCCGTCTCTGTGATTGGTAGTGTGATCTTCATTATCATGAAGACAAACGTCAATGTCTTCGTCTTTCAGAGTGACGGGTAGGCCCAAAGACTGAGCGAGAAACATTTCAAGGGAATAGATTGTCCAAAACAGTCTTCGTCGCATACCAGCCTCAGCAGCGGAAAATTGCTTGTAGCGAGAAGGACATCGATGAAGTCCCAGATGGAAAGCGATTCGTACAATGAGGCCTCCAAATCTTGAAGCCGTGTTGAGACGAAGGATTGAAATCAGAAAGATTTGAATACTCACAGCTGCTTGGAGGCCGAAGACTGTTGATGAGTGGACTAGAAGAGTGGATATATTTGCAATCGCATCCTCGACAGTGTTGAAAACCAGACTCGCTGGCATAAGCTGGATACTGCTTCGATCTCCTTTTGGCATTTGCCTTCTGTCCGCAAGCGATATTGACAAGACAGACTGAACTATCGTTGTCTCATTATCACTTAGTGACAAAAGCCCATCAGATGAAATGGTCTCGAAAAGGCCAAGAATGCTGGGTGCGTGAAGAAAAGGAAAAGGTGCATGCCAAATATTGAAGTATGGTTGACTCCAGTACACGAGGTCTTCGAAGGTAGTGGAGTCTGAGTTTGCTCCTTGCTCGGAAGAACTGTGCAAGATCTCATTTGGATGCCAAAGAGATTCTGGCGAGTTTCGAGAGACGTGGTCATCCTCGCCTGGGACAATTTCGCTGTCAAACAGACTGCTATCCTTGCTCATATTCTTGGCAAGAGCTGAGCGTACTGTATGGACAAATGCTATACCACTTCCACTGCCCACGAAGCTTGTAGAGCCTGTCTTTTCGTCTGATCTCATGTGACCTAGCTCCGTGTGTGGACTTGCAGTGTCATTCGGTCGCAGTGCCGAGACGCTTGATTGTCGCCGACGTTTACGACTTGGCGCCCCCGCAGTTGGATAGTCTGGATCCATCGCATGGTGATGTGCTGAGAACTTGGTTTTTGGATAGCGTTTGATGATTTACTTCGTGTGAAAGATGACAAGTGAAGCTCCGAGGTGGTTGATGAATGTGGAGCAGACTAGCCTGAACGGGACCTAAGTAGACTACATACTATCACAACGTGAACACCATAGTCAGATATTCTCAGGCATTCCGAGTTACTACATGTTTTATTATATTATGTCTAAGAAAGATGGTCCGTGCGATCATAGATGCGCAGAAGGTACCACGCCGATGTCTCGAATTATTGACTGACAAGTCCAAGTTCACAGCCAGTAGCTCCAACATCAAAAGGGAAGCCGTCCAGCCCATCAACCTAAGCACTCGAGCTCTCCCAAGCCGTTTGGAAATATTTCTCAACTCCATTAACAGCGTCCACAAGCTCATTAAAGATGTTCAGTACCGATGTTCGAATTCTTATCATATTATATCTATTGACCAAAGCCATGCTTCGTTGAGATATCCACGCTCGCTTGCAAGAGACAAGAAAGGAAGTGTAGGTAGTCGGAAACGTACACAAGAGTGATGATGTGACCAGGTAACCGAATCTCAATCTCAATCTCATTTCACTTAGAATCTCAAAGAACCGAGGATCATTCTGGTATGCTCTGGGGAGCATTTACCACCATTGCTTGTCGAACCACTCCATCCGAATTCTCCCACATATGCCGCATGTCCGCGGTATCGGAAATGCTCGTCCAATTTCTGTAGGGTTTCTCCAAAATCATCCATGAAATATCCTCCGCCTCCGAGTAGCGAATCCGTTTACAAAGAACAAAATCCTCCACCAAGGGTCGTCGATCTCGAAACAGGCGACAGATATTGACCACCTCCATATCCTTTACACCAAAGGATCCCGTGTACACAACTCGAAGGTGTTCCAGATTTGGAAAGTATTTTAGAAGTGAGAACAGATGTTTGAGTCGTTCCAGATTGATGTTGTGAGATGGAATGTAGAGCTTCTTCAGGTGCAATCTGGCGAGACAGATCTTGTTGGTATGGAAGGCCCACATGGAGGGATGTATGAAACCATCTCGTCTTTGGCTACTGAGCAGATTGAGAAGCTCGGGGGCTTTCCAGCGTGGTTCTCCTCTTATCTGAAAAGTGTTTCGTCCGTATAAGATCTCGACGACTTCAGAATAGACCTGCTGATTTGTGCGGAGGAGACCAAGGTACTCAGCAATTCCTGCTCGAGCTCGACTTGGATACATAGGTCCATCGGAAAGAAATATGAGGGAGTAGATCTGATCTCTTATCTCCCTGGGCAAATCGAGGAATGAACAAGTTGAGCTGACTTCGCTGACCTCCACAAGCGTGACCTCGGGGCTTTCTGCAGCCTTCAGCCCGGCGATACTCAGATCAGAAATCATTAGCAAAGGAGCATTGGAACGAATGATCTCTCCCATCCTGAGTATCGAAAAATTTTCGTCTGGAATTCATAATTAGAAAGTTGGCAATGTTGGGTTGCACGAAGTATGTATAATCGTGGCTGCCAGAAGGGCGTATCCACTAGTCCAAACTAGATTAGCGCACCCGAGCTTGACCCGCAGATATTTTATTTTCGAGCTTCAAGCACAAGACAATCACCAATATCGAAATATTCTTCCACCACTCAGTCCCTCTTTTTCGGCGCGCATACACATATACAACTACCACAGCCTCCGACTCCGCGCTCGAACGCCAGTCTCAATCGCAAGAACTGCAGAGCGCAACAAGCAAGCACACCACACACCCGAACCGCAAAAATGCATTTGATGTACACGATGCAAGATGGCAAGCGTGTCTATACGCTGAAGAAAGTTGTTTCGGGCGAAGTCACAAAATCTGCACATCCTGCTCGATTCTCGCCAGATGACAAGTACTCGAGACATCGTGTTACGTTGAAGAAGAGATATGGATTGCTTTTGACGCAGCAGAGTAGGTTCATTCTTGTGGTCCAGAAATAAAATGCTAACGATTTGATTGTAGAGGATCTTAAAGTGCTGGGCCAATAGATTTCAGTGACGAGGACGAAAATTTGGGGTGATAGAAGCTCTTCTGCAGATTGGGAAAGGATGGGCTTTGAATAATACTGCAAAAGTTCTGCAAGAGTATACCAGGGCGTTCAGGTGCAACATTTGGTCAATGGGTGGTGTTTTGTACTTGACACAGGCTTCACGATGCGAAAGAAGGAATTGAGCGCCCTGAGAGAGTTTCAGCTGTCCCCGATGTTCCACAGAGTCAGGGACATTCGTTGTCTACAATTGCTTTGTGTAGTAGAAAATCAAAATGCGGTCGCTATGCACAAGTCTATCCTTCCAGATATCTTCCGTCCCACACCATGATGCTTTCCCTTCAAGATTTTGTACGCCCTGACTCCCATATGCCGCATGCGAGGTCTATCTACCGTTTCTTTGAATTCACATTCTTTCCAGCTCCAACTTTCGGCTTTCCTCCAACACCCCCTCGAGCGCCAGACAGAATACTGGGTAGATAGTCTTCATCCATGAGATCCTTCTCCTTCTTCCTCCTGGCACCAGTCATAGCTTGAACATACTCCTTCTGATCTTCAGCCAAGATTAGACCTTGACCCCAACCACCTTTCCCACCACCGGAGACAAGCTTTCCATTTGATGTACCTGCTACAGGTTTCGGAATACTGTAAACATTACCCCTCGTGTTGTACTGCATGTTTTTCTTCAAATGAACCTTGAAGTTCCCGTCCTTATCTGTAGAACATGATGTTCGCATTAGAGACGGCTTTCCGCATCTTGGACAGAATTGCTTGGCCATGTCTTTGGAAATGTAGAAACAAGCGTGGCAGCGGAGAACCCAGGTCTTCAATTCTCGTACTCGCATAAACTTGGGTGATAGGAGGTTCAGGTTCATTCGAAGGAGAACATTCTGCATGGCGTAATCGGATGTGATGGTAGCCACTTGCATGGTTTTTGTCTTCTCTTCAGGATCAAGGGAAGTGTTGGAGTCTTTTTCTTGATGTTTCTTGAGGTTCGAGGGCGTTATCCATTCTCCACCATCTGAATCTTCTGCTTCTGAGCCTTGCACTTCTTCTGCAGAAATATCAGATGGAATTTGTGCTTCATCAATTGCTGGTGTTGGGGCGATCGACTCTGGAGCAGGTTCAAGAACTTCGTAAGTTTCTGGTGAGCTTAGGTGTATGTTTTTGATGGTCGCTTCCAGGGTAGCAGGTTCAGACACAACAGGTGTCCCACCTTGTTGGTCTATGACTGAAACTTCGTTCTCAGTGATTACTTCTGGTTCGGTTGCCTCCGTGTCTTCCACCGTAGGAACTGAACCTTCAGGAATCGTAGTGCCCCACGCGCCACGGCTTTCTGGTATTGGCGCTGGCGCTGATTCGACAGATGGAACGGATTCTTCAGTCGACTGCTGTTGGATTGCTTCGGACTCTCTGGTGTCACTTGAAGGTGGAGCACCATTCAGTCTCTTCTGTCCCGGTACACTCCTCAGTCTCCAATCTCCATGATTCCTTTCGCATTCTAGCTCGTATGCCAAAGCTATTACATGAATATCTGGGCGACTTAGCACAGCCAAGTCGCCAGTCTTCCGCGCAAAGTCTGTTATAATTTTGATGCTGGCTGCCGTTGGCGACCGTAATGTGAGGAAAGGCTTTAAGGTGGTCTCGAGTCTGGATCTTGTCGCAACATCTCGAATTTCTTCGATGACAGCAGGAATGGTGTAGAGGACTTCGGCTTGCGCGATGAGGGAGGAGACAGAAGGGTCGTTCTTTATAAGAGGACCAGTATCGAGCACAAGGCTGTGCACTGGTTTTGGTGTATTAGTCGCCATTTTGGTTCTGTGAAACGAAATACAAATCTTCGCGGGGTATATATTCACAAAAATAATTTATTTTTGTGTTATCTGATCGGCGATAAGATAAAAGTCGATTAGCGCATCTACACAAGCACGTGGGCAATCTGCTCTCATTGGACACCCCTTTGAATAGTTTATATTGAGCAGTGCATTTTGTGATGATGAAGTTCAGGTCTTCGCTATTACTCCTGTGCTTCATAAATCTCGAAAGGTGCTAAAACAGAACGAATCTTGCAGAAAGTGCCATCAGAGAGATTCCTATTCTCAGTGAGGGGCTGTAGCCGATGATTCGCTTTACTGCACAGATTATTGAAACATACCTATCCCGAGACTTTCTGATTCTTCTTGATCCGACTATGCAGCAAAAGTTACGCCTTTTGATCCCTCCCTACTGAAGGATGGCAAGTCTTCCTATTATGTTTGCCAAGTTGAGTTAAATGTAATCGTCGAATTCTGCACAATGACGTAACGAACGATATCCATCGCCAAAGAGTCGAAATGAAATGTTTCTTGTTATTATTCCAGAGTTTTCGGTCTAAACAAAAGGATATGCAGTTCAAACAACAACAAGACAGCGAAATGGAACTTCAATTAATATCATCCCAGGGCTGTTTTCCTTTAAGCGAGCGGGTAGGAAATGAGTATTGCAGAGCTACTAAGACGACCACTACACACTTACCACATCTAGTTTTCTTGTCTGCAGTAGGAATAAACGAATGAGCAGAGCTTTGCGGAGTTAATGGTCTCGTCGTGTTGACATAGTAAATAGTCCGGCATGGCATTCTAGTAAACTCGTAAATCTTTACTACGATGCTTTTTAGTATCAATGGATCGGTAACCCACCTATATCTAGGTACTTACTTAACCGCTTAGTAGAATACCGTGTTACCTGTAACATAAGCACATAATTCTTTCTAAATCTTGACCTGGGCGATGCTCGGGTGCGCTTGGTTTCAGAGGCCAGCACTATAAGCTCTCAAACTGGAACTGTTTCCTTGCCAAACACTTTTTGATCTGAAAAGAGAAGCAATCTCGTCTAAGAACCCTCAAGGAACCAAACACGGCCAGAGCTAAATCTGGAACTGGAACCGGAATCTGGAAGTGTCGAATGTGATGCAGTCACGTGCGGAGCACCTTCCCCGAATTTTGCCGGCGCCAATTGCGGTTCTCTCGCTAGCCCAAGCTCTTTTCTCCTACAAGTCATCTCCTTCCATACAGGAAATCATCTGTACGACCAAGAACTCTCATTATGAGGCCGGTGCTTCTCTTCATCCCCTCCAGTCCACAGCAGGCAACATCGCGTCTCGAGCTGAGGTCAGCTTCCAGCATACGCGTCACGTCCCTCGAATGTCAGAGTTTCCAGATATCCCAAGCACGCTATATCATGCCCTCTCCAAGATTCGAAAGACCTAGGTACATTCCGCGGCGAGAGAGATGAAAAGCCATTTCCGCCGATGAAAACAATATCCATCTAAGCCCTGACCTTGTTGGAAAATGATGTTCCTGTGGGTGCAGCTCCAGCTACCCCGCCATGCATCAAAGTTTTGGGGAAGACTTCGACTACTGCGTGTTCTTTCTAAAGCACCTCACTTGAGGGTCTCAAATACCACTTCGATACCTCTTGGCCGATAGCATCAAGGCCCTGCCTTCATCATCAGCTGTACTGCCGATATAACTATGCTCGCTCAAAGACTATCCCGGACGCCCGTCCCTTGATGAGACCTTCCACGATCCCCAGATTGGCACCGAAGGCTCTCTCATAATTTGGGTGCGCCTCTGAGCATCACTGTCTGGTCAGCTAGCATCTGAAGAGCTCCGTCGAATCAACTACTCGATCATTGACTGGCCCAACGCCTTGACCACGTCTCGTTATCTAAAACCAATCGATACAAACTGTCACCGCTTGCACCAGACCAGTTTTCAGCTCGGATTTATATCCCTAAAGAAAACATTTCACAAGTCTTCCGCTACTCGGACAGGAATCTTGGTGCTGGAAGCATTTACCGACTTGCTTGATGCTTGCGAATAGCAGCCACGGCTGGAGGTCTGCGCCGAAATTCACTTGACATGCTACATGCTCTTCTAGCCTCGAAAGAAAGTGCCTCCGAATTTGGAGTAAGCAACGGAGGCTTGAAGCCAATCAATTGTGCTTGTTTTGATGCGAACATCAGAGCAACATGGCCTTGCAGGGGAAAACTTTAAATCGACCTCTCATCCCATTGTCGACGGAAAGCGATAGGTCAGAACCAAGTGGTTCGCAAACGGAGCACACACCTTGAAAGAGCCACCGTCGTTATTATTGAGGCGCTCTCATTTGCGGACCAATTGCTGCATGGCAGACGCGACACTAGATTTAGCTGGGTACTTGGGTGTGTAATTGGCCATCCGACTTGTTGCTGGTACATCGAGCATAACGAGGCAAAGTGAGGCAGCCGAGCTAGAGGACCGTCACTCAGTAATGAGTCGGGCGTCGAAGAGCGACATTGCATGCGAGGGCAGCTGACCCTTGTTTTCTGGTGCAGGAGGGCAAAATATAAGATGGGCATGCCCACCTCAATGACTTCCTCTCCGAGCCAAACACTGTCCTGAAGACAGACATCCCAAGAACCATTGTCTCTTTCTGCAATATGTATTGTTAAACTCTTTCCCGCCTGTTCAGTACCTCGAACTTTCGATGGTCGCTAAACATTTCTGCAGGTTTTCCTGACATCTTGATTCGTCAGATTGTCACCCACACCGACATTGAGAAACGTTTTGCACTGCAAAGAAACGTCGAATCACAGCATCGCTTGCTATCACACCGCGCAACTTTCTCACGACCTTCGTGGGCGATACGGGCCAAAGTTATAGATGGGCCGCGCCAGCTCCCTCGCAGAGCCGCATTTCCCATTCCCATTGTCCCGGACTAGTCGAGATTTCGCGCTCCGGGGTTTAGACCCTTTGCAGTGTTGTCGTTCCGACTTCAAGTTCCCCCGAGACTTGAAATATAAATGGCTACTGCGATTGTGTGCACTGTGCCCCACTTCCTGCTCGGCTTTATCCTATTTTGCGATTTTCTCGCATCCACAATGTGCGCACACAACGACAACCTACTATGCTCCTGATGAGGGTCAATACCCTTTTTCGAAACCACCAATGGCTTTTTCAATACTGCCTTTGTGATCGTCGGCCGATGAGAGCCCGAGGTATTCCCTCTGTTTATATGCTGGCACCACACCTTCCAGGATAGGTGTGGTGCTTGGACTGCAGTCTTGGGACGTCGGCAACTCGTGGCTTGTTCTAGGATGCATGTTCTCGCTGCAGATACCTTCAGCCATTTGGACCTAGTGGACGGCTTCAAATCATGCCCTTCCCATCAATCCGAAGCGGACGAAAACCAAGGCAAGTGCTGAGATTTACTTTACATAACATTTTCACCATGCAACATGAAAATGTAAACATCAAAGAGTTTTATTGAAGTCGTTCTTGCAATCAAACACGAAGTCGTTGTCATAATTGGAAACCAGTCTCCTGCGACCGATTAAGGATGTCTCTGTGCAGATCATCAGCACTTGAGTTCTGGCCTTCTCTCGTCCATCTGCACCCGTCGATGCCAACCAATCTTGCATGAACGAAGCACGCCTGCATCCTCAAACTAGGATCACAACAATGGTGAAGCATATCACGCCAATCGTGAAGCATCACGAGGACATTTGTGCTGGATACTGGGCAATGTGCTGTGCTTGGAGTCTGCCAGCTCGGGCTCAGGATAGCTTATATCATATCTAGGTCGCAGAGGGCATTTTTCTCTTGTCTACTACGTTTTATCATCTTTCAAAGTTGTGTTTTATTGGTAATCAATCATTGAGCTGCCCCAAACCTAGATTGCATGCAAGATGTCTTCCAGATCCGACCGTTCCAGTGGCGTGGGTGCTTCTTCGCTAATACTTCGAACACCACTAAAATAAAGCAGAAGTCGAAACGAAAGCACTCGAAAGCGGACTCGTACAATTCCCTCCCGCCACAACCAGAGCTATCGGAGGCATATGAAGAAGAGTCAGTCGAAGAAACATGGCCGCCTCCAAGCTTCTTGTTCACGATCAATGAGTTGCCAGTGAATGACGAACCAACGCAAGTAAGTTGCTTATCAGGGACCAGATTGAGCTCCCTCTCGTCTCAACACCTGTGTTCAGACTTGCCTTGCAGGCATCTCTACCAATAACATGATTCTTTCAAACATACTTTCAGCGTACTATTGAGCTATTGGTGCCGCTTGCTGACCTCGAGCTACTATTACAGGGAGGCGAACCACCCCGAGTGGACGAATACGGGAACTGGCATCCACCTATTCGTAGCAATGGATTTGGTACGCAGGTGCCTAGTAGAATATACAGATGGGCGGATGGCGGTCGTGTCTCCGCCGCACGCGAATGCCAATGGTTCAACAACCAATGGTGGTCACAAGCCGGGAACGAGCTCACGGAATACAGAGCATCAACTATGTTTTGGTGCAACAACTTCACTCAATTCCTGGTAGCAACAGGAGATGCAAGTCGCCGCCACATGGAACAATCGATTGATCCCCACAATAGATGGTGGCCGTTAACATTTCGACATGAGAGCACACTTTCTCGCGTTGAAGAAGTTGGTCAGGAGGGACGCCTGGCAGGTAGTGGGACTTGGATCAATGCTCTAGGGTTGACGTCCTACAGAAATCGCCATACAGTTCCTGCCGGCGGACTAGCAGGCAACCTAGCTATCATGATTGGGTTGATAGCTTTTTCATGCGAGTCGACAGATCTTGATACGGTGCTGTTGACTGATCGGGCATGGCGACGTGGTCGTTGGCATGATCATGGAAGGATTGATGGACGTAAGTCGATCGCTCTACTTCTGCTGCCCGACATTCTAACGAGGATTCTGTGCAGGTATCGATGAGAGAGGTGTCGTGGTTACTATATACCACGACCCTGAGAATACTCAAGGCTCCACCAACGATACTATCTTCCCGCTAGAGTGGACTGGAGCTGCACTTCTGCACTAGCAGCCTACCTCTGGCTCGGTTTCGCGCTCCTTGGAGAGAGGATACGCGAAGGTCCCACACATCTGTGTCTTTATACGTTTACCTGTCGGTTGTGCAGACTAGGTAGTTAGGTTATCGAATCTTTGCGGTCAGCGGTCTTGGCTCTACGATTTACGTTATAATGATGATGAAACAATATTTTATACCAGCTTCTTCATGCTAGATTGGACATCGGTTTGTAATTTCGGGGGCAATGTGGAGTTTGTTTTGAAGGTACTATTGTTGAGAATGACTTTATGTCTTTCTTGAGAGTACATATATGGATTTATGTTAAGTCTAAGATTGAATAATATAATGCTTAGCACAATTTGATACATTTTTTCAGCCACGATGGCAAATAATGCTTGACCTCTGGACTGATATCCCTAGCCTACATTCTTTCCTCTTTTCTAATCTGCAGGGACTGCAAGATTTCTTTCTCAGGGCCAAAAGTGTCGATCATCTAACGAGAGCAAATTCCCCCTCTGGTTCAGAGGTTCTTAGCTGAGAGCGTGTTGTATGGATATATAGGTGGGAAAGAATTATTGTGAGAGCCAATAAGCTTGCTTGAGATGAAGCACAGTGTCGACGGGCTAAGGGTCGCTTGCGAGTAGATCTAAGAGAATAGAGATGTTGACTGCAGCTTGTCCCTTTGCTCAACTTCGCAATTGCCCGAGAGACACAAGCTTCTGGGCCAAGGCATGTGTCATGGATCGGAGGAGCTGGAAAACATGTAGTCACAACTTCAATTCCAAATCATGGTTGCGAAACAATGTGGGCCGAAATACATTGTGAAATGTCGAAGGACTTGATACCTATGTCTTCCTTATAAACCTAGACGCCACGCTTTATGCATTTCCCTTTACCTATGCACCCAAATACAACGAGATAGGCAGAAAGAGGTTATCGTCGGCCTCCGCGTCCAGCTCCACCACCCATCATATTCATCATTGCTGACACTATTGGCAAATCAGTAAAGTTCCCGGCAAGTAAGCGAAGAGGACAGGAATCAAGATCTCCTAGGCAGTTGAGAGCTCGGGTTCTGACTCCTTCGTAACAGGGAATTTGACTTACTGTCTGGCATCCCGCCGCCGCCGCCGCCACCACCTCCAAGCATTTTCATGAGTGAACCCATATCTGGCATTCCACCTCCAGCACCGGCACCTCCCATACTGGCCAAGCGTTTCATTGCAGCCATTTGCTGTTGCTTGTTGGCTCCACCCATAGCACTTTGCGCTCTATTGCCACTCTCATTAGCATGTCGCAACAAAATTTAGAAGAGAAAATTGCTCACCTCTGGATATTCTTCATGTTTCCTCCCATCTTCTTTGCCATACCTGCCATCATTTTATGCTGAGTCAACTTTTAAGAAGTTAGTATGAGTTTTTAGACAACTATAAGCTGAAAAGTGGAGGAGCTGGGCTCCTTGGGAACAAGTATTCAACGACTTCTCAAGACTCATCTCAAAGCCCCAGCCCGTCGAAGAATAGCAAACACAAGGTAGGGCGGATTTATACATACCAGGTCTTCGACTTCTCTAACACTGGTACCGCTTCCGTAAGCTATCCGGGTCATGCGTGTGGGTTGTTCAATGAACATCTTGCCATCACTGTCCAATTCCTTAGTTGTCATGGAATCGCAGATATATATCATCCGCTTGAGCTTCATAGATCCCTCTTCGTCATCCATGCCTTGCATCATGCCGCTCATCCCGGGAATCATGCCAGCCATCTTAGAAAGTGGGCCCATCTTCATGATGTTTGACAACTGGTCTCTTAGATCTCGGACAGTGAAGACTCCCTCGGCAATATGCTTCATAGTATCTTTCTGATCGAGCTTGAGAGACTGTACGTGCTCTACCAAACCTTGCATGTCGCCCATTCCAAGCAGTTTCGATACGAATTGCTGTGGAGCGAACTTCTCCAAGTCTAACATATGTTCTCCTGTACCAATAAATACTATCGGAGTATGTGTTGCAGCTACGGCAGAAATAGCTCCACCTCCGCTTGCATGACCGTCCGTCTTTGTGATGATGATAGCACCAAAGTCTGCAGTCTCCTTGAAAGCTTTGCTTTGCGCTTCGGCTTGTTGCCCAATACTAGCATCGAGAACCATGATAGTCTGGTCGGGCTTGACAGCAGTCTGGATATCCACCATTTCCTGGAACAGCGCATCTTCTTGTCGATGTCGTCCAGAAGTATCCACAATGATGATTTCGAATCTTTCCTTCTTAAATTTGTCAACGCCCTCTTTTGCTACCACAGCTGGATCCGTTTGCGTCAGAGAACCGTAGTATGGGATTTTGGCCTTCGTTGCGTTTTGCTTGAGCTGATCAAATGCACCTGCACGAAACGTGTCGGCGCATACCAGACAAGCCTTAAACCCTCTTGATTGATAATGCCTCGCCAGCTTCGTGCATGTTGTCGTCTTTCCCGCACCTTGTAATCCAACAAACATGATAACATTTGGTTTTCCTTTCTTTGGCTTGAATGGTTCGGCATGAGGGTCGACGAGCTTGACGAGTTCGTCAAAGACAGCTTTCTGAATGAGCCGTTTCTTATTGACACCTGGTGCTTGTTCCTTGAAATTGACGGAGGCTTTGATCGACTTCCGCAGGTTCCCAACTAATCGTACATTGACATCAGCCTCGAGAAGGGCTGCACAGATCTCCTTTATCATGCCATCAAATGCCTGGAATCTGTTAGAATGGGGACGATGAACAGTATGTACGACTTGCCTTTTCGTCCAAGTTTGCAGACCTTGTCAGGTCGCTGACGGCAGCGTTAATGCGCCGTCCAAGGTCTTGAAGAACCATACTGCTAGAGTTGAGATACTTTCTTCAAGAGTGTTTATGTGGAACTTCAATATCTACTCTAGCGGCGACTTGTGAGCATGGCGGGGTCTAGCGCCGGGAAATCGTTCATCCGATCCGGCTAGTAGCATCGATATTTTTATTTTCGAGAATTGAAGTTCCAAGCAAAGAATATCGAAACAACAACATTGATCAAGATGCCCGGCCCAATCTCGAAGAAACGCAAGGTCGAGGATGGAATGAAAGGAAAAGTCTCGCGACCTGTCAAGAAATTCAAGAAGCAAACCGATTACTACAGTTCTTCAGACGAAGAAGAAACGACCAGCCAAGATTTCAAAGCAGTAAATCTGCAAGAGTCGGATGAGGAAGACGCCAATGTCACAGACTTGGTCGCAGCAGAGGCGGAGGACAACGATGAGTCTCCGATTGAAGACGATGTCGAAGAAGTCACGGATGCCTCAAATTCGAATTCGGAGTCTGGCTCAGAGGAGGAGGATGAGGACGATGACAACCCAAACCTAATACGAAAACGAAAGCGCAATGACCCCGAAGCATTTGCGACCTCGATGTCGAAGATTCTGGGCTCCAAATTGTCTACGTCGAAGCGCAGCGATCCAGTGCTTTCGCGCAGTGCGACCGCTATACAAGCAAGCAAAGAGATCACGGATTTGGCATTGGAGAAGAAGGCACGGCATAAGATGAGGGCAGAGAAAAGGGAAGCGTTAGAGAAAGGCAGAGTCAAGGATGTATTAGGTGCTAGTACAGCATTTGATGCTGCCAATGGGAGAGGAGAGGGGCCAAGTGTGCAAGAGACAATGGAATTGGAGAAGAGATTAAGAAAGACTGCGCAAAGAGGTGTTGTCAAGCTCTTCAATGCTGTCAGAGCAGCGCAGATCAAGGGAGAGGAAGCCGCTCGAGGTGCTCGAGAAACAGGGTTGGTGGGACAGGGAAGACGTGAAGAGAGAGTCAATGAGATGAGCAAGAAGGGATTCTTGGATCTGATTGCTGGCGGTGGTGGCTCCTTGAAGGCTGGCGCTATAGAGGAAGCATGACGAATTCATGAAAAGCTTGCATATCATGGCGTTGAGCTGGGATTTTGGCGTTTTATTCCTAAATCAAACGCTGATGCTAAGTCTCCCAAAGAGGCTGATGTACAGGTCGTTAGTATTTTGTACATGGGCTATGATACCCTCTAGATAGTTTGTTCCTATCTTCCAATTCAATATGCCAACGGCAAAAAAGCGCCTGGGTATGGACGCTCAGTTCACATAGTCTATCTTTGTCTCCTCGCTCAGTCCGCAAATCTAGCTTTTCTTACTGAAGTCGCTAGCTTGTAGATTTCTGGTCATTGAAGGCAACTTGACCCTCAGTCCGTCCAATTCCTTCGTCATCTCGATCTGGCAACCCAGTCTTGAAGTTTCTGTGAGACCAAAAGCCAAGTCCAGCATATCGTTCTCGTCGTCCGTTGCTTCCGGGATCTTGTCGTACATTGTCTCGTCCTCGACTATGACATGGCATGTTGAGCAGGAACATGATCCTTCGCAGGCACCTGGTTGTTTGTTAACCTCGCCCCTCAGTATGCAGCCTGTATACTTGCCTTCCATCTCAATATCATTGCCTTGTGCAATAGTCAGGAGATTGTCGCCCTTGTTGACTGCAATCTTGTGTTCATCTCCATCTTTGTCAATGAATGTAACATAAATCCTGGGATTTCATCAGCATGCCTTCCAAACAACCAAGCATAATCTGGACGCACTCTTCTCCGTCCTTAGGAGGCTCCCAATGGCCATGGGAGCTGATTGAACTTGCTGAGAAGCTTCGTCTCGCATGATTTGTGACTGAACCCCCAGCAAATCTACCGTTTGTCTGGCTACAGGTATGGGATGATATTCGGGAAGCCGGATTTAAGTTACATGTTGAGAAGAACGAACGAGCTTGGCTTATGGATGTTCGAGCACATATTTCGTGACGGCTTCGTCCGCCTGGTCGCCCAAGGCTTGATAGGCCCCGTATTAGAGTTCTCGTAGTAGGCATTATTCGTAATGTGTAAAATTCGTGAGGGGGTAAAAACCGTAGATGGCGTCCGCAGCTATAGGAACTTTCGTGGGGGCTTTGTTGCAGATGGCAGATTCTGTGAAAACAAATGTGAAGCCAGATATGCTCAGCTTAAACTACAGACTGCGCCGAGGAGGGGCGCAATCAATTGGTAGAGGTGGAAATGTTGCTTTGTTGGTGTTGAAAGAGGCACATGCTTTCTAAAAATTATTTGTCGGACAATTCGCGAAAAGGCCGCGATGGAGATGTCATCCTTGTCCAGCATCATAGAAAGCTTGCATATTGCCCAAAAGCTGGTCCGCTCTTCGAAACAAATACGAGCCCTCCTTTCTCCCTATTGATGTAACCAACAACCAGCCAGTATGTCGACTTCTCGAGATGGGCCAAATCCTCTAAGACCATATTACAAACCGCCATCCATCGGTATATCACAAGATCTTCCAAATACAACGAGCTCTGGAACACATGGACTGGGACCAAGAAATGGCAGCGCTGCGTCCTACGCGTCATCTGCACGCGATATATTCTCAGAGATGGACTATTCCGATTATCTCTCAGATACCTCGCCCTCTGCTCTGGAATCCGTAAGGAAGCAGGTAGACGACTGGTTTTACAAGTACATGAGCATACTCCTTGCTCAACCCTTCGATGTTGCAAAGACTATCTTACAAATCAGGTGTCAAGCCTTGGACGATGATCCAGTTCAAGTGGCAGAAGACACACCCTCACAGCGGTCATCCTACAGAGATTCCATTTATGATGGCGTAAGTGAGAGATGGCATAGCTGCAGATAGTTTGCTAATTCCTATGTAGTATCCTTCAGATGACTCTGATCCTGACGAGCCAGCATACTTTACTTCTTCAGCCCCGTCTGCTACTTCATATTCTCCTTCACGGCATCGACGGCGGCATGATAGTGACCCTCGTTACTCCCCTCCTTTGCCAAAGGCAACGAAGACCCCTGGCCATCAGCTAGTTCTCAGGAAACCAGATTCTATATTAGAAGTTGTGTCACAAGAATGGACCAAGGAAGGAGCATGGGGTGTATGGAAAGGATCGAATTCGACTTTCGTGTATAATATCCTCCTTCAAACCATTGAGAAGTGGTCAAGAGGACTCCTCTCTGCCCTTCTGAATCTTCCCGACTCTGGGTTGAATATGGGGATTGAAGCTTCTGCCGAAATGATTGGAGCTCCTTATCCTTGGGCGTCTCTTGGACTCACGATTGGAGCCGCTGTCATTGCTGGGGTCATACTTGCTCCTTTGGACCTCTTACGTACCAAGTATACCCTATGATTCCTTCTTGTCGTTTAATACTAATTATCTGCAGGCTAATCATCACTCCAACATCTGCTCCGAAGCGCTCGTTGATGTCACAACTACGCACCTTGCAGTCATATCTGTGCCCTACAACTTTGATTGTCCCAACTGTATTGCACTCAATGATTACACCCACGATCTCTCACTCCACACCTTTACTTTTACGCTCCCATCTTGGCATCGATCCGGTTACAACTCCAAATTCATACGTATTAGCCAACTTCATGTCAAAAACGGTCGAACTATTTCTGAAACTTCCTTTGGAGACAGTTCTGCGACGAGCACAAGTAGCTGCGTTGAAAGAAGACGTTGAAATGGCGCGTGTACATGGCCAATGGGAAGGAGACCTTGAAACTACTGTCAAACCTGGCGAGTACAGAGGCGTAATGGCCACTATGTGGTTAATAGTACGCGAAGAAGGAGTCAGGGAAACTCCTGTGACTTCAACTGCTGTGAAGAAGGTGAAAGGGAAGCAGGTCCCGAAACAGCAGAAAGGCCAAGGTCTACCAGGTCTATGGAGAGGTTGGAAAGTTGGCATGTGGGGTCTAGTGGGAATGTGGAGTGCTCGAGCATTGAACGGAGTAAATGCTGATAACGCTAGTGGTGAGTTCTGAGATGATAGAGACATGATACCAACATTTGAATTTTGGAGTCGGAATCGTAGGTTGGGGAGTTGGGGTATATGATCGGAACTCAACTCTGTATCTTCGGTATATACACGTTCTGTAAGTACCCATGTCAAGTTATATGCGTGGTTCAATTGACACTATTCTCCGCTGGATCAAGTTCTCAAGCTACCTTGATCGAGATGTATCAATTGATCCGACTCCTATCCATGAAATTTGCATTGACTGTACTGAGCAAGGTCTCATGCATAAATATTATACATATTGAGCTCCATCCTACTGCATATTGCATCATAAGATAATGCTAATTGTTCCAGAGTTTGTGGGATAACATAAGTGGGTTGAGTCCCAAGTGTGATTTAAGATCTGAGGGATGTAGTGAACGACGTGATAATCCCTGGAAGAATCCACGGTTCCTATGGTAGCTGACTTGTTGACATGGCCACATCAAGTGAATGCTCTGGTATGTAACTTTGGAATGCTGCTAGTAACCTTGGATCCTCCCGCATCCACGGATTTTTGGTCGAGAAGTTCTAACACTATAAACAACGCGGTTGAACCAAAAGCCAAATCGACAACAACTTTGAGGGAATCAGAAAAGGCAACATACAACAAAATATCGATCTATAACTTCTCTTTTCGTCAATCTGAGCTCTTCAAGTGTGTCTCACCCGATTAGCGATCATGTCGTCTTCAAAAGGGATTGATCCATACCTTCTTAACTTCAATTCTAACACCTATGCTCGAGACGATGTTAATTGGGGGGCAGGAAAGCTGAGAGACTGCACTGTCTTTATTGATAACCCTTCACGACCACGACTAGCTTCTTCCAAGTACCCTCTGTTCGATTTGGCCACAGATGAATGCAGAGGCAGGGATCGTAGGAGGGAAAACATACAAATGACCGTCAGAGATCTCGATTGGCAAAAGTGGAAATCTTTCCTGCGAGCTGGGGCACTATTCAATCCAGCAACACAGGTACTTCAGGTTCCCGATATGTACAATAAGCTCCAGAACATTGATCCCGACAGCGAATATGATTTCCGGAACACAGCCATCCTACAACAGCTCAACTATGTGCAGGATGACACTTTTTGGTTCCGAATGATCGAAATAAAGAATGCGAACAAACCCATCGACTACGTAAACATAGAGGCGCCGTCTACAGAAGAGCCTACCATCCAACCTGTCGACGTATGGTCCCGATCTCGAGAACAAGGATCGGGATCGGGGAAAAGGGCACGTCCAGGCTCTTCTGATGAGTCGCAGAGCAGGAAGAAACCAAGAGGCTCAAAAGAGACCCCTGGTAGCGCAAGCAAAGCCCAAAGGGCTGGGAAACTAGCGAAGTATGAAGAAAGGGATAAAAACAATTACAGCCCTTGGGAATCTGATGTTGACGTAAACGACCCGAATGGTAAGTTCTGTTGAGAATCTGCTTGCCACTTTTACTCTCTGGGGGTTTTGTAATGGTCCGGTATACTGATAAGATTTTTATCGCTAGGAGACGGCGGCAATAGTAACGATGAAGACAACGATTCGGAATATGATGATGTGGAGGATGACGACCTCGACGATGTCAAACAGGAAGTGTTCGACAGAAGGTGAGTCTAATGTTAAGCTCATCATGTGGTTGTATTTGGCTGATAACTCTCGGAGGATGAATGGTGTAGTGGATGATTGCGAGCAATGGGACCGAAAGACATGGGAAGACTGCTGTGAGTTCTTTAGAATGGATTCTACCAATGAGAGCAGAGATCAAACCGCCCTCGTGAAGTTAGATGAGACTTCAACAGCACAATTCAAGGTCTTTCAAGCGTACGGAATTTACAACATGATGCTCAAATCCCGGGGGCTGGCTGGTGGAGGTTTCCTGGCAGATGAGCAAGGTCTTGGAAAAACCAGACGTAAGGTCCCTTTCTTCAGTTCTCACCCCATCACCCTTGGACTTCAGAGCTTCGAGGAACTTCTCTCTTGAAAGCTTTGGTTATAAGATAATATCTGTTTCATGGTTTGTAGGATGGACAATATGAGTGGGCTTGAGATATGAGGAATAAAGTGGTGCAACCACGTGAAATCTTTGCTATCTCAAAGATTCCGCCTTTCCCACTTGTATTGTCCTATCAACTCTAGAAAAAAGTATTATGTCATATTCCAAGCTACACAAAACTCCGGTTTAGATTATCAAGATATACAGAGTTGGCTTGCTGACTGAAATTGGCCTGATACTCAGAGGGCCTAGGCTTTTGCATCATGGAGCATATACTTGCCAATGCTTGGGATCGCATAAATGCAGACCAAAAAGCCAACGGTGGTGAGCACAACCTTGCGGCGAACTTCCAAGCAGCAGAATTTTGTCCTTGCGAAAAGGATGGAGCAATACCATTTTCCATACCATGCCCATGTTGGAACGGTTCAGTCTCCGGGAAACTGCCACCGAAACGTGGGCCCAGTATTGTAATAGCGCCACCAGGCCTGCTAAATGTTTGGAGCGAGGAATTTGAGAAATTGACTGGGAATGCTGTCGCCAACGGTACGTCAAATTCTGCCCATGTTTTGTATTTGATATAGGAGCCGAGATATTCGGTAGCCTCCTCGAGAACTGTTTGATAACGAAGATGTTGCTTTAACTCTTCGATTGAGCTCCTAGACTCCTAGATCTACATAAAAGGGGTCTACTGATTTATCAATAGGTGTTTCATCTGTTCCGGGGCAAGATAGATTCCCGATGGAACTAGCTATTTTTCATGGTAATCACATCATTCCGCAAGCTCAGAAAGCACGCGTAACAAAGTGGCTTGAGAACCCCATGACAGCTGGTACCGCTGCTAGAGTGATGCGTGGGTTGACCAAATACATTGCTGTGTCCTCCTCAGCATCGTTCGAAAACTACGCCAGCAAAACCTGGAGCAATCTTGACACAATTCCTTGGGGCCGTGCTATAATAGACGAGCATCATTTTGCGTTCAATCATGTGAGTCTTTTCAACAAGCCTTATTAGCGTAGTCAGTTTTAGGGCATATGATGGATCTTTGCTAACATCCCTCGTAGGACACAAATGCCGTGAAGATGATAAGACTTTTGAGCGGGGAACCGCACACTTGGATGCTTAGTGGGACGCCTTTCGAGAGTACTCCAGCTAATCTCGACGGATGGATAGAGGTCCTTCGGCGTAGGAAGAATCAAAACGGAAAACCAAATCAGACTACCTGGGCAAACACGTCTTTCCATCATGCCAGGAAGAAGGAGTTGGCAGATATATCTGCAGAATACGTGTTCGCAGTGAACAATAGCGGCAAAGAAAGGACACCCGGAGGGCAGGATGCAATGGTCCTACGACTCGCCGAGATTTTGAGGGCCTTGATGATCAGACGAACTACCGATTCTCTCTGTAAGTTTCTACAAGATAATTTCTTTTCCTTGCCCACTTTCATTATCTATCCCCTGAGCCAAGCTTTCAATATGATACATTTTTTATGTCAAAGTGTTATTCAGTGTCTTTAGGTATCTCGCCCCTCCCTTCCACTCGGATATCTAATTTTTCTACTTTCGATAGGGTTCGACCAGAAAATGGTTCTACTAAAATGGAACAATCACCATAAGGTCATGGCAAATCCAAATTCAGCTTTTGACACATACGAAAAAACTCTCCGTGCCCAGTCCCTTTCGTTGTTGAAAAAAGGAGAGAAAAGAGCAGCCAAAAAGCCGACTGGCATGGCGTTGCAGAATAGCTCAAGGATGCTTCGTATTGCTGCTACGTTTCCAGCCATCTCTCGGTAGGTGTCAAGTTCTCCCAGGACAACTTCCTATTCCTTGCTGTCTCGAGAGTCATACTCCCGGGTAGGTCACCTGACTGGACTCTTGAGACACGCATAACCACTCCCAAAATACAGAGGAGGTGTACTGACTCCGCGCTTCGACTGCAGGATTATTGTTCAGGAGAAACCTGATTTCACAATGACGCAGAAGGATATACTGCCTGCCTGGTATAAAGACTCTAGGGGATCGTCATATGCTACATACCTCGATGAATTGTATCAGAGCAGCGACAAAATAACTAGGCTTGCCAAAATCCTTACTACGGTTCGCAATGGGAAAGATTATCTGAAACGCCCCGAGAAAATTATTGTTCTTTCTACCATTCCAGCAGGTAAGCTCCATCTTCGGGTTCTCTTGCGAATCTTCGCAGTGAGACATGAGTTCCATTTTCCCGCTAAACCTATCGCTAGTTGCCTTCATTATATCTCTAGTAGGCTCCTCCGTTTTCTACACTTAACCAACTGTCAATTTGACAATTCGTTGTCCGAGTATATGCCAGGACTTCTATATAATACGAGGCCTTAAGTTTGACGGACTTTGCACTAACACTAGTATCTGAGTAATGTCAGTCGTCGACTTAAGATGCACTGCGGCGTTTTGGTTCGCAACATAGCATTTCTGGGTTCTTTGCTGACGCTACTCAGTGGATCAAAAAGTTGGGTATGGATAAAGCTATTCTCGTCCACTCGAAGTCAGCCAACCGGGCTGCGATAATGGATGGGTTTCAAATGAATAGTCTTAGCCAGTATAAGGACAAGGGAACGAAAGTACAGAGGACCGCCTACGTTGAAGGGACACAAGCCACAATCCTCATTAGCACTTGCAAAGTAGTCGGAGTCGGCTACACACTTACAAGGTCATTTAGAGGTAAGCCATATCTATAGTTTGGAGGATATCATACAGCCTGCTAATAAATTAGTTGTTCTCATGGAACCAGCTTGGCTAAGGCGGGACGAAGAGCAGGGTTTTTCACGTGTGAAGCGTATTGGCCAGATGAATGCCGAAACACATACTTACCGCATGATGAATAAGGGCAGTGTGGTCGAAAAAATTATCGCTCAACGTCAGAACAGCCGTTACGGCTTATCTGCAGACGCTTTCAAGGCGGCTGTCGATGAGCCTGACTTTGGCGACGACATGTACGACGCCTCTCAAGATGAGACCGACGAGTATGGTATGACATACTCGCAGAAAGAGATAGCAGCATACAAGAAGAAGGCCAATCAACGACAGAATCAGGGGTATTTGGATTATGATGACGACGATTATGAAGTTTGATTGAAATCATCGGCGGCGTGTGTCATTTCTCATTCTCCCTGCCATATATTCCACTATGGAGATCCTGCTTAATTCTGGAGCATATGTTCTGTCTGAAGCATCTAGCAGTTATATTATGCGTCTTGTGCATTGGATAGGTAATTTGCAACGGGTGTATTCAGCAGGCAAGATAAAAGTTCTAGTATGATAGACTCCCGTGGCAAGTCTGGCTTCGCAGAGTCGTTTCTTCTGATTACAGTGATCTTCTACTCTATCTATCTTTCCTACATCAGCATCAGCATCTGTGCTTTTCGGATCGCTTCTACAACTACACAGCTTGTTTGTTGATATAATCGAGTCGAGCAAGCATGTGGTATACGCCTGTGAATACCACCTTTTACTAGGACGTATTATACATAGCTAATTTGCCCAGTTGTTATCCTAGAATCGGCTTTCATGTGAAGGAATGCAGAGCAAGGATATTCGGGAGTGAAGCGCATCAGGCAAATGAACAGCAGAATACACACCTCCCGCTTCATAAATGCGGGCAACCCTTGTTAAGCAGCTAATCACAGATCGTCAAAAAAAAAAAATCGGAATCTCCTAAGTAAGAGGCCCTTCCAGACGCCGGGCGATTAGTACAACTTTAGTCAAAGACCAGCTCTTAAAAGTGGTGAAGGGCCTCTGGACTTCCAGGGAAGCACAACTGACGACCGAGTGAGTCCTGCAGATTCCGTGATTTGAAAAGGGAGATTACATAGAGACCAAATCAGACTTAAGGGGCAGCAAGCTTGCTTGGGACTATGCAAATAACTTCGTTTGACGCGATCTCTGTATAGTCTCCTACAACCCATTGATCATTCACTTGCATTAGATGAGGTACCGAGTACTGGTCCTGGTGCCCTTGTGCTTTGAATCATTTCATTCTGGAACAGTGCAAGTATGCACAATTATACTGTACTGAACATGTGGTGAATGAGACATTCACATGCCAACTTCTTAGCCCGCATTCTTGCTATGTTGCCATTCCTACGAATTCCCATTATAAACATTTCCTCTTTTACACGAAATCTTGGACAACGCTTCGGATCAACTTCCGCGATATCGACGCAGCGACGCTCGCAAACATGGCAGACGCGAGTCGGAAAGAGATATGGATCATGGGAGGGCCAGACCTCCTGTCGGCGGAACCAAAGAAGCAATGGCGAACAAAACGTTTGTTGCAAGAATGTAAATGGTACTGGCAAAACCATGCCAGAACAGATGGGGACGGTCAGTATCCTTGGCCAATCCGGGATCTATGCAAGGAAGAGTTTCGGGGCACAGGAGCTTCATTCAATTTGCAATTCTCCGATTTCGATTTCGCCTGGTTCAAAGATGCCTTCCTACCAAAGCAGAAGTTTGATGTCAATCAGCACCGATTAGAGTTTTTGCAACACCATGCACCGTGGATGGAATGGGAAGAGTTCGCACTTACGGAGCGTAATTGGATCTCTAGTTTCGAGCAACAGTCATCAGTGGGTGTTGAGGACTGGTGTTTTCGCTTCAGAATGGTTCCCCATGCCATGGCAAAAAATACCTTAGACACCCGGCCGATCCCAGCTCCCCCACCAGGTGGAATACCTGATAAGGACAATACTCGATTGCCCTCGATGCCGCTAGCGCAATGCAAGATAGTGTTGTGTCACGAAGGATTTGCCCCTGAGGCTCGAGAGATCTTCAGTATCAGAGAACTCGGAACCCCAGAATACTTAGCCAACGTAGATTCTCTTGGTGCTCCAAGGGATGAAATGACCCGAGGAGATCTGAGCTACCAAAAGTGGAGAGATGTGATAGTTAAGCGCTTGAACAAGCCTACCAACAAGGAATATTCTATCAAATGGATTCATCCCCAGACCTGGTACGAGAAGGCGTGGGATGTGAAAGATCCAGACGAAACTGAAGATGACCTATTGGATTTCCACTTATCCATGAAGACGCTAGTTAAATATAAGGAATATCCCGGTCGAGACAAGTTCTACTTCCAGCTTTATATTCCTTCGGAAAACACAGAAGACTTCGATGACTACGCACCAAATTGGTTCACCAGGTTTCTGATGAAAACAGCTGGCCAGAAGAAAACCGCCGGACAATCTGGAGGAGTTCAACGATCTGGAGCAGGTGGTCAAGCGCGAGGAGCAATAGGGCAGTCAGGAGGCTCTTCATCGAGTAGAGGTTCATCTCTAGGTGGTGGCTCATCTTCTGTTACTGGTTTCCCATTCATTAATGGCTCACTCCCCATCGGTGGCGAATCTGACGAGGATACTGCCATGAATGACTTTGAAGCCAGTCCTGGAGAGCCTGACCCCTGGTCGAGGGGTGGCGAGGCAGACGAAGACGCTAGCAAAAACAAAAGAAGCAGCTCAGCCACTGCTTCCACCAGTAGAACCGCGCCTAGATTCTCTGTTCCATTAGCGGGTGGAGGGTTCGCAACCGCCTCAGCTCCTACCGAAACTTCAAGTGCCGGTCCAATTACTAAGGGACGAAAAAGGTCATTAAGTCCCTCAGCACCTGGTAACTCAAGAATCACGCGGCAAAAGACACAGGCCAATGATTCCGATTCATCTTCCGATTCTTCAGATGAGGAGCCCGATGACAAAGAATCAGATAAAGAGGGAGAAGAATCGGACGGAGAAGAAGAAGATGGAAATGACTTCGTTGAAAAGTAAGCCCTTCCACTTCTGTAAGCCGAGAGATTTTGCGAAACTCACCACCTTCAGATTTCTCACAATTGCAGATGTGACAGAATCCTCACAGATGGAGGACAACCTGTTCACAAACTTCTGCGCATTCTTCAAGCTCCAGCCAAAGAAAGCGAAGAAGCCCAAGTGCGAAGTGAACCTTGAAGGTGTCTCCATACCTTTTCGAGTCTACCAAGTGTGTAATCAAAATTTCATTTCAATGCCCTCGGATTGCCTCACAGTAGAGCCATGACAAGTTTCCTATCCTGCAGTACTGATGATGCTGATGCTGATGCTGATGATGATGCTAGGCTTTTGCAATATACTGGATGCTAGATAAAGAGTATGACACTAGCTGCGGTGGTTTCCTTGCGGATGAGCAAGGGTTAGGTATGTGCTTCCAAAGATCCCGCGTGTACATTTGATCGATCCTAGTTGTGCTGAACAGAGGATTCTTCTGTGTTCTGACATTGTTATAGGGAAGACAATCACAGCTCTAGGTCTTTGCATTCTAGAACGAGTGATCCACCTTAATTATGTGACAACGATGAATGATATTCGCTCAAAGGATCCCCTACGACTGCAGAGGCATGCCACCGGTAGCGCAGAGAGAATCTGCCCAACAGAGTCCTATTCTATTAAATGTCAATGTTCTAAAGGATATATACACCTCGACCCCAATAATAACTTCGGACCCACTTTAATCATTGCACCAAAGCAACTACTCAAGACGGTACGTATGTTATCAAGAGCTTTATATTGAACATAGTGAATGAGTGTTTGGTTTAGTAGAAAAAGAGACATAACCCTATTGCTGACGATGCATGTCTAGTGGCGGGATGAATTCGAGAAACTCATCGACTCCTCCAAAAATCCCTTGAATATGAAAATGATAGTTGCGCACCCGACAGAAGGTCGCACCTATACCAAGAAGGCTTTGGAAGACCTCCTTCAAGAGGCGGAAATTTATGGGGAAAATACATCGAATTTGATTATTGGTAAGCTCACTTCTGTATTGATTCGCGCGATTGTTCTATGAGAGGTTGGTGAGCTGCGATCCGTTTTAGGAAATGCGACCTGGAAACGGAGGCGTCCATATGCAATATTTTGAGATAGTTGGCAGCTCCTGAGATGTCGAAAGCGTTCTCTACTTCTTGCAGTGCTAACGAAGGTGGCAGCCACGACATCAGGATCATTCAAGAAGCAAGTTGGTGATGTTGTGGGGAGGAAAATTAAGTGGCGCCGTGTTATCCGCGACGAACTGCACCTAGAGAAAACGCCGGGTAGGTTTAGCGTTCACTTTTACTTGAAAGAGGTTACTGACTCTCTGGGTTTGAAGCAACTAAGAACATCAAACTCATGCTTAGTGAGACAGCGAAAAGACGACGAGGTCCTACATCAATGTGGGCATTATCTGGAACTCCCTTTGAAAGAAGGTACGTTTGATACCCATGATGACCATGTCATACAATTCGCTCTTAATTCTGAATCATGAGAGCTGGAAAATGTCACACAGCAAAAATTGGAATATAAGATAATATGTCCCAGAGCTTGTAGGGCAATATAGGCGGGAAGACAGATCCTTCGAATTTGGAAAAGAGAGGAATTCGCATCGTACTTTTCCTCGTCTTTACACCACGTCATTACTCAGATAGTAGTCCACCATTAAGACGTAGCTCGCCTCTATTGTCCCACAAGCTGTGGAACAACATTATCTCACATTCCGAATTTTACAGTGACCGCACGACAAATGCTCAGGAGACTAGTATTCTACCGCTGCGCTGTTCTTTACATTTAGATCAGTGTATATTAATTACTGACACATTTATAGTCCAAAAGATCTAGCTGGTTACATTTCAGTGCTGCGAACCGGCGCCGAAAATGCTTGGGAAATTGATGGCAGGGATGAGCTAAAATTCGGACTCGCAGCCCCCTTTCAGGAAATTGACACGAAGTACAATAAGCTAATAAAAGATGCTCAAAAGGGCAAAACCCTTCGGAAAGTAGATATAGAAGGCGTCTTAGGGAAGTTCGGGAAAATTCTTCATGCTCTGATGATACGACGTACAATGTCATCGTCGGTACCACGCCCCAGTTTAGTTCTAATGCCGAAAGGAATACTGACACGAGTCACCACAGTGGTTTGGAAAAGTCTTGCTGGATGTACCCGAGAGCGAGCATCAGGACCTGTCATTTACGGTAAGTTCCGCGTACAAGAATGACTTGGACTGGCTTCGTGAGTGTGCGCAGCACAATTTGCAAAGAGCTGCTGCTGCTCGGCAAACGAAAGCTTCAACGAAGTTTTCACAGCCGAAAGCACAGTCGCGAGCATCGGGCACAGAGTACCAGAAATACGGCAGAAGATTACGGTTGGCTGCTACAATTCCAGCTATCCCAGGACTGCTGAGGAAAAAGGAAATACTTGATGACATGTTTCTTCAGGAAACAATCTTGAAACAGGGATGGTATGACAATGGCCCAAATTACAATGCATCGCCATACAAGAAATACTTGACACAATTTGTTCAGAGCAGCGAGAAGTTCACACTGATCAACCAACATGTTCTACAAGTGCTGCGTACGCCGAAAGATCCAGAAAACCCTGAGAAAATCATCATCATGAGCAGCTTTCCTGCAATGGCCTTTATTACAGCATTAGTCAGTAGCGCTTCCTCAGAACAAGCTGATCGCCATGGATGCTGACGATGTATAGTGGCTTAAAAAAGGGAAACATTCTGTGCTTTTCATTCACTCCGCCCTCAAGAATCGGGCGACCCTTGTCAACGATTTTCAAGGCGTAATGCGGGAAGACACTGATGAGGCCAAGAGGCCAAAGACTACCACCAAAGGCACGAAAGCTGAGTCAGAGAGGGACGCGGCAAGGAAAGCATCAATTCTTGTCTCAACAATACAGCTTAGTGAGTATTCCAATGGCTTCCTTCTTATGAAATACAACACTGGGGCTTTCATAGCCTCTTAGCACCATTGGAGGGCCCCATCCTAGATGTTTTCAAGCCTCTCGTGAGTTTCGTGTACTAACATATATTCAGTTGGTACTGGATTCACTATAACAAGAGCAACGCATGTAAGTATCCTCGGGTCATTTCCAGGTGCACGTGACTCATGTTATCTCACGATTAACTCCAAATTATTGCTGATTTTGAGGCAGGTGGTGATGCTAGAACCGGCCTGGATGTTAAGAGATGAGAAACAAGGTTACGCTAGAATCAGAAGATTCAGTCAGAAGAACCCCACGTTTACGTGGAAGCTGATCAACAACGACAGTTTTGTAGAGCCTCAGATTATGCAGAGACATGCTGCTCGAGGACGTTTCGTTGAGCTCTCGTTCGGGGACAATACGGACCAACAGGACTTTGGGCGGAATGCCCCGCAAGACTTCGACATCGTAGATGAAGACAAGGGCGTGGCTGGCTCGAAGAAGCCCGCTGCACGCTATACTGATAAACAGCACGAAGATTCTGATGAAGAAGTAGACGGATACTCGAGTGGTGAAGAGTTTGAGTTTTGAGGAAGAGGTTATTTGAGATAGTGTAACAGTCATGTCGTTTTCCGCTCGGGTAACTTAGAATTCCATACGTTTCTCGAGAAGATACTCTTTGGAAAACGTTTCCTAGGCCCGGCGAATCCACTCTAAGATGACCTGTTTATCTCTTGAAATTTATGATCCTTGTTATTGTAGTCTTACAGCGCAATTAAATCGTACGTTCAAATCGCTCACTTGAGATTATTGAATTGTAATCCACAAAACTGTGTTGCTTGCTTTTAAACAAGGGACCGTAAGGGAGCGTTTAAGCAGCAAAATAGGTAAGAGCTGAGGCCACCGGGAATGGCCCACTTAAGCGAGACGCGGTAACGCGTAAAAATTCTACACCCCATTTTAAAACCCTTACTACACAACAACCCTCTTAGGAATCAGTCCATAATTCAAGATGGAGACACCTCTTATCCTAAGTGATCCTATCGAGAAAGAGAATAATGAATGGCCTACCCCTGCACGTGCAGTCATTCGATCCCTACAGCGCCAGGGAAAGTCGCAACGCGAGATTGTCTCAGAGACCCATATCCCTCGAAGAACAGTACGCCGCATTCTTAAGCAGGAATCTAGTCGGAGAGAGCGCAAAAGAAAGCTCTCTAGACACCATCTCATGTCTATACGCGACATACGTTATTGCATTCGAACCATTTCCAAAAACTGGAGCTCTAGGCGCATGACTTTTGAGGCTCTCAAAAAGCAACTACCCTACCTACCCTCGGTGCGCACCATTCGTCGAGAATTAGCCCGGGCTGGCTACCGCCGCTGCATTGCATGCCCTCGACCATATATTACCCTCAAACAAGCTAGGAAGAGATATGTATTTGCCAAGGAGCATAAATAGTAGGGGACATCAGACTAGGCAGCTCATAGAGATGATGGCAAGCAAGGAGGGGACTGGAGGAAGGTTGTATGGTCTGATGAGGCTATATTTGAGACTAGGAAGAATGGCAGGATATATGTGACTAGGAGGGTAGATGAGAGGAGGTGCCCTGACTGCATTAAATCAGTCTACAAGTCAGGGAGGACAACGGTCATGATATGGGGGGCATTAAGTGTGACAGCACGGTTGGACTCAAGTACGTAGACGAGGAATCGATTAGGCTATCTCTTAGAATCTAAAGGTAAAGAGGGAAGAAAGGAAGGAAGCGCCGGAAGGCAGGGCATATATACAGGCGAGCGGTCACGTGAGCATTTCATAGCGGTCACGTGACTCCATAACCGTGACATTAAGTTGGGATTACAAGTCGCCATTAGTCTTCCTAGAGAAGCTTCCAGAACGCAAGGGCATATGTTCTAAAGCCTATCTACAGCAAGTTCTTCAGCCTATAATCTTCCCTCTCTTTGATGATCTAGGGCCGGAGTATATCTTCATGGAAGACGGGTCTAAGGTGCATAAAGGGCATGCCAAATTACCTAGACTACAGCACAATATCCGAGGGTTTAATTGGCCTCCTTCTTCACCAGATTTGAACCCTATTGAGAAAGTCTAGAGGTGGATGAAGGAGAAATTGAAAAACTTGGACTATATGCCCAAAAATAAAGTGGATTTGAAAAAGGAGTTGCAAAAGCTATAGGACCGAGTTAACCCACGTGACTTTCGCCACTACACTAAGCAATTGACTTGTAAGATTGAGGATGTAATTAAGTATAAGGGTATGGCTACTATTAATTAATAATAAGTTCCATTTTCACAGAGATTCATAAAAAGACTAAAAGATTATGATTTTTGGTAAATAAGGTCTCATTTGTTGAGTTTCGCTTAAGTGGGCCATTCCCGGTGGCCTCAGCTCTTACCAATAGCTAATATAGTGTCACACAAATTGCAAGTTTACAAAGCCGAGATCTCGACTACACGAAGCATATTATCAAACATGCCAAAAAAAATATTACCAAGTTTGCTATCAAAGATCAAATTATCAATCACTTTAATGTACTCAGAGGAAAACAAATTGAAGATAATTTAATTTAGTTGAAAAAGAAGATTTATATTGTCACGACTCTCTCCTTACCCTGGTAAGGTCACGTGGGTTGGTATGGTGAATGAAGTAAGATAGGGCAATGATATTGTAGTTAGGAAAACTTAATCAAGTTGAGCACAAAGCTCCTATCTAATGGCAGAGATGCCAGTCTTATATAGAACCTCCGTTTCCCATGCTAGCCGTGCTAGACAATCTAGCACGTCGCTGCTAGCCATGCTAGCCGGGCTAGCAGAGCTAGCACATCACGTGACGCTCGTCTCGTGACCTGCTGGTCGCTCATTCCTTCATCCAATAAGCCGTCTGGTTGTTTACCCCATTAAACAACCAATGATCCCGTATGTTCCCTGGGCCTGTGCGTGCCCTAGGACATGTACGCCCAGGATTCCCCTGTATCCTAGGATCCCACAGGGTCCCAGGAACGTGATCGTGACATATATATTAAAATTGTTTCAAATATTTAAAACATTATATATTAAACGTAAACGTTAATTTATGTAATATTATTAAATAATAATTTTACGATTAATAAATGCTTTAAATGTTTTAAATGATTTAAATTCTTTTTTCCCCTCTTTTTCGCATTGTATTTATTTACTGAGAACATTAATTTGAAATAAACAACTTTCACTTGTTGTTTCTAGCTCGCTGCTTTTTCGCTTTTTTCTTCTTCCATAAAACTCATGTTGAAGTAAGCAATAATATGGTGGACAATAATAAAGTGGGCCGCAGTAGATTGATAATTAATGCCAAAGAAAACACCCTTATTATCCACAAATCAAATTTTTTTTGGTATCGTCTGACGAATTCTCACTAGCGCTCAGCCGTACTGAACATTATTTCCACCATATTACTGTTGATTAATTACCAATCGAATAAAGTCTCTAGCAGTATACCAATAGTTCGTTAAACGTGATTTTACATGAGTTTTGATACAGTGAAATGAATTTATTTGTCAAGTGATACTTCCCTTATTCAAGATACACAAACAACGCAACCCTAAACCCCCTCCCTAGCCCCAACACCCTCCACCTTCTCCCCATCCCCCTCCTCCGTCCTCTCAACATAGCTCTCCTCCTCCCGCTTACTACTAACAAGCCCCTTCCTCCCCCCAATCTCTCTCTCCAGATGCACCTCAACATGGTTCGTAAAATACTTACTCGGATCCCTCACACACGCCGCACAAATCACCGCAATGATACCAAACGGGATACTCGCCAACCAGGTAATCCGGAACCCGTACGCATACCCGTATCGAGCCGCCGTTACGCACTTCGCGAAGATATCTGTTGACACAGTCGGGAACGCAGCGGCTTGGCCGGGGACGCCGAGGATGGTGAGACGGACGGCCTTGATGAAGCTAGCTGTGCTGGTGGCGTTGAGGGCTACAGAATTGGAGGCGAGCGTTGAGGTGATGCGGGAGGAGACTTGTTTTGTGGCTGTTTGGCTGAAGATGGAGGAGAAGATCACGGAGCCGATACTACCTCCGACACTTCTGAATGTTCCGATCAATCCAATCGCAACGCCGAGATCACGTTGCGGGACGTGCAAACTGGCTGTCGTATAACAATTAAGAGTAATCCATCCAAATGGCAACATGGCGAGGAACTGGACTGCCATGAGCCAGTTGAGGTTTGTGGGTGTTATGAGGGCAGCCAAACCGAAGAAGAGTGCTTGCATGAAGTTTGCAAAGATAAGTTGGAGGTTGACGTGTCTGATATATTGGACGAGAGCGGGGATAACGACCCCGCCGATAAGTTGGCCAGATCTGTAGTCAATGTAAATAGAAGGTCATCAGGGACGACCAAGGGGACATACCCAGAAGGGAGAGAGTAGACGCCGATCTTGATCGCATCTGCTGTATGAAGGTAGAGGATCGTCTGAGCATTCAGCGCCGAAGCAGCGAAGAACACCATCCCGGCAACAAAAACAAGTACAATCAACGACGAGAACTCCCGAAAACTCTTGAATAGATACCAAGGGAACAATGGATCCTTCGCAAGTGTAAAGTCATACGCGAAAGCCGCGAAGAAAGTAATCAGCCCAAGGATCAAAGCAGCAATCGTCCCGGTAGCGCCCCATGCGTACGTATTGCCACCAGAGTTAAGGCCAAATAGGAAAACGACCAGGCCAGTGACGAAAAGGGCGGCGCCAATGAAATCGAGTTCTTTGAACTCTTGCCATTTCGTCTTGCCATCAGGCCGAGGATGACTTGGCGGAAAGTAGACAAACAGCGTTCCAATAAAAGAGAAGGCGCCATATCCGATGGCAACGTAGAACATGATGCGCCAAGTAGCATGAGATATCATAGCATTGGCGAGGAGTGTGCCTGGAATCCAACTCGATAGGTTGAACTCCGTCCACGCTAGGCCGGCGCCACGGTACTTGTTAGGGAGAATCTCAGATATGCCTTGTTACTGTTAGTATTCCTCATCACAAGATATCGGCGCACTTACCAGCACAAGCAACAGAAACAGTTCCAATTGATGCCCCAAGAATGACTTCTCCGGCGATAAGTTGATTCATAGATTGAGCAGTCCCTGCAATGATGCCGCCGAGAATCGTAAGAAGTTGGCCAGTAAGAATAACATATCGTCTCCCAAAGATATCAGAGACTCTTCCCGCAATTGTGAAGCCGACAGCAGCGGCAGCACCCCATCCGGAAGGAATCCAAAAGTCGATGTTTGCTCCTCCAAGCTTTTCGGAAAGCTGGACCAGAATTGGAGTAGCGAGGATGAAGCCGAAGATGATTGGACCCGTGAAGCTGGTCCCCAAGAACAACGCAGAAAGGACAACAGATAATGTCAACTTCTCCGCATGCTCAGGATTGTCTTCCAATGCAGCTTTGTGTGGATCCTCATAGCCTAGGGGTATGTCACGATGCTCAGAGTGAGCCATATCGATCTCAGCCTCAATGGCATGCTTATGTGCCTCGTTGTCTTTCATGATGTTGGTTTGGACTCAATCGCAATGTGGTTTGTTGACTAGAAGAGCTAAGTCAGAAGAGGAAGGATCCGATGCTCTGGGACCCAGTTGAGAAAGCATGTTTTATTTACAGGGGATTCAATTAGCCTGTTGCGGGGCCGAGAACGGGACCCCGCAAGACCCACCATTGGATCCCAGACTTTCTGGGGTACATGTGGGGTGACGAACTGGACTTCTCTTTCTGGGACTCTGCGTACCATTGCACTGTCTCATGCTTCTCGGGTAAAAAGAAAACACGAACTGGGAAAAGATCGTTGCTGGACAGAACGTAAATGTTGAAAAGGATTTATAGATCTTGAAGGCGATTTGAAAGCTTCAAAACATTGCTAAACTGCACCTTACGCAGCCTCTGAACGAATGCGAATGCGAATTCTAGATATGAATCTAGATGTGGGGCCTCAAGTGGGTTTGCCTTCCCAAGACCTAAAGAAATAGCAGATTTCCACAGCTGAGCTTTAAGTCGCGACTCGCGACGAATCTCGGGAAGCTCGCCTTTTTATCTATTCCCGAAATGGCGGCGCTACCCCTCAATAATCGGGGCAGCATGATTCTATATCAATGGGACTTTGCTCAAGGCTTGAAACAAGCCACTAAGCCTTGAATGGTTCTCGATCAAGAGTGGGGATCTTGAAGCATCACGCATAGCAACATGGCAATCATTGATAGTCTTTCGCCAAACAGTGCATTGATTCTATATGTGGGACTTGCAGTTATCATTGCGTACCCCATATGTCTCACAACATATCGTCTTTTCTTCTCGCCGCTTAGCAAGTTACCGGGTCCATGGTCAACCAGAATAAGTGTTGTTTTGGAGACCAACGCCCTTAAAGAATAGCGACGAACGCAATGGGTTGGGTCATTATTTGCCGAGAATTCTGACGCCGTATGCATACGCACAAGCCCGAACTCTGTGTCCTTTAACCATCCCGATGCTGTTAAAGCAATCTACGGTATGTTGAATTCCGCTCAATGGAGCAATGACTAAAACAATACAGGCCATGGAAAAGGTGTAGAGGGCTTCGGGAAATCCAGCTGGTATGATGCCTTCAATACTACAGAAGAGTCTCTCTTCTCAACTAGATCGAAGAAGCGTCATGCTATGAAGCGTAGAATGGTTGCGCACGGCTTCAGTGCCCAGTCTCTCCAGCTTTTCGAGCAATTCGTTGATGAAATGATGGAGAAGTTTATGGGAAAGATGGACGAGTTCGCTCGGACTCAACAGCCATTTGATATCTACTTCTGGTTCGAGCTTTTCACGATGGACTTGATGGGCGAACTTGCTCTTGGAAAGAACTTCGGCGCAATAGAAGCTGGCAAGCCTGCAAAGTATTCATCACTCGTTGAACAATCGCAGAGATTCTCAAACATCAGTGGTGTGCTTCCATTCGGAAAAGCCAATGTGAAAGTATTGAGCTGGGTGCCAATACCGAGGATCCAGGAATTATGGAAAGCCCGTGTCGAGTACTTGGAATTTGCCAGAACAGCGTTGGAGAAACGTTTCCGAGATGACAGGAAGGAGTTGGTTCCGAGCGGAAAAGCTCGACAAGATATCATGCAGCGCTTCAGTACGTCAAATACTACCCTTGTTTGGTATCCACTTTAGGAGCTGAGATTCTCGGGACTGTTCTCGGGAGCTACTCTTCAAAGAAGATGTTGTCTCAACTCTTCGGATGAGCTCCTCGAATCCTAAATTCCTGTCAAAAGTGTATATTGATTTGTCAATAGTCGAGGCTCGAGACCCAGAGACGGGCCATAAGATGGACTTTGCAGAGTTGCGTGCAGAGACTTCATCCTTGATGTAAGTATATCTTATGAATCAGATTAGCACTTTCTGATCATAGCAGGGTGGCTGGCGCCAGTACAGGGTCTGTAACAATGAATTGGATGACTTACTACTTCTGCAAAAATCCGGAAGTCAAGAATCGCATCATCAAAGAACTAGAGAACATGTTCCCCGAGAACGTTGATGGAAGTCAAATTCTCCCTTTCGTCAAGCTGCAGAAGCTTGCTCTTCTTGAGAACGCCGAGATAGAATGGTACGTTGGAATCTGCTCCCGAGATTTCTGGCAAAGCTGTATACTGAATTACCCACAGTCTCCGACTCCACCCACCCATCGGCTACTCGATGCCACGCGACACCCCTCCGCAAGGAGCCGTCATCTGCGGCCATTACATCCCCGGCGGAGTAGCAGTCGGCGTTCCCGCTGCTATCATTGGTCGTAACGAAACCGTATACAAAAACGCAAACACCTGGTCCCCCGACCGCTGGACCGACGAAACCGCCGACCTTGCAACCATGAAGACTTGTTTCCTCGGCTTCGGCTACGGCAGCAGACAATGCATCGGCCGCAACGTAGCTAATCAATTCGTGATGAAGATGATGGCGACGCTGTTGCTGCGATATGAGATTGAGTTGGAGGATCCTGGGTTGGTGCTTGGGACGAAGGAGTTTACGATACAGAAACCGGATCGGAAATATAATGTGATTATTCGGCCGAGGAAATCGTAGACGCAAAGTTGGGATGGGATTATTTGAGTAACGAGTAGGAGTGTTGGTTGGAATGGGAAAGGGTTCCACACGCTAGTGCTTAGTTTGGATCTGAGACAGTGACCAATCAAGTAGGAACGACGCTAGAAGAAGCTTGAACTCGGTATAGATTAATCAAACTGTGCAATCCATAACAATTTAAACACAAATTTTGATTCATCATGCCAGACCGGGTCACTGGATCGTGCTCCACTTTTTGAACGGGAACGGAAGACCACAGAAATAATAAGAGTGAGAGTAAGGAGCGTACCATCGCAATACTGATGCATTCTATTCAGAAGAAAGAAAAACTATATACAGAAGTGAATATATACTGTTGAAAGAAAAACGAAAGTCTTTTGGATGCCTGCTCATGCCACACATATCCTCGGGATAAAACCACGGTCTCTTCGCTCTTTATATGCCTACAAACATTGGGAGTAGTATGCATTCGCGGCCGTGCAAGTGTAGCCACCTGCGCAAGTGGTTGCACCAGTCCATCCGACACCGCCACATTGTGCGTAGTGGGCGGCTCCACCGCTTGAAGATACGCTGGTGCTGGTAGGGACTTGGACCTTAGTCGAGGAACCAACGACGACGCTGGAGCTTGTGCCTGATGATCCTCCGGATCCGCCTGACGCGAGAGTGCCGGTGTAGGTAGAATTGATAGCACCGACCTTGATGTTGGAGTAGATGACATAGGAGCTGGCCTCGGAGGATTCGATAGTAGCAGGGACACCGGAGGTGGTGGCGCAGGTTCCACGAGCGACACCGGGCTTGGTGGCATCTCCAGTAGCTGGGTCGTTGCTGTCGAGCCAGAGCATTTGGTCTGCGTAATCATCCCAGAGGGAAAGGACGAGGACCATACCGGTCTTGTAGGCCTCGCTCATAGAAGAGAAGCCTCCGTGAGCATCGTAGTCGTTGGTGTCTCCGAAAGCGGTCTTCTGGGCCTTGCAGAAGGTCTCTGTGATGGAGTTTCCTGAGACGCCAGCGATGTTGGACTGCGAGTTGGGGATGACCTTGCCATTTTGAACGTAGTAGCGCTTGATCTCATTGAGATTACCGGTGGCAGTTCCATCATCAGTCAGGAATTGGGTGACGACAGTGAAGACTGAGTTGGTATCAACGGTCATGCCAGGGCCGTAGAAAGTGGTGTTGCCCATTCTGTAAGAGTTGAAATCGCATCCATCGGGATCAGTGGTACCTCCATATCTATCGGTAGAGTAGGTACCGCCACAGGCGTTGCCATCGCATCTTGTCTGAGTGACATTGTCGGAGGAGTGAGGAGTCAATGCAGCGGAGACGGAGTTTGCTTCCCAAATATCCATCTCGGCACAGCATGAGCCATACTGTCCTGTTCCAGAGTTGGCACTGTTGGAGTCTGGAGTCCATCCCTCAACATTGGCCTATAATTTGTAAGCTATATGTTAAGTTCCCCGTCAAAGGAATGCATACTTGGCCGTTGATGAACTTCAGATCACGTGGGCACTGAGAATCACAGTATCCAACTCCATAGGCAGCACCGGCCTTATTAGTAGGGTACTGCGAGACACCACCATCGGCAGCCATGCCAGACATGTAAAGCGCACCGTTCAGACCACAAGGAAGATGAGAAACATCAACACTGACTACTGTTAGTTAAGCGTTGCAACGTGTAGGAGCAGACCTACTCGAAGGTGAATTCTTGGTTCAATAGGTTGAACATCTGGTAATGAGTATCGTCGGCCATCAAGAAGAGACGCGAGCCGACGTTCTTGTTCGCTCCCGAAGTAACGAAGTCCAACTTCAGCGAGCTTCCACTGGCTGTAACACCATAAGTGCCAGTATAGTCGGCTCCGTCAAGAGCGCAATTGGTGGCGCAAGTAGCATCGTCTGGGCACAGAGTTGCATCCCAAGTGTTTCCGGTGTAGCAGTTAGTTGATCCAGAAGTTGAGTGCAACCACCGCCAGTTAGAATCCATGACAACCTTGCCATTGACAGTTGTGCAAGAACCTGGTGCGGTACACTTCTGCCATGTCAAAGGAGGGTGAGTTTCGGTTGTGAGGGTACCGATTTGCTGTGCGCGAGCAACAGCGAATAGCGAAGAAGCAAGAGCGAGCTTAGAATACATGATGAATAGTGAAGGAAGGACTGAAGGAGGCTGATGGTCATGCAGGAAAAGTTTGGGGTTGAGGAACAGAGCAGCTTATATACTGAGTCGCATCGGAACAAGAGTACCGCCAACCATGAGGCCATGAACCACCAGAAATCTGTACTAGACAAGCCATCCATGAGGCCTCAAGATCTACTGGAGCTCCGGCTCGACGGGCCCTTCGGATTGACGATCTCGCAACGACAAAAGGGGCATGAGGCTGGGTCGCTCCATGCGGTCCGACTAGGACTAAAATTGGAGGCAACTGCTGCGGAGCAAGTCACGATGCTCACTACCACTCTTACCAGCTCACGAGAAGACTTGGTGGAGAAACATTGTTGCGCGTCACGGGCCACATACCGCGGGTAGATTAATTCTTCATACACTAGGACCGCACATGGTCAACTGCAGTAAAACAAACGCTACCGGATCAGTTGACCGACGTTTAATATAAACAACGTCGAGGTCCAGGTTCGGCTAGGGCATTGGCCTTTTGATTGACCTTTGATAGGTTGCCAAGGTTTTCTCCGCATCGCTGCCCCTTTTTCGTGGCGGGGTCAAGTTACTTTTCAGATGCCCTAATCGGAGTCATGAGCTCCTTGGTGGTTGGAACTTTGCAAAAAATTCGTGAGATGACAACTTGAGTAAACGTTGAAAGTATGATCTCTCCACATAGAGAATGCCATCAAAGAATGATCCTATCGAGGCCAGGCATTGTGATCTGATTTCGCACTAATATTAAGGGTGGTGCTACAGTATCAGGTGTATAATAGACTTTTTAGATGGGTACCGAGGCCAAACAGGGATGCTCGCCAAACGCGGGGATAAGGTTGTTTAAATGCGGATAAACTCGCGGGAACAGGGATATTAATGAGGTACGAAAACCGGCGAAACACAGCTGCCGGGAAACGCGAGAGTTTGTCACCTGCCTTTGACATTGGCCAGAAGGGGTGGTACAAAAACTGGAGAAGTGATCTAAGCGAAGCCCATTAGAGCTCACTGCCACACAACTTAGACCAGAAGGGTCTTTTACTCCTGACGGCAATACTCGCCCCGTTATTCCTCGAAGAGGGATGGCAGACTCCACTGCAGCGGCTCTCCGGGATGGAATCCTCCTTAATTAATTGAAGCGCAAGCAATCTTTTGCTCCAAATGGCTGGCCATGCCATCCGACGTCAAATTTTGCCTTGGCAGGAGTAACGTGAACGTTTGTATGTTTGGTGGGGTGTGTCTCACCCTCTATCTCAACCCACTTATTCACTATGAAATTGATAGACAGGTGTCCTAACCGAATGCAGGGCCAGTTTGGAAGCACTTTCGCCGAGAGGATATATATTGAATGGGCTTCTTGGCAAAGAATACTCGGGTCGAAGGATATTTAGGCAGGACCGCCTCATTTCAACTCTGACGACAGCTAGAAACGAGTACCATGATAGAAGCATTTCCACAGACAAGTGGTACATTGGAAGGCTTCTTGGCAAAAACTTTCGGGTCGAAAGATGATTAGGCATGATTGCCTCATTTCAAGTCTGACGACAGCAGAAGTGAATGCCATGAATATGAGACGGGTGAGTGATGGGTGAAAGTTGGAAGAGGCTCCAACACTTCCTTGCGTGGGTTGGTACGCAGAAGTTGCCACACCTTTGGTGCGGGATGATCTTGCGGGGGTGTCGGGTGTTGAAGTGGCTCAGCAAGCTTGGGGCGTACTTGCCAACTACGGAAGTCCGTTATCTGAAGCGTCTGTAGTGAAGTTGCTCAGTCGTCTTCTGTGACCACAAGAGCGCCGGCTAATCATGGATTCATTTGTTGCGCTCGCACCGGAATTGAAGTCGGCCCGTAATCGTCGCGCTTGCGTCGAAAGACGATATCCGCAAGCTGGTAGTTGGCTCTTCGCCACAGTTCATGGTTGAGAAGAAGTAGGTCGGCAGAGGAGTGGTTCAGAGATTGGGTCGTCCTCGATATGCCCAGTCATAATATCGTCCTGCATGAAATCACGCCAGAATACGTCTCCAGCAACGTCTTTCCGTGTCGCGTATATCATCTGACCAGCTTTGGTGACCTGACCGAATCCCATGCGAGCCGAATGCCATACGTTAGCAATAGCTTTCAATGCGCCGGCATTCATTCGAATCTGCTCCTTCAGCTCTTGTTCTGGAGAGATGATGGGCAAGGCTGACCACATCGAGAGATGGACGATAGAAGACATTGTCAAGGCGCATACAAAGAAGTGCGTGTGATTGATCAACGGTGTGGGTAGAGCCACAAGCCGGCTCACGTTTGCCGCTGCTTGAGCCGTTTTTATTGTATGCATATTATCCACAGTTGGTGCTAGATCGACGTGTTCGGAGCAAGAAGTAATGGTCTGGACAGCGAGCACTTCAAGTTTCGCGTAGTGGCGGTGAAGTAGCATCGAACTCCTAGAACACTGTCTCAATGCTGCTTTGTGAGAAGGGTGAAGGCACTTACACATCAGTGATCATATGCGCCTGAAACAGCATCTCATCGAAGTCACTTGCCTCATCATAGAAGTCTCTTTTCGACTCAGGGAGATGTAGTTTCCAAGCTGTAAGGTATGCTTCTAGTCTGTGGATCGAGACGTTGTCGGGAAAATGACCGCTTATTGATTGTATGATTCTATCAAGATTGCGCGCCGCAGCTATCCGATACGTGTAGGAAGACCATTCAATATCATCGTCGGTAAAGCTGTCCTCTTCGAATTCTTCGAAAGTATGGAGGGGAGGGATGAGCTACTCAGGTCAATAAATTTATTTTATCGTGCAGGTTCCACTCACGCCAATGTCGAAATATCTTGCTTCGCATGGTAGGGGTACGAACGAATTCCAGTCCTGGAAGTAGAAAGCTCTTCGCCCATGAAAACCAGCTACCATCACACATACGACATTCAACTCATGCCATGAACGTCTGAGACTTTCTTCGCAGACCGAGGAGCCTTGCCCGTTTGCAAGTGCGTATTCTCTCGTGTTCATGCCAATGTCCAGAGCCATGTGTTGGGCTCTGACCAGTATCTCTACTGCTTTAACTTGTTCACCACCACCATCTAGTCCCAACGCGTAGAGCAACAGTGTCTGAACCATGGACGCATCTCTGACTGGTGGTGAGACAACGAATGATTCTAAATCTGTAGCGTATGGATTTGTAGATAGCCCTGAGACGTATCGAGAGCCAACATAGCACATGGCGGTAAGGAGATGATCCATAGGGCGTGCTTTGAGGACTTGGAGGAATTGATGTCGAGGAGGCAAGAAGGGGTGCGATTCATAGAAGTAGCGGTAAAATGCATCTATACACCGTTGACAACTGCGACCATCTGAGGTCGCCAGCTCAGAGCTTTTGCTGGTCAGGTACGTGGACGTGAACATTGCTCCAAACGAGGTTTCGAACGTTGAGCTAGATGAAGAAGTAGGCTCAGGTATCGAAAGTTGATTGTCATTGATAGACCCTGAGGTGTATGGTAATTGATTACTGGCTTTCGCAATAGAGTTATCGTGCACGGGAGCAGAACTTCTCCCACGCGCACTTGAGCCTCTATAGCCTCGACGCGATTTGAGATAGACACATGTGACTCCTTGCGAAGCACAGCGAGAGCAGACTCGAAGTCCATCGCATTTCAGATGTTTGCTTCGACACGCGACACATGCTGAATTGATAGACACGCGATCAGACATCGAAGGATGTGCTTGCCGGCCTGGTGACTCCGGGGCGTCCGGCGTGTTCGCACCAGTTGATTTATTTGAATCTTCTTCGTTGGTATCCATATTGCTCATTGGTAGCACTGAGAGTGACAAAACGGTAGACGCAAAGTTCTGTGAGGTCCAACAACAGTAACGTAACACATAAGCCTCAAAGGAAAGAAGAATGAAGGAAGTACAAGAGACTTGAGATGGGGCAAAGAAAGAAATGAGAGGCATTGCTGCTGAAAAATCAACATCAGAATCTGGCTACTGGTGAAATTCGAATTGCAGCATAATTGTGGCACTCGATGAGGCGTTAGCGTTTTGTGGTCGCCTATCAATTGGCCCAACATTTGTCGGCGAGCAAACCCACTTCAGGTCGGCGACCCTGAAAGCATATTGCATGACTAAAGAGACGATCGCTCACTTGAATCAGTTGTGGTCCTTATGGATGTGTCAATTGGTCGCGACTCGAGCTCTTCGAATGACGCTCCATGACTCAAGTTGAACGTTGATGGAGTATAACAAGGTCAAGAAAGCCCGACGGGAGATGAGGCTTCTGCACGTGACTGAGATTTTGCTTCTGTATAAGGTTAGCGTGGATTTTGGAGTTTTATCAGCCCTAGCCGGTCGAGGGTCCTCGTCGAGTTTCACGAAACACATCTCTCAAGTTTGTCCTGGGACACGTAAACGCTCAGCGTAAGCTGCAAGTGACCTTTGAGGTGCCAGTACTACCGAGTTCCTTCATGTAGGACGACAACGGAAGTCAACACGCGCTGACTGCCAACTACTTGTGCAACTCTGCATCTGGAGAGGCTATATTTGAGACATTCCAACGGTATCTCATATTGTTGATCATGTCTGTACTAGGTCATGAACGTTTACTTATATCTCGCCAGTGTCACAGCTGAACACTAAAGAATAGGACGTCGGCTGCAACATGTGATGCCAGTCATTTTTGTACGACCCTTTTCGTTATCTGCTGAATATAATTCTTTTCCACTTCACGGACTCAAGTTAAATTCGAGTCCACGACAATACTAGCGAGGCAGTCTCATAGCAAACTTTCCTATCTTCCCACCACTTAATCCTTCCAACGCCAAATCTTGTAACTTTTCTTCCCCACACCCACAACCTCTCACTCAACTAAACACAAAACTCATCAGACTCCTCGCCGGCACCGTAGCATTCACCAACCCCTCCCAAACCGCCAAGTACTCCCCACTCCCCACATCAACCCCCTCATTTGTCGTAACCGGCAACACGACACCCCCCTCCCTCGCCCCCTCAACCCTCATACTAACCGTCACATTCGCCCACCCCTTATTGATAACCTGCACCGCGATGCTCTTGATCCCACTCCGTCCCACGTTCGCACTCTCAAACGCCGAAACCGAGAAATCTTCCCACGCCGCCGACGAATTCGCGTAGATGCGTCTCGAATCCGGTTTCACGTAGCGGCCAAAATGCGCGAATGCCCACAGCCGTTTCGAGACTGTGTATGAGTTCGTGGTGGAGTTAATTCGGATCAACATATCGGACCCCGAACTCTCTTCTGCGCCCATCCAATGCAGGAATGCCGAAACATTAGCTTTCACCAGACTGTCCTGGATGTTGGTTGCCCAGACAAAGCCATCGACTTCTGTGCCGTCAGTCGTGGTGACGTCCCCCGTATCGTCGTCGGTGGTATTGACTGCGGAGTCCCAGAGCGCAGTGAAGGGGGTTGTGAGGTCTGACCATTCGGTTTGCCAGACGGGGAGGGAGGTTTTGAGGGGGTCAGTTGGGGCGGCGCTATAGCCGTGGGCGGAATAGACTGATAGATACTTTTCTCCGGAGGCGGATTGGAGTTCTGAGAGTGTGGCGCCGGCGATTGACCAGCCGGTGTTGTCGCAGCAGACTAGTTTGACGTGGGAGAAGTTCGAGGATTGGAGGGTAGGGGCTAGGATCTTGAGGAAATCTACGGCTTGGGAGCCGTTGGAGCGCATTCCGGCATAGGAGGGAGAGACTGTTCGCTTGTTAGCTTTATGAATACCAAAAAAAGGGTGAGCTTGGAGCTAAGGACTTTGGCTAGACTAAGGAAATAAGTACCGGAATGAGAATGAGACTGACTATCCGGTTCATTCAAGAACCCCAGATGCGTAACATTAATCCCAGCATCCTGATACTCCCTCAAATACTGCACCAAATAATTCGCAAAATGCTGTCTCCAATCTCCCGTCCCGCACTTCGTTCCCGTCACCCCACAAAGATAGCCTCCATCTTGGTCATTCTCGTTGCTTTTCATGTACCAAGGCGCAGACCACGCTGATGCATAAAATGTTTGCACCCCATACTTTTGAGCTTGTTGAGAGAGCCAGACTTGAGAACTGTCGTTGCCGTTCCAGGCGTATGTGGCGGTCCCGTTTGAGATGGATGTCGAGGGAGGATTTGGTTCGATGCTTAGCATGTAGTCTAATGCTGTGCTGTTCGACGATCCGACTCCGTTCCGAAGGATGGTTAGACCAGCGCCGACGCTGTCATCAAAGAGCAAATCGAGGATTTTGCTTTGGGTAGCATTGGGGAGGTGGTATATTGATGCGGCGCGGTTGAAAGCTTGGGAGATTCCAAAGCCAGAAATCGTTTGGTATGTTTGGGATGTGGAGACATTTACTGTAACAACTGGCAAAGCGGCCGGATCAGTTGAATCATTATCATCTTGTGCTCTTACCAGTGCGAAGAGCACCAAAAAGAAAAGAGATGTTGAGAGCATTTTGAAGCTTGCAAATGCCAAATTACTCGAACAGATTCAACTTAATCAACAAGACAACAACGGGTCGAAACAGTACCTCAGGACATCTAGATACATTTATACTGCCAAGGAAAACTTTTCAAGCTCGCACGTGTATGTTCGTGTTTTCAGTTGTCATACACCCAGAGCCAGATTAAGTCCCGTTCAGGCTGTGTTGAAACATCGTGAGAAAAACAAAATGGAACGTTTCAGCAAAGGTAGCCTTATGCTGGGAGAAAGCAAAGTAGAGTACTTAGTCAATGGGGGTATTGCCGTGAAGATTCTGTTCGTACGGATGAGGAGAAGGACGCGAGTCCCAGGACTAAAATATGGGGAAAGGGAAGACAAGCCACATGGCGTTTTCCCCTGGTAAGGCTCGGCAATGAATGCCGATACAGAGCTGTGGGGAAATGAAGGCCGTGTTCCAGAAGACTTCTGGGGATTGAGGCTGAATAGAGATTTGCTCGGTATATCAAGAGAAACCACCTGGAAGTGCTGGGATTCTCAGGATCATGTGACGGTGTTCGACAAAATGCATTCATTACCCCCTTTCTTACCCTGCCAGCTCAGGTCTTGTCGCAGGACTTCCTTCCATCTCTGGCCTCCAATTTTGTGGCACTGTGGCCGGCATCTCAGCAGGCGGAACTGGTTGAGCCCCAACATAATTCTTCTTATCCTCCTGTGTTCTTCCAGACATGTTATTCTCCATCAATTCGTAAGGCTCAGTTCTTGCCTTAGCCTTCTTCCTTCTCTTCAAAATGAAGAATGCGATAAGCAAAAGTATAGCGAGACCGCCGAGTGCTGCGCCTACTCCTATTCCTGCCTTCGCTCCTGTTGATAACCCGCTCGATCCAGGATTAGATGTTGCTGATGGCGTCTGAGTGGGGCTCGTATTTGCAGTTGACGTAGTCTTAGAGGACTTTGTTGCCGTAGCGGACGATGATGAGGAGGACGAGGACGCAGTAGCTGCAACCGTAAACGTAGATCCGAGCGCGCTAGTTCCTGATTTTTCCTCCTCAATCTTCAAGAAGAAAGGCTGTCCAGGAATTGCTTTGTTTCCCGGCGTCCATGTGTACGCGTTGGAGGAAATTCCACCTGCGAATTAAGATCATCAGCTGTATCCTCTCCATAAACGGGCAGATCTTCGCGAATGAGATGGCACAGGGGAACAGGAGGATAACAATCCGAGAAAGGAGCAAAGACGTACTCGAGATATTGCCAACAAGACTCGGATCCGCCAGTGTCCCATTGTCCAGAGACAATGTCAATGAAGCGCCAGTCGAAGCGCCCGTCCAAGTTACCTGGAACGGAGTTCCGCTCACGATCCCCGTCCAGTTATCGACCGTGAACTTCAATCCCTCCACCAAACACCATGACTGAAAAACACAGAGGACCAAACCCGAGCCTGGCGATATTCGCATCGTGAATACACGAGAAACGTCAAAGAAAGAGGACAACAACAATCACGAAAAGAAAGGTTAGTCTGCCTCACATGCGGATCAGATAAGGACGAGAACGGGAGCTGACGAGGCAATCCTCGCAGAGCTGAATTGGCTTAAGGCAGGATCAACCGCAGCAATTGGAGGGAAATCTCCTTGCTCCTGAGCTCAGCCCTCCAATAATAGCCATCTTGTCGTACCCGATACTCAAGGGGGATTAGCATTTGGGGTAAGAGATGACCAAGTTCCAACTTTGCGTGCAGCAGGAGGGACTTGGCGTAGGATCTTCGTCTTGGCTCAATTTGGTGCGAGGATGGCGGTTATCGAATCGAATACCCGTCTTGGCACGACATGCGGGGGATTTCTGTAGCCTGAGGCATGTACATGTATATGCATCTCTAACTAAGATACTACTGTACTCGCTACTCGTATTTACCATTTTCGGTAACCAAGGGATCGGGGCGATCCGAAAGGCTATCATTTTGGGGAGCAAGCTTATGAGAAGGGGGCAACCGATGCTAATTTTTTCTTTTCCGCCTATAAGTCGCATTTGATCTCCTCACTTGACCTCTCAACTTAACTACACTCTGAACCTACCTACTACCTCTTTTGTTGTATACAGACACACTCTCTCAGACTGCAATCCTGCCAATTTTCTCGCCCACCTCCTCTTCTAGGATAGGAGATAAACGTTTTTCAACATCTGACGTTCGGAACGAACTTGCGAAAATCCTCAGCGAAAAGAAAGCTCACATGAACAAAGAATATCATACTTCTAAATCTTAGATTCTCAATAATATCGCATTCCCAAATGCTACCTAATGCCATGCAAATCATGCCCCATCCCCATCCATACACCCCAAACGCCATCAATGCAGCCAATCCCTAAGCACCCTACCTCGGCCTCCTCAATGGATGAGCTTCCGTATTTCTACCACATCACAATCAGCATACAAACCCCACTAACAACACAAAAGTACTTACAATACGTATTCATCCAAGCTCACCACATCAAACGTGCTATAAAGCAAATAGAAATACTTCAACGTTTCCGCCAGCCAGAAGCTCTCCATCTCATTCACTTGTGGTGGAGCCGCACTCAGCACATCTTGGATGGCAGAATGTGCTAATTTCGTTTTGGTGTGTGCCATGATGGATTTAAACATTGTCCATCCGCTGTCGGCCCAGTAGGTATCGCCTGTGATACGGTAGAGGATGAAGACTGATTCGATTGCTTCGGGTCTGTTTACTGGTTAGCTTTCAATTGAAATACGGAAAAAATGAGTCTACGTACCTCAGAAGATACCGAGCATCTTGTACGGAAGCAAATCCTGGAGAAAGCTTGTTGGTCATGATCCGCTCACGAATGATCTCCTCTTCAGCATATCTGTCAATCGCATTATACCACTTCTTGGTATCCCATTTGCAGCTTGTCTTGTTCTCGCAAGCCACCGCCGTGAGAGTTTCGGGCATGATTCCAGTCACGGTATTCTTGTAAGCCCAAACACAACCATCTGCCAACTTAGCACCATCATCCACGTCCGCTGGTCGATTGAAGACCTTGCCTGCAATAGCAAGCATACCACCAGAGAAGCAAGTCAAATGCTGAAGCTCAGCTGTGCGTCTCGGTAGATTATCTCCTTGAACCGAGACTGCCCCCGAGATAAGAATATCCTCCTCTGTGACGGTCATTGGTCGGAAGAACAAGTACTTCTTAGCCACTTCCACGAACTTCTCGTACATCGTTCGGTAGGATCTCATGGTCCCCCCGAGCAGCATGAATTGCTTCGGTAGGTACTCATATGTGGAATCGGCCAGTGCTCCAAGTGTAAATTGCTCGTCCATTCCCGCCCATGGTGTCCCGAGTAAACAACTCTCGTTGAATTTAGTCGCATCTACCATAGAAGGCCACATTCCAGGCAAGGCTGTCTTATCCTGCCATTTCTCAAGCTCGTCCATTACACGCTGGATAGCATCATAGTACTTATCGTTTCCTGTAATTTGCGAGAGACGAGTGAACTCCAGAGACAAGGAGCCTAGGACAGCAAGGACAATAGAACCACTAGGCAAATGAGTGTTGGCATACTCATTCGTTCTACATGAGGTCAGTACTCATCCTACCCGAGATTTCAAGGAAGCAGAACATACGCAGACCATTCATAATGCGGCGTAGGCATCCGATTCGGGGTATCAAAGGCCGTAAACAGAATCTCCGCAAGCTCAACCGCCTTCTGCACCAAAATCGTGTACTTGCCCCCACTAATATCAAACGCCGAAAGCAGGCCTCCCAAATGTCGAATCGTCGTCTCGAACAAATTGACCTGGCACCCCTGGGTATTTGTAAAATCAATATTCCTCAACTCCACCAAGGACAGCTCAAATTCGTCTTTCAAGCCCATAATCCATAACGTATCCAACGCATCCACCATCGTAGCAGCCCACCCACAGAACGGAGACTTGTACCCGCCTGCAATGGGCATCAACTCATCATGCCCCCAAGCATCTTGCTTATACCCCCTCCACGCATGCAAGAACTCATCCTTAACCTCCTGCAACCTCCCCTCTCTCAACTTCTTATCACCCACCGACTCCACCACCGGCGCACGCTGAATCTTCGGTATCTTCCGCGGCGACTGCTGAGGAAGTCGAATCGTCTTCTCCTGCAGCGGGTACCGTTCTGGTCTTATAGGAATCGGTACATAATTAAACTCGAACTTCGGCTCCCCCAGCCCACTTTCCCTCACAAAGAAAACGACCACGAGCACGATAACGGTCAAAACCAGACCTCTCGTCAATCTGCGAGTTGTCGCCCGCGGGAAAGGGGACGTCTGCCATTCATCATCTTCATTAGCTCGTTTCACCTATACAAGAAGAAGGAGGAGAAGGCGAGCCTACCATGAAAGGCGAGATTTCGAACTTGCTACAGCTTCCAGCAAGCTTTTAAATAAATCTTGCTGTAACGAGATCCGCAATAACGATAGAGCCAGATAGTCGTTGCCAAGCAAAAGTCACGTCCCCGTTAGTGAATTTGCCGTGTAACGTCCCTCGTCTCAGTTTGTGCCTGCGATGGATGAATCTCGCGGCTGATTTGCTGTCCGAGCTCGGTGCCCATAGTTCTATTGACTTTATCCATGATCGCGATTGGGAAGGAGTAAGTCGTTGAAAAGATGTAGTATTGTCGGAGGAAGGAACATCTCTTGGGATGATACTTGTTTATATGTAGTTGGGATTGTCGCGAGTGAGTGTTGATGTCGGTCGGGGTTGTCTTTCGCAACGGCTGTTCCCGCCCGGACCCCTGGATGGTGGCCCTAGCGTGCAGATGGCCCTGAAGTTGCAGATCTCATCTAGGGCGAGAGAATTAAGCTTCTTGAGGGTTCAATTGTTGAAGCTTTGCACATCATTGTGACACAATATGATATCTAGAATTGAATCCTAACTGTACCAATAATGTATCTTGGCAATGTTAGGTATGTAGGTATGATAGGTAATTGCAGATTGTCAGATTGTCTTTTCTTTAAGGTTATCCACAAGAAGCATCTCTGAGGCACAATGACCAACAACAAAAACCACGTCCTTGACAAAGATATCATATTCACTAACCATTTGCTAAACAGAAAAAAGTTACTAATATTCAATTCATAACCAACACTTCTCAACCCTCCCTCTCAATCTCAAATCTCAACCCCAACATCCCCCGGTGCAAAAGTAGCAAACTGGGCCATAACATCCCTCTGCTCGCTCTCCGTCAACGGCCTCCCCTTCCCCGTCATAACATTATCGAGCGCCTTCGCCAACATCCTCAAATAATCCACATAATACGCCGGCGTGAACGTATTAAAGAACTCTGCCTCCTCATCGAACGGATTGCTATCATCCCTCTATCAGCACCTCTCCTCCCTCAATACCAATACTCGAAAAAGAAAAAGCAACTCACGAAAATGTATGAATACTCTTCGTCGGCACAATAACATAATCGCCCGCCTTCGTATCAATATCCTTCGTCTCCTTACTGCCCCCCTTCGCATCGTCCGCCAGGATGACCGTGAACCGCAACCGCCCCTTCGTCACGAAGAACGTCTCGTCGTGCATCCGATGCCACTGCTTCTCATCAGCCCCTCCAATCCTCTCTCTCACACCGCAACCTCATCCAAGATCACGAAAAGAAAATCAAACATACATGAATAGGCGGCCCCTTACTCCCCGGCTTGATCGTCAAAATCATCGTCCCAATCCGATTATCCGTATTCCTACCATCCTCCAGCACCCGAATGGTGAGCGGTCCCATCTTCAGGATCTCGCCCTCGAAACCCTCTCCGTCCTTGACGAGCGAGACGTCCGTCCAGTTGAATTTAGCTGCCATCTCTTTTGCTCTGTCCGTGGTGAAATCGAGGGGAACGAGCTTGACTTATATAGACCTCTGTAGCAAACAAAAAAGCTCAAACGGAATCGTACGTTGGAGTTGCACTGCAGCCAGCGGGGTTGCGCTGCATCTATCTGCTTAAAGGCCAGCTAGCTACCCCGCCACCGACCCGCGATCTACGCCGAGACCGAAATCCGCAGCTCCCTGCGCTTCAGCCCTGCGACGCTACGGACATGGACATGTATGTTTCAGCTGGGGAGTTGCGATGCGAAAACGCCGCCAATGATACATCAGATGGCGTGTACGAGCAAGAAGATTTCGTTAATTGATTTGTTTGGTAGCAGATACGAGGTGTGGTGAGCTGCTGAATTCAGAGCACGGGATGGGGGGGTTGGAAACGCGGGAAGCGGTTTGTTAAAGTGAGTCTACGGACATCACGGACTTTAGAATTGACTACGTTCGATGATACAAGACGATCGATGCTCCAACACCTTCCCAACATGATCTATTATCGAAACCAAGACCACTAATACAGAAAAACCGCCTCTGCCACTCTTTTTCAACATCATTCCTTACTCGATACCCGCAGCACATCTATCATCCTTCAGGGAAACAATTATCCGCCAGTTCTGCCACTAAATGACCTGGAATGGATAGTTGTCCTTCCTTCTCAGACAACAACTTCAATGTGCTACACTGGTAGTCGCTCATGATCATCTTTAATCTGGGCTCCAAATATCGTGGTGGCGTGATCGACAACATCGGGTCCAGGAGCGAAGCACCTCTCTGGTTCGAAGGTACTACTATAATCCTCTCCAGCTCAAGAAATGTTCTCGTAATAAACGGGACATTCTCAGAGGAGTCAATCCATTGCCTCATTCCAGTCCTCTTATTGCGAGCCTTCGCTTTCAAGCCTGCCAGGATTGGATTCAGAACGTTGCAGGAAGCTGTTGGGATATGGAGAACATGCGACAGAGTCACGGACGTAGTTATTAGCTCGCCTGATGAAGCCACGGGTCTCTTGAGGCTGAGAGTAATATCACCAATGCCAGCCACACTATGCAAAATTCCTAGCCCGTTTCGAATAGAAGTATGTTCGGCATATTGCATAGTGGCAACTGCAACTCAAAACGATCCAATCACGATATAAGGGATTCGGGTTCAGCTCGTGGGGGCTTGTCGATGCATAATATGGTGCAAAATGTGGACCCGTAGGAGCGAGTAGACTCGCGTGACTAGGATACAGGACGGGTTCGAGGGACTTCGGCTAGTGGCTGCTGACTTGTGGATGTCGGCTTCAAGCTCAGCCAGAATGGATGTGTAGTTGCAGGTCCCTGGCTTAAAAGCTACATGTGAATCATTTTTTTCTGATGCAAATCTTGGGCAAATCTCCATGTATATTCCAGCTCAAAGACTCCTGGATTCGTCTGCGGTATGTTCCGGGTTGAAGAAGGTTGTATGACTTCTTCTCTATACGCTGATTGAGCACTAGGTGGCGGAGTTGGAAGCAGCGAGTATTGACTCTGCCTTTGTAGGACACCAGGGTTGACAGGGGCATTGAACGTCTGGGTCGGTAGACGGCCATTCTGGACAATCCCCAGTCCTTTCATCTGTCAGGTTCTGCTTCTCGGTCATAGAGCTGGGGGTCAAGACGTGCCTTCAGGAAAATCGTTCACGACGGGTCCTTCAGAGTCGTTAGCGCCAGCATTGAGTGAGTGGAGTCGAGGAGAAGATACAAACTTTGTTGGCCATAGTTACCAAGGTGTTTGCTCATACTGCCTCAAGGAAACGAGAACTATACGACGGCCAGTGCTTTTCCAGGGGATTTGGACGTGCTAGACTTGATCTGCGACTCGGAAAAGAATACTGGTTCTGTAAATAAATTGGATTTGGTTAATGATTCGGTGCACAGTTGATTGATGTTGCAGGAGAAAGATTGAAAATTGAGCTGACGGGAAATGGGTAGATCGTAGTCCATGGTTCCTTCCTGCTTTTCTTTCTCTGTGTGAAAGTCGTCATTAGCTAGTATCTAAGGAATAGGCAGGTGCGATCAAGAACCGAGACGAGCTCCAAGGTGGTACTTGTCGAGCATTGTAAGTGATGAAATCATGGTACCATTATTCGAAAGTCCATTGCAAACCTCAGCTCTACTAAGTAACCACAGCTTCTTCGTTGTGAACGATAATTGTCTCCTTGCGGAATCAATGCTCACTTTGCATTATCTCACCACCTGCTCCTCAATCCAAGAAACCTCCTTCTCCTAATCACCAAAACATACATCTCCTCAGTTGCCTCTCCAACACCTCACCCAACCCTTCTTTGCTAGCACATCCCCATCAGCTGCATTCCTCCTCCTTCTCATTCTTCTTCTTCTGCTCCTCCTTCCGCTTCTCTTCCTCCATCATTTCAGGCGTCACAACATCTGACTTCCACGGAACCTTCTCAGTGATCCCCAAAACCGACTCTTCATCCTCAGTAGCGTACACCCCTCTCACCCCATCCCCTCCTGCATACCCTCCGCTCACAACCAACCTCAACGCACCCCCCTCATCTTTTCTAGCATACCAAACCTGCTCGTCACCAACCCAACCCTTCGCCCCATCAGGACTTACCTCATACAAATCGCCCAACCCTTCATTCCTCTTTCTCAACAGAGGGTTGAAGGCATTAGTAGGCGCGTCTGGCCAGTGAAGTACGTTTCTGAGCGTGATAACGTGTTCATCCGGTGATAACGAAGATTTTAGGACGGTAATCTTGACGGTGCCGAGGCCGTGAATGGCGATTTTGGGGTAGGGACCGTAAAGGATCAAGGCGGTGGGTTGGGATTTGTAGGCTATGAGGAGGGCTCGGGAGTGTGTGTAAGCGAGGCCGCTGGTTATGCGCCAGGATTGGGAGTGATGTTCGGATGAGGGGTCTGGGAGGATATGTGCTTCTGTGGATGGGTTCTTTGAACTCATGGTTGGCTTGAGATGTTGTGAGTATAAGAGGTGTCTTAGGGAGTTGAGATTTACCTTAGATGGCTGTTGTCTTGGTGAGAAGCAAGTGAGAAGCTGTATTGACCGTTGGAGGAGAGAGGAGGTGATATATGTAGAAGGTGGAAGCGACGTTGAAAGAGAAAATCATAAAGCTAGAAGAGAAAGACCTACACCCAAAAAAGTTTCTCCTTACCCACAAAGATATGTATCGATGGACTGAATCTTTCAAGCTGCATGTGAACTTAGACGCAGTATCTCCATCTTGGAGTACAAAGCCAACAGCTCCCTATCTTCTCTCATTAAATACCAAAAGCTCTTTCTTCTCTAGGGGCGAGGTACACAGGAGGTAATGGTGCTCGAAGCACGCACGTATAACTGGGGTTGAAGGAGGATTATTCTAGCTTCTCTTGCGTCTCAAGGTGTCATTCCATTCGGAAATGTTTACGAAAGGCTTTTCACTGCTGAGCCGTTGATCTCGAGCAATTAATGAATCACATTGCACTACGCTAAATGAAGTATAAAATCTCGACAACTGTGGCTCACAGCGAATCAGAGAGTACTTAGTTATGAGCAAGCAAAGTAAAATGAACGTGCTCGAAGTCTGCTCTCTCCACTTCGCCCGTGTCATCTCATATTGAAATAGGTGAGACAGTAAAGACAATATCTCTGTCGAGGGCTATCTTAAGGTTGAAACATAGCAGACTAAACCTGCGAAGAAATTCCCACACAGAACGAGTCAATAAGTCTTCAGAACCCTTCAGCCGCTACTCGATCAACAGCATATTCCATCAGAAATCCATCAGAATGAGACCTCAAGATCCATGACAATGTGGCCCGGGGTGGTGATAGACTTGAGCACAATAGTCTTTTGATTGGGCCATTTAATCAGCGCAGTGGTGCCAATGTCTGCAAATGTTCCACCAAGACCTGGAGCGTCGGCAGTGACAACCAGATCTATGATACCAACAGCTATCACGGCATATAGAGACGCCCCACCAGCAATCAACCACTTCCACCACTCCAAGATTGTCGATTTATTCTGTTCCTCATTAATCTGCTTCAGAGTAATGTTGCCTTGGTCGTCGATCGCGAATTGCTGCCAACTATTGTCCCATGCGTCGACGTGAACTTGTACAAAAGTGACGTCGGCTTTATATTCGAGGAAGAGCTCGAGGGCTTGCATAGAGGTGTCGATGGAACCTGTTAGTTTTGAGATCCATGGATCGTTATCTTTGTCGAGCTCGATGTGGGTGTCGGTGTTAATTATCTGGTAGAGAAATGGTTGCGCCAATGGTTAAATAGCGATTTTGCTAGCAAGATCATCGGGTGCTGTGAGCCTGTGACTTCTTTCTTGAGTCCGGTGATGAGCGCTGGCATTACAATGTATTCTAAGAATAATCTGTTCGATACTAACTGTTTAAATTATTAGTGTAAACTTCATATAGCTTGGAACATCTATGTCCCGTAGTACTGCTGAGGATCAGGTCCCATAAGCTCTGAGCTTTTCTGGTCGTAATATAGACATAGTTTGATGATGAAACTTACGACGAGATAATCTTGAGTAGGTGCAAGAATCGGCGCATTAAAGTACATATTTCCCAAGCCCGGAGAAACAGTTTGCATCAAGACTAAGAAGTTACTGCGGCTAGGGGTCGTTGGATCATAGACGAACGTGAAGTCTGCGAGTCGAGGAATGAGAGGTTTGTACTCCGCCTCTTCTGCAGCCGTCAAGGTAAAGCTAGCGAGAATGTACTGCTTGCCAGTTCCAAGGTAGTCTTTGATGATTTGCTTCAAAGCAATGATCAAGAAAGCATATCCGGCAGCTGGCATCTCGAGGTTGATATCAACGATGAAACCTTCGCGAAGGTTGAACATAAGATCGTAAGTCGTCTGGTTTTCTCCGGGATGTGGATCGACTTCTGCTTCAACTTGCAAAAGATCTGTCGTGACAATTATCTCTTGTCCCAGAAGTTCAATCGAAGTACCGTTCAGCTTAATAGATCCAGTGATAGGTATCAGTACATCAACTTGGCTACCAGAGCCAACCTTGACTTGCAGTTGCGGGGCACCCAAGGTGATATCTAAATTGACGGTGAGAAGGAGGCCAGGGACGATGGGAACAGGGATTTGCGTGTCGATGGACACTGCAAGTATCTTGCGAGTTGTTGGTTGATACCATCCTGAGTAGTTGCAGCAATCATATCCCAGCCATTACTGTCGTATACATTTGTCGCCATTTCTCATGAACAGGAGCGAAGTGAATGCAAGATTGCTAAGAGAAGAACAAGCACGACAGATCTGATGTAAGAAGGCAATACTTGAGCGCACAAAGATAAACAGAACAAATACGGAGTTCTGGGTTATATTCCCAGTTCAAGTAAATAACAGCATTGGAGAATATCTTGCTGTCTGCCCCACCATGCGATATGACTGCATGACTCTCTAACGCGGCCGCTCACTGATACACATATATCTGAGACTGTCTTTCTGATAAGCAAAGCGATAGGAGTTGAAGCAGTGTCATATGGAGAATGCCATGGTACAAATGCACGCCATCAGCTGAAACAAATATACCTACTGACCTTTTTAACTCCGACAATCGGGCGTTCTTTCTAGGGAGTGGCGCTCCACACCAATATTCTCCAGAAATACGATTCTAGAGGTGAGACTTACACTAAGGTCTCAAAGCTTTGCCCAAGTCAAACTGTTTTCTGCTTCTATGAGGGGTCAAATGTCCTTCAAAATAACGCCCGAATGTCAGATTTCAAAACACCGAGTACAACCATACAAAAAGAGTTTACGTGACTTTCTCATCAAATATAAGAAAGCGGTGAAGATGTCTCAGCTTCAGCCTTGAAGAATATCCAATGTGGCACTGTCAGCTCCACGTTTTTGCCAGAGAGAAGAAGAAAATGTTTTGCCATCGAAACACCTTTTAATATATGTCCCTGGTAGTGCCTAGCACTCGGGCCCAAGTCCAAAGTGTCTTGCTTGATGTCTAGGATATCTTTTCTTGAAGCGCCATTTCGAAAGAGCTGGGTTCAAAATGCTGACAGGTGATGCACTCGTATACGTTCGAGAGGTGCATCGTCCAGCTCTTGCAAGAAGCCTCTTCAAAGACAAAGGCCAATTATGATGAAAGGATATAAGGATACAAAATACCTTTGTAATTGTTGAGAAGAAGCTGTCCTTCCACCCTCGGATAAAGGAGTCTTGCCACAAGAGACGTCTTTGGGAGCATCGTCGCTCGCGTCGCGCATGCTTGTCGCATTCAGACCCCTGTAGACTGTTCTTGCTTATGATGCCTAGCCCTTGAAATCTTTCCACAGTGATTCAAACTTCGAAGCCTTTTTATCCCATTTCATGTTGAGCGCTTTTTCGAAGATTGGTGACAGGTCATGAGCCGCACAGACAGAATCATAAGTCCCCATCTTTTTGTCGTAAAGTTTGCGAAGCTCGGAACTCAAAGTACCATCCTCTAGTTCCAGTTCCAGTATTGCGTCTCGCTCGGTGGGAGTAAAGTAAGGCGGCCCAATCTAAAATTCATGTCCCGTCTCCGCAAATCTGGACCTTGCTTTCTCATCGTTGTTGAAGGAGTGAAGGTCTCTGATAAATTGTCTGGCGCTGTTGTAGAATTTGTCGTTGGAGATCGCAAGTTTTGAAAGGATCCGCTGATTTGAGACACGCTTGTCTGGATTTTTTTTGAACATCTTGCTGACTTTAAATTGGAGGCAGAATGTTGAGTTGGGAAGATTTGAGGAGTCGAAGTCGGCAAATGTTGTGGGGCAAGCCAGCGCTAATCACTGGCCACGGCAGCTATTGTAATTCCAACCAACGATCGAGCTCTGTTGTGCCTTAAGATATCAGTCAAAGACGTTTGTCCAGTGTACTGAAAGAGTGATGTTTTGATGCCATGGTGGGCGTCTTGGCGGGAAGACGTCCTTCCACCGAGCTTCTGCTTGTTGTAAATGTCTGCAGGAAGACGTTAACAATAGAGAGCCTTGTAAGAGAATGAAGAAACAGACATTGGCTTCTAATGAGAGTGTACTGCCAGTAACCTACTACGGTTCCAATGGAGAAACTGCACTGATGGGTTAATGAACTGCGGATCTCTAATTCATTGGTGAGAATTCCACATAGGGTGTCCACATAATATACAATATACTACACTCTCCATCCTATAGATTCCATCATGATAATCTTAATGGTTTCAGTATCTTCTCTCTTGCAACTTCCGCTGCCACATCTCCACCCTTTTGCAAGGCTATTGCTCCAATAATCGCATATAAGGAAGTAGTCAAGATAACATCGATACCAGAGGCGTCCATGCTTGCTACCTGTGAAGAGTCAGCATCGTCTTTAAGCATACTGTCCATCAAACTATACATTTCTTGGTTTCCATCTTATGATGCTTCGCATTCCTAATTGTGATGCCAAGCTTCCGAGCCTCTGCTTCGTCAAGACCTCACTCAGCTGTACATGTGACAGGTTTCCCAGGCCTTCCAACGCAGAATGTGTAAAAGGTTTCCGTTTATCGGACGGAAGAATAGGTTCAGGTTTCGTTATCATCGCTGTTCCTGACAAAGCTGCCAGACCGGTTTGCAGATTTAGGATTCGTCGTCCTGATACCAGTCAACACAAATTCCTCACAGCATCGTTACCATAATCAGGAGTCCATACCTAAGAATGACAACCGATCATTGAAGCCTCTTCGTCCTTGATCAAAGCTCTTGTGTGTGATAGCGAGCCATTTGACCTCCTCCGTCAACATCTTGTCGCCTCCTCGTCCTAGAAACTTGACATAGAAATTGTCTAATCGAGCTGGATCGCTGTTGCATTCCCATTCCTTTGCTGGGTCTTTAATTCGCCATGATATCGGTGCTTTCGCTCTCTCTGGTGTGTATGACCATCTTGGTCTCTCCACCTTTTCGTGATCATACTCGACATCCTTTCTCGCTGCTGATGCGGAGAATTGTCGAATGGAACGTGGATATCTCGAGCTGCATTCGCATGTCTGTCTCGAATGCCTGATAATGTTCTGGAGCGACCGTCCTGCAGGTTTCGATGCCATTGTCTCTTCCTATCTCACGTTTCGTATTGGGCAGGTGCAGATTCTCAAGAGATCCGAAGTTGAAGCTCAAATAATTTATTTAACGCTAAACCATTTCAAGCGACAGTGCAGTCGGAGCGTGTCGTCCAGTGGCGCCGACGACACTCTTCACCTTTCGCGTTCAATTTTCACATTTGATTGACTATGAGCTCGATATTTTGGCATGTTATTTGATCATGGCTGCTCATGAACGGCCGTCTACCAAAGCATCCATTGGAACAACATTGCTTCAAAAATTTGCTACTGTTTTGCCTTTGGGCGCCAGCTTCAAAGCCTATCACCTCTCTACCCCTCCGTCTCGAACCTCTGCAATCTATTCTGCCCCTCCAGGAGCTCGTCCTGATCGAACGTACTGTGAAAGTCACTTCCTAGCCGTCTCAATTCGAACACCTGCCAAAGATGGTGCCGATTCAAAGGAGGTGTTAGCTTTTGCGATCGAGATCCTCATTTATTCGACGGCATACGACACAACGTTCTTTGTATCCAAGGCAGACTCGACCGGATTCCTGCATCACTTGGGTCTGCCAGAGAAGGCTCCGTCCCCAATCCGAGACATCAGTGCGACCTTCTTACGACATCTCGTCCAGACACATCAAAGGCCGAACGTTCGCAGCGTTGTATCTCTTTTTGCCCGAGCACAGGACCAATACCTCTTTCCTGGAAGTGTTGAATACAGCGGTAAACATGTGCTAGATGACAGAGGGTTGGTGCGTTGGTGGTGCAAAGTCTTGGATCCATTGCTAGAAGAGTCCAAAGCGCTGCAAGAAACACAATGGGACGTTATCAAGGGATACCTTGTGGTTCCTGGACTCGACAACCACGAGACACATTCATATCTCCCAAGAAGTACACCTATCAACAAGTCGTGGACAGTTGGTCATCCACTCTCAACTATTTCCAGGCATTCGGACGCGCCGCCGAGATGCCTCATCCCTCACTTCCCCGATGATCCCAAATCGCGATATCTGGATGAGCTTGATGACGAGATCACGGAGGGACGGGGCAAGAATAGTGGTCAGTGGAAGAGCGTGAAGACCATAGATCAATTCTGGGACATGATGGCTTTCCGACAAGAATGCTCAGCCGGAAGGTTGGTTGGGTTCATATGGATAGTGTTTTCACCAAAGGCCCAGCGTGATCCGAACGCATCTGTTCTTGGCGATAGTCAAACATCGGACTTGAGTGTGGATAGCCAGACGGACATCGAATCTAGCCAACCTGGATTGGCTTCTTCCCCACTTACTTCGTTCACCGCCTCAAGTCAAGTATATCCAACAAGCTCGCCATTGAAGCAACGTGCCTTCGAGGAATTCGAATCACAGCAATCATCGAAGCCGCGGTCTCCCAAGGAAAAGAAGAAGAAGAAGCTGACTGGGCCTATCATTTCGAGGCAACCAAGAATAAAGACCGAAAACAAGAACTACCTCCTTGACAGACTTGAGAATACTGCTTACTATGCTTGGCCAGCTGAAGGCCGAGCCCAAATCATTGTTGACGAATTAGACTACAAGCGCGTCACCGAACTTCTTCTTCGTCTCGACTTTGCGAACCTTGAGCTTGCGACCTCCAGCTCAAATAGATGGATCAACGAAGTTCGCTCTGAAGCTTGGGGAGAGATGAGAGATGCTTGGGGTCAGGTCGTCACTGGTACCAGGCCTGTTCAGACTCGGACCGAGACTGTTGGATCGAGTGTCAATTCCCTCAACATGGGTCTTATGAGGAAGAAGCGAAAAGGCGACGAGTCAAAAACAACGAGTGAAAGCTGTGCGCCTCAAGTTAATGTTCTCTCGGTAGGTATGGTTCGGAAGAAGGCAAAAGTCTGAGTATGACAGGGACGTCATAGGGTCGGGTTGCACAGATTGGCGTTGGCGTTTAGCATTTGATATTTCGAATACCCAGTATAATCCAATACATGGAGTTTTTTCTTTACCGTCATCAACTTGCGTTGCACTGATTTATTTTTGTTCTAGTATACTAGTGTTCGGTGGCTCGGTGCCTAAGGGCGAACTGGGTGGCATATGGACGTCTTCGCACTTAGCCATATGGCTCCCCGACACCCTCGTCTTTTGTAAATTTGCCATCCATATGGTATTCAGTCAAATAGTCGATACCTATTTTTACCCCTCGGACGATAATTATTTTGAAAGTAATTTTAAGCCACAAAGTCTTGTGGGCTACAATTCAGAATCCGAAGTCATGCAAATTGAACAGTACGATTTTGTTGCACTCTAAAACTACAAACACAAGATTCTGAAACTCTAAAAGGTGAAAAGACCACGTCTGAGTGGATCCATTGGACTGAAGAAACATTTTGAAAACAATAGTCGTAGCGATAATGGCAGTTATTACATCTCAATGCAACGTTCAGGTGCAATGATCGCCGACTTTAGCAGGTTGGGTCATGGTGTTTGGCTGCAGCCTCTCGAGCGATTATGCACAACCATCCACCATCTATCCCCATTGGATGGACTAACAGCTGATAGCTGCAATCACGGCAGGAGCTCTTACCGAGTAAGCATGGAATTTCTTGGTAAGCCACGGTGCGAGAGCAGGATGACTTCTCAATGGAAGATGCGTTGCTATCGCAGCCAGCTGGGGAGATGAAGCACTTCGAGCCAAGGTCGTTTTGGTGAGTAATAGACCACTCTACAAGCGAGGCCGGGAAACCCAACCCATGCATCGAGGCAGCAATTCCTCGGCGCTCATCTTATTGACTATACTTGTAGATCTTTATAACCGACTTTCGTAGTTATCTCGTGTCTGGGCTACTTGACCGAGTTTCTTAATGCGGATGAAGCTGCAGTACGTTGGGCTCTTGTGGCGTGGATACCCAAAGCGTTGACGCCCAGCTTCAATGGCTACCTGTAACGTCGAGTAACTCTACCCCGCACTGCCCCTAAATACCAGCTTCTATAGAACTCTCCTTCACCATCACGCTGCACTTCAAACTCGCTCTGCCAACAACGCGATCCCCAAAAAATGTCCCAGTCATCAGAAACCACAGCTAGGCGCGGCAGGAGCAAATGGCAGAAAGACTACCAGGAGAAACATCCGCTGCGAAATCGCATCGTTGTCTTCCTTGATGGAACGAGCAACGACAAGAAATCGGAAACCAATGTTTGGAGACTCCATGAGCAATGCAATGAACATGAGAACTTTCGGGGAGTGCGTCAAGTCAAGTGCTACATTGAAGGGGTGCGCGGCCTGAACGGAAGTTTGTATGGAAGTGGTAAGTGATCATTTGCAGTTCAGAACGCTATCGAAAGTATTGCACCCAAGCTCATGCGTGATTGTAGGCCTTGAACTTAAGCTAGTCAAAGCATACACATTCATCTGCCAGAAATGGAAGTCCGAGTATGACGAGATTGTCCTTGTTGGATTCTCGAGAGGGGGTTTCAGTGTTCAACTTCTTGCCCTCTTTCTCAATGACCTTGGGATCGCTGAGTGGAAGCCTCCCGCCAGACTCGGAAGTGCGCAAGGAGAATACAAGAAGACGTTCGAGAAGGACATTGAAAATAAAATAAAGGAATGGGAGAAGGAGAAGGGTCTTGGCTGTCAGAGATACAGCAGGAATGCCATCATCATGGCTTGCGGTGTGTGGGACGCTGTTGCAGCGTTAGAGGGCGCTGGCGGCAAACATCGCTCGAAGCCAGAGAGGAAGCAATTTCGGTTTGCGTACCACCGTCTACCGCCTAACGTTCGAAATGCTTTTCACGCACTATCCCTGAACGAAAACCGGCGTGCATTCGAGCCAGTACTGTGGCACCAGACACAACCACAACCAGAACAGACATTAAAACAGTGCTGGTTCCTTGGCTGCCATTCAGACGTTGGTGGGCATAAGGGCAATCTGTCCAATGGAATGCCTGACGTTACTCTTGTGTGGATGATGGCGCAGCTCGAACCTTTTGTGCTGTTCAGAACCGAACCTAGGACAGCAACTCTGACTATGTGGCCAAGTGTTAAAGATTTACGAGACGGTAAGATTCTATCATCTTCTATCGAACATGATGGATAATGCTCACAACTACCAAGATGAGGTCAAGGACTCCCGAAGACTATTATACAAACTTGACAAGTCAGAAGCGAGAAGAGTTGGAGAGCATCTCTGGGGTTTCCGCCCTACCAGTAATCTAAAGGTCACTAAGGAGACGATTCATTGGAATGTCGGAGAGTGGACGAGCGGATCTTTCCGGCACAGTCTTTCTGACAAAGGTCAGAAGACCTGGAAGCGATTGAAAAGAATACGGAACCCAGAAGGTGATCCACCCTACTGCTGGATCGTCGGTGACGAGGAACATAGCCTCTCGGAAGAGCAAACCGACCCTTTAGAACTACTATGGCTTGGCATAGAAGCTGTTCACCCTGATCCAAATTTTCCTCAGGACACTAATCGAAAAGTCTTTCGCAAGGAAATGGAACGGATGACCAATGTAGTCTACCCGCTATCTTCCGACGAGGCACGGGACTATGAATGGAGTAATTTGACAACGTATAGCGCAGCAAGTGGCTCGCAGAGTGACTTCAGCCCTTGGAGTAATTACGAAACGGCAGAGGACAGCGATCAGAATACAGTTACAAGTTATTATCAAACCGGAACATCTGGAGATGATGCGAACGAACACGAAGACAGTTTAGGACTTGAGGACCGGTCTGACACGGATCCGGTTGCGAGGGATACCTCTGGCTATGTCATTGAAGGGTATCCAGTGACCCAAGAATACCCAAATGCTAATGATAACAATGATAACATGGCTGGTGATACCGCCAGCATCTCTGAAACCACAGCGGACGCCCTCAGTACGGAGCCAGGTTCGACAGGGGACGAGCAGTACGCACAAGAACATATACAGCTACCCGGACCTCAATTGACTCGCGAGGTCTCAGCGGAGGAAGACGTTGCGTATCTCCAAGGGCCAAGGTCAGAAGTTGAACAAAACACTCGGGATCGATACAGTCTACCAAGTCGTGAGCCACATAAGGATACCAACAGGCGACACAGGTCTTCACGATCTTCCAGAACAGCACAGAGCTCGAGTGGCTCATCCAGACGCCATAGATAACAGGGGGGGGGGAGCTGTACATGCTATTCATATTCTCCTTCGGTTCTTCTCCTTCGACGATTTGACAGGTATGAAACAATTGGCAGACAGCGTAGCATAAGGAGAGTCAAAGTGGAGTTCGACTACCTTGTGCTTCGCGACTGTGATATATCTGACAAAACATATGCGGAGAAAGCCTCTGATGGAAGGGAAAAAGTCGAGACTCCATGCTGTCTTGCCAGGCTGTGGAACCACTCCGATCGAACCCTTTTTTCAGAAGGCTGGCCAGAAACGAAGGATAAACCCCGGGAGAGCTATTCCTAACATCGTAAGTGCAGACGCTCGGACCATGTATAGACTTAGGGAGGTAGTCGTTTCGTAGCTTCATTTTCTTTGTCTTGAATAACAACGACAACGCGAAGACGATCGCAACGACCCTTTCCACGAAATCAACGTCGCCAGGTGATTTGTGAATGTTGGGAGCTGATGATGTCTAACAAGCCAAAGAATACCCCGGCTTACGGCTACCGCCGAGTTGGGACTAGGGCAGAACATCGCGAATCTACCCCGTTGGTTGTGTCACCTGATCACCTCGAAATTCACCTAAACCAAAACCTCGAGAACCACCTAAAAAACAAACTCGAAAACCCAATCGAGCAATTCAGTCACCGCGACCTTCCACCCCCCTACCATCCTCGTACGGAGATTGCCACAATGGACCCTACAGAGATTCCCGCAAAGGACAACCATGCAGAGATTGCCACAATGGACAACACAGAGATTCCCGCAAAGGACAACCGTACAAAGAATCCTGCAAAGGGCAACGACCTGGAGCGAGGAATTCTCACCGAGCGAAGCCCGCTACTTAGTATTGCACCACTGTCACTTAGTCTTACTGCGCCACTCTCCATCACCACCTCCGGCGTGCGGGTCCACATCAACCGCTCCTGCACATTCCTCTTATTCCTCCTCGCAATCCTGGTAGGAGTTGCGTTTCTTGCTATCGCGGCCTGCTATGTCTGGAAGACGATTCGAGGAGGTGTCTAGAGTTTGTACCCTTGCAAATCCAAGCGATTCAAAGATACTAAGAATTCGATCTAGATCTTCGATTACACACGACCTTCGCAACGTCTTTCCGTAGAGCCGCGTTAACTGATCTTGGGGAGTTTTTTGCACGGAGAACTGGCGTTGGGGGAGCGAAAATTTGGATTGGGAGGCGTTGAGATTCCAATCAAAGCGAAGCTTTTCTGACCATCAACTTGACCTATTCACCCTTCGCGTTTCTTTGTGCTAACAAATGAGCATCGTGTGTCTCAGCCTTATGGCGTTCTGTTCTTCACCCACCAGCATTATCCTCGCGCGATCAGAGGGGAGCTCTTCAGCCTTAACTTCTATCTTGACCACATGACTCGTTCTGAAGTCTTACAACCTTTCATCTTATATCAGTCTGTTGATCCCCATCATGGCGATCACTACGCTTTCAAGTAGCGATTCCCAGTTCCGTCGCAATGGCCGAAGCAATCGCTGCCCTAGTGATATCGGGAGTAGGACTCCTGGTAACAGGTGGAAGCGCTGCGGCTACGACCATTGGAAGAACTCACACCATTCGGAAGGATAATAGCGAACGGAAAAGGCAAGAACAGGTAACAATCCAACACTATGGACTTGTTAAGTAGATAACTAATGTTCGAATAGTCGCAAGAACCTCCTATGTACTAGATCGAAACGAGGGATTTCCATCATTACTCCGGGGGCCAGGGAGGATCGATTTATCGTCCCGATGGGGGTTTCTCTACATAGTTGATTTCAGTATGGAGATACGAGGGTGGAAAGGACTGTTCATTATGCTTCTGGACCTGTGAATTCAACTGCGAATCTTCAATATCAACATGCAAGTCAAGAGTGATTGTCGTCGGGAGAAAGACGACAACGCAGCGGGTACTGCGGAGCGCAGCTTATGAGCAAATACTACCGAGTGGCTATGGTAGAGGTCAGAGAATGGTATAATATAGACCGCAAGGACAAGGAGAAGAATGGCGGCAGAATGGACCAGCGGGGTATGCGAGTTATCAGCTTCAACATGATCCAGCTTGGAGATAGGGGACTTGGCGTGTGTATTTCGGGACACTTGAAATTTTTGGCATCATGTCTCACGTACCGGTATCAGTACTCGGGACGTGATACGCCTACTGAACTCTCTTGTGCGTTCGAGATATGGATTTTCTTTCATGATTCATGCTTCGAAAGTGAGGTCTCGGTATGTGATGCAGCCAGCCGAAAGAGATGGTACAGTATGTCAATCTGCAAGGGAAGCGAACCGATTGTCCCTCTTTCATTTGAACATTTCTCCTCACATCTTCTTTGACCACTGGTGGATCACGGAGGTTCGGCTTTGTACATTATGTGTACGGTCACTGCGCTGTGAATGAATCTGTGCCGGTACTCCCGAGTAGAAATTCTTTCTTGATTAATGGCGTGTTTCACAGTTTTCTAGGAAATTACCAGCTTGAGCTTTACCGTCAACGGTATGTCTCACTCATCTGACATAGTAACAAACGAATCTAACCTGTATCTTCCGGTCGTCCTCTGATGCATTACTCAACCCACCCTTCTTCGCTGATCATTAGTTCTTGATACTTTGGCTATCACGTCAAGTAGTCAAATCTGGCTTGCCGTCAGTCTTCTCCATCCGCAAACAAAAAACCCAGCACTCAAGACGCAATGAATGCGCCAAGATGGAGTCCGTACTCAAGTCTCGACAGTGGAGAAAGAGATCACGATTCGACGAGATGTGCTGGCACAAACACCCAAGGAAACCCATGCAAGAATAGGATATCATCTCCAGCATTTTCTCGGCGGCGAATGCTACTTGACAGCCTTCAGTCTAAAGGCCCAACGGAGGTACTGTTGTCACTGGAAGAGATTGCCCGTTGAAGCATGTGCTCTAGTCATGAAGAGTATTCTTTTGCGAAAGTTCAAGAATGGAAGGTCCCATTTTTGGAAGCGTTGATTTCGACTCTTCGAACGAGGAACGAGACCTTGGAGGAGGAGAATAGGGTGCTCTGGGAAAGGAGTAACGGCTTGGCTGCAGGAATGGAAGCCATTCCCACAGAAAGCATAAATAAACTGCGGGGCCATCATGGCAATATGCGTATCTTGCTACAAGATTCACGATATGTAAACCACCTTCAAAATTTCATTAGCAGTCTGCCGAACGAGCATATTGAAGGCTTGACCAGTACAATCAAGCTTGTTAGCATGGAATTCTGAGATTGGATACAGGGGACCGGAGACCCAGCGGTGAAGATAGAATGTTCTTGAAGGTAAAGTGCAAGCACACTACAGAATCAATAGAGGTGCTAAGCTCAGAATTACAGGTCGACTTCAGTCTGTAGACTGACAAGGACGAACGCGAACCGATGTCCTTGTCTGCGACGTTCTTCGGACTAGACTTTCTCGATCCAAGCGTCGGAGGACAAAGTTCAGATTAGTGGCATGTGTTGAGCCAAAGGATTGTAAAATGAGACGTGTGTGGTAGAGTGAAGGCGAACTGGGATTTTCTTGGAGTTGAAACCCTTCGTTTCTTCCTTTTTTTTCGTTTTTGGAATGGCGCAGATTTGACAAGGGCATACGGATCTATTACTGAGAGATTCATAAGCTAGAAAACTTGTTGATGAATTTTCTGAGATATAGGCAATGCAACTCGAGATTATCGTAGCATCATTCGTCTCCGAAAACTAGCGCACGCTTTCAGTATCTATGCCACTCTCGGCTCACATTGCTCAAGCTTTGAGTTATCTCTATCCCTGTATGAAGAGCACCCCCCAAATCAAGCTTTTTTGTATACTCAATTTTCTGCACAGACAAATGTGAACATGAAGTTCTTCGCGGTAAGTTAGGCAGTCCCAGGGGCCTAGGGGCTCGCTTACGGCTCGCTTAACGGCCAATAAAATAGGAGAGAATACCTTAGGTACCTAAACACGTAAAATGCCTACTTCAAAAGAACAAGAAAGATAGCCATGGAAACTATGGTCGAAGACACACGGGTAAGATAGTCATCCAAGATTATTATTCCAGAACCAGAAAATATTTTTCGCAGATCGAGGACAGACCTTGCAAAACTTTTATTGGTCGACCTGCTGGGCTTTCCTGCAGCCGAAGGGGGCTAGTGAGCTAACGTGATTTAGTACCGTTTCTCGAGTATCAAAATTAGATTCTTTGTGCTTGGACTGGGAGAATCTTTGGCTAGTTAAACTTTTATATTGTACAACTAAGCAAAATTATCTGTGGTATATCAAGAACGGACTAATTCACGGACAAAGTGTCAAAGGAATGTGGTTGACTTGTCTCGTTTTTATAGAGTGGTTCTGGCAGTTACATGTCCCTCCGCTGCTGGGACATTCTGGCTGTCGCATCAACTCACTACGGTCGTGCAATAGCAGTGGGTCAGTGTCGCCAATCGTGTTCTTGAACCCTTCTAGCACAATTCAACCCCACCCCTAACAATCTCAAGGTCAATGAAGACCCCCGGAAATGTCGGCGTGAGCAGGGCTTCTGCAATACTTTTCTGGGCGTATGTAAATCTGAGAAATGACCGCTTCCTGACGAACACCATAGCAGTAGGTCTTAGTGCTTCTTCAGGCGCATCTCGTGGACCGCGCATATGCCAGCTGATCTGTCTAAGGTGACCACCCAAGTGAGCTTTGGCAATGTTGTACAATGCGTCTCTCACAGAATCAATTGCAGCCCGCACAGTTGTATCGCGGATACCCGACGACTCATCTTGATTTGTTCTGGCTGGATTGACAATCTCTACTTGGACCTGAGAACTGTCTAAGTTTCCCTTCTTCACTAGTAGATCGAGAATTTCCCCGCAGGCATCTTGCCACTAAATAGGAAAGTTGTTAGCTTGTATTTTAGCATAAGCTATTCTTGAGCACACAGGCAATCTTGTGACTTACTCGCGTAAATCGATCTTTGTCGTCGTCGCCCTGGTTCGTCCTGATGATGACTGTGTCCACAGCCGCACTTGGTTCATCTCTTGGCCAAAGCTTCATCTTGCCAATACTCGTATATTATATTTTGAATTGTGCTAGGACATTCTCAATGTCGTCCTTACATTTTTGGAAAGCCTCCCGAGTCTGACAAAGTTAGCTCTACGATCAATGATTTTGAAAGGCGAAAAGAAAACACTAACATTTTCATCCCACATACTGAAGAAGTTGTAAGGATAGTGGACGGGGAGATGCCCTGCCGCACTCACGCGCCATTGGTCTTTGCCTCTCGAGAATTCTTCAATGGTCATGGATTCGGTCTTTGGGTCATACTCTTCCGAAGAGGTGCTGGGTGTGGGCAAGTACTTTCTTTTATGAATGTTGGCAGTCATGATTGATTTCTTGTTCCGCAGAATGTAGTAAATTCAAATGATCGGGAGGTGATGTTTCACTGAATTTCTGAGTGATGAATTGATCTTAATTTGGGGGCGGGACGATGCTTTTATACACCTGTAATGCACTAGAGGGGTTGGTCCAAAAACAAATGCTCGGTTAAGGCACGTGATCAAGCAAAGCGACTTCAACTGTGACCAAAGTAGCTCCCGTGAGCTTGTATTCACAAATATGGGGCGATATCAAACGCCATTAAAAACTAGGCCAAGGTCTCGGTGACTTGTATCTCTTTGTGACAGCTGTGACTCACATAAAATGCGCTTGCATGTTTGAATCCACAAACGATTTTCGATACGTTGCTTGCCTACACTTGCAAGACAACTAGGTTTGTTTCGGGGGAGGTATGAGTAAATCACTGAACCGCGGACTGGGAAGAATGTGGGCTTTTACGTCGATAATAGGTCCATTGAAATTCAAAAATCTCAAAATATTCTACATGACCGGGTTCAACTGAATCGAATTCGTCCTACGGTGTATTCCTGCAACAAATTACCTCTCTTTCGTGGAACTCATCTTGCAACCTCACAACAGGAAATGCACCTATACTTATGCATGGTAGAACTTATGCTCTACCTATGGGAAATCAAGGAATCATCCTGGCTTGACACTGATCATCAACGTGGGTTTAACTCTGAGTTGGAGGGTTCAGCACGGCTGTGCATGTGCCAATGATTATGAGCAGAAGAGATATTAAACCTAGAAAGCAAGCAGTTCGGAGATACCTAGTCTTTAGGAGTAAGCTTGGCAAGCGAGGTGCTGGTACGGTTACGAAGTACGGTTACGAAGGAAGGCGGCGGACAAAGACCTCAAACTTCCCGAAGCTAGTGCTTACTGACTGAAAGGTGCAAGGTGACAACGTGCTGTGGAAAGTTTTGGACATTGCCTTTTTCTTTTTCATTACTTGGAACCGGCTCCAATATCGAGGTCCGTGCAGTCGTATTGAACGAGACGCGCTTTAGGATTGGCAATTGGTGTTGGTTCTAAACACTCCCCCAGTCCTCTGTGCTTATTAAGTACCAACTCCTAGGATGAGCAGCTATCTGCAAGGATGCTGAGCTAATGAACAGTACCAAATTCCCATGGTGACGCCCCCATGCTCTGGGCTCGGGCATTTAAAAGCAAATGAGTACGTTTGCGGCGTACACCCGAGCTCTGTGCCGTAAAGACGAAACGACCAATAAGACAGGGATACGCTCGTCTGAAAGCTTATGTTCTCGTGGCTTGACATATGGTAATTAGTAAAAAGGCTTATTCGCACGTTGAAGCTGAAGCCCGGCTTCGATCTCCCCACGTCTGAGCTCAAGCGGCGGAATCACTTCAACGCATGCGCAAGGCGCATCAGAGGACTCGCTCAAGCAGCAAATGGGAGCGTGATCATTTATGAATTGCAAGTCAAAGCTATGATTGACCAATACAGCGAAACAAATTGGTCACATCATTAGGAAGAAATAGGAGTTATAATTGGAGTTTGGAGTGCAGTAACAAAAATCAAAACACCTCAGTGAAAACTAACCCCAAAAAGATGCAAATTTTGTAAAGAAAGCTAGAGCCAGGACTAAACCGCAAAACCACTCGTGATGACAGGACTGAACCCTTTCCCAAATTGCTTCAACTTTTTCATCTCCTCCTCCCCCAATCTCGGCGTCACCCCACCATCTTCAACCTTTTTAGCTCTCACAATCAAGGTCTTCGGATAGGCAAACTCAAACTCTACACCCTCCCATTCCCACAAGGGGCTCCTGTCACGGAAACAGAATGGTCGTCCGTCCTTGTTCTTAACCACATCATGCATCTCAGCCAGACTCAACATATGCCCAGTACGAAACTCGCCCTTGGCAGTAACAGCGACAGCGCTGTGCCAGGGCGTCATGGAGAAGTGATTAGGTTGGGGGACGAGAGGGAAGGAAAGCTTGTTCCGTCCTGAGGAGCGGTGGATGGAGAGTCTGACATGGTCGGGGAAAGCGGATTCGATGGCGGACGCGAAGGCGGATCCGCGAGTTATCATTTCTTGGGCTATTTGTTTTACAGCGCGCCTGTATGCATGTCCGCCGACAATCCCTTGGGTGACTGGACTGTGCCTGGATATAGTGTTAATGGATGTCATATATGGAGAGGAGAAGTCTATGCATACTTGAGATCCTTGGTCAAGAACTTGATGTAACCACAATATGTCAGGTTCATGTCCCGATCTTTTTCTATCGCTTCGGCAGCAATGAACGTTGGGTCAAGAAATCTTTCCACCAAGGCTTCTCGAGTCTGACCACATGTCGACAAGTATTCCTCCTTCGTCATAACAATTTGATCTGTGATTCCCAACAAGTTCATGATGCGGAAGAAGTCAATGTTGTGGTATCCCTGCTCCTCCGACATACGACGCAGTGCAGCTCCATACTCATAGACCTCCTCGTCGGAAATTCCAACGAGATCATTATAGACAAGTCCATCCGAAGTGACAGTAACTTTCGCACCAGGAGAATATATTTCTTGAATTTCTCCGCAAAGGTAGTTGAGGCGACCCAAGCCAAGAAGTTCTCCCAGATCTGGAAGTGCTCCTAGCACCTTTTCGACCTTGTTGACACTTTTCCATGGAAATGCTGGGAGGACCAGAGGAACATGTTGGTTGTTGTCCACAGCTTTACGGACGCGAGGCTCCATTTTGTGACGTCCTAGCCAGCCTCCGCTGAAGCTTTTCTCTTCGTTATGACCATATTTTTCAATGATCCCCAAGATTCTGGAAGTCACATCGTGATCTGAAGTTTGACTTGCAGATATCACAGATTTAACACCCTGAGATTTTGATGTCTCTCGTTGAATGCGGGATGGCTTGCTTGGAGGCGGTAGTAAACTAACATCATTGGTGAGGAAGTCATCTGATCGGGCTGAGGAGAGCGAGGATGGCGATGCTGGATATTTTGGCACTTCAGCAATCGTGACAATAGGGGAAAACGACGTCTTCCAACGTTTTAGATCTTCGACTACGCTTTCGAGCTGTCGGAGACGGGTTTCTTTCGGATCGAATTCCGTGATGGAATCGCTGGCCGAGACTCTGCCATCGCTGACATCAACAATGTTGATAGCAAATAGCTTAGATGAATATACAGACATGCTTGAGATTATCGCACAAGATAAATGAAGTAATGCAGGTATAGAATTGAGATACAGAGTCAGAATGGTGCCTTTGCTTCTTCCAAAAGGTTCTTTGTTCAAGAGCTTAATATACAATTTGGCTTCAATGCGTTTTGTTGATGCTTTGTTTCACAGGAACGTGTGGGGCCTGCCTTCCGAAAATTTAGTTCCAAGGAAGCAGCATCACGCCGCCCTTGCCGCAAAGAAGCACCGCTTTACCGAAAATAAAAAGCGGTGTATGTCGGATTTGCTGCAGTCAGAGTCGTTGCTCGGGTACTCAAATAGTCGAATATAACTAGGAAGCGTTGTAAGACGAGTATCATCCAGGGAGATTTCAGGCGGGTAGGATAAGTTTGAGCCGCATCCAAATATTCTCCTCAGGTATCCAAGAGAGAGTCTACTGCTTTGAAGAAAGAGAGGCTATTGTAATCTCCAAAGTAAGCTTACTATTATCTGATTTTGCTTGCTTACAACCTTGAATAATGTTATCAATTACTAATGATATTTAATGTGTGTAACTTTTGAACATTTCCGAACATTGAAGCAATCTCGCTTTTCAAGTACGTAAGTCTGGCAGGAGCCGAGTACTACCCGAATTGGGCACCGGCTTTGATTTCCGGGTTCCGGCACTCGTCAACTCTTGCTACAGTTGTGCGGCGCAAGAACCTGGAGAGTTTCGTAACTCTTTTGTTAAAATTAAAACTATGCTCTAACGTCAATCATAGGAATCCAAAAGTTTTCACAGGATCGATCACACCTTCCTAAATAGCTCCTCACCAAGGAGTTCGGGATTTATAAGAAAAGTAAGCTCGGGAATTGGACGAGGAGAATTGGAGAGAGCAGTTTACAGCTCGTAAGCCAAAAATGAGTTGTCTAAATGACCTAACATACCCCGCATATTACGTGTTGGACTTAGTTTCAGACTTGAAAATTTAATACGAAGCTACTTGATTTATTGGATTCCAATATAGTTTATGAACTGGTTGACAAACTCATTGGACGCTGCATATAATCATCAATCGGCCGACAACCTCGTGCCTTCTGCCTGCATGTCCCCCATCCATCCAACTTTTAGGTTGTTGAGAGAAAATATGACTTGTATCAAAGGTGGTGGCAGGAGGTAAAGCTTACAGTCCCCAATAACAATGGCACGCCTTGATGTCGACACCGCATTCGAGATGAACGAAATCACGACAGCGCCCAGCGCCGATGGCATCGATGCCATCCCTCAAAATCTCAGCAGCCACGAGGCCCTTGCGAGCTCTGACGAAGGAGACAAAAAAGAATCACTCAAGGAGGTGACTTGTAATGTCGCCGATTCTGCTGAGGGACAGTCGGTCATGATCTCCAGCGAAGCGTCCTTTTCGCGTTGGACAGCTTGGGCTCAAGTCCTGGCTGGACACCTGATAATCTTCGATACTTTTGGGTACATTGGTTCGTGGGGTTTCTTTGAATCCTACTATGAGAAACCCCTCAATGCCTCATTGTCATCCATCTCATGGATAGGATCTGTTCAGATCTTCCTCGTGTACTTCATCGGCACTTTTTCTGGTCGAGCTCTAGATGCAGGATACCTGAAGACTACGGTTGCTCTTGGCTGCTTCTGCCAGGTGCTGGGAATATTTATGACCTCGTGTGCGAAGAGCTATGCATTTCTGTTCTTAAGTCAGGGAGTTTTGGTGGGCATTGGGAATGGGTTGGCCTTTTGTCCAATGATCAGTCTCATTTCGACGTACTATACGAACAAGTCGAGGGCGTTAGCAGTCTCATTCGCAGCTGCCGGCGCTGCCACTGGCGGCATTATATTCCCCATCATTGCTAGGAATATGCTCGGAGGACCCGGTATTGGATGGACACTCAGAGTCATGGGCTTCGTGTTTCTCTCGAATTCGGTCGTCGCCATCTCTCTTCTGAGAGTACATGTCAAACCTCGAAAGTCCGGCCCATTGATAGAATGGGCAGCATTCAGAGAACTTCCCTATTTGCTATTCTGTCTAGGAACCTTTCTGGCACTATGGGGCGTGTACTTTGCGTATTACTATGTATGAGTAGCAACTTTTGATACAAAACGTAAGGTTTCTAAGAACTCGAAGCTTACGATTGACAGATCTCCGTGTTTGGCAAGACAATCATCCAGGTCCCGCCGGACCAGCTTTTCTATCTGATCATGGCGCTCAATGGTATTGGAATATTTGGGCGCGTCTTGGTACGCATCTTTCTCTTTGTGTAGATTGTCCTTTTCCCTCGGTACTCATATGCCCTGGTCTAAAATATAATTGCGCCCTTTATTCAAGAGTAATATCATGTACTAACTCTCTGCAGCCGGCATGGCTCGTTACCCGTGTTCCTGGGGTTCTTTATATCCTCATTCCGATGTCCTTCATGGCTGGCCTGATGTTATACCTCTGGGCACTAGTCACTAGTAAAGACGAACTCATCATCTGGATAGTGTTCTATGGTTTCTTTGCCAATGCCGTACAGGGCTTATTCGTCGGTGGTGTAGGTAGCCTTACAAAAGATAAGCAGAAAATGGGCGTTAGGATAGGAATGGTGTTTACAATAGTCAGCTTCGCAAGTTTGACTGGTCCACCCATTGCAGGCGCGTTGATTGATGCTCGAGACGGAAATTTCCTGTATGCTCAAATCTTTGGTGGAACTGTGATGGTGTGTAGTTCATCTGCTTTGATTATGGCAGCCATTTCAAAAAGGAAGGCGGATCTGGAGTCATGATGCTATTTGATTGACATATATCGACCCTTACCAGGGAGCTGAGAGAGGATCTCTATCTATATAAAGGTCTCTATTAGCCATTGTAGGGCAAGAGCATCGCGAACAGAGGTATATTCTCAATTATTGAACTAAATTAGAGCTGTTTTCACTCGTAAAGGCAAAATTCCTTCCACTAACTCGACTATATAATCAATTGCCCAATACTTATTCTTCTTCCGAGAAGGTAGACACTATAATCAAGTTTCCAATATCCAATGAATTCGTCAGTTTCGTCCAATGTCTAATCTAAGTCGACTCAGCAACATGCAAGAAAATATAACAGCTCTTTTTGAGTCGGATTTGATCAAGATGTGGAGACGTAATGAAATTGGACATGGCTTATTATGATGTGGAATTTGGGAACACCGGTACACAACTGAAGAAGAAAGAAGATATCTATTCTCCCCTTTGTTTCATCTAGTGAATTCGCTTCTCTTTTTCAAAGCTCGGCTATTGGTTGAAGAGTGCCCAATATCGAAAACCCTTCTTTTTTTCTCACTTGACTGAAACGTCCCACAAGCAACGAAATCTGGCACAGTTCATGACGAAACTCAACCAGAAAACAGTGAATACCAACGAGTCTCCACGACAACCATTTTACTCAACTTGACTGTAGCATCAGGTGCAATGAACTCAACAACACTCTACTCCAGTGTCCTTCGGCCTTAAAGAGCAAGAACAATACATCCATCAACGAATTACAGATTTGCAACAGGACCTTTTGTTTACCATTTGATAATAGAGCTTGGGAAGTATTTCTGGGGTTGCTGCCTTTCTTGAAGGCTGAGCGGATTAAGCGAGCGAATGCCCCTGAACATTGGCACTGCCCCATCGCACCCGACAGTCCACTCGTTCATTTGATCGCAGCGGCAACCGCCCTCTCATGCAACACATAAGGCCAACTCGGTAGAATTTGTTGGGCATGCTCTCGCCACGTTTGTTTGGCAAACCTCCATTTCTAATAGGATGCGGTGACACCAGCAGAATAGGCTCCCTACACAGCCACAATGTAACGCGGATGAGCCTGATTATTTTCAGCCCCAATCTCGCCGAAGCCTCAAACACCCAAGCATAAAGCTCTCGACACTCATAACAACTTCTTCTCCATAGGAATTGGTGTCTAATGTATCCCGATGGATCCAATCACAATAACCGCTACCGTTGTCGGCTTGGCTTCAAAACTTGTCATTAGCATCAAACAAATCTGCGAGTTCTGGACATCTATTGAAGATGCACCAGAATACTTTATGTCAATCGCGAGAGACCTCCGACTTCTTCAAAGCATATTAGAGGGGATCGAAGAGGTCGATGACACGACTATCGTTCGATTAGTGCTCGAAGAATGCAGTGAAAGACTCGAGAAACTGCACACGATTGTTGCCCAACTGGAAACCGGCTTTTTGTCTTCAAAAGGCCGGGTACGCAAGTGGACTGCTCTGAAAGCCGTCTTTCGCAGTGATCAAATCAGGAAGATCCAAGAATCTCTGTCCCACACCAAACAGTCTCTCATTTTAGCAATGCAAATGTCTCAAACGTACGTTTGGTCTCTGGCAATGTATACTGATACTAATGTTCTCCATAGGAGACAGATCCGCGCCCAGCCTCAGGCTGTCTTGGACAAGCTCACTTCGTTCTTCATGCAGCAGAAATTGGTAGCAGAATCTGTCACCGAGGTGTCGCTATGCGACAGCTCTATCGATTCGCCATCGGCATCTCAAGACTCAAAAGAGATCCGAGACTTAAATCAAGACTATGAATCACCAAATCCTCGACATTCTGAATGCCGCACCAAGTCCAGCATATCTTGGAGGTCATCATCAAAAGAAGGAGTGAGCAGGTGGCGGACGCCGTTTGGCAGGATCGATCTACGACAGGAAACATCTTCTCTCATGAACGGTACCGAAACCATAGAAACACGAACCCATTATAAATTCGTGGTACGTCCATCATCTTGGCTTGTAAAAGTAGGTTTGCAATGGGAAATTCAAGCTAGCCTTTCTGGACGGTCATCAATGCTCGAAACCTTCAGAGTTATCCCATGGAAATCTCCAGTATTTGAGTATTGTCGTACAGGAGACATTGAGAATCTTCAGAGGTTGATTTCAAATAATGAAGCTTCGATCTGGGATGTGGATAATAGTGGTCGCACAACCCTACATGTATGTCTATTGACTTCGAAGATTCTAAGAAGCATCGTTTACTGATGGTATTAGTATGCGGCACGAGGATGTCAAGCAAACACCTGTAGATTCTTGATTAATGCTGGAGTGCGAACGACAAAAAATGCTGGTAATTTGTCAGTTAAGGTTTCCTCATAAGTTCCCTGGCTAAAGTATACTAGTACGCCACTCACCGAATCTATCTACGGAGCAAGTTATGGGTCACGCAAAAATTGCCCAGAAGATCAGGTTGAAACACAACGCTTGCTTATGAGTCAGAATGATGACTATGTCGGCGAAATGATGACATTTCTCTCGAGTTTTTATGCCACCGCGCGGATTCAACAATCAAGTAGAGACGCATATCTATTCCCAGCCATACTACAGTCGTCAATGGTCCTGCAAAGTGAACTTCAGGGGTTTGTCGAAGAGCCGTCAGAGATTTACACCCCGAGAGCAAAGGTAGTTCGCCAGATCTGGAAATCTTGGCAGTCCTGGGACACGCCAGGGATTCCAAACTATTGTGTGGATACCTATGACGAGATAGTCGATTTGGCTCTAGTTGAACTACAGTACCCTTCGGTGTTCCATGCTTGCGTCTTGACTGGCCATTTGAACATTTCAGCTTTGATCCAGAGTGGCGCAAACCCTCATCTAATCTCGAAAGGCCATCGACATTTCTACGGACCAGATAAAGGGCGCGAGGATCGTTGGGACGCAGCACGGCGCATATATTTAAAAACATTTGACACTCCAACTTCATTGGCTATGTATACCTCTGGACATTTCTCAAATTGGCGAGCTGCGCTTCACAGCGCAAAACTCGACTTAGACGACTTTATTCAGCACGAACTGAGACCGGGACTAGATATAAACGGCAGGAAAATGCCTTTAAGAGTTTCAGGTTGGACTAAGACCAACCTAGCCCAGCTTTTCAAGTACAAACTCCAGCCAAGTACATGTAAAAGCGCTTGTTCTTGCAGATACACCCGAGCAGACTTTAAGCAACCAAAGTGGTTGAGATTCCTCTGGAATGTAAAGCACCAAGGAAGCACGTCAAGAACTTGCAACTCCTACGAAGATGATGAACAACGGGGCCACAACCAAGATAGCCCTGATATGGAAGTTGAGGATCAAGCATCGCCAAGAATCTTTCAAGATCTTGACCCGGGAGACGGCACACTATCACCATTTTGCTTTCCGGATCATAAAGGCTGTTGTTATGTTTGCCAGAGGTGTTGGTACAATAATCGAGAACGGGACTTCTGGCTGGCTCGAGACACTAGTCCCGATGAACATCTGGAGAACATGAAAGCGGTATGGGAGCGTGAAGACAGCGATGATTCACCATTTCTGCTTTCTTTGGGATAGAGTCTTGAGAAGCTACGATATAAAGGTATGGCTCTGAAAATAAATACTGTCGAATAAGGAAAATAATGACGATCACGACCACGCCGCTGTAATGATCTTGACCAAACGTGCAGTAATTTACTCAAACGTTTCACTGACGTAAGAACTGTCCATTCTTCATTTGTAAATGCAAAGCTTCAAAAGCTAGGTAAATTGGTCTGGAAAGCTGCTCAAAGAACCGCGAATAAATATACATCAAGTACTGTACAATATCCCACAGTCCGAAAGTACCTGAGCACTTCCTGCAGGTACGAATGTACCAAAATCGACTTTCATCAAGTCAAATGGTAGACCGTAGGCTTCATTAAGACCTCATTTCCATCTTCAAGTGAAGAGTACCCCTTCCCGGCCTCTTTCCTACCTGCCCTCTTCGGCTTCAACATCGCTATCACACCCGGCAACTCGCTCTCAGGTCCCACCAGGACCTTACCCGGATGCATAACATTGAAGCAAAGAATAGCAAATACCATCGGCACCGCTTCAAGAGCATAGAAATACCCTTCATGATACGGCAATGGATTCGAGGACGTGTTGCCCGCCGAGAATTCGATCAGGCGGAAGAAGATTCGAATCTGTCAAATTCAAGTCAGCCCATCATCTTTTCCGAGGAACATAAAGCAACATACAGTAATGAAACCGAAACTCGCATAAAGCGTCCAAAGCATGCCTTTCCATTTCTGATCTCCTCTGCCCCGGCCGAGTCTATCAACTTCCTTCATCTCGAATTGAAACTTTACCGCCAATCCGAGGAAGACGAAGATGAAGAATTGCTGGAGACCGATACCGCCCATATAGATATGTATACCTTTCAACTGATCCGCCTCTGGTGCCGTGGGACCAGCCCATGACCCGCCCACCAGCTGGATGACGAACGATATAAAGTCCAGAGATACGAAGATGACAGACAAGATTGGAGTAGGAATCGAGAGAATGGAGCGCGTTGGGGAGTAGAAGTTGATGAGCCGTGCAAGCAGCATGTATGCGAAGGCATTGATCCAAAGTGGTGCTAGTAGGACGAAGAGCTGAGAGACGAGGAGGAGAGCGACGGATTGTTGGTGCAGTGTTGAAAGGGAACGGGTAGTGAATGAGGCGAATTCCCAGAGACTACCCATGATAATTACCCAGCAGAATTTCTAAACAAATGAGCTGAATTGTCAGGCTGATATGAGATTGATGCGGACTCACCTTCTTGTAGACTGCGGCTTGTGTGATGTGTGCCACAGTGAGAACCCCAAAGGCAACAGAAGCAACAACAGCTGCTGCGAAGCTGGGGTAGTAATCGTACAACGCATTGCAGGTTCCTGGAGGGAGGTAGCCATTCTTGTCTGGTGTGAGGGTTTGTATACACGTTGGGACGGCAATGGTGATAGTATGTGGTGCAATGGTGACATGGGCATTTGTTTGACCTGGAAGAGTGATGTATTCCGTGGTAATGAACTCGGCTGCGGCGGTGGAAGCGCTTGTGGTTTGACGTGCAATGAGTGTGCGGGTCGGAGGAGGGGTCGTTATCGCGAAGGCAGACGTGCCTGTAAGGAAGAGCATAGCCAAGACGGCCACTCTTGTGAGAAACATAGTTGTTTGTCGATATTTGAACACTCTTTCGCAATGTGTAATTTGAGCCAAGTAAAGTCTAGAGTCAATTCCTGTGCACAAGATTGCGACTAAGAAAATGGAAGGACTGAATGAGTGTAGAAAATTGCAGACGATCAAGACATTGAATGAAGATCGAGATACAAGGCAACGAGCGTGTTTATATGATGAATACTCATCGCATATCGCAAGAATTTTTGAGACGCTCACAGCCTCCTCAAAATCCTACACTTCAGCCCACATAAAACATACGAGATTTAGCCACTGACTAAGCACCCCAGATTGCCGATCTAGTGTGGCTTCAATGGAGGACACGGAATAAATCATGATCAGCACATAACTTTCCGTCCGAGGATTCAAGAATTGCTCTATGGGCACGAAGGACTGAAACCTAGTCTGGTCCTCGCTTGGTAACCCCTGAAAGAAAAATTTTTGCGAGACGACCAATGAAAATGGCTGAATTGATTACATAAGAGGTTGGCGTACTGCAACTGAGCCTCCTTTGCCCACAGGGCTAAGCCTCACTTGAAGCTTTCCCTGTAACGTTTAGCTGGTGCGGAAATTGAAATAAAAAACCGATCAATAATAGGAGATATCTCAGGGAATGGAACACAGCCAGGAAAGGGAAAAGTTGTCCATCTAAACCAAGCCACTCGAGGCTGAACTCCTGCAGCCCTTATGGTGGTATACATACAATATACAATATCCTATCCATAAACATACGCCAACGCTAAAATGCACATCTACACCACACTGCCATTCTTCATGGCTCAAAGTATTTCTAACGGCAGTCTATCTTCTGAGCATGTATGACAAATCTGGAAGACTTTTGACGACGCTTTGCACTATCCTGTCCTGTTCTACTTCTTCTCTTGACTTCCTGTCGCCTCTGGGAGGAGCGAGGGGCGACCCACTGGAGCTGACAGATTTCGAAATTGGTTTGGCCACTGAGGGCACAGTGCGTTTCGTTGCCGTTGCCGGAGCAAGAGCAGGAGCAGAAACAGGAGTCGTTTCGAAGAAAGAGAAATCTGCCATTGCCCACGGATCAGCTGCTACCGTAGCAGGACCAACTGATGGCAACTTGGCGTGATTCACATTTCCGTTCGCCGCGGATGAACTCAACGCTTCCACAATGGACGTCTCTGCTGGCGGTCCCAATAATATTGAGCTTGTCGGGTGGGGCTTGAGAATGTCATCGAAGCTTGGAGTCGAGGGATGACTTGCTACCGGCTGCATAGAGATAGCATTCATGGTCATTGGTATTTTCGCTAGAGATGTTGTAGTGTTTCTCTGTGGAGGTAATTGCTCTGGCAAAGGATGTGATTGAACATTCATGACAGGTGAAGCGACCATCTCGCCCCAATCATCGTCCTCGTTTGCTACTTCCGAAGTATGAAGAATTGCAAGCTCTGTGTGTGGTTGTGTTACACTCGATGTGGATTGGGCTAAAGTAGCTATGTTCAGAGGCGTTTGAAGTGCAGAAGGGTTAGCAACGGTGATGTTGCCAGCCGAAGGCTGCTTTACAGATGGTGAAAGTGGTGTGGGCGAAGCTACTTTGTTTGGCTGTATTTTATTCTTTGGCATCGATCCAGTAGATTTATGTGAAGATGGAGGCTTGTTATCGAGGCTCTGTGACTTTTGTGGAGCCGTGTTCCAGCCGAAATTCGCAACAGGCATCTCGACAGCAGACTTCGTCTCCGCCAAAGACTCAGATGGCTTCACGGAGCTTCGCCGCGTGGTACGAGATGGTGATCCCTTTGACGTAGAAGATTTCCTCGTTAGATCCTGAGGCCATTCTCGAGGTATCTCGGGGACTTTCTCCACAACAGCTTCGACTTTCCGTTTGCCTTCTTTGGCTGCAAAAGCATGTGCCAACGGCACAGGAGCAGCCTTCTTATCATTCCAACCGAAAATTGAACTGCCTTTGCTTGCTCCACCTAGCACCACTCTACCACTGATCCGATCTTCTTCCATCCATCGAGCAACGATTTCGAGGGTATCCTTGCGAATTTGTGATTGAGGCCAATTAATACGGACATAGTTATCATCTCCAGTATTATATTTACGCATCGTGCCATATCGTGAGACTCTGTACCACGTCTTTCGTTCTTCTATTGTAGAAAAGGAATCGTGTGGCACCGTATCAGGTACGAAGACTTCCTCGAAAGGACCGTCTGCCTCGAGATCTGGATAGAATTTCTCCAATATTGAGGTATCTATATTGAAATCTACTGGCCCCATAAACTTCTTTGGACTCGGTTGTGGGGAAGTAGGGCCTTCACGGGGTCTGGAATCTGTGTTGACTTGATCCTGGATCTCTGGCGTGCGTGGCCTCTGATCCGCTGTGTCCTGTTCGTCATCTGACTGCCCTTCTTCAAAGTCTCCGAAGTCATCATCATCTTCGTCTTCCACTCCAGGCTCATCCGCAGCCTTGATAGTTTCCTGGCCGCTACTCGTGCTACTAGCCGCGGTATCCGGAATCTCTTGTTTGGCAAGCCCGTCAAAGTGTTCAACCAATTCTTGTACTTTCGATGAGGTTTTTCGGGGCATCTGGGGACGCTTCGGTTCTTCGTCGAACGAAGTTCGTGGTGATTCCTGAGACATCCCATCGTGCAGGCTATGTTCTGAAGGGGAGGACGAAGGCCGAGAGGAAAGATGATCGCCATCTAAATTCTCCGCCGTGGGTGCGACATCTATAACCTCAGAGCTGGTGATACGATCGCCAGCTTCTGGTTCCATGTCAATCTTGCCATGAATGACAGAAGCTTCTTGCGGTGCTGTGTCCTTTCCATCAGGCAGCAATTCATCACTCAGAGGTTCTGGATTTGAATTTGTAGCGGAGATATTGTTTTGTGACTCCTCTTCTTTGTCCTTGAAATCGTGCTGATCCGCTTCCTCGGCTTCCTCCTGTGCGCTGTGTGCAGTTTCATTGTCGGTCGTGAAAGAAGTAGCCCAAGGATCCGGTGACGGCAGTCTAGCAAGATCTCGCGCCTTGAGAAAGGGACTTGGTGCCAATTTTACAGTTTGATCCACTTCGTTTTCTTGAGACTCGTTCCAGTCCAGCGAGAGGGCATTCGGGGCAGGATTGGTCGTAGTTGCTGCAGCAGGAGTATCGTCCTCCCAATCGTCCGTTTGCCCGTCGAGCCCCAACCCTCTTCCATTGTCTGCAGGTAATGAAGCCCATTCCCCAAATCCATCATCTTCTGCATCGCCCCAAGGTGAATTCGTCTTCTCTTGCAAAACAAGTGTCGCTACTCGAGCTGGGGTGGCCGGCCTATTCTTCACTCCCTCCTCGTCCCCTTTGTCCTCTAACTTAATTGATTTGGGTAATTGTACTTCGTCCGCCCAAGGCGATCCCCATGGGTCGTCCATATCCACTTATCAAAAGGAAGCGGATTATCATATTGATGTGGTGCATGAAGAAGTTGCTGTGCTCAGACTCCAGTTGCCAAGATCATATTGGCGTCTGATGTTCGGCACGGCGAAAATGGCGCCGGTGGGAGACCCGGAACAAGCGCGTCATGTTTTGTTTTTGGATTGATAATCGATAAGAGTTCTCCATCTCGTCGCGGGGGACTTCACCATGCGAAAATTACTCACAAAAGATTGTTCAACACGTCGAGGAGTGTCAAGATGTCTTTAGACAAGGTCAAACACATCGTACTGGTATGAAACAGACCTCCTATCATTCCAAGCTGTGCTAACATTCCAGGTCCTCTCCGGTAAAGGTGGCGTAGGAAAATCTTCAATCACGACCCAACTTGCGCTGTCCCTCTCCCTGGCAGGCCATTCAGTAGGCATACTCGATATAGATCTCACAGGACCATCCATACCCCGACTCTTTAGCATCGAATCCTCGAAAGTCACACAGGCACCTGGAGGATGGTTACCAGTTCCTGTTCACGCTGCCAACCCCGCAGCAGGTATTGGGTCTCTCTCTTGCATGAGTCTCGGCTTTTTGCTTCGAGAACGAGGTGATGCGGTAGTATGGCGAGGTCCAAAGAAGACTGCAATGGTGCGGCAGTTCTTGTCAGATGTGTTATGGGGAGAGGTCGACTATTTACTCATCGATACCCCACCAGGCACGTCGGATGAACACATCTCTCTCGCAGAAACGCTTCTCAAGAACGCATTCCCTGGTCAAGTCGCTGGGGCAGTAGTAGTCACAACCCCACAAGCAGTTGCTACAGCGGACGTCAAGAAGGAGTTGAACTTCTGCACCAAAACTGGCATAAATGTTATCGGTGTTGTGGAGAACATGAGTGGTTTCGTTTGTCCAAACTGCTCAGAATGCACAAATGTGTTTAGTTCTGGTGGTGGCAAAGTTATGGCAGACGAGTTCTCTGTCAAATTTCTAGGCAGTGTTCCTATCGATCAACAGTTCGTGATGCTGGTCGAGACGGGACGGAGACCAGTGTATCCTGTTGGAACGGAGGTTAACGGACATGATATGGCAACAAATGGGGATGCTGATTATTCAACCGACGTCAAGGATCCTAGCTTGCTTATTGAGAAGTACAAGAGTTGCTCTTTAAGTCCAATCTTCGAAAGCATCACAAAAGAGGTGATCGCAGCGGTGGAGGCTAGACCATGATGGAAAGATTTGGACCACACCTACTGGAGTCGTACCACACTCAGGACCACGCCGTCTTTGATCCGAGAGGTTTTCAATGATAATGAGATGATATCTTGATATGGGAAATCAGAAAGGATGATTCCATCTACTCTCGAGCTCTACGCCTGGGAAAATTTCTGCCAATGGGGCCTCTGAGCAGCGTATCAGACTTAGAAGCTAGATGCATTGGCAACTCCGGCAACAACTGTTCTCGACACAGCACCGAATCCGAGCAGAGCACCATCTCCGCTTAGGTGTTCTTACTACGCAGACAAGTTGGACCAAGGTATATGGACGTACGAAGAGCTGGTAGGAACTCTAGTAGGTATTTTCTGAGTTTAGAGGTGCATAGCGGTGACGTTAGATGCTCTTACCACGAGCTGGCCTTCGAGAAGGTCTCCCTAATCTACAAGATCTGAAATTAAAGTGGCCTCACAAATCGTATGACTTTTCTTTGGCAACTGTCCGCTTGATGCCGTTGTGATGCACTGAGTTATCACACAGCTACATTACTCATTCGGCACTCGTATAAGGTGTTTTGTTGATCAAGTCTTCACAAGCCCGCCTTCTAAATTGAGCAACGCAACCGAGGCCCTTCCTTGAATTGTTTGCTTTTTACTCCACGATTTCGATGTCTGCTGCGATGTGTTTGCACGGTTAGGTTCTCGCTGTTTTCAGGGCCAAGCAAGGCTGTGTCAGAAACTGTTCCGCCCCTCCTTGGCTCTTGGCCACGATTTCCGCTCCTGATAGCTTCAACGTCCCATCTGCTCTATTGCTCATTAATTGTCTGATGTTCATCCATTTGGTGCCAGTGCACTCATCCAACTAATAAAAGCAATCAGTCACTTTTTTTTCAGCGTTGTCAGTAGTCATATATTCTACGACGCCGGCATCCCCGCTATCTCCAAGACTTCACCAAGAACTCCAAGACGCCCAGCGATGTCCCAAGCTGTTACCAACAAGATAAGTCTTATCGCCTTCCAGATGTAGAATTGTTTTCATTGCCAAGTAACCATTGATGCGTATCTTCCTATCTTCGACCACTTGCATGCTGTGGTCACACGAGCGTACATCTCGACGCTGTTTCTCACCACATCAATGGCGTCTTGTGCATACTTGGCTTGATAGGACATCCTGTAGTCATTGCACTTAATTTGTTCCATGACTTTTCTAGAACCAAATCCTGGACCGAGTCCGAGTCCAAGGCGGGGAATGGTCCAAAAGAGGGTTGACATCAGTCAACAACTGATGGTTTAGTGGCTTGACATCATCCCGTGGAGCGTTTATAAGAACAATCTCCTCACCCACAGATTACATTCATTCCATTTATTCCACGTCCCTCAGCGAGTGCCTTCCCCCTCTATTTCAATAATTGTAGTCCTACGCGAACTTCACGATGGAGAAAAATGAGAAGGACGTGGGACTCACGAGCCCCTCCAATAGCTCAACTCCTGGGTCTGAATCAGATAACATCATTGTGGAGCATGAGAAACTTGGGCTCTGGACACGCATGGGATGTACCCCCGAGTCCTTCAAGCGCAGAACAGTGTCCCAGGATCTCAATCACACATTAAAGCCTCGACATCTTCAAATGATCGCCATTGGTGGCTCAATCGGCGCTGGTTTCTTCGTCGGTTCTGGGAAAGCTCTTAATAATGGTGTAAGTACATTACCTCACTTGATATTAATTTTCGTGACGATTGGGTACAGTGGCTAACTAGATTAGGGCCCTGCCACTCTCCTGATCGATTTTGCTATCATGGGAGTTATGATTTTCAATGTCGTCTATGCTTTAGGTGAACTCGCAGTCATGTACCCTGTCTCCGGTGGTTTCTATACATATAGTACTCGCTTCATTGATCCTTCATGGGGCTTCGCTATGGGTTGGAGTGAGTATTCCCAACATCATCCATAACCATTAATTAATCACCTGACTTCCAGATTATGTCTTCCAATGGGCCGTTGTTCTCCCCTTGGAACTTGTGGTGGCAAGCTTTACAGTCGGTTACTGGAATCCTGATATAAATGTCGCAGTGTGGATCAGTTTATTCCTGGCCGTCATAGTCATAGTAAACGTATTTGGCGTGCTAGGTTTTGGTGAAGCGGAATTCTGGGCCAGCGTGTTAAAACTGTTTGCAGTTTGTATCTTTATGGTCGTTGGGTTGGTCCTTGGTAAGTCGCTCTCTCAATTTCTGTCCTCGCAGCTAACGTCCTCAACAGTATGCGGCGGCGGACCAAGCAATGGTCTATACAGCGAATACTGGGGAGCCCGTCTTTGGTATGACCCAGGTGCTTTCAAAAATGGCTTCAAAGGGGTCTGTTCTGTTTTCGTCACAGCTGCATTTGCATTTTCCGGAACAGAGCTTGTAGGCCTCGCTGCTGCCGAGTCAGAGAACCCAGCAAAGGCTCTACCGGGTGCTATCAAGCAGGTCTTCTGGCGCATTACTTTGTGCGTTCCCAATGCCCTTTCTCGAGAACTACGTACTGACGATGGACAGATTTTACATCGTGGGTCTTCTTTTCGTTGGATTGCTCGTCAGCTCGACAGACGATCGCCTCCTCGGTGCGAACCCATTCATCAACGTAGCAGCTTCTCCGTTTGTCATCGCCGCCAAAGACGCCGGTCTTGATGGATACGATTCATTCATGAACTTCATTATCCTGGTTTCCGTTATCTCCATTGGTAATTCGGGTGTCTATGGTGGATCCAGAACTCTCACTGCATTGGCAGAACAAGGATATGCCCCTCGCTGTTTCAAGTACATTGATCGCTCTGGTCGCCCTCTTTGGTCCACCATCGCCATTCTTATTTTTGGATGCCTTGGATATGTGACTCTAAGTTCCTCAGGCCCTGTACGTCAATTCTTACCTTGTCCCCGGAAAGGGAGTGCTTCAAATCATCAACAAATCTGAAACTAACATCTCAATTAGGTCGTTTTTGACTGGCTTCAAGCGCTAAGCGGTCTTGCTGCCCTCTTTACTTGGGGTTCCATCTGCCTCGCCCACATCCGATTCCGCGCTGCCTGGAAGTACCATGGCCACTCTCTCGATGATATTCCCTTCAAAGCAGTATTTGGCGTCTACGGCTCATGGGCCGGTTTGATCCTTATTGTCCTTGTGCTCATAGCTCAAGTTCGTTTCTCTCTCTCGTGCCTGGTTTCACTTACTAACTCAACCATCTAGTTTTACACAGCACTCTATCCCCTCGGCAATGATGGGAAAATAGGCACTGCAGAAGACTTCTTCAAAGCCTATCTTGCGCTCCCGGTTGTGATCGCGTTCTGGATTTGTGGTTTCGCGTGGAAGCGAACGGGTTGGTTGAAGCTTTCCGACATTGATGTTGATTCCGGAAGAAGAGAGGTTGATTGGGATAGGATTAACGCTACGAAGGCGGAGATTGCTGCTTATCCTGCTTGGAAGAGGATCTTGTATCTTTTGTTCTAAGAGTTGGCTGAGGTGGATAGTGCGCAAAGTACTGAGAAGTCTATCTTCAATAAGAAGAATTAGGAGCACAGTCGCTTTGCTCTCCCGGACGCTTAAACTATATCCAAGTCGAGTTCGAGGTGTCAAGCAACAAATGGGTTTGTTGCGTCTCCTCATCCGCTGGGAAAGTACTTTTGCCTAATCGGTTTCTACACCTCACTTAGGTTTGACACTAAGACAATCTGAGCTTGTATTTCATTCGACAGTAGCCCGAGCACTCTTCGCTCCGTGGACAACTAACTCGATTGAAAAATTTAAGTTTAGATGTAAAATCTAGGCAATCTTCCGTATCTCTGGTCGTGGCTTACCCCCCATTTTTGATTCGGCTTCACTTGCCGACTATAGTTAATATGCAGCTTATCTCATCCTCACCTTTATATCTCAGTACTTATCGCTCGCAACACTTCCAAACTCATCTCTTCTCAACTCTGAAATGCCAATTCTTGTCTTTCATCTTCCATACCGAAGTCTCCAACCCTAAGTCTCAAAATGGCCTCAACAAACGCAACTTTCCGCTACCTCTCCCGCGGCAGCAAAGTCGAGCCATCACCACACTTGTACCACCTCCCACCCCTCTCAGACTTCGGCGATATCCGCTCCCTCCCAATGACCGACATCAAACCCTCCATGGACCCCGGTACCAAATCCCCCTTTACCCTCTCCAAGCACGGCTTCCTCGCCCTCCGCTCCCCCTCCACCATGTTCTTCCCGCCTCACACCCACTCCTCCTGGAACGACGCCTCGAGCCTAAAATCCATCTACATCCCGGAGATAGAGACCATGCTGCTGGCCCTCACTGGCGGCAGGAAGGTCTACACGGATCAAGTCGTCATCCGGAATAATCTGCACACAGAAGTCGACGGCCTAGCAAGGTCCCAAGATACGAAAAAAGGAGAAGAAGAAGGAGAGGGAAAAGGGGAAATCGAGCACGAATTCCCAAAATTGATAGGTGTTAATAAAGGCACGGGCGCAAGTCCAGCTCCAAAAGTCCACCTCGATTTCGCGCCCCTCGGCGCGCGAACACATTTAAGGAAATACCATCCTAAAACCACTGAATTGGCTCAGGAGATCATCACAGCGGAAGAACGATCTCTTTCCACGCACGGCTTCAAGCCGCACCAGTTAGAAGAACTCGGTAAAGAACCGTGTACCTACACCGGTCCCCGATGGGCCATGTTCTCCATCTGGCGGCCCCTGAAAAAGGTTTTCCGCGACCCGTTAGCGGTCGGCGATTGCTCGACCTTCCCTAAGGACGATTATGTGCATTTCGACGTGCTGTTCCCGACGATAGGACAGGGAGAGGGGGAGACGCACAGGGAACAGGCGTTTTTGGCGTATGGGCCAAAAGGCGAGGGAAAAGGGGAGAGGCATGAGTGGTATTGGGTGAAGGAGCAGGATGTGGATGAGGTGCTTGTTATTCAGCTTTTTGATAGTGAGGCGGAGAGGGAGGGGAGGGGGATGGGGGGTGGGGTCATGCATAGTAGTGTGGTTTTGGAGGGCGAGGAGGAGGGTGGGGAGGTCAAGGAGGCGAGGGAGAGTTGTGAGGTTAGATGTTGTGTTATTTGGTAGGTTTGGGGAGAGGTTTGGGTACTTGAAGAGGTGGAAACTGTGTGTTTAACATTTCATTATAGGAGTCTGCTTATTAGAGGTCTAGTCACAATCAAGTTAGAAGGAAATTTTATTGTTCAAGGAGAAAGATATTTTTTATTGTTTATTCATCTGTGTATTTGGCAATGAAAGGAGGGGGAACTTACATCTCTTTGTCTGTCAGTACCACACAATTTCCCATCCATCCTACTTACTTACATCCATCCCATCCAGCAATTTCTGACACAACTTAAACACCTCCGTGGATCTCTCCACAGCGTTTTGTCCAAGTCTAGAGAATTTGTCCGGATGCCACTGATGTCTCTCCCTCCTCAACCACTCCCTCGAGTACATCCCACTCCCTCGAAACACCTTCTCGAGATCATGATGGCAGCACCCAATCAACTCACCCTTCAGGCGATCCTCCCTTGGACATCTCAAGTTAGGCAGCGCAGGAAATTCCACTCCATCCTGCCTAGAGGATTTAAAGGCCCGCAGATCAGCCACCAAAACCAGATAATACATCCCCCATTCCTTCTTGTCCCTCTGTTGAGACAAGAGGAGCGCAGCCCAGTACTCATCATCAACAGGAGGCGAGGATTCCAAGTACTCTGATTCCAAGTACTCTTGTTCGCGCTTAGCATCTTGTTCAGCTTGTGCACGCCGCTGCCGTTCCTTCTTTTCTTCCTGGCGCGTTGCTTTACGGGTATACTGAGGCCCAGATTGGGACTCGCCTGTGCCGAAGAAATATGAGGATGCGGAGCCGGTGAAGGGGATTGGGTCCCCTTGTGCGTCGAAGAAGGCTGGGCGGGAGTTGGAGAAGAAGCTTCTCATGTGCGCGGCGTCTTTTTCCTGGTCGGATGCTGAACGACGGCTAGATGAAGAGGGCTCCTCAGATGATGGTGAACACTTCCACAATTCACCCTCGTGTTGGGACTCCGCGGCCCTCGAAGCGTCCAGCGCTTCGGCGGATCGCTCTGCGGGGGTGAGGTGCGAGCGGCGGGCTGCTTCCTCTGGTGAGATGTTTGGGCGGGATGGTGTAGGCTTTTCCTTGCTTTGGGGAGCTTGGGGGCGGGGTTTGGTGTTGAGGTGTGGTTTGGTTGGTGTTCTTGGACGAGTCATGTTGGTGGTTGTTGTTGCTTGGGTAAATTGTTGCTTGAGTAAACTCTTTGCTTGTGTGAGTAAGTTTTGTTGTGTAAGATAAGTTGATGATCGATTTGAATGCTTCCTTGCCGGAATTTATACTGAGATGAAGTCCGCTGTCCGGGGAGTGGAACAATGGTATTGTGCCGTTTGTCTCAAAACAGAATTAGATGCGCATTGTTCTTATTCGACGCGGTCATGATCAAAGGAAATTCTGCTTGACACAGCGTACTCAAAGGAAGGGGTCACTTTTCCTTCCTCTCCTTTTAAAGTGAGCTAGACGAGATACAGACAAGGTGGTATGATGAAAGCAGACAAAGAAAGGAAAGGAAAAAGCATAACTCGTATCACCATTTTTACTACCCGTACTGCATAACCAGATTGCCTTTTCCGAGACCTTCCTTTTCAAGTCCATGAAATTAGGAGGCGAGACTTCTGGCCCATGTACTGCCAAATGCCAGAACGTAGTGTAATACTAGAAGAACAAGACTGCTGTTATGTAACTTTTGTCACCTTGGGACCGCTCGCTATGCTCTCTTACTTTAAATACAATCTGACTCCCCAAGTCATCATCTCTCTTCGAAGAAGATCCTCATGATCAATGCTCTTTACTTCAGTACTCCTCACCCCAGTGCCACAGACTTGGTAAGTGAACAAGTAAGAGAGAGCCTAAGTGAGTGAAAGCAAACAAAATGATACTAGTGTGAAAACTCAATTGTGGCTGAAATATTTCTTTGTATCCTCCCCCCTTCCAGTACTCCTCTCCACCCTTCCACTTGGTCAGCCAAGTAAGTACTATTGTGTTGCAATGAGATGGGTAGCGAGGTGGGCAGCAGTGAGGTGGGAAAATTAAGTTGAGGCAGTGGGTAAGTTGATATAATTGCCAGACAAAATCCTTGTTTGTATCCATCTGTACCTAGGTACTAAGGGTCAGCCGTAAGCTACCATCTCAGCCACTTTTATCTTAACAAAAGCAATGAACTCGACATTATGGCACAGCTGAAAGAACAACCCCAACTAGAATGCTGTTCTAGCATGGGGAATCTATTTTCTGGTATAAAACTAAACTTAATATGTGCTTGAAAGGTAAGGAGAGCGGACAGTGTAGATATTGAGTTAATTAGGGGATGACTTTTTGATTTTCAATCTTTGAAATTACTAGAGAAATACAATGACTTTGGTACAATTGCTGCTACTTTTGAGCTGTCCTCGAAAATGTATGCTTGGAAAAAAGACGATCGTTGGACGTTGGACATTATTGAAATTTTCTTTACTCCTCAAAGATGCACTTGCACTAAGATAATAATCGCTTATGTCTTAGACGTCTCGTTGCGTGGTTTTGTACACACAAAGTTGTGCCTGTGCAGATGTAAGACGATCTGATGGCGGGGAAGTCGGAGACAGACGGAGGCGGGAGCTTCCTTGGCGTTGGGCTTGAGACAGGGGCTTGGCTGGGCGGAAGCCAGAGCAGCCAGAGCCCGTGCCAAATCCCAAAAAATTCCCAAAAATCGCTCACATGAATTTACCCCTCGATTAACACATTCATCCCAACATCCATCTCGAACGCCTCTCAATCTTCTATCTTCACATTGTTCTAGTTGAACTTCTAGAGCATCTGCCACGATTGTGCCCAAGAAAAGATCAAAGTAGGTGCAAACACCACCTCCTGTTCTCGCACAGCAATTTACTCACTATGACGTTCGTAGGCAAGCTTATCTCTCACACGACTGAAATATTTTCTGGAAATCATCAACACCGCCATCGTTCCTTCCTGCTATCCCAAACAACCAAACATCTGCCGACTCAATTGAAAACATTCCAATGAATTCTAATTCCAGTAATCTTTGTCATTAAAACTGGACACACCTTACAACATCGTCACAGGAACAGTGTTTTAGACGCTGTACTGCGACGCAACAAACCTTTCAAGTTTTTCTCACCTACTCTATGAGCACCAAGGACCTACTTAGATTTCTGTCTAAGCCAGCAAAGTAAGTTTCCTCAATTCCAATCCTGACTCGCTTCCATGCCATCAAGTAGATTGCTCCACCGCTCTCATGCAAGAGAGAGAGCACAGATCAGCATCCAGGCAGATTCAAACTCGACTTCATCTTCAACCTCACTTACACTCTTTTCGTCCCTTCTTTTCACTCTCATCTGCTAACTTGTCTCCTTCCAGGCCTCGATAGCACCAGCCACGCCCCCAAAACCGAACAGATATTCTCCAGACTGCAGATAACCTCGTCTGCTAGACCCGATATCCCTTAACGGTATCGGCATCTACCAGAGCGAGGACAACCAAAGAGTCAACATTCCCTCCGCGAAGGACTTCTTCATCCCTTTGTGCACCCGACCTCCATAACGTCCCTTTAGACGTTTGCACACTACATATTCTGCTGGTTCCGCCAGCGCTCGATTCACCCCACGGTTCTGTGGGCCTTCTCTTCTCAGGCGGACACCGCAAGGTTCGTCTGGGTGGCAGATAGTGCTTCACAGTACTTGCCAATAGAGCTTGACTCAACCTAAGGAAACACATCATCGAATTTCTGTCAACTACAACAAATTTTCAAGGAATAGTTATGGTCCATTTCGAGATACCATCGCAATACACTTTCTCGCCTTCAGAAGGTACGCCACAACTTACGATCAACCGTGAGGCTACCGTCGATCTTGATAGCAGCAATGCATTCGAAGGCCCCGAGAAACTCCTAGAAGTCTGGTTTGCGCCGGCTGCAGATGCTCTCCCTCCAGGAACCAAGAAGGATGGACTCAAGGCAGTTCAGGCCGAGACATGGAAGGAGATGCTAGATCTAGTCAACTGCAAGGTTCTTTCTGTGGTTGAGTCGGAGCACATCGATGCGTACCTCTTGTCAGAGTCGAGCATGTTTGTCTTCCCTCACAAGCTCATCTTGAAGACATGTGGAACTACGACACTCTTGCTCGGCATTCGACGCATGTTGCGAATCGCTGCAGTTGAGGCGGGCTTCCCATCCCACAACACCAGTTCTTTGGATGACATCAAGACTGCGGCCACTCCTTACAGAGTCTTTTACAGCCGCAAGAACTTTTTGTTCCCTGACAAACAACATGGACCTCACCGAAGCTGGAAGCAGGAAGTCAAGTTTCTTGATGATATGTTCCTTGGCGGAAGTGCATATATGGTGGGCAAGATGAATGGAGATCATTGGTACCTCTACCTCACAACACCAAACACCACACTCACGCCGCCTCGAACCCCTGATAACGAACGAGTTGCCACTGAGACGAAGATCTTGAAGATCCCAACCAGCTCAGCCTTTGCAATGGGACAGAGAGCCTTGGAGAATGACGATGAGACGCTTGAAGTCCTGATGACGGATCTTGACCCAGAGAATGCCAAGCAGTTCTACCTAGAACACGCGAGTGCGGTCGCGGAGGGCAAATACTCTGAGAGGGCTGATCGAGCCCGTCGAGAGGCGGCAAACAGCCTGGGAGACTTGAGTGGAGCCAACATGACAAACTCAACCTTGAGTGGCAGTACAGCGGCCAACGACGAGACCTTTGACGTATTCAGTCAAACCTCTTCAGACAACGGAGCCTTTACTCCAGATGATGACGTTGGATACCCAGAGGAGCTCAGCACCGAGGGTCACGCACTTGGTACAGTGGTCTCGGAGACTTGCGGTCTATCGGATGTCTATCCTACTTCTAAATACCCTGATGCACGCGTTGACGCCTACCTCTTCACACCCTGCGGCTTCTCCGCCAACGGTGTGATTCCGGCCCCTGATCAAGCAGGCACGGCGACACATTACTTTACGGTTCACGTCACCCCCGAACTACAATGCTCTTACGCTTCATTCGAAACCAATGTCCCCGGACGTCAAACTGGACGCGAGACTCATGAAGTGATTGAGCACGTAGTGAACATCTTCAAGCCCGGTCGTTTCAGCGTCACGCTCTTCGAAGCCAAGACGATCGTGGCTGAAGTACGTGATCTGGGTCTGGATGGTGACGGGGTGGCGAAGGCGGGCTTGCTTCGCAGTGCCAAGATGGAGAAGATCAGAGGGTATCGCAGGTTGGATCGGATCGTGCATGAATTCGATGGGTACGATTTGGTGTTCCGGTACTACGAGCGTGATGGTTGGGTGGGTGGTGGGCCACGGTTGGGCGAGGTTGATTGAGGGTCTGCGTTTTTTCTATTTGCTATTTCTTCTTTCACTGGCAGCGTCTGTCTGTCGTTACCTCACCTCAATCCAACATGCTACTTCTCACAAGTAAGAAACACGATAACTAGCTAGTCTATTTCAATGAATGAATCTCTGTCTTTTCTTTTCCTTTCCTTTCCTCTCCACACGAAATTGTCGCGAAGCCAGAAACGGTATGCACCAGAGATAATACGAAAAGGTCACGACCTGCTTCAATGCACTCACTGTGAGCGGCGGTGAAAACTGTGTGTGTGTGTGACAGACATAGCCTCGTTCGTGACATGTGCCGTTTATGCGTGCTGGCTGGTTGGAAGAGGATGGTTGAGGATGTGACGGGTGGTCGCAGGATCGCGTCCGTTTTTGGTTTCGGGAGCACATCAGGAAGAAGAACGTTCGGCCTGAGGCTGGAATTGATGGAGGATGGATGCGTTAGGTGAAGAGAGGAAGAGCGAGGTGGTGAGGAGGAGTGGAGTGGAGTAGTGAGTAAAGGGTGGGATTGAGTGGTATGGGAATCTCGATATACTGATATCATTTTTATTTTCTCAAGGAATAACCCATGTTGTACTCTCTTGGATCGAGCTCTAGCATAGATTACTTAATAAGTAATGAACAACTCACAATACCTAGCAAGCAAGCAAGCAAGCATAACCCGTGCACAACTCCTTCAATTCACATTCACACCTCCACCTCCACCTCCACCTCGCGTTATGCAAAAACCACAGTCCCTCCCGCCCACAGGAACGCGGTCCCCTTTTATATTCGCGATCTCGCGTCATCCCCCTGCATCGGGCGGCTAGACACATCCAATTATTCCCTTTCCTCAGGTTTTGCATGAAATTCCACATTGTGCTGATTGGGTAGGGTGAGTTTGGTGATTGGCAGACGACGCGTGCGGGACACGCTTCGACGCGGTGGTCGAGGCGGCGAATCTCTTGGTCGGGAGGGTGAGTGGAAAACCTGTCTGAGCTGAGGAGTGCAGTGCAGTGCAGTGGAGTTGGCTTGATATATGTCGGTTCCCCTTCGCTCGAATTTGGGGTTTTTCTTGTTTGTTGTGTTTTTTTTGAATTGGGGAATTGAGTCTATCGGTAAACAAAGGAACTCTTTCGATTGATTGATTGATTGATACGAAAGACGGAAGGAAGGGTAATTGATTGATTGATTGATTGACTGATCGATTGATCGTTTGATTACTTGGCCGTGCATACCTACCTACCTACATACCACATACTTATTTTGTCTACGATACTGCACTTCCTCATCCATTCATCTACCTATCGATCGAAAAATGGCAACCACAACCACGCACCAGCACCGCCAACCCTTCGCTCCCCTCAACTCCTCTCGTCTCCAATCGCTCGTCAACCTCAAGAATCGTCAGAATGGTATTTACCTCTCCACCTCCACCTCCACCTCCACCTCCACCTCAACATGACTCTTACCTCGTCCCCAATAGCAGCAGCAGCAGCAGCAACAACGCTCTCCCCACCCAGCAAACGCAAAGCCACCACCTTCGAACACGACGACAACGACAACCACGACACCGAGAACATCGACCCCATCATCTTCCTCTCGTCTCCGAAACGCTCCAAAGGCCTCTCCGCCGACTCCCTCAAACCACAACTACCAGCGACGAATTTCTTCCTCACTCGCGCTTCTCTTCCTCCTAAGCCGCGACCGATTCTGAATGCAAGAGCCCCGAGATTAGAAACTAAACTCCCGCTCTCAGCACCAGCCGGGCGCTCCCCGACACGAAAACGCATCGGGATCCTCAATCGTCGCAAGACGACCGCGGGACGCGTTGATCCTCCGCCGCCGCCACGCTTCGCTGCCCCGACCTCTTCCACTGGATTGGGGTTCTCCATCGATGCTGCGCTGTCGGGGACCATTCCTTCGTACTCGTCTCGTCAAGCTTCATCTTCTTCCTCTACCTCGTCTTCGTCCTCGATCAAAGATGGATTATCGTCCATCCCCCTCCTCCTGCATCAACCGGAAGCCAAACCCACCTGGTTCTTCGACATCCACGAAGACACGGAAGAGGAGCTGGCGACGAACCTAATGGAGCACGGCGCGTGCACGCTGGATATTAGTTCGGATGAGGAGGGAGCGGGAAGGGAGAGGGATGCGCGGGGCAAGGAGAATGTGCCGCCGGTGGATGATGTGAGTCAGACGTCAAGAGGAAGGAGGGCGGTGCAGGAGGAGGGCAGTATTGAGGTTGATCGGAGTCCGTTGGGGGATTTGTGTAAGGAGGATTTTTACGCCGAGGGGGTGGCGGAGGGGGATGTTTTTGTTGTGAGGGAGGAGGAGGAGGGGGAAGAGGAGAAGGAGGTGAGTGTCGAGTTTGATTTTGCTGGTGGGGAGGGGAAAGAGGTTGTTGAGATTGATGTTGTGCCGGAATTGGATGTCGAGACTTTGATGCAGAGACCGAGTTCGACGGCTGCGCCGAAGGCGGCGTTGTTGCAGCCGATTGAGAAGGCGGAGGAGGGGTTCGAGCTTTGGGAGAGTGGGAGTGCGAAGGATGGGGAGTAGGGGTGCTGTCTTGTTGTTTTTTTGAAAAGCTTTAGGTGGGATGGGATGGTATGGCGTTATTGTATATCCTGCGTGCCTGCGTGCGTGTATTGTTTGCTTGTTTGCTTGTGAGGGGGATATACCAGTAATTGAATTCCTTTTTCGTGATGTCTACCTACCTCTGTGTATTGTGATTCGTGAGGTGTCAATACTTACCTAGGTGTGTTACATTGGCCAGTGGCTACCAAGGTTACCTAGGTACCCCGTCGTCCTGAAGTTTACATGACTAAGTGAATGAATTACCCAGTCTTACTTGCAATCTGATGCTTACCTATTTTCCCATTCCTTAGACGAGTCTCGATATCCCTTTCGATCTATCATTATTTCCTACATCTTCTCTCTGCTGATGATTCCAGCTTCGCGTTGTTTACGAATATTCATATCTTAAAACGGGAAGTTTTTCTATGTCAGGGGGGGAGCGTCAGCGAGTTAAAAAGGAATTGGTTGTTGAGTTTTCGCTTTCGGATTTCCTGTTCATATTTACTATTTTCCCCTTTTTAAGTAAGATGAGATTATTAATGGTCGTGGAAGGGAAGCATGATGCTTAGTTATTGGTATCGGCGCTTTAGGGGGGGGGGGGGGGGGGGGGGGGGGGAGAGGGGTTGATTGGTTTTATGTGGTTTTTATTACTCCCCTCGGGTCCCTCGAGGTGTTGGTTTGTTCCGTATCGTATCCGCGGTAGCATTTAGTTCGGGTTATTTTGCTGCTGCGCTATGTTGTTGGGTTCGTTGCTTTTGTCAAGGGAGAAGTTGCTTGGGGTGGTCGTTTGAGTGTGAGGGGTTGATTGTTTGGTTGTTGGGGGTTGTGTTGGTTGGTTTTGAGAGGGGGTGATGGGATTGTGTTTTTTTTTTTGGGATAAAGATAAATTGGGGGATGGGCAAAGGGGGTTCTGGTTGAGGGGGAGCTATGGAGAGAAGAGAAATGTGTGAGGGTTGGAGAAATGCGAATAGAGAAAGGAGATGCAAGGAAGATAGTCGAAGCGGTCTTTACACTCCCTACCTCCGTAAGGAGAACCCTCTGATAGCACACTCCTCAGCACCGCACACGTCTACATGTTCCATCAACTAATCTCTCCATCCAATCCTCAGAAGTATCATTCAACAATAACTCCACATCGCCCTATGAAAATCCCCCAAAACAAACCCAGCATCCATCCATCCATCCATCCATCCACCCATCACTCTTCCCCAGCTCTAACCCCCTCCCCAACCATCCTCCCCCTTACCCCTCTTTCCCCCATCCCCTACCAACGTCGACAAACACAACACCTCCTCCTCACCACCCCACCACTCCCCTCCCCCCACATCTTAATCGAAGCTATGATATCCATACGCTCCTATCGATCACCAGTCTATTAGCCTCTTTTCTCCCTTCCTTTTTCACTTTTCTCCTCTCTCTCGAATGCAGGGAGAAAAACAAGGACTACTCACATTCTTCCATTCCGGCTCTCCATTTTTCATCCTCAGGCCAATCATGTCGTCGAGCGAGGCGTGCATTTGTAGGCTGGGAACGTAGAAAAGGGGTGTTATGTCGAGGGGGGAAGGGAGAGTTGATGTTAATGTTGCGGTTGCGGTTAAGGTGAGGGGGGGGAGGAGGAGGATGAGGATGGGTAGGCGGAGGGTGGGGAGATGCATTGTGATTGAGGTGTGGTGGTGGTTCGAGAGTGTTAAACCGTATGGTGAGATGAAAAGTGGCTGTATTTGCCTGAGTTGAGTAGATAGATGGATTGATGGAACTATGACTATCTCTGAGGACGAGAGAGGGGAGATTAGCGGATGCTTCTTGTGGAATGTTACGAAGCGAACTAAAAATGAAGAATGCGGACTCGTGTTCCGTCGCACATCTCACATTCCTGAAACGCCCGAGTTGAAATAATTTCTTTGGTTCAGAAAAGCGAGGAGAGTATCGATAATCGCTCAGCGTCATCATTAATCGTACACCATTAACCTTACCGTCTTCAGCACCAACTCCCTGTTCTGTAATCCCGAACGCCAAACCCATCCCTCATTGCCCCTCCTCCCCTTTCTCCCCCGCCTCCGTCCCACCAGGATTCGTGCCCCCAAACCCCCAATCAACATTCTGCCCCCCGCCCATCGACCACCCAAACCCCATCCCCGTAGTACTAACCCACGCATCCCTCGGCATCCCACCATCAAGACTACTCCCCGGTGCCATCGCCGTATTTGCCAGCGGAAAGAACCAGCTCCCATCCGTCGGCATCAGCAGATCGTTGGGAAAGAAATCGACGCCGGCCCCGAGGCCGCTGTCTAGCCCGGACAGATCGTTGTTGCCGTAGAGATCGGTGTTGTAGAGGCCGATTGATGGCGCGAGGGGGTCGTTGAGGAATTGTTGGGTTGTGCCGGGTTGGTTGGGGAGCGTTTGGTGGATGGAGAATGGTGGTTGTTGCGAGATGCTGGAGTCGTAGGATGTTGTTTCCGGGAGGGGGGCAGATGGGGATTGGCGGAAGGTTTGGGAAGATTCGGTGTCGGATGAAGGAGGAGGCATTCCAGGGGGATGATCGGTCATGGCTTTATCCACGTAATCCAGAGGTGAGCTGTCGAGGACATAGTTTGGTGTTTGGAGGGGTTCTCGGCCGCGTTTGGGATTTTGAGTCCCTTGTGCTTGTGCCTTCTCGACGAAGCGACCGGCCAGGTCGCAGACTGCTTTGAAGGTTCGGATCACGATGGTGCTAGGGGATCTGTCATCGGAGTCCATTGCTGTAGCTAGAAAATCGACAGCGCCTCGCATTAGTGCGACGTCGGAAAGCGCTTGGGAGTCCCTGGGATTCTGTAGGACGCTGGCAAAGAGAATAAGACAAGCGCTCAATGGGTAGTAATCCATCATTCTGAGAGGGTGGTGAGTAAAATTCAAAGTGCGATGCGGACGGATCTCACCTGATAACGTTCATTTCACTCTGATCAACGTGACTTTCGGTCTCCTTCAATAGGTTCATCACACCTCTTGCAGCACCAACAGTGATAGCACCACTGGAGAATACTCGAGGATTGAGCTTCATACTACTCATTGCCTCCATATTCAGAGGAGGTTCTCCACCATTCGCCCAAGACTTGTAGTGGACCGAGCAGCGGTGTATTGTTGAGAGCGCATTAAGATAGCCGTAATGCATCATAATGACAGGAATGACAAATTCTCTGTTGACCTTCATCTCATTACCCGGCCGAATCTCTATCGGAAGATTGTCCTTCCACTCCTGTAATTCTTCGTCAAGAGTGCTGACCCATTGCAATCTTTCCAGTGTAGATCGAGTAGCTGCTTTGGCGGAGTAGAGTTTGTTGTATATGCGGCCTTGGAGGAGAGATAATGTTGCCATATATCGAATCGGCTGCGGCACATTTGGGCCCATCATAGCATTCTTTGCTGGCTTGGGAAGGTCGATACCTATGTCATCTTCTTGCATGACAGACGGTCTTCCAGAGCGCATTATTATTGCACGTTCGATTATAACACTGCTCCAGAAGACATTTCGTCTCTCTTCGACTTGGGCTTGTGTCAGCCCAACATCACTGACATTGCGATGTAGCCCAATTGCCTGAGCAAGACGTAAACCAGCACCTGCTAAAACAGAACAAGGATACGGATTTGGGAGAGTTTGAAGAATAAAGGCCTGTCAAGTTAGTAATATCCAAGACAAGTTGGGGGCAATATACCATTCCAATCATAGCTTGCACAGCAGACATGTTGCCTTCGCGAAATTGTAGCTCGAGAAAGGTGCTGCTGGCATTTCTAAACCACTTCCACCAAACCTCATCTTCTGGATTCGAAGACCGGGGCGAGGAAGCGGAACTACAAGGAGAATTACGAGTTTGCTGCTTGTTGAGTATAACTGATCCAATCGCAAATACCACATTGAGACAAGCATACCACGCGGGATCCTGGGAAGGTGTAAGAGGATATAAGCGCACAAATCTTTCCATGAATATTGGTTGTGAAAACAGAGGGAAAATGGCCCCGAAGCCATTGAAGAATTCTGTACATTGTGTGAGGCGTGTGCGAGTAGAGATCTGCGCGAGACGGCTCACCGGTGATATAGATCATGGCGCGTTCCTTGCTGGGAAGACGCTCAAGTTGGTCATCTGGGAGTGGACCCCACATTTCTGGTCCCATTGAGGCCAGATGTAAGTGCGGACTGGGAAGGCTCATGATAACTTTAGCAAATTCAGTGCTCCCTGTAACTTCAGTCACCCATTTCAAGCCTTGAGGTCCAAAGATAGAGAACCCAGAAGAAGCACCTGTACTGTATAAGTCAAGGGAGTTATCTGAGGAAAAGAGTACGTGCCAATGAATAATGTCGTTCCATCATCAAAGATCTTGAGCAGGGACATCTTATCAGGAATATCTTGAATGCCCACTTCTTCCGATGCAAGAGTTTTAGCTTCTTTTCCTGGCTCTTTAGTTGGCATAGACAAGCCTGATTGAGCCATAACGGCTTCCATACGATTGAGACGGTCCTCGAGGGTCGTCAAGTATGTTTCCCTTCATGCCGGTGAGCCTTGGAAGAATGTCACATGTGGACTACATACTTCTTCTCACGCTTCTTGCGCTCTGGTATTGTAAACACACATTCTGTTTGATGCTTGGCACAGCGATTACAAATAGATTCTTGATCCCATTCACACTTGACCTGTATTACTTAAGCTGGGGGACTCCGTTGGCCTAGGTCCGCTACATACCTTCATTCGCTATTGAGAAATCAGTATATTTTAGCGACAAATATCAAGGGGCCGAAATGGTCACTCTCGAATGGTGCTTGAACTGACCTTGCAGGAATTACAAGCGGTTCCTGAATCAGTCAGTCATGAACATGGTAGTAATCAGCAATACCCACTATGACCCCGCTTCGGTGCGCCAGCTCCTGGTCCCGCAGAGCCGCTGCCGCTGGCACTTCGAGGCGATTCCTCTTGGTCGTCCATGGTACCTGACAGATAGATTTCTTATTGTTCCCCACACTCTTGGTACATTGAGCGATCAAGTGAAAAACGCGTGCTGCCACGTGCAGTCGATAACGTGACCGTGAACTCTGTAACTACAGTGGTCTCGGATGTGAAGCTTGATCGATTGATACCTAGACAAGCTTGAAGTTTGCCGCCGGGCTCTATATCACTCCCAACAAGGTCAGAAACGTCTTGACGTTAAAATCCTCGAACATCTGTTCTTTAGGTTTCAAGGACGACCGGCCTTATGTTTCGCCCGCTTCGCCGGTCGAAAAGGGCTTGGATGACTCGCTACCTTCTAGTCACCGGCGAGAGGCTTATCCTGGCGACGATCAGATCAAGGTACGGCGCCTCCGGAACACGTCAATTGTTGCCAAGTTGCAGAATATACAAACAATATCTCTCCGGGATATGACTCGATGAGGTCTAAAACCAACAGCTGAGTAAGGTAGCTAACGCTGACGAGAGTACGGCGGGTACGAAAGGTGAATGTCGGGTCTCTCTTACGATCTGGGCGTTGCAATGATTGGAAGAAAGAGTTTGAGGTTGAATTGTACGTCACCATTCAGGTTACCGCCATGCGCGGTCTGTGGCTTTGATCTGTAAGCGCTAGCGGCCGCATCATCGTTTTCCCCATTTGAAAGACAATATTATCACATGATACCCCTTTCCTTTAATCTCTTTCATCTCTTGCATGGCTCATAATGAGACTTTCAGTGTCTACCGGCATCACTTCATTTTCCCGAAAAGTCTATCAAGCACGCGTGGCCCTCAATGGCCTTGTCCTTTCTGTCTTACAAACCTAATGTTAAGCTGCTCAAGGATTCCTTGTTCAAGAGCTGCTTACAGTCTCCAATACACCACCTTTTGAGTACGAGATGGTAATTTAAACTTCAATATCTGTCTGGAACCTTCTCTCTAGGCATCCGTTTCACTTGATGCCTGATTCTAGTCACGTGCGTACATATCAAAGATTTACTATCATTAGTATGGTAACTTGATCTTCCATTTATGTAACCAGGCGGCAGATAAGTACCTACGTTCTGAGATTCCAAGTTTGCAATGTTCTCGTTCTGCTTTATCGCTCAGCGTTGGACAGAAGGAGAATGTATCACATGATTCAACTGGATTGGATTTCTTTTCTCATTTTAAGTTTTCTCTGCTTTGGGTATGAACATAAATACCTTTAGTTCTTAGCATAAGATCTCCATTTCTAAGCATTCCACCTATCAATGTATCCCATTCACTTTCACCGGATAGCCATCGTGGCCCGCCTCCCACTCCTCCACCAACCCCGCATAATCAGTCGGCTTATAAGGTTTAAAGATCTCTTCCATCTGGCTTTTCTTCCTATGGTTCTTCAACCCAAGATCCCTCAACATCAGATCAATATAACAAAGTGCGTCAAAAGCAAAATCCGGTAGTCTGGCTCCGTATCCACAAGGGTATCTCCACTTCCCCCATTGTGTATGAAGCATCACCTCATCTGTTATCTCTTGTTGGCTGCTCGCTATCCTGTCGAGATTTCCGTCGAAGTAGGCCGTGATCCAGAGACCTTGGACGGCGGCGAAAATCGATGTGCTGACCGTTGAGACCATACCTGCGAATGCGAGGTTACGTTTTGCTACCATAGTGGGCGGCACCACGAATCTGTAGAGTCTCAGAGGATCGCTTTCTGGTGCGGGGGTCTTGAGAATAGGCTGATTTCGAAGGCTGGGAAACATTTTCAGAACGTCCTCATCGGCTTTCCTGCTTAATCCAGTCTTTTCGACCGCCGTGTATGGCAGGCCAAGACCTGCTTCTCCTAGATTCTGGAATTTAAATGTTGGGTCCTTTTTCCAGCCGGTAGCACAAACAACAACATCTGTTTCGATAGCTTTTCCGTTCTCCGGATACACAGTGTTGCCGTCCAGTTTCGAAACATCCGTGGTATGAATGCGAATTTTCCCCGATTTCACAAGATCAAAGAAATTCGTCTCGTAATTATGAATGCTGACTCCAGATCCAGTCCACAGGATGGAATTCCAGGGCTTCAGTTGACTGACCAAAGGATTCTTGTCGTATGCGTTCAGAGTGATAACATCATTCGACATCACTTTCCAGAACCCACGGACAAGCCACCTCCCGATTGCCGTGGAATGCAGAAAGTTCCGCACTTTTGCAAACCCATCTTCGGTACCCCACGGACACGGACTGAACCAAGTCAAAAGTCTCGTATGGAGAAGTTCTTCAGTCCTCCGTTTCAGAGGCGTCACATACGCTGGGCAAAGCCAGACGGGTCCTTGGCCTTTTTCTCGGATCACCATGTCCACATCTACATCTCCTTTTGCGGCAAAAGCATACGCGACATCGAAAGCTGATTTCGCACCACCGATGACAACAGCTCTCTTGGCTTTGTTGATGATATCACCTCGAACGCAAAAGTCCTTGGCATGGAAAAATGGTGCAGTAAACGATTCCTGGCCAGGATATTGAGGGAAATTTGGCGTCGAGGTCAAGCCGCTCGCGATGATCAATCTCTTTGTCTCGATGACTTCCGATGAAGTTCCAGTAGAGACATGTAACTGCCATCCTCCAGACACGCTAGGTTCCACGGTATCGACTTTAGTATTGAAGCGCGTGCGTTCAAAGACACCGAATTTCTTCGCAAAATCAGTGAGATACTGATGTAGAACCGCGGCAGGAATGTGCTCTCCGGGCTTGACACCATAGACGGCTTCTGACATGGGGAGATCAGGGTGTTCGTAGGAGCCAACGATGTTGTTGGATTTGAGGCCAGGGTAGAGACGATCTTTCGACCATGTTCCGCCGCAACTACCTGACGCTTCGACGACGAGGATTTTTTCTTGGGGATGGAAATCTAGGTATGCTTTTGCGGAGGAAAGACCAAACCATCCTGGTAAGAGGTGCACGTGTTAATCACATGGAGCTATTCAAAGAGGATCAAGACTCACCCGCTCCGACGACCACCAGGTCGTATGTGGCAGCCATGTTGAATCAATCAAAGACGTCGTCGATTCCTTTGAGCTTCAACGTAGGTTCTACGATAGATATAGGATGTTCTTCATGAAGTGTGAACAGCTGATAGAGCTGCGCGGAAAAGGGGTATCAGTTTACGTTGGCGTTGCCGACGTGTTCCTTATCCTTGGTGACAAACTTTAATTTGGTGATAGGCGAGATAAGGGGGAAGCGGCGGATGCGGGTAAGGTTCAGTAACCGACAAGTCTGAAGATCTCCCCTCCCCTCATCCGGGGCTTGTTATCTTTAGCTTTGGTTAATTCAGCACCCGACTTTCTCGATCTGAGAAGAGGTGTATGGCTGTACCGTTATCAAGATATCTGCGGAAGTTTCCGCCTGTCATTCCAGGTGGAGAGACACATCCTTGCGGAGGGGTTATACCGAAGCGGGGTAATATGAGACATGTCTCTGGAATAGCAGAAGAACTTCAGTTCCAGTGCTTTGTCGACAATTGAATCATTAGTGGAGAAGTGACTCGTATGGACCTATGTTGACAAATTTCCAGATGTTACGGCGATTGGTGATGTAGGAATACGGAGCAATCGGTGGAGAAAAAAAGCTTTGAGATTCTTCACTTCTCAAGCCAAACAGGCTTAAATCTGAGACAATCAATTCCTTACATTATCTGATAGAAAAGGTTGAAACTTGAATACTACATGGCAATATATGTCTCTAGTACAAGCTTGATAGCAGAAACAAATAATTATATTTCCAACATTCTCTACCCTTGGTAACTTCTCGCCCTTCACCAGAATCTATAACAAAACTTCTTTGCTACATCTTCATGCATGTCGTAACTATCAAACAGTCAGCGCTCAAGCATGAATAATGTGCTTCACTTATCTTACGCGTTCATCTCCTCGATCGTCAATTTCTCCTCTTCATTCGACACTTTGTACACTGCGGAGTCTGTGTTGCTTGAAAAGCCTAGGAGACATCAAAAGTTATGCAAATATCCTCTGAATTTAAGATTTCAACACTCACCTATCCCCTCATTGATGTTTTCTCTTGCCTTTGCCGCCGCAGCCTGCACTCTAGTCGCTCGAGGCTTTCTTACCACCTCATAAGTCTGAAGAGATTCGGAAATGTCTCCATTGAAGAACTTTTTGCTGAACACGATACCCAAGCAAGATGCATCCTCGATTGCCATACAAGCTCCTTGACTTTGGTCTGGCATCATCTGTCTCCTTGTCAGCTGAGCCTACACTTCTCGAGGCAAATTCGTACCGGATGAGCTGCGTCTCCCATGATACAGGCAACTCCTTTATGCCACCAAGGATACGGTTCATGAATCCATAATCTCCATGGCCTGACATCCTTCCCAATAGACAGATGCTTGTAAACTTGAGGATCTAGGTCCGGGAATGGAGCAAGAAGTTCTTCCACCGTAGACTCGGCATTCCAGTTCTGACTACTGTAATCACCCTTCTCTCTCGGGAAAAAGCAGTAGTAAGACAGTAAGCTGCCTCCATTGCATGGCGATAACACAATCTTGCAGTGGGTATCGAGGCCACCCCAATACTCAAGTGCGCTATTCTGGGAGTAGTCAACTAAACCAAGCTTTACTGCTTCTGCTGTGTCGACGTTCGCATGCAGACAGCTGGCATCAGCTGCTCTCCGTTCGGGAGTGACTCCAATAAGAGTGCGGACCTTAGAACCAATGCCGTCAGCTCCAATCACAACTTCGTGAGTCGCTGTATTGCCATTGGCGAGTGTGATCTTGCCCGTTTCGAGGTCGATTTCAGAGCACTTTCAAGGATCTATCAGTATGAAACATCTTCTCAGCCATATTGTCTCTCTTTACCTGGTGGTTAACAATAAGTTTGGCAGGAATTCCTTCTCCTTCTTCACCAACTGCGCTTTCCATCAGAATTGCATGTATGTACTGCCTATGAAACATGTTGTACACCTGTGCAACGTCAATCAGATTATTTCTCGACAAAGAATGCCAAAGTTGAAAACTCACATGTCCCCATCTCTCCCCATAGTCATACACTAAATCCGGCTGGCCAGTCTTCCAATCCCGTCGAATGAGCTTCCTCAACACCACAGGGTCACCCTTCGGAACATCAACTCCCCATTCATGAAGCCATCTAGTTCCGTTGGCTGCACAGGACACCGATGCACCTACTTCTCTAGCATAATCAGCTCGTTCATAGACGGTGACTTTGTGGCCCGCTCGTCGAAGAGCAATTGCTGCGGCCAGACCACCGATACCACCGCCTACTATGGCGATGTCGAGACACCTCCAGCCAGATTGAGAAGGCATATTTACGATTGGTTTATACTCAAGGCGATACGAATTCAACAGATTGAGAGATGAGAGATTGGGCGCAAATGTTCAAGCAAAATCGTCCAATAATATGAGAGAAAGTAGCACTTCAGAGAGACTTGTACTGAACTCTTCAAGTTTATGACCTACTTCATACATGATTGTACTCGTGAAACAAAATTTCGACATCTCCGTTGCGCAGTCATACGTTGCGGCCGACAACCCATTGGAGAAAAATGATGCCGACAGGAGTGCTTTTGCCGACTCTCACAGCTGAAAAGTCTTGGGTTAGTCGACGCTTCGATTTCTAAGAGTCAGGAACAAATGCCGACAAGAAATAGAGTTTGCCCCAACTGCTTTACTTGTTTTGGTTCGGGCAGTGGCGATGGCGGCTACCGCAGATCAACGTCGGGTAAAGCACCTAACTGATACAGCCCGCCAAGTACGGTAGTGAAGCATCCCACTTCTGCAACAGTAACCTAACATCCACAAGTATCATTCCCGACTTTCAATGCATCAAACACAATGCCGCCCACTTGAAGTCGTATGACTGAATGAATGAACAATGCCCCGACCGCGAGTGCGACCAGCCGACCGGCAACGTGCCCCAAAGGCATGCATCACTTGCAATACCTCGAAGAAGCGCTGCGACGCGAATCTACCCTGTTCACTATGCGTGAAGAAGGGCCGCGCTGCGTCGTGCACTTATCCCGATGCTGTGCGACAGCGTCGTAGGAGTAGGAGTCCTAGGGTTATCGATACGCAGCACTCGAGGTTACGTGAACGGGAGAGTGAGAGTGTGGTTGAGACCCGAGAATCATCACTACAGTGTAGTCAACAACCGACGATGCTGTTGAGTTCTCGAGGCGAACAAGGTTCGTTGTCACTTTGTGCTTTCTCGTCTTCATTTCTATCTCTTATACTTTCAAGTCTTGAAGTACGGTATTGAACTGACCTCAGTTGGCAGTCTACATTGGCAATGTCGCTGCCATTTCTTTTCCGCAGTTCTTACAGAAGACTCTGAAGCGCTATATTGGGCCGTCGTCCTTCACGGACCTTAGAAAAAACAAGACCATGTTAGAAGTCCAAGTGCAAAGTGGTGGAACTGGTCAATTTGAGGACGCCCTTGATCATGCAGAAAAGCAGGATTTGATTCAATGCTTTCTGAGAGTCGTAAGTCATCATTTGTACGCCTGTAACTTTATCATGTCTCACAATTGTTTAGTCTAATGGTATACTTCATCTCTTCTCAGATCAAGATATCTCTCGGCTTCTCCGCTTAGATAATATTCAACATCCGGCGACAGAGTCTTTGAACTTTCATCCCCAACGAGATGATATGGCATGCCTTTATCTCATGATAGCGATTGGTGCTCAGTGCAGAGGAAAGAGTGAAGCCGAGATCAAACTTGCGGGAAAGTATTTCACGAAAGCTCAACAAATAGCCTTTGTGCACATGCTACAAGACCCCTCGCTTGCTATGATTAGAATTTTCTTGATGATGGCCTTCTTCATGCTTGGGGCTTGCCGTCGAAATACTGCTGTACGTCCGACTTTTTGACTTCAATGTTTATCGTTCAACATATTGCCGGATAAGATCTAACTCGAGGTGATGTAGTTTCTCTACATTGGGATCGCTTCAAAGGCTGCAATAATTCTGGGACTTCACATTTCGTATCAGCATGGTCGTGCGTCAGTAGAGGAGCGAGCAGTGAGGTAAATTACGCAAACACTTCTATGGCGAGTATTCATTGACGCGTAATATATACAGGCGCCGGACTTGGATGAGCTTAAGAGTCCTTGACCTTTTGTGCAGTTCCATTCTTGCAAGGCCGAGCAGCACCCCAACAATTTAAGGAGATGGGTACGAAAAAGAAGATGTCAGCAACGAGATCAAAGATCATCGAACACTGGCTCTACGAGCGAGTTACGAGTCCTCTGCCATCATCGAGACCATTGTCCAAAGCTGTGCAAACTCCAGCAATCTTGATATCAAATCTGCAGAAACATTTCTACAAATGTTAAGAGAGTGGAGTCAAGCATTGCCAGAAAGTCTTCGCAATTCTCCTAAGGCTCAGAGTGACAGCAACACTCACTTAGTACCGGACCCTCGCGAGCTCACTATTGGCAACATTCATGTTTCTTGCACATATTACTTTGGTGTGATATTGGTCACGCGGCAGTTTCTGATCTCCCGTGTAATGTCTCAATTGCGCGGCAGAAGGTCACCAACAGCACTTCCCGTGCTGACTGAGCTGCCAGCAGACGAGAGAGAGAAAGAGATCGTATTTCAGTTCTCAAAGGGATGTATTAGCTCCGCTATGTTCATGACGCAGCTGTGCTACGAAGCTTGTGTGAACAATATTCTCCTCGACAACATGTGTCTTTTAAAGTATGTTCTTCTAAATTATCATTTTCTCACCTCTTCCTCCTCCAATAAAGTTACTAATAACGCAATTAGAGCATGGCTCTTCTCTGCAGGTCTAGTACTAGGATTCTGCCTTTTGGTAGAAGAAGAAGACTGTGCCAAAATCCAGCAAGCATTAAATCACGCTCGAGAGACTCTTCAGAAACTGTCAAGACTGAGTCCGCAAGCGCAACAATACTACGATATTCTAACAAGCTTCTGGAGCGCAATCGAACTGTACCGAGAACAGCTACTCATACACCAGAAACCAAGCACCAATCCATATGTGGAACAGATCATGACTTTTGACGAAATCGGTAGTGGATGGCAAGGCGGAGATCAGTCGCAAGTACCGGCACTAGGGCAATTACGAACTCCTGAAGCAAGCCATGGCGGCGATGATATAGGAGCAGTGTTTGACGGAGGGTATCTTGGTGGTCAGTTGGAAATGCCATCGAACATGACTCAAGTGGGAGACGATATTGGATTGCAGCTGATGTGGGAAAGTTATGCGATGCAATTTCCCAACTTTCCAGCTTTATGGAATGAGGGAGTTCAGCAACCGCTTGGGATTTGATGTGTATTATATGTAGAGATTTGTTCGTAACCAATGATATCCATATTTCGCTTCGTAAAACTTTTCACCTCCTGACATTGTGGTGCTGAGTCAACACCCCCCTAAAACTAGCCATTCGTCATGGGAGACGAATAAACGGAACACTAATATAACAGAAACTTGAGCGAAATCCCACCTCGCCCTAAGTTCATCTCATAGGTTCAAAGTTCTCAAAGAGTGGAGAAGTTCTGGCGGTCCGCGTCCTTCATCAACGCAAGGTTGGCGGTCCGCAGCCACCCCCTGGCTCAACTTCGACCCTTTCGCAGGGCCTGCATGAATACTAAAGCTTATTTTCAATTGAGTCCACTGAGGGACCAACTTGGAATGCACATGATTCTGTACAATGCCGTCCCTTTCACAATTGCAGCATTTCCGGTATCCGACCCCGCATTTTGGCGCATGCATATAAAAGTCTCCAAGCCAGGTATAACTCCATTATGGCCTTTATCTTCGCTCATATCCTTCTCGTCTTTACACTTCGCTCCCAAGCATTTTGTTTACTAGGCTTTTTAACGTCGCTAAGATGCTCGGCAAAATAATCCTCGAAGAAGCCTTCGCTCTTCCTCGCTTGGAAGAGAAGACCCGATGGTGGGCAGGCATGTTCTCAACGGATCCAGAAACACATGTTCAAGAAATCCAAGACCTCAACGATCTCCGCATCAAACATGCCGATAAACACGGTGTCGGCTACCAGATCTTATCTTACACTACTCCAGGTGTTCAAGATATTTGGGACCAAAAGGAAGCACAGGCTTTGGCTCTGGAAATTAATGATTTTGTTGCTGAGAAGCTCAAGCAGTTTCCCGATCACCTGGGTGCTTTTGCGTGAGTGTTGCAACTTTTGGCTCGCTCAAAGCAGACTTAAGAAGGGGCAGTGTTGATTTGAAATTTTAGGACACTATCTATGCACGACCCTAAGGAAGCAGCAGCAGAACTTCGCCGTACAGTAACCGAATACGGTTTCAAAGGAGCCTTGGTGAACGACACCCAGCGATCTGGACCTGATGGTGACGACATGATTTTCTACGACAATCCAAAATGGGACGTGTTTTGGGAGACCTGTACAGAACTTGATGTGCCAGTCTACATCCATCCTCGCAATCCAACAGGAACCATTTATGAGAAGCTGTGGAAAGATCGGTCTTGGCTTGTTGGACCACCCCTATCCTTTGCACAAGGCGTTAGCTTGCACGTGCTGGGTATGGTCACGAATGGTGTTTTTGATCGGAACCCGAAGTTGCAGATTATCATTGGACACATGGGAGAGCATATCCCTTTTGATATGTGGAGAATCAAGTAAGTTTTGCATCCTCTCCTTCATCCTCCCAGAGCTAATAGGCGAAGCCATTGGTTCGAAGACCGCAAGAAGTTGTTAGGTTTAGATTGCAAGAAGACGATCCGTGAATATTTCAACGAGAATATCTGGATCACGACGTCTGGCCATTTCTCAACTACGACGTTGAACTTTTGTTTAGCGGAGGTTAGTTCGGATCGGATTTTGTTTTCGGTGGATTATCCCTTTGAGACTTTTGAAGATGGGTGTACTTGGTTTGATAATGCTGAGTTGAATACGAGGGATAGATTGAAAATTGGGAGGGAGAATGCTAAAAATTTGTTTAAGCTTGAGGAGTACAAGGATAGTGATGCGAAGGTTATTTGAGGGTGTTAGTTTGACAATTCATTCTCAGTCTATGGCCTTCTGTTTTCACCTTTTTCTGTGGACTATAGAAGTAGCTTGAGCATGAATTGGTGTTATGTTCAGATCGAATATTGGGTTCATTATATTCAGAGTTTGAGTTAGGTTCGAGAGATCGACAACTCGCTCTCTACCCACGTTCATCATCGCTCGAACGAGTTATAGACAACGCTGTATTTCAGGGTCTGTACTGATATAGTGCATTGCGAGAAGGCTCAGCACCTTTGGACTGTTCAAAGCGGGACCCGTTGATAACTTTCCATGAATCTCCCTATTCACACCTCTCTAATCCCAAATGCAAACATCTCATTCGAAGATACCGAGTTCTTATCTCTCATCTTCTCAGCAGTTTCTATACCGGCAACGGGCAACCTGTATTCAAATTTCTTCCCTGCGCCAGGTTGCCTTCCATCTGGCAGTGGATGCGGGTAAGGTAGGTATTCAGGCAAAAGTCCGAGCTGCGCTAATACAGTTCCCTGATCCCACGCAATGTGTTCATGATAGAGACGGTCCCCTCTTATGTTGACGACAGCCATGAAGGGAATCTCTACGCGCTTGTTTGTGGCAGGTATTCCTGGTATCCTGGAACAAATATTAGCGAATGAACACCGAAGAAGGGAAGTTTTGAGCGTACAGCCAGTCGACTTCTGTCTGATGCGTGAACTTGAAGATAAATTCGTCAACAATTCGATCAACACCAATTGTCCTACTGATAAGTTCCAGCTCCGTATCCTCTGGATTTTTGAAGATGAAATGATGCGCGTAAAAGCTTGTCAGATTCTCTCTTCCAATGCCACCAGTTATCTGCGCAGAACATTATTAAAATTCAATAGTGTAGGTTCAGGAAGAGCTTACAGTGGGTATATGATTGACATAAGGCTCATCAACCATAGTCGCCATGGTATGTTCCACACTCCGATTCTCAAATTCAAAATACGTATGCTCATCCCAAATTACCTCTAAGTCAAAGAATGGTCCATTCATATGCTTCTTCAAGAAAGTGAGATTGCGAGTATGAGATACTGCTTCAGCTGAATAGTTGAAATGGTCTTGAAATGGCGTCGCAAACAAATAGCTGCTGACTTGAGGGTTCTCGTAGTCGGTGAGCTGAGGACTTCGAGTTGCCTTAAATTTCCCAGCAACGTGTCGGATGAGAGGTAAATGACTTGGCTCAAGAGACGAAACTTCAGACGCAGAAGCGTAAAGAATTGCTGCTACTATCTCTTTGAAGGAATGGAGCTTGGATGCCACTTGATTCCACAGCTTGGGCTCGTAGGCTATTCTTTCGTGTTAGCCATATGCTCTCCGAAAGACGTTCTTGGGTGATCATAACTTACCTACAAGCCCGACCACTCCTTTTGGCTCACACTTCTCACATTCTGAAAGAGCAGAAACTGCTCTCTCTAGGAGTTCTTCAGCCTTCCCATTCTGAAGCGCATTCTCTTGGATCTCGACAACAGAATATCCTTCCTCCGCCCACTTTCTCAGAAGCGATGGCACACCTTGCTTGATGGCTAAGTTATCTTTTGAATCTGAAGTCAGGATGATCAAGCCTGGTCCAGATCCTTGCCGGGATAATGGAGACAACAGAGAAACTCGTGAAGACACTTTTGTTAAGCGAGGAGTCGGCAAGGGCGTGGGCGCTTTGCTTGTATCAATGTCCAATGTCATCTTTGCGTAGTTTTGTCGAGGTAATTAAATTTCAGAGAGTTGAGAGTTAACGTCTAGGGGTTGCAAAGGTGGAGGAACTTTAGAGACACGTGATACCGAGAATATGAAAATGTATCTAGGTATATGTCGGAGGCGAGCGAGCCTGATGATCTCCCTTTTCTGGGGAGTAATTTTGAGATCTAGCTCCAAGGTGAGGTCTGATTGAGAGTCAAAGTCACAGCAAGTGGCGATCTACTAGAATCCAAAGTTAGGTGTCGGGTAAGTACCCAGTCGTTATCTCCAAAATCGTACATGTCGGTATCGCTGTCGGAAGTGGGCGACGGCACTAATAATCGTCTTCAGAGAGAGTCACCAATGTAGTGTTATCAGAAACCCACAATAATAAACTGAACGAATTGCTTCCGGGTCCGCCCCGCCTCCGCCATATGACGACGATTCCGACAGCTCAACTCCCGACATAACACTCACTTGTGACTGCTACATCACATGCATATCATGAGCTCTGCTTGTCTTTCGGAACCTAAATCCAATCCAATCTTTGAAATTCTTCCCTAATTTCCTCTCTCATTCTGTCGTAAAAAGTCCTGGAAAGTCAATTCCGAAATTCGACGCTTATTCGGCACAACAACAATGGCGCCTCCACTGGAAGATGTTAGACCAAAATTCGAACTCAAGAATCGAAGCTACATCGTGACTGGAGGAGCACAAGGCATCGGATTTGCCTGCGCTCGTGCCATTTGCGAAATGGGCAGCAATGTAGTCATCATGGATATCCAGGATCAGCCAGTCGAAGAATACAAAGGTTTATCCTCAAAATTCGGCGTTAGGACCGAATACATCAAGACAGATGTTACAATAAAGGAATCGCTAAACTCGTCATTCGCAAAAGCGATTGAGATACTGGGAAGTCTGGATGGGCTGGTCCCTTGTGCTGGAATTGCAATCGATAAACCATTCACGGAACAGACGTGGGCTGAGATGACAAGGATACAGGAATTGAATGTATGTATTTCGATCAAGATATCTAGGTAAAACTAATTATTTCTTTAGGTTCGTGGGGTATTCTTCTCAGTGCAGCTCGCAGCAAAGCAGATGCAAAAGCAAGGAGTTAATCGCCTCGCAATGCGCTCATGTGGCTATTCCAGGATACCGCATGGCAGCTTACAACGCTTCCAAAGGTGCTGTGAGGATGCTTGCTAAAGCACTTGCTGTAGAATTGGCCAAGTGGAAAATTCGTGTAAACACCATTTCTCCCGGATTCATCGATTTAGATATGACAAAGGCAGTACGGGACTTGAAAAACGCAATCGAGGGCGAGCAAATGTGGAAATCACCACCATTGAAACGAATTGGGACGCAGAATGATTTGACAGGAGCTATCATTTATCTGTTGAGTGATGCAAGCAGCTACACTACTGCGGTTGATATCCCTATCGATGGCGGGGTTCAAGCTGGAAGGATCTATGTAGAAAATTAGGGCCTCCAAGGCGAATGGAGGACGAAAGATAATGGCCTCGGCTCAGGACGTGAATCAATGAAGTTCCTCAAGTCAATAATCCTCCGCCAGCTTTTTCTCGTCGTGTTCTGCTCTCATGCTTCCAGAATGTGACGCAGACAAGTTTATCGTCACGGGGGCAGCCAACTTATCTTTGGCATCTGTCTCCAGTCTTTGCAAATGGTCTCTTGCCTCATTCACCGCGCCATACATAGCCTTGTGCTCTCGCTCTTCCGCATCGTGAGCCACCTGCTCCGCCGTGTGTGCTCTTTGTCCAATTTCGGCTGCTAGATCTTTGACTTTATCTCCAAACATATGCTCCATGCGTTCCGCTCGACTTGCATATTCCTTGACCTCCCTACTTGCGCCCTCGGTAAAATCATCTTTGCGTGTCTGCAGTTCTTTTCCAACGTCTCGAGCCTCTTGCGCGTAGTGTGTGATCTCCGAAGCTAAATTCTTCACTCTACTGCCAAATCCAGCTTCGATTTCCTTGCCTTTTTCGGTCAGGCTATTCATTCGTGGTAGTGAAACGCTCGGGAATTTGTATGATGGGGTGGGATCAGCTTGCATAGCAGGCCTTCGTGCCGAGCTGTGTCCAGCAAAGCGATCTGGTTGGCTAGCTTCCAAATCAAGCTTCACCTCCTCGTACATGGACTCGACAATTGCTACAACGCCATATACGTCCAGATCGCAAGTTGGTCGACTGAAGTCTCGTTCCCGTTGTTCGATAAACTCGCGTACTCGCTTCCACTCAGTCTGATAGTATTTGAATCGATTTGGCAGACCTGACCCCTTGAGAAAAGTCAAAATTCCCGCGATGACAGTATTGATAGCACCGAAAACCGTGACTGCTCCTCGACTGCCTCCAGCTGCTCCCAGAGCTGTCAATGCTGCTGCGACCACAATTTGCAGACCCAAGCAACCATTGATCAAATATGAGAAGTACTTGAAGCCAGCTTTTGCATCCCCCTCATTGTGCACAACGCGTGCATATATACCCAAATTTGGGGCGGGACGGCCTCCAGACGAGAAGAAAGAGTCGCTGTGCGACATGGACGGGTGTGATATGATACCTGTGAGGTGACGGAAAAGGTTCAAATTGTCGCTTGGATCAAGTTCAGGCCTGCCGTAAGCATCGACCTGAGCTCGTGGTAGCCGAGGAATTGGTCTGTCAGACCTTCCGTACTCATCCATTCTGCCATCCTCGACATCGCTCGAGTTCGTTGGGTTGTTGTGCTTGCGTGGAAAGACCATTTGGAATATACTTTTGGATTTTCGGAGAAAACTCATTTCGTTGTGAAGGCACTGACTGAAATCAGGCCAAATTCCTTCACTTACGGACAAAAAAGAGAGCGATGAAATGAGGACGAAGAGGTTGAAAACAGTTAAAAGATCATCGTCAAGATAACAGCTGAACACGGTGTACCGAACAAAGAAGATCACGCATGCAGCTTGCAGATATTTCTTAACCGAATCTCGGAAAGCTCGAATGGAATCCATGAGATTTGCATGCTTCGGAGGAATGCCCGCCTGTCAATGGTACATCCTGACGGGTGGCAGATCATCCCGCAGAGGATCATGAAGATCGCTAGTCCCTTGCGAGTTAAGACATTGTTCGGATGTTACACAGATTTCAGAAATAGTTTAGTGCCAAGAGACGAACCTATGATTGAAGATCTGTGATGTTCGAATCCTAGGACGTATACTGATATAGATCGACAGTCCGAGGTAGTTTCCAGTTACGATTTTCGCGGTGCTATCAAATCATCGGAGAAGAATGATAAATCATCCTGGTCTCTCCTGCAGCCGCATCGAAAAGAGACATGCTAAGCGAGAACTCAGCTCGGCTCAGGACCACCACGACGGGTATCTCCGAAAGTTGCTTTACCAATTAGATTTTGGTCGTTGATTGAGTATAAACAAGGCCAACTTATGTATCCGGTTCTCAGATTCAAAAAATTACTGCCCACTGGTTTATGAAGTTTTCATTGTCAGATGTGTAAGCACAATTCTGTCTACCAGTCGTATCCTTCTCTGACGATTGTGCCATGGTGTTATGAATTACTTAAGCTAAATTGATCCACTTGTTCTCAATCTGCTGTTTGAGAAAACTCATTCTCTCTATCAATTCTTGATAAAGACATCTACCATTCTCAGCTTCATGTACTTCAAGATGTTGGTAAAATTTACTCCCATGTACTTCTCCAGGCCCTGTTGCCGAAGAATCCGATCAAGCAATCAAACAATAACTACCAGGAAGGTTTATTGAAGTGCGCTGTGGTAAATAAGGTTAGCTCCCTTATCTCTGCCTCAGTGACCAAGTAACCCTAGCCGCTTCTTTCTCTGAACCCTTCGAGAAACTATGAAATCCAGCTCTCGATAGCTATTCGACACCTTCACTGGCGTCCTCTTGCACAGCGTTGTTCGCTGGTTTTCTTTCTCTTGCTTCAGCCGGAAAGTCCTGGATCTGACATGATTCGATTTTCTGTCTCCTCATTGCTCGGTACCCGTTTCCATGCATCCCTCCTTCTCCATCCTCGCGCTTGATGACAAAGCGTTTGACACCTACTGGAATTTGGTCCCCCATCCAAAGCCTCGACCGATTGAAGAAAAATAAATTCGTCTATTGCTTTCTTCCCTCTGACAGGTGGTATTAGCGCTCGCGCCATTCGTCTAAGAAGCTTGTGCTCGGATTGTATATAGCAGGTTTCGCTCGTGTTGCACGATATAAAAAAATACGAAAAATCTAAATTGTTTTATTCTTGCTCTACAAAGCCTTTCATACCAATCACCTACTCAGCAGATACACCACAGACCAAAAGTCCATCATAGATTATCGTCGTCCACCTCACGTACCCGAGTCACATGACTCTTCCGAGAGGCTTACCTAGAGGCTACCGCTGCCGAGCCAGAATACCTAGGTGCCTACTGGACTTAGATACTTATCACAAAAGCTAGCTAGGTAACGTGCGTTCATAGCAGCAGATCGTGAGAACGCAGTCCTCAGCCACTTCTCTCGCTTATATCTTCCTTAGACAATACTCTCCCCTACGATACTAGCCGTTAGGACAGACTTCTGCACAGCACGAGTACTCATTGCCGAATTTCGGCGTGTGGAGAAGAAATACAAGGATGCATCTCAAAAAAGGCTAACCCTCGGGAAACGTGGAGAAGCTGGGAAAGCTTTGAATGAGGGGAGCGCTAGATCCAGGCACGGTTACGGTGGCTCGCTGGAACGACGTACTACACCCACAATCTACCGAATTCTTTCTCTATAACATATTTTTTTAGATCTTTGAACTGCAAATTGGAAGACAATGGGTAATCTTCGAACGATGTGGGAAAGCTACTAACGAATGCGGTGGCTAGTGCTCCTACCGGGTTGACGGGGTTGTTTATTGCAAAGCTCTCAATTACATCAATTTCGTGTCTGGTCCTCCTCGGCGCTCCAAATCTATAGAAGTGTACCTTCTACAGGACTCTCCCTTCGTGGACATTCAAGCGGTGAGGGACGACGACTGTACCTGTCGGATAGTGGAGGAGTGCCGGGTAGATCTCGGAATGCGGGGAAAACTGGGGAACAATCTGGAGATCCCTGTAGCTTTTGGTTGACAGCAGCTGGTTTTTTTGAGGGGCCAATACTGTGATGAAATATGTTATATATAACATATGCATATGATATGTTTTTCTTTTCGAAGTTCTATCTGGTACTTCACTTCATCAGTTCTTTCTGTCGCTTCCCAACTCGACCTCGAAGTCACTTTATCCGCAAAGAACTGTCTTGAGCTTTACTTTAGCGACTTTCTATATTCGAGTGCAAACATGCAAGTAATCACGGCAGCAGCCTTGGTCCTCGCGGTCGTGGCGTCCGCAATGCCTGCAATGTCGAACAATCACCAGTCGACCCCACGCATGTCAAGCAGCGACACGTCCAACAGCAACTGCTCCAGCTCCCGACAATGCATGACCAACATGGTCACCAAGATCTTGGATTCAATGGTAGCGCACAACCCAGACACCCTGCCTCTAGCAATGATTTATAGGGCCACTGAAAACTCTCACCCGGCAGCCCTCGGCATGATGACTTCCTGGCGTACCATCACCAAGGCCGGCCCGCCCAGCCTGCTTGCAATCGACACTACCAACGGCACAGCGTACTTCGCTCTAGATATCAGCGAAGGCAACGACGCTATTCAAAACGTCCTTCGAGGCCGAGTCAAAGTGGTTGGCCAGAATATCACTGAGCTCGAGCTTTTCATCAACCGCTTCCGTGGCGACCACGGCTTCTCCTTCTCGTCCCAGGAACTTCCATCCAACTACAAAGACTTGATGAACCCCCCAGCGAACCGAACAAAGCCCAGCCGGGCAGACTTAGAGGCCATCAGCGCTGCCCTCTTCGCCAACTCTAGCAACCCGGCTAGCAACACCTCAGTCACTGTCGCCGACGACTGCCAGTTCACCGAATTAGGCTGGCGGGTCATCGATACTGGGAACTATGGAAACGCTTCCTCGAGCCCTCTCGACTGTACTTGGCCCACCGATCACCCTACTGACCCCAACGCCCGGATTAACCTTGTCATCGACGAGGAGATGGGCTTTGTTATCACCAGCGGTGTTGTTCCCGGTAAAGTCTTCCCCTACGCAAATATCACCGAGTCCGCTTTCATTCCGGACACCTTGACTGCGGCCCAGGAAGCTCAGCAGGCTTGGATGGACCAGATGATCGAGTTGGGCACGATTCCCATGCTGGAGCCCACTGGTGCTACTGGTGACACTCTAGAATTGCTCCAGCTCTATAATGATGAGCTTCAGGCTATGCAGATTAATGTCTACTTGAGCGGTCCGGGTATGACGTCTCCTTGGTTGTCGTAGATAGAAAGTTTGTGGGGCGCCGCGGCTTGAATAGACATCAGTTATGGTGCCACTCGTCTCTCATAGATGTCCGGTACTCCTAGTGGTTGCAGCATAATGAGTCAGCGCCATGAATGATCAAGAGACTTTTTTTTGTTTTTTCACCATAAAGTTAATGTAAAGGATGAAATCTTGGGAACACCTATTTGAGTTAATGGAATCGTCCAGAGACTTTATGACTTGCAAGTCCTATGTATAATGTTAGGTCCAACACGAAAATACTCAGAATGGATAGATGTGTTCCAATCAAGAAACATAATATTCTAAGAGATAGGTGAGTGCATGACTGCGTCAAACGCATTTCATCGTGATCATCTCTTCAGCAGACACGCCAAGCGCCAAGGGCCCGTCATCAATGATCGTCGTCCTCCTCACATCTCTGGCTCCCATGCTCTCTGTGTACGGATTTGCACGATGCATCGATTGTCTATCATTTCATCAGCGCCATTTTGGATGACTTGAACAAAAACATCCTAGAGTAAGAAGTAGCCTACCTATTGTCCCACCATACCATATCTCCGTCGGAGAGCCATTCCATGCTAAACACGTACTTCAAATATCATTAGTACTCGCTCGAACAGCATCAAAGGAATGTCCTACTTTTAGCTGAGTACAGTGATCTATCAACTCCCAAATCAACTTCTGACTCTCTTCCAAAGACCACCCCACAACTCGCTTTGCATGCGCCGCAAGGAACAATGTCTTTCTTCCATCTGGAGCTACCTGAACAAGTCGATGATACGCAGGTGGCTTGGCTGCTAACTCGTGTGGGAGCGGATTACCGTACACTTCTGGGGACCCAAGCTTGCGAGAATGCCATAGACTGCCATGCAGTTAGTCGATGTCACTAAAATCAACTTGCGGATTGAAGCAAGGCTTACTCATGCTCGATGACCAAGTTTTCGAGGAAGTTTTTCTTAGCTTGAGGGAGCTCAGCATATGCGCGTCGGGTGTCGGCAAAGTGTGTCCATGATCCACCTGAGTTGGGCGTTTTGTGGGCAAGTAGAAGAGAGTATTTGGAGCGGTGTTGGTGATAAGAAGAGTCCTGTCTCAGGTGAGCTTCGTGCGCCATGACAAAATCCACAAGGAGCCCTAACGGTATGCCACAATGCATTACCAAGACTGTGATGCCAACGGCGACTATTCGGTCTGACTAGTGATCCATCTAGTTCGATGCTTGAAAAATCAAGCCGTCAGTGCATTTTCAATGCCACGTTATTTTTGACTCACTTGCCCACATCCCACAAAAATGGCTCTTTGACCCGATCTTTTTCTATACCATAGAAGAATGGATTTACTTCTAGCTTTTCGCCTAACTGTTGGGAGAACGCGATGTGTCTCGCATTATCAAGACCCGTCTTCCGGAAAATCAAAACTCCATACTTGTCTTGAAGTCCGATGAGCTTTGCACTATCAATCAGTATTCTAGGCGCCCAAAACCAAGAAGACAACTAACCTGCTTCACCACTTCAGGATCAATAGCATTATTCCACTCGATACCAGAGATTTCGGCTCCAAATGATGAGTTGTCAGACATGATCACGGGAGTGACGGTAAGCGAGCCATGTTGGAATGATTCGCTTGAGCCCCTGAGTTTGAGAACAGGCCCGCGTGCCGGGTAGGTAGTCTCGTAGATGGTGGTGAATGCATTTACCATATTTGCGTCTGTTTGAGGGAGTGCAGACCTCCTGAAATGTGCAATGGTAATATGGTATTGTTGTCACGAGAGATAACAGAATACCCCACCTTCGGCTTAGGAGCCGGTCAGGCCGACGTCTAACGGCCAAGCTCTCCCCGAAACGTTCAATAAGCTGAATAGCAGCAGTCTGTGATCTGACTTATTCGCGTAAGTTTTTGCGTTGAAGAAGAGGAAGTAATTACTTCGGAGGCTCTCACATCCCCTCCAATTCCTCCAATCATAACCTGACACCTTCAATCACAATGTCCCAATCAGAAACCATCCTCATAACCGCAGGATCATACCGCTTTCTTGGAATCCTAGAATCCTCCTCCGCACCCCAAACCTGCGCCCTCTTCCGCTCCCTACTCCCCTACACCCAAAAGCTAATCCACGTGCGCTGGTCAGGGGAAGGTCTCTGGATCCCGCTCGGCTACAACGCTACTAAATTCAACATCCCGTTTGAGAACCACACTTCTCATCCTGCACCTGGACAGATCTTACTTTATCCTGGGGGCATCAGTGAGACGGAGTTCCTGTGGGCGTATGGAGAAGTCAGTTTTGCGAGTAAGATGGGACAGTTGGCTGCGAATCATTTTTTGACGATTGTGGAGGGTGGGGAGAATTTGAGGAAGCTAGGAGAGAAGGTGTTGTGGGAGGGCGCGTTGGAGGTTAGTTTTGAGGCGGCAAATGAGGAGATGTGAGTCTTCCGTATTGTGTCAATCGATCCACTTGTGTACTAAATGTTGTTATAGGATCAGGGAATTCAGAAGTGAGGGTAACAGTGGGGAATGGAGAGTAGCAAAATTATGACTGAAACCGAGATGAAGAAATTTAAAGCTATCAAGCAGGCAATGAGACTTAATATGAAATTTTGATGTAGACACCATAGAGAGATACTCGGGTTCTCAAAATCGAGTCAGACATTTCACTGAGACTGAAAGTCTGATCTGTGTTTGCCCAGTGACGATCCATGTCATCATTCTACTCGTACAAATACCGTACGTGGAAACATCTTTACACCGTTCAGGCTCTTCTTCCCCATCTTGCTACAAAAAGTTTTGGGCAACTTTTCAACAAGCGTCCTAGAGTAAGTGAGAAGTCACAACGCTCTCAAATGTTGTCGGCCAGCCTCCTAAGAAGACCTTTTGCCTCATGCTATATCATCTATTCAGCACTGATCTCCACAAACAATTTTATCATGCACAACTTACCTCTTCAGGCATCTCCATCGATGATCCACTGACAAAGTCGAAGTCCTCGAACTTCACAACCTTGGTCTTGTGGTACAACTTATATCCGAAAAGCAAAACAAGAAAGAATGGTATGGGGAAGTATGTTGTGATGAATGACGAGGTATCAAATGTGTGGACTATTCTGTTAGTGATGGTCGACAGGAAGGTTTTGGAAAACATACTGAAACTAGTGAATCCTCCAAAGACGATCACCAGTAAGGCGACTGATAGTCCGTCTATTGAGTTTTAGATCTCGTATCGAAGTTTGGAATAAGAGAATCTTACAGTAACTCAGGTAAGGCTGCAGCGGTGCCTTGTATGGAAGCGTATTACGGTCAATTCCCTTGATTTTCAAACCTTTGTGCCAGTGGATGCTGGTCCAGAGGATACAAGCCCAAGAAATCATACCGCAAATCGCAGTCATATTTGAGACTATTCAAACTCGAATTAGTAATTCAAGTGACTCAAAAATCATCGAAACATACAATAGCCAAAGACAGTTCCTGCCTTCCCATGAGCAGCTGCCATGAACGAAAGCAACGAGAAAGCGGCACAGAACAGAACGCAGACCCAAGGAAGACCATCTGAACGGGTTTTCCCAAAGATCTTGGGTGCTTGACCACGAGCATATAAACCGTATAGTGTTCGTGACGAGACGAAGAGATCGGCGCAGCCGGCTGACCAAGCGCTGGTCAGAAGAGCAGCATTGATGATTGAGGGCAGTACGGAAATTCCTGCGTTCTGAATGAATGATATTAGTAGGACTGTCATAGATGGATGCGAAGACTAACTTTGATAGCGATGACGAACGGAGATTTGGCGGCCGTGGAAGCGAGGTTGAGAGAAGGATCAGTGGGCGAAACGAGCATTCCGATCTATGTATGTTAGTTCGTACGTTCAAGAGCCGAGGGCTAAAGAGCTCACGAGGAAAGCACTGCAGAGATAGACTTTCCAGTGTCAGATCATTTCAAACACCACACACGATGTCAACTTACAGAGAACAAGTCTAATCCACACGCTTTTGATTGCTCGTGGGACAGTTTTGCGAGGCTACAATCCAGTGAGTCAGCACGTATATCATAGGTTGAGATCAATATACTCATACATTAGCAGTCTCGGCTGCTGCAATGGCGGTAATCTCAGTTCCAATAAAAGCGAAAGCCGCACTGATCAAGACTAAGACACATATCAATCACACAAATTTCATTAGAGTTTCGTATATACTCACCACTGAAGAATCCCAAGAAACGACCCTTAGCACCGGCTATCCCGGAATACTGAACAAAGCCACCAGTTTCATTCCAGAACCGGAAGCCGATAGTCTCGTGATTGGGCCCACCTCCGGCAGTAATGATGATTCCCGTGAGAATGAGGCCAATGATAGTGATGACCTATCTCTACTTCAGCATGTAGAATCACATCAGACTTTTGATGACTGACTTTGATAGATCAGAACCAGAATTCCATCTCTCCAAAGACGCGAGTCCCTGCAAGATTGATTGCCCACTATGAGGGAGACGACGTCAGTCAAGGAGTACGGCTAGAATATGTTCACTTACAACAACGATCAACATCAGTCCGACCCACATGGCATTGTTACAGATACCCGTGGTGTAAGTTGAGCCAACTTGACCTGCTGGAGTCCAGTACGAAATGAGAACAGCAGCTGCTGAGATCTCTGCTGGAAGCACGACTGTGAGAACCTGGTGTCAGCAATGAGCTAACAAGTCCATGATCATTCACATACTAATGTAACTAAAAAATATCAGCATCTAGTCCTAGATGATGGAAGAAGCATGATTACTAACTTATACCAATAGAGGACACCCATAGCAAATCCCAATTCGGGAGCCACGAATCGACCAGCGAGAGCAAATTGACCGCCAGGCAAGGGGAACTGAGATACCATTTCTCCCAGCGCAACCTGTCACTAATCAACTCACTGCATTAAGTTCTGGGTCGGAACCATGGCTTACCATTACAGAGTATAGCAATGAAGCCATGATGCAGTATCCGATAAGCAAGCCACCAGGACCGCCATGCTCAAGATCACTGCCCGTGCCTAGGAAAAGGCCTGTTCCCTGTGATTTTGATCAGATTTTGATCTTCTACACGCAGGTAGGACTTACGATGACACCTCCGATAGCAATCATTTGCCTAAAACTAGTCAGCAGAGTCTGTTGAGAAGTCTTGCATTTGACATACAAATGTCGAGGCTACACATAAAAATTGACATTAGCAATATAAGAGTCTGTAAGCGAGAGTATCTGACCTTCAATGAACGTTTAAGACCATCAGGACCAACAGTCCCTATAGTCTCATGGTCTGCAATCACATCAGGAATTCCACTGGCATCTTTCGTCCCATGTTTCTCTTCATGGTCATGTGACTGGACATATTTCAGAATCATCCCTCGAAGAAATGAGCAGGCAGCCTTACATGTTCGGACGACATCGTTCGAGAGACTTTTCGAAACTATGGATGAATCTAAAAAGATGATAGGCCCCGAAATCAGACACGAGTGGAGGAAAAGAGAAAAAAAGCAGATCATGAACGAAAAGGAAGACCCAGGAACCACATGACCAGGACCAACAACATCAAGCAACGTCAAATTCGGCTCAAAAATGCAATTGAAAAATTTGGTGGGTACGATAAGCCTTCCCCAAGAACCGTTGATAACGTTCGAGGGAGCTACCATAAACGGGCAACTTCATCCCACTCTTCTCAACTTGTCGAAGATCTGCTTCAAATAGCATGGGTTTTCACCAATAGTGGGAGATAAGAATTAAATTAACAAATCCTTCGCTTTGGACCCCAACGCTCAGGTTATCGGCATTTTCCCGAGAGGAAGCGTTGAGATAGGAGTAGAGTTGAAGCTAGTGTCGGTTCATAACCGATGCTCCCGACACCCTTGATCGTCCCGAGTAACTGATCGAAACCCCTGAAGCCGCCAGATCTTAGTCCGAATGACTATTTGAGTAGCGTTCGATTAAGGCAGAAAGGCAGATATCTCAATAGAGAATCCGTTTCAGAAGGGAAAGACGGCTCAGCTCTCGTCAAGCCCTCAACGTGGGATCTGAAGAAATGTCAAAATCAATCCAGAGGCGAAGGCTCGAACCAGGAGTCTACGGACCGTTGCCTACCTTCTTTGATGACAATCAAGAACTTGATCTACAAAGCTACAAGAAACACCTGCTGAGTAAGTGACCAGTTTGCATCACGTGAAAAAAGCTCACAACCATCTTCGTTTAGATCTCGCCACAAAGGGCATTGGTATTTATCCCATCATAATTTTCTAGCCACAAGACTAGTACTGATTGGACGGATAGTACCAGTATGCTCAGGCTCCCTCGGAGAAGCCGTTCACTTGAGCTACGAGGAGAGAATTACCATCATCAAGTTCATCAGAACTACTTTAGATGAAGCTGGCCTGTCATCAGCCCCTATCGTCGCCGGCGTGGGAGGCTCAAGTACAAAAGAGACGATAAAACTCGCTCATGATGCTGCGGATGCTGGAGCGTAAGATTCTTTCCCTCAAAAAAAGACAGTTGTGACTAAATTCGTGTAAGAGATGCAGGAATGGTGATTCTACCGGCGTACTACGCTGCTAGTCTAAACGCAGACCCAGAGCAGGTCGTTCAGTACTATGTTGATATTTGCAAGGGATCACCGGTAATACAACCCTCGCTGCATTCGAGATTCGATGCTGAAGGATTCTCTGAATGTAGATACCCTTGCTGTTATACAACTTCCCCGCAAATGCTGCCGGTCAAGACATGTCGTCAGCTGTCATCGAAGCAGTAATGAGGAGAGCCCCGAATCTTTGTGGTGTAAAACTCACGTGAGCTGCTCCTTTCAGATATTGTATTACCACTGATCCGGGACATCAACAGTTGTGGTGGTAGCATCGGCAAACTCGTTCGATTAAACGCAGCCATCAACACAGACCCCACAATCAACACTTCCCGATCCTTTCCATTCATACTTCTGGACGGCCTGATCGCAGACCTCATTCCATGGGTTCAAAGCGGAGGCCACGGGACGGTGAGCGGTATACCAAACTTTGCTCCCCTGGCTGGTATGAAGCTGTGGAAGCTGTGTAGTAAGCCGGATCCGAGTGAAGCTGATTTGAAAGAGGCGGCGAGAATCCAAGCCATTTTGTCCAATGCGGATGTAGCAGCGGTGCCGGGTGGGATACGAGCCATGAGTCAGTGATATGCTTTGGGTTTGGAACATAGAAGGCTGATGATGAATAGAGTATGCTTTGCACAAGATGAACGGGTATGGGATAGCTCCTAGGCGACCACTGTTGCCGTTGAAGCAGGCGGAAGGAGAGGCATTTATGGAAGTTTTGCGTGAACTTCTTGAACTTGAGGTAGAACTGGCCACAGCAGAGACATGATTCCGTCGATCAGCTTCCTGATTTTGCCTGATTTTATTGTGTTGGCTGTTTGTGCGTTGACGCACTGATAAAACAGAGATAGTTATCTCTGATGAGAGTAAAAGCCAAAAATCGAACGATAGTAGTGTTTTGAACTTCAACGACTCAAGCAGCCAGGCTAAATGCGGAAACGCAACTTTGCGGGATAGCGTTGATAAATTTAGTGTCACGTACTACAAATGGGACATTTAAGTAGTGGGAAAGGCATAAAAGTCAGCAGAAAATGTCTCATTTTCTAAGGACCTTCGAAACACTCCTAGTTAATAAGGAATCAATGTCATTCAAGTGTCAAAGAATTCCTCCCTGCCCAGACGCCATCCATCATACGCCAGCCATGCAAAACCTATTTATCAGTATCACTTGTCGATTGAATCCAGGATCGCCTTATTCAGCTTATGATTCCCCAATGCCACGACTCTACTCCCAATAGTGCTCCCCAGATACTCCTCAACTAACTGTCCCTCTGCAGCATTTCCATTAAGGCCGTTCATCATCTGAGTCGGTGATTCTGCGATGGTCATTATGCCTTTCATGATAGCGCCAATCAGCATCCGCAAGCTCTCGTCGTTCGCTCCTCGTTCATTTTGTGCCTTTGTTAAGACGTACTCGTACGTCTTCATGGTGGGAAGGATTAATGTCAAGATGGCAGATGGCCCGCCGATCAAAGTGATGCCGCTGATTGCTCCATAATGCTCAGCTAGCGATCGTGTGGGATCCAGGAAGTACTTCAGGCACGTTCGTGCTAATCTTGACTGGAGATCCCCGCTCGACTTTGAATATTTATTTGAGATATGACCAATCAGTGAAGCAGCCAGATCTCGTAACTGATATTGTTCTTTCAGATTGTCCAGTCCGGGAGCACCGAAAGTTCGTCCGAGAAGACAGGTGAGTATTGGTGGAACGAGTGATGCAATATATGGCTCAATAAAGAGGTTTTTATTTTCGGTGACCGATTGTGTGAGCTCCATCATCTGCCGAAGGACGAAAAGATTGTTGATAGAATGTGTAACTTTCTCCGAAACGAACTGCACGAAGTATGGGACCAATTGTTGTAACCCTACTTCTGACTGGACGCTCTTGAGTGAGGACTTTCGTAAAATAACAATCTCTGGATCTTGACTTTCGTCGAGAATCGCAGCTCTAACCTTGTCGAAATATAGAATAAGTTCTCTCGAGAGAACGTGCTTGACAAGAGGTTTGAAGGTGACATTGTCATTTCCTGCTAGAGCTCCAAGGGTAGGATTTGCACCTGGTCCTTTGGGTACTAATTCATTCGCACGAGCTTCGGCGGTAGTAGGATTCTGAGGTATGGATGGTTGAACGCCTTCTACGGCAAGCCAGTGTGCTGCATACTATCAGTTCAAGCTCTCGTGCTCTTCACGATGCAACTTACCAGTAAATGAGACATCTCGAGGAACCTTGGGCAAAGGCGCATTGATGAGCTTCTCAAAATCAACTTCCTCATCTTCAATATAGAATAGCGGCTGTCCTGGACCCAGCGAGGCCTCTCCAAATCTCAAAGGCCTTGTAGATTCGTAGCCATAGAGCGGTTCTACATCCAGCACCTTCAGCGCTTGTGATATGTCTTGCGTGCCCAATATTGTTCTCTTGCCAGCATGCATGAATCGCATCGCCTCGACAATAACCTGTCCAACTCGATATTCGACCTCTTGCGCGAGGACCTTGACTGTCTCGTCGCTCAGATTTGGTATGCCAACTGACTCTGCCACATCTCTGATATTCTCCTGATTCCATACAAGCTTTGGGTCCGCCATCGCGACAAGGTTTCTATGCGATTCAAACTTGCCAGAGGGTGGGAATTGATTCGTGGAGTTTCTGAGAATTGATTTGCGCCCAAGCTGTGAGCTCTTCGAGAATTACCTCATGGAGGCCGGCGCAATCGTTGTCGGATCGCTCGAAGTTGATACGCCCTTCGCCTTGAATCGTTCCGTTGTACGCGATGCTGGCAGATTGAGGCTCGACAGATTGGCGAAATCTTGGTATGAAGTCGTTCGATCGTCGAGAATTGTAGAGGAGCGGGAGGATGTCGAAGTCGATTGTGGAGTTGGGTTCGTAGCCTGCGAGGCTGAAATACTCAAGCCGCTAGCGCGAGTCGCGTCCCCCCCAGACGCGACACTTTTGAACGTCCAAAATTGAGCAGATCATTAACCATACAATTCTTAGAAAATTGTCTGGCATCGAAAAGCAAAAATGGCTTCCACAGCAGATCAGTTCTCATGGCAAGAGCCTCGGAATTCCATGGTACGCGGTGCTTTCGTAGTAGTTGAAGGAGTCGATAGAGCGGGCAAGACCACACAAGTCCAAAGACTGTGTTCAAAGCTCTATGCATTGGGTCACAATATCAAGACTATCAGGTTTCCTGGTAAGTTAAGATTTACTCCACTGACGTCTTTATCAACCCCTTAGAGGCTATTCACTTACCTTGACATATAGACAGAGTCTCTACAATTGGGCAAATGATTGGAAGCTATTTACAAAACGAGACAAACATGGATGACCACGTTGTCCACCTTCTATTTTCCGCAAACAGATGGGAGAAAGCGTAATTCCTCGTCCCACCTTTACAAGTCACGTGCTGACATTATCAGGAAATGGATTGAAGAGACTCTTGCCAAAGGATACACCATCATCTGTGATCGATACTATTACTCAGGCATGGTCTACAGTGCGGCTAAGAACAATCCTGCCTTATCTTTAGAATGGGCGAAGCAACCTGATATTGGTCTACCAAAACCAGATGTGGTCATCTTTTTGGATCTGGAGCCATGGCAAGCTGAACAGAGAGGCGGATATGGCGAGGAGAAGTATGAGAAGCGAGAATTACAGCAGCGAGTTCGGGAGTTGTACTTGCAATTGCTCAATGCACCGGGTGGAGGTATGAAAGTCATCAATGCTGGAGACTCGATGGATGCTGTGGAAGAACGGATATGGAACGAGGTTCTGCCATGGGTAGAAATGGTTGAGGGAGGGACTTATGGTGCAAAGGTTGGGAAATTTGAAGGTTAGAGATCTGAGTTTGGGCGGAGATGCTTGGGGGATGAATAACGTTCACGATAATGAGAGATGTGTGATGCGTGTGAGTTAGAGCAATTGATACCCTTCGAAATATTCAAAACATTGTAAGATAGTGTGGCGTTAAGACCAAAACGCCGCCCAGAGCCTGGTGTTGAAGACCCGCTGTTGAAGACCTTGATCGCTCATGCCATGTAATCCAAAACTCCGACAAATGCAGACACAAACCACCACCATCTATGTTGAAACCCGTTCCTGATCTCTATCTTCAACGTCTATTTAGACCGACTAGGCTGAAGAACTCATTTCTGGTCTTCTCCCTCTTCTCTATGCAACCCAGTACACAACTTGTGATGGTTGTAGCGCTCGTCTTCTCTACACCTCTCATCACCATGCAGAGATGGCTCGACTCCATAACGACCGCAACACCTTGCGGTTTGAGAACCTCCATAACGGCGTGTGCAACGTCTTTCGTCAAACGCTCTTGGATCTGTAATCGCCGAGAAAACATGTCTGCGATTCGGGGTAGTTTAGAAATTCCGATGACATCTCGGTCGGGGATATATCCAATATGCATCTGCCAATCTCGTCAGCACCAACAAACATTGTTATACGACCCTAACCAGTTTACCTTTCCAGTAAATGGCACCATATGGTGTTCGCAGAGACTGAACACTTCAATGTCCTTGACAATCACTAATTCATTATGCCCCTCGTGGAAAATGGCGTCATTGACGATATCTCGGACATTTTCCTGATAGCCCTTTGTAAAGAACAGCATAGCTTTAGCATATCGTTCAGGTGTGCCAAGTAGTCCCTCACGGTCAGGGTCTTCGCCAAGACATTCCAGTATTGTCCGAACAGCTCCTGAGAGCTTCTGAAGTCGTGCGGCAGCTTGTTCGGGGGTTTCCTCCTTCCGTTCTCGTGTTCCTCGACCTGCCAGATGTTAGTCACAATATGACCAAGTAAGAAGTCGTACATACTTGGTCTGCTCAAGCCATCGAAATCGATGACTGGACTTGGTGACCTTGTGTCCGTAGTCTCGATTTCTGGCCCACCAGGAGATGCCTCGTCTCTAGGATCCCTTGCTGGCTTACTCACACTATGTCTTCTCTTGGAGTGAGTTTTTGGCCCATTGAGCTTGGATCCTCTCTCTGACTTGGACTTCTTCTTCTTTTTCTTACTGTCAATTGGACTAGCCTCAGACTTGCGCTTCAAGGATCCATTGACGGCTTCTGGCTCGGAAGATTCGGATTGTGGCATTTTCAAAGAGTCCGGATCGTCTTCCTCTTGGTCCTGAGAGGGAAGGTTTGCAAATTGAACCATTGCAAAGTTATACGGCTTACACCTGCGGGCATAAAACCGTTCTGAAATTTCCCCGGAAAGTTTGCTTTGCCTTGCGCCGATGGCGCTAAAATCGGTTTTCGGCAAGTTCAGCCTCGTCTGCATTTTGAGACATCATATGCACAACACTTCAACTTCAAACCCTCAATCTCACCTTCACTATCAAGCTTCTCACATTATCATAAATCTATTCAACTTCACTTGTCCCACTAGCGGCGATACCGCCTCAACTCCCCCGAGTTAAAATCCCCGACGCGCCAACATGGCCTCTCCACCATACAACCACAGCTTTGCCTCCGCGATATCTCCTCCCTACCCACCGCACGCGCAACTTCCTCAACAACCAAAGCGCAGACAATCCGACATGCCCTCATCAGTGCCCTCGAATAAGCGCCGAAAGGCCTCCATGCTCTCCACCACCTCCGCGACATCCTCCGCCCACCCCCTCCGTCAAACCTCCTTTCCCCCAGAAAACAACGCACGAACACCCGCCTTCTCCAGATCACCTAGCATGGATACAATGTCCATAGTCTCCGGCTCAGTCGCGGGCGGCAAGCGAAAGAAGATCAGGAAGTCGAAGGGGAAGGATAACGATACCGCGTCTGTGTCTGGTAGGAAGGCAAAGTCTACGGCATCTGGTGACGGAGGTGCGCCTCCGAGTAGCAGAAAGAGGAGAGCGAGTACGGCGGAAGAGGAGGAAGAGGAAGATGGTGGCGAGGGCATGACGTTGAATGTGGATGCTGCATCGAACGAGGATAAACTTAAGGAGGAGAGGAGACGGCAGATTTTGATCAGGGCGTTTGAGAAGAATGGTCAACAGTTCACTCAATATGAGGCGTGGAGAAGCAGTAAGCTTTCGGATAGTACCGTCAGGAGAGTAAGTTTTGTCTTCAAGTACTGTGGTAGATATTTTACTGACGGATCAGATTGTCAACCAAACGCTATCTCAGTCTGTACCTCCTAATGTCATCTTGGCAATCAAGTCAACGGCAAAGATATTCGCAGGAGAAATCATAGAGCGTGCTAGGAAGGTGCAGACGGAGTGGATAGAGAGAACTGGCGTTTCGCAGACTGGTTTACCGAGCCCACCTGCTGAGGGTAGCATTGTTCCGTTTGAGAAGGAGAAGAGACGAGGGCCACTGTTGCCGGATCATCTGCGAGAAGCGCACAGAAGACACATACTAGAGGGCAATCATGGTCTGGTTGGCAATATAGGTTTGTGGCAGCATCAAGCTCATAGCGGCGTCGAGAGGTTTGCGATCAAGGTTCAGGGAAAGCGATTCTTCAAATAGAGCTTTAGAGTTTGTTTGTATGATAGGAAATTAAGGAGCTGCATGGTATTGGCAGTGGACGACATAATGAATACCGGTATCTCAGTCCATTCAGTCTTCGTCAAATATTTGCACTCGATACACTTTTGATATACCTATTTCTATCCCAGTCTATAAACATACCATCAAGCTTCTATCTTCTCAGCAAACCCCTTCCCCTCCAACTCATCCGCTCCCTCATCAGGAACTAACTCCCCACCAACTTGCTTTTCACCCCCTAAATTCCCCCACGCAGCCCTATTCTTCTTCTCCTCCCCGGGCCCCTCGCTCTTAAAATGATACCCCCTAACCCTCGGTCCCTGCCCACTCTTCTCCGGCAACTCACTCTCATACGCCCTAGCAAACTCCTCACAATCCCTCTCAAAAGCCCCGTTCTTGATACTTTCTCGAACCGAAGAGAAGAAGGTCGATATTATGTGGTGGTTGTGGATTTGTATTAGTGTCCAGCCGAGCATTTCTTTGGCCGATAACAAGTGTTGGATGTAGGCTTTGTGGTGCGAGGTGCAGGTGTAGCAGGTGCAGGATGGGGAGAGGGGTGTGAGTGAATGAGCGTGGGAGGAGGGCCACATGTCAATTCCGAGGGGGAGGAGGGTGGTGCCGTTTGTGGTTTGGGTTTCTGCTGATGGGAGAGGACGGGGGAAGCGGAAGGTGAGGGCGATGCCGGCGTCTGTAGCAAAGCCTATGAATGGGATGGTGAAAATGTCCATGCCTAGAGATATCTGTCGGAGTATGTGAGCTGGAGATGAGGGCTCATCTAGTGAGAGGCGTGGAAGTTTGACGATGGTTGTTGTGGCTGGGATGTCAGGGAGGACATTTGAGTCGTAGAATGCGAGGCCAGATACCGTGTCTGCTAATTCGTCGGCGACGTAGTTGATGTATTCTGACTGGTCGAGGAAGTCTATCGGTAGTATTGGAGCGAAGACTGCTTGCTCTTCTGGCATCTCGTTGACCAATTCTGAGAGCCATAGTTGGGTTCTATCGCCCATTTTTGCAACTCTTTTCGTACCGGGTAGAGATCCATAAGGAACATCTGCTAAGCTGATAGCTATATCTGGACGAAGGGTTTTCATATAGGAGACATAGGCCTTGCTGGAAACGGATTGGAATCCAGTTGAAGTGAAGATCGAAACAGCGGTATTGCTATTTCCCACAGGTGCTGTGACTGCTGGTGACCGGCGAGGTGCTAGAAGTGTTACAAGGCTTCTGGGTAGAGCTGTAAATCTATGCAAGATTGAAGGGCCAGGACATGTCAGAATAGGTGGTGTCCCTTTACGAGCCTTTTCTATAACTGAAGGGCTGTCAGAATAGGCAATTCAGCACGTGACGAAGACTTACAGTCCTCTAATGCCATATGAACTCCCCCGAATTGTGTATGTGCAGCAACGACATCTGGTGTCATATGAGGAGTCACGCCTCTTGATGTGATAGCAAAGAAATTCGGGGTCTCGAAGTCTTTTCTACCTGGAATAGCTATTCGTCCGAGTCTGGGTCCTGCGTTGCTGGTATCGACATTTCCAAGAACTTCGAAAAGAAGCTTGCTCCCTTTCTCTGAAGCCATCTTCAAAGTACCTCGAGATAGGACTGATGAAGCCAGCCTATCGTCTTGTGGACAGACTGATGAAGGAAGAAATGCTGGTTTATCTGCAGGTCAGCACCCTCAGTAGCTATCGTGAATGTCCAAGAAGTCCAGATCAGATTGTCGTTCGCTGGTTGACATTTTTCTGAAATAATTTCACCTTGAAATGTTCACAGTCACGAATAATGCAGTATTAAATTCATGGTGTTCCTGAGGCTGAAGCGGTCTAGCGTCGGGCGCTAAACTGTCTCAGGCGATAGGCTTCCCGGCCCACCTTATCAACCCTATCAATAATGCACGTTGATGGACCCTTGGCGCCCTGTAACGTCGTCGTCGTCGACATCCTTTGCGCCCGTCTTCTTCACCTTCTTGTGTTTATCTTCATCAGATATAGCTCGTTCATATGTGTGGTATGGAATTATGACTCTTTTCCAGCCTTGAGCGCCCGCCCTGCACACAAACTGCGTTTCAGAATCAATAAGTTCTTCCAGTTAGCACACAATACCGACGGATCTCTCGGTACAGCTTATTGCGACAAATTCAGCAACATCACAATGGCGCGAAATAACGACGAAGAGAGAGGCGATTATGGGATAGTATCAGATCATCCAGATGATCCCATCGATGGCTCTCTTCAGACGAACCTATTGCCAATGGAACACGATGAGCTTTCCGACGACACCTCTCCTCCAACCCCGCGTTTCATGCAAGATCAAGGATCCTATCGATACTTAAAATGGGTACCTGTTCCAATCCGAAGAGTTTCGAAGTCTCTTGGACGATGGGCTCAAGGACCCAATCCACCGCAGATACATACAATCAAACCGATATTCCCGTTCCTACAAGAAGCACCCTTACAGTTACTTGATAAATATGTGCCGAAGCGGAGGCCGAGGATAACGTTGTTGATCGCATACTACTTCCTTTGGGTCTTGACCTTTGCTTTAGTCATGCGAGAAAGTACGTTTGCAACAGAAATCGAAGGTTGGGGAGCTCCAGGGAATATTGGCTGCGGCAACACATACTGGGTACCAGGAAACAGATGTGGCTTGAATGGCAATGACTGTCGACCATTCAATGGGAGCGGCTTTGCATTTCGATGCCCAGCAAACTGCGCAAGCACATGGATTCTCGAACCTCGAGCTGTTGGAGCCCAAGCGGTTAACTACCGGGCCTTTGTTATTGGAGGACCTTCGAAGGATGACTCGACACCAATCTATCGAAGCGATTCTTTCATCTGCGGGGCTTCTATCCATGCTGGAATTATCAGCAACACAAAGGGTGGATGTGGGGTTGTGTCTTTGGTGGGTTCGCATACCAACTACGAGAGTTCTGATCGGCATGGCATTAAGAGTATCGAATTCGATTCGAATTTTCCCTCGTCATATACGTTCCATTCCGGAACGACATGCGAGGCAAAAGATGCAAGATGGGAGTTGCTCTTTGTATCGTTGAGCTTTACTGTCGTCTTGTCTCTGTTCACGACATCTCCTAGCCTGTTCTTTTTCACCATGTTCACTGGAGTGTTCTTCCATGTAGGGCTTGCATCAGATCCACCTGGACACTCAAGCATTGCTGGGCTGATGTCAAATCTACTCGGCAAGTTTCTACCTGCTGCATTCTGTGCTTTTGTTATCTACCGATACATGGGGGTCCGAAGAGCATTAACGGGACTTACTGCCCAGATTGAGAAGACCATTCTGTGGCTTGGTGGGCTTTGGGTCGGAGCCCTTTCGAATTACACGCTCGACTGGATCCCAATCCAGCGATTGAATGCCCATGATCTCAATCAGCAACCTGGTGCAAAGTTTGCGCTTACCATTATCATTATCCTCCTGGCCACCATTGTTTTCACACAAATCTTCTTCTTCCAACGAGAAGGACGATTAATCAAGTATCTTGGACTCTATGGAACATTCATAGGAGCAATTCTAGTGTCCCTACTCCTCCCAGGTCTCAGCTTACGAATTCACCATTATATTCTCGCATTGCTGTTCCTTCCTGGTACTAGCATGCAAACTCGTCCGTGTCTCCTTTACCAAGGAATTTTAGTTGGCTTATTCATCAATGGTATCGCCAGATGGGGATTTGATCCCGTACTCCAGACGCCAGCAGCGCTTCAAGGAGACGCGCAACACAATTCCAAGCTCCCAATCATCGGCAAGCCTTCGATCACCCTGGCTCAAAATATATCTACCATATCATTTTCCTGGCTCGCTCCGCCTGAACCTTTCGATGGAATTAGTGTCCTAGTGAACGATGTTGAACGCTTCAGAGGGTACACAGACGAAGGGTTTGCCAGCGATAAAAGTTTTGTGTGGACAAAAGACCCTGCGATTGCTGAGCCTGAATACTTCCGTTTTGCATACATGTCAGGACCCACGAGTTGGGACTACACGCAAGCTGGGACATGGCATGCGGATGGATCTTGGACTGAGATGGAACCGGGTGCTAGTAGGATATCGAGTCGATCTTTGAATGGCGAGGTGTTTACGAGATGATGTAGTTATGTATATAGTGAACTTAATGACCTTCATGATTTTGATATTTGCTTGCTGCTATGCTACGTAGGTGCTCAAAGTTGAGTTCGTTGTCTTTCGGATCACTATTTGCTGTATGCCGGCCAAGACATGGAGACGCTGAGGAGAGTCATCTGGACCGCTGGTATCACCTGTACCTTCATAATACTCATTCATCAACATCTCGTCCAGATATCAAGCTTCATTTCGAATGGCACTCCACAGCGACCTTCACTTCCACCCCGTACGGCTGACCCTTAGTACAAATGGGTAAAAAGCAGGATTGTCTAGAAATTCGTGAAAAAGTGTGATTTACCTAGCAAAAAAAGAGTTATTTGTCTAGTAATCAAATCAACTCGCCTTACCCACCTCTAGCTCTTTGCGCACTCATTATTAATTATCTCTATTCTGCTTGCCCACCACTACTGCCCACCTCACTGCTAGCAAAGTGTTGCTTTCTTTCAATACTACCTAGAAGGATGGAGGAGGGAGTGATGGAGGAGTGAGAGGGGGAGCAGACAAATATTTTACTAGCGCAAAAAAACTGAAATGAAGCTGAAACACTTTAATTCCCCATCTCTTATCTTTCCACTCCCTTTTTCATCCGCTTTCACTCTCACCCTTACATTTCCCTCAAGCTAGGTAGTACCGAGAGCAGGCAGTACTCTGGTAGTGTTGTGGTGGGCAGCAGTGAGGTGGGCAGTAGTGGGGTGATACTTAAGTCGAGGTAGTGGGTAAGGTAAGTTGATGTTACTATTGTAGACAAATCCTTCTTTTTACCCATTTGTACTAAGGGCCAGCTATACACCCCTCACTCGCCCAAATTTTTCAGACATACAATTCGAAACAGACACAAGTTATCTACCATCTTCCCATTTTCACGACAGGCAGCAACCAACAATTTCCCTAATCTCCGCATCTTCAGTTTCCACAGCAAGACACATGCTTTATCTCCTTTCAATGCTGAGAAGCTCCGGAGATGCGACCGGGTTGCCAGAAGCCTGGTCCACGGTTCAGGTTCGCATACGAGAGCAATTGCAAGGAAAAAATAAGGATGGCAAGAGCCACTATCAACTTAATTGCGATGCCTATTGTAGACGCAGGATCGTTCCGATTACGATTATTGTGAGTGAAAGTGTTATATCGAGGAAGGAATTGTGCAACTTGAGCTTGGTCGATAGCTGCATTGGTGATAGGAGGCTGGTTCACGATATTATTAGAACGTACTGGATGTCGTGGGGATTGGGACTCACAAAGTTGGGATCCATCATGGGTTAGATGGGCAAATCTTTTTGCAAATGTTGTCCGTAGTTGAGACAGAAAATGTGATGTATGAAATAGAATAGTTACAATATCGGGTCAACTGGGTTATAGGTTTAAGGTGCTTTGGACGCGTTGACTTCGCGTTGGAAGGATCTCTATGTGCCAAGACCAACGGGCCGGCCAACAACAGACCAACCAACAGAGCGGCCAACATAGCTGACCAACAGTTTCATTGATATAGGCGGCGCAGATCAATTTTATTTTGAGATCATATAACGAGCCCCTTGCAGCGTAAGATACCCATGCTCACTGGGATCAACAAGGCTAGTTGCAAACTCCTTGAGCCTGTCCAACACATAATGTTTTGCATCGGTGTTAGGTTCGACTCAGCCTAGGAGGAAGAGGCGATACAAGAAAAAAGAAGAATGCTATGGTGTGCGTCGCAGACTTCATACAATTGCGCCGGGTTTCTTGTACTGAGAACATTCAAGATCGTTCAACATTGATGGTCACAACATAGAGCATGACGTTATGTTCTGTTATTCTGTAATCTGTATAGTGTAGAGACGTTGATAACACGTTATTCGTATCCCTATGTTGTCTTCTGGCTTCATAACATTACTAGTAGTCTGTGATGCAAATGTTTGGAGCTGACACAAGACCTTCACTGTTGGAGCTATCAAAGATGTTGGTAGCATTAGGCAGAATAGATGTCTAATCGTGGTTGTTGATCCTGATGTTTGGCTCTGGGCCAGGTATTTACTCACCTTGAGGAAGGAAGACTCTGCCACAACCTTGCCAAACTCTCCCTCTCTCTCCAAGAACCAACATCTGTGCCTCGAATTCGAACATAACATTCCCGCTGATCGTGACTGCTGTTCGGCTAAGCCTGTTGTTGTGGATGTTAGCATTGTGAAGGAGTGGGCTGTCTTCACACATCCTCCGATTGGGAACACAAAATCAATTTGGTCATGGATGTAAAGCCTCTTGTTGAGAATGTCAAGAACGTGAAGGAATAGGTTGCCTGACTACAACTGCGCCTCCATCTCCAACAGAATATCCGTTTCATCATGGATGTAAGTTAGCAACTCGTCTTGTTGTGGATGTTGGCTTCGTGAAGGATGAGGTTGTCGAGATGGAATCATGTCTTGTCGAAATCTATAAGTGAAAGAACTCAGCTGTGATGAATAGCATTCATATCCAGACAACTCACTCTATCTAATGTCTTCTTACATCTCCACCATCATGAAGTCGTCGAGCCTCGCAGCAATTTTCGCCACGTTTGCAATAGGCATGGCTAGCCCTGTTGCAGAATTTGTCAAATTTTTGAAACGAAATCCTTGCGATGGAATCAACGCTACTCCAGTACTCTACCATGAGTACTTGGGCGATGTTTGTCCTCCTATAAATATAATATCCTCGAACGGCGATTGTTCGGGTCTTGACCCCAGTGGAAACGACTGTGCATCGTTTTGCCAAGTTCGTAAGTAGTTCTGGTCCTATTGAGCTATTCAATTATTACCAATCCCTTCCCACCTTCTTTACATGCATATAGAAGCAAGCAGGGTAGACTGTCTCCTGAGCTCAAGCGAAAGTACTTGTGCTAACGTTTGACAATTTTCAGGAACGAATTTTGTATACGATACTGAAGTACCATTTGACAACACCTATTGTCATGGCCCTTTTACTTGCGGAATAACAGAGACCAAATCAGTGACTCTCACATACAGTACTAACATCGGCATCCAGGACTTGAAAGCACTGAGCGTCGGAGTCACAGGTGGCTTTAGCTATGGCACAATAACGGCGACAGCACGCACCTATTCAATTAACCTGCCACCCGGTTCCTGTGGATATTTCACCTTCGTACCTGTACGGAAAGATACTTGGTACATATGAAATGCTTATAGCCAGAAACTTACTGACTCCCCTTTCTTACAGCGGTACAATGACAACTGCGCCAGTCGAATGGATGGATATGGGTGGAATAGTCCCTGTACCATATTGTGGCGTCTCCACTGATATAGGGAATTATTGTGCATCAGAAGCCCGCAAAAACAGCGACGGCACTGTTGACGGCGAAACAATCTTTGTCAAGACAGACTGTAACACACGGGAGCCACTGCCTGCCGACGAACAAGATCCTGTGTACCAAAACCCGGGGGTCCCAATGGATCGAGGTGTTCTTACTACTATGATCTTATCTTGGCCTGAGCAAGGTCCAAATCAGTCAGGCCCTGACATGTCGTCATCTGCCTGTGTGAAATGCACGAATGATCTTGGGGCGAGTAGTTGTGCTGCAGCCGACAATCAGTGTCTTATCAATCAATGCACAAGCGACAGCAATTGTCAGACTTGCGGGATCAATTGCACCACTGTCAGCTAAGAGAAGATGTCGTTACTTTGGTATTCAGCATAGGGTTATTTTTTGTGGTGTGTACGGTGTTATAGAATTGAATTGCGAAATGTTAAGACATCAAACGAGCTCCGAGTAAACCAACCAAATAATCCTTTTCTTTTTTAAATACGCCTTTCATGTCCACCACAATTCGTACCTTGGTACCAGCAGGATAACCACACCTATATTTGCGACGGCGAGATATTTCTCTAACGATTCTCGGCCTCGTCTCACAACTCTCTTGAATATCAGACTTGCAGTTGACCAGCAAAGCGCAATCGAGAAGGTGCTTTCTTTGTCAATTTGCCTAAAATAAGCTAATGTTTTAGATTTAATGTTTGATCTGCCCTCCCCCTTTTTTTTGGAATTAATTTTAAGCGAGCCACATTTATCATTAGATTTAGAATATTATATAAATTATTTAAAAAACACAAATATTAATTATATAAAGAATTAAAGCTATCGCTAAGCAAAATAAATTAAAATAAGTAGTTTGCACGTAATATAAATATTATTAATACTAAAGGTTTCCCCTACACTTGTTTAAGCAAATAAAAAATTGAGAAAGTTTGGTAAAATTTTTCAATAGTTTTTTTTTCTATTTTTGGAATTTTTTTCGTTGATTTATTCATTTTTATCTTTGATGTTAGCATCGCTAGCATCTTGTAAAAGAAAAAGAAAACTTGGTTTTAATTAGATAATAAATATTTGGCTAAATAGCTAATCCATTCATAAAACCTCAAAATTTGGCCAATAGAATATTTGGTGAGTAGTTCAGTACAGAGCACGAATGAACTCGAAACACACCAAACATCCGAAATTAACGCAAGCTCCTTTAAATTCGAGCTGTTGACAAAGAAACTCGATTTGAACGGAAGCATCTTTATTTCTGTTTCATCAAAGAGACATCTATCAGCTTTCGAGCTAAAGAGTGAGTGCGTATCCAGGGCTACTGATTTTGATGCAAATAAGGGTTAATTGCTGTGTATGAATGAAGGAGGGAAGTCATGTGCAAGGCCACGCAGGAGAGGAGAATGTATTTTCGCTGGGGTTGTAAGGGGTGTTGGGACAGGAGAAGGGGAAACATTGATCAGGAAATGTGAAAAGTTTATGTTGAAGAATTGGAAAGGTGGTTTAAACTCTTAGCTCTGCAGCCAGCATAGAGCTAATACCAGTATTGATGATCCCCAAAGTAGTGATTGGTTGGAAAATCTAACAGTCTCCCTACCATTTTTAATTTCAAGCCGAAACGCTAATCATCTCAAGCCTCCGACATCCTCAAAAGCTACTATGAATTTTTGTTTCACATTCATTTCCATGAGTCGTCAATAATTCAAATCAGTCGTGAGACATTTGTCCACTTTTCCATCCATGTATGTGTTCGTGGTGGGTTGTCTTGAATTCTAAAACACCAATGATGCGCAGTTTTGTTTGTGGCTCACGGTTGAGACGAGTGCCAAGATTTCCCTGTTGCGCGTCAGAAAGGTCGAGAATTACGAGAAATCAAGACATTATACCTCGCCATAATGGATCACAGGAAGCCTTCCCAGCTCTTACAGCAGTAATTGTGAATGCGAAATGTGTAGATTGGTGGCGGTTTTTGAGACAAGAAAGAAAAAATATTGAACGGATTTTCCATTTGTGGAAATGGCATTCGGTAAGGATCAGCCCTGAACCTTCAAATGCGAACCCTATATAAATTTAACTTCCTCTTGGATGCTTGGCATCATTGCTTCAGATCGAAACTCGATTCAACATGAAGTCGTCAATTTTGGCCTCCCTTGCTCTGATCTCATTGGCCCGAGCCTCATGCAATGCAGACAATCTTCTCAGGTACATTAGTGAGGGCAAAATAGCATAATTGTCATTAATGGATCTCAGATGTTTTGAGGCTACCCCAGCTGTGGCTTCACCGTTCTGCACTTCACTTTATGCTGGTGTAGCACCGGTGTCGACACCTGCTTGTGCTAAGTCGACCCCGCTTGCTTCTTTATCTCATGCATGGTACGTTCTGATACCGAATCTTTGCGCCCTGCCGTAGTTACATTCTTGTAGTACTAACAATCTAACAGTTCTTGCGTGGGATATACATCTACGGGTGGTTTGACATCTAAGTTAACATGATGAGACTTTGTCTTGTACATATGCTAATGATTCGATTAGCAACAAGCACTCTCCAGACGTCAAGCACTCTGCAGACAAGCACATCAATTGCGTCACCATCATCATGCACCGCAACGACTGTTACTGTTAGCCTGGTAGCAGCTTCGGCTTCACAATACATTCCAGTTACCTTGTCCGCAAGCACAGTAACAATCACAGCCAGCTTGGCCGCCGTGTCTTCCTCGGTGTGCATGCCTACCAGCGTCATTGCCACCACTATTACCACCATGGGTCAGTTCAATATTCTAGATATTGAATGGACACTTGCTAACATCAGCTCAGTCGTATCAAGCGCACCAGTATCCATATCGACTGTACCAGCTACTACTTGCCTGCCATTCGTCCCGACTTGTGCCAAAGCAGGAGATACAGAAACGGCAGCGCCATTTATAACTGTTTCCCAACCTTACGGTTTCAATGCAGAATCATGCGTTTCGCTATGCCAGGAAACCACAGGTTGTCTTTCATATGCTGTCTACATCTATTACGGCTACTGTGCTTTATTCGCAGCTCCTGTGTCTCAAGCGTCCGATGGTTCCGCTGATGGATATTACACCTTTTGGGACATTGCTTGCATCAAGCCTGCTGTTGTCCCTCAAATTTGCGGTACAACAGTTGGACTTGTGTCTCCGATCGTCGTGCCATATGACAGTAACTTCTATGATGTTACGCAGACCAAGTGCCAGTCGGAGTGCGCGGGATGGACTCCATGCTTGAGCTATTCTATGGATACTTCCAGTAATTGCATTCTGTGGGAAGGGAGTATGTCGCAGTGGGCAGATAGTGGGACTGGTTATACAGCATGGGATGTTGCATGTACAGTTCCTGCTGGTGGTGGCCCTTGAGAAAATATCACAAGTGACGTGGGATTCTGAAGGCTAAGGTGGAAGGGAGTGCGAGCAGTTGAGACGTCCTATAGGACCGAGAACGAGATTACAATATTACAGTCTCAACGCAAGTTTCCATTAAATTGGACATGATAACCCTTCCAACTATTAATATACCGACATTTACTTGCTAGGCAATATACCTAGATGGCGGGGAGAGAATGAGACCTTGATCATCCTTCGTTAACTCTTCCTAGAACCATCATCACACTTACTACGAAATAAGAGTCATGCCAGAGAATGAACTTTCTCTCAACACGGAGCTCCTACTGTTTAAAATTGAAACCAATATTTTCTCTTCGGAATCTCACTCCAAAAGGATCTTCATTCATACCTATCATTCCGGAGCCGTCCATCTGAACTGTCGGACATGACACCCGAAACAGATGAAAAGTAACTGTCGTCTTACCACTTTGAGCAGATAAATGGAGGTTTCCCGCCCTTCCTCGCTTGCCAGTCTCCAACCGGGAAATTAATTTAATCGCCTATCGAAGTACAAGGCTTGTTTTCCAAGGGGGAAAACATGCAGGAGAAATGAGCAGTTGCACAGATATAATACATCGATAGCCTACAACGCTCTAAGCTGTGGTAACGAAAGACATTCCAGATCGACAAATAAAACTAGACTTAATTTCCTAGCAACGGATATTGTTCATTTGGACCATCCACAGCTCTTGTACCACTTCTCATTCTACTCCACTTCGCAAATAGAACTTGAACCAACTTCCAAGCTCGGATTTTCCCGATCAAACAAACGATGATGAATCTGAAGGGACTTCTTTTTGCTTCCAAATTCTGATCTTCCAAGGCCCGAATCCAGCGCTTTGCCTTCCCTAGACTCTGCGTCGCACTCTTCTTCACTTCTCGCATTCTCATATGCATAATGGCGTACCTAGAACGAACAGTTGCAAGGGCTCTCCGCGCCATAGACAACTTCTTCAACGTAGCAAGAACCGCTGATTTAGCGATTCCCAAGTCATGTTTTGAGGCAGCGAGATCCCTGCGCATGCCATCCAGTTCTCGTAGTTGGAGCAAAACACTTGCTCCCAGTGACTTGTTCCCCTTGTCGAGTGCTCTTTTTTCATTGTTCAACTCTTCAACCTCTTCTTCAAGCGTGTGAATTTTGTCAATGTGCACCTCAAGTTTAGACTTCAAAGCTATGACGTCGTTTGCGCTTGCTGCGTTGCTAACTCCTGCTGCTTTGATGCCATTGCTGAGTCCTTGGGATTTCTTTATCGCTTTTTCGAGTTGAGCCTGGACGGTCTTGGCTTAGTTTTGTAGACGCTTTTGGTTCGTTATAGCTTCCTGTAGCTCCTTAGATAAGCTGGCGTTAAGATTCTGGGTAATCTCTTTGTTGGTGGTGAGCTGTGAGTTGACGTCCTTGAGCTGAGAGCGTAGTACAGATGTTCCGGCCTGGAGTGCTTTGATTTGCTGGCTCTTTGCTGTTAGCACCGCTTCTTGGGAAGTTGAACGGTCTCTCATTTGTTGGTTCTCTTCTTTGAGAGCATCTAGACGTGCTTCGAACTCAATCTCTAAGTCGTTCTTATCATTTAGTTCAACCGAGAGACGTTGCTTCACGGACCGATTATTATTTGAGAGATTCATAGAAGAATAACTTTCTTCGGCGGTTTGGAGGCGACTTTGCGATGTATCTTCCATATTGGCAGCCTTGTTGTGGTGGTGCTTTCAAAAGATCGAACTGCTGCTCCAGTCAAGTACAGCATAAAATAGACCAACAATAAAGACTACTCCACTCGTGTAGTGCTCTCAAAGCTGCATCAGTCACCACTTTCTGGTACTCGTTTTCTAAGCCCGTGCATAGAGCACGCGAAGTTTCAGCGATGCCGGCTATTTCAAGATGTCTCTGGATTGTTCTAGTCTCCAAGTAACGAACAAAGGAATAATTATGCGCATGAGACAAGTCTCAAAATTGAGAAGATTTTCAAACAACGTCATCAACGCGTTGAAAGCCGTTTGAAGAATTCTACGTATACTAGGAACGGGAAGATCTAGAATTGCTCATGTGCCTATTATGCCAACGCTGAAATTTGCCATAACGTTTGACAACACAGTTATCATATGCCAGAATCCTCTTGAGTAGCATTGGCGGGTTCACTAACAAAGTCATAATATTCCGTCCACAATCCACACCTCTTCTCAAACCCTGGCAACACACCCGCTTTTTCCATCAACGGCTTAATTTTCTTCGCCTGCTCAATAAATTGAAGTGCCAAACCATCACTCGCATGCCACGCAATGTGACAATGCACCAGCCAAGCACCTGGATTATCGATCTGAAACGCTATCAAAAGATATCCATTTAGGGGTAGCATCGCAACATCTCTTCGGGCAGGATTATTGAGATTGGGGACTATGGGTACATCAGGGTCGAATGGAGTATACGATTGTGCGAGGATCACAAAATCGTGTCCGTGAAGATGGATTGGGTGCGTGACTCCAGGAAGACTCTGGCGTGGCGTTTCCGCAGTAGAGAAATTATTCAGGATCAGGAAATACACCCACTCTCCGGTCTCGTAATCCAAGAAGATCGGAGCGGTTTGAGGTGGGAAATCATGGTCTTTGTCAATAGCTAGAAGCTTAAGACTTGGTTCACGCCAGTCGATGTAGAGCGATGAGTTGGCCAATATCCATTTCATCAGAGGTGACGGTGCGATTGGCATAGAGATGTTGGGATAACCTTGAAGTCCAACCTTTAGCCAGTCAGCGGGGCCGAGACTATTGACGTGCTTAGTGACGTTGCGGGTGACAATCGGGTGGATCAAAGATGAGTCTTCGTCAGAACAATCGTGAGAACTTTGAGCTGCATCAAGTGGTGGGGTATAGGGATCCTCCCGAGATCCAGGTTGATAACGAATGATGCCCAGAGTCGAACTTTGACCTGAGTTTGAGCAGTCGCGAGCATGTATCCAGAAATTGGTGCCATGAGCGAAGCTAGCATTTGCGGTGATAATGAAGTCGTAGCGTTGTCCTATTTGTTGTCAATGGCAATACGCTTAACCAATTGCCGTACATACCAATCGCATTGTTGACAATCTTGGCTGGATATGGTTGAATGGGTACGAAGTCTGTTTTTACAACAGTGAAGTTATGACCATCAATCCAAAATTTGAATTGAGTTGTAACGGCAGTATTAACAAGGCTAAGTTTGTATGTTCTACCCTTATGAAAATGAATTTCGTGGCGAGGTCGTCTGCCAGTACATCTGGATCGTGGATGGGATCGAAATCAGACAAGAGACCAGACTATCTTGCGAGAATCGGCTTTGATTGCACCCTTAGAGCTACCGCGAACGAAGCATATACCATGAAAAGAAAGATAAATATTAGATGAGCTTTAAAGATTGCGCTGAACATTAAGATGCGTTGTGAAATTCGTCCATTAATGAATTCCGCAACGATTATAAAAGCTATCTAGTATATAACTTTGCTATTATCCGTACAGCCTATCGCATTTTATTTACACCGGTGGCTCTGGCAATGATAAACACCCATTTGCATCTCGAATTGCTTGTCTTACATGAGTCGGCCATCCTCCTTGTGCTGTCTTCAAAAGTTCGCAAAGTGTAAGTGCAACCCTACGCACCACGTCCCGTTTCTGATCCCAATTTGGTTTTTGCGTCTTCGTTACGAAAAATCTCAAGATCTCAATCTTGCACCTTGCAAATAAGCTATAACCATTCCTATTTAATATTATCTTCATCATGTTTGACAGTTGCGGCATATTGCCTTGCGCAGCGAGTTGCTGGAGCAAACCCACTTGTTGAAATTCAATCCAGTCTTGCTCGCGTCGTTGTTGTGGGCCTTGTCTCGCTTCTTCGGGGTCCCATAACGCCATGAGGCATGTCTCTAAGAGCAACTCGTCTTCTAAAGTACCTTTTCAGTGCGGTACGCAGGAAGACTCGGGTGCCTTGATTCCAATTCATTAAGATCTCTCGTCTATTTTGATAACGAAGCCCGGTCAATTTCTCAAAATCTATCAGGTTTTTGACAAGAGCGCTATGGTTGTCGATTGCTTGCTGTGACAGTTGTTTGACGAAATTGGTTATTGGACCTTCCGCGTTCGAGATGTTCTGTATAAAGGTTTGTTGTATTTGCGCGTTGCTCCAGAATACATCTTCTATACTTCCAGACGCAACCAGGTTACGCGCAAAGTAAATTGCCTGTTGTTCAGTGGGCGTCATATTCAGAGCCAACTGGAGAGCGTTTGTGTTGCCTCCAAATGCGCCATTGAGTACATTTAGACGAGCTTGTGTAGGATCGCTAGGAATTCGAATAGGATCAGAGGTAATATATGGTTCATTCGTGCGCCGCCCAAAGTTATAAGTCACTTTAGCACCTATATTTCGGGCACGGTAATGAAGTACTTTATAACCAAACTTTCGCACAACGAAACTCCAGTAGTGCTGTTGATGCGCATCTTCGTAGAGGGTGAGGGGTATTGGATATAGCTCATTGAACATGAGTGGGGCCGGATCGATGAGAGGAGGTGCAGATCCATCATTCTCGAAGTTTTTGAAGTCGGCGTACGTGGGCCAATGCCTAAAAAGCCAGAATCCAAAAGGATGGGACCCCGAAGGACGGTAATCATAGGGTAAGAATGCTCCTGTCGTCCCTGAATTTATCTTTTTATCAACATTAGCGCCATATTTATGTTCGTATTGAGATACACACCGCATTATCATAACTGTAGCCTAGCTCAGACACAGGCTCGTCCTCGAAGTATGGTTCTTTTAGCTCCGGCTTGCCAGCTAAATATCTATCTAGCATTCCTACTGCATGCATGAGCTCATGGCATATCTGTGAGCTGATTAGTCATACACCAACAAGATCAGATTCACATAAAGAGGTAACTTACAATTTCTGCTACTTGCCATTGGACAATCATTCTCTCAGCTGAATTCAGATCGTTGCGAAGTAGAATCTCTGGCAAGTCCTTATCAATAAATATCGACATTCGCCATGCTGCGCTTGCGTTTCCGACATTTGCTGCCATGTATTCTTCATTGCTAGCCGTCAAACCTAGCAAGCTTACAGGATCTTTACCGGGGTCCACTGAATGCTCAAAAGAAGCCATGAAGCCGAATTGACATTTGAACCTAGTTCTTAAAGTTGTAAATACTTGGTCCCTTTGTTGTGCGGCCGCTTCAGGGTTCTGCAATGCTGGGCGGGCATGAAAAGAAAAAGTGTTCTCGTGGTTTCCCTCTTCGATGTCTTCTTGGTCGAATCTCTTGATTGGTATCTTTCTTCGGTCTCCATTGAGCAATGCATCAAACTACAGTACGTATCAGTCCTTCGGGTTTCCAAAGTCTTGACAAGAGATTCTACCCAAGGAAGCAAATGTGCAGACATCAATGTCTGTGATGCTAATCGAACACAAGGCTCCATTACTTGCCATACTACATCATTCGAAGCTACCCAATTTCCATTTCCATTCTTCAATGGATATAGCCGCGTTCTTTGAAAATCGGGTTGGACAGGAACCGTCTCCCACGTCTGCCGTTGCAGCAGAGGTATGATGTATGACTGCACATCAGCCGGCTTCACTTCCCGCGTTGGCATGCAATCTAGCTCGGTCAACTCTCGTGTCGTGAAGCCGTACAGGTTTGAGCGTTGATGTTTTTCAGCATTGCCAATCGTGGTTTGGAAATTCCCAGGTCGTGGAAAATTGCTCACTGGTGTTAGTAGAGATTTCCCCCCAATTTTAGCTCCATACTTTTGTGCTAGGATGGTCAATTGGGGCAGAGTACTTGCAGCCATGAGGGTACCGGTGCATGAGGGGCCGTATTATTTTGAGTGAAGTGCACCTGCGAAAAGAAAATCCTAACGTCATCCAATTGTGATATTGCATGATCGACATCGTGCAGGCTTTGTTCTCGTTGTTCGTTTCAAGGACATCGGTTTTCTTTGTATAAAATGCTTGCAGGTACCAACACAACGAGCTGTTGGGTCTGACAAACAAAGATATCGATGCCCCAATTGTGTTTCTACCATATTATGAATGTTTTCTCCTCCTCTTGTGGGTCAGATCAGCACAAGTAGGAATAGGAGAGCTGGTCACGTGGACGCGACCTCGTTTGACTACAATTAGTTACTTGGATGCTCTGTACTCGGCTATGGCTTTTAAAGCTACCTAGGGTGCGGAGTGAGTGGCTTCCAAGGTGCTTAAGAACAGGAACGAAAGCTATGATCGTGTTACAAAGATCTAGCGCTATGTGCGCGTTGTGCGCGTATCGCGCGATAAGCGCTCAGCGACGTCTCGAAATTACGAGTCCAATTAGTGTTATTTTTGAAATTATCACTTTTCTGTATTCATGCACACAATGACGGTTAGACAGCACCGAGAAATTTATCTGGTTATACGTGCCGGAATCAAGGAAGAATCGCTTGTGTAGAGAAGCAACGACGGCAAACTAGTAGTTCATCCGGCTTAGCCAGCTAGCAGGGAGCGGAATGTAGACTCGGCAGGTATTACTTATTCAAATCCGATACTAAATTCATTGTGTAACATCATATAAACAGAAATCATATTATCCGCGCAGTACACCCACTAGCTTCAATATGCTCCGGCGAAAATGTTGCCACTAGAAAAGTCAACCTTGCGACATCTACACATTGAGAGCATTAGGTTGTAGAAGTGTCATCCTTCCCAGACTTCAAATCTTCAAGCACGTTACTAACTTCCAATTCGTCCTACACGAGTTAGCTCTATCTTGCGTCGGTTCTTCAAGAAAAGAGAAATTACCTCAGCACCACCGGGAATGATCAAACCTATTATGCCCTCACTCTTCACTCCCTTGAGGCCCCTAACCAATGCTCTGTAGTCTGGAGCCCCCGGCCTAAGGACATTGTCCGCAACAACCATCGTCCCCTTTTTCAGTAGACCCAGCTCTTGACAGACTTTGAAATCTTGGACATACAGTTCTTCCACGTGATCCAAGAAAACCATGTCCACATTTGTGATCGTGCCGTCTTTCACGAGTTGGCGCAGGGAATCTTCCGCAGGACCGATGACCACCTCAATAATATCATCGAAACCAGCGAGGTCGATCAACTGTCTAGCAATGCCGGCAAATTCGACGTTCATTTCCAAACTCCAAATCTTGAGATCCTTCACTTCTCCACCTGCGTTTTGGGTGTTCGTCTTCATGGTATGAGCGAACAAAATGGCAGAGTAGCCTAGATAACTGCCCAATTCAATAATGGATGTTGGCTTGTGTTTCTCGAGCAGATCAGAAAGGACGCCGGCTTTATGTGGTCCGACACTGATGAGGAAGTCCTTTTTGAAAGAAAACTCGTCAACTGCGTCAAGGAGAGTTTGAGGAGCCGTTTTGAATTGAATGCGACTTGGATGCGCGAGGATAAATTCTAAGAGTGCGCCTTCGCGACCGTCGTCGGACTGTGCTGAGGTTAGTACACTCGAGAATACAGAAAAAATTGAAGAGATTGGCTCCAACACATCTGCTTGGAGATCACATACCTCAACCCCAGTGTCAAATGCCTTCTTCAAAGTGGGATACTTAGCAATAACTGCTTGGATCTCAGGTGGATGCTCCATCGCGAAGTGTTTGGTAGCCTAGAAGCGAAGCGAAGTTTTGATGGAGTGAAATAGCCTCAAAAATCGACAATTGCAAAGCAGCGCAGGATTGGAAAAAGATTCACACACAAGTGGGAGCGAGGTGCTATATATAATAGTGTTGTATGACCCTTGTTTGAGTGATGAGCGGGGTACGTTGCAAATTTTCAGGTTGCTCCGAGTCGATTTGCTCTCTGAGTGGCCACAAGTTCCAACTAACATGCACGAAACGCCCTCATTCGCTCTTGAAGAACATTTCACCTTCCATAAATAACCTAGCGCTTACAATCTCTGACGTGTCTTTTTCGCTTTCTCGTTGAAAGCTTAAGAACACAGAAATGTCGCGGTGGGCTCGCATTTCGCGCGCCCAGAGAAATTCACGAAAACGTTGTCGGTAGCGATTTATTCGACTCGAATTATGTAAAGGCATGTGAAGACATATACAAATATTCATTTACAATATGAATCGAGCATTGCTGGGCGTCTAGAACAAGACAATCAATTGATGAGTGCTCGGCAAGCTTCCCCTGACCGAATGAGGAAATCTGGATTCAGGGGCTCGCTTCTAAGCGAGCGAGAAAAACAGTGAACTCGAATAGCCTCGGCATTCGGAGTTAGCACCCAAGTCTCAATTGCACAGAAAACACTCCAGCGCAGTAATCGATTAGAAAGAATAAGACGCATGACTGAAAGTATTCTTAGTCCTGCCTCGAATTGTACAAAAGAAGTGACAGAGTATTGTGCAAGCGCTTGCCTTTGACATCTCCTTTTCGAGTCTCAATGCAAAATGCTCCAAACTTCTCATCTTTCCCTGGGGAACTTCCAGGAAGAATTACGTTTGATGCTCAATATCGAGACGAGTTTCCCTTCATTCGAGTCGCTGCAAGAAGCGAATGCAACAAGCCAAGTGTCAAGCTCGAATTGTGTTGTCCACATGATTCGTCAGATAGAATTTGAAGTTCGCCATACTTGGCATTTCTCCACGCTCTTTTTCCTGATGTTTCCCTCGGGTTGCTAATTCGATTTTGGGAGGTCTTGATTCCAAAGGTCGCGATAAGATTAACTTCGTGTTCCAATCTGCTTTAGTCCTCATTGGGCATCTCGAGCCAGGGGCCAATGCTGATTAAGCTTAATTTAAAGTTAGCACAACCCCTTTTTATACTTTCATGCGGAAAATCAATGACCCTTGTTTGGATTTTTAGGCACCACAACTCAAGATCCACTGGACTAGACCATATTCGCAATTCATTTCCTGCTCAACCATTCATTGCGAGTGCTGTGCCGTTCCTCGGTCTCGAAGTCTGGATTGGTATTCAAACCGCGGCGTATGGCAGAGAAGCGAAGCGCTTCGAGCCCTACAAATACGATAATTTCTTGGCATTTTCACGCAATGCCTGCCTCATTATCTCGATACGGAGTATTCAATAGGATCAAAGCTAACGGTCCCGGCTTCATGGAAAGTCGCGCCGATGGCACGTTGTTCGGATATCCTTGCCGTCCCTAAACAAAAGGCGATCATTGCCCACCTAGAATGATGTTCTGTAAGGTCTAGACATCATCTCATCACTCTTTCTGAGATTTTTGTCTGCCTCGCATTTGACGTCTATACGTCTAGTCATTCGTTACACACCCTGCACTTTTAATCCATACCTCATAATGGTTCCTTCCATCGTCAAAGCGGGCGTGGTTGCTCTTTCTCTGGCTGTTGCTTCAGTGCATGCTGCGGAGTATACGCTTGATCCCACTGATGTTTATGCGGGGGCAGCATTCTTCGATATGTGGAACTTCATCACAGTCAGTACCTGGGAAGCAAATGCCTTTGAGAATACTGATCTCTTTGACAGGAAAACGACCCCACTGGTGGATTTGTAGATTACCAGAGCCAAGCACAAGCACAAGCGAAGTCATTGATTGGATTCAACTCCGCCAAGAACCGATCTTTCATTGGAGCCGACTACTCGACAGTGTTGTCGCCTATTCAGACGGCAACGAACCGAGGGCGTGCCAGCGTCAGAATTGAGTCTAAGAAGAACTATACAAGAGGACTTTTCGTTGCGGACCTTTACCATGCCCCGGCTAATGTCTGCGGGACTTGGCCGTCCTTGTAAGTGAGACTTTGCACATAGAGATAATTATGCTGATATCATTTAGTTGGACTGTCAATCACGAGAACTATCCTGAGTGGGGTGAGATCGACATTTTCGAGAACATCAACGAGAACACAGCCAGTCTTCACACTCTCCACACAACTGCTGGATGCACCGTTGCTGCGAACCAAGGCGCCACCAGACAAACCTCCACCGAACAATCATATAACTGCGATGATCAAGCAACTACTGGCCCGTTCGGTACAACCCAAAGTCAATACCAAGGCTGTTCAGCCACCTCCACCACCGCTAACTCATACGGGTCCGGGTTCAACAATCAAGGAGGTGGAACAGTGGTCATGGAATGGTCAACTCACTTCATCAAGATGTGGACCTTCGCTCCTGGAGCAGTACCAGCCAATATCCTCAGCGAAACACCAGATACCTCCACTTGGGGTCTCCCATCTTTCGATACCGAGGGAGGGAATTGCACCATGAATGATCATTTCCAGGCTCACAATATGGTCTTCGATCTCACCTTCTGTGGAACGTACGCGGGCCAGTCATACTTCTGGGAGCAGACGAGCTGTTATAAGAATAACCCGACTGCATACGCCACCTGCGCAGACTATGTTGCTGCAAACCCCTCTGTGTATGCCAACGCGTACTGGATCATCAACTCAGTCAAGGTTTACCAGTGGCAGTACTGAGCGACGATAGTGGGAAAAAAGGGAAAAAATATAGATTGGATACCCCATAATAGAGAAGTTAGATCACACAAAGGGTCACCCTTTCGATTTCCAAATCAATCATGGTCCAGCCACGAACGCAGGTGAGACTGGTCACGTGACTAGTGCTCAATTTCCATCAATGTTGCGGCTAAGGATGTACAATATCCTCTAAAAGCGACTGATATACTGCTTGAAAAATTACACATTCTCTTGAAAGCGTAATGTATCGGTAGGCAAGTGCCAAATGCCACACGGTGAATGAAGAAGCGTTGCTGAGCCTTGAAAGACGTATTGAATTTCTGTAATGCAAGGCCAATTCATTCATAAGAAGAGTCTGTGTTCTCGATATCGACGAGTGAAACACTCGTACATGTTTATGATCACTTTGAACTTATGTCAAGGTTGATTGAGACGGGGTTTACTTGATAATCATATCATGTGCCCATCACGGTACTTAAGCACCTAGGTAGATTCCGTCGAGTTCGCAACTTCTTTTTTCTAGATTAGATCAACGTTTATCTTGTCCAGAATTAGTTATAGTCAGCGATGAATGCAGCTCCATGACATGTTACCTAAAATCCCTCATGATTCAAAGATGTCTTGATGGACTGAAGCACAGAAATTAAAGTGACTCTCGTCAATTCCACAACGATGGAGGAATATTTTTGTCCTTCATTATTGCTCTTCCCTTTCAAAGTTTGGAGAGTTTACTGTGACTATCATATCTGATTGCTAGAATGAAAGTCTCCACTGTACTCATTACCGTCCTAGCCTCGGCTTTTGCTGTTCGTGCTTCTGCTGTTCTTCCAGTACTGCCGATTGTATTGGTTACGAGTGCAACTAGTGGTAGGTTCTAACCTTACGCCACTCCTACCTGTTTCTTTCAATGATACCGCATGTTAGATACAGTTCTCGCCATTGACTAGATTCCGTGGATCACTGACTAAAGTTTGCAGTGAGCACTAAATCTTCCTCTACGAAGAGTTCATCTGTCGCGTCTCCATCCACAGCAGCATCTACTATCAAAATCTCCTCAACGATCAAGACGTCTTCGATAACCAAAGCATCAAGTATCTCATCGTCGTCATCAGTCAAGAAGTTCTCCTCAACTTCTTCATCACATTCACCTCAGAGTACGACACTTGGATCAAAGTCCTCAGCATCGTCCAAGGTCTCATCGATCTCATCGACTCAGACATCCTCGAAGAAGTCGTCCTCCACATCATCAACACATTCTCCAGGGAGCACAACAGCTACCTCGAACTTGTCATCCAAAACAGCCTCGATCTTCTCCAATAAATCTTCGCTCACTTCTCAAATCGTCTCCTCTAAAAATGCGTCACAAACACGTTCTTCTACACTCTCGTCTATTTCCTCCTCAAAGATACCTGGCACGCCTTCTTCCAAATCCTCAAGTGTGTCCTTGACGTCCAGCTCCAAATCCCTCTCTTCCACGCAGGGAAGTTCAAAACCGGCAAGCGGTTCTTCATTGACTTCTCCGAGACCGTTCAGCACAACCACCCGAAGCGTTATGGGGGTCATAAGCACAAGTAGCTCTTTGCAAACACGGTCAAGGTCGACAACCTCGTCACTCTCAATCTTGGTACCGGGGAGCACCAGTAGCACTTTGTCGAATCTTTCATCAGTCTCCACGTCGACAAACTTCAATGTAGCATCAACAAGTTGCCTATTGCCAGTCACAACGTCTTCGATATCCCAAGTCTTCAGTGCGACACCTATAAGCGTGGTGCTAGTGAGCACAGCTAGTAGCTCGCCGACTCTTCCGTTGCTCTCTATGTCGACAAATGCGCTTCCTACAAGTAGCTTAGAGGTTGCAACATCTTCCACAAACTCACTCGCCAGTCTGGGATCTGCAAGTGTGGTGCTCATAAGCCCGAGCAGTACCTTGCCAAGCCTTTCATCACTTACATCGACAATTCTGGATGTGGAGTCTACAACTGCGGGTAGCATAACTTCAGCATCAACATCTTCGACTTTTATAGTTGTCAGTGCAGTTCCCACAAGCGTATCACTTTTGAGTACAAGTAGCAGCTTTTCAATTCCCTCATCACTGGAACCCACCCCAACAAGCCTCAATGTCGTTTCGACTAGTGGCCTGCTGCTAGTATCAACATCTTCAACACTCATAATTATCAGTGCGGTACCTACAAGTGCATTGTTCTTTAGTCTAAGTAGCAGTATGTCCAGTCTTCTATCACTTTCTAAGTCGACAAGCCTCAACGGGGAATCCACAATTACGGGTGGCATTGCACCCATATCAACAACTTCGATGTTAATAGTTCTGAGTGCGGTCCCCACAAGTGCATTACTCCTAAGTACGAGCAGCAGCTCTTCAAGTCTCCCATCACCCTCGCTATCAACAAGCCTCGATGCAGTCTCGACGAGCGGCCTACTACTTATGTCAACATCTTCAACATCCGTTGCGTCATCGGCAGGCTCTGAACCTGCAAGCAGTGTGTTTTCCTCATCGAGTCAGCTGGGTGCTACTAGTATTGTCTCCAGCTTAGAGCTTGTGACAGCGTATATGATAGGGAGAAGCTCAGTGCTGCCCACCTCAGTTATCCCCACTATATCTAGTTCCAGCTCTAGCATTGTCCTTTTGCCTTCGTCGACGCTTAGAAGCACCTTATCATCGTCCTCTTATCTTTCTTCAACTTCTGCAACATCAAGTCTAGCACTTGCCAGCAGCAGCAGTGCAATCTTTCTTCCAAGTTCTTCTGCCATCACAACTTTGAACACAAAAGTCTCCAGCAGTAGCTTACCAGTCCCCACAGTATCCTCGTCCACAATACCAAGTGCAGCACCCACAGGCAGCAGTCTTCCCACCCTCTCCACACCAACAGACTACGCCAGCACAGGCGTATACTATCACAACAAACACCGCATGAACCACTCCGCTCCCCTCACAACCTGGAACTCAGCCCAAGCCCTCATCGCCGCCGAAATAGCATCAAGCTGCATCTTCGCGCACAACATGTACTCCACCCCTCCCCTCCTCTCCTCTCCACCATCCCCCTCTGACAAACGCCAGGACCGTCTCTGGCGGCACCTACGGCCAGAACCTCGCGGCCTACGGCTCCACCGGCGCCGTCCAATCCATCCCGCCCCCCCTCATGCTCGCAACCTCCATCGTCAACCAATGGTACTACAGCGAAGTCGCCAATTTCCTGCCGTCCTACTACGGCGAGGCGACGCCTGATATGTCGAATTTTGCGGGTTGGGGACACTTTAGTCAGGTGGTGTGGAAGGGGAGTACGAGTGTTGGGTGTGCGAGCCAGTCTTGTGGTGCGGGCACGATTTTTATGGAGGTTGAGTTGGCTTACGGTTTGTAATTATGTGGCGGAAGGTGGGTGTTTCTTTTTGTGTTTCGTTTTTGTGTTTCGTTTTTGTGTTTCGTTTTTGTGTTTCGTTTTTGTGTTTCGTTTTCGTTTTCGTTTTCGTTTTCGTTTTCGTTTTCGTTTTCGTTTTCGTTTTCGTTTTCGTTTTCGTTTTCGTTTTCGTTTTCGTTTTCG